TAATTACAATATCATTTTACCAGTAATTAACAGAAAGAAAGTTTTCTTCATTGACGAGCAGATGATGAAAGTTGAAACAAGGAAGACAGGCAGCAATTTAAGCCCACAACACGACAATCAATTATAAAACAGAGACAGTACTGAGTACACCAGCTGACGAACGCACGGAGATTAATTTACATGACGTCAATGAAGGTGAAAACATGCTGTTGCTAGTGAGATTTCTCTGAAAAGCCCACGCGATATGCCCATCCTGAAGTTGAGATGATTTACAGAGCGTAAAAATTTTACCGAAAAGAATGCTGTCGACAGTTTTACAAAACGCCATGAATATAATTTACGCCACTGGATGTGCTAAACTAGAAGAATTTGCAATTTTCACTTGTTTTCTACCGAGGGTAGACGAATTATTTGGAAAGCTCTTAAGAAGTACAGTATTGACAGACAGGCCTTAAACTTTTTTTTATTATAGAAAATTTCAAAGTTGAGGAAGTAATGAGTATAAGTAAACCGTGGGAATTAAGTGACTATTTATGTATAGCAAATAATTAAATGTCATATGTAGTACAAAAAAGGATTACCAACGTACGCAAATCAAATATCCTTGCGGTTTCGAAAGAAAAAGCTTAAAGCTTGCTGACATACGTCATTTATACGTTGAAGATAGCATGATAACAGAACAAAGGGGACAAAATCATCACAAATTTTGTTACATTGCTCATGAATTTAACTTTTTTATAGGCATGATCACACCGGCACTTTATTTTATATCACATATCATATGATCACTTTTTTAGAGTATGTTTCATCACATATCAAGGAAGCAGAAAGAAAGACTGAACAAGCCTTTTTAAAAACAGAGTCAATGGTGCAAATTGAGCAGACCTTTGATTTGTTAGCCCTTGGATTAACTCAGTGCTTGTTGAACAGCGCATTTCTTCAATGACAACACAAAACAATAACTATCCAATTGATAAGTTCACTGAAAGCTGCTAATTCGATCTCTTATTCACTCTATGAGCAGTAATAAAAAATTGAAATTGCATTGCATTTTTACAGACGAAAAATTTTTTACACGAAATGTCCGAGCACAATTGAATAGAAACCAGCACGAACATATCTTTCAAATAATGACAACATAGGATGCAGTATTTTCATTTGCATTTGCACTCTTCATGATCTTATTTATACGCGTATCGCATGCTAAAGGACAATTATGATGGAATGAACTTGAAAGTTAAAACATAAAAACTGTTCTGCCTATGTTAATGAACATTAAAACACCCTTAGCCGTCTCTTAGTCAGAGGAAACTTGTACTTGTAGCCACGTAGTGTTTGTTTCTAAATGTGTAAGAAGTACACATTATATATATAAATTATAATCACTCAAATACAACGAAAAAGTCGTAATTAAGACTTTTATACTCATTTCAATATTAGATTTGAACGTGTTCTACATTTGTTAAAATATTAAGATTGCAAATAACAAAAAATAATGAAAAGTCTAGTATAATGTATAAACATAAATAGTCCAGATCAAAGATGTCTGTAATTCACAGAGTTTGACGTTAATTGTTGGGCAATGTTTCTTATTAAACAGTCAATAAAATGCTAAGTACTTTCAAAAGTTTTTAGCCGTTACAGTTTTAAGCCCTGTAACGAACCGCGCGTGTTCTAAAGTCTACATTAAATTTGTAATCTTCTTCATTTCACTGCTACCTAAGGATTAAGCAGTACAAATACATTAGCAGAGCTGGCCTGTAACGATGTAACTAACTTATCTGGAAGATAAATCACAGTGTCGGATCTCTGACGTATAACAGGACAGTAATTCTTATTCATAGGTCAATAAAATGCTAATAACTTTCAAAAGTTCGTGTTTGGTACAATATTTTAGCGCTGTAACGGTCCTTAAAGGAACAAGGCACATTGTTCAATGTACTGTACAATGATCTCATTTTCCCTGTATTAACAGCGTTGTCATGAATAACTTTTTTTGGGGCGGAATTTCTCTATATAAATACCATGCATCGACAGTCGATGTACACAAGCACGAATATTGCAAGCAAAAGGTTCTCAAAAACAAGAATTATCAGGGTAAAGAAAAAAAACCTCTTAAAATGGTAAGTGAACATTTATAAAAAACATTGGGAAAAGAAAATGAATAGCGAAAAAAGTTTAAAAATGAGTAGCTACTAAAAAAATTGCTTCGAAAATAATTTTCATTGGTCTCTTTCTTACATTAAAAAGGTCACTTTATCCTAAATTCGACTTTTAAATTCATCTTCTGAATGGAGAAAGCCTTTATGAAAGCTTAAAAACTCGAAAACTTAAGGAAATAGTATATTAAAAAAGTATTAGTTTTTGAACTGACATCGCATTTTTGTCTTTATACCGAATGAGTTTCCTAACTAAAACAATGGTTAATGACTTTTGGGAAAGTAATGGCTTGATTTAATTTCCATAATAATTTTTTTAATTTACAAAAATATTGTTTTAATTTACAAAATAATATGAATAGAATATCTACAAAGTATACCATTCAGAATATGCGTGCAAAGTCGTGCAAATTTTCAGCTTTATTGCCACATTTCATATTAATTATGTACACAGTTAGATATTATCAAAGCCTATAATCCATCACAAATAATTAACCACCGAGTTCCATATCAATGACGCCGAATAAGTTTACATACGTCAAAAAACAATGCATTAATTGCGTAACAACACAAACCGACCTATTTTGTAGCCTTAATCTCGAAACGATTTTTCTCATTGCTCTTTTAATGGCTTTGCTATATCCCAGTAAGACGAAAAAGAAAATTTTTTAAGTAAGTTGTAAACGATCTGGTGTTTTACAACATGGCTGGTATAATTTTAAATTTATGGCTACTTCGGTAATCAAATATGAAAAGAAATAAACACTAGGATTTCCAACTCGTGACGGAGCTAAATAGGAATTGAATATCAAGTTTTATTTGAGCAAAAGAAATTTTGAAAAAGCTTGTTGAATATTTGCTACTTTGAAGAACTGGTCACACTGCTTGTAGACTCAGAACTCAACTATTGATGCATACTTTTGTCTTTATAGAAAACAAATTGTTTTATCTTATTTTTGGTCGTCATTCTGTCGATGATGAGGATAGAGTGCATGCCACGATTGAGAAGATCGTCTATCTCATCTTGCGTACAAGCAAAAAACACGATAGATAAGCCTGGATTCACTCCTAGAATTCTACAAAATTATACATGTAAAGAAAATCCAGACTGCTATCCGGTGAAAACCACTGTTCAAGCGACAAGTTCAAGTCAGACAGAAAAACTCTCGTTGACCGTAGCTTGCTTGCAGCGAGTTAGTTGTGTAGGTAAAAAAAATATGAAGGTTGAGCAAAAAAGGATTGGTAGCAAAAGTAACGGGAAAATAATCCATCTCATCAAATGTGATCCTGGAAGTGAAATTTCTGTGATGGTTCCAAAGATTTCTCCAGGACAAGTGAAATTTAAGAAGGTCGTGTACGACTGTCAGTGCCCATGTGAATGATACAAACATTTTCCGTATTTAGATATTTATACTTACGTATACCTAAGTAAATCCTCTATATTTTATATTTATTATTATTACACAATGCTTATAGTATATCGGAAATAGGAAATTAAATGTGTTATAGTAATTACTTATTTAATAGATTTTGATATAATATAGATATAGATATAATATTCAATAAGTTGAATAAAGTGAGTAAAGATATCATTTGATGCAGTTTGAATATGTCAGAATCTTTTCCAATTCCCAAACACAAGGTACACAATTTAAATCTTCTCTAAAATTTGCACACGTTGCAGCTGATGCTAAACGGTCAGAAACCCATGCTCACAGCGTTTGTGTCTACTTTTTGTCTACTTTCGATTTTGCTTTTGTATTTAATCAGGTTGCTAATAAGTGCCTAATTTTTTTTTATCCTTCGTATGTTCTTAATTTTATGATAACGTTAATAACGAGCCAATTTCAGTATCTACTGTATTCTGTAGTGATGGATTACTGTCTTCATTTGAATTTCAGTCTTCTTTTGTCTTAATTAGCTACTAATGAGCCATTTTCTTTTAAGAAATGACAATTTTTTCAAATGTTTTCTCTTATGAGACAAAAACCTTATGAAATTTTGTCTCTTATGAAATGAGAACTTTTTGCAATGATGAATTTTTAAAATGACAGATTTTCGAAATGACGTTTCATATGAAACAGTGACATTTTGAAATGCTTATGCTGACTTAAATACTACATAACTTAACTATCACGCACAGAATGACTTAATTCATTGACCTTTCTTGGGGCTTTTTCCTCAAAACCTTACAAACTCGGACATTGTGTTACTCTGCGTTAAAATTTTCCTGTAAATTGCAATAAACGAAGGATTGTGGAGACCTTGTCACCACGTAGACCAATAAAATTGTAAATTTGCATCATTTGGAAAATTCAATAAGAAATTTGTAACACCCAGCAAGCAATAATAAGCTGATAATATTTTTTACTAGAAGTATTAACATGAGAACAATATTTTTCTCTTTAGTTACCTTTCTGTCTTTTTGAACAATTGACCAGGGTCCCAAGTCCTGGAGACATTTCTTGCAAGTTGTGAGCATGTGAGGGGAAAGGAAAAATGGCATTGTGATGGCACAGTGTACATTAATTAATACGCGCCTTTTTAACTATGGTGTTTCTACGCAATTATAGAATGATTGAAGTTATTCGTGAGTGCATTCAAGTTTTGTCTTATGTATTGCAGCACAAGCTAATCTATTCAATATCATCTACAGAAGAAATTATCTAATATTAAACAAGTACGAATAGTTTTCGTGTTTGGATGATCATCGGATGTCCTAAACATAGCCTCTTGTATACGGAGGACGTCTTATATACATGTACGTTACGCGTACCTAGTCTTCGACCGTGCTAAAGTTAGCTAGTACCCAGTCTTACCCATAAATCTAACTTTGCTTTGTTTGGAGGTTTGGAGCACTGTTGGGACTTCGGAGCATCGGATTATCATTTCGAAAAGTTGTCCGTTACTATGTTACTATGTGATAATTTGGCTCTGGTACCTGTTATTCAATTTTTGATCTCTGAAAGAAACTTTTGTAGGTATGTGGAAATGCAAATGCAAACTCGAACTTGATATGATGAATATTGATCTACTCATCAGAAGTACAATAGAATCTCATTACATTTTATGTAAACAGTGAAATTTTTTCTCGACTACAATATTTGCGAATAATTTAACATTTCGAATGTTGTTTGAATTGATTAAGGGCTTCATAAGCGTTCGTTTTTTTTCAATATTTCAGGAAGGATAAATTTGACCATCCACCATTTTATTTCTGATTTCATTTCAACTTTAAATACAATGGCATTTATCCATTTGATAAAGATGGAAGTGATGGGCCCACTAATTATTTACGGAAGCTGTATTCTCTTTTACTTGCATATCTTGAAGTTTTTGAAGTTTAGTATTGGTTTGTATGTTCTGGAAATGGCAAGTTTTTGGCCTGTGTGGATTGTTGTGTTTCATCTTATGACATTCTTGATCATAGCAAGCAACAATGTTTTGTCATTTACAAATGCTGACTTCGGAATCGAGTATTGTTTACCCACAACAAGTGAGATCCTGGTCGATGTATTGTTCTATGCTGCAGGTGCATTGAGTGTTTTAAATTTATTTCTGTTTTGGTTAACATACTGTATTGATTTGGAGATGATCATACCAGAAACAGTTGACTTGCACTTTTATCATCTTCATATGTTACACACACTGCCATTGGTCATTATATTGATGGCATTCAGTATACATGATCGTATCTTCACAAAATCCGGAAAAGAAACAAAACTGCATATTGTGTTGTCTACAGCGAGGAAAATGACTGTTACACTTTGTGCATTATATATGGTTGTGATTTGGGTAGTATTTGAGATAAAAGGTGTATGGCCATATCCTTTTATGTTTTCATTTAATCGTGGGGATTTTTTAATATTGAGCTTATGTCTGGTGATATTATCTTATGTTTCATCAAAAATATTCCATTTCATTTATGTGAATATACAAGTTTTGAGATGATTTGGTTTCAATTTTTCTTTCTGCAGCATCCATAGTTTTGTCGCACAATGAAGGCTCTGTGCAAAAAGTCATAGTCAAGCCTATAGTTAACTAATAGGTTTTTTGTTTCCAGCAGTTTGAACTTTGAAGGGATAGCAACCATGTTATTGTTATACCAGGACTATACGGGCTAAAGTAGAAAGTACTCAATGTCAAGGATATCTTTTTTGTTGCTATCAAACTTTGAAGGGATAGCAACCATGTTATTGTCATACCAGGGCTATACTGACTAAAGTAGAAAGTATTCTATGTCAGGGATATCTTTTTTGACTGGACTGAACTGGACTTGATATAAAGTTATGTAAATTGCTTTGTTTGCTTTTACTCTCCTTGCTCTGTTTTGTTGGCAAAACTAAAATATTTTACAAATACAAGCTTGAGCATGGAGATGCAATTTTTTAAATCGCCGTATTGCCTAATTAAAGACTACTATCTGTGACCACTTTTTGTGTTCAACGGAGCAACACGTGAGGGCAATTGCCACTGTACCTTTCAGCTGTTAGAAACATGCTGCCGTTGTATTTTGCATACAACAACACGTGAAGGCAATTGTCACTGTACCTTTCAGCTGTTAGAAACATGCTGCCGTTGTATTTTGCATACAACAACACGTGAGGGCAATTGCCACTGTACCTTTCAGCTGTTAGAAACATGCTGCCGTTGTATTTTGCATACAACAACACGTGAGGGCAATTGCCACTGTACCTTTCAGCTGTTAGAAACATGCTGCCGTTGTATTTTGCATACAACAACACGTGAAGGCAATTGCCACTGTACCTTTCAGCTGTTAGAAACATGCTGCCGTGGTATTTTGCATACAACAACACGTGAAGGCAATTGCTACTGTACTTTCAGCTGTTAGAAACATGCTGCCGTGGTATTTTGCATACAACAACACGTGAAGGCAATTGCTACTGTACTTTTCAGCTGTTAGAAACATGCTGCCGTGGTATTTTGCATACAGCAACACTTGAAGGCAATTGCTACTGTACTTTTCAGCTGTTAGAAACATGCTGCCGTGGTATTTTGCATACAACAACACGTGAAGGCAATTGCTACTGTACTTTCAGCTGTTAGAAACATGCTGCCGTGGTATTTTGCATACAACAACACGAAGGCAATTGCTACTGTACTTTTCAGCTGTTAGAAACATGCTGCCGTTGTATTTTGCATACAGCAACACGTGAGGGCAATTGCCACTGTACCTTTCAGCTGTTAGAAACATGCTGCCGTTGTATTTTGCATACAACAACACGTGAAGGCAATTGCCACTGTACCTTTCAGCTGTTAGAAACATGCTGCCGTTGTATTTTGCATACAACAACACGTGAAGGCAATTGCTACTGTACTTTTCAGCTGTTAGAAACATGCTGCCGTGGTATTTTGCATACAACAACACTTGAAGGCAATTGCTACTGTACTTTTCAGCTGTTAGAAACATGCTGCCGTGGTATTTTGCATACAACAACACGTGAAGGCAATTGCCACTGTACCTTTCAGCTGTTAGAAACATGCTGCCGTGGTATTTTGCATACAACAACACGTGAAGGCAATTGTCACTGCACCTTTCAGCTGTTAGAAACATGCTGCCGTGGGCAAAACGTGAAGGCAATTGCCACTGTACCTTTCAGCTGTTAGAAACATGCTGCCGTGGTATTTTGCATACAACAACACGTGAAGGCAATTGCCACTGTACTTTTCAGCTGTTAGAAACATGCTGCCGTGGTATTTTGCATACAACAACACGTGAAGGCAATTGTCACTGCACCTTTCAGCTGTTAGAAACATGCTGCCGTGGTATTTTGCATACAACAACACGTTTAGGCAATTGTCACTGCACCTTTCAGCTGTTAGAAACATGCTGCCGTGGGCAAAACGTGAAGGCAATTGCCACTGTACCTTTCAGCTGTTAGAAACATGCTGCCGTTTTTGCATACAACAACACGTGAAGGCAATTGCCACTGTACTTTCAGCTGTTAGAAACATGCTGCCGTGGTATTTTGCATACAACAACACGTGAAGGCAATTGTCACTGCACCTTTCAGCTGTTAGAAACATGCTGCCGTGGTATTTTGCATACAACAACACGTGAAGGCAATTGTCACTGCACCTTTCAGCTGTTAGAAACATGCTGCCGTGGTATTTTGCATACGACAACACGTGAAGGCAATTGTCACTGCATCTTTCAGCTGTTAGAAACATGCTGCCGTGGTATTTTGCATACAACGGAATACATTACTGCCGCTACCTAACAGCATATTACCTAGAAATGTGATCTGCCCAAGACTCATCCAAACGTTCACCGGTTCACGAGAAATTTGTGTCAGGAGAATTTTAACAAAGGCAAAACAGTCATGGTTTCTTTCAAATTGAAAGCAATCTTGCAATAGAGCGAACGTGCAACCGAGACTCAAAACTAAAGGAGGATTAACTGGATTTACCCAGAAAAAAGGAGCAGTACACATATGGATCCTTTCTCAACCAGCCAGAGCTGCCATAACCAATGAGTGCAAGATAATGGCAGGTAAAAGTTTCGACCCTAAAACCAGATAAGAACTTGATGACGCTAGAATAGCACGTGATGAAAATGATATCCAGAAGTTGATTGCCACAATGGAGGCAATGTTCAATCCATTCCGGGAAGAAGAGTCTGAATTATTACACCTATCGTCCGGAGTCATTGCGGAGGAAGCGATTTCGGCAGATCTACTGCGAGCAAAAGATGTTGGCGAAAAAGCCTGTCTGGAGTTTATCAAGAAAAGACTTAAAAAAAAATGTGTAAAGTTTTCAGAGCTATTGAAGAAAAGAAAAGTTTTGACTTTTGGCACAGTGGGACAGAAAAAAAAAACAAAGCTGCAGGACGAGATATTACTTTCAAAGCAAACAAAAAACGTTTTGCTGAACTTATCTTGGCAGGAAGTACGCGAAAGATCCAGTTGGACGAAATGCTTAAATATAATTCGGCCATAAATTACCACTGGCAATTTTTTCAATCCACGACACCATTGTGAAAACGAATAAAGCAAATATTTTTCACCATATCGAAAGTTTAGTGGAGGATCCTCTTTGCCAGAAGATGGCCGTGTCTCAATTCTTGATGGAATGGCTATTATATAACTGCTTAAACTTTGTGAAGTTGCAAGTTTTGGGGAATTAGCTCACCATATTTGCTGAGATTATTGCTTTTGCCGTACGAAATCGCAGCCAAGAAGAACATTTCGTTTTAAGGAGTCTGAGCGTAGTTGTAGAGCAGCTACAGGAAATCAACGAATTCATATCTATTCCGGGAATCAAACAGTTCGAAAGCAATGGAGAAAATTTCTGGCCAATGGACCAAACAAGGAAAATTTAGTTGCTTCCTTATTCGAAGAATGGTTTAAATACTCGCCAGCTAGTTATGAGGGAATTACCGTCTTTCTTGCTCACGGTCAAGTATGCCATGCTCTTCGTACAGCTGAAGATGAAGTAATAGCAGCGCCTGTACCAAATCTGAGATGTGATCACGAAGAAGCCGACACAAGGATGTTTCTTCATCCTCATTACGCAGCCGATCATGCTTAAATCGTTTGTAATTAAAGGTGCAGACACAGATGTTTTCACAATTTGTCTTGCAATGTTCAAACATTCTTCGTCTCACTTACTGTTTCACACTGGAAGTGCAGCGAAGATACGAACAATTGATGTGCAGTTAGTACGCAAACAGTTGGGTTATGACGTTTCCCATGCAATGCTTGGATTTCATGCTCATACTATACCTAAGTTAACGGTCTGCCTAATTATACATATAAAATCACGAAGGACGAAAATTTCAGCTTGGAGTATTGAGGAGAAAAAAGACAGATTCCGTGAAAAGAGAAGTATTTTACAAACAAAATATTTCCGAAATTATGGTCACATTTACAATAATGAAATAAAACGTTTGTTTATATAGGGAGTTCAAATTTCACATCAACCGAAACTTGTTTCGCCAACTCCACGATGTTTGACAAACGCGCAGCCTGCAAAAAAGCACGTAAGTCTGAATTCCTAAGAAAAGAAGTAATAGTCAATGGTTGCTTCATTCAATCAAATATTAAATACCATTTTAGCAGCTTCTTCCAAATTATCAACGGCCAAAATACGAAGATCGCTGGTTGTGAAGATTGCTTTTGCATCCTCTACACGCGTTCCTAAAAAGAAGAAAACATTAATTTTGGAAAAATTCTTGGAACTATATATTTGGATGCAAAATTGCCATCATTCGCCCTCATTAAGCCGCAATGACATGTGATCCGAATTTAATAAGCCTATAAATTCTCTCTGTACAATGATGAACTTGCGAAATCCTCTCATCAATGTACATAACGCTACCTTGAAGTCTGACTACAATAGGAATATTAAGCTCAAGTTGATTAGCGGCAGCTACGATTCCTTCAGCAATGACATCACATCGCATGATTCCACCAAATATGTTCACGAGAATGGCGTGCACCTGTTCAATAAATAAGCATGTATGCTACTCAAACACAGAATTAACATACAAGAGAAGATTATTTAGGAAACGAACATATATGTCCTTATAATTATGATTCTTGAAGCATTCTTTTGGGTTATAAAGAGATCGCATCTTCCATACTTTTGGATATGAAGATTTTGAAGAAAATGCATTCAATCCTCGAGAAATGCAACAAACGCGTGATGTTTGGTTTGGCTAACAAACCATGAAATTACCTTCGAGTCAGCAGTGATTAGCTTGAAAGCTTCTGAAACTTGCTTGGCAGTTGCGCCCCCACCGACATCAAGAAAATTAGCAGGTTCGGCACCGTGTAGTTTGATGATATCCATAGTGGCCATTGCAAGCCCAGCACCGTTTACTGTGCAGCAAATAAATATGAAAGTTGCATTAAAATCAGCCATCGTAGTTGCGCCGAAGAAAAAGTAAAATTCACAAACGCCGATCAAAAGTGAACAACAACAACACAAAAAAAAAACACATGGTTACAATCAATTGAACAACGGGATCAATTATTTTGATAAAAAAAATAGTGATCGCTAACCTAGGCATCCAATACTTCCATCGAGGCCAATGTAGTTGAGATTAAAGGAAGCCGCTTCCACTTCTCGCTCATCCTCTTGGGTCCAGTCTCGTTTTTGGAAAACATCGTCTTGACGAAAGCTGGCGTTGTCGTCGAAGTTAAGTTTTGCATCCATACAAACAACTAGACGGAAAGTTGCAAAGGTTAACATCTTTCATGAATATCCGAAGCGACAAAAGAAATTTTAACGAAAAATTTTCATCTTCTTGAACTCTGAAAGTAATCAGATTCGCTCGGAAAATACTGGGTGCATTCCTTCTCTACCTAAAATTTGCATCGATATTCATCATCAAAATAAACTACGGTTTCAACCGCATTCTACGCGAGCACATTCGCTTTGCTGATCGCACCAAAAAATATATAAAAAGAAATAAAAGAGCAATTATGCTAATCTAAAATTAAAAAAGATTAAAATAAAAAGTAATTATTATAAAATCGCTACTACTAGGCTGGCTACGCTACTGTCAGCAAGAGTGCATGGCGGTCCACGACCATACATGTATAGGCTGGCTACGTCACTGTCAGCAAGAGTGCATGACGGTCCACGACCATACATGTGTAGGCTGGCTACGTCACTGCCAGCAAGAGTGCATGACGGTCCACGACCATACATGTATAGGCTGGCTACGCCACTAAGGTATTATGTTTACACTGCATGACGGTCCACGACCATACATGTAGGTTGGCTACGCCACTGCCAGCAAGAGTTTTTCAGCCTTAAATGACACCTACCCCTGCCAAGAGAATCCTCAGCCATAGGATTTATTTCGATCAACAAAGCGTCTTTATCGATGAAGATTTGGTAAAGTTTCATCATTGCATCGGCTGCAGCAGGCACGCAACTCTCAGAGAAGCCCATTGTTCGTGCAAATTTCGAAGCTTGTTCCAGACTAAGGCCTAAAACGAAATTGTTCAAATGCACATGTCAATAGACTTTCGAGTTTTTAGTTATCATTCTCTTTTTTACAATACGCAAAATCAATTCCTAGTCCAATCTCCCAATATAGCCTTATGCCATAAGATTAGGATAGGGTACATTGGGTAGCGTAGATTAGGATAGCGTACAGATAGGGATAGATGGAGATAGCGTAGATGACGATAGCGTGCAGTGTTAACGTTACGGATCAATTTCGCAAACTCGTAGAGCACAAAATTATTAGCGATTTTTGCCGGCGTTAGTATCTACCTAGAAATGACAAGTATTTATGATTGATTTGAAATAAAAAAAAGGACAATGTAGTACAAAAATACAATACGCTACAGGAATCTGGAATGATAAATCTAAAGATCGCTTCCGTCTTATTGACCCATTGGGAAAGTAAACTTCTAGATGTATTGCTTTTGAGAAGTGTTTGATTGACGCAAAAGTATAGTATATAAAAAAGTCGATGGTTATTGGTCATAGAATTTATAGAGTGCTGAAAATATAATCATGAAAAGCGTTTTAAAACAGTTATCTTGATCTTTTCATGAAGGGAAGCACACTTTTCATTTTGCTTCGCTGTACAACAGTTTTATTTCCACACCTTTAAAGATGTCAACAGGCTCCTTAAATATTGCTTCAGGATGTTCTGCAGCAACCTTCTCGATATCGACCCCACCTTGATGACTTCCAACCAAAACTGGTCCCTAAGTAGTCGAAATGTGCGACTTGAGTGGAAGATTGAAATTGATTATTTTGTTTTTACACAATGGCAACCATTTATCAAACAAGACTCCAGAAAAGACGAACACTTGACGGTATAAGTGGTGTGAAACCAATCCCCAGGTATAATAATATAATAATCTTTATTGACGATGCTAACATCACTAAAAAGTGGTTTACAGAGGGGTCCTCTAGATAGTAAAAAACAGTGGGGTTACAGAGGGGTCCTCTAGATAGTAAAAGAACAGTGGAGTTTACCCCATATCATATCAGATGATATTTGTGTTGCAAATAAGAAAAGTCCTTTGTAAAAATCATCCAACATGACGGATATGACGTAACTTACACACCAAACTACTTGCTTGAGGGTAGGAATGAGGTTAATGAAGTTAGTCAGCTAGCGTTGAGAGTGTCTTACCATGAAAGATCTTTCCATGGTTATCGCAAAGTAATATTCTCTTCTTGAATAAAGTCGTTCACAAATCAAAACCTAAATAAAGAGTGATTTCTGGCGTTGACTTTACAAAACTCGACGTAACACGACGGAAATACGTAGAGATATTATTAAGATCCAGCTATTTGGAATATACATACCTTATTACAGATTCTTCCCTTTTCTCCAGTTTGCTTGGTGAAAAGTTTTTTTCCAAGCATTCTTGACGCAAATTCTTTGCATTCCTCTGGGCTTTATTGAAAGAGAAACTAGTCAACTGAACAAAGTCATGTAAAAAATGAATGCAATAAAATGATTCCCCGCAACGACCGTTCTTTCAAACTTATCTCCGACTCTATAATTCTATAGACTTCATGAGGTTACTGATGACTAGTTATGCGCAGATCAATCAAACAATTAATTGGTCATCAGCTGCGACAAAGCGATCCGTTTAAATTTTTATGGTAGCACTAATCATTGCGGCATGGCCATTTCTAAGATAGCGAAAAATCGCAGTGTACATTGTGACCCTTGGTTTAATGAGAACGTTACTTCAAACTCAAAGAAACTCAAACTTCTAACAAAACGTCAAAAATAAAAAAATCAATCTTTTACCTTCACTAAATCTTCAGTCACGAAAAGAAACAGGCTTATACATCTTATGGATCTTAATCTCAATCTGACTTAAAGTGCCTATATGACCCTCCGGGAAATAATCAAGATAGATAGAATGGACGATTTTAAGAACATTTGCAATATATTGTATAAGACGAAAATTTGATCTTCCTTGACTTTTTGAGCCTCAAAGTTGGCTTTTTTCGTGTTTGACCGTGAGGTGCTGCGACCGGGTCTAGTTCACCGGGCGTGACGTACATTAGAGAACACGCTGCTTGTTAACGCTATAAAACTATAGTGTAAATAAAATAATAAAGTGCACGATAAAACACTAAATTAATAGAACTAGACCCAGTCGCAGCACCTCGTGGCCAAACACGAAAAAAGTCAACTTTGAGGCTCAAAAAGTCAAGGAAAATCAACTTTTCGCCTTCCAAAATATATTGCAAATGTTCTTAAAATAGTCAACTCTATCTAAATAGATTATTTTCTTGAGAGTGATATTTGCACTTTGAAATTGATTATTGACTATAAGCTGATGAACAGACAAGGCTTCAACATACATTATTTCATGTAGCATTTTTCTTTTTCTAATGTAACAATCTACATGGTTTATACTTTATTGGTAGTTAGTTTCAAATTGGTGTTTTGTTATCATTGTATATCTGTCACAAATGAGAGTACCTGAACACAATTCTGACACCACCATGGAGCCCTCCTTCAAACGTGCCTTTTCCTCTACCACCGGCAAGAACTTGTGCCTTGAGGACAAGATCTTCAGCTCCTGCATACGTACCACATACAATAAGCATGAAAGTATTTGTTCAAATTGTACAAGAAACTGCAGATTTGACCATTTTCACTGCATAGACAAAATAAATAAAAATACCAAAATGTTGATGGTTTTTTGTTTTTTGATAAGATTGTTGAGGTACCAATATAGAATGTAACCAAACTGCTCATGAGAAAATAATATTTTATACTTCACCATAGCCTACATCATAGACACATACTTATCATATGGGTCTATGCAATAAGGAAAAAAATGCCTCTGTATACTTATAGAAGCTTACAGGAAGGGCTTTCAACTCAGTTTCAATATCATGATTTGCAAAATTTTTTGGTAGAAAGAACTTTATTGCACAAATTACAAGCAAAATATACGAAAGACAACCATTGGGCTACAGCTTTTCAAATCAGATATTTTCAAATTGAAAGTACAAAGTTACTTAATTTTGAATATAGCAATATAATTTGTGCTACAGCTCAAATGAACGTGACGTTTGCTAGGGCAAATGTATTTTTGGAGTAAAGTTAGGGATATAATGAGATATGATAATGTTCAAAGGCACCACATCACTTATAAATACATTTATCTGTGAAAGCTAGTTTCAACAAAAACAAAATTACCTATTGTGGTAATTGTACAAATATAAAACATAATAAGATTAAAGCTATGTAAAAAAGCAAACTGCTGCAAATGAGCATGTACTGAGTATGGCATTCTCAACATTTCACTCATTGAGTGAAACATACCTACATACCTAGCGGTATATGAAAGGGAAAGGCAAGCTGAAAGTTTATATTAAATAATTATGTTAATTTATGTAAAACAAAAATGTTCACTGATGTTTTAACTATAATAAAGCAATAAATACGGAAATTACCAATTGTATCTGCAATCTCATAAGCTTGTTGTGGTGTCTCCGCAACCCCCCCTTTTGGTGTCAGCACACCTGCATCGTCAAGAAGTTGTATACTTTGATATTCATGTAGTGACAAATGTCGAGTATAGTCATGTACAGTCCCAACAGCTTTGACCTAGTAGTGATAACCAACTTAATAATGCTGAAAGATTAAATTGTGAATAAAATAATAACTGCACAAACCCTCGACAAAAGAAGCTGCTTTGCTTGTCTTGACGCAAGACGATACAACTGTCGTATCGCGAGCGCCATGATTGAAGATGGAGTCTTCGGAGTAAACCGGAATACTGTCGGAATTTCCCGGCTTAGTTTGCATAAGAAGAGTCAGAGGTGAAAATGGATGATACATGATATATCGTCGTCAGTGTTGCCAGATCGTGAGCTTTTTGCTCGCTTAATGAACGTTTCATGAGCATTAAAAGTTTGCAAACTTTTTGCGAATTTTTCAAAATTTAATGAATTTTTGTATTTTCATCATATTCATAAAGAAAGTATAGATAAATCATAGTTCAATGAAAGAACAATCTTCATAGCTCGACAATTTATTCAAAACAACGACGATTTTCAAGATAATCCGATGTTTTCTGGTAATTTCTGGTAATTTCTGAGGATTGTCACAGATACTACGAGTTGCGTAACAGTGATGATGAGTTTGATGTGCATTTGTCAAAACAAGCTTAAGAAGACAAACAGCATGGCAAAAACATACCGATTATATAGAGTAATTAGCTCGTTCAGTCACTAATTTTCAGATAAATCATCTGCGCATGCGCAGTTGGCTTAAGCATGTGCAGTCGACTTGACCAGCTGCACAAGTTCATGGTCATGGCAACGACCATGTACACCTACCAGCACCGATTTTAAAGTAAATAGCATGCTTAGTAACAATTTAATAGAAATCATCTGCGCATGCGCTCGAGCATGCGCAGTCCACTTGACTAATTGTTCATAGTCATGACAACGACTAACTATATGTACTTGAATTACATTTGTGGCAATTACCTCGATTAGTCACAAATTATCAAAGAAATCATCTGAGCATGCGCAGTAGTGACTTTAATAATACCATAACTTTCGTAAGCCTTTGAATTTATGTATATATATATATAAAGCCAATATTAGGTATAGTAGATGTCAACTAGCAGTGGAAGCTGGGTGCGATATAGTATGCAGTGGCGATATAGTACGCAACGACGTAAGATCTACTGTGCGACACGTCGCGCGACGCTTGTCGCGCGCAGCATAAATCGGCCTTTAGGGGCCCAGACTTCGGTCGCGACCGCACTCTCCCTACGTACCCCGAGCAAAGCCTATCGCAGGTGATCTCGGGGTCTGATGGGCGGAAGCCTGCTATTGCATCTCCCAAGTAGGATAGCGTGGAAGGGCCGAAATCTCCTACCGAAACGTTAACATGCGGCGTTCTAGTGCCTTACGCTTAAGAAGGTATCGGGAAGCATGGACCGAAAACGGGGTTTTTTGCTTTCGAATTTTATTTTTTTGTTTATTTTACAAGACTTTTAAAATTTGTCTTTTTTCTTTACAAGAATTCTTCTCATAAAAGAAACTAGAACATCCGAGGATACTGCAAAGGTTCAAACAACTTTTGCCTTTTTGACTTATAATTTATTACTTGTTTCCTTTTACAATGAAACTTTCTCACAATTCTCGTGTGATGAACGACAGCCTCCTTACACAATATATCTCTCTCATAATGAACGAAAGCATCCACGGGCTTCATGGAAAAAAGGGATTATCTACTTTTTTATAATAGTTTCTACAAAGATAACATTTAATAAACCGAACAATTTGTATCGTCTAAATTGAACCTCGCTTTCAACCCTTATGTTATAAAATTTTGATTCATTTTGGATAGTGGATTTTTTTACCTTACGTTATTTTTATGATTCAAGCTAGAAAGTAACTTCTCTTCCCGAGTAACTTTGCGATTAAACAGCACACTTTTGAAAGGAATTCTTTTGATCGCATAGCATAGAGATAGCCGTCCAATTTATTACGTACCTAAGCGTATATAAAGCAATTCCAAATCACGTACAAAATTTCCTTCACATAACCAATTTACCGTCTATTTAAACAATGTATGTAATAAAAAGTTACCGCCTTGACAAGTGAAGCAAACCCTTCTTTTTCAAAGCGTTTGCAACACCTCAGATTTATTCCAAAATCTTGAATTTCTCGCTGCGTAGCCGAAAGAAATAGGCGTCAAATCAGGATACTCAACTCCATCATCACAGCCATTTTGATTTCTTCCTTGATCCTTTTCAGCATCAACCTTATCTGAAGTGATGTTATGGCTTAAACCGTGCGACATGGGATTTGGAGAGATAAATGGATTTCAAGAAGGTGCTGTGCCTTAGCATTGGTTATCGTTCTCCGGATATAGACATCTATACAATGTATATGACATTAAAAGACAGTAGCTATAAATTCTTCGTCACTTTGATGCTTGTGTTTCATCAAGATTTTTATATTTTCACGCTGTGAGTGGAAGTTTTCAAGCATGGCAGAATACACTTTGAATCTTCTTGCAAATCTCTTGTGGTGATTGCTTCCTCTTCACTTTCGAAATCAGGTTTCTAGTCCTAAAGGAAAGACGCTGGTCGCTATTTTTACACATCTTCAACAACATCATGAACAATTCCCACCAATGTATACCACGTGAGACAATAAACTTCCAAACTGTATATGTGATACAGCGATATTTCTTTTGAATATATCTTCAGTAGATTCGGTGTTATTAATGGATTGTTTTTGTATTGGAACCTCGTTCTCGTTAGAGCTTTTATTGTCGTCGAAATGCTTGGAATCATTCGTGTTTCCTTTGGTCTACGAGCCCTCATCCAAAACTCTCGAGCGTACGCTAGGTGCTTCATCTACGTTCAATTTCATCACGTCATCTTCAATCTGGCGTCGTTTTTTCTCCTCTGTCATGCTAGATTTTGTTTAACTGTTGGAAGTCTCATTTTAAATTATTTTTTCTTCGTCAATCCACGAATATAATATCTCTCATAATAATTGGGTAATTGTGAAGAAAAATGGGCTAAGCTTCTTGTGCAAAATAATTGAATTCTGATATTTTAAAGATACGATAAGAATCTGCAGGCTGTTCAGTGAGGCAGCTGCTTGCAAGTTGGTCATCCATTTTAAATTTTAACCATTTCTTTAGAATGTTTTACCGTAAGTGAATACTAAAATACACTGATGCTCTCTTGTATACATAAATGTTGATTTATATTTGTTCTACCTCAAGTATTTTCTAGCTCTCGAAAGAGTGAAAACAAAGACTCTGATTCTAACGCGCAGGTACTATTGCTTGGTACCTAGTTAGCAGCAAAAGTATATGAGGTACTTGAGGCATACTAACTTATGATATCTTGCTTTGTACTTAACCATTAATTCGATGCAGAGCAGGTTGTCATTTCCAATTGATCAAATTTTCATTATTACCATTTTACTTTACCCAATTCGGCACAGTGCTCCAAAATTCTCAAAAAAACTCGAGTTATTAGTCAATTGCTTTACTTTGTTATGCAATTGCCATATTGATTACCGCAATTTCGGGCAATTGCGAGCATTACATTCCACAGCAGATGAACTCATTAGCTATTCATCAAGAAAAGCTACATATGTACTGAGTTTTTATGCAAGATGTTCATTTTTGAAAAACAATATGAATTGCCTCCAGTTTCTGGTAATTGATACTTTAGAGAGCCCATGTTTATAGTATGTACAACCAATGACAACAACCTGGCCATTCTTCATACTTTGATTTGACAATTCAACAAGTTTCGTTTCATCGATTGTGTACAACAAGTCGGTTGCATAAAGCTTGGATAGCGTTATCCATTTGATGTTAAATTTTTTAAACTTATAAAAGTTGTTTATATTTTCATCACGAAAAAGAAATTTTATAATCTTAGAAGCAATATCTTATTTCAGTGATTGCTCTATTCAAACCTTATATTTTTCCTTGTTAGCTAAGAAGTTGTTTAGCTATTCAAAAAAAATTTACTATCCAATGGATAACGCTATCCATGCTTCGTGCAAACGGCCCCAGGTGTCATGCACTGCGCAAACTTTTTCATATTTCGCATCATCCCGTATAAACTTTGATGCCGATTTTTGAGGATTGAATATAAATTACTATATGTATTGGATAATTTTAGCCCAAAAATCGTAATCATGAACGTTATAGCGCACGATGAATGGCGGTTGGCAGTTGACTTTAGGCAGTCTGACTGGACTGTGTAGTGTTTTTTGGTTCCCCTCAATTAGTTTTGGTAATTTTAAGTCATTGATTTTTCCATACGTACGCTTTGCTGCTTTTCATGTAAACTTGCGAAATTAAGAAAAATGTTTCTAACTAGATAAACCACACCAAAATGGAGCAAGAATGTTTAACTATAAACGTTTTTTAATTAAGGCTCAAGATATTGCTAAATTCTTCTGCTAATAAATTTTGCGTTCAACCTGAACTAACTCCAAATAAGTTTGCAATGGACACAATTCATTTGTACTTTTCGTTTCATGCTTTACGATAATCATAAATGTGAAAGTTACTAAAAAGAAATGATGCAGTGATGTTTTGTCACAGGGTGAATTTAAAGAAAACATGCAGTCGATATGCACGATCAGTAGTAGATGAAATTTTAAATAAAAACTCTACAGATGCAAATTTTTTGATCGTTTAAAAGTATGATGCAGTTCAATCATCATTCGGGATGTATTTCATTACAGCTTCCTTGATGAATGCATCGCCCTCAGTTTCAGTCAGTTTGCTGCGTGCAGCTTGTTTACAAATGCGGTCAATCTGGTAGCGAAAATGAGGTTTAGGAGTTAGCAGTATATTCTTTATTGCATCCCCTAGTTTTTTGGGATTTGGCTTATTCATTGATGATCTGGTCGTATTCAGGCGATTATTGAACTTCTCATAGTAGTCAGTAGTGATGCTGTCCAACTCTGACGTATCGCTTCCAGTGCTTCCCATAGCCAATCGTAGAGCCTCGGCATTCTTGTCCGACTCGTTTGAAATATTTGTTTCCAAAATGGATACACTTCAAAAAAAGAAAAGTGGTGACGTTCAGTCGTCATGAGCATTGGCAAAGTTGGCAATTTAAATATTGTAAATCTAAAAGTCAAAACTGATTGTTCAAAGTATGCACGATTCTTCTAGTAATGTAGTAGCCAGTCGATTGGCTGATTTTCAACTATAAGATTTTAAAACTGGAAGTTTCATCAACTCTATATTTAATCAACAAGATATCTTCAGAATTTAGATAAACCTTCAGTAGGTTTTTCTTTACAAGCTGTTAGGAGGACTGAAATGTTCACGTAGATGGATTTATTGTTATATTGTTTCATGCATGTCCTTATTAGGATGAGCAAAAGTTCAAGTTGATGCATATTGCGCCTTTGCAGATGTTATCAGTCTTTGCATGATTTCTATTTTTACCTTCCTAATCAGGCTGCTCTTTATGTATCGATTAAGATATAACTGACGTGTTTGCTTTCCTACTTGATACAGAACAAACAATTCTTGTACGTTTACTTACTATATATTGAAAAGGTAACACTCGGGCGCCAACGACTCCAAGAGGCCATTAACAGCAAACTTCGTTGCACTGTAAGCGGAATGAAACGGTATCCCGACGATTCCAGCTAGAGTATTTGTCACCAAGATTTTACCAAAATTTTGTTTCTTAAATATAGGCATAGCCGAGCGAATTATTCTCGTAGTTGAATATACATTGTCTTCAAACAATGATTCAATTTGGCTATAGGTGTGTTCTTCGAGTGGACCAGCAAGGCGAATGTCAGACACAATCACTATAGAAAAGATGTTGCGGACATAACAACATGAAAGCGAAAATAACGATCATTTCACGTAAGATTTTACTGTTGAATTATGAGCTTGAGAATAATTATCTACATTTGTCACTTCACAGTTATAAAGAGCAAATAATTCTTTTTCTGTAGATTAACAATGTAGTTGCGCGTAGCTCAAATTAGCTGTCATTTCACAGAAATGACGAGCAAGTAATCTGATTGTTTCTGTAGATTAACAATCTAATTTGGCAAACCCCAAATTAGTTCTCACTTCACAGAAATGAAGAGCAAGCAATCTGATTGTTTTAGTAGAATCAAATAATCTGATCGCATATGTCCTACTAAACAAAATTCATAGTCGAAATCAATATTTTATGCAAATTGATAGAATCGTTATTCGAGGAATACATATAGCTAATAATGACGTAGCTATTTGCAACAATAGTAATCATCAAACGCGAAGAATTTTTTTCATTCACATAATTTTCAGCTTCATTTGAAGTAGCTTTTTCACGTGTCAGTTTGATACATAATGTTGATGCAGTGTTTTTCCTTTTTTGTCTTGCTTTCCAGAATGGTGAAAATAAAGTTTTACGGCACTTGATGTCAAGCTTTTACTGCGGTACACATTCTCGGATTCTCCTAGATCAGACCTATCAATGATTGTTGTGCAACGGAACGGATAACGTTACTAATGAGTGAAATAAAAGTGCACTTCATGGCCATCAAATTTTGTTACATCTAAAATAATTTTGTTGTCACCATGAAAGTTTAATTAAAAAATATGTGAGTTCTGTCACAATTTAATCAACATACAATTTTTAGTTTCAAAACAACGAGAAAGCCATTCGATGTATTCAGAAAAACTCGGTTTTTGCACGAAAGTTTGCGCTGGTGTCTATTACATATATGCAGGATTATTTAAAACTTCATTTTTCACCTCTTATGTTTTGGCCTATCACATGGAAATTATTCGATACTTATAACTCATCTTTGTTTTAACAGAGTTGGTATCACATCTTTTGCAAAGCCCAGCCTAGTTAGAAAGAAGCGTAAAGGTTGCAATGTTTTGTATAATCGTTCATATATTTATTTAGCACTTTGATGGCGATGACACCAATCCACCACCAAAAAGCTCGAAACAAAACGACCGTATTCCCATATTCCCATAATAAACGTTTTGTGCACCTTAAACAAATGCCCACGACGATGGCATAGAGTACAATGAGCACATCTGTTTCATGCAATTCTCAATCAATCATGCAACATCTTGTACTCACCAACAGCGTCTAAACGGCCTTCTTGTTCTTTTATTTCATTAATAACGCGCTGCGTGTCGCTTGTAACAGAGACGTTCATTTTCAGCATAAACAATGTCTTATTTAAACATTTCAAGATGCGCGTATCGTTGAGATTCTCTCCGCATGATAATGACGAAACAGCAACCAAGACTTTGAAGCGTTTTAAAGGATCCAGTGCAACTCGAGATGCGTATGATATCGCAAGCTTTTCGGAAGAACCTGTGAACAGCACTATCTGTTGACGACAGGAATGGCTGCTATCGTTTGCTGACCGTTGTACTGCAACTTGCATGGGTAGGCTCTTCAAAGCTCCCATTGCGCAAAACTTATATATAGACAGGCATAACCTTTAATAAATGTGTAATACGGGATGAATTTTATAGAGTACCACAGAACACCCTATTGATTTTATTTTTTTTGAATCACAGCGCGTCAGTATTTCAATGAACATTAGTTATACATGTATTGTCTCGCTCTAGCGTGACCAAGTGAAATCACGCAAGCAAATGGTCAGATTAGGATAGTCTACCGACTGGGTCCAATAATGCACGAAGAGATTATTGTATATTTAAGAACTAACAAAAATTGACAGCGCGATAAAAGTAGTTTTAATTGTCTTACCTATAACTGTGCGCACATTTTTGTGGAAGTTTCTGATTTAAAACATAACTTATTTAGAAGCTGTAAAAACCAACGTATTCCCTATATGATATCTCCTTCTTTCGATTCTCATATGTCCGCTTTAGTTTTGCTTCAACCAATTAGCCTTTTGTCGTGAATGTGTGTGTTTCATAGGTCAATGCGTGTGTACTGTTAAATATTTCCCATCAATTATCAGATGTTTCAAGGCGCAATAATGTGTGATGTATCTGTCAAAGCTATCAAAACTACCACAGCGCATAGCACCTTCATGCCTAGGTATCTCATATCGAGTTTCGTGTACATTTCTTTCGCTTGCCTATGTACAATTGCGGACACTCATTAATAGCGAAAAATCTTTTTGTGCTTCAAGAATCTTGAAAACAGACTGAGAATAAGTGCAAAGCGATCAACTTTATTGGATTCTGGATCAATTATCACGTCAGCAAAACAACACGACATATAAGATCATTATCTCAAACAGCATGATGGAAAAAATTTGCATTAACGGTATCTAAGGAGTGCCATGCATTTGCAGCTGTTCATGTTCTATTGACAATCAATTCATATTTTCCGAACGAACTTTCGTCTCGAAATTGATTACTACATCTTCATTATCACTTCAATCAGCAATCGATCCATAAATTTAATTGACAAACATTACTCCTTGGGAATGTAGAGTGGTGTGCCTCTGCGCACGTATGCATGTATGCCTTTCGTTGACACAATGTATTGAGGTTCAATTGTCAATCTGGGACACATTTCGTCTGTTATAAATGTGGCAATGATCGATCTCTCTTCTTGTTATCTCTTTTTAATTTTGCACATATTTATATGACAATAAAACTAATTCAGTCATCAACTAAGAAGGTCTTAAGTCTCTACTTTGCAAATTGTAAGGGAATTGGATTTCTTTGTATCTAGCGTAATTATATTTGTTGTCTGTGGCAGCGTAAAAATTAGATTAAAATGATCATGATGTCATGATGAGATTTCAAAAGGACCGCAGAAGGTTGATAAATGGAGGGCTCATATTGCTATATACACATATGCTATAATCGGTAATCTGAGCTGATTGCAATTTTCAAAATTTTCACTAGAAATTAATAACGTAGAACATGCATGTATGAATATCAGCCCCTCCCCATCCGTCTCTCGCGTTCCCTGTTTCAAGAAGAGTTTTACAAAAATCAGGAGGGAAAAGCTGATTGCAATTTTCAAAATTTTCACTAGAAACTAATAACGTAGAACATGCATGTATGAATATCAGCCCCTCCCTCCCTATCCGTCTTCCGCGTTCCCTGTTTCAAGAAGAGTTTTACAAAAATCAGGAGGGGAAAAGAGTGTTAAATTATATTACAATATGAATAGACATCGATGCCAAAAGTTGAATGTTTATCTCGTTGAGTTTTGTACGATTGGCAGGGCAATAGTAAAGTTCTGTAACGACCATTACACTTATGAACACGCTGGCTTATGATATGACGTTGACTTGCATTGCATGTTCAGATTATATTTTGTACTATAAACATGTACTATAAACTCATTCACTACCAGACTCAGTGCCTAAAGAGGAAAAGAAAAAGGTCAACTCAGGCACAGCATTTTTGTGGGAGTTGGACTTCAAACAGCCATTAGATTTTATTATTACAGTCAGTGTTCTAGTTATCACGATTTATTTCATCGGACCAGGATAACGTAAAGATCGAAGTAATGGTCACTCTATTTCGTTATTTATTCAACTGTTCATTATTTTATGGTTTGAAGCTTAGCATTACTCCCAAACTTTTATTCAGAAAAATACAAAACAATATTATTGTAAATAAATATGTTGGAAACAGTACTAAATACATACATAATATTTTTTCGTCAAAATATGGATTTTCAATTTCGACGATTAATATGTCGAAAATGAGATGAAGTATTTTTTAAGATACTGTCTAGAATTTAGAATATATTTTTTGAATATTTCGTTATCAATGTGGTAATCTGGGTGATCCTCCAACCATTTCGGCAGACTTATACTTGCAGAGACATCATATGAGCAATTAAAACGCTATTTACAATTTGATGATAGCAAAGTCAGGAAAACCAACTAGAGTCGAGAGACGATTCATTCAAAATTATTGGCTCTCTCTCTTCCAGTAAGTATATCATAATCACATCCTCCCTTTCATTCATAGGCGTACGGGCACATATTTTTAGGGGGAGCTGGACTAAATTTGCCCGAATTATATGACGTCATATGACGTATGACGTCATAGATATTCTTATGTTGTCTCTGGCCATCTCAATTAATAAGCTAAAATCATTACAATTTGCTAAGAGGATGCTACGAAAGTAACTACATTTTATTTGATATTTGAAATTTTGTCATATATAACACTAGACGCAGAAGAAATTTAGTTAGTTAAATGTGCGACGATCTAAGACTAAAAGAAATAAGATTTACGATTACGTCGCTGTCCAAAATGTTAATTATCTTTTCCATGTCGTTCTTTAAAGTACTATTTGCATAGGCTCTTTCCACATTGATTAGGGCAATGCTGTTTAACCGTTTTGACCAATTGTACTTCGAAGATAGGTTTTAAGCGACGAAGAGCGCTAAAAGATCTTTCTGCTGAGCAGGATGTTGCCGGGATCGCGGCCAGAATCGAAAATACTTTGTAAGCCACAGGCAGGACTTCATGAACACCATTTTCGAACATTCTCTTAACAATTTTGGCAGCGTTTCTCTCTCAGCACAAGGGAAATCAACGTCAATATTCTCAAAGACATTTTTCTCGCTACTAAGAAGCTCACTGTCGATACCATAGAAGTGTGATACCAACTCAACATTCGCCGTGGTTGGAGACCTGTTGAACACAATATCTGCAAGTGCCAATAGGACCTCTTGATCACTACCTTCAAATCTTGATTTCATCTCCGCCACAATCTTGTCAATGCTTAGGTAGTAGCATGTGATACGATAGTAATCTTTTTCTGTTCGATTTTCCACTTCTGCATTTACTTCAGCCATTTCACCGACGAGAGCTTGGAGCCGCCGTGACGGCTGTTGGAATCTTGGTACTTTTGCATCTTTGAAATTGAATTCTGTACCTTCAATTTGCTCCTTAATTTTGTGTGCTATGATTTCAGCCCGTGACCATAACAGTTCGAAATTTTCGAGGGAACGACATCCAATTAATGTCTTAATCACGCCATCAACACTCTTCTTTGCTGTGGCGACATCCATTTGCTTTCCTTGTAGGTACCTGCTCAAACCATCGGTGTTAGATAAAATAACCTTTAATACCATCAAACCAAAAACGAACCGAAAGTCGCAAATCGAGTTAAGTAGCGAATTGCTGTCATTGTAGGTCTTCGGATCGCGATCTTTTGAGAGTGTAAGGAGAACCTCGATGATCTTAGGTAATTGGTTTACTACTGCTTTACAGCTGCCCAACGACAAGACCATCTAGTAGCACTCTGCGATTTAATAGTCAGTGTAATATCTTCGTCCTCATCTTCGACCTTGATGTCATTGAAGATGGAGTGGCGTTTGGGACTTCCTTCCAAGAAATTATGGAGACTCTGGATCACACCTAAAGCTTTCTGAAGTGGCTCAATTGTAGTCATCGTATCTTGTAGCGCCAAGTTAAGCCGATGCCCATGGCAGTGAACATAGATGCTAAGAGGTGAGCACTCCTTCATGCGTGCAGCAAGTCCTTTGCGAGGGCCACTCATATTTGCAGCGCCATCAAAGCATTCTGCGACAATGTTTTCCAATGTCAACTCTAGCCTGCCAATGGCTGTCTTTAACAGCTCATACAATACTTCTCCTTCCGTAGATTTGGTTGAATAGAAACCAGTGAATGTCTCTTTGGTTTCGCCATTGAAAACATATCTGAGGAAAAGAGATAATTGCTCTGTTCGACTGATGTCTGCCGTTTCATCGACAACTATTCCGTAGTAGTCGCTACTTCTTGCTTCTTCTGCTATCCTCTCAAGCATGACACTTGCTACTATTTCCAGTAGTTCATTTTGAATAGCAGGGATGTCCACTGAGCATGTGTCTGCAGCTGGCTTTGAAGTTTAGATTTCAGCCAAGGCAAATCGTTGCATCTTATGCAAAGTAACTCGAGAAAGTTTCCTCTATTTATATCAGATATCTCCCATATATCACCCCGAATCTCTTCATGACCTCTAATTGCAACATTTTGTTGTGCAGTGTACATCAAAGATTGTATGATTACTTTTAAGTATTGTCTGTTAATAGCAACCTGGTCCTGGTGTGCACTATTCAGCTGTTGTAGTACGGAGGTTTTCTTTCTTTCCATTGCTTTAAACTGGAGCCATCTTGTCATGGATCTGACGTGGTTCTCACTCTTGCCATGTTTTGCCAGCTTTGACGACTTCTTCCAATTTGTAAGCACAAATGAAGTATTCTTCCCAAATTCTTTACAGGCAAAACAAACGCATGCATCTTTATCCACTTCGTAACTAATCCATGGATATTTCTTGTACCATTCAGGCTGAAATCGTCGCACAAATGTTTCACTGCCGAATTTTCGTGCAGGATATTCACCTAATATAGGCTGTTTTGGGGCGTGCAAGGTGGAAATCTCTTCTTCATTCATACTGTTAAGGGAAACCTTTCTAGTCTGTTCATTTAGAACAGATGCTGTTGAATCTAAATCTTGTATTGCTGTTGTGTCTAGAGTGTTAGACGTCGTCGTTGATTCTGGTGTTGCAACGCGTTGTATATTTTGATTTAAGTTAAATTCTTCGATGAACAGTGCGTCACTGGAAGTAAGATTTTCATTATCCGTGACCGTATTCAATTCTTTATTTTCTCTGAACTGCGTCAGTGGATTTAATTCATCAACATCAATAAACGTTCTCATTGGTTCCGTTTGGTCTTCGCTTATGGGCTCCTTCAAATTAATCTCAGGTAGATTTTCCTCAAAAGACCCAGTGGCTGCTAAATCTTTACTAGCACTCGATTCTGTTTCCTGTAAGGTTAGGTTATCATCCTTGGTTGTCATGTTACTTTTTACAAAGAAACCACTGATCTTTGACTGCGATAAATCCGATGAATCCATCACTCGATGACACTTAACTTTTCATTATTGTGAACTCGTCGAAAGTGGACCTCCTTATAATCACTGTCAATTTCCTTGCTGCATTCCTCGCACCAAACGCGATGTCGATACGGTCGTTTACGAGACGCCATATGTACGCTTTATTAGAGCTTGGCTACTAAATGTTTTCCCTTGTGGATAATAGTTTCCTTGAACAACAATCATAGAGTGAATGGCACTAATCTAATCAATGGAATGGACAGTGCCTCTCCATACGAAGCCTAATTTTCATGCAAAATTAAAAATCACTTTTGGGGATCGCAGCGATTGTTAATCTATATATTAATGTATAACGGATAGCGTGTGGGAGACGATTTTTCGCAATTTCAAGACATTTCAAGACTTTTACTGACCTCAGCCCTTTTTTATAAATGGAGAACGTTATGTGGATAAATTTAATACCAAAAGCTTTGCTCTGATTGAAAATATCGGCGTTCGTGTTCGTTTAAAAGTTGTAAACACCGAATATATTCGTCGCAATATCGCTAGTAAATAGACCGATTTCTCGTGACGTAATTTGTTTATATTATAATGGGGCGGATGTAAAATTCTCCTATTATGTCGCAAGAAAAATTTTGCACCCAATCACTTTACGCGATTTTTATTTTACCTCCTGAAATTTAAGTAATTTAAACAATTTAAAACCATCCATTAAAAGACCGTTCACGCTCAAGAACCGAAGCAGTTTATGATCTAGAAATGATGTAGATTAATATTGAAAATTTAAAAACTGTAGTAAGTATCTTGCCAGAATATCATGTAAATGCTTGCCCGAATACACAAATTCTCGAGAAATTGGGGCTGCAGCCCCCAGCCCGTACGCCTATGCTTTCTTTTGGTATATATTTTTTAAAAAAGTGGTAAAAAAAATGGAAAAAAAGGAAGGGAAACGCGTGAATCAGAACGACTTACAAGTTTACCTAGAAAAACAATGAACATATTGGGACAAGAGGGGATAATATGAGAAAGGAAACACACTGTGTTGCTGAATGCCACGTTATTTCAGCGAGAATGGCAAGTATTGTATTAGTGTTGTGCAGATCACAACAATGATCAAAACACACTGTAATGTGACCAATATTTCGTGAACTATGAACTGGTTGCTTATATTTAGTATATTTCTAATTTTATACTGTGAAAATGTAGTGTCGATGACAGTTAGAGGTGTTTTAAGTCCAAGATCAGCACGATTCAATCAAGGACAATACATTACATCATTTTGTTTTTATGGTACGTATGTTGTCTATATGCTGACCATAGTAAACACTGTCAGTCAGAGACGTTTCTCACATATTTTTTTCATTGAACATTATTTATGTTGATAAAATAGAAAATGTTAATGGACTATTTACTTATCGAGTTAATGGTCTCTTACAACAAGTATCGAATGACGATTATTTACATTTCGTCTTCATAACTTCCTTAGTACGTAAAAGTTAGACTGGTTTGCATGGCTTAGTTACATAACTAACTCTATTGGAAATTTATTTGATCAGCTTTGAACCTAGAGATGTTTATGTTTCATGACATGATTGTGGGATTCTCGACTACCTATTTGATTTCAAAACACAATGAAGGCATTGACTTGTTTAGATGATGGTTTGTAGGTGATGGTTTTATAAAGCACGATTTATCCCAAACATCCAAAGGAAAGCTGTATATTTATTCTGAAAATCGATGGAACACTGCTAAAGAATTGCCATGTCAAGAAAAACTTTCAGCGGCAGAATTTTCATGTATGTTTCTTCAGCTATATACACATTCTGTTTCTTAAAGTCTGCAAATTTGTAAATCAAGTTGTGATTGCACTTGCTTTTTCTTACTCTGCAGTTGAGCTTGCCAATGTGTCTGGTGAACATAGGTTTGTTCCATGGGAAATGATCAATTATTGGCACATAGTTTATGCAGATCCAAACTCTTGTGATCAAAGTTCTCTTGCTTTACATGATGATCTGTCATATACTATGTACTTCTTGAATAAAGATTCACAAGGAAATCCTTTGAATCATTTTAGTTATGATAAAGCAGGTACATACTTGGTAAGATTTGATTATTGTTCCTTGTATTTCATCTTGTAAATGAAACTTCATGCTTTTTTTCATAGGCCTTCTGTTCTTTTTCAAAGTGGTCTCAATAATTTATTTCATATGTGCATCTTTCTATGGTCAAGGACTATGGCACACCATCAGGAAAGAAGGGCCAATGCACCAGGTGGAAAATAATAATGCATGACTTCTTCAGAGATTTTGTTTATGTAGAATGTCATGCAAAATAAAACAAAATCCAAGAATCAATATCATGTTTTCTTGATATTCAATCTTGATGTGAAAAATCTGGAGTAGTTTTGAAACATGAGATTGTTTTTATCTAGAATATCAAGAAAATTAAGGGCACATATTTCCAGAATTTATTTTATGTTGTATTTTGTAAAGTTGTCTTCTTGTCCTGCCTAGTAGAATATAATTTGAGTTGTTGGCAGTTACCAGTAATTAAATGAATTACATTGACTGACACATTTCATAATTTATGATTTATTGAAACGTATTTATTTTCAAGGTGATTAAAGATCTATCTGTTGGAGTTACATATCATGGTTCAGCAACTTTTCTTATGTTAACAAGCCTTCTTTGGTAAGTCATGTTTTCCTTTGTCCAAACACATCGACCAATGATTAGCCATTTACATGTAACTAGTTCAGACCAATGCTTGTTAAACACTTCAAAAAGTTAATCTTGTTTTGTAATCATGATACATTGGTTCAACTATGTTCAACATTGTGTGATGAATTCTCAGTGTTTGTAGAGCTAACATGTACTTTTAATTTTATTTTTGTCGAAGGGAATGCTTTGAATATAAATAAATTAGACTATTGTTCAGAGCGCCCCTTTCAGCTACAACAAAAATTTTTGAAAGGCTTTGAACTTTAAATGTACATTGTGTTTTTAAGGTATGCGAAAGATGGCAATGAAAACATTTATCTTTCGTCACTTGTGATAGGTTGGTGATTGCATTATGTCTTTATAGTTGAAATCTCCATCTACATTTGAAGTTTCGTCGGAGAGTGATTGAATTGAGAATTTAAATATTCTTCATCCACTCAGTCTTTCAGTGCCTTGCGGAGTACAAAATGATGAGTATGTCAATTAGGGTCTCCTATGGCTGGATGCTTGGATCGTCGAAGAACAAGGCTGATGATACACTATCTAGGCAAATTCAACTATTTGTCGGAATATGTGTACTCTTGGAGGTACATAAAGTTATAAATACTAGCCTTAGTAGCAGCTTGTTTGTTCTAGAAGGCGAGTTGGGGCCTTAACCCCTTGGTTGGGGGTTAACTGATTTATGGGTGCTCCTAGTGCGAGTCGTACATAAGTACATTCGGTATGCGGTTCTCAATGTTCACTCTTCATATCTAATAGTTGCACCCACAAGGAACGACAGGCTATAACGGCGAACTAATGCGAAGCAATATTTCCTAGAAATACAACATGTTAGCTATATCAGTGATTGTCAGTAATTGCAAACCTGGTCAGCTCCTTTGCTTCTCTTTACATTATACAGCGATTTTTACTGTTAGCTGATAAACAGAATTTTGGACCCATGGCTTTCTCCAGTATCGATGAAATCCTATTTTCGATAGTCCTGTAAAGCAAACGATTAAAACAAAAATCAGTCAGTATTTCTATTTTCATTCACAACAGATTTTCTTATTGTTCTGGAACCACACCATATTGCTATCCATAATCAAGTGTGCGGTTGTTGGAGTTGTAGTATTCAACACTAGGGGAAACTAATGGATGAAAGGAGCACTTTAAGGAAACACTTTTACACCAACGTTGCTAAGGTACGTACGTAGCAATATCATCTTGTATCATCAGCTGTGCATGGACCAGTGAACTCCATAACAACTCCATAGAGTACATTGGTATGTACTGTAACGATAACTGGACTGTAACGATAACTGGACCATAACGATAACTGGACTGTAACGATAACTGGACTGTAACGATAACATACGTACCTACAACACCACTGCTTTTCAGATATTAATTGTAGTTAATTGTCTATAGATGTAGTTATTATTTATAGATGAGATTTATAATGCGGATATTTATAGTTAGCACGTATCTGTTGTATGCATTATCATTGATTATTAGTTGGTATAATTGATTTTAAATTTGGTTTGGTCTACTGCGAGGGAACGTAATGAATATATATTGAACCAATCCTGGCGACAGTTTGATATATTTCCTTCTGGTTTTGACGACTTTCCTACCCGAAGGAAAAGGACGTCACGATCGTCCATCATTACGTAGATCATGTGATCAAACTTTAGAAAAGAGTGATTGGAAAACTGGAGGTTTCAGAAAAATGAAGATGTAGCTAGTTCGTGTTTTAGTACTGTTTTTTCTTTTGAACCACAAGCAATGTGAAGTCTTTTGAATGAATTTTTTCAAATCTGTTAATGAGTATTTTTTCTCAATCCGACGATTTTTTTCTCCCAGGGCTGCTGTGTTTGGTTTTTGGCGTTACCTGTTTCAACCTTGCTTACTTTTTTTCTTCCTAGTTATCATAAATTAAAGGTTAGTTGAACATTCTAAAAAATGCTTCTTTTATTGTCTCAATTAATTGAATTGTCTAATGTCGGTGCAAGATTGGCTACATACTATATTACATTTTGTAGGTCGTTGTAATCGTCCAGCGAATTGCCGAAATCGTTGCTATAGGCTTGCTTTACAGACTATTTTTATCAAGAAGCTTGTACTGGGAGGTGTCTTCACTTTCCTCCGCCACTCTTCCTTTAAGATTCGACCGAACATTTGGGAAAAAGAGTTACGATACGTATAAGAGATGAATTTTTCTATTAAAAATACGTATGAGCTATAAATAGAAAGTGTTGTTTTCATTAAATTATATTTGAAATCTATGTGTTATGCTGACGATATGCACTCTTATTGATTCATTCCGTGGCTGTTTGCATATTCGGTGAAATGGGTATTACTCAATCATTGTACTTAAGTCAGTTAAGGGCTTATTGAAGATTTCGGCCAGGCTGATGATTTACATTACCCGTCGATATTATTTGCAAATTCTTATGATAAATCTCCGTGTTGTGGTTAGAAGACAGATGCTAGCTGTGATTTCACGATTGCTTACTGAGATCAAGAGTCAGTAATTTCTTATTACGTCATTGCCGTTACTACACCTAACTTTGTTGTCACTGATGAAAAATTATTTTAGTCTTGCTAAAGTACGTAATGTTATCTCACTTGTGCTCTCAGTTGTTTATGCTATAGTCAACCATTCTACTTGCTACAGCCTTTTAGACACCTAAATTTTAGAATGAAATATTTTTTAAGATGTATGTAGTAACAAGAATATTTGGTCTGTGATAGAATATGTCTTGTAACTTAGCAACCGCGTCAATTTTCCTAATCCCTCAATTTGCAAAATCGTTCTGTCATACGGAATCGCTAGTGTACATCCCGTTTTTGAATTTGCTTTCTAAAGAAACCATCTATTTTCTTGTTGGTGAAATGTTGTGGACGTGAGTGGGAATAGTTGAAAGTCGAGCCAAGGCTGCGAAAGAAATCAAATTTTTGATGTTCCGAAGTTTGAACACTTAAATTGTGGATTGCAAGAATTTTCCAGTTTCTTCAGTACATTATGCAGTCCTGTACAATTTGCAACCAACTCAACTAATATGTAAAACATGTTCAATGCCATGAATGTTGATAAATCGCCTGTGAGTTGTATGAATGAGTATTGCAGTTTGCGATAAGTGACATGCACAATCCTCTTGTGTCTTGGAAGTCAAATATAAAAGACAATTTATGTTTAAAAATCCCCTGAACATAAAACATATATTGAATTAAGAATATAGTCATTTAATTTTTCTATTCCACGCAATCGAAGCAAGTGAAATTATTTTGTCTGATTTTTAGTTGTTCCAATAAATCTGCTCATCCTAATCTTTGTCAACCTGGAGAGTATTCGTCAGCTGGAGCAATTCATTGTGAAAGTTGCAATAAAGGATTCATGTGTCCATATGCTGCTATGCATTCCCCATTACCTTGTGTAAATGGCACATTTGCGAATGAAACGAAATCTAGAACATGTAATACCTGTCCAGCCGGATATGAGTGTCTCAATCCCACAGAGACACCTAGAAGATGTAAAGAAGGCTTTTATAGCTTGAGCGGTGTCGCATCTTGTTTTCTATGTCCCTCTGGACACAGGTACACTTTCATTTTATGTCGGAATAGAAAGAGGTTTTCTGTGTGTTTTTTTTTATCAATGCTAATGGGAGGCAATAGTAGAAAAAGAGTGCTGATAAAGTGTGCAAATATGAGGTTCGTTCGAGGATATACGAATTTTCGACAGTTTTTGCGTGAGTTTGAATTTTCTGTTGTTCAGCGTGCAAGTGGAACTGCTATGTGAAAGCTTCCACATCCTTTTTTCGTTTGCTTTCGTCAAAGAATAGAAACTAGCTTTTGCGCCTACGCCGTGTAGCGATGGTTTCTACAGTGACATTGGTGTTGCGTATTGCTTAGAATACCCCCCTGGATTTAGGTTAGCTTTTACATTTTTTTGTCAACAATGTTTCCAATATACAAAATATGCGAGATTTATTCAAAAACTAAAACCGAAATTTGCATTGCATAAGAGATGCGTGAGATCTCCTCGTCAAATTTCATCTTTAAATAAAGTTCAAACAAACGTTTCTGGGGGCTAAGAGAAGTTGAGTTTCCCTGACGGCTCCTGAAGTAACGCTTGATTAAAAAGAGGAAGGGAGAGCAGGTTTTACTATCACATTACCTTAGTAGAATCTATATGAGAAGAAGGTTTTTGTTGTTGTGATAGGAAGGTTTTTTTGTTTACCAGTTGTGTAAAGGAATACACTCCTGTCGATTGTGGGAAAGGATTTTATTCAGAAGCTGGTGAAATGGATTGCAGACCATGTCCACTTGGAAGTTACTGCCCTTTCGTAAGAACGGAATCACCGAAACTTTGTCCTAGTGGTTATTACAGTATCATCAATGCATCTTCGAAATGTATGGAATGCGAACGAGGTTTGAGTGCCTTAAAATATGCATTTCGTCAAATTGGACTCTCTTCGATTCATCTAATATCCTAACTTTTCTGTTCAGGTCATCGATGCCCTATTCCTTATAATGCTCCCATACCCTGCGGACCTGGTTACTATAGTGATGTGAAGGGGGCAAGTAGCTGCGAGAGCGTAAGTACACAAACCCTATTTTGTTTTATCGAAACTCTTCGATTATTTCCAGCTCAAATAATCTTATAAATACGTAAGGATTTACCATTTTCTATTCAAAATCAACACGCTTTTATTCTTCTATTTCTTATTTTTTACAATATTCAAATTCTAAAACGCATTCCAAAGTATGAAAATGGTCCATAAGTTGTCTTGTTGAGAGAACTAGTTTTCTTTTATAGATTTTTTGCTAAGTAAAAATAATACCAAATGTAATAAACACCACACAAAAAGAAAGCCCCCCCTGAGATATCGATGTAGATTTTGAATGAATCTCAGATAGTTAAACACAGCAATACTTAGCCTTAAGAACTTGCTGGGATCCATTTATGTAGCACTTAAAATAATTTACCTAAAGATGAACTTTTTTTGTGTGTGGTGTTAAGAAATATTAAATTGTTTCATATTTTTCTTAAACATCTATTACGTAGTGTTCACATGGATATTACAACACAAAAGAAGGGCAAGTTAAATGTGAAAGCTGTCCTGCTGGTTCTCGATGTCCAAACAAAACGATAGGACCCATACCATGTTTGCTTGGGCAGGTAAAGGGCATCATTATATCTGCACGCTTTTTGAATGCATTTGAAAACTATAGAATCCAGAAAAATGGTGGACTAATCAACTCATTAGATATCATACTTGTAAAAGTTAGCTGTTTTGATGAGGATACATTTTGTCGGATATGTTTAAATCAAAGATAAGTGTTAAAATTGTATCCAACATTATGATCTTTTTGTAGTATTCACCCCAAGCTTCTCAAGAATGTCTTTCGTGTCCTGCTGGTTTTGCTTGCTCTTCACCTGATAGTTTACCACAACGCTGTGAGGTAGATAAATAATGTGTATAATGCTATGTAATCCGTAGTTGTGGCTGTTGTTGAAACTATTCGTTATACTATACGAATCGATGGAAAATCTTACGATGTGTGGCTTGTCTTTTTTAGGCCGGGAAATTTAGCAACAAGACTTCGTGTATCCCTTGTTATAGAGGAAATTACTGCCCAAGCTTGGCTCAGCAACCTATACCATGTGTAAGCGGCACCTATGCTGATAGGGAAGGGGCGGTTACTTGCCACGTATGCCCAGCTGGTCATTCTTGCTTCAATGTTTCTGATACTCCAAAAGAATGTGGTCAAGGAGAGTACAGCATTGCAGGACAAACTTCATGCAAGGTATAGAAATAAAGGTTGGATTTAGGAAGATTTTTTATGTCTTGTTTAGATTTGATTTCGATGGCTCGTTTGTGGGTGCTGTGATATGATTTTAGCCAAGACTAAGGGTGTACACCCCTCTCCCCCAACTCCACCCGCACCCCCTCCCACCTTTCCCCTGCACTTCTCTCCCCACCCCTCCTCAAAACTCCTAACTGATAGAATTTAGCTCGAATGCGTCTTTGAGTAGGAAGAAATTTTTTTGACATACATTTTCTCTTTCTGTTGCAAGAGATTTTCTGTGAATAATACCAAATTGTTTCCTTTAGGACTGTCCACGAGGTTATTATAGCTTACGCGTATCAAGGAGTTGCATACCTTGCCCAGGTGGAAAGAAGTGTCGTGATGGCTCTGCGATTATTTCGCCTGTTGATTGTCTAGCAGGAACATACAGTAGATTAAGAGAAGACATTTGTCAAGACTGTCTTAGTGGTAATTACGTACAACTAAACAATACTTCTAGTATATTAAATCTTATGATCAATTATTGTGTTGTTGTACATCTTAATTAAATGTATTCATTTATTTGCCATTATTTGCATGTGCAAATGAAAGACTTACGCCCGTATTCTAAAGGCTCACATACACTTTCATTCACTGAGTGCGACGCAAAACTATCACTAATTATTGGCATACTCCTTTCTCCATCATGGAGAAGCAATCAGTGCAGTGAAAACACTGTCTTCCCATTGTTATGAGATGATTTTGAATTCCTAGTTAGCGAGTGAGAGTGTGAGTGAACTTTTAGAATACAGACGTAAATCTTCGTTCATGACAACAACAAAACATAACACTTTAAAATTATATTGTGTTTTCTCTTAGGAAGCTGGAGTGCAAATGCATCAACTCGTTGTTTTCCTTGTCCTGTTGGTTATGTCTGTGATAATCCTTCAAAACCAACTCTTTGCCCATCTGGAACGTACTGGAATAATGCCGGGACGGTATAATAATTTTTCTGTTTGACCTTGCCAATTATAGATTGGTCTAGAGAGCAATTGAGTAATTCACAGAACAGATTTATGTCGAGATTGACGTGGATAATATGATGTTCTTACTATTCACATACTAGAGCAGTCTTGGATAATCTGAGATACATATTTACATTCTACTTCTTACCACGTACAGCATTGTACATCTTACATCCTACATTGTACATCTTACATCTTACATCCTACATCGCACATTGTACATCCTACATCTTACATCGTACATTGTACATCTTACATCTTACATCCTACATCGTACATTGTACATCCTAAATCTTACATCGTACATTGTACATCTTACATCCTACATTTTACATTGTACATCTTACATCTTACATCGTAAGTTTTTTGTAGACTCCTAAATGCGTTGCGTGCCCATCTGGATATGAATGTGTTAATGTGACTCAACCTCCTGTGGCATGTCAATCTGGCACATATTCTTTGGAGGGGAGTTCTACCTGTAAAATCTGTCCCCCTGGTGATGCATGTCCAAATCCCTCTGATGTACCAATACACTGTTCAGTGGGAACTTTTTCTGCTGCGGTAGGTTTTTTAAACATTTTTACTGTAATTAATACTCAATCTTTAATGAAAGTGAATTGTAAAGTGCATACATATATATATGCTTGCTAAAATGCTTGTGACAATCATCTCTTTCACTGTCACGAATGGAGCCCTGCGCACAGGCTTGCGTATGAAAATCAAGGAGACATTCGTGAGAACTCGAGTGCAGCTGAGTGCAGAAACAAAAAACATCTTTTATTTCTTGTATAAAATAACAATGCTAAACAGATAGATTTGAAAAAATATTTTGAATTTCCTCAAACATGATTGATTTACAAATTCTCTTTGATTGATTTGAATGATTGAGCTCAGATCGGTTTGAACATGCCGGGTAATGCAAACGTAGGTATTGGCGAATCAGTGCATGTGATTTATTGTCTTATTTTATAAATGCATTTGCCAAGGCAGGCAAGAGCCATGATATCCCCTAGAATAGTGGATTATTGGTCTTTTTTCAGACTTCTTAATGCTCTTGGTAAGACAGGCGTGTGAACTTTATTTTCATCTAGGGTTCTACCTCTTGTTCTGAGTGTCCTTCGGGTTATAGCTGTCCTAGACCACGTGATGCTATAACTTCCTGCCCTCTGGGATCCTACTCATTGCTTGGTGACGCAAACTGTACAATCTGTCCTGCTGGATACGCGTGCCCTACAAATCACGACGCTCCTTTCCGATGTCAGCTCGGGCAGACAACCAATGGAAACAAGGGGTCGACAAATTGTACAAATTGTCCGGCCGGATTTCAATGCCCAACACCAGAGTCAGTGAAATGCTTTGATTTTGGCACTAGATCTTGGTTATTTAGCAGTCGATAATTATTTAATTTATTTTTCTGTACAGGATAGCAATGCAGGAATGCAAAAGTGGCTATTATAGTCTTGGCTTTGCGGTTCGATGTTTGATCTGTCCTGCAGGAAGCAAATGTAGCAGCAGAAATGTAAGAATTGTGCTCCAAATACCATCTCCATATTACGATGAAACTTTCACAACACTTAAGTAAACTTGCATGTATTATTTATTCCAATCTATATTCGTTTGGCAAATCCATGCTGAGTGGAATTACCTCTTGTAGAAGCGTCCAGAAACATGTAAACCTGGTGAATATAGCTTAGTCGGTTGGGAAAATTGCACATCTTGTCCTCCTGGTGAAGCTTGTCCTTCCCTGACCACAAACACAGCTAATGCCATTTGTCGTCAAGGTAAAATAAAAAAAGTTGTGTTAAAATCACTTTGAAGTCTATAAGTACAGTTTCGTGTGATTTTATCAGGAACTAATTTACTTATGTATGAGTAAACTATCCACTTGAGATCGTCATATAGTCCAGTAGACTTCTATTTACCTTGTGCATTTCAGATTTTTACGTCAGACAACTTAATCTTTTTGACTTATGTACGTACAGTCGTCTCGATTTTGGTCAGACGTCATTTCAATCATTTAGATGAAAATTTTCCTCAACTATTTAAATAATCCGCAACTAAATAAAAGATCGCCTTTTCCACGAAGGAAATCATAAATCATTCCACGAAACGAGCAAGAATTTGTTGTTAACGTACTACGCAATCAATTTTGAGCCAGGCAAAATCGCTTTATTGTATAGTTCTGCCAGTGAAACTGTCAATGGAAAAGATTTGCGAGCATTTCCATTTTGAAATACTATTTTCTTTTACGAAACGTGATTTATCCTTTGTAAAGAGGAAATTTCCTTTAATACTCAACGTGATTTCTACGAGCTCCAAAAGCTGTAAAAATCATCGAGTGGCGTAGAATACTAGCTGCCCAAAAATTGTTAATTGTTCTACCAACAAAATATTTTTAGTGTTAACGATTCTTCTTTGAGTTATTTTTGCGTTATTGAACAAAATACCATTTTCACTTCACGAGTCTTTGAATCAAATTTGAGAAATAATGGTAAACATACATAATTTTCCAGGAACATACTCAACTGGGGGAGCACAGTATTGTACAAACTGTCCAGCTGGAAAGTACTGTCCAAGTATCACCAGTTCCACTGAGTTAACTTGCCCTCCTGGATTTTTCTCCTATGGTGGAGCTGCCAAGTGTTTTGCCTGTCCGAGTGGCTGGAAATGCTCGAATGCTGATGGCTCTGGCAATACGAGATGTTTGCCAGTAAGAAAATAAAAAAATATTGTATAGCTACACTATACATGTACATCTACAAGTTTGGAAATTGAACCATTGGCGCAGGAAGATCAATAAATGGAGGGGTTCATATTTAAATATGCATGTTTTAATCTCTAGAAAAAATGGAGTTCAATTGTACTTTATAGGGCATACCATGTATTTATGTATATGACCCCCAAATCTTCGATCTCCCACACCCATGATTATTGAACCATTCATTGATTCATGGGTTGATTTGGAAACTGTGAAAGACGGTTAATATCCATGAAGATATTGACTGTCATGAATTTCATGTAATAGCTTGTCAATCGATCTGGTCAACTCATGTGTATATACTCTGAGCGGTCGTATTTTTCTATTCAGGGAACATATTCCACAGGCAATCAAACAACCTGCACTGATTGTCCTCCTGGGTACGCTTGCCCTTCAATCTATAGTGATGATAGGTTGAAATGCGAGCCTGGGACGTATTCAGTCGGCAAGCAAACGGTAGGTGACTGTCAGTGAAGATTCGACTTTTGGAAAAAACGTATCTATATAATATTGGATGACGGTAAACCTTTTTAAAAAAACATATGACGTATTTTGTGGGTTTCTTTTATGTAGTTTTGTTTTGTCTGTCCTCCTGGCTACGCGTGTCCAGATACAAAGACAAATACATTGCGCAAATGTAGCGAAGGTACTTATAGCGTCGGTGGAAAACCAAATTGTACGGAGTGTTCTTCCGGCTTTGCCTGCCCTTCAAAGACGGACGAAATTCAAATAAAGTGTAGTCTTGGCAGTTACACATTGAATAAAGCTTCAGTAAGTGATTCCCCGTTGCGTTTCCCATTTGAATGTGTTAACTGTAGTTTCTACCGTGAAAGCTCCTGCTATGGACGTTACTGCTGCCAAAGTTAGGAGTAATTGTGCTCATGTTTGCTAATTATATTCAGTTGTTCATTTTTACAATTACTAAAATGACTCTGTATAGTCGAATCTATACTTTCCTCTACTCCAAAAAACTCCTTAACATGCATTTTACATCCACTCTATATTTTCGAAAAATTTTCTACAAGAAGTAGAACATTTCTTGCCATTCAGTAAAAAAATTCTTGACAGCGGCGTTTGCCTGAGATTTTCCAGCTCGGACTTAAGTAGTATATGCCCATCCTTCCTCATATTCAACCAAGTTTCATTTTAATTTCGCTCATAGAGTTGTACACCTTGTCCTGCTGGTAAATATTGTCCTAATGTGACATCAGTGCCAATCGATTGTCCGGACGGACATTATTCTCTTGGTTCGTTGACGCAATGTATTTCTTGTCCTGCTGGCTTTTATTGCGATGTGAAAAATTTAGAACCAAAGCCATGTGACCCTGGGAAATACAGTAACAGATCATCAATAATGTGTGCTAATTGTGACCCTGGGTATGTGTGTGCCTCGAAAAGTACCTCTTCAAGACCAGGTATGTTTCTACACAGTCGGCGTTTCTCTTTCTATTTAATGTTTTTCATATGTAATTGTTGCAGACCTATTTTTCAATTTAGTGTTCAATTCAGTTGATGGTTTCTTGCATTTTTTTGAAATCATTAGGTTCAGGTATGTGTCCGAGCGGGTATTATTGTCCAGATGGTTTACGAAAGGTGGCGTGTCCTGCTGGAACATTTGGTAACACAAGTCTTGCCAAGTCTGAAGTTGAAGGTTGTCATCCGTGCCCACCTGGATTCTTCTGTCCTCCTGCAACACCTGGATATCCAACTACATCGTGCGTTTCATTCCTTTACTGCATGAGATAATATAAATTGGCTCCCATCTCTTGGCATTGCTTTTCTCTTGAGCACTGCTTAGTGTGGTTTGTAAAAATCACAACTATGTAAATGTTTGATAATCTCATTGTATTAATTGATTTCAGACTACGATGTCCCCCAGGACATTATTGTGTCGCAAGAACCCAAACTCAGTTCCAGTATCCTTGTCCGGACGGCGAGTTCAGTACCAAATGGGGTTTGGAAAATAGAGATCAGTGCGTCGAATGTAAAGCTGGATATACATGTACCGGAGGTGATCCCAGTGGGGATAAATTGTGCCCTTTGGGACACTATTGTCTTCGTGGAAAAGCGCTATGTCCTGTCGGTCAAGGAACTGGAACAGGCAATATATCGCCTTGCAAATGTCCAGCTGGAAAATTTACTGAAGAGCGAGGAGCCACTCGTGAGTGCAAACGTTTCATAGTTTTCATAATAATGCTAGATGTTGATTTATTGATTGAAAGTGTTTTTTTTGTCAAAAACATTGTACATTTAGATAAGTTTTCTTGTACGCTAATATTTTCTGCTCGGGCTAGTATGTGTGTATATATGTAAGTCACAAAGTTCAGACTGATGAAGCATGAGCGATACAGTGGTTATAAATATCGCATGATTTCATGTGTGTATTCTACCTATTTCAAGAAAGCTCACAGTGTAAGACATGTCCTATGGGGTATTACTGTGGGAGTGGAACTTCAGAGCCTCAGGCTTGCCCTCCTGGTACCTTCAGTAATTTGCACGAGCAATCAAAATTAGCAGATTGCAGGTGAGTCTAATTACTTTGACTGTCATCAATATCAGGGTATTAGAAATTTTGTGGTGTACGAATATTGCGTAGAGTGCTATGTTGAACATTGTAAGTTTTTGTTATGGCAAGATTGCTTGCATTTGCCCAACTTCTATACAAAACCTAAACGTTAGTTTCGTATGTCATCACGTACTCGATCACTTTGCATTTCTTTGATGTTTCGCGAATTTTCAGACCCTGTTTTGCTGGCATGGCATGCCCTCTTTCGGCACAAACGTGGCCCACAATGACATGTAGTGCTGGCTATTTCTGCCCAGAAGGATCTTCCAGCCCTAATGATAAAGCGAATGCCTGTCCAGCTGGAACTTACACTGACTATCATAATCTAACTCATTCTCGGGAGTGCTCACCGTGTCCTGCTGGACAAGCATGTGAAGCTGGTACCGGTGGAAAGCAGAAACCACCGCAACTTTGTGCTAGAGGTATGGTATGCCTTCACTGACGGATAAGAGATAAAGCTTTTATTTTTCTTTACAGTACTGCATGGCTTCTGCTTATAACAATGACGAATAGAATCAAATAAGTGTACTCTTTTCGTTGTATTCTGCCACATTATTGACTGCTAGAAAAAATCTTTGAATACCTAGAAAACAGTTTTCACCGAAGAAACAATTTATTTACGTTATGTTATAGGGCATTATTGTCCTATGGGTACCAGAACACCTACGCAGCATCCATGTACTGCGGGCTCGTGGGGTAACTTGACAAACCTCGAAAAGCAAGCTGATTGTTACCAGTGTCCTAAGGGATGGTATTGCCAAGAAGGAGCAGATAGGCCAACTGATCTCTGTAAACCTGGCCACTTTTGTCCGAGAAGTAAGATGATAATACATAACATCTAAGATTTTCTTTTTTGTAGAGAACTTAAATTGATAACTTTTTTGTCTTGCACTAATACTTAATTTGGTAAACAATCTAATGGTTAATCTGCATTGAGAAAAGATACTTTGTGTTGTTTGTAGATGTAGATCGTCCAGGTTAGTAGAATCCTGATAAGGACTGTTGTTGTTGATGTTGACTGACGTTTTGACAACCTTAGCTGTAGTCATCTTCACAGTCAAAAAATGTTGCTGACCATGACTTTATAAGAATTGCTTTAATTTGATTCGATTTTCCCCTTTGTTGTAAGGCACTCGTTACGGTACTGAATTTCCTTGTTTTGATGGTACATACTCTAATCGTACTGGTAATGTGAGATGGGAGGTTTGTGAGGATTGTCCTGAAGGTCATTACTGTCCAGCTGGAACTGCTATACCGAAAAAGTGCGCGAAAGGCAAATACTTTGATTCAACAAAGGCAATGGTTGGTTAAATTTCTCTTTTCGTTGATGCCTATAACATTAGATGTTGTGCTCAGTAAAATCTTTTTCTCGTTTGCTCAGACGGCTTCCGAATGCAAAACGTGTCTGGCAGGCTATGCATGTGCTGAATTAGCTACTATTCTTCCTGAAGAGTGTGGAAAAGGAAATTACTCTGTAAGTAGATCTAGACTTACTACGCGGTTTTGGTGTTAAGCGAAGTGTTAAAGTCGGGGTGGTTAATGAAGTTACGCTGGAATTTATTCAGTCATACTAGGTTAGCACCACTTGGAACGTCGTGCTTCCACACAATTTCATGTTTTCCAAAATTTCACTGGTGTTGATATGACGGTATTTCAACCAAACAAATATTTCGTACTTGTTGATTATAAAGCAAAATTGTACATATTGAACACATTATGTTTTCTCAAAAATGAGTGCGAGTGTGCGTGAGTTTTTAAAATACAAGCGTACACTTCGTTGGTTGAGTAGGACTTCAAAGACGATATTTTCACTCCACTAATTGCTTGATTTAAAATATTTTAGCAAAAGTCTTGCCATCAATGGACAAACGAGTTTTCGTTGATTGGCGGGTGGCGCGATTTCTGAGTCGCACTCAATGAGTTTGAATGTCCGCGAGCTTTTAGAATACAGACATTAGCTTTCACTTGACGTTTGGAAATCAATTTGTCTCTCATTGTTTAGTCATCAGGTGCACACACTTGCAGTACATGCGAAGCTGGTTTCTATTGTTCCAGTGATGCAACCAATCGTTCTGTTATGTTGAACGAAATGATCTGCCCAGCTGGCATGCATTGTCCACGTGGTACTAATAGAGCACCTGATCTCGTTTCTCACGCCTGCAAGAAAGGGCATTATTGCTTGAAAGGAGATGAGGTATGGAACAGAAAGGAAGATTTGTAAACGTATTTAAAACTTCACGATTTTTTCTTCTGCGTCTGTCTTTTCATAGAATGCGTATCCAATTCCATGTCCTAATGGGACATATAATTCTTTCACGGGTCGAAAACTTGTAAGTGACTGTCAGCGATGTCCAGAGGGTTATTTCTGTGAGCAAAAAGGCTTGGAAGATGTCGTGAGTATTTTTACTGTTTATAACTCCTGTCTATACGTCTATACAATAAAGAAACCACGAGAAAGGAGAAAGTGAAGTTGATATTACTGTCGATATAATGAATATAAAACTTTCAATTTAGTACACTTGTTAAGCTATATCAGACAAGATTTAACTTGTTTATTAAAATACATTATGTATATGGATTATTAAACTATTATAGAATATTGTTAAACTATATTAATCTTATTTATATTATCATGTATCATGAATCTTTTTTCTTTGGTTCTAACAGGAAGGTAAATGTCCACCTGGTTACTATTGTCCCTTTGGAACTGCGTATAGATATTCGTATCCTTGTCCAATTGGCTTCTATCGTAATGCATCTTCAGCCATATCAAGTATGGACTGTACCATCTGTGTCGCCGGATTTTACTGTAACAGCACGGGACTTCCGCTTCCGAAACCCTGTCCAATTGTTAGTAGCAATGTATTAATGCAGTGTGATTTCAGATAAACTCAGCTTTATGGTGTATGTGAGGGAATAAGTTACTGAAGAGAGTATGACTTTTAAAATGACATTGTATTTCCTAAAACAGTTTATGCTTGTCTCTTTTCATTCTTAAGATGTTGAAGTTTTCTTAATGTTCGATTAGCACAATTTTTGACGTCATTTTGCGCAATGAGTCGTTGCAAAGTTTCAAACCTTCTTTTGTTTCAAGGAATCTCTTAGTTAAAATGATCAGGAAATTTTTTATACTCTTCACAATGAAGGAAACTCTGCTTGTTTGAAGTAACATCAGCAAATATACCTGCTGTTTCAAATTCTCATTATGCAATGTAACGTAAAAAGTTGTGTAATTTGTACATTAACATAAACTACAATACCGCAAGTGCTCGTTTTAGCGCCGCTCCCGGTTAAGCGCCGCATCTCAGATATTGATAATAAAATAAATTTGATAGTAAAAGGATATATTGTTTTTTTGTTACGCAACTTTTTTCGTTAAGTTATATTGTATTGTATCAAGTAAATAGATTTTGTCTACTTGTTATTTTTTGGGGTCAATAAATATATTTGGTGTGAGCCTTAAGTTGAAAATTATTTAATTAGCGCCGCTCCCGGACAAGCGCCGCATTCAGAATCGGGAAGATTAATTAAGCACCGCGGTGCTAAATCGAGCATTTACGGCACCTTGAAAAGGAAAAGAGATGTGCATAAATCGCTTTCGAAAGTCCACTGTCATTTTCAAAGATATGTTTAGTGAAAATATAATCTAATAGCACAATTTTCGATTCATATAATGTGTCTTGTATTTTTCTTTCAAAGGGCTACTTTTGTCCAACTGGCACAACAAGACCTCAGCCTTGTCCGAATGGCTACTATGGCATTTCGTCTAATGTGAAGAGAAGCGTGGATTGTGCAGCATGTCCTGCCGGAGAATTCTGTGCTGGTTTTGGGCTTACGAAACCAACTGGGCCATGTGACGCTGGTTTTTATTGCCGTGGAAAGGCAGTTACTTCGGTTAGTTATTTATGTTAACATGCTGCAATAGGTTGAACATTTAGTCAACGAATTAGTTGACAATGCCTTTCACTGACAGCTATTCAGATGTAAAATGATTTCCGACTGATTATTTTTCAAGGCTCCACCAGATGGTCCTACCGGTGGCCTATGTCCCGCTGGAGGTTATTGTCCAGAGGGTGCAAAAACTCCACAGGCCTGTCCTGCTGGAACGTACAGAAAGTCGAGAGGAGCAAGCTCAAGTGCAGATTGTCAAGCATGTGATCCTGGGTAAGTGAATTATGGAATATTTGTCTTTATTTACTCTTTTGAAATTTTTATATTGCATGAATTACGAATTGTGTGTGATATGTGGTACATATTTTTCGCATTTGTATAATTGTTTGCATACGCTTAGTGTCTAGGCATGATGTATTTATGTAGGTACTATTGTGCAGGAGATACTAATCCATTTCCAACTGGAAAATGTCAACCTGGTTATTATTGCACCAACTCTTCAGTAACACCAACACAGTTTCCATCACAGCCTGGACATTATGCTGTTGAGGGATCCCCATATATGGTTTCGTGTCCAGTTGGAACGTATCAAAGGGTGAGTTAACAAAGTTAGGAACAGAATATTTTCTATGATGTCACCTTATATATCTTGATTAAACGCTCATGTATTCGCACAAGAAACATGGCTTTAAAGAGTGCATGCAAATTTTCTGAGTTATAAATAGAAAAATTATGTATGTACTCAAATATATATATTGAATATCGATACGATGCTGTTTACTTGTGTAAATGAGAAAGCAAACTTCCACAACTATCATCTTGTAAACTCTAGCTTTGAGTTATATTAGCAAGAGACAAGATTTAACTGCAATATTTTCACTTTATTTGAAAGGCTGTTTGTATTAACAGGCTGAAAGAATGGACCGCTGTGATTTGTGTATTGCTAATAGCTATTGTAATACAACTGGCCTTGTGAATCCTCCTCTCTGTCCAGCTGGCTATTACTGTCCAACAAACAGTACGTTACCTACGCCGTGTCCAGCGGTAGGTGTATGAGGAATTTTTTACTGTACATAGAAATTTGAATAAAATAAACAGTTACGCATCTCACGCTTCACGTGGTGAATCCCATTACTTCATTTTTAGTCTAAAGTTATACTTATTTGAATAAAAGATTTATTTCCCAGGAGTTTTACGAGACATTGCGTTGTTTTAGGGGACTTACAATCCTAATGAGGCCAAGGACTCAGAAAATGCATGTTTGTCATGTAAAGAGGGAAAATACTGTAGTCAAGAAGGACTGGCGAGTGACGAAGGAGACTGCTATGCAGGATATTATTGTCTGGGAGGCTCATCTTATCCTAATCCTGTAAGTGCAATTGGAATGATTTACGTGTTTTTCATAGATGAAAAAGATAATTTTCTTTTTGCTCGGTTGATGTTTTGTCGACCTATTTGGCAAGTACGTATTCTGTATAAGTACTGTCTATTTGCCTTATAGGGAAATCGGTCAAATGGACTTCTTAATGGTGACTTTAAGTATGGGGGCGTTTGTCCTGCGGGTTATTATTGTTTAAAAGGAACTGCGCGTCCATACGACACACCTTGCAGGAATGGAACCTATAACAACTATACTGGAGCAAAAAGTTCTGCAGACTGTACGCCTTGTGATGGTGGTCTTTTCTGTAATGGTATTGGTCTAAATGCCCCCATTGGTGAATGTCGCGCCGGTTGGTATTGTATCAGTGGTGCTAAGTCTTCAATGCCTAATGATGGACGAACTGGCGACATATGCCCAACAAAACATTATTGTCCTCAAGGAAGTAACACTCCACTGCCTTGCAAGGCAGGCACATACGGGTAAGTTGCCGTAAACTTGTTATAAACATCTACGAAGATTGTTTTATTTCTGATCGTGATTTTTTGTAGATACATGTTGTTTCATTTCTGATCGTGATTTTTTGTAGATACATGTACGTGTATGTTTTTTCATACGATATACAAGATCGTAAACTATGTTTAATGGTAAAATATTCTCTAGTTTGTATGATTTGAAAAAAAATTGGGCGATGTTTTAAACTACTGCATTTTGATTTCTTCTACTTTCTGCTAATTGTATCTCACCGCCCCTTACCCCTCCCCCCTCCCTTCCGCCTACAGTGCGAATTATTTGATCATATTTTCATTCCGTAATCTCTCATTGATTTCATATACGAAGTAACATCTCTGGTTTGGCGATATGTTTTACGTGTCCCGAGGGAAAATATTGTAGCGAAAGAAGTGGAACGCCTCTAGATTGTCCTAAAGGTCATTATTGTCCAATGGGGTCTCATCAACACAACTGGAAAAAATGTCCTCCTGGTACCTGGAATCCTACGGTAGGATTCTGATGCAAATTTTTTTACCAGATTTAGTCGGATTAAACACACGCCCCCTGCACTAAACTTTTTAACTTTATAAAGCAGGTGGGAGAGTCCAAGCTTATCAGACCAAATCTAGTTGAAAGAAATTTTATGTATACCCACATTGGACATCATTTTGCGTCCATAATTTTCCTCTATTATCATACGTGTTAGCAAAAAGAAAAATTTTTCAGTAATTTTACAAGTATTTTAGTAGTTTACAACAGAGCCATTATTATTATTGCTATTGAACTTATACAATATTGTTGCTGCAAAATTACGGTGCTCTACTTGGCACAAAATCACAGCGTCTTTTACTTGTATGATTTTTACCCATTCTCTGCAACATGTCACATCCATATTAACACAAATCTGCCAATCAAAATCCAATTAGGACATGACGAGACAAGTTACTACAGCAATATACGAAGATATCGAATATATTTTATATCCGAGTCTTTTTCGCGTCTTAGATATTAAAAGAGGCATTTTTATTTTATTTTTAAAGAAATCTTTTCATGATGAAAGAGTGATTAAGTTGCTAGGGCAAGGAATTTTATATTGGAGTTTTTCTGGTTGGATATTTGAGTAAATCAATTCAGAAATGAATGCAATTAGAATTGATTTAAATTTTTCGTTTTTCAAAAACTCAATAAGTCAAAACGATGTAACGCTATTGAAACAACAGAAATAACTCAAAAAAGTAAATTGTCACACACTGTAGACTGGTATTGGCCGAGAAGATCAATGCTTGCAATGTGATTCTGGTAAATACTGCCAAATCTATGGAATCGTCGATTTCTCATCGGGAAATGGAAGTGGATCTTGCAGTCCGGGTTATTTTTGTAAAGCTGGCATCAACACCCCTACACCAAGTGCCAACTTTACAGGTAATTAGCCAACCTATAATCACGAATTATATTTATTTTGTTGCAATTAAAAATATCTCGTTTCAAGTGGACGACAATATTCCTTAAGGTAAACATGTTTCGGCATACTTATGCCATCTTCAGTACAAGGAATAATTATGATTTCTATTTACAGCTATTTTTATATTGTTTAAGTGAGATTTAATTATTTACAAGTTGAAAATAATTCCATCATCTAGTAGTTCGATACCTCTCACTTAAGTAATATAAAAATAGCTGTCAATAGAATTCAGAATCGTTCTTTGAACTGAAGATGGCATAAGCATGCCGAAACATGTTTACGCTAAAGAAATTGTCGTCCACTTTAACTGTTTAATATATATGGCGCTTTTAAGAAATTATGGAAATATCTAGGTTACTATTGACTTTCAGCATGCAACATCAAGAACATTTGTTGTTGAAAACTTTCAAGAAACCTGGCTGTTTTACTGTCCTTGGTAATATATACTATGTTTTTTCTTTTTAGGTATAGGAGGTGTGTGTCCAGAAGGGATGTACTGTCCTGTTGGTACGATCAATCCTATCGGCTGTCCTCCTGGCACATTCTCTAACGTTAAAGGATTGAAAGATTCTTCTGAATGTCAGGCATGCTTGCATGGAAAGTATTGTGGTAAAAAGAATTTGACTTCTCCGTCAGGTACTGATCTTTTTTATTTTTGTCGAGCTTCAGAGAAAAGGGCATCCTCAACTTCTTTTTACGAAGTCACCGATTGAATTCATTTAGGTGATTGCTACGCTGGATTTTATTGTTTGCTTGGTTCGGCGACTCCAAATCCATCCATTGTAACATCTACTGGTGGTCCGTGTCCAAAAGGTCATTTCTGCGAAAATGGAACTTCCCACCCACTGGGATGTCGAGCAGGAACATACAACCCTAACGTTGGCGAGGAGAACTGCTTCCCATGTTTGAGCGGCTACTACTGTCCGGAGAACTCCACTCATCTATCGCATCCTTGTCCACTTGGACATTACTGTCCCAACGGTACCAAATACCAAGATGAGTTTCCTTGTCCTAAAGGGCATTTCAATAACAAAACTATGGGTCATACTGTGTCGGACTGTTTACCATGCACACCTGGTTATTATTGTGATACGCGTGGGCTCAAGAAACCCTCTGGAAAGTGTGCAGCTGGTTGGTATTGTGTAAGTGGGGCTTATGTTGACATGCCGATGGATTTGGACAACTTTACTTCGGGAGATTGTGTTTGCCCTAGCAATGCTACTGGAGGTGAATGCCCTCCGGGAAGTTACTGCCCATTAGGGAGTGAATATCCCGTACCTTGCACAGGCGGCTTCTACTGTGAAGGCACAAGAAACAGTAACGTCACTGCTCTTTGTAGCCCTGGTTACTTTTGCGCAAAAGGTGCATGGAGATCGAAACCTGATGATGGTATCACGGGAGACATATGTCCCCGGGGACGGTATTGTCCGAGAGGAACACAAATACCTTTCACTTGCAAGCGTGGCACTTTTTCCAACAGTACTGGAAATTACAAGGAAAGCCAATGCAGAAATTGTACTGCTGGCTCGTATTGTGAAGTGCCAGGCTTAAGCAGCACAAGTGGACTTTGTTTGCCTGGGTTTTATTGCCCCCCCGGTCAATTCTCCAAAGTTGCCATTCCCTGTACGAGTGGTCACTACTGTGGACGAGGTAGTCCTGGTCCGATAAAATGCCAATCTGGAACATACCAAGATGAAATGCAGCAAAGCAACTGTAAGATTTGTCCCAGTGGTTATTATTGCGATTCCAAGAATGATCTAAGTGATTTCTCATCATATCTATGTCCACGTGGCTACTTCTGTCCCAATGGTACGCGGTTTGCGACCGAATTCGGATGTCCAAAAGGAACTTACGGCAACCGTTCGCAACTGACTAGTGGCCATCAGTGTTTGCCATGCCCCCCCGGAAAATATTGTAAAGGTTTGTGGTAGTCGTTTTTTAAATCTGCATTTTTGTTGCTTGAGTAAATTTACTCTTGTATGCGAATATTTCTAAATAATAAATAATATACATGGTAATTTATACCTATTTTGTTCAAATAGGCTCGTCATATTCATTTACTGGAGAATGCTCTGCCGGTTATCACTGCATAAGAGGTAGTTCGACAAAAACACCCGTTGACAATATTACAGGTCAAATATGTCCTCGTGGAAAGTTCTGTATCCAGGGAACAGAAACGCCTGAGAATTGTCCTCCAGGTACATTTTCTAACGTCACTGGTTTGAGAAGAAAAAACGAATGCCTTCCCTGTACTCCGGGCATGTTTTGTGATCGTCCAGGATTGACCAAGCCTTATGGCAAATGCTCTTCAAGATATTATTGTAGAGGTGGAGCTCTAGTTCCTACTCCTAATGACACGATCACTGGTGGTAGATGCACTACTGGTCATTATTGTCCTATTGGCTCATCTACACCCCTTCCATGTGAAGTAAGTTGAATAAAACCAGTTGCATTTCACAGTGCCCTCTTAAGATTATTTTTCGCTATTTAATTGGATGTTTGGACTTTTGTCGCATTGCTTTTTTTCTTTGATGTCAATATTAGTGAAATTTGTGAAGTTGTCATTATTCGTTGTCAATAACAGTAGACAGGCTTCAAAGTGATGCACAGACGTATTCTTGACAAAGGCATGTAGCGAAGGAAAGTACAAAAACAGAAAACTTTTAATCTCATCAAGTTTAAGTGACTCTGCATAGCGTTTTGAAAAGTGGCTACCTGCAATGAAAAATGTAGCCATAAACTCGTTGAGTGTTTAAAAATTTTTACACAATGAAAGGGAGTTTCTATGTTTTGATTGTATTCTCAGGACGGAACATTTAACAAGGAATATCTTCAAGAGGTTTGTCAAATCTGCCCAGAACGTTACTATTGTGTTGGTGATAAAAGTCTAGATCCTGTTTCCTGCCCGGTTGGATTTTATTGCCCGAATGGAACTGGTTATGACTGGAAGTCTTGCCCCAAGGGAACCTATAGTACTTCGCTGAGCTTAAGGAATCAGTCAGGTGGGATGATGTGGGATAATGAGTGTGTATTATTGAAATTTGAAAGGTTGCGGAATATTTTTTCTCGTGTCAACGTGAAAAGTAAATTTTTAATATCTGGAAAGTTAATGCTAAATGTAGCTATTGCCTGACTTTTTCAGAATGTCGGCAGTGCGATGGCGGAATGTACTGTGGATCTCCTAATGCATCTACGGTTACTGGATCATGTGACCCAGGTTACTATTGTATTGAAGGAGCAGCTGTTCCGAACCCTGAACTTACACCAACTGGAGTAGCAGGGCCATGTCCAGAAGGTCATTATTGTCCGAGAAATACAACATCGCCCTTACCCTGTCCATTAGGAACATACTCGAATAAGACAAGATTGGAAAACGTTGATCAGTGTGAAAATTGCTGGTTTGGTTTCTACTGTGGTCAAACTGGTTTGACAACCTACTCAACCCGATGTGACGCAGGGTTTTACTGCCTTCGTGGTGCAAAAGTTGGAAATCCTGATGGAAGTAACCCAACCGGAGGACCTTGTCCCGTAGGGAGTTATTGCCCTCCAGGCACTGGGACACCTAAAGGCTGCGAGCCTGGAACATTTACCAACTTGACCGGTCAAACAACTTGTCAACCGTGTTGTGCCGGTTATTACTGTGATGGGAATTCATCTGCATGCGATAAGGAATGCCCGCCAGGCCACTACTGCCCTGAGCAAACCAAATATGCTGAACAGTTTCCCTGTCCACGTGGTTACTATAACAACAAAACAGGTGGTGTGAATGCCAAGTGAGTGCAATCAATCAGTTTTTTTGTCGAATTAATTGAGTTTAAAAATGAGCTTAAAACTTGAAGACGAATTGCTTTTAGGCAAGGCAATTTTCTTGATTTAAAAGCTTTTCTGGAAAAAAGTTCTATTTGCATATTCAAAGATGTGTTAATCAATATTACTTATAATTAATGTCTTCTTAATGAAGATAGACTTTGAGAAACTCAGGTCAATTCGCCCATGCTATGCTATCGGAGAATAGCTTCCATGATTTCTAAAATTTCAATTTTAGCTCAACGTTTTACTGCAACATTATTCTGATTAAAAAAATAAGCTTGGGAAACATATTTCTACACTTTGCTTTGGAACAGTTTATGAAGCTTTGTCAAAAGACATTTTTCGTTTTCTTAGTGATTGTGAATTATGCCCCCCGGGCAAATTCTGCAGCCCTTCAGGACGTAGTGAACCTAGTGGAGAATGTGCAGGGGGTTGGTACTGTCTTCGTGGTGCATGGTCCCCAAGACCTGTTCATCATGGTAATTGCACAATGAATACCACATCTTGCTTTTGTCCCAACTCGACGACTGGTGGGGAATGTCAACCTGGTGAATACTGTCCCCCCGGTTCATCTTACCCGTTGCCATGTGAAAAAGGTAATTTGTTAGCATTCAACCTGCTCTCAATCTGGCAAAATTTGAGCCAAAAATATCGTGAAGAGACACACATCTCAACACATTATTATTTACGACGATGATGATAAGTAGCATGAAAACGTAGCAAATTGGATTAATTTTTTTCAGGTAATTTCTGTCAAACCTCAGGATTATCTAATGTTACCGGACCATGTGACCCAGGTTATTACTGTCTAACTGGCTCTAGTATCTCAAATCCACGTGATAACTTGACCGGAAACGTATGCATGCGTGGTCATTATTGCCCGAGCGGAACTTCAGATCCTATCAAATGTCCTATTGGAACATTTTCGAACTCTCTTCAAAATTCCAATAAAAGCGACTGTCGGCCATGCACGGAAGGGAAGTATTGTGAAACGCAAGGTCTATTACGCCCTACCGGGGATTGTGATCGTGGATACTATTGTCCACCCGGGCAATCTTCTAAGCGACCTGCAAAATACAAGTGTACACCTGGTCATTATTGCCCGAATGGAAGTAGCAATGAGCGTCCTTGTGAGTCGGGCAGCTATCAGGACGAATACAGTGAATGGAAATGTAAGGAATGTCCCAATGGTTTCTACTGCGATGCTTCTATTCTAAATTTTACGAATTGTGAACACGGTGTGCAATTGCCAAAACCTTGCCCTCGAGGATATTACTGTCCTAATGGTACTGCCGAGTTTCACGTATACGGCTGCCCTAATGGTTTGTATTTATTTTATTTTTATCACTAAGTTTATATTAACTTACCTCATTTTATTTTCTGTGTATTGCACAGAGCGCAATTATTTTGCAGAAATGTTTACGTTTGAGTTAATACCTTTCCATACTTTGTTGATTGCAAAAAATCGGTAGCAAAGAGCGAATGCTGAGTAAGAAAACAGTCTAAAATGTCAAAGAGAAAAATTCTCACCTTAATATTTGATTGGTCAGTCTTTGAGCTAGCAATGTTGTATTTGCTAGGAACATTTAGCAACAGGACACATTTGACGAGCAGCGATGAATGTACTCCATGTCCTCCCGGTAAGTTTTGCTCAGGAACGGCAAATACGATTTGGGATGGTGATTGCTCGGCAGGTTTTTGGTGTATACAAGGAGCCAGTCAACAAGCGCCTACAGATGGCAACACCGGAAGACAATGTTCTCCTGGGTATGATAATATGTTCTTAATTCTTGGGAAAAATACTGTTTTCCCATAAACTGTAGTAATTGATGTCTAAATTAAACGTGCAAACTGCTTCATTGAAGTGAAATGTGTAATGCATTATGCGTAAAAATAAAGTACATCCTGAGTACTGCTTGTACAACACTATTTTATTCAAGAAAAGCGAATAATTTTCTAAGAACATGACACCCTAAAACAATGTTACTGTTTATTCCATGTAGACATTATTGTCCAATGGGCACTGTGGTAGAAAAGTTGTGTCCAATTGGTACATTCTCTGCTTTTGGGCAATTAAAATCTGTCGTAGATTGCCAACCCTGTACACCCGGACATTATTGTGATAGGATGGGCCTTAACGCTACTTCAGGAAACTGTTCTGCTGGTTATTATTGCCTGGGAAATGCCACAGTTTCAACTCCCACTGACGAAAGGACAGGTATTATTGTTCACAAATTATTGAAGGTTGAATAATGGTTTCATGTTTTTCATCTTGTTGACTAAATATTTTCTATATAGATTATAGTTCTGACGTTATTTTCAGGTAACGAATGCCCGCGAGGTCATTACTGTCCGTCAGGTACCGGTCAACCTAAGCAATGCGAGCCAGGATATTACATGAATCATTCTCAAGCTGTTGAATGCTATTCGTGTCCTGCTGGGTACTTTTGTATCAATCGCTTTCAGCCGTTTCCCTGTTTACCAGGTACGGATTGCACTCATTGTATCACACAGTTTCACAAAATATCAAGCATAAAATCCGTGCGCTGATAGGTCAATAACCGAGTTTGCATTTCCTGTTTGCATCTGTCAATCAATTAAATCAATCAAAGAGAATTTGTAAATATCAATCATGAATACATGTTAGAAGAAAATTAAAACATTTGTTTTAAACTGAACTCTTTCGCATTATTGCTGTTTTATAAAAGAAATAAAAGATGTTTTTTGCTAGAGATTTCTCACAAAAGTCTGCAAGGTTTACATAAGCCTGTGCATTATGATTTACTCCCGTGATAAACATGCCATTTTCTGGTAACTCTCTTTCAGACTCTTCCATGGAGGCGGCGATATAGCGTAAACTGTAGTCAAATTTTAGTACAATTGTCATAACTCAGGCGATTATTATCCTGCATGCAAGTTGCTTTCTCCATATTCTTTTCAGTGCGTTAATTTAGACAATGTTCTCTTCTTAGGTTTTTATTGTCCTCAAGAAACCGGTTTTGATTTGCAGCCGTGTCCAACAGGGACATTCAGCAATAGCTTCCTACTAACATCACCTGATGAATGCCTCTCTTGTTTATCTGGTTATTATTGCGATGCCATGAACAGCACAAATGTCAGTGGTCTATGCGACGCTGGATTCTATTGCAAAAATGGCTCGGATACTCCAACACCATCAGGAGGAAATAAAGGTGACGACGACTTTCCATCGTTGTCTATTGTATATTTGTTTTATTTAACAAGAATGTTGTTTGAGTTATTTGAAATTCACAATTCAAACCATATATAATTCACAATTCAAACCATATACATTCGGAAATTGGTTGCAACCATCCCACTGGGAGTAAGAGGACAATGGAATGCTCGCCTTGCTGGATGAGATTTGCATTGTAAATATGGAAAATCCTTTGTTAAAATCATGCAACATGGCGGCTATGACGTAGCTTGCAAACGAAGAATGTAATTTTTTTATTATATCTTGTCATTTTTTAATTAGGTAATGCTGGTATCTGTCCGCGGGGATACTACTGTCCAAGAGGCGATAAATCATCACCGATAGCTTGTCCGCGGGGAACGTTTAATGACCTTACCCATAAATCATCTTCAAACGATTGCAGCCCTTGTCTTAGTGGTCACTTCTGTGATAAACCGGCTTTGACATGGCCCGCAGGTGAATGCTATGCTGGGTATTATTGCAAGAATGGATCTGATACACCTAACCCAACAAATATCACAAACAGTGGTGGACCCTGTCCTATAGGTCACTACTGTAGAAATGGAACGACCAAACCAGTTCCTTGCCCACCCGGCACATATAACCCCAGGACCCGTCAATATTCTTGTTTACCATGTCCTTCTGGCTATTTCTGCCCTACAGCTTCCTATCAATTTACTGAATGTCAGCGTGGATACTACTGCCCGAATAGCACTGGTTTGCCTAAAGCTTGTCCTATAGGTACGTATAAAAACTATACCAAAGGTGATGATATTAGCGATTGCAAACTGTGCCCTCCCGGTCAGTATTGTCCAACAAGTGGACTGGCTGAGCCTCGTGGTTTATGCGCTGAAGGTTGGTATTGTACCGGTGGATCTTGGGAGGAAAAACCACTCAATGGTTCCATCTTTGCTAACTATAGTGGGTGCCCACTATTAGGAAACACTGGAGGATTCTGTAAAAAAGGAACGTTTTGTCCAGCTGGAAGTGATCAACCTAGGTTGTGCACCGCAGGCTATTACTGTGATAAAGACTATCTTCGTGATGTATCTGGTCCTTGCTCTCCTGGATACTATTGTAACGGAAGCACTATAAACAGCAAACCTAATGGTGCGGACAGTGGTGGGTTCTGTGAACCAGGCTACTATTGTCCCGAACGAAGCTCTTATCAACTGCCATGTTGGCCGGGAACATATTCTCCTAATAGTGGTAATCAGCGTCGTAATAACTGCCAACCTTGTGATCCGGGCACGTATTGCGGCTCCTATGCCTTGGCTAAACCCGAAGGAAAATGTTCTGTAGGTTATTATTGTCCTGCCGGCGAAACACTGCGAAGTCCACCAGACAAAGAATGCCGACCCGGACATTTTTGTCCCGAAGGCACGGGTATACACGAGCCTTGCTTGCCTGGATTTTATCAACCATATAAAGGAATGGGCTTGTGTTACATCTGTCCCGAGGGAAGTTACTGTGACCCAGCTGAAGGCAGACTCAACTTTTCGAGTGGCATAAACTCTTCAACGCACGGCGTGGTATACCCTCTTGACTGCCCTCGTGGCTACTACTGTCCAAACGGCACAAGTGCAAAATACCAACACCCTTGTCCACTTGGTACATTTGGTAATCGAAGCAAGCTAACAAGCTTGGAGCAATGTGAGCCATGTTTGAGAGGCCATTATTGTAAGAAATCAGGAATCGTTGAAACAAGTGGGATATGTTACAAAGGGTATTACTGCACCATTCTCGCAACTCTTCCAAATGCAAATGTTACAACTAATGAGGGCGGTCCATGTCCACCGGGACATTATTGTCCCAAAGGTTCGTATGAACCTCAGCCATGTCCTAGGGGAACATATACACCGCTGGAAAAACGGGGAATGTTGTCCGATTGCATTGATTGCCCTGGTGGTCAGTACTGTGCGAATTCTGGTCAAGCAGCACCAAATGGAAGTTGTTATTCTGGATTTTACTGCACTGGAAGAGCTTTAAAGCCTAATCCAGTCAATGAAAGTTTTGGTGATGAATGTCCAACAGGTAACTATTGTCCCGTTGGTACCGCCACACCATTCAAATGTCCCCCTGGTACGTTTAATAACTTGACAGCTGCAAGCCAACCATCTCACTGCCTGCCTTGTTCACCTGGTAAATACTGTAATGGATACGGCTTGACGTCGGCATCTGGTGATTGTGATCCTGGATGGTTTTGCAACAGAGGAGCATATAGTAAAAGACCTACAATTCTCTCCAATCTAGTTTATAACAACTCCTTCGATTTCACATGCCCAGCGTATTTAGTCAATCAAACGGGGGGTGTTTGCCCTGTGGGTCACTACTGCCCGAGAGGCTCACATGCGCCATTGATCTGTTTGGCTGGAAAGTACTGCGATATTACAGGTTTGTCGTATCCTGCGGGTAATTGTACCGAAGGTTATTATTGTGCTCCCGGGTCCAACTCTTCTACACCTGTGACATGTCGAGCTGGTTATTATTGTCCAGCTGGGACTTCATATGAAATCCCATGTCCGCTAGGAACGTTTAATCCTCATCGAAGCATGATATCGTTGTCACATTGTCAGAACTGCACAGAAGGATATTATTGCCCTATACAAGCCACAACTAACGTTACTTTTAAATGTATGCAAGGTTATTATTGTCCTTCTGGGTCATTTCGCCGCGATGCAGCGGAATGTACTAAAGGACATCGTTGTAAGAATGGAAGCCCACGTCCCGAACCTTGTCCAGCTGGAAGTTACCAGGATAATCTTGGACAATATGAATGTAAAGTATGCCCTGAAGGATTCTACTGTCCTGCTGATGCTGTCATTGTACCTTTGAATTGTACCCAAGGTAAAACATTTTTGCATACTGATTCGCTCTGCATGATACAGATCTTCCGAAACTCCATATTAATGTGACAAATGTCTTTGTTATTAATTATGATAGAATAATCATATGAAAGGTAATTGTTTTAAAGTCTACTTATAATCAAATGAACTAGATATTATGTTTTCATGATGACAGAATTCGACGAACTACTTAAGAGAGCTTTTTGTTTCAGGTAATTACTGTCCACGTGGTACAAAATCAGAAAGACAATACCAATGTCCACTAGGAACATACAGTAGTAAAGTTGGATTGACAACTAGTTCCCAGTGCTCACCATGCTTGCCTGGGCAATTCTGTGCTGGTTCTGGCAACAAAAGACCTACTGGAAATTGTGCAGCAGGTATTGTGTAACAAAATATAGTATAGTCAAAAAATTGTATTGACCTACATGACTATAATTACATAAAGTAAGAGATTAAAAAAATACTTGTCATGTTGCTCTTGTCAATAGGATGTAAACATTATTGGTCGGTTTATGCAGCTCAGTTTTGATGAGGGATCTATTTTAGAATATAAAGTAGTTTATAAAAGCCTCCATACTGTTCGGCAGTTTTGCTTTACTTATTATCAGATTGAAAAAATAGCTAATTCATCATCCAATTGTTGTACTCTTCAAAGTTTTGTATTCATCCAATTTTATAATTCATCCTTGTTAACAATTCTTCCAAGTTTATTATTCGCCCATGTATATAATTCTTGCAAGTTTATAATTCCTCCACGTTTATAGTTTTTCGAGTTTATAGTTCTTCCAAATAATAGATCTTCCACTTTGATTGTCAACCTTTTATCTTCTCTATTCTCTTCTGTTTCTAATAGATACTATAAGTAAATTCGTGATTTGTATTCATCCACATCGTTTATTCACCTTAACGTAACAGAAAAAATTGAGTTTGGTCTCTTCTGTTCCTCTTTCTTTTATTTATATTGCATTCCCGTGTATAGCTCTCCTCCAATTTCATATTTACAGGAATTAAGCTTGTACTTAGGTAATGTTCTCAATATTAGGCTACTATAACTTTCAAGTATTGTTCGCCTTTATAAAAGGTAAAATTTTTTTTTGAGATTTGTCGTGTTGAATCTTTGTGCTTACCTGAAAAATGAGTTTTGTAAAAACGACTCATTTATTTTTCTCATTTCCTAATATGCCTGACAACCTTTCTCGTCAGGTTTTTACCGTTACAATTTGAAAATCTGTTTTATGTCAACAAGAATTTCTTTTTAAGTTGCTCATCGAAAAATGAAGAGCACTTAATTGAATAGTGTTTTACTACACAGATATGCAATTTCAGGTTTCTATTGTACATTGAACGCTTCAAGTAATACGCCGAATCATGGTATTACTGGAGGATTGTGTCCTCAAGGAAGATATTGTCCATCTGGCTCAGTAAGAGGAAAAGATTGCCCTGAAGGTTTGTTTTATTAGACGTTATAACTGAAAATTTCAAACTGTCGTACAAAACGACATTTATCATGATAAGCCAATGAAGTTGTAGTAAATAGAATCTATTTGTTCTGCTAAGCGTATTTTTCATCACTAGGGACGTTTAACAACCGCACTGGTCAACAAAACGAAACAAACTGCATTCCTTGCCTACCTGGTTTTTACTGCCCACACAAGGGAATCAAATTTCCTTCTCTTGCTTGTACCGCTGGCTTCTGGTGTAAATCTGGTTCTTTTACTCCAACGCCCATTGATTCATCACAAGGCATTCGCTGTCCCAACGGCAGCTACTGTCCTACAGGAACACCTAGACCTATCAACTGTCCGGCTGGCACATATCAACCTGAGAATGGCAAGACACAGTTTAGTGATTGCAAAGGTTGTGATCCGGGAATGTTCTGTGATTCATCCGGTCTTGATGCTGTCAGTGGTCCCTGCAAACAGGGTTTTTACTGCGTTATGAATGCAACAACTAGTGAACCGAAGGATGGTAAATCTGGAGACGTGTGCCCAATGGGACATTATTGTACTCAGCAGACGTCTGAACCGTATAAATGCCCTAACGCTACGTACATGAACCACACAGGTATCTGTTTGACTGTGTCAAACAGAACTTAGTATACTTAAAACTTACATAAAATTTGAAGAACATGAAGAACTTTAGAAAAATAACTTGTAAACGAAGATGTTTTGAACAGAATGTATAAGTTGAAGAGGCTCTTTTATTGTCACCAAAAGTAAAGGCTTTCTCGGAGGAGCGCCATGTTGAAAAATCTCTGTTATACGAAAACGAGAGACCTCACTTACTTATTCAAATTATTGTTTTGTACCTTTTTAGTTGATTTACATTTTTGTTAATTTTTTATGTAACTTGCGCATGTTTTTATCTCATGTGCGAATATCTCATCGATGATTTAGTATTTTTTCAGCATGTATGTAGATTGATCCGATTCGGACATGTGCAGGGAACATTTGATATGATTGCAAAACATTGACTTGATATTTGACTTAACACGAAACCCTTTTTTATCAATTTAAGTAAAGGAATCGATTCTGACCTTTCAATACTTTAGCCAAGAATGTGAATAATAGGTTTATTTTTTTCCTATATGTGTTTACGTTTAGCCCTATTCATTATTTGCAGGAGCAAGCAGTTGCTACCTATGTCCTGCTAGACATTATTGTACTAATGGGTACAGTGCAGATGTATGTCCTCGTGGCTTCTACTGTCCAAAAGGAACAGGTTTTGATTATCTTCCCTGTCCAGTGGGAACGTTTGGTGAAAGAACAGGCTTGGCTCGCATTAATGAATGCACTCAATGTTCATCTGGTCATTTCTGTCAGTTTTCAGGAAAATCAAATTTTACAGGACAATGTGATGGTGGTAGGCTTGATTCATTCAATTGACGCATTGGTCCTCGTTTTTCATCTTATTTAAACTTTTTATCATAATTTAGCAAACGCTATTTGTAGCCTATGTTATTATTTTAACTTTTAGACAAAACTTTTTCATGTGAGTTTCGCTGATAAGAAGTGTTTATTTTGTAGGATATTTTTGTAAGACCGGTGTGAACACGTCGAAACCGTCGAACGACCATACGGGTAGTGGAGGTATATGTTCCCCGGGATATGAATGCCCAGTTGGATCGGGAGATCCTTCTCCATGTCAACAAGGGTATTACGCGCCAATCTCAATGATGGAAAAATGTCTAGTCTGTCCTGAAGGTTTGCATCTTTTTCTTGCATTTTACCAACTGCCGAAATATCATCGTTGTAGTTATTGTAACATCTCTTTTGGATAAAAAAAAGGAAGTAATGATTACTTTGGTGACTCGTTGTCGTTTGACTTGAAGTAGGATAGCACGATTTGCCTAACTTTAATAATTACTTTCGTCCCTTTTGTTTATTCTTTCAGGAAAATACTGTAATGGTACAACTATTAAACCCTCGGAATGTCCACCTGGTAGTTATTGTCCTTTAGGCACCAGGTTTGCTACGCAATACCTTTGTCCAGCCGGAACGTTCAACAACAAGTCGTCTCAAACGTCAAACTCATCGTGTCAGCAGTGTTGGCCAGGGTATTATTGTGAAGGAGAAGGTCTTCATCAACCAAGTGGTGTTTGTGATCCGGGTTTTTACTGTTTTGGTGGAGCGGCAATGAAACGGCCTGGTGATTTTGGTCATCTTAATGTCAATACAACTAACATGTCGTGTCTTGCACAATGTGTTTGTCCAGCATTGAACACAACGACAGGTAAAATAATTCACAAGTTTATGAAAGATGTCTGCTGTTATATCTTTCAGGGAAATGGACTTCATCTTATATGTCTAGAAGTCAATCCGATGTTAAAATGCTTGTTGGAACTTTCTCCTTCATGTTTCACTAAGTTAAGGAATGAAAATGTAATTTAAAAATAACGGTGCACGCAAAGTTTGTAAACGGTTTATTGCATGTGGACGTTGAACTTCAGAAATATCTTCTTTGAAAGGTGGTATCTGTCCTATTGGTCATTATTGTCCAAGGGCGTCGAAAAAGCCTCTGGATTGTAAGCTTGGAATGTACTGTGCTTATCCTGGTCAGGAAGTGCCTACTGGAAACTGTACAGCTGGCTATTTCTGCAATGACACTGCAACCGTACCGATCAATTTGTTTGTCCTATGGGACACTACTGTCCAAGAGGAACGGGTGTACCTATTCCTTGTCCGGCTGGGACATTTTCAAACGCAACAAAGAACACAAAAAGCACAGATTGTCAACAATGCAAAGGTTGGTATGGCTTTGTGTGTAGGCGACATTATTTTCCAATATACGTACCCAGTAAAATGACTATAGAGCCTGTATCTCAAAATCATAGCGTGATTTTACAGCTTTATAAGGTTCAGGATTCTATGACTTCTAGATCATTCAGATTTCTGATCAAATTCTCATACTCTCACACCATGCATCGAAGTCCATTGCGTCAAACTACATTATTAATAATTTTTTTGATCTTTCGCTGTTTTTTGAAGGTGGTCATTACTGCGATGGAACAAGAAATATCGCACCTACCGATGAGTGTGAAGCTGGATATTTCTGTCCTGGTGGTCAAAAAAGTCCTGGGGAATATTTATGTACGGGAGGGCATTATTGCCCACGTGGCTCTATCACACCTCAGAGATGTTGGAATGGCTCTTATCAAAACTCCACTGGACAAGATGGCTGTATTGAATGTCCATCCGGATACTATTGCAACCCTGCATATGGTCCAGTTATAAATCCGACACCCTGTCCTACAGGGTATTTTTGTCCAATGGGCACAACTTTGGGAAATGCATTTCCCTGTCCGATGGGTAAGAGTAAATAGTTTTCGCCAACAACACAACGTGACTTATATTATTCTATCGTTATGAGAATTGATTGATGCATCTTCAAATATATGAGACGAAAAAGATTCAAACCATAAAAAGTCGCCAGCAATGCTGTCAAGCACGGCAGCATCTAAACTCATACTTCAAATTTAGTTGTACAGACAAATTTTCGATGCAATACAAATTATCTCACAAACCTTAAAAACGACAATTAGTAATCGTGTGCTTTCTGCAATACTTAGTGTCAAATGCAGAAAAGTAAAGGGATTTTGTCAATGTCTTCAGCGTATTTTTTTTTCATCTGCCAGCATGAAAAGTCGGGTCTCTGTTTGGTGCCTGAGATGTGTTTGTTTCCGTTGAGCGTAAAACAAAGAGCTTTTAATAAAGAGTTTTCAGTCATTTTCTTAAACACTTCGTTAGTTTTTATCTTACTGATTGCAATTTTCATTGTTTTTTCCACGGTAGGAACATTCAACAACAGAAGAAAAGCACAATCAATTGATGAATGTCACGAATGTCCTGCTGGGCAGTTCTGTGGAAGTGCTGGTTTATCAATGCCCTCGGGAAAATGTCTTGCTGGTTATTACTGTCTCAAAGCATCCAAATATCCATATCCTGTAAAGAACCTTACCGCGCCTGCTAACTTCACGTTTCCATACTACAATGACCGCTGCCCACCTGGTTATTATTGCGAATCAGGCACAACCCATCCGAAGAATTGCCCTGTTGGGACCTTTTCCACGACTGGTGGTATAGCGAACGCATCTGATTGTCAACCGTGTCAAGCTGGTCGTTATTGCAGTTTCTCCGGACCTGTTAGGTCAAACGAGCCGCCTAAATGTTTTCCTGGATTTGTCTGTCTACGTGGGTCAAGTACTCCAACCCCTGTTGATAATATTGCTGGCTACGAATGTCCTCCCGGATTCTACTGTCCAGAAGGTGAATTACATGATCATGCATTATGATTAATGATCAATATGACACTATCAGATAAGGATAAGACCTGTTTGAGTGTCCTCTAGGGCTCTACTGTCCAGTAAGTAAAGTACGTTATCAGTATGAATAATCTGTATGAAACTATCAAATAAGGAAACGTAGGTATTTTTGCCACACAGAAGAGTATTTAAGGTGTTAATATATTATTGCCAGGGGCTTAACTAGACCATTCATTGCCGGGGAGTATAATAATATATTCAGTTGCGCCCGATTGATTTTTGTGAACTTGAATTGGCGTTCAGAAAAAAATTTATCGGGTACAAATGGATACATGAATATTCACCCTCTCCTAATCTCTAGAGGAAGTTTACACTTACGGTTTTTTCATTTTTTTGTGAATTTTAGATGTGACATAAAATTTGTCTTTCTTGGTTATTAGGGGCTCTTACCAAATTGTCGTGTTCTCCCGGAACGTACCAGCCAGACTCCGGTCAATCATCTTGCGTTAACTGTACCAATGGTGCAATGTGTCCCGGATTCAATACCACATCTCCTTCTCTATGTAAACTTGGTTATTACTGTCCAAGTGGTTTACCAATACCCTGTCCCAATGGTACATATGGAAAGCATCTTGGTCTCAAGGGGGTGCATCAATGCTCCGATTGTCCTTCTGGTAAATATTGTCCAGGATTGGCAAACACATCACCTAACCTCACCTGTGCTTCAGGATGGTACTGTCAGGGTGGGGCATCCAGTGCCACTCCCTCGCGTTCGACTAAATTTCCAGGAAATGGTCCCTGTAGAGCTGGTAGGATTTCGTTTCTGATATTTAGGCTGCTTGAATAATTTTCGTTACATGTATAATATTTTCTCAACTAATTTTCACAGCAATAGCGTGACGAAACGGATGTTTCTCATCGCCATTGTACTTAAAGACGTCTTTGACTGTATTTAGTGTCCTAGTTTGATTGGACGAACAACCACATTATAATGGTTTTGTAATTTCACCGGTTCGCGAATGTAATTTAATTGCTCTATTGTTGAGTAGTTTCTCAGTTGTAATGTTGTGGTTGTTTAATTACTCCGTTGGTTGCTCCATTCAAATGTAGAACGAAAGTTCCGATGTTCTTCTTTTGTTTCAATGTGATTATGTGTTTCAGCAAAAAGTGTCAAACTTTGGCACTAAAAAGCTACGTTAATTTCAATGTGAACCGAGTAAGCCAGTACAAACTGCTACAACTTGTACGCAGGATTTAAGAAAATGGATTTATTAATTTCGGACGACATATGCCTTTTCTACATATCAAACAAACCTGCAAAGTTTAAGACTATACTTGTTCATGACTGCGCAGTATTTACGATCAATTTGTGTTTATCATCAAGGATACTATTGCGAGGAAGGAACGATTGCACCAATCAAATGTCCGCCAGGAACATTTCGCAACACAACTGGAGGAAGATCAGTAGAGGAATGTCTGGACTGTCGACCTGGCTTTTACTGTGAATACTCTGGACTTGTTGAACCAACTGCAGAATGTGATAGAGGTTATTACTGTCCAGAAGGAAGCAAAGTTAACGTTTCTTCCCCATCAAGTTATCAATGCGTTGTCGGCCATTACTGTCCCAAAGGAAGCATAGCTCCGGTGCCTTGTCCACCAGGTATAAAGATTTGTATTTAGCGAAAAGTTTGATCATTCATAGCGCGTATGATTTCTTTAAGGTGAAGACGTTCTTTTCAGTTTTAGTGCATATTAATTGAAATTGTATATTTCAAATGGATGGAAGTTGTTTGATGTGGAATTTAAATTATAAAGTCTTTAAAACATGGTTTGAAATACAAAAGGACATAAACCAAACTGGTCGAAAATTTTTTTTACAGAAAGACTCTGCTCTTTCATGGACACACGTCTCTAAAAAATTCGAAATTTGTAAACGTCAGCACAAACTTCTTGATTTCTTCATGCGATTTCATATCAAAAAATGTCTGTTTTTTGTGAGTTCTCCATCGGTACAAACTTTGATTTCTCGCACTACTTTACAAAATGAACCATGGAATTGCTCATAACATGTTTTGAGGTGGATAGTTACATCTGGAATTCTGGATGCATTAGCACACACTATTGTGTATAAAAGTATCACTCATTTACGTAAATGTATTGCACATCAATGCATGTCAAGGTATTTAAGACTTTGATGTTTTATATTTTATAGGTCAATATCAACCACGAAAAGGAATGTGGGAATGCACAAAATGTCCTGCCGGATATTATTGCACGAGTACCAATGATTCACATCAAATTCCATGTCCAGAACGTCATTACTGTCCAAGCGGTAGCTCTCTACCGACCGTTTGTCCAGATGGCACATTTTCCAAATCTGGTGATGTAAAGTTCGTAAGTGAAAGTCAATGTCGGAATTGCATAACGGGTAGCTACTGCAGAGCAGGAAAGGTATTTGGTCCATGTTCTGCTGGATATTACTGTAAAAGTCGAAGTCCTGACCCAAACCCAACGTCTAGCAACTACTCCCATCAAGTGGATGCGGGACCATGTGCACCCGGGTATTATTGTCCCATCGGAACATTGACTCCAAAGGCATGTCCAAACAACACTTTGAAAGATTATTCTGGTGGTAATGGAGTACCTTCTGATTGTAAACCATGTCCAGCTGGTAGACAATGTTTCACAGGTGTGTATATTTATGCATTCGACCACATTTTCTTTAACAAGAAAAAATATTGAAGTCTTTTTTTTGTCAAGTCGAATGTCTAAAAATCGTTATCCTAATGTGGAGATCTTTTCTCGGCTTGGAGTTCAGTTCTTCTTGCACGAAACTTGCATATACTATTTGAAGAACATGATGTAAGCACTTAAAGCATTTCATATGTTTATTTTAGGGAACGGAATTGCGTTGTTTTGCCCATCGGGTAGTTATTGTGAACTTGGAAATGACGGTCCACAGGAATGTCCTTTAAACACATATAGACATCTAGTTGGCGGTAAAAACATCACCGACTGTTTCGCTTGTCCTGCTGGATATTGGTGCAACATCACAGGTTTGGCTGGCATACTTGGCTACGAATGTCCGGTGGGGTATTATTGTCTTCAAGGGCAAAGTCCCGTCGCTTGTCCAGGAGGAACTTTACGCAGTCGTGTTGGAGCGAAAAATTCATCAGAATGTCTTGCATGTCCTTCCCGATATTATTGTCCTGATGGAATAGCCAACATTGATGGTATCCCATGTTCAGCTTCATACTATTGTCCCATAAGATCTGCTTTACAGAAACTATGTCCTGGAGGCTACTATTGCCCGGCAATGACAGGCAAACCACTGATATGTCCAGGTAGACATCGCATGTATTCCTGTCTTTTATACATGAAAAAAAAAGTGGTCACGTATGCATTCGAATAGAAAAAGATACATAATTCATATAGTATTATGAAATAAACACAATGAAACGCGTGCGCTGATTGGTCTAGAGCTGTGTTTGCATTAGCCTGTGCAAAACAAATCTGAGCTCAACCAATCAAATCAATCAAAACAATCAATCAGTCAAAGAGGATTTACAAATCGATCATGAATACATTATAGAGGAAAAATTAAAATGCTTGTCTGTTTCATATTATTTTATTTTATAAAAGAAATAAAAGATGTTTTTCGTGTTTGCAGTGGCTTTTGCAATCCTCGGAGACGTTTGTGAGAACCCTCGAGCAGGTGCAACCCTCGACCTTTGGTCTCGGGCTTGCACTGATCTGCTCTAGAGTTCTCCCAAAAGTCTCCTCGGTTTGCATAATCCTGTGCAAACACAGTAAACATCTTTTATTTCTTAATTAACAGTTCGTAGTCATATTCATGAAAAAACTCGATGCATGTCAGTAAAAGTGGTAAAAAACTGCTCATTTTACTTAAATTTATTTCAAACTTCAAATCAACGATTAATTATTCATGTTTTTGTTAAAAGCAAAACTTAAACTCTTTCAGCTGGATACTTTTGTGCAGCCAATTCATCAGGAATAAAACCTTGTGTGTATCCATATTACTGCCCTGAAGGCTCAGACAGACCCCTTGATTGTCCTCTGGGGTACCGCTCGATGCGCGTTGCTGGAAACCGCACTTCACTCGAACAAACTTGCTCTATATGCCCTCCTGGTTACTATGGCGATCACCCAACGCGTTACAACTGTTCCATATGTCCAGCGGGATATTATTGTCCCGCAGGCACCATTGGACCACATGTGAATCCCTGTCGACAAGGATACTTCTGTCCAAAACAATCCTCGAAAGAAATACCTTGTCCAACTGGAATGTACGGTAATAAGCGTCTAGCTGTAAGGCCTTCTGATTGTTTTCCATGTCCTGCAAATTACTTTAACAATCGCGCCGGTCAGTTGGCTTGTCGTCCATGTGGTAGCAGTGCTATATCGGACCGTGGATCTTCTCAGTGTAATTGCTTGGGAAAGTACAGATCATTCCAGGTCTCTGATGGATCATGTCAATGTTTGTCTGGTTATGTCTACTACAGTGAAATTAACAAAGAAAAGGAAGAGGGAGATAGTGACTTGTCTTGTCAGCCAAAGGTATTGAAATTTTCACTGTTTTAACACGCTATGAACTGAAAATCACAAATGAAGAAATTTGACGTCATACACTGGAAGTGAAAGCAAACAAAAGAGTTCGTTTGAATAAATAACAAAATCAAAACAAATGTTTTATTGTGGTTCCACAAACTACTCAAGTAATCTTTACCGTCATTTTTAGTCATTTTAATCCCACAGTGTGTGTACATATAGGGTTTATTTTACCGTAATACTTGTTTAGGTGGATAAGCGTTGTGGAAGTGGCAAGGTTCGTTTATCACGCACTAGAGATTGCGTTGACCTCGACACAACATCTTCGGAATGCACCTCCTGCAGAGTTTCCCGTGCAAGGTTTGACGTGGAACTTGGAGGGTGTGTGTGTAACAGTGACGAAGTGTGCAACAGGACATGCAGGGAGAGAAAACCAAATGTAGTCTTATCACGTGACTCCAGTAGTGGGGTTCTTCGCATCGTGACGTCATCATCCGACGGTGAAAACAGAACGGTAACTTTAAATGATGATTACGGTATAGCATCCTACGACTACGATCAACATCATTGCGAGATTGTCGAAGTATCGTCGTCAGGAATTTCAGGAATTGTTATAACAAGTACCAGTCAGTCTCCCATACAAAGCGAGCAAAGTGGTTCATCTGGTAGGCGAGTCCGTCGTTCGGTGACAAATACCACTGCGAACAATATCGCACCAAATCAGGAACCAGATAAAATTCCCAGTCCTTTTATTTGCATCGCAATGGGAAGCGCAATTCTTTTCCAAATTGAAATCAATCAAGTAAACCGGTCACTTAGTCATTACCCTAGATACAACAAAGACCATTTGTTGAACAAGAACGATCGTTTCGACTATGGTTATTTTCGTTTCCTGCATTCTATAGTTCGAGATACCAACAAATCTCTCACGACATTTGCTAACGTGTTCAACCAAGATGGGGTGTTCGTATTTTACGACAACGCCTTACAAACGAGCGAAATGATCGTTAAGGTCACGGGTCTTGGAGAAAAGTGCAGCGAGACTTTAAATAATGAAATGTTGCCGGTAACGTCTCTCACATTGACGCAGTACAGAGTGGGAAAAGCGAAGGTGAGTGCCACTAAATACTCATGGGGATTTGAGATTTCCAACTTTTATGCATAAGGGTGAAAGTAACTTTTACTACATGTTCCTCGTGTCAGACATTATGATCCAGATTCGGACTGCCCTATGTGTCGTTATGGCATGGCACATAAGCCATACAGGGAAATAAAATGCTCCCCTTGTTAATACACACCAATACAGTATCAAATGGACTGAAATTTAAGAAATTATTTCATTCCCGTGCTTGTTAAATGAGAGACTATTTATTAAGCAAAACAGTCGAAAAAGTTTAAAGCAGCAATAAAACCGTTGTAAAAAACAATTTTTGAAAGCAACTGAGGATCCCGGAGTGTGTAAGTACTCATGACCATCGTCAAAGACATTGGAAATGAAAAAAGTTCTTTTTAAAACGCTTAACTATTTTTCGTAGTTAGCAATAGAAATCTGAACTTGTTCTGAAATGTGATTTGTGTAAAGTTTGGGAAAAGGGGCATTAAAAAACGTTCCAATGCTTAGGCAATTTTGTCTACTTTTTTACGAAAATACGTTTTTGTAATTTTGTTACGCTTTTTGTATTCCTTTAGCCCAAAAATCTTGAACCTAATTGGTTGATAATTTATGGTGTGACAGCGTTTATTTTAATATGTGTGGTGATGCTAGTGATTGCAACCGTAATCTGGAGACCGAGAAACTTTGGAAGAAATTCTTTCAAGGCTTTGCGTCCCAAATACAAAAGTTTGGGTGCTCCAATACCCGTGGTTCCTATTCCCGGTGTTGATGATATACCGGGTGAACTCGGCCCGAGGGGTGTGGCCGAAGGCGCACCATCGTCATGCCAAACAGAAAGTGTGAAATTCGAGCTGGAGAATTTCAACGTCCGTACTCTATATGATAAATTGGAAGATCAAACACTGCACGTTACCTCGCAACTTGCCCGCCATCAAGCAGACCTGAGAGGATTTTATGAACGCATAAGCCAACAGGCAGAGAAACTAAAGCAAATGTTGAACAATATGGACGTGACAGCGCTGATTGAAACTACGAAACAGGCAGCCAATCAGAAAAATGATGCAACTGAAAGTGTCTCGAGTGCTGTGCAAGAAGGAAAACAAGAAATTAATGAGATAATACCTGGCGGTAGCGACCGTGAAAAGGAATTAATGAAAGCTTTGCATGTTCTTGTGGAGAAAATCGAAACTGGTGAAGCAGTTACGAGACACCGTGGTTTAGGTATGTTTTATTGTTGGAAATTTAGACTTTTGCTTGTGTTCTAAAAACTCACTCACGCTCATTGAGTGAGGCTTCATAATCATTTGAAGAGAGCATTTCCACTTAACTGATTGTTTGATTTGAAATATTTGATAAGCGAAAGTGTTTTCATCGATGGAGAAATGACATAGCCAATGATTAGAGAGGATCGTCCTGGTTACTGTAATCCTCAGAAGGACTGTTGGACCAGAAGGACGATACTTCCGGGTTCGAACCATTCACTTGATTAGAGAGAGTGTGATTTTTATGTCGTGCTCAATGAATGGGAGTGAGCTTTTAGAATGCGGGTGTTCTACTGGTTCTTTGTTACATAATCAATATTGCAGTTATGGCAGAGTGAAGAACGTGAAATTCACATATCATCAAATTCTTTTTGATATCTTTTATGTCATAGGTTCCGTTACTTACGCAGTTGATAAATCAATAACGCCATTGTCAACTGATCTCAAACACACTGAACATGTTGTTACGCTGAGTTATGATAGTAATAATAGTGTACCTCAGACAATTGGACCAACTACGAATTCGAAGATAAAGGATGTTGTTAAAAGATTGAATGACGAACGAATTATGGTTGACCGTGAATTGAGGGAAAATGAACAGGCTGAAATTCGAAACTTCTTCAATAAAGAGGTTTAATTTTTTAACAGTTGTATTGATAATTTTTTAAATCTTCGTTTACTTGAAAACATTGCAGAAAGGTTCTGTCGATCAACTATGAGAAATCTGCCATTTAATGGACCGTAAACATATGTACAATGAGAGCCCCGCCAGACAAAATAAGACAATCCCCTCCCAAAACACATTTTTTGCAGATAAGGTTGGTTTTTGTAAGGCATATCATAAGAAAAATTGACAGGCTATGTTTAGAAAGATATTGCGTTGAAGTGACCTTGCAAAGGATATGAAGTGTGAGTCGGTTTACTTCCATCCTCTTGTTGACGAGAAACTTTCATTTGCTTTAGAATGATCGGCATAAGGAGGTGGTGAAAAAGAAAGCTCAAGATTTGGCTGACATGTTATCTGGATGCAACTCGGAGGAAGAAATGCGAGAGATAATGGAAGCACACGACGTAGAGCTGCGTCGACTTGAACTTAACTTTGCCACAGAGAAGGAACAAAACTTGAACAGCTTGAAGAAACGTTTGCTGAAAAAAAGAGAAGAAAGGGAAAATTCTTTGTTGAACGAACAGAGAAAAGAGGTAGGAAACAAGAAAAATAGCCACGCAACGACAAGCTAGTGTTGTCCAAGTTATTAGAACATTTTTGGGCGAGCATTTCAAAATGCTTCATTGTCTTCGCTAATGAGTATTACATATCATTTTTTGGCTCAAAGATACTATGGATAGTTCTGCTTTAAAATTGCTAAAAATAATAGGTACCTGTTTGGTGTAATACAAAGCTCAATAATGTATTTAGAGCTCCAAAGAGTTTCTAGATGACTGGTGTGGGTCTAGAATCTTTAAAAGTGTATTTGTTGTTCAATAATTTAAGCTTGACTTGTGTGTCTTTAGGCTGAAAAGCATGACATAATTCTGAAGGATAATGACGACAAACAGTTCTCAATAGCCAACGTCATGCAGTTTGAAACAGCTGTCCTTTCTACAATCACTCACGATGAGGCTCGTGACCTTGCAAGAGCTGAAGAGAAAGTTGAAGAAGATCAAACAGATTCATTACTGCGACAATATGGCGACTCCTTTTCAGGAATAGTTGTAAGTAACAGCAGGACTTTTTACAGTTTTCGTGTCCGTTTGTGTCATGGAAACGATTCTTTGATCGGTAACAGATTTTGTCCTTAATTCAGGAAAATCTCGGAGGGAATATTGGCACCACGGAGGCGGAAGAATATCTTCGTCAGCATATGAAAATGGAAAGCGATTTGGAAAGGTTGAGAATCGAAAAGAAAAATCAGCAAATTGCAGGCATAAGTGAGAAACTGGAACAAAGAAAGAAGGAGCGATTGAGAAAACTTAAGGAAAAACAAGAACTCGAACGAGCTCAGGTAACATCCTGATGGAACTGTTGATTATAATATTGACTTGAAAGGGGTATGTTTGATGGTTTGAATTAGAACGTGACTACTTATACGTTAGAAATTACCTCAATGTACTGTAAGATAGATAATGTTTAAACGATCATAATTTACATGCAGATCTAAAATGAATGTGGTTTTGTGTGCATTTTCTAGGCCATTGAACATGGTTTGAATGTTGCGGAGCTTGAGAGACGTCATACATACGAAAAAGATGATTTAGATGCAGAATTTGAGATGGAGAAAGCTCAGCACTTTGCTGAAATAAAGAAACGCATAAACATGGAACATGAAGATGAAGTAAAGAAAAGACACAAAGCCTTACTGGAAAAGGTTAGATTATTCTTCATAGTTACAACTTCCATATTTTTCAGTCGCTTTCCTACAGAGGTTGAATTACTCAAAAAAACGGCTGTTATCAGTGCAAGCTTTCATCTTTTTTCTGTTTTCAGATCGGTCGTGAACAGCAAATTGATCCTATGCTGCAACAGCAAATCTTACATGAACTACGTCGTGAAAATGAAAATGCCATTGAAAGCTTTAGAAAGCGAAAGGCCTTAGCCATGCAGGCTGCCAAGGTAGGTCATACACATATCTTATAATCATGGACGCAACCGAGGGTAGACAAATTTAAAGCCTTAAATGAACACATATTAGTAAAATTATAAGCTTTAGCCATGCAAGCAAGCAAAGTTTATCAATTTGTAAGTGTACACCTTTCTTTAAAAATTGCAACGAATTCGATTATGTATACTCATACTTATTTGTTGTACAACCACTTTTGAACGCAAGATGAACTGTATGACTACTTTATCCAATAATCAAATGCTTACATCCACATTTATATACCTCGCGTAGGATAAGATTGCTTCTCGCAAGGCAAGACGTGAGATGGAGGCTCGACGTCTGGCTGATGAAATAGCTGCTCGACGTATTTTAGATGAGCAGAGCAAAGCAGTGGTCACCAAGAAAGAATTAGATGAGGATAGTATTGTTTTGCCTGACGTACCACTATCAATAGAATCAACAGAAGAAAAGGTAAAAACAAATGTTTAAATCTAGTGCAAGCAATACACAAAGACATTAAATATAAAATGCATCATGCGACGTTTATGTTTACCTTATCTATTTTCAATTTGCCAAAGTATGTTTTGTGTTGATATGACGCGGTTTAGGAAAAGACCGCTGAAGTTCATTCCTCGAAAATGTCGCTTTCAAGATAATGAGCTTGAAAATATCCCAACCAAACATGGTCCAACCTAGCTTGACTACTTGGGAAATGAGGGATTCCAGCTTTAATAGTCGATACGAAGCAAATTCTCATATTTTAAATTTTAGTCGAATTTCCCCGAGCAGATTTGGTCTTAATGTACTAATGTTTTAATTTTTTCATAGGTTTTGATAAAGGAGCAGCAACGTGCGCTGGAAAATATGAAAGAGAGACACTCGAATGAGGAAGTTAAACTTAAAAAAAATCTTGAAACTGAGGCACGGCAAGTGGAAGTTGATGAAGAGGCGAGATTTCAGTCTGAAAAAGAAAAGCAGATGTTTGAGCTACAACAGCGACATGCCGCTAACACTGTTGCTCGACAAGACCTTCATCCTGCTGAAATGGAAAGAGTAAGTAACATTTCACTTTGTTTCTGAATACTTTGTATTGAAAGAACTAAAGTTTTGATCTGACTAAAGCATGTGTATGCAATTAAACTTGATTGAGCCGAAGTCCATTGTTAGCTATTCCAGAAAAAGTGTATGACATGAATAGGTGGATTTTTTCTTTGCCAGTGGCGCCGCCAGCGAGGGAACCGAAGGGAGCGTGTCCCTCCCCCAGTTATTCCAAATACCAATTTTCAGATAGTAAAAAATAGTAGAAGAAGTGAAAAGGGGTGGGCAATGAATCCAATTTCAAACAGCAATATAAATTAGTTGCTTCATGTGAACGTTCAAATAACAAAGTTAGTATAATAAACAGCAATCTTCAAGCGTCGTTGTCTATAAGATTGAATTGAGTACAATTGTTGATACATCCAACCAAAATCTGCCCTCTAAAAACATCCGGCTTTTAGATTATCACGAAACCTGCCTGAGAGAAATGGCGTTTTAGAAAAAATACAACTAATAAAGGGGCATGCGTCACAATCGCTATTGAAGTCTCACACCTTTGAAGGTTGTTTACTTGCTAATTTGTATGATGTCGATTTAGTTGATGAGTGCACATGAGAAAGAGTTAGAAAACTTAATTGAGAACATGGAGAATGATCGCACGCGGCAGAAACAGAATCTCAAGCGGCGATTGCAAGAGCAAAAACGTAAGCGGTTGGAAGCCTTACAACGAAGACAAGACCGCGAAGAAGCAAGAGAAGTTTTAGAACAACAGAAAGAATTAAAAGATGTACAAGCTAATAATGTAAGTTTTATTCACCAAGTCGTAACTTTACCCTTTCTGTCGGTTATTGTAAATTGAGCAGCCATGTATTTCATGCTATGTAAACAGAAAGCAAATTTTCTATTCAACAATGCTTTATGTTTCTCGCTGTTAACTAAACTATGATGTTCGATAAGAACAACGTCCGTTTGATTTATCCATGAAATTTATCAATTACAGGTTAAAGCTGTCGAAAAAGAAGTGATTCTTCAAGCAATTAAAGATAATGGTCCCGAGTCCAGTGAATTTGTCATTCGCAAGGTAGAAGTTTGTATTTTTATTTGTTTAAAGTTTCAGAATATCCAAATGTTAGCGCGGCGATTCAAACTATTCTATTTTATTGAAGATACTGGAAAAACGCCACGATCGCGAAATGAAAGATTTGGACAAATTGTTCCAGGAAGAACGGCGGGTCGGTATTGACGAAGCAATGGCAAGACTTGAGGACGAACATAATCTTGAAATGGAAAAACTACGCAAGGCTCATGGCGAGGAATTGAAAAAACTCGAAGCGGAAGATGGTGTGTCACCCGAAGATTTACAGCATCGTAAAGCTCAAATGCTCAACGAACAACAGCTCCAGTTGAGCTTTCTGGAGAGAAAATATAATGGACAGTTGAAGAAAATAAAAACCAGTGCCACAGCTGATTGGGAAGTGAGATATGCGCGTGCTAAACTTGAACTCAAAGAAAAACACTACCAGGTATTGTTCAATGATCGATGTTACATGGTTCAAGTCCTGTCGTCAAACAATGAATCGATCTTGAAATTAATTTGTTTTTTAGGAATATGCCGATGCGTTAAGTGAATTGTCACCTGAACAATCTCAGGCTCATAAAGATGCCGTGGAGAAAGCCCTTGAAGCTGCTCGTGAACTTGATGTAATCAAGAAAAAACTTGAAGAAGAAAAAAAGACAAATGCTGAAAAACAGAAACAGGAAAACGAAGGTAGGAGTGGTTGTGTGATTTCATTTTAAATTTTGAAAGCACTCTTTGTACAAAGTGCCATCATTAAGAGCTGATGTTATTTGTCTTTTGTTGACATTTGCTTTGAGATTTTGAACAAAATATCGTAGTTTGATTATTTTTCTTGTTGATGATTTCCCCCCAAATCATACTTGTTATACGCGGAAACAAAATCCTCTACCATTTTGTTTAGAATTTGAAAGGCAACAAAAGCGACGCATGGAAGAGGAGTTAAATCAGTTTGAGGCAGATTTGCAGAAAGAAGAAGAAACTGAGCGAAGGAAAAACGAAAAAGTGATGCTTTCATTGAATGCTCGTAAGGAAGATCTTTTAAAGGAACGCAAAATGAATGTAAAGCAACAAATTGAAAAGATGAATAAACAAGGATCGAGCAAAAGCGAAAAGGATGCGCTGCTCAAAGAACACAGTGAAGACTTGGCAAGGTTAATGAATAAATTGGACGCCGACAGACTGAGAATGCAAAGCTCGCTTGAGGAACGGCTGAAAAAGAAAAGGCAAGAGAAACGAAAGGAAAAGATGAAAGAATTGAATAGGGTGTCTGTAGAAGAGAAAAAAGAACACGAAGGACGACAGCAAGCGGAAGCCGAACGTCTTCAAGCAAAACAGGCTCTAGAGTTGAAAGAAAGCATCCAAGTTGATAATTTGGTTGCAGCCGCCAGACAAAGTGGGACGCCAGAGACGATACGGCGGAATGAGCTCACTGTATTACCCGTCTCTTATCGCATGGCGGCCCCATTAACGGAAAGCGAAATAACATCATTGTTACTGCAGTCCCCGTTGTATCAGAAACTTGAAAACATTAAGAATCTAATTGATGGCAAACGAGGAAAGTCGTCTGCTTCAGGTAAACCCCAGAAATGATATTGTGATTAGATGTCTTTTCCCTTTTATAGTATTATATATTGCAGTGCGATGCTTATAATTTCAATGGTTGCCATTATTGTAATTATAGATGATATTTATACCGACATAAAAGACGACACACTTTGGTCATCAGACGAAATCCTTGTTCCTGTCGATCTTGACAAGATCCCTGGGCGCACATTTGTCGTCTATAAATTTGGTTGCTTCATTGTTGATCTACTAACCGTACGTTGTCAACATGTTCCAGTGACTCTGCTACTTGCCGATAAGCTTCCTCCTAATGAGCAACTTGAAAAGAACGCCTATCGAAATTCCTTTTTCTTTGATTCCAACAATAACATTCTCTACATGAGAAAAGAGCGTTTGAACAACGTTGGCGAATTTGTCCTTGTTCTCATTCATTGTTTAGCACATTTAAAGGTCAGAGATCTCAGAGACGATACCAACGCATCGTTTGTAAAAGAATTCCATCGAGGCTTAGCAGTTGTTTGCGATGATTTGTTCTTCGCTCGTTACCACCAATCATGTGTGTCGACTAATGAAATGGGAACTGTGGTAGATGAATCTTTTTCGGGCAATGACGAAAGCTCGCTTCGCAGAGACGTTATTGGCGATTTGTTGGATGTGAAACTTCTTCGTGGATCATCCAAAGATGGAGTACACTTTTCCAGGGAGGGTTTAGTTGAAAGACTTTCTAAATACAGTAACTTTGCTCTTACTAACAAAATTCAGGATCTTCTTGGCGATGTTAGCAATAAGAATGACCAAGCTCACATACAAGGGACAGATATCTATATTGAAGACAGGCTTCGAGAACTTGGTACAGAGCGCCCTGTTTCACGCTTTGGCCAATCGCGTGGAAATCTTGTATCACGTGACACATCCCGAGAGTTGTCTCGTGCAATGGCCGTTTCGAGATCTGCAACAGCATATCCCGTATCAAAAAAACGTCCTCCTACTCAGGGCCAAGCCGCCGATGATAATAAGAATAGTAAAAGATCGTTACTTCAGGTATATCCTGTAAGAAATATGCATTTTTCCATAAGATTGGCTATTTTATTAAAATAGCTACTTTTTAATGAACCGTTTCTGTTTCGTAGGTTTTCGGTTGAAATAATACATGATTGTTCTAATTATGTAGGGTTAGATTCTTAAAACTGGTTGATGCATTTGTTTAGGGCTCTGGTGAAATAATACGTGATTTTTCTGTAATTATGTAGACTGAGGTTCTTGATGTTCAAGAAAAGATTGACAATCTGAACGAAGAATTTTCTGAAATCAGTGTTGCATTGCTGAAGAGAAGCAACGAAGTTCAGGAGTTAGAGGCGGACTTGCACATAAAAACTGATGCTCTTAAATCTCTCGTTAAGGAATCTCAAGAATACTCAAAGCAAGACGAACTTAGACGTCAGACATCTATTTCTTTGACAACCACTAAAAGCTCAGTGAGGCTTTGGAACTGCGCAAGCAAACATGCGTACAACGTCTGCAGCTTTTCCGAAACAGGCTTGACGAGAAAATGGACTTGCTGGCGAGATATGGACTAGAGCAGCGGTCGAAAAAAGAAATTCGTTTTGCTAAGTAAAGACGCAGTGCGTAGAAAGTAGGGCTGGAACAATTGTAGCCTCTAATCCAGTTCTTTTCTAATTTATTTATGTACTATTTTTTAAATCAGTTATATTTATCTCATAAATATTACGATTATATTTACAAGCTTTTGCTTTGCATAAATCATATACAAAAAATGAAGTCAAATGAAATATGTGCGATAAAAGTTAACACGTCGGTAAATGGTTGTTAACTAGATACAGTAGTTGAGATATCTTGTACAAGGGGAAAATAAGTAGAAAAACTTAAGAAGAAGTGAAATTAGACGTAAATCACACAGAAAAGTAAATTTAAAAGCTGGGAGGAATACAGACAGAAAAAATAAGATAAAAATAGCTAGATTGGGATAACCTATTGGTATTCGACCGTAACTGATTTGTACAATATAGTAGAAATAACTTTTACAAGGTGTAAATGAAAAGAAGAAACATAAGAAGAAGAAAATTAGACAGGAATAACACAAAAGTAAATTTAGATTCTTTCATAAAAAAAGGATCTAAGAAAACAGAGGAAACAAGGTAGGTTTGGGCAACTCGTTGGTAAGTCGTCAGTAACCGTTAATAAGTAGATACGATAGACACAATAGATATGTAGACATGTCTTTTACATGGTGCAGATGAAAGGAACGAAGACAAGAAAGAAAATTAGACACAAACATGATATTAAAGATGTGACAATTGTAGACAGAAAAACGAAACAAAAATGTAGGCACTGGGGGGAGAAAACAAGTAGACACAAAGGTTGACTCAAAGATAAACACCAACGTTGACAAAGGTCGACATAAGATGGACACACAAATAGACTCAAAGGTAGACAAAGCTAAACAAAGATAGACAATAGTAGACATAAAGTTAGACATAAAGATAGACACAAAAGAAGACACAAAGGTAGACAAAGATAGACAATGGTAGACATAAAGTTAGACATAAAGATAGACACAAAGGAAGACACAAAGGTTAGACATAACTGTAGACGCAAAAGTAAACAAAAAGGTTGACACCAGGGGCGAATCTGGGTCATGCTTTCCATGACGGTGTCCAGGCCAGTGCCAAAGGTGCAAACCTCCACTAGAGTGTCTGAGGGCATGCTCCCCCCGAAAATTTTATAAAATTTAACTCTCAGTAAAGCGATTTCATATGGTGCCTGAAATAGGAAAAGCTTATACCTAGGAGTAAATGGGACCATCATTAGCATGCATAATATAGTAACAGTTCAGATTCGGATTTTTTTGCAAAATTGCGGTTTCTTTTGGAAAATAAAGACTTATTCAAATGTCATTCATGTCGTCTCTTAGAAACTAACGACCTTTTCAATTGTTGTTCATGTCGTCTTTAAGAAATTAACGACTCTTTGAAACGATTACATGACTACATGATTACATCTAATATGAAATAAGGACTTCTTCAAATGTCCTTCATGTCGTCTTTTATGAAATAGCGACTTTTTCAAATGTCTTCTTCTTTGAAAATTTTATAGAGAATACTAATGCCAGACAAATTTGAGAAATTTCTAACATTTATTCATGAAATTTTACAACACTAGGCTCAAAGAGATATTTAACTTGAAATCGTCTTTCGTATTCCATGCTGAGTTGAAAGATGCATCAGTGGCCAATTTGAGGCAAAGATGTCTGCAAGAACTATATAGAAAATGAAAGTGATTTTTGAGGTTACGGATATATTTTTGAATCTGGGAAACAACTCTTTTAGAAGACCTGTACTTAAAATATGTTAAAAAGTTACAACAATAATAGCTATGCTGCTAATTTACACCACGGACAATAAAGAAGCGTTAAAACTGAGCTCCTTGCATAAGCCGTGAGCACAGACGCCACAGAGCACATTTTACAAAGGAAGGCCACTAGTATGTACACGATTGTATCTACTTTTAAACTATAGTCTATAGTTGTCATTTTGAATGATGAATTTTTTCAATTTTTTTAGAAGCACTGTGGTTAGAAATTAGAAGAGACGAAACCTCAGTTAATTTGAGTTAATCGACTGTACCATGACAAGAGGGGTTAGTATAGTTAATATTGAGAGGTCAATATGTTAATTATTGGATAACGATGTGGATAACCCAATGTTTTCTTCTGCGCATGTACCAAATGTCGGTATAAAAAGTTGCAACTTTTTGTGGAAGACAATAATTTAAGTCATTTGAAATGAGGCTCAAGTTCTACTTAATCTTTTAGAATAATGGGACCAAAATTATATAGAAGAAAGAGAGGGAAGTCTTTGATTTCCTACATGCAACGACAAGAAAACAATGAAGAAGAGTGAGTTGAAAATGTGTGCTCACATCGTATAACAACTATTTGTTTATGCACGTGTTTATTTTAGACACACACAACACTAGGTCAATCGTTAAGAACAACTTCATTTCCTGTAACTTGTTTGTCAAATGGAAATTCCTTTTTTAACATCTTATCTTTGCAGCGTACGTCGACCTTTTGATGGTTTCAACATGAACTGCTGGGCCCCCAAAACATCAACAGCATTTTTGACACTATTATCTGCTAGATACTGCAGTGCGTTATGGAGCAATATCTCTGATTGTGATGAAACATATAACTATTGGGAACCGGCAAGTATCTTGAAAGTTAAGCTCAAATGTACACATGCAGGAAAAATGGTGAAGGATGAAATGTGTGAGTACAAATTGTTGTATCTTTAGACACACTATCTTATATATGGTTCAGGATTTCAAACCTGGGAGTATTCGCCAAAATATGCCATTCGATCGTATACGTATCTTCTCCTACATACTTTACCTGGCTTGTGGCAGAAACGTTTTTATGGCGTTGGAGATAAGGTATGGTAAAACGATTGAATGTAGACTTCTTTGCAAACATATTAACTGCTTTACATGTGTTTCCATTCTCCAATTGTAAAGGTTATTGCATTTTACTTGACCCGTATTTTTTTGGCATTGATGTGTACAACAGCAGAAGTTTGCTTCTATAGGTGTGTAGATATTTATATCCTTCTTCACTGGGACAAATGTCTCGAAATTGGAGATTTACCAACAATGATTTGTTCTTGCCAACTTGGTGATCCAGCACATTATTTTTTCTTGACTTAAATAATTTTACAAATATATTACAATGGTAGCTCTGTGTATTCTTACTTTTGAATAAATAAAGCTATGTGCTTTAGAGGTAGTCTTAAAGTTGTTGCTTGGACTCCGACTGATGATTAAATAAAGTATTGCATGATTAACATGGACATCTACCATTTCAAATTATTAATTTTTGACTAACAAATATTGTCAAAAAGCCGTCATTCTTGTTTTTAGAGGAGTTATGCACCAATTTGGAAATCATGTTGCTCGAATCCTGCTATTTTGTTTAGTCTTTGCAAGTGGAATGTACATATCTGCAGCAGGTTTGAATTTGTAAATCATTTTGTAAACTGAAAATAAGGAAATTGATGTAGGAACTGTAAGGTGGAAAAATCATAATCCTTTTTGTCAATAAGGGTTTCAAAAAGGAATGCTCTTTTTTCATATTTCCATGTGTCCATAGTGGATATTTTGTTTGCTAAGTTCAATCAAAGGATCACATTTTCCAAATGTCACTTTTTCAAAGATCTTGTTTATTTTACTCACATTTGCCTGATAAACACAAACTGGCTTTGAGCAATTCAATGCAATACATGGGTTTTCATTTAGCTATTGTACTTCAATGCTCTAAGGCAATTCTTACTACTGGAATTTAATCCTGCCATAGTGTATTTTAAATGAAAAAAGGGTTTCTTCTATTGGCAGAAACTGTGCAATTAAATTAAATTACAAACGGTAGTTTTTCTCAATAGAATTAATTTTTACTGTAGTATATTCAAATTTATAATCAATTATTTTGTAACCATGATTCATATCCAATCTTATTGCAGTCAATATTTTGAATAAATGTTATTGAAAACTTTTTAACAATTTCAGCCTTCCTTCCTAGCAGCTTTTCTATGGTAACAATGATGATTGCATATGGTGGATGGTACATCGGTGATTATTCGGTACGATATTTCACTTTTTGTCATATACTAACACTTGAGATAAGACATCTTTTAAGCCTGACCACAAGAACCTAGAAGCCCAGCTCTTGTTTATTTAACCATAGTCCATCTTGGTTAGGGAATTTTCGGCGTTTCCCCTCTAAATTACACAGTTTTTGTACATTCGATAAAATTCCCTATCCTACATTTGTATTGGAACTTTATCTGTCTACCTAGGTCTGCTCAGCTGAGCTACAAGTTTCTTTTTAACTTATCCGATAGCTGGGCACAAAACTCAGCAAAATCTTCCCACACATTGTGAGCTATCGGCTGATATTTTAATGCTACTAATATCTCGTTTAGATTGCCATATTCTTCACAGCCGTAGCATCGCTTATAGGCTGGCCGTTTAGTGCTCTTTTAGGGTAAGAACGGATGTATCCGTGCATTCAAACCAATACTTTTGAACCAGAAATAAAGATGAATGCTAAATCCGGAAAACCAAATGCTAGAATTTGTCGTAAAACCTATGTACAACTTGGCAAAAGCCATGACGTTTATTTAACGACGGCAACGATGGCATAATGTACGAATGCTACATTTTTTTCATAGCATTTGGAAAGTATGATTTAAGTCTTTGTATTGCATGAGTTCCAAATTTATAAATATTGACATCTATAAATTTTTTGTAGCTATCATCCCGTAAATGTGTCTAAACATCAACTTTAGATTTCCGATTGCCTTTGATTTGGTTTTTGTAAGAAAACGTTTGGTATACTTTATTTGGTGGTCTCTCACTTCATTCGTTGCTCTTTTGGTAGGTCAATGTATACGTTACATTTTTTCCTATTTGCATGCAGAAATGTATTAAGAAACTGTTTATTCTTTCTTTTTCAGATGCCTCTTGTATACTTCGATTCGTATTATTATGGGAAAACAGTTTTTACAGCTTTCAATATAATTTATTACAACGTATTTGGAGAGGGTGGACCGGATCTTTACGGTTAGGAAAGCAAAAGCATTTATGTGACGAAGTATGCTGCAAAAAAAGTTTCTCCAAGATTTACATTTTTTTAGGAACGGAGCCTTGGATATATTATTTCCTGAACGCTTTTTTGAACTTCAATATTGTATTTGTGTTGGCGTTGATTTCCCTGCCGCTGTACGTAAGTATTGCATATGAAAACTCGCTTCCACAATAAATATTCTGTTTTTTAGAGGCAAAAATTTAAACAAGTACGTACTTAGTGTAAACTTTCCGCAGGGTGAATGCAATGAATCCTTGATTCTCTAGTATTTATTTGTCCCATGTTTGTGTCATTGAACTAAAATATGCAACGCTACCTGAAGCAAATAATGGAAGCCAATTCTTACACCCAGGCACGCGTCTGTAGTATTTCGAGATTCTGTCGCGAAGGGTAAATTGATTCACTACACACCGTGTCTGGGTGTAGTCTCGCATGTCTGGGTGTAGTCTCGCATGTCTGGGTGTAGTCTCGCATGTCTGGGTGTAAGATTTGGCTTCAAAAAATTATTGGGCTATTCGTGTTCGTATTTTTGTTTAATGGTTTGTGTGCACATACATCGCCTCGTCAGTTCACACTTTGTTTTATAGATGTTGCTAGAGCTTTATTTGAGCAATTGTAAAGGCAAAAAAGGTTAGTTTGAAACCTTAGGACTTTTACGTCAGAGTTGTAGTTTCTTTCTACGAGCTCGTAAAAAGTGAAGCTTTCTGTTCATGAAAACAGCTCCACTTCTCTTGTTTATAATTCTGTTTCACTTTTTACGTACGATGCTTGAAATTAGGTCGGGATGAGGGATTTACACGCATTTAATAGTACTTGGCATACTCTCTAATGAACCAAAACGTATCTCTTTTTATACCTGTCATATAACTCATTTAAAAATACTTTTTAGTATTTGAATGTTTTTAAATATGCCATGGTTTTCATATGGCAAATAGTCTTTAGACTGAGAATTATTTGTTTCGGAAAAATGATATTTTTTGCCTTTTGTTTCCACTGACGTTTATTTCACGTACATTTTCAAGTCTACATGCCACCTCGAGTTATTCTTTCATTGGTTGCCATCTATCTTTGGATTTTGGTATTTTTTACGAGACCACACAAGGTTAGCAATGATGTACATCTTAGACACTTTAACTTGAACTGTTTGAATCCTGAAGTAGATCGTCCAGTTTGATACAGTTTAGAGATAGAGTCCCGAGAAGGACTGGTCGTCTTTGTAGTGACTGACGTTTCGACAACCTCAGCAGTAGTCATTTTAGAGGCAAGTGCTGAGTAAATGTCAGGTTCGCCGTATTTTATTTTCTGGTTCATACGACTCGATATTATATGTAAACAATACGTGGATACCCGAACATTTTTACATACGTACAGTATAAATCAGACAACAAATATGGCGTACGTGCATGTCCTTTACTTCCTACTAGACGTGAAAGACTAAGGATAGTGAAATATTAGGTAACACCAACACTCCTCTGCATGGCACTAATCTGGACGATCTACATCTACAAACATTTAGGTTCTTTGTCTTATTCCAGTTTTGTTTGGCCCAATTAACTCCTGCCATTTGGTGACTGTTACATGTTTGTAGATGTAGATCGTCCAGGTTGGTATAGTCCTGAGAAGGACTGTTTTTGTTGTTGTTGACTGACGTTTCGACAACCTTAGCGGTAGTCATCTTCAGAGTCAAAATGACTCAGAAGACTGACTCAGTCAAATGATGACTCAAATGAGTCAATGAGTCAATGAGTCAGAATGACTCAAATGACTCAGTCAGTCAAAATGACTCTGAAGATGACTACCGCTAAGGTTGTCGAAACGTCAGTTAACAACAACAAAAACAGTCCCTCTCAGGACTATACCAACCTGGACAATCTACATCTACAAACATGTAATAATACTCCCGGGTTCAAACCATTTACTTTATATGGTGACTGTGTTAGTTTTTCCGCTTTTATATACTTATTGTAACAAAACACCTTACAATAGAGATAATTTAATTGTGTGAACGGCCTTTACCTTGTTGTACAAAGTTATTATGTCTTCGGTTGAGAAAGCTTTTATGGCTCTCATTTATTCTTGTTTAGGAAGAACGATTTCTTTTTCCAATTTATCCTTTGATATGTCTTGCTGGTGCTGTTGCCCTGTCTTCTCTTCAGGTTTTTCTTTTAAATTTTACGAATATTCACGTCGTATTTTTAACGTGCGTTTCTGTTTTCTGTCGAATCTTCCTTTATTGATTGATTGATTGAGTTATCGATTTAACAATTGATAGTTCTATGATTTTGTTCTATAGCATGTATGATAGTTCTACAACAATTTGAACTTTATTCAGCAAAGATATCACAAATGAACATGTATTAGTCTTATCCTTTCTTAGAAATTAACCCTTTACTTGGCCGTGTCGACGCTTTACTCGGCAACAATTACCAAACGAAATATGTACAAGCTTCGCTAAGTAAATGGTTAGTTTCATATAATACGATGTCCTACGTGCTACTTGCGTGCGCCAAAATCTTTGCACTTATGCACCGTAACGCACAACGCGCGCGACAACATATAGATAGGGAAATGCACTGCTGAAGGTTGCCATCCCATGCAGTTGCAGCTTTGAGCGAGTTTTGTTTGAAGAGAAAATATCTCTTTTTCTGGGACGTTATTACGGATTTTTATAATAAAGCTATGAAAATACACTTCACCAAAGAATCGCATATTTTACACTTCTTTTGAAATTGATTGAGCATTTTGAAATCGAGAACTCGCGTACAGCAAGAGTTTTTAAGAAGTCATTTCAAAATCATTTCTTGGAGCACCGATCTGAAACTGTAATAATCACGTGACCGTATTTAAATGAGTTATCAATTAGAAATTATTTTTGTGTGATAATTGTAACATACAGTTTTATAGTTGATAGTCACATGTGTAATTTTTAGGCCGCTTTCGACTCCTTGCCAAAGCTGATCAAATTAAATCTTGCTGGTACAGATTTTTCTGTAATTGGAACACTCATGGTTTTTGCATTGGTTTCCTTGTCCAGATCCACAGCGCTATTTATAAGTATGTTTTCATTATGATTTGTGTTTAGTGGCAAAAATGACGATGGTCTGAATAAAACTGAAATTTAATACAGAAAACCGATGTTACTCGAAAATCTTTCTGGAGTTATGATATTTTTATAGATTATCATGCACCATTAGATGTGTACCACCAACTTGATCGGTTGAATGAAAACATGAGAAATGAAGGTTTAGATAGAAAATTCAAGGTCAATCTGTGTGTTGGCAAAGAATGGTATCGGTTTCCGAGCAGTTTCTTCTTACCTAAAGGGTATAGCTGCAAATTTAGAAATTTTGTATCGATTGTTTTGTTGTTTTGTTATGTAAGCTGATACACGAACGTGCTCGAAAATTGCTTTCGAACGACAAAAGTCATTAAAGAAGTTAAACTATTGATTATTATTTTAGCTGGGAATTGAAGTTCATTCGTTCGGAGTTTCGTGGGCAGTTACCCAAACCGTATAGTCTTCATGCAAACGCGACTAAAATTATTCCAACGGATATGAATAACATGAACAAAGAAGAAGAATCACGATATGTAAGTAAAAAACGCGAGCGTTTTGTTTTTTGGAAACGGAGCTATCATACCATTCCTGTATGACAGATGTATGTAGCTATTCAGTTTTCCTTAATTTCTACTTTACGCAATGGATATATTTTTGTTTTGATACAGATTGACGTCAAATATTGTCATTTTTTGATGGACTTAAGCACATCCCGCATAACGTTGCTAGAGCCAAGTTATTCACTCGATAGAAAAAACTGGGATGTCGTCATCTCAAAACCATTTCTCGATTCATACAGGTTGGTTGGAATATTTGAATGTAGTGTCTATTTTCAAAATGTTTCTATGTCATCCTTCATTACAATTGACCAAACGTAGCGAGCGATGTGAAGTTATAATGATAATAGATCTGTGAACGTTAGTCTGCACTCTATTTTCATTATATATGTGTTAGACATAGAAGTGCAATTCTATTTAATTAGAAAGCGTTTTGTGCAAGAGTCTTTGCAAGCCTACGTATGATTACATTCCGTTCTTTCTTAAAGGCCATATGACTTAGAAATTTTACTACTTAAATTATAGTTTCATTTATCAGAACTTTGAAAATGACAGTGTATTTTCTAAAACAGTTTGTGCATATCTCTTTTCATTCTCAAGATATTGAAGTTTTTGTAATTTTCGATCTACACAACTTTCTACGTCATTTTGCAAAGTTTCAAACATCTTTAATATTCAAGTCAACTTTTGGTTGAAATGATCATGCAATAGTTTATACCATTAACTCTTCACAATGAAGGGAACTCTGCTCGGTTGAGGTAACATATCGGCAAATATACCTGCTATTTCACATTCTCATTATGCAAAATGACGTAGAAAGTTGTGTAGATCTGACATTACAAAAACTTCAATACTTCGAGAATGAAAAGAGATATGCACAAACTGTTTTAGAAAATACACTGTCATTTTCAAAGTTCTGATAAAATGAAACTATAATTTAAGTCGTAAAATTTTTAAGTCATATGCCCTTTAAAGAAAGGTAGAAAATCCGATGCTTTGCGTATTTTATTTACTGCTGCGATGTATACTGTTTTCATCTTGACATTTTGAAGATGGTCCATATTTTTTTCAAATAAACATAACATGTTCGAGCTTTTTACAGTATCCGAGAGTCCCATCTTCATTTGCTTTACAGGACACCACATTTATACCGTCCATTTTATATACCATTTTTGTCGCAACAATTCAATGTCTACACGGGCTACTCTTTGCTTAAGTCAAAACTATGGAAAGAAAAAAGTACGAGAAGAAAACATATCCTTGGTCAAACGGATCTTGGAAATGATGATTCAGACGAGTTTGATGAGATTGATACGTAGCTATGAAAGTTTGAAAGACATTGAACTGTAATTTTTAGCGAAGAAATCATTCGATCATGCCTATTTCTTTATGTACATGGGCAACATTTATTTCAATTCAATCCAATTGAAGATGGCTAATCATATGGCGACATTTGGAAAACAAGATTTACGACACTTCTTTATCAATTATTATTCTTTAAAAGCCTCAATTTTGTTTCTTCGCATTTTTGATTTTTTCTTTTGTTTTAGTAAGTTTTCATTAAGAAGTGAAGTTAACTAACAAACTTTTGAGCTGTTTCCTTTGATGTTTTTTTTTCTACTTTGTCTTCGCTTTTCTCTATATAATCCTTCATTAACATTCGTCGTTTCATTCATAGAGTCTAGATTTTTTTACATTGTTTCTTTGATGATTGTGTTTGCTTACATGCATTGACATGTATTCATTTAGCTTGTACTTCCATTTAATTTCCCATTACTGATTCACAGAATTATGGTCAGCTGACTATGCCCAGTTCATTTCGACAAAGTGCGTGACGATATGAAATGGGCACTCTTTTCTTGTGTAATTACTTCTGTAAAGACATTTCCATTTTTCTGACCATAGTTTACATTGATACCCATCATTATGCAAGTCCTTGTCTAGCAAGTCCATAAATACTGCAATGTCGAAGTCGGCTTTCTCGTCGTCAATGACAATATCAAGCATTTGCAGTCTGTGTTTAAATTCAGTATACTTTTCTTGCCTGCATGGACCCTCGCTGTGTAACGAGAGCAAATGGTCTGTGAGGACACATTCCACGGGATCTTCGAGTTTTTTCTTGTAAGAAGATGTCATAAAGGAGATAGTGGATGTCATCTTCAGAGTCTTCTGGCTCTTCGCTTGAGCGTGTAGTATTAATGTTTCTTTTAAGGAGTCGAAGTTTTTAAACATTGTTTTCGTATTCTCTCGAAGTCGAAGTCGAAATATTTCAGGTGTCGTTTCCAACTTCTTGATTAGTGAAGCAATTTGATAGTAGGAAGCTTCTTGATGAACCTGAACAAAAAGATTTGGTAAAGCTGTGCGATTTTTTACATACAGTTACGTTACGATCAAAGTTTTGAGGTAACTGGGGTACACTTCCAAGGCTTTGTAACCACGCTGGAGGACAAGGATGGCATAAGCACCAATTTACTCACCCAATTATTTTTGTTTTCCCCAGTCTCTCCCCTCCCCTCACACTCATCTTTTAATCTCACTATTGTTCCGTTAGGAACTAAATGGTTGGGTATGTGACCAAGTCCAAAATAGATTTCTGAAAAAAATCTCTAATGATATAATCATATAAAATGATATAACTCTGTCGATTGAATTCATTCACCTGTTTCTGCATGCGGGGGAGAAATAATACTGTTATTTTCTTAGTACTAAATTTCTCCTGTGCAGGATTGAATTAACTCGTCGTAGCGCCAGGCTAACTCTACTCTATATGGAGTTAAAATAGCTTGTAAATAAGATTTATTAGACTTTGAAAATTGGAGTTAAAATAAAAGAAATTCGAAAAGAAAAAAAAACGGATTGTTCTGTATTCTTTTCAACTCTATGTTTGAAGTTATTTAAGCTTCTTAAAAATAGATTTGTATAATTGTTATCAATATACCTGCATCATAAATTCTTTTGGTGGCATCATTGTGCGATCTCTTAGAAAATTTAAGATAAATCCAAACGGAACGCCAGGTCTGTCAATGAACGGGCAGCCGTCTTTATCGCGCAGCAATTTGTGTTTACCACCGAACATGGACGAAAGCATTGAATCTTCGGCAAGCAACGTCGTTCGTAAAGTTTCGTAGTGTACTCCTCCGACGTTGATGCGAATTACCGAGCATGTATCTTCCTGCTCCTACCACAGGAAAGTGTATTTATCAATGTTGTAAATATGATATGCAAAAAGCGAGGTATCATATAATTTACCTGAAGTACTTAACCCTATATCATAGAAAGAGGATGTTGGATAAACAAATTGAATGAATTATTTTGCTCCTTTGCCAAAGAATAATTATAATTGCAACAGGTGTATTGTGTTTTAAAAAAAATGGTCGCCATTAAGAGTTTTATCGCTCTCCTTCTTTCTTACCTACCTCGTCATTCAGTACCTTGCCTTCCACCATTTTCTGAGATCTTTTTGACTATGTAGTGTGTTCAACTAAAATGGCAAATTGAAAATATCGTTGCTCATAGTTACAATCTCATTTCTCTTGCGATAGCTTTTTGTATTTTGTAATTCCTACTTGAACAACATAGTTTTCTTTACTGAAAACCCTGGAAATAATAATAATTGTTGAATACGCAATTTTCCTGGCGAACTTTCATTTTGATTGAGGTGTCTACTCGTGCAAGTACGGGTGACTAGGGAAGAAATCGTGCTATCTATGCAAAATAAAGTCTTAGTTTCGAACATGAATTGCAAACAACTTTAGTCTTGATGTTTTTGTTCGTATTTTTGCAAAGTTGTGGAGTCATCTATTATTGTGGATGTGTGCTGCAATTAGCGAGTGTGTCTTAATATTATCTCGAACAAGATAGTCGACAACGCTCTAAAAAATTAACATTTTCGTAGTTCTTTTGAACAATCTTTGACATGCAGATATATATTGCTCTGACAAATGACTATATTTCAATCATACTAAATTTTCGTGAGTTTATTTTTCATTGAAAGATGATCAGCCAGTTCTCATTCACATGCATTTACTCGACATTATTTATTAATTATTAATCGTTATAACCTTTGGAACACAATTGGAAAAAGAGCGCGTAGATTGTCAATTGTATTCGTTCATTTAAAAATAAAACAAGTATTGACCAACCTCTTGTAACAACGAAAGTCGAACGAGAAATTATGACAACGTAAGTTTGGAATCGTCCGCCTAGACTTCAACATGTCCTCTTTGTTTATAAATATGTCGACTTATGCATTGCAAATGAAACACCTGTCTTCGCGTTATCAATTGTAAATATTCATTGGATTTTACAGAATTTCCAGTAATTGTACAAAAAACAATTTCCTGAAATCAATAAGACAATAAAATTTAACTTGTTTGATCCTCTGTTTAACGTGCTCGTCTATGTTTCAGACGGTAAATGTCAAAATTCGATTTTGCTCCTGAAAAACAAGAGCAAATTGGATATCCTAACTATGGAGTGTAAATTCCACCATTGACCTGATGATCAAAATACTTTTTTCTCATAAAGTTTTATTTCTCTTGCACTGTCACAAAACTTTCATTCGTTGGTAGAATTTAAGTGTAAAAGATGTTTTACGTTTGCAAAATCCTAATCTATTAAACAACCATTCCAATAAGAAAGAAAATTTATTTCTGTAAGGTACACACAATCTGTTGTTTACATCATTAATATTTTGCTTTATCAAATATCCATATTCCGTGTTTTAGTGTCTGTTTCCAAAAATCACATGCAATAACATTTTTTAACTTTAGCCACACAAGTCGAACGTTTTTTTGTTCCATTTTTCATCATGACAGTTATTTCCTTAAACCTTATAATTGGGCCCACCAGCCTTCACATGCGATCCAAAATTCTGTCCGTTGCCACTTTTAATGGAGCCTAAGTTTTTCCATTTACTGCCTATGTCCTTACTTTTACGTTTAGAGAGCCAATTTTTCATTTGAAGATCCAGTTTTACGTCCAGTTTTACGTTTAGATCCAGTTTTACGTTTTACTTAAATGTTTAGAGCACGGTTTTACATTGCGGGAGCCTCTTGTATTAAGAGTGTCAGTTTGTTTACAAGGCCAGTTTTACGTATTTGGGGAGTCAGTTTTCAGTTTACAAAGCCATAAATACAAGCATTTGAACATACCATGCACAATTTACCTCAGATAACAAAATCATCAGTTTTCTTTCCAATTTTCTTTTCATTGTAATGGTGGAAAAAACCATAAAGATAACGTTTCTTCGGAACATTACCTGCATTTAAAATTGTCCAAGCAGATTTTCATGTTTGATATGACTGACTTCGAAATTATTTATATGATGCATTTACTTTGTTCCATAAATAAATAATGAAAACCACGCGGTAATTGCATTAAAATACATCAGCATTGCAGTATATGGCAATCTATAAGCAAAAGTCCCATACACACATTGTTAAAGAAAACTAATTTGTACAATAAATTTTATTGTACTTTATGAAAGTTTCTTACATACATCTGAAACAAGCTTTTGTTTATATTCTATGAAACGCATATAGAAATCTATTGATTACACTATGAATATATAGTAAATTAAACTTAATTGGACCAAATATCCGTATCCCGTATTTAATGTCCGTTTCCACAAATCATATCCAATAACACTTGTTTCTCAAATCTAGCCACAAGTGGAACGTTTTTTTCTACCATTTTTCATCATCCTATCACCAGCATTATGACAGTTGTCTCCTTTAACATTATAATTAGGCCCACCGGTTTTCACGAACGACCCAACATTCTTTCCGTTGCCACTTTTACTGGAGCCGACATTTTTCCATTTATTGCTCATGTGCTTAGCGTCAACAACCACTGTCTGACTAGATTTTCCATAGCCATCGCCTTTATGAACCAGATATCGTTTACCATCTGACGTTCTTACCACGACGCCTGAGTGTGTTGCACGATCCTTATAACCGGAGGCAGACGTCTTGATTCCTAGTTTGTTCGCAATCTTCACACCGATAACTCCAATTTTTCCATTATTCAAACCGGCCAGCGGTCTTTCAACACGTTGAACACTTACCACTTTCTTGTTGTAAAGTTTAGTCAAGCCACTTTTTGTCTTTACGTCATGAGGGAAGCCCTTGCTAGAGCCGCTAGATAAGAAATCATCGGTTTTAACTTTGTTTTGGGAGAGAAGTTGACAGAAGTAGAATTACAACGGAAGGCTTGTTCATGGCACTAGATACAGTTCTGTGTAATGATATATATATGTGTATAGTGTCTTATGTATACCTGCTCGAAGATGACCTGGATGAACCAGAAAACCAACCACTGCTTTTCCTGGAAACGCAAGATTTGTAAAATGAAAATGTTTTCACACAGCACTAATCTTTCAACTGATAAATTATACAATGCTTAAAGGAAAATTATTCCTTATGCTATTGCAGCTAAAATATAGCAACTTTTAAAGTTCAAAGATAAATAAACACATTATTTGATTTTGAAGTCATTCGTGATAGAAAAAAATTCCAATAAGACAAATGTTCCCAACCCGTATAGGCACAACATATATATGTATTTAGTATGTAATAGCATTCACTCTCGATTTGAAATGCAGAAATCAGGATGTTTTTAAGACTTTATGATTCAATTTTCTCAAGGCAAGTACGCTCTTACATTCTTCTGGGTCAGGTATTGCCTTGAGAATCATTTTCCATCATGCATATCGTTGTTAAGACCCATGAAATGCTTTTTGAATGACCGACAGCAACTTGGTGAAAACGAGTAAATTCAATGTTCAAAATAAAGCTGGTTGTTGTTGTTGCAGACCTAATAAAGTGCTGCTTTAATATATTCTGGGTTAAATCTTGCATTACCTTGATGTGGATGTGCGACGGATAGGTATTCGACGGATGGGTATTCGACGGATGGGTATTCTGCGGATGGGTATTCTGCGGATGGGTATTCGACGGATGGGTATTCGACGGATGGGTATTCTGCGGATGGGTATTCTGCGAATGGGTATTCTGCGGATGGGTATTCGACGGATGGGTATTCGACGGATGGGTATTCGACGGATGGGTATTCTGCGGATGGGTATTCGACGGATGGGTATTCTACGGATGGGTATTCTGCGGATGGGTATTCGACGGATGGGTATCCTGCGGATGGGTATTCGACGGATGGGTATTCTGCGGATGGGTATCCTGCGAATGGGTATTCGACGAATAGGTACTCGACGGATGGATATTCTGCGAATGGGTACACGACGGATGGGTGTTCTGCGAATAGATCTTCTCCAACTATAAAACGTTTTACATAGAGAAAATGATTAGATATGTACTGTAAATACCTTGTTGAACATAATAAAAACAACATCTATTGCCTTAATGCAATACTGACGTGACACATTCTCTCAGCACTACAAGACGGGACGTGTTGACTACTTGCATTGGGAAAATATAAACTGATAAACGTTGTTAATCCATGAGCTGCTTAACATATGACATATTGTAACTTGCGTTGTGTCAAATAAAAACTACGTGTATTTACCTTGATGAACGAGTATTACTTCTTGATCTTCTTCCCCAAAATCCTTCACTCTCGATTACGAGGCAAAATACAAAAAACAACAAAAGTATGATTTTAATGTCAGGCTTCATGACAATACTTGATAATTCACTCAGTATGAAGAAAAACGAGACGGTATGATCTTTCTGCGGGCGTTTGCTCTTTTACCTTTTTCCCAACCAATTATATACAACACGGCTTGAAAAAATTAGCGAATCAGATGCGCCAATAGGTATGACGTTGTCACATTGTCGTCTCAGCGCGTTAAATTCTTATGAGGATGTTCTTTGACCACGTTGAATCAAGGTCAAAGAAAACAGCCACATTCTTGTGAAACATTGAAAGCGTCTGTAACTTGAGAGTGAACTCAAATTCCTGCTTGTTTCTTTTCGATAAAAGTGGTTGTCTTAAAAATGTTGTATTTTTGCGCAAAGGTTACGTATATAACAAAAAATATGCATCTTTATCGTTGTGTCGCAAGCAAATGTTTACGGAAATTAGAACTGATATGGCAAGAAACACATATTTTGTCTACTTAGAAATTGTTTATCGGATATCATCCGCAAATCACCAAAGCCAGACGAATTTGTTAATTTTGTTTGAAATAACTGCATTTTCCCATTAAATATTTAAAGGCTTTAAAAAAATTGGTGAACGACAGGCATTAAAGTAAGTGTAGTTTTTTACTAGATCAGAAATGTGTCCTTGTTTAAATGAAATTATATCATATATATGTCTTTTAGAAATAAGAGTTGAATGCCTTACTTTATATTAAATTTCGCGCAGTGCTAGAAGTCACGCACGAATGAATGCGCAATTTTACAGCACTAATTATATTCCGGTGAAAAGGCTTTGTAATGACAAAAAAGTTAACAGCATAACTGAACTCTAGTAAAAGAGACTAAACATAAGGAATGTCCAGCGCAAATTTAAGGCTGCTTGCGTGAATATGTCCTCTACATATAGTGCGCAAATTAAAACTGAGCGAAAAGGAGTACCACGCAAATTCTATTATAAATAAGGTATATTTTCTAATCCAATCGCACAAAGGCAGTAATGCTTTTGATTTTGGCAAAAATTTCACCAATTTGTACTGAAAATGAAGCGACTCTTAGGATTAAAAACATTAGCGACAAAGGTGGAGCACTATAAGTAAACTTAAAACATCCTGAAACTTGTTGGGCAAAATAATTTGACGGCTACATGAATTTTACCCCATTTAATGCACAAATCTATTTTGTCTGACATTTAGCTAAAATGACAAAACAATCATGGAAACATGGCAACAAATTTATACATGCATATAGAAACATAGGACTTTAATGTTTCCAATTGTTGTACTGAAAAAGGATTTGGAATTTGTCTCTTTTGTAACAAGGATGTCATAACTCGTAACATGAGATATCAACCGGGCGTTCATCCACGATGTGACATACTTTTACGATGCCATTGAGCATAACAATGTTTTCCATTGAAGAAGAATTAAAATTGGAAAACCATATATGCATGTATTCTAAAAATGTAACTTCTGCAACATTTATTACAAATAATGGAAAAGAATTAGGAACAGTATTACATTTGTCGTATTTTTTCTTGTTTATTTTCTTTGATTATATTATCACGTAATGGTATGGACCAATATGTAGATTTAAAAACATTTTACAAAGTTTCGATGCTTCATGCACAATTTTCGCGCAATTCATATACATAGTTTTAGTTAGTTTTTAATACTTTTCTCATTTGGACACTCATCTGAAAAATTCACCAAGTTATATTTTTATAGGAAATTTTAATGACGAAGGAAATACGTTTATCAGTGCACAGTTGTTTTATGGTTTTTGAAGTGTAAATATCTATATGTATGTACCTTTAAGCATATGTATTTGAATATCATGTACTGAAACTTTATTTGTCACCCAATGGTGAGAAACAGAACAAGAATAGAGATACATGCATCTGTGTTGTTCTGACTATCACCCAGAGATGAAGTATATAAGTCTATATATAGTCCATGAAATAAATATGAAATTTGTGAAGTAGTGATTTATAATTCCATCAAGCACCATCACAAGATGTTGAAATATTCATTAGCATAAGGATTGTCATAAAGATTTTATTGGTATCAACTGGAGATGAACAAACAGACTGTCAAACTCGTTAATGTACATTTCACAGAACTGCTTGGATATTTGGAATATCATTCTATTCCGTTATGGGGCTATGGTCTGTGCTGTGATAGTTGAATATGATGTTGAGATTATTGCTTGTTGATGTCGAGATTGTATTCTCATTTTAGAAAAAGGAAATTATTTGAAGCAAGGTCAAATGTCAGCCATTGCTACTACCGCTTCAGTTTTGAAGAACCTTAATTAATGACCAAATGAAATTTTTTTATAACAATTAAGATAACAAGAGAAGATAAAGTAAAAAGTTTGTTTGGTTTCTTACGCTTTTATCAAATATCATTATATGAATCCTCAATGGGTAATATTCCTTGATAAATTCAATAGTTGATTTTGTCGGGCCGTACCATGTGATAGAGTGACACAGCAATATCTTGGGTCATAATGATGGCTCAGGTACTCAGAATCGTCATTATAATAATAATCCACAAAATATACCTCGCTCGAAAAATCGAAAATAAAATATATCAAAGATTAATCCTGCTACATGCTTATTATCAGGCCACAAGGGAATGTTTGCTAAAAAATTCCCTACAGAAAAAAATGTTGAGTCATTAAAACACATTTGCTATCTCAGTCACAAATGTCATAGTAAATCTGTGGTTGTTTAAATGCTCAGTTCATAAATGTTTGTTCCCTGTTGAGTGCACTTGGTACTCTTTTCTTGTTATATTCTGATCACCATAGACATCCAAGGCAGAAAAATACTTGTTGACGTCGTTCAAATCTAGAGCTTGCGTAAATTCCGTGATATCTATCTCGCCATTTTTTGTTGGAGTAGAAGCTGATAAAATCAAAAAGAGCAGTATAGACGTGCAGTCCACAGCACGTTTTTTCACGTCTCTAGTTCTAAATGGATTTGTGCAAATTCGCACGCACAGCAGCTTCTTGGACATCCTTTTATCTCTCCAAATCCCATGTCGAACGGTTTGAAAAAATATCATCACTTCAGATAAGCTTGACGCTGAAAAAGATCAAGGAGGAAATCAGAGTGGCTGTGATGATGAAGATCGGTCTCCTAATTTGATGTCTATTCCTTTCGGCTACGCTGCGAAAAATTCAAGAGCTCGGAATGAATTTGAGGTGTCTAACACGGAGTATTCTGAAGACATGTTCAAAAGAAATATCGATGAATCGCATTGACAGTTTAGAAGCTCTGTTGCTCAAGTGGTATATAGTAGTGGGAACTGTTCATGATGTTGCTGAAGATATGTAAAAATAACTACAAGTGTCTTTCCTTTAGGATGAGGAATCGGATTTCAAAAGTGAAGAGGAAGCAATCACCACAAGAAATTTGCAAGAAGATTCAAAATATACTCTGCAAAGTTTGTACATACAGATGGAGTATTGTGAGAAGAGTACTCTTAGAAATGTTATTGACGAGGGATAGTACGAGGACCAACAGAGAAAATGTTCCTTATCTGTGAGATTGTAAAAGGATTCGTTCACGTTCATTCGCGAGAGAAATCAAAATGGCTGTGATGTTGGAGATGAGTATCCTTATTTGATGCCTATTCCTTTCGGCTACGCTGAGCTCGGAATGAATTTGAGGTGTTGCAAATGCTTGGAAAGAGGAGGTTTGCTTCAGTCGTCAAGGTAACTTTTTATTACATACATCGTTTAAATAGAAGGTAATTTGGTCGTGTGAAGGAAATTTTGTACGTGATTTGAAAATGCTATATACACACTTAAGTACGTAATAAATTGGACGGCTGTCTCTATGCGATCAAAAGAATTCCTTTGAATCCGAAAAGTGTGCTGTTTAATCTCAAAACTACTCGAGAAGATAAGTACTTTCTAGATTGAATCATGAAAATATTGTACGGTAAAAAGAAATTTATAATCCAAACTGAATCAAAATTTTCTAACATATGTGTTGTTCGTCCATCGCAAGCGATGATGGCCTTGACCAGTTAACTCAAGTACTAGAAGATTGGGTACGGTGAGTTCTGAGGTGGCTAATGAGCCCAATCTTGGCACGGAATGTTCTTGAACACGAAGGGCAAACCAGAGATGCATCTGATGTTGAAGCAGCTGGTCAAGTTGACTGCGCATGTGCAGATGATTTATCTGAAAACCTGTGCAGCTGGTCAAGTCGATTGCGCGTGTGCAGATGATTGAGGGCGTTAATTACTCCATATTCGGTACTAGTACATTCTGTTGGTTTTTGCCATGACGATGAGCTTGGAGAGATGGTGAAGTTGACTACGAATGCTCGGATTAATTCTCAATTAATTTGTGACGGAGCAAGCTTTGAAATTGTTGCTTGTACAAGCGCTTAGCAAATTTTCAATCATATATTATCGGTTATGCGCTTAGCAAATTTTCAATCATAATATGATGATAGCCATTCTTGAAAATTTACACTCAATGCTTGCACTTGAATAAAGTTTTGATATTTTACTTGAATTACTCCAGTTTATAACCAGTGGCGTAGCTAGCTCAAAAATTGAAGGAAGGGGGCAGTATTCATTTACTCCAGTTCTGCTGTATTAAGTTCATTTGGAATCGATTGTTTTCCACAGATTATAACATACAAATGTTTTACTCCCCAGACACAACTGATGCTAGCACGTTTTTGTTACGCCCTTCCCTCTGACGCCCCATATTTTTTACATATTTTTTGAAAACTTTTGTATGTTACAGTCAATTTCATCGCAACAAATTTTTTGCGTAGAATGAAAATCAAGCTTAAAAAATTATCTCTGTCTCCAAACTTCTTTGATGATAGTGAAGTGGGTGAGCATTTTGCCATTACATCATTTGTTACGCATTTGTAGGTTTCAAGCATTGAGTTCTATAAGACCTGGAGGGGAAACGTCAACCAAATTACTATAAATTATTAGCGCGCGGCCGCGTGGTCAAAAACATGGCGGGTTTTGGTTGTCAAAGTCAGCGGAAAGACGCGGGCTCATAAAATAAAATTTTAAGAAATCGTATTTTCAATGGGAAATTAATGTAGTTCTGTTCAGTAGTAGATCCATGGTTGTCAATGACAATCCAGTTTCTAATATCTTGGCTCAAAATAGAACCAGCAACATGATTATAGAATTTCTGAATTTCGTTCTTTTGCTCTCCTAGTTCAATTGATTTTGTTGTATTGATATATGAATTGGGCAAAATGCAAATAATCATCAAAACACTTATGCTTCCAACGGTGTTTATAATTCATTTGTAGTTTTAATTCTTCTACCTTTCTTTTTCACTTTGTTTTGTTTTTCCTATATTTGCAATAAAGTGCACTATAATTTGAATGATTAACACAGTTTTCACCTCAATAATAAATTTCATAAGCAGTTGGTAGTGCATTTTGTTCTCTGAGTATCCACATCTGGTGTTTTGTTCATACAAGAATGATGAATTACAAGTAGATATGTCATAACAAGGCAATAAAACCAAATGAATTACATACCTATAGTGTACTTTTATGCTAGAAGCTTGAAAGCTTTTTAGAAATTAGAAAGTTATTGGATTATATTACCTCTAGATCATCAATCTCATGATAAGAAATAAGAAGCAAAAAATTTGTAGAAAAGCTTTGAAAAGTGAAAAACTTTTCTTCAAAAAAGCAGCAATAATGCATATGATAAATCTCTATTCTGTACTCTAATAGGTAAATAAGCTCAAATTTTTCTTAAAGAAATATAAGAAATATATAAGAAATATATAAGAAATATACAGTACAGTAACTTTAAAGGTTTCATCACTGAATCTTCAATGCTTCAGTATAGTGCATTAGATATTAGTAACATTCAAACTAACGATATCCATATTATGTGATATCGTGTTTGTTTTTGAAAAATTCTTTATAATTAACTATAGACACCAGGGGGAGGTCGAGAATATTATTTTTCTGCAAAGCGATCATTTCAGCGGAAATACGTCCTTGGGCCGCCATTTTTTTGGCGTCCTCGCCCCAGTAAAGTTAGCCGCTCCAGTTATGAATACGTAACAATGAACTCTACAACAGTTGTTGTAGATTTCATTGAAACGTAATGACAGTGGAAATACGGGAAGTGACGTCTATTGCAAACAAAGAATAGAACTCAATGGTCCAGGCCCCTTTTCCCCTCCAGGTCTTATAGAACTCAATGGTTTCAAGCTCTCCAAGTGCGCTGTTCTCGGTGTTGTGCGAAGTGCACGCCCCCTATAATCACTGTATACATCACTTTGAAAATTGAAATACCAACATTCCACAGACATTCCACAATCATAATTTCATTCCACAATCATAATTTCACAATCATAATTTCATTCCACAATCATAATTTCACAATCATAATTTCACAATCATAATTTCACAATCAACATTCCACAATCATAATTTCATTTATTCGCTAAAAACGGGCACCCAGGAATAGACATGGCTTCGTTTGGCTTTGCATCGGTGTTAATCACAGGAGCCAACCGCGGTATTGGTTTGGCTATGATCAAGTACTTGATAAATTTACCAAAAGGTCCAACTCAGATCATTGCTACTTGTCGATCACTACAAGCGGAAAATGCACAAGAATTAAACAAAATAGCCAAAACCAATTCCAACGTTCATGTTTTAGAATTGGATATGGCTAATATTTCAGGACGTAATTTGACTGACTTCACCGATCAAGTTTCACATATTGTCAAAGATGCTGGCCTTAATTTGCTCATAAATAACGCAGGCATTCTTGTTAAAGAGCCAAACAGTGAAATGAGCGTGGAGTCCCTAAGTCACATTTTCAGTGTGAATACCGTTGCTCCATGCATGATAACAAAAGCTTTGCATCCTTTTTTGAAGCAAGCAGCTCAGGTGAACAGATCTCATGAGCAAATTGTTGCTGCTGTTGTCAACATTTCCTCAAGTATGGGTTCTATATCTGACACCACCACCTCCTATTGGATGACATACAGAATATCCAAAGCTGGATTAAATATGTTCACCAAAGCCACCAGTTGTGAATATTCCGGTGATGACATAGCAGTTGTTTCATTACATCCAGGATGGGTGAAAACTGATATGGGAGGAAAACAAGCATCCTTAACTGTGGATGAATCTGTTTCAGGAATGATGAATGTAATCTTGTCTTTAAAGAAATCCGATTCAGGAAGCTTTTTAAAATATGATGGAACTATCCTGCCTTGGTGAAGCATTTGCCAATGTAAATGCCAGACCAGCAGTAACTTTCATTAAAATATCCATAATCTTATACTTATTTAGTAATAACAGCAAAATAATTCATACTTTCTTGTCATTGATGTATGTATGATTTTAGAATAATATGTATTGAGTAATTATTTTATGTTGGTTCTCATAGGTGCATGACAGCAAAAAGAAATCATGTAATGCTGCAAAAATTTGTCAATGTTTGTCACAGGCAAAGATTTTTCATCTTGTTTGATTTGGAAAAGCCATTTCAGAAACCAGAGAAGAAAACAGGGATAACTGGTTATGTTGTATTGAAGACAGGTTGTCTGTCGGGGGTTTGAACTGTGGAGCTCAGTTCTATATAAACCAAGGTAAACTAACCATAACTAAATCTAATGCAACTTGCTATTTTGTTTGGTTAGGCTAAATTGAGCGGACCTGAATTTTTATCAAGTGAGTGGAAGTAAACCTGGCCTTGATTATAATTTATATTTATTTTTTGCTTGAAGGAACATTGAATATTCATATGAGCAAATCAAGGGGGAGATATATAGTTTCATTTTATTAACAACATAAAATTTAAAAGAAAGAAACTAGTTAGGGTATCCTCTGGCGTCACATCAATATGCTATTGTCCTTGAATTACTCCAGTTCATAACCAGTGGCGTAGCTAGCTCAACAATTGAAGGAAGGGGGCAGTATTCATTTATTCCAGTTCTGCTGTATTAAGTTCTTTTAGAATCGATTGTTTTCCGCGGATTATAACATACAAATGTTTTACTCCCCCCCCCCCAGACACAACTGATGCCAGCACTTTTTTGATACGCCCTTCGCTCTGACGCCCCATAATTTTTTACATATTTTTGAAAACTTTGGTATGTTACACTCAATTTCATCGCAACAAATTTTTTGCGTAGAATGAAAATCAAGCTTAAAAAATTAATCTCTGTCTCCAAACTTCTTTGATGATAATGAAGTGGGTGAGCATTTTGCCATTACATCATTTGCTACGCATTTGTAGGTTTCAAGCTCTCCAAGTGCGCTGTTCTCGATGTTGTGCGAAGTGCACATGTAATCACTGTATTACATCACTTTGGAGTACCAACATTCCACAATCATAATTTCATTTATTCATTAAAAACGGGCACCCAGGAACAGACATGGCTTCGTTTGGCTTTGCATCGGTGTTAATCACAGGAGCCAACCGCGGTCTTGGTTTGTCTATGATCAAGTACTTGATAAATTTACCAAAAGGTCCAACTCAAATCATTGCCACTTGTCGATCACTACAAGCGGAAAATGCACAGGAATTAAACAAAATAGCCAAAACCAATTCCAACGTTCATGTTTTAGAATTAGATATGGCTAATATTTCAGGACGTAATTTGACTGACTTCGCCGATGAAGTTTCACATATTGTCAAAGAAGCTGGCCTTAATTTGCTCATAAATAACGCAGGCATAAATGTTAAAGAGCCATTCAGTGAAATGAGCGTGGATTCCCTAAGTAACATTTTCAGTGTGAATACCGTTGCTCCATGCATGATAACAAAAGCTTTGCATCCTTTTTTGAAGCAAGCAGCTCAGGTGAACAGATCTCATGACCAATCTGGTGCTGCTGTTGTCAACATTTCCTCAAGTTTGGGTTCTATATCTGATACCACCAGCTCCTATTGCTTGGCGTACAGAATATCCAAAGCTGGATTAAATATGTTCACCAAAGCCACCAGTTGTGAATATTCTGGTGATGACATAGCAGTTGTTTCATTACATCCAGGATGGGTGAAAACTGATATGGGAGGAAAACAAGCACCCTTAACTGTGGATGAATCTGTTTCAGGAATGATGAATGTAATCTTGTCTTTAAAGAAATCCGATTCAGGAAGCTTTTTAAAATATGATGGAACTATCCTGCCTTGGTGAAGCATTTGCCAATGTAAATGCCAGACCAGCAGTAACTTTCATTAAAATATCCATAATCTTATACTTATTTAGTAATAACAGCAAAATAATTCATACTTTTTTGTCATTGATGTATGTATGATTTTAGAATAATATGTATTGAGTAATTATTTTATGTTGGTTCTAATAGGTGCATGACAGCAAAAAGAAATCATGTAAGGCTGCAAAAATTTGTCAATGTTTGTCACAAATTTGAAAGCAGTGAAGATTTTCAATTCTATTTTATTCGGAAAAAGCATTTCAGAATGAGAGGTAAAGATTGGCAATGCCATAGCCAGCCTGCAACTTTGGCCATGCAGTGCAAGTTTTTCTGCACTTAATCACTGCAAAAACAACATATTTCTAAAGAAATAAAAGTTAACTTTTACCTAGCAGGACCAAAACTTATGCTGTACTAAAGACAGGTTGGCTGTATTGTATGTTTCAACTGTGGAGCTCAGTTCTATATAAAAGGTAAACCAATCACTAATGCAACTTGCTGTTTTGTTTGGCTAGGTTAAAGTGAGAAGACCTAAATTTTTATTAAGTGCGTAAACCTCCCTGGCCTTCCTTGGTTTATGATTTATGCTTATTTTCTGCTTGAAGGAATATTGAATATTCAAATGAACGAATTTATGTTGTTTCTCACCCCCTGAAAACATGAGACTGCATTTATAGATGGTAGACCACAATGCAACGGAAGTTATTTGTAATAGAAAGTTACGTTGATTTGTGGTGATGGCTTCCACGAAGAAGAACACGAAGAAACAAGATGAAAAACATCTGAAAATTCTTCGGGATCTTTGTTCTTTGCCACACAACAAAAAATGTTTCGACTGTGGGCAACGGGGTCCAACCTATGTAAACATGACGATAGGCTCGTTTGTCTGTACGTCGTGCAGTGGAATATTGTAAGTCAGCGTTTAAAATAGTATTTTTAAAAACTTGTCCTTCAAATTTGTAACTACGTCGTAATAGAACGCAATGAACATTGTGAAGAAGATCCATTAAATATATTTGCTTGTCGCTTTCTTATCTTAAACTTTTTTCTGTCAAGGCGTGGATTGAATCCTCAACACCGAGTCAAATCTATATCAATGACAAGCTTTACGCCATCGGAAATAGAGTTTTTACAAAATGCTGGAAACGAGGTGGTTATTTCAATAATGTATTTGGCTGCATGAAATTAATGTTACTTAGATTTTAAAAATATTATTCAACCATGATCGATAGTTAATTGTGCAATTTGTATTGTACACGACGGTATCTGAGTAATTTGTAATCAGCATAACCGTTCTGCTTTCTATAGCTATACATACTTCATAACTTTCTATCGAACAAAAATCTGAAAGCAAACATTAAAATCGTTGTCTTGCTAATGCATGCGAAATTCATCACGCCATATTTTGATTAATAAGAACATTTGAATCCAGCCGTCAACTTTTAAACGGATTTTAATACATGCAGGTGAAAGGTTGATATACCATCTGCATGTCATTGTCATGCTAAATATTGGCAGCTACTGTTAGTTGGTACATTTGTTCATTCATATGTATTTTCATTTCATGCATCTTGTTCTCATATGCAAACTTCCAGTTTTTTTATGTAGTTGTTGAAAAATAGCACTTCTAAAACCCTTTTCATATATACTGTATTACTGTGTTGTTCTGGAAAGTATGATCTTCCTATGATATTTCTATAAATCTTCCATTATTTCTAGCGTTTGAAAAGGAAAACCCACTTTCTTCCTTGTTAAATATACTGAAAATATTTTTGATAATTAAACGTCAGGTTTGTGGGAAATCTTGGTTGGGACTATGGAATTCTTCCAATCCACCAGAACCAGAATCTAAGGATGAAATTAAAGTGAAAGAGTTTCTAATGAAGAAATATGATCGAAAAAAATGGTACATTCCTCCTTCCCAATTGCAAGCAGCAAGCCCTAAGAAAGAAGCATTGCAGTCGTCATCAGAGCGAAAACCTTTAAAACATCTTCTAGGTGAAAACGCACCAACCCTTGTTGTTGGAAAAAAAGTGAGTCTAGCTGTTTAATTTGTTTTGTCTTCCATTCTGTATGCGATAAAAATGTAATCCCAATTAATTTTAAGATTTGCAGTTAAACAAGAGTTTTGCAAATTTAGGTTCCAGCTCCCTCAAAAACAGCGCCAACTGTTACACTGCCTGCACCACAACCTGTGCCTCATCGTACCGCAAATGCTACACCAAAAGCACCAGTGAATGATTTGCTTGGTAATCTTGAGGCAGATGCGTTCGGTCAGCCTGCAGGTATTTTGACAATGTTTGTTCTCATTAAAGTACATGAAGTAAATAGGTTTGAACCTGGGAGTATCATTACATGTTTGTAGATGTAGATCGTCCAGGTTGGTATAGTCCTGAGAATGACTGTTTTTGTTGTTGTTCACTGACGTTTTGACAACCTTTGCAGTGGTCATCTTCAGAGTTTGTTCTCATTGTCAGTTTTAAAACTGGCTATGATATCATTGTTGCACTTTCCAACTACTTAGATGTTTTAACATTATAAAAGTACAATGTAACTTTGCATAGTTGTAAACAATGTAAACAATAACATAAACATTTATATATGCAAAGTTTTGGTGATGTTTGTGTTTTGTAGCTTCTTCTGGTTTTAATGCATTTGGTAGTCAACCTGTTGCACCTGCATCTAGTGCTAGTTTTGATCCATTTGCCAGCTCTCAGCCCCAACAAGTGCAAGAACAGCAGCCTGTGCAGCTTCAACAACCACAACAGTTTGGAACATTTGATGCATTTGGTAATACAGCACCATCTTCAAATTTTGATGCTTTTGTCGGTGTTTCATCAATTCAGCAACAACAACAGCAACCGAGCCAACCCCAAGGATTCAATGCCTTTGGCTCTCAGCCTCAACAATCTGCACAATCTCAACCTAAGAATACAGGATTTGATCCCTTTGGGACAACACAATCAAATTCCCAGACATCTACTGGATTTGATGCATTTGGCTCAACAACACAACAAGCCGAACAAAAACCAAATGTGTTTGCAGCTTTTGGAAGTTCAGCACAAACTGCATCTTCATTTGATGCCTTTGGTAATTTTACTACACCATCAGGTACTGTTTTCTCACGAGAATTTGTTGCAAAACAAATAGCATTTCGTACTTACTATTTGACCTCTCTTAAAAACATTTCTACTTTAGCATTTAAAGCTAACCTGACTAAATAAGATTCTTTAATAGTTCATGATCTATTAATTTTCATTGGCTTGTGTGTGTATTGACTTAACATCGGGAGCTACTTACACAAACAGTTACTCGCCATAAATATAGTTGAGCGTTTAACTAACAAATACAATGAAGATATTAGGGTTTTTAGAAAGCGACGTTTGAACGTTTTAAAGTGTATTACTTCATGTAAATGTCATTGACTGAAACTCGCACAAATTTTTGATTTATTCCATTAGTAATAAGTGAATCGTCTTCCATTTATTTCATCACATGAAGCAATTCGTAAGCTCTATAATTTTGATGATTTTAGCCTCCAAATGAATTTGTTGCGAGAGCTACTGCATGGAAGTTTTAATAACTACGTTCAATTTACCGATATTGGTTTTATTCTAGCTTCTCAACCCACGAAGACTACATCAACTGTTGGAAACTTTGGTCCCGTGGTATCTTCTTCTGCAACAGGAATGTCTTCGTCAGCTGCAGACAAATACGCCGCTCTTAGTGACTTAGACTCGATTTTTAAAGAGCAAACAACTACGCCAATTAGTGGGGCTCAACAGGGATCGTTGTATGGCAATACCAGTAATTCAAGTACGTCACTTGGTACCCCTGGCAATTCTACTGGTGCCTCCGTTATGTCGGCTGGTCCCAATCCATTTGCCAGTGTTGGCAGCACAGCACCATCCTTCTCCCAGTCCAATCCATTTCAAATATCTGCTGGTGTTGCGGTGCAGTCGAATGGATTTTCTTCAAACAGTGGATTTTCTACAGCACCATCTTCTGTTGCACACTCGATGAGTTTTTCCAGCGCCGGCATGACTGCAATGGCTGCAAATCAGTTTAACAAAATGAGTGGTGATGCACGCCATCCACCTGGAGCGTTTAGTTATACCGGAGGTACGACGGGGCAGTCTGGTGTTGGACAATTTTCTGGCAATCCTCAAAAAGGAAATTCACTGAGTGGATCTCACTTTGGTGCTTCTCAGTTTGGTGGTGCGTCTCAACCAGCTGGAAATCAATTTGCTGGTGTCACACCAGCCATGGGAGGCCAACTTGGCACTGGTCAATTTGCTGCGACAAATTATCAACAGCCACAGCAACAAGGTTTTCCTTATGGGACCAATCAGTTTGGTCAACAACACCAACCCAATCAGTTTGGTCAACCACACCAACCTAATCAGTTTGGTCAACAACACCAACCCAATCAGTTTGGTCAACAACACCAACCCAATCAGTTTGGTCAACAACACCAACCTAATCAGTTTGGTCAACCACACCAACCCAATCAGTTTGGTCAACAACACCAACCTAATCAGTTTGGTCAACCACACCAACCTAATCAGTTTGGTCAACAGCACCAACAAAATCAGTTTGGTCAACAACACCAACCCAATCAGTTTGGTCAACACCAGCAACTAAATCAGTTTGATGGTGGTTGGCAACAGAAATCTCAGTCGAATCCATTTGCGGTAAGTCGATGAAATATTGTAGTATAAGATTTGTCAAGATCAGATCTCCTTTAAGTGGACTGAACTGAATTATTAATGATTTTTGTTCAACTTAAAGAAGAAATGTTTGAGGTTCCTTTGCAAGATGTATTACACATATTATCTAATGAAGACTATTGGTGGGCTGCATCCATCCCCTTGGGAGTAAGAAAACAATGGAAAGCTCGCCATGTTGGATGAAATTTGCATTGTAAATAAGGAAAATCGTTTGTTAAAATCATCCAATATGGCGACTATGACGTAGTTTGCAACCCAAGAATTGTCACTAATGTGATTATCCATCTTAGTAGTTGGTACTTGACCATTAGTCATAACATGTGAATGGAATGTTTCTGAAAGAATATGATATGTTTTTTATGTTTTAGAATTCCGCGCCTCACGGTGGTGGCTATCCCATTCAACAAAGACAATCTACTAATCCATTCATGTAAATTTTACTTTATTTTCACGTAAATGTTAAGTATGATTATTCAAATAATAGAAGATGTAAAGTTTTTATTAATGAAACTAATCCTGAAACAGATGGAAAATCCGCTGCTAGTTATCGGAAAGTATTTCAAATGTAATGTCATTTTTTTCCATTTTGAAATCTAAGAAAAAAGGCACTTGACTTATAGTCATAGGTTCGGTCTCTCCGGGATTATTTTCGTCTGTTTCCGGATGTGGAAAATAGCAAAAATAGTGTTTCATAATATGATGTTCAGAGATCGCTGTTAAATGCTAATTTTTTGATAATTATAAAATAGCATTTGACGCATCTGGTTTGAACGCTTGCATTGAACGATCATTGATTTTTGACTACAGCGTTCTGCTTTGTACCATACCATACAGCAAACTCGCTGAATTGTTAAAATTTTTGGGAACTGCGAATTCTTGAACTTGAAGTGTAAACTTAACTTGAACTCATCTTTATATAAACAATTCTCCACATTCGAATTATTAAGTTTCAGTACTAAGATAACATGATTCAATGCAAGTCAATTTTTCTAACATATAATCAGTGGCTCTGTTGGATTAAAAAAAAATGTTAGTATTGGCTTATGTATGTATGCAGCTTATCCAAGTTGAACAATGTTAAACTCGTAATCCTTATCCCAGCTATAGCGGAATGTTATGTGTCTCTCTTTTTAAGAAAGAAACCGTTCTCTTCGTATGTTACAATACAGGATACGTACAACACAAGTTAGTCAATGTTCATGTTTCATTTATGCATTATCATCTTTTCCGTTGTATCATTCATCCTTTTCGACGGAGGCCTATGAAGGTTTTTGCATCTCCCCTTTCTGAAAGATTTTTCGTACGAAAAACCCAGTTCTGTCTCTAAAACTAAATTTAAGGAACTACCTCCTAAAACTGGGACGATGATGAAAATTTTTCACTTGTTGTGGCCCTCCCCCTCCCCGATGAACATGTCACTACATGTTTGTAGGTGTAGATCGTCCAGGTTGGTATTGCCCCGAGAAGGACTGTTTTTGTTGTTGTTGATTGACGTTTCGACAACCTTAGCGGTAGTCATCTTCAAAGTCACAACCTGGACGATCTATATCTACAAACATGTAACGATACTCCCGTTGAAACATGTCACTGTTGCAAATTTTTCTTACTTTGTTACCAGTTCGTACACTTTCCCTCGTTTCCTGGCGATCAGACTCAGACTTCGAGTATTGGTCACGTTGATTATTGATGATCTCTTTTCATACAATCCATCGATTATACTAGTACTACCGCTGTGTAATTTAAGTGCGGGCTCATTAAGGAATGGTTAATAAATAATAATTACTCTGTCAAATTACCACTGTTGTCTCAGTCACGCAGGATGATCTCCGGAGAGAAAATATTAAATAGTTTTCGAGAATTGGCCCCCTGAATAGAAAAGAATCTTTCAAATTTCAAAGAACGTATGTAGCCGTGCTGTAAACTTCGTGGATACTTCATCGAAAAAGCTGTGTTCGTTTAAATAGCGGTAAGTCGTGATTTGTTAGGCGCATGAATTTTGACGTTAGAAATTGTGACGAGGAAGTATAACATTTGATATTTTAACACTAACATTGAAGTGTTGAAAAACGTCAACAATGAAAGAATCATGTACATATATAACACTTCAGCTTATGACTTTATCCATAAGGTGTAACACAACCTTAATTTCAAACGTGAAACGTAACGATTTACAGGAAGTGAAAACATTGGTTTTAGAAGAGAAATGTTTGTATACAGTTCACTTCAATATAAAATTATACTCTGACATAGCTCTGTTACTTGTGTAGTGCATACTAATCTTGATATTAGAAAATATTTCTGTATTTCATTATACGTTTAACAACTCTAAAGTAGGTTATTGATATCAAAACAAATCGAAAATATGGACAATATGCCAAATAGCAAAATTATCAAGACGTAGGTTTATGAATATAGCTTCGAAATTTATTGAAACACATAAGGTTAACAAATTCAACTTTACTTATGCTTATATTTATGCATTAATAGCAAGTAAACTCAGTATTTGCGCACAAGCTATTGGTTTTGCAAATTCATGCAAGTATAGAGTAATCGATCAAGAATTTATTGCCATCTGGTCACTTGTTAATGGATGAGTTGTCTTTTATACATTTTGCTGGCTGGCTGTTTTTTTCCAGTGCTTTTGGACAACACAAGCAACAATGGTTAACCTTGCTTGGAATTTAGTATTATTAACTATTAGGTTCATTTCCTCACTTTGTTTAACATTGTTTTGAGATGGGACATACCCTTGCTACAAACAGTGAGTTAAAATGAACTTTGAAAGTTTGTTTCGAATCCGTGCTGTTATGCACCAACAGTGAAATTTATCCTATTTAAACAAGAGCACATTCCATCTTTATGAGCCATGCCTCAGCTATTCAACATTCAAATGCAAATGGTCTGTGAGTAATCCAATGCAACACTTATATCATGCACATTACCAACATGTATTTTCTTTATTTTACCCAATCAAAATTACACTATTTCAGTATTTTTGATATTTTTTACATTCTTGGCACCAGTATATAAAATAATAATTATAGAATATCAATATCTTTGAATTTTCAATATTTTCAAGTTATCAATACACCACAACAGCCTACACTAGGATGTGTTGTTTTACTAATTAACACGTGATCATACTTTATATTGTGATGAAATTTTTATATATTGGTTCAATACATTTCATTACATGGTTATTATAAATGCTTGACATTTGTTTGTTGTTGCATGATTAATAATGCCTGCAATAATTTACTTCCAGATATGTCACTTGTTAATGTTCATCTTGTTGAAGCCACATTTCCATTCACAGGAAGTGATGAGGATGAGGTAAAATGTATGGCTAGCCCTAGTCTTTACTTTTATCAAATACTTTTATCAAATACTTTTATCAAGTGTTGAAGATGAGGTTAAATGTATGGCTAGCCCTAGTCTTTACTTTTATCAAATACTTTCATATATTCAGTGATAAGTTCCTCTCATTCCTTTATGTGATGAGGATGAGGTAAAATGTATGGCTAGCCCTAGTCTTTACTTTTATCAAATACTTTCATATATTCAGTGATAAGTTCCTCTCATTCCTTTATGTGATGAAGATGAGGTAAAATGTATGGCTAGCCCTAGTCTTTACTTTTATCAAATACTTTTATCAAATACTTTTATCAAGTGAGGAAGATGAGGTTAAATGTATGGCTAGCCCTAGTCTTTACTTTTATCAAATACTTTTAACAAGTGATGAAGATGAGGTAAAATGTATGGCTAGCTCTAGTCTTTACTTTTATCAAATACTTTCATATATTCAGTGATAAGTTCCTCTCATTCCTTTGTCATGCTGATGCTCAATGTAGCTACCACTCTTGTCACATCTCCTTCTGTAAAGTGAGATTTTCTAAATTAAATTTGTTTCAATAAAGTTAACAAAATTAGCAAAAATCTTTTCTCACACACAACTGGGAGCTGCTGCAGCCAATCTGCCGCAAGCTTGAAAATTATTACTCGTCTAAACAACCATGCCACTATCATTTCATCGTATAAAAAGGCCCTGCCGTTTAAAGTAGCATAAACTAAACAGTCTCAAACAGCCTTTTTCGTTCCTCAGTTTGTGGTAAACAATACTTAAAGAATGTAACTGGTGGAACGAGTGGAAAACTTGTTTGGTTTTATAATGAATTTGACGAGAAGTTTAAATTTTTTTAGCTTTGTTTTCAAAAAGGTGATATCATCGAAGTTACCAAGGTATTTTAATATTGCCTTTTACCTGAACACAAGGGCGTGTGTATTTATGGAAAGAGGTCCTTGGTTAAAAATTTGTGAAGGCTTTGTTTGTAAAAAGAATTTTTACATTGAGAGACACATAGTTTTTTTTAAACTTTAATGTTTTTGTGTCTGAATCAACATTTTATATGTGAACTTTTGTCTAAGGATCTGCTTTAACTTTTAGGAGTAAGTGACCTTAGGTTTGCCTTGTCCAAGGTTATAATAGTTATACATATGCTTTTACATTTTCATGTCTGCTTCAACTTAATAACCTTTATCACAATTATGTTAGTTACACAGTTGTCAATTCAGAGATGTTGTTGCTTGTTCTTTTGTGTATTTTTTTTACCTATACGTATCATTTTTCGTGTAAAGGTTGTTGAAGGTGGATGGTGGGAAGGTACATTAAATGGACGAACTGGTTGGTTTCCAAGCAATCACGTGGCAGAAGTATCAGCAAGTAAGAAAATATTCACTAAATTATTTATCGTAGTACTGGTATATTTTTGAAAAAAACTGTTGAAAGTTATCTGCTTTCTTGTGTTGTTATGTAAGATGTCTTTAAACTATAATCATATTTCTTCATACACAGGTCAACAATGTTTTACATCTTTCTAATGTGTGCAATTACGTCTTTATTTGTCTGTCATTTACGTTTTGTTTCTGTGGCATTTACATCTCTTTCTGTGGCATTTACATCTTTCTTTGTGTGGCATTTACGTTTTGTTTCTGGGGCATTTACATCTCTTTTTGTGGCATTTACGTTTTTTTGTGGCATTTACATCTCTTTGTGTAGCATTTACATCTTTCTTTGTGTGGCATATATATCTTTCTTCGTCTAGCGTTTACATTTGGATTTTTGGAAAGTTTGCGGCTTCAATAGTGTTGATGTTTAGCGGAATTCAAGCGAAAAAACCTTAAACTGTCGGTTGTTTGGCCTAAACGTTTTCTTTTCATAAAAGGGACCGAAAGATCCGATTTTTCGGTTAACCATCCACACAGCTCTAACTACCATACTCGGTGAATTGTATTTGGATTTTTAGGAAAACAAACATTTAATTCCAAATGGATTAGTCATATTTGAGCATAGTTGATTTTCTCCATTATTTTTGTGACGTTCTACAGGTCCCGAGACTTCTGTTCAAACTACTTTAAAAACAGACGGTGTTTCCGACAGAGAAAGTGTCAGAGTTTATCACAATTTGGTATGTAAATGCAGGAATACACTACTTCGTATGTGTTCCCTATTTTAGTTCATGTGAAAATCGTTTTATGCCGTGGTTTTGTTAATATTTGCGTTGAACTTTACCATGATAGGTCCTTCAAAATATACTGGATACAGAAAAGGCCTATGTCAACGAACTACAGGTTGTCTAGCACATTTTTTTATAATCACGAAGCGTTTTGGTATTGTTTTTGTTGAAATTTCTCTTTTCGTGGTGTTCTTTTGAACGTCGCTCATTCAATTCACTGTTGTCTGAGCGAAAAGACTGATTTAAGCATTGGAGTTATCATTTCATGATTCATCCTGTTCTAAAATTCTTCGCTAAATTTTCTATTCAATTTCTTTCTCAGTCCTTATTAAGAGACTATCTAAAGCCACTCCAGCAATCAACTGCGTAAGTCAAATGATGGTTTTTTCTCACTTTTAATGTTATATGTTCATATAAATGAGTAATCCAGCACTAAATAAATAAGTCATTTGTGATTGATGCTGTTGCCTAAATTTTATTTCTGGCTGCATGCACAGGGCAAATGTGTGCAAATGATTTGTTTTCTCCTTTCAAGAATACCATCCGACGAAAGTAAAGTACTCTGTGGAAATTTCGAGGAGATTGTCAACTTTCAAGATACTCTTTACGAGGAACTAAAGAATGTTTCGTCGTATGTCATTTTAAGAAGAAGATGAATTTATATACATATCTATAATTAATTTTACCCTCTTATACCCCATACATTTATCCACTTATACCCATACATATAACTAATTTTACCCACTAATACCCATTGATGGGTTACACTGATTTACTATTTATCTATGTAACTCAAGAAAATGTTTGGTGGTCAACTGTCATGGTGTCGTACACCATACACTAAGCTCGTGAATCTCCAAGTGAACACGTCATCACTCCAAATGAACACATGATCATTTAATGCACTTGTTGTAATGACCATTTAGTGTATCCTCAGCAATCAAACTTGCATTCAGTTTGAGGATCCTATGTATTTATCAGCTTTTATGAAGCAATCGATCGGAGCGATCCATTCTCAGTCAGTGGTGACTAGCCAGCCCGCCCGCCCGCCCGCAAGTTTGGTCGTGTAAATTTTAGATCATTAGCATTATTCAGTTCTTTAGAAATCTATTGTTTTGCAGCGAGTGAACACTGAAATATTTATATATCATGACCAAACTTGCGGGTTGGCTACGCCATTGTTCTCTCATTTCTCTTTCAACTTGGAGAAAATACGTATCATCCACCATTTTTCATTCACAAAATCATTGAGTTACTTATTTTTTCACAGGCAACCACTCGTACAACAACGAATTGGAGCTGTATTTTTGAAAACTGCCCCGAAAGTACGTAGCTGCTTCTCTTGCTCCTTTTTGAGCAACTTTTCATCAAATTCTTCATATGAGGAATTGTAAATGGCATGCGTAACTTTTTTTATTCATGACACAGGAAAACTCCGTATATGCTCAATTGCAATTTGGCTATTTGATGTTTTGTAAAACTTTGCAATTGCCATGTTCATGATTGTCATATTAATCATTTTTCTCTTGTGTCCAGATGAAAGATATGTACATCAAGTATTGCGCCAATCATCCCCGGGCTGTTGAGGTCCTGACCAAGTATAGGTATGCAAGTTAAGCTTGAATTATACGGTTTTTTCATGAATTCCTAAACTTAAGAACTTTGTGCCTACGTACTAAAATGGTTTGGGATCTTTACTGTTAAGAGATTTCTCGGTTTGTTAACTGATTTAATTATTTTAAAAGAGGCTTATGCAAAACAACGCCTAAACATTGTATAAACGTATTCCCTTTACATTTTAATGGCTTTCGTTCCCGGTTTGTTAACTGATTTAATTATTTTAAAAGAGGCTTATGCAAAACAACGCCTAAACATTGTATAAACGTATTCCCTTTACATTTTAATGGCTTTCGTTCCCGGTTTGTTAACTGATTTAATTATTTTAAAAGAGGCTTATGCAAAACAACGCCTAAACATTGTATAAACGTATTCCCTTTGCATTTTAATGGCTTTCGTATTAACTTTAAGAAATCACGAAGATTGTAATTGTGTCGTTCTGGTTATTTCTCATGTTTTCAGTGATGAGCTATCAGAGTTTATGGAAAAACAAGGAGCAGATTCACCAGGAGTTCTTGCACTTACAACAAGTTTAAGTACAGTAGGTGTTTTTAGATATTTTTTAAATCTTCGTACCACTTAGGATATTGATTCTTGCATAGTTTTTTCTAATCGATATACTGGTTGAAAAAGTCTATTTAAGGTCCGTTAGTGCCATGCCTTTTGTCGGATTCATTTGTGTCGGTTGCGAATGTGTGTCGATCTTGTTGAGTCCACTTTGAGGATACACACATAGAGAAATAGATGCACGATGTTTTTGTTGAGAGGGTGCTCAAGTTTGGATTAGATTTTGTTGGTTACTTATTGCCGTAGGTCAGTGTTGTTTTTTTTTGTGAATGTAACCAGTGACAGATTTGTCGTTGGTCAGAATATGTACATTACTGAAAACATATTTCCACTTTGAAATACTTTGGACAGAATCCTATTGGGGTATTTAAGTCCTCGATATTCTTTGGAAATTTCTAGCCAACAGCGTTGTTAAAAAGTCTTCTAAATTTAAAATGAGCTTTTATGATTTATTTTGACTTTCTCTAGAGTCGTTATTGAATGTAGCAATGTTTATCATATTAATAATAAGTTGACAAAGCTTATTGCGAGTAACGTTTTTAGAGAAACACCTACATCATGTTTTTCATATCTCAACTTAATAAGCATATCATGATATTTCTGAATAGAGAGTGTGGCGTTATAAAGTAACAATATTTTATGAGATTTTTGGAAATGTGCTCCATTAAACATAAATCACAATTGCTTTTGCTTGATTGTTTGATATATTAGTATTTTGTAGGGTAATTTTCACCTTACTGCACCCTTTCCCTAAATCCATCCCTGCACATACACGAGTGGAAAACGTGACAGGGACAAAACTTGCTTTAATGTAAAAATCTTTGGGTTTTCTCATGTTGTAAAGGTTGTTCTTTAATTTTTTCATCGGACCCAATAATCAAATCCAAAACTGTTGGATCCGACAAGCGGTACCTGTACGTAAACGGACCTTCACCATGATAGATAAATAACCTAATTATTAATTCTATTGTTCCTCATTTTGTTTGTGTGTGACTTTATGTAAGTAGCAGTTCACTTTAAGTACCACCCCCAGCAAGAAATCACCTCTAGAGTATCTCTTTACAAGTACCACCCCCAGCAAGAAATCACCTCTAGAGTATCTCTTTACAAGTACCACCCCCAACAAGAAATAGCTTCTAGAGTATCTCTTTACAAGTACCACCCCCAACAAGAAATCATCTGTACAGCATCTCTTTACAAGTACCATCCCCAACAAGAAATCACCTCTAGAGCATCTCTTTACAAGTACCACCCCCAGCAATAAATCACCGCTAGAGTATCTATTTACAAGTACCACCCCCAACAAGAAATCACCTCTAGAGCATCTCTTTACAAGTACCACCCCAGCAAGAAATCACCGCTAGAGTATCTCTTTACAAGTACCACCCCCAACAAGAAATCACCTCTAGAGTATCTCTTTACAAGTACCACCCCAACAAGAAATCCCCTCTAGAGTATCTCTTTACAAGTACCACCCCCAACAGGAAATCACCTCTAGAGTATCTCTTTACAAGTACCACCCCCATCAAGAAATCACCTCTTGAGTATCTCTTTACAAGTACCATTGTTAGTTATTTAAATAGTAAACATGTTACATGTTTGTGAAAAATAGTAAACGATTTAAATAACTACATACAGTAGTTATGATTTCTATAAACTACCTTTAAGTTTGTGCTTGTTGAAATTTGAAGCTAAAAACTCTACTATATTAGATAGTTTTTGTTGTAGTTTATTTCAATTGACTATTTCTGATGTTCGTGTATTATACGTAGCTTTTTAGACGACTGGATAAATATCCTACTCTTTTAAAAGAACTTGAAAGACATTTGGAGGTATTTCGTTTGAGAGATGTAGACATCAATATTTACAATCACTTTTTTCTACGTTCAAATGTTTGTGGTTTTTTTTGCCGGCAACATCGTTTGCATTTACTATGTATTTCTTGATTATTTGTATCATTTCGTGATGTATCTCGATAGGATGGTCACGTAGATGAATTTGATACGAAAAAGGCAATTGCTGTATTTCAAAATATCGGGGTAAGTTTTGTGAGCTGCATGCATTATTTAAAGAGTTAATTTTAGTTTGTTTATTTACCAACTCTACTATAATCCGTGGGAGGATTCGCCAATACGGCTTTACGTCAATGACCAGGTGCTTTAACTTAAAGCTATTCACGTGACCGGGGGAAAGAAACCAAAGCTCTAGGAGACAAAGCCACCGATCTTGAAAGTAGTGTTCGGGGTTTCCCTACCCCAAACGAAGGCTACATAAAATGTTTTTGGGCATCAATCTCCCACGGGTTTTGAACAGAAGACTTACGCATACCTATGAACATTTTTTAAGTTGTTTTTCTGTTTTATGATGATGGCGATGTGACATATTCGGATGTAGTTTCCAAAATTAAATTTAATCAACCAGTTGTTGCTTCGTCGTATATGTATTTTTTATTCACTATATTCATTTTGCGTCCATCGTATTTCATTGGTTTTAGACCAGCTGTCGCGAAACGAGGCGTAGGAAAGAGACTGAACACGAGATATTGACTGGAACAATCGAAGGATGGGACAAAGAGGTTAGAATATTTTTAAGGTTTGTCCGTTAAACTAAAGACAATCGAAAAATTCCCTTCACCTGGTTATGTAAAATTTGCTTCATGCAAGTATAGGATTGCTTCCAGTTATGTGCTTAGTTAAATGTATTGCCTTGAGTTCTTTTTTTATGAAAAAATAAAATGAATTGTGAGAAGCTGGACTTCATGACCGGTTGAGATCTGGCATGAGATCCTATATGACAATTCCACTCGTCCCTATCATTCGTAGCCGGTCAACAATATTTGCACTTTTTCTAAGTACGACATTACACCCACGTTCAAATTTACTTATTTAAATCGTCGTTGACCACACTGACAGCATTTTAAATATTTTTATGAAAAGCGTCTAATATGTACCATGTAATGTATTTCCGATTATGTTAAACATCGTCTGCAAATGGGCTTAAAAGTGCATTTGGGCACAAAAGTTTTACTGTTTAAAAATATATTTTCATTCAACAGAACTTAAAACGACTTTGCGCTGTCTAAAACAGATCATGCATATTTCTTTTTATTCTCAAGATATTAAGTTGTTGTAATGTCCGACTTATTCAACTTGTGCTGTTATTTTTTATAATATAAAAATAAAAAGTGATGTGACCAATCTGTTTTGGAAGATAAACTGTCATTTTGAAAGTTATGTTCAATGAAAATATCATCTAAACAGCACAATCTCTGTGATATGGAAGATTTTTTTGGAAAGCGACGTGTTCTAAGCCTTTTCGTGAAAGAGTTTATGGTTTGAAACTTGTCTTCTTTTACCTTAAGGAAATGAAGAAACTTGGAGATCTTGTTTACATGTCATCACTTTTAATTCACTGCGATAATGAGGTTGGCAGTGTGTCAATGATTGTTTTATGAGTTCGAGAATACGGAGTCGAGTATTTTGTTTGTACTGTGAATATGATGAGATTATTGATGAATTGATTTAGGAAGTGAAGGAAAGGCAATTCTTACTATTTCCTGACGTCTTGGTTTTGCTTTCTGTTAGTGATGATATAAGCGGTTATTGTTTCGAGGTAATGTCATTACTATATTTTCTTTTCATTTAAATTCTTAATTGAAGAAACCTTTCTTTAGACAAGCTACAAAGTTACCGATTTAAAAGTACGGAGTTTGGAAGACACGGAAGGCATTCTAAACGCTTTAGAAATAAAAGGTTTGGTCATTTTATCTTTTTTCTACGATTTAAGTGTATTGTACACATCTCATATAGCAGTTATGCTGTATTTACCATAGAGATTAAAAATAATTCTCGGAGTGGCATCGTAATATAATCGATTTTCCAAAAAAATTATGCTATAGTGGACGAATGTGATTTTTTGAATTTTTTGTGTATATCATACGTTAAATATTGTAGTAAATACTATCACAGTCAATTTGTTGAACTATGTTTTTCTTTTAATCGTAATTTTTGATGATTTTAACCGCTAATATTTTGCACAACATGTTTGTATTGCTTTTATACTTATTCAGTAAATTATAAGTTTGGAGTGTTGCTTGATAAAAAGGCCTTTTTCGCCTTTAATTCAACTGCTAAGAGACTTCAATAAGTATATTTGTCATAACCGTAAAAAGGTTAAAAATGGTTGAAACATGTGAATATGTGGTTGGAAAAACAGAAAAACAAACAAGAACAACATACGTTTTCGTCGCTTATAGTTTAATTAAAACATACAAAGCATTAAATTTAAACAATCTATATTCATAGCAGCTCTCTAAAAAAACTTAATTACGCATTAAATTGATAAAATTTATGTTTGGACGAAAGAACGGCAAAAGCATATTTGTTTACTTATGTGTTTCTAAGCGATGCATCCGGGACCTACCCCCTCCCCCCCAACTCTGCGCTCTTCCGATTCGTCATCAATGCCACCTCCAGTATTATTTATAATCTCTATACACTATTGACAAGATACCTCCATGTTGCGAAGAAAGTGCTTCATCAATCATATATATGAGTATTTTTTCATTCTATTTCACATTTATAATAGTAATAACGACTTTACTTCAAGAGAGTTACAATAGACAGTTTACACTGATAAACGCGTGGCCCTCAGTTAGATAAAAATCTACAATAGATTGAGTTATACATACTACACACATATACTTAAAACTACGTCAGAGACAAAAGTGAAACTATGATACAGTTAATATATGGTAACAAGTAAAAAGTCTCTGTTCGTTGTGGTGTGAATTGTTCTGTGAAATGAATTATAAGATCCTTTTTTCCTATCGAATTTCATAGTTAAGTTCCTAATATCTGGAATGTTTTGCTTCCTTTTAGTGCCCTCTTATATTTACGACAAATTAAGTTTACACTATAGAATGTTTTGTCAATCTTGAATTAGTTCATTGTGATCTCGTTGAAGCGTTGTTTTATATTCTATCTATTTTTTTTTCGCCATTATTAAAGTAACACATAAATTGTATTTTCCCCTTAATTCTTTTGCTTTATTACTCTGTTTGGTAGCTAGCGACCAGACATTGGTTGTTTCATCAAACAGCGAGAAAGAGAAAGCTGCCTGGCTCGAATCTTTGGCCAGCGGTCCGCATAGTCCATTAGTGTCCACCGCACAAGGCACTGACTTGCCAGATCGAGGCCAGGCTAAAGAGCCCTTCCCATCTGTGCAGAAAGAAAATGTCAAACCGTCTGAGGCATTCATTAAAAGTGAACAAATCCCAGTAAAGATCCCCCAGGTAATGTCACGTGCTTGTCTAAGCAATGTCACGTGCACATCTGACCTGGCAATGGGAGGGGGAGTTGAGGCAAAATCATCTGATATTTTATTATTTGACGTGGCGCAATTTTTGAGCTGGGGTAAATTGTAGTCAATATCTACTGTTATTTTTATTCAAATCTTTTTCAAAATGTGATTTGATTTTTAAACGAAGCATTTCAGTTTCTTGCGTTTCATGTGACGATGTGATAAATAGAACGGTGCATGACGATATCCGTCAATGTCGTGCTCTTTTTATTATTGTTCCGTTTTTCACATTCTTTAACCATTTTTTTTGTTTTGCAGTCGCATACATTTCCAAGAACCGAAACAACAACTATCACGCAAAGTGCATCATTGCCACGCTCTGTAGCTGCTCTCACCGATGCCAACTGTCGTGACATACCACCACCATATCTTCAACACGAAAGAAAATGGGACTCGACTCATTTACGTCCCACTCCTCCCCTTCGACCTGCATTTGTGCTGACGATGAAAGATGTAAGTGTCCCATAGTTGGGGTAACCATATTGTTTGTATTCAGCAACGACATTACATACTCTAGTAAATCAAAGTTGTCTTTTTCATCTATATACAGATTGCATTCTTTGAAAGTATTCTGTCTGTTATTAAACCTACCAGTTTCCTCTGACCAAAGTTTTGACGGTGTGAAATACTTGCGAGCAGTATTTGATCGCGGGTTATGCTTTGGCGAATCTCTTCGGTTCTCCATTTTGAACACATTTGGTTTTCTCGTTAGCAGTTTTTCCTTGTGCCGTACGGCTATTTCATAGAGGCTTTGAGATTTAATTGGAGTGATTGTTTGTCTAGTTTTTGCCACTGAATAGAACCACGGAGCTTTCTACGGAACGTGGGTTTTTTGTTTGTCTTTCATTTTAAGAATTTACTTGTTTAAAATGAAAAACGCTTAAAAGCAAAATGAAGCAATTAAAAAGCTTTTAAGCTTATTTTTCTAGAGTCCGATCGTGACTCTCTGATAAATTTATAACCAAGCAAAAAAACTGAATTTCCCGTCCACATGTCATGAAGAGGGATAACTACATCCCTCTTTATATGCCTGTTCAAGTTGGCAATGAAAGCGAATCAAAATTGTATACCTTTTTGTTATAGGATTCTGTGAGTTCACCCAAGTCGGTAAAGACTTTGCTGCAATCAAACCGTGGAAAGAAAGGTACATAAACGTGTTGTTGGTTTGTTTCTATGTCTATATGCAAGTGTTGCATGTTTGTTCCTTGTAGCTACATACTAAACATAGTCATCATCTTTCTCTTCGTCGTTTTTTAAACAGGTCGCTCAAAAAGTGAAGATGAATATCGTCAAAATTTTTCATGTAAGATTATCTGCATTAGTAACCAATTTTACTTGTAATAAGGTCATGGTAGCAGGTCAAGCCAAAATTGCTTGGTGTACTAGAGCGTTGAGACGTTGCTTGCTATTTTTGAAACTGGCTTCCGGAAATCGTTTCTTCCCTCTAAATGCTGATGTGCCAGATGTGTAATTATGCAGACAGAATTAGGTTATTCGACAGAAAATAATTGTTGAACTAGTTTTATATCTTAAATTGGCTCCCAATGACGTTGTAAATGGTTCGTGCACAGTTAATTCACATTGTTGATCGGTGCATTTTACTTCAGCTTCAGCTCGAGTGCTTGAAGAAGATATGGCGATACTTGGTGTTATCGAGAGTTACTGCAAAAGTGCGAAAGAACGATTAAATATCAAATGTAAGTTCACGTTTTTCGTATATATATTATAAAAGTTATCCTGTTACACTATCAGTGCTGTAGTACTATCGATAATTGTGGGGGGGGCTCATATTCTTGTGTGCATGCTATTTAAAAAATAAAAGATGTTTACTGTGTTTGCACAGGCATATGCAGACCGAGGAGACCTTTGGGAGAACTTGAGAGCTTATCAGTGCAAGTCCGAGACCGAAGGTCGACGGTTGCACCTGCTCGAGAGCTCTCACTAACGTCTCCGAGATTTAAATAAGCCAGTGCAAACACGAGAAACATCTTTTATTTCTTTTATAAAATAATGATACGAAACAAACATATTTTCCTCTATATTTCTTCTAAAATGTATTCTCGATTGATTGGCAAATTCTCTTTGATTGATTAATTGATTTGGTTGGCTAGTGCAGACAGACACGGTATTGGAAACACGGCTGTTGACCAATCACCGCACGCGTTTTTATGTTTATATTTTATAAATGTGCATGTTATAGTCCGTTGAAAAAATACATTTTACAGGAACTTAATACGGGATATCATGAATATATGAATATGAGCCCCTCCCCCCCCAAAAAAAAGAATTGTTGATTGTACTACAGCCCTTAATTATTTGAAAAGTAATTAAATAGGCATGCATTTGAATAATTATGTGTTTCCAGTTGTTTTCAAGAATCTTTCTTTTTGAAATTCCTTTCTTTTTTCGTTTGTATAATCCTTCTAATTATATGGCCTTATACACATTGTTTTCCTCTGTGAAAGATTTTGGAAGAATATCGAGCGAAAATACATTTATAGCCTAAAAGAAGTTTGTAATTTTGTTTTGTATTTGCACACGCTTATGCAACCACAGGAGAGATTTGAGAGAATGTTAGAAAAAGCCAATGCAATTCACTGCCGAGTGTCGAAGCTCGCGCAGGCAAGAATGTACTGTCAAAAGCTTGTGAACACAGCAAAAATCATTTGAAAACGCGCACTTTGTGTTAATCTCATTTAGCATTTATTGGTTATGGTGATAGATTTTCAATTGATTCGCAACGCTGCACCGCAAACCACTGTTTGCGTATTTGTTTGTTTGTTAACAATTATTTAGCGTTGTTAGCGCATGCGTTGTGTAGTCTTACGTCGTAAAATATAATAATGCAAGACCTATATGCGGTTAGTATATGGTGGAAGAAGGTATAACAAATCATTATGTAAGAAGGAGCAACACTTTTACGTTTCGCTGTTATATTTGAAATTCATGGAATTCATGTGCAAGGATTTTTCCTTCTGATGTAAGTCTTTCGTGTTTTTCGTTTTATTAAAAGTTAGCGCAAGGATTTCATATGCATGATGACTATGATGTACTTTATGTTGCGAACTTCACAAAGATGCAATACTGTCTATGACTTTAAAATGTCGCATCAATGAAGTCCAAAATCTTAATTCAGCACCAAGCATTGCATTAGCACACCATTCATGAACGAGTCACCTCCATTTCAATGCATTACATAAATGGGTCATTGAGTAAAAATTTCTACGTATAAATTTCATCATTAAAATTGCTACACCTTCCATTTCTGCCATATACCAGCTCGACCACTTCCACCGCGACGATCAGCAACATCAGACGAAGACGAAGTGTTTATGCATGAGGAGACTGGATCTACTTGCAGTTCAACCAATAAGCTTCGAGTACCAATACCTATGAGATTACTTGCTGGGGCCACTTGTTGCATACGCTATAAAGGAAAATAGAGAAGAAAGTCTAACTTATTTTGAAAAAGATTATTGCAGATATAAATAGCCTTGCCTTGTGATAGTGCTATTTGCTTTTTAAGTGGTTTTAAAATGAAATATATTTGTAAAATTGTATTGAATTGTAAGTAAAACTACTATTTAGTATTTTAGCGTTAAATATTTTAAAGATGTGAGATATTTTTCTTGTAAATTAATATATTTTTGCATTCGTAAATGCTGGATAAAAGTTGCATTTGTTTCGTGTCTTTGCTCAAGGAACACATTGATTGAAAATGAAGGTTCTGTTCACATTTCAACGGACTGTTATTCTAGTCTGTCAATTTTAGTAAAATTCGTATATTTCTGTGAAGATTGTTAAGCAAACGACGCTGACATTGTTATTCAAACTCTGTCAGATTTGTAAATAAATTTGTTTGTGATTTTTGCTCCTTAATCGCTGAGTAGCAGAATCCGTTGTTGTGCGAATTTGGCTTCAGCTTTAAAAACCAAATGCAGTATTCTTGTGGTAATTGGGAAGGGACTTATGCACAATCCTATATCAATTGCATCATTTCACCATATGAAACTTTACTAGTGTAGGGGAAATAAAATGTATTGCCGATTTCATTTCTTTTGTTGACCAATCAGGATTGGTTTACGGCAATAATTATGGTGAAGACGTTTGATGTCTCGAGAAAAGCACTGCTCTCAACCAATCAGAAATGAGATATTTTTTTGAAACTTATTGATTGGTCAGAAAATGAAGTTGCATAACTCTACATGACGTTATTTGAACATGCTTAATCAATTTTACTTTTTTTTTGTGTTTTTCCACCCAATTGATTATTGCATTGTTTTGTATTGCCATGCATTACCGCCAGCAACATCTTCCCAATTCTCTGTACATATGTATTGTTTTGTTCTCGCAGGTAGCCCAATACCTCCTACTGTCCCACCTCACAGGCACTCGACTGCATCAACCCTCAGAGCTGAACGTGAGCATGCTAAACAAAAGAAAAAGAAAAAGAGGTAAGCAATGTTTTGGTAATTTGTAATTTTATACGTGAAAAACTCGACTTTTCATCCAACCGCTTCACGTGTATGGTTCATTATTAAGATGTAGTTATTTGCATTATGTGCTTCTTACGTAAAAATATCCCAGCCATTATTGATCAAAGAATCGAGCCAAGCAATGGTGGATCTAGGGTAATTCAGAGTACATTAAAAGATCATATTTAGAATTCAAAATACTTTTCAAACAATTCCTTTGGTTATGTTTTTGCTTCAAAATATTCTTAACGAACAAAATTTTTGCCAAGGTATTTTGAATTTAAAACGAATCGCTCTAATGTATTCTAACTTATCCTGGATTTGCCACTGGAGCCAGGTGATTCAAGTGTTTTGAGTAGTGTATGCGCAATAGGATTGCTAGGCATTGAAGATTTACCGCCATATTCTGAGAATTCAGTATTGTATTTACACAATCGAAGTAGAAGACCAAGTGACATGTTGATAGGAGCCTTTGTTTTTGATAATGTCAACTGATATTCTCCACTTCCACGCCATTTACAAAGAATCGTGTACTTATTTCAATTATTCAATCTTTTCTCTAGCATATTAATAGGTGAGTTCAGATGCCTGCGAAGTCAAGACGAAGATTTGCGAACAGTAAGTGACAAACAATGCATTTTCGTCATATGGCAGAATGCACTTGCACTTCGCACTTCTTCATCTTCTCTTGATTGAAATCATATATTTATGTTATTGTGATTGTGTTTGCTGCTGTGTTCAATCTTTAAAAGCGATGTGGCAGTTGCGCGTACTAGACAACTGGTGTCGTGCAACTGCTGACTGTGACCTTGGACATAGTTGGCAAACTAGGAAATTGAAATGTGCGTTTGCATCGAAATATGTTTGGCATTTGTTTTCTTTCGTGTATAATTACATTGGAAAAGCAGTTAAAAATTGTGAAAAGGTAAGTTTCCTGCTTGAGTGACTCTTTGTATTATATCGACATCGAATCGCTGCTTTAAAAAGGGGGAGGTAATTTATTCTTCTTTTTGGAAGACCAATCCAGATGAATTATGAACCGGGCTTAGCCCCCTCTAACCTGATATAGAAATTCACCACCCGCTATCTCCCAGAGCCTTTCGTTGATTAACAAACAGTAATACTTGTCAATCAAACAAAGCGGGTCATATTTGCGTGCAGACAAGTAAAATTTATCCGAAAACAATTCTTATTTTCACTTCGGAGATTGTCTCTAAACATGGCAATTTTGAATTGCAGTTCACTGACAGACCTCTTGCCCGGTAGTTTCTCATGAATACCGCATGTTTTAAAACCTTAGCCAATGATTTCATGATTATTGAAAAAAGATTACCATGCTAATTGTCATAAACACAGGAGCCCATGGAGATGGAACGGGTGGCAAAGCAACGAGCTCGTTCAGAGAAGACAGAAAAAGTGTTGCATGAATCATTGACGTCACATATATCGCCACAGGAAGGCCTGGACTCGAGTTTCTAAGTCAGAAAGTTTTGCCATGATTTTTCTATATATAGCATAAATTAGTTAAGAAAGCAACGTCTATGTCAAACAGAAATGAATTTTTACAATTCAAAGAATTATTTTTCATACTATTGCTGAAGGAATGTTCATTATTTGACAGTCCTTTACCAGGCATCATTGTCTCAATTGAGAACCTCTCGATTGACTTGGAAATACAAACTAATTTTCTCTGATTTAATTCCCTATTAATAAGTTCAAAGCACTGATATATATAGAGACTGGATGATGCAACCTAACTCTGGTGCCTAGAAAATTTTGAAACCAACTTTCGACAGCGGCGGCCATATTGGACTGTACCCTCTTAGTGTATATTTTATAATGAAGTTTTATCATATTTTGTATTCTTGTTATTTTCTCTTTCAGAAATAATGCCAAATCTTTTATTATGATATTTAAGGAACGTGAGAAGATTTCTATTTGAAATTTAGGAAACATGAGTTTTAGCCCAAAACCGCTCTATTGCAGTCTTGTCATCATAATTATTTTTTGTCCCAAGAGTAAAACATATGATCCAAGATAAATGCGAGAGTAGAAGTTTGTTGTATAAAACCTATATAAAAACTGAAAACATGGATAATCCAATATGGCCGCCACCCGGCTTCAAGTCAAGCACTAAGTTGTGTTATCCAGGTTCATGCATATCAGTGATGTAAAGCAGTGAACATGACTATGGTATTTTTAATACTATTAGCCTGTCATACCCATCAACCTGTCAATTGAAAATTTGACCTCGTTGACATTGTTGTTGCACAGTCCTTTGGTAGAAGTCGTAGACAGTGACGTAGCGCTTATTAGGTAGGGTTGAACGTTGCTTCACTAAAGAAGGGCCCCAAGGCTCATCGTTCCATAAGTTAAGAAACGGTTGGAAAACAGTTGGAAAATGAAATATAAGAATGTATTGATTTGCATGTGATGTCGGCAATTGCACTTTTGTCAACACTGGCCTTTAGCACATGGTACAGTACATATATGCCGAAGGTATAGTATATGAATCAGTGGTCTCACTTCGAAGTGCAACTTGCTGATGTATATTGATGGGGAAATGCAGTTAACTGGCCCTCGTTATTCCAATCACGTGTGCATTAGTTATGTTTCAAACAAAATTTTTCAATACAAAAAGTGAGACTTCTGCTTGTTCCCTATACTGTGCCTAAGGGCTCATTCTACCTTCGTTAAGTCACTGGTCGAAAATGTGGTGTATCTGGCAGTTATTAACTTATAGTAAAATAATTTTTCAATTGACGTAGTTAAGGTAGTTATATCAGCAATATTACAGTCGAATTGCTATTGAAATAATTGTGCATATTATATTTTTTTGTCCATAACACCGTGATAAATAGATTAGCATTGAAAAAATTTTGTAGAAATATTTTTCAATAAAAATAGACAACGTATGTCGGCTGTTTCAAATGGTTTCAATTAGCTGTGAGATTGTGAATATAAAGTTATAGAATTTTGATAATCAGCGTGGGTTTCCACTCCACCCATATCAAGGTCCGCGCTGATTTTGATGTCAATTATTGCACAAGTTTAAAGTTTCACAAACATGCGTGTTTTGTGGCAGAATTCTACTGAACAATTTTTAACTGACTGAAGGCTATCTCTTGATGCACTTTGCATGGTTTTCAGCTCAATTGACTTTGATGATGTTATGTGAAAATTACGCAATTTTTGACTAATAATTTTTATTTGTTAGACGTTTTTATACATTTGCATTACATTGAGCAATATCTAAAGTCTTTTCACCTAATTTCATTTTATTGCTGCGTAATTTTATTGTATTAGAACCCGAATGAGGTTCTAATCTAAAAGTACTAGTTCCGTCCAAAAGTACTAGTTCCGTATTCAGCATATTTGTCTATCGTATTCGGCCACGATGCAGCGTTCATTCTACTTGGTCCATCGTCCGTGATGCTTGTTGACTTTTTTCGAGCGCTCGAGAGAGGCAGGGTATGAAACTGGCATATGGATGTTGAAGGATTATCTTCCCACCAATATTCAAAACTTGAAGTTCTTTCCAGTATGCGGCGAGATTCTTGTTCGCTTATCGCGGCCAATTCCCGGCCGTTTTCTTTCTCAATCAATTGTTGACTGTTTGCAATGGGAGTGATATTTATGTCATCACTATTTCCTGAGGTTTTTCTTTTCCAATATGCCAATCTGTACGGTGAACTTGAGCTAAAAATTAAGAGCTTCTTGCAGTTTGTTGAAAAAAATATAGCTGTGAGAGGCATATGGTACTTAGATATTGAAAAAAATTTTAGCCGTGTTGATTTTATTGGATCAATTGTAATGTATTTCTAAACGACCAATTTGTACGTCAAAGTTTTATCGATATAACTATGGTGATGATGGTAGGAATTTTAAGTAGAATAAAGCGAAGAAGTCTAAGATCTTGGTTTGACAAAATCGACACGACCGAGCTCCGTTTGTGCAGTGTTTTTTAGTTAAATCACTAGCAAATCATAGCATCATCGTCATACTAATATAAATACCTAAATTTAAATTGATGAAATGCATGGGCTATGACACAAAACGTTGAAATCATCATGACGCCAGTAAAACAGCCTACCATGATTGTAATTATTTCCCAAGAATTTATCGCCATTGCCGTGGGTGAAAACAGTGATCTGGGCTCTAAAAAAAATTGTATACCGTCAACCGAATCTTCAAACCTTTTTATGGAACAGTTGAGGTAACATCGTTAATTTTTGTTCTTGAGTTTAAGCTCACCGGTAGAGTTGTCGTTAAATGAACGAAATTAGAAAACCTTCACGTTTTTAAGCATGTATGTATTTGCTAATATCTACTGACGACAGCTATAGTTAGCTTTTCACTCGCCGATATTGCATTCTCGCGATTTATGAAACCACAACATTTGCACTTGTTCGTAAGCGTGGGATTACTCTTATGCGCTCGGTTTCAACAGAAAAATGAAAAATCTGCCTTGGGTGGGTTGCTTATTACGTCACGGTCGAAATCTCTTTGTCCTTTGACTCCTTCGGGAATGGTTGTAGCAGCCTATTGAACTGAAATGTATTCTACATATAAAACTTGAATTATATAAACTGTAAGACTGCTTGGCTGTATAACCTCGATGTTGACTTTCATTAGATTCACTGACTGTAGTTGGCCATCTCAGCGTTCCTATTTGTCAGGTGCTTGTACTACATGGTTTTTTCCCTGTTGGTGGTTTTCATATGCGCCATGCTGGTGGACTCCTTACAAAAGACTATAATAAGATTTTATTGTTATTGGGCGACATGGTGAATGCCCTTTCTTTGTTGGCTATTCCTATGAGGCACACATGAAAACCAAGAATGCTGATGTTCAACGATGTGCTAACCATTGTACCAATAGAAAAGAAGCTATATATGTACGTTAAATTTTAATTCATTTTTGAATGCATGATCATTAGTAACCACGTTCTTTGTACTGACTTCAAAGTCGAATTTGAATTTGACAAACAGCGAACCGTTAAATGAGAAAAGCTTGCTGCATACTTGCGCAGTATCGTTGAGAATTAGCAATTATCTCATGCAGAAAGTACGATTTCTATTCTTGTACCTACTACAAAGAAATAATTAAATTATTTCTATAGATGTGGTACAAAATTCCCTGGGTGTGATAGAACAATGGATTGTTCGCCATGCTGGATTACATTTTCATTGTAAATATTAAAAATTCCTTTGTTAAAATCATCCGAAATGGCGATTATGAATTAGCTTGCAAACCAAGAATCTTGGTTGATGGCTAATTTCTTTTAACAGTTCGAGTCTCCAGTAACATTCCGCTCGTCTGCCGTTCACAGCACGCTATAACCTTGTATGAATCCGGTTAAACCAATAAAGCATGTTATCGTGGATGAGTATACCCATTGCTTTTGGAATAGCGAGCTGTTTATTCATCGTTATTACTCTCACATACTTAATATGAAGAGAAAAGAAATTTGTTGAAAAGTAAGTTTTTTCACTCTGCTCAGCGGTCATTTTCGAGGTGGCAATAAAAAGTCATCGCGATTTATTGTCAGCTTGAAAGTATGTTGTATGTGGTGTGTTTCTTTTTTTATCTATCATTACATTTGGATGGAGGACTCACGTCCCATGGGTGAATTTCCCAACAAATGTTTTGGAATATTGATCAATATGCTCGAGGAAACAACTCTGAATATTCACAGTAAGATTGCTCAAGCAGTCCCCAAGCTGGGTCTAGCTGTGTAAATATTTTCATACAGTAATTGAACAACATACATTTCTAGCATATTCATAACAACATAATTATAACGAAATGATTATGAATTGTTTTCAATTTTTCTTTTATTTTATTTTTTCTTCTACCTTATACGTAAGTCAAGGTGTTGCACTTATGCTTATCTCTCCAAAAAAAACTAGGCTTTGTATTTTTCTGATTTGCATATTATATTCTTTAGAAGTCTGTTGTTTTTACAGTGAGTAAAGAGAGAAACTAGCATTGCAGAACTGAAAATGCGGGCAGTCTACGTCTCTGATTCTCATTTGAGATAATGTCATTCATTTTGCTTTTAGAATTTTTTATCTACACAGCAGCGTCGCTATTACTCTAACAAGACTTTTGAAATCGCAGTTTACAGAAAAAGACGAAAGCCTATTGTTCGCTGTTTGACATGGTAAATAAAAGTTGGTTCATTGACGTTCAGTGAGGAGTTTATCGGGAGTTTACTGAATGATGATGCTATCGTCTCTTTACCTTCAGCTACCTTGTACAGTTGTACAACTTTTAAAGCAGTAAGTGTGACAATTACTTATATTGATCTTCCATGAGTTCCATCTATAAATTAATGTTTCTATAGTAATTGGGTTATATTTGTACTGTGATTAGTGATATCACAGGTATTATTTTTTCACGTCGGCCATGTTGGACGTCTTAAAGGTCCTAAACAAAAGTATTTTGTCTGTGCCATTGTGTGATTTAGCCGACGTTGGCGAACGTCATCGAACTTATTGTTAGGAAATCCCATGAGATTAGTAAACAAGTTTGTTCAATACTAACACCCACAAGATCATCTTGATGGGTTTTGCGCTATGCATCTTTGTCTGCCATTTAGTCCGTACAAGAAATAGAGGAAACTGACCCCTATAGTTTTTTGTTTGAAATTACTGACCACCATTTCGAAAGTATCCGACGAGGCAATTTTCTTCATTTCCTGAGTTGTCATGGGAGAAAGCGTAAACGCTGAGTTAACTGGGGATGACTTTTTATGTAGTATTTTTGGCAAAATTGAGCATGAAGAGAGTTAATTACGCTTTTGCGAGGTTATTGTAGATAGGTCGTTTCCAAAAAGAAGCTATTACAGTTTGATTTGAATGTGATTGCTTTTTTGAGTGTATGAAAATAATAAAGCAAGCAGGCGAAACAATCAAAGTTCACTTTCAAAAACAGCTTGCCAAATTACTCTAACTTCTCTAACAATATCGGACAGTGTTCATCCACAAAGGACACATTCACTAAAATTATGTACACAGTAAAAAAATAACAATGTTTAAACAAAGATTTTGATCTATTTCGGAAGCTTGCGCAATCAGTGCTCGCTTTCCTGGATTGAAAGTAAAATACCATTACGTTGCTGACTGAGAATATACGTTTATAACTTAAATAGTTCATTTTCCCGTCCAGGAATTTATGTTGTAAAGTGTAAAGATTTTACAACCTCGATGGTCAGATTTTGAAAAAAACTTTTCTATGAAATAATTTTACCTTTTTGCGTAAATACCGTTCGTTTGTACTACATACGATGTTGGATTTGACATTGGCATCAGCCTTGCCGTTTTTATTTGTTAAAAAAACTTTTCTGATGAGTCATCAATCAGATATACCCCGTTATAGTTTATCTGAAATTAGACCCCAACATCAAGTATCACTGTAAAGTGTTAATCAGTTGTTTAAACTTTAGTAAATGAAAGTTGGAATTTGATGGCCTCTTTGGATTAATTCAAAATCTTTCCAGATATGTTGTAGGTAGATAGAGCTCTTCCACTCCCATCGTCTTGTATGGCACCTAATGTGAATTCTGACGTTCATTATACGACGTTTTGTTGTTTGAATTGCTGTCACATAAGCACAAAACTTTGGCATCTAAATCAAGATGCTCACAAGTCCTATTTATAGATATTTGACTAAAAAGCCTTCTGGTGAACCAATTAATGGACTAACATAAGCTTTCAAAGCCTCGCCAAGATCTTGAAGACCTACCAAACGCTTCTGATTAACAACTAAAGCATTTAAAATTTCTGCGTCAAAGTTTCGCCCAACTTTATGTGGTATGATAAGAAACATGAATGGTCGAAAAATCTCCCGTTTTCCTTGTGTAGAATACGATGCAAATTCTGTAGATTTACTTCCATGGTTTGATAAAAATATCGTCAATGTATTCTTTAAAAACGCTGCTTTGTGTAGTAGCTTGGATAAAGTAACGTCATCGTTTGCAATCCGTCTTCCTATTGGCTCATGGGACGTGCTAACATGTGTGTAAGAAAAATATGGCGTAGCAGCGTTGTCGTTCAACGTCATAAAATGTTCCACATAGTTCAGAAAGAGAGAAGATATGTGCTGGCCTGCAAAGCATGCATTTGGAAAACGTCGTGAGTTGTAAATATTTGTTGCTTGAAGATATGCATAAGCGGAACATGCAAGAAAAGTTACGCCAAAATCGTCGATTGCCTTGCTTACATTTGTCCGTTTCAGCAACTGCACGAAATCTCTCCACAATAAATTTCTTTCTTCATGATCTTTTACTCGATCCCTGCGTCTTAAGTCCAAAAGACTACCCCATTTGTCATACCAGCAATTGTCTTCTTGAAATACCGTTGTGTAACCATGTATTTTTAAAAATGTAAAAAAATCTCCAACGCCAATTCTGTCTTCCTTCTTCTCCCAGTGTTTTTTACCAGAAAACAAACGTTGTACGTTCTTTCCTGTTCCATTATCGTGAGCCTGAAACATTTCAAAATCCAACACTGTGGCTGGTATTGAGTTGTTGTAAACAATATTCCTGAGAGTTGATGCAGATTTCCATAGTGCTCGAAAGAAATGGGCGCGTGACAGCGAATCTTCGACTATGATGTTGAAATTCATTTTTATTTTTCTTCTCTTTGATTTTAAGGAAGGCCTTGATTGTAGAGTTTTAGGCAATGCGAGGACTTGATATAAACCCATCTTTCTGCACTGAAGTAAAGCAAAACTGGAGCCAAACTTTGAAGTGAAGATATGTTCTCGCAGGAGTTTTTTAAGATGATTTGTATCAGCAATCATCATCCAATTATCTGTTACTCCTGTGAGATTTCCTAGCAATCCAAGATGTATGTAGTCACCGTGACAGACGTTTGGGTTGCATCGAACATCAAAATCTCCCAAGATGTCGCTATTTTTACTACCATGCAAATGTTGGCTTTTTTCTTCTTATTACATTTTAATTCTTGAATTTCTTTAGGCTTTCCAAAATATCTTATACTTTCGATGCAATCTTCAAGAGTTTGCTGATGCATTTGGCATTTTGATTCCAAGGAAAGTCTCGATTGGTCCTTAAATGCTTCGGGTTTTCTCGCTCCGATGTACGGACATTTTGTCTCCAATGGAAAGTATTTTCGGGGAGTGCTCCATTTGTCATCGCGTATCATCTCGTTGAAAGATTGAAAAGCAGGTGATGCTGGATGCAGTATCTTCCTTTCCTTTTTCTGTTTTAATTTTGTTCGAACATTTACTTTTTTGTAAAGGACACGTTCTGTCTTGTCAGCCACCTTATGAAATTGTTCAGTTGGCATTTTATCTGTGTAAATAAAATACAACGCATTTTAAAGTTGAACAATGGAAGAAGGTAAAAAGAACATCAAAAGCAATATATCATACGAATTATGTACAAGCAGGGGGAAGCATGCCTTCTAATAAACAAAAGGTGATGTTCCTAAGAGATATATTCGTGAACTTGAAGGCCAGTTTAGCTAACCTTTTTAAAAGTTTTCCGTCTATATTTGAATCCTGTGGTAAAAGTCAATAATACTCACCCACTTCACTACTCATTAACATGAATATTCGCTGTGTTACTTGGATGTTCAATATTGCGAGAGATATGACCACAAGAACTAAGAATTTTCCGCGCTAACAATCAAAGAAACACAGTTTTTTTTTGGCACGATGAATGAGGAGAGTGTTGTGTAATTCATAGTATGAGAGATGTTGCTATCATCTACACATGTAATAAAGATGTTGCATGTATTAAGTATAGATTTTCCAGGTATATGAAAGTAAATGTAATTTATATAGTATAATATGATGGTCTTTCGGCCGTTTACTACTTGGAAATAGTTTTGTCTAGACTGCACATTATTTTTTAATATTGATTATCAATCCAACTCCTTAATAAGTCTTACATTGCATTTACTACTTAGTAATCATTGCAAATAAATTCATGTTTTTTAGAAGCCTTACCTTGTATTTACTGCGTAATTATTGCAAGCAAGTTCATGTGTTTGAAGAAGTCTTACCTTGCATTTTTCAAGTAAGTATTGCAAACAAAATTCATAAGTTTCAAAAGGTCTTACCTTGCATTTATAAGCCATGGAAGAAACCTATTTGTAAACAATTTTTTTAAACCTTCTCCATTTAATTGAGTGTTTGCACGAACATCAAGAACACCAACAAAGAAGACCTGCAAATTTTTTAGCTTTGCTTTGTTTATTGACAAAAGAGAAAATTAGTTATCATTTTCCATTTATGTATTTACAGGTGGCTAAATAAAAGGACTCTTCTGGGGCTGTCTCTCAAAAAAAAGCACATGCATGTGCAGAATGAGAATTTATGAAAACGTGTACAGATTTTTGGAGCGTTCTGAATGCTTTGAGTGAGTGTATACAAGTTTTACAACAGTAAAGCATAAAGATCAATAAACCAAATCAGAGGTCAGTGTAGCCTGGATATTTTGCGAAGGGAGGATTATAAACAGGGAAGGTTGGCCATGACTGTCATTTGAACGTTCTATTGTACGTGAAACATAATATTTTAGTGGGACAGGAATTTTGTCGGGGGTGGGCTCCGCCCTCTCTAGCTACGTCATTGAATAAATTGAGGATATTAATGGGTTTCAAACGTTCTATAGAAGCAATTGTTAACAAAACAAGAATCAAGAACAACGTTGTTTACTGTATGTTGTAAAGGAGTTACTGCTTGTCTTTAGAATTGAAATGTTTTATATCTCTTCCGACTTTCATAAAAATGCTTAAAATTGTTCTTTAATGGTTCAATGTAATCATTGTTTGTTTTATTTCAACCCTACATATACCTTTATTTCATGATTCAACTTTAAATTTTTCAAGAAGTGCTTACGAAATCATAAATTGTTTATGCTTTTAGTTTTCATCCATTTGACGCATGTTCAGAAACTGTCTCATTTTCTTGAATTTCTTCTGAATTTCTTTTAAACTCATCTAAGCGCACTCCTTCATTTTCTCCATTTAAAGCGCGCTTCAACACCACCTGTTTATTCATTTGGTCAACGGCAAACGGATGAAGGAACATTACCACGAGAAAGTCTTCCAGCACGTTTCCATCAATACGACATACTTGTCGAATTTCAACACGTTGTGAAGCAACATAAGCAAAATATCCCATAAGTACGACACATGCTATGTAAACAATGTCCTTCTCAGCTATCTGTAAGATGAGTAAGGTTAGTACAGTGTAGAACATGATCGCCATAACAGTCATAGGCATGTACATGTACTTGTCGCGTGTCTTCGATGCAGCACGACCAGCTGGTAACCATGGAAATGTTAAGGCAATGAAGAGGTCAACAAACTTGCTCACGTTGAAGGGAGATGTAAACAATCGAAATAAGCCACTGTTGAACTCAACCTCGTTTTTATGTGATCTCTTATCATCGTGTTTTAAAGCTTTCCACAGTGAAACGCACATGAAGCAAATTACAACTGTATAAGGCAATCCCGCCGCAATGGAAACCGTTTGGAGAGCAGTTAATGCATCGGACCCGCCAGCCACAAGTAATCCTGTTGCGCATGCTCCTTCTGTCAAAGCCCAAAAAACGCGTTGGAGAACAGGGGGATCGGGGCTGCCATTGGCTGACAGGCAATCGATTACCAGTGATCCACTGTCGGAACTAGTCACGAAATACAATGTTATACTTATGATGGAGATGACGTAAAGAAACGGTGTTAGTCTGTCGTTGAAACTTTGCATTAGATCGAAAAACATCTGAGAACTTGCACGACATGACAGCCGATACATGCCTTGATACGATTCTTCTGACTCCTTACCACCGTGTAACCAGGAGCAATTAACACCTGCGATCTCTGCTTCCCTCTCCATTGTCAAACCAGCTGCTCCAAAGATACTGAACCAGAGGAAACTATAAAAAACAGGTGCCGTCATTGTGTACATCAAAAAGTTCCTGATGGTTCTGCCCCGAGAAATCTTTGCAATAAACATTCCAACGTACGGTGACCAGGAAATCCACCATCCCCAGTAGAATATCGTCCATGATTCCATCCATTTTGAATTCTCTTTACCATCCGGGGCATTACCTTCTTGAGCGAAAGCCTCTGTGTGAAAACTCGTTTCGATGACATGTTGAAAGTAGTAGCCGATACTCTGGACGTAGACGTTAAGATAGTACCAAGTGTTTCCATGAAAGAATACAAAAAGCATAAGAAACATTCCGAGGGCGAAACATATCTCGCTAAGTCGTCGAATACCGATTTTCAAACCCGAGACAACTGACACAGTTGCAATTGCTGTGATGACCCAAATGATGACGACATGCGTTGTGTTGTTGCTTTCGTCAATGGAACTCGACAGACGATGTAATCCACTGCTTAGCGTTATGACACCAAGCCCCAGACTAGTGCACACACCAAACATCGTAGCAACAACAGACAATGTATCGATCAGATCACCAATCACACTGTATACGTGATTACCAATCAAAGGATAGAAACAAGATCGTATTGTCATTGGTCTACCGTGTCGATGGGAGACTAGAGCCAAGAGTAAGGCAACTATAACATACACTATCCAAGCATGGATTCCCCAATGAAACAGTGTGATATTCATTGCGTCTTGTGACTTCTGATTGTCGCTATACCTGTGGAGTATTGCAAAAGAACAAAAAACCTAAGAAAAGTTGGGGTAAGTCAGTAAAAAATATTAAAAATAACGTATATCAGTTAATTTCATCTTCTTACTACAACCGAACACTGGAAGAAACTGAGAAAAGTGCCAAATTTTAGTTTTTATTTTTTATGCAAGTAAATCTTTTGCTCGATTATTCAATTACATCGTTTAGAATACAGCTTACTTCATACTAGTGAAGGATGGCAATTCTTGATACAACCTGGGGGGTTATTTTCTATTCTTGAACTGTATCGATTGTGGCAAGCAAATCAATCTATCACATTGTTGAAATTTTAAAGTAATAGAAACAGTCGAAGATCGCTCCTGGAGGGATAGTATTGACTACGAGTGTTTTTGTTTGTCATGGAGTCACAGTTGGTACATTGGATTACGGGAATACGATGAATTTTTCGTTAAATAAACCAAACTCTTTGTTCAAAAAAAGTGAAGAGTTGCAAGTGATTATTGTGCAATGTTTTTGAATAATTTCGGGGGAAAGGGTATGTATACCATGATTGTGAGCATATAAGTAAAAATGTTTACTTGATTACCAACATTATAATAATATGTATAAATCCCTTATTGAAACCAACTTATCGTGGCAGTAAACATTTCTCTACCACATAATGTCTCCATAAAACATTTGTGGCAAAACATACCTTCCCCAATAACGGTTTATGTACGATGCATTCCTTTCGTAGTGAAGCACAGGCTCTGCAACGCCATAATAGAACAAGCCAATTCCCATACCAGCAGCGAAAAGCATCGTAAAATAGGTCAGATCACTGAATTCAGGTTTATCGTCGTCTTTACCTAACTTGATCTTCCCATATTTTGAAATAAAAATAAAAGCTATGAACAACGTCCAGATGTTTTTTGTTCCTATATAAAACCAAGTTGAGGTACTCGAGATCCACTTTTTCGTCGAAGTCATAGTCTCGATTGTCGCCCCAGGTTCGACCATGCAAAAGATAACAAAGATCCATATAATTAGCGCCGATAGAATGGTAACAACTGGATTGATACTTATTCTTAGCGGCCCAAGGTTTGTTTCAAACGAATGACATTTAACTTGAGCACTATCTTTTCCCGATTTTTCCATTGTGTCTCTGTGCTTGTGAAATCAACTGCTTTTAATCGAGTACGCAACACTAAATGAAAATACATCGATGATTATCATGTGGACATGCATCGAGACGAGAACAAACTGAACTATGACCTTTCACTTTGTTTACATTTGATATTATTTGTTATGGGTATAACATCAGGCTCACTTATGTACCTTTCCAGCCTCAACTATAGGTGAACACTTAAAATTCTTGGACGTATATTATAAAAATTGTTGATATATGGCTTGTAAGTAATACTTCATGACCATTGCCTAGAAATGGCTTGTGATGCAATGCCAGTAAAAAAAATATTTGCAAGAGCGTGACTCTGTTGTGATCTGGCACGAGAATTTCATACGCCAACGGGATGGAGCTAGACTACGAAGTCTCTGCAAGCAAGAAATTTTTTGCATGAACAAAGTTTTTCAAGATATTGTTGTCCGTTCTCTAATATGTCCCCTCCTCCCGTATCATACCTAAGATATCTTGTGATGACGAAAAACGCGATTGATTTGTTTGAATCATTTCTCAACGCCATAAATTGAAAATGATACCGATGTCAACATTAGACCTCTGCGATCAGAACGAATCTCCTGAATCATAGTAATTAACGCGTCTCTCATGCAAATCCCTCCTTCACTTCTTTATTTCATTTGATTAATTGCAAGAAAATCAGGCAAGACGAAATTTTATGTTAAGCTTGTTGATACATGTGATAAAAAATGTTCATTTGATGAATTGTTTTGTGCTAAAACATGGCTTCTTTCTGATGTCCTCAGTGATTTGCTCGTTTGAAAACTGATGACAGCTTTTCTTGTTACCGTTGAAACTCAGCAGATCTCAAACAATCACTAAATAAAATGAAACCCAATTCACAAAAAAGGAAAACTGCGGACAATGTTTAATATTACCACCTTGGACATCTTGGAAAAACCATCTCATTATAATTTAATGAATGAAAAATATTCGTTTTCCAAATTTTTCCTTTTGCTCTCAAGTCTCAAGACTCATTAAAATTTTCTAATTTTTACATTCTTGCAATTTTCTTTTTCGCACAATGTGCTAATTTCTCGTGTTTTAATTTTTTTCACCATTTCCATCTTATCGTGGAATAAATTTTACTGCAGGAAATGTATAAAGAGATGTTTACATAATTATCCATTCTTTCTTACTCATACGCAACTGCCATTTGATTGGTTGACTGTATTAAACACAGTATGTTTCAGTTTGATCTTTTTCCTGTTATGTAGAGTGCATGATGTAGTAATGCCAAGGTGAATATGGTTAAAATTCTCACCATATTGGGTCTAGTATACATTACGCAGACTTTCCTTGAGTAATAAATGTTGACTAATCATCAATCAGACATAAACTGAGGATTCAGAGGAACAAAGGTGGGTTCAGGATGATATTGGTAAGGGAATACTCTGTTTAAATAAGATGTGTCAGTCTAGTTTGGATTACATTTCGGTGGCTTTTTTGTGGGTTTCGTTATGTCAATCATGTTGTGTGTTTGACTCTGGGTAACGAGTACTTAAGAATAAAGGTAACCCATAAAAATCCACGACATTCCAATGTTTTATTCAATGAAAAACCACGATACATATCACACTGCAACAAACAATACACAATATATACAAAGTGACTACATGATCTCATCATCTCTAAATAGGTTTTTCAAAATAAATAAATCAACACTAAAATGCAACTTCTCTAGAAGCTAGAAGCGTACTCAATAGCATTAACAACAGTACGCTACTTCGTTATATAAAAACGCGATTATATAGATTCATTGAATTAAAATTTTTGTTAATATATGTTAATATATGTTAATATGTCAACTGCTATTAAGAGACATTTTCTTATGAGGTGGCAGCGTGGAAATAGTCTTGATAAGAACTGTTCTGTACGTACATCCTTGATTTATTCTTAGCTTTCAAGGATTCACTTTTCATGCATTTTTCCCCAGCTACAGTCTTGCTTTTGCAGTGAGCAAGATTGTCCTGAAGGTCTACTTTAGACCATTTTAGAACCATTATTAAAACACTTCCCCGTGATTTTGGTCATAATCAACCAAACGTAAAAACGTGTGAAAATACGGTAACGCCATAAACTCCATAAATATCTTTTGTACACATATGTACACATATGTACACATATGTACACATATATGTACACAAAAAGTAGTTTACACGGCGGCAACAATTTCGTCATTCGCCCATTCTTTCTGTTTGCGGTTTTTAGTGGTACTGTAGTCGTTTTCAGATTCATTCAAAGAACTTTTATCTTCACTTTCATCTTCCATTGTTTCATCTTTTGTCAATGGTGGACCTAACGCTTTTTTAAGTTTTTCACGCATTTGATTTCTTCTATGATCATCCCATACCAGATAGGTGACGTGCGACATGAAAGAGCGTAGAGACTTTGGTAGTTTATTTTTTGGTATATCCTGTAGCATCACAACGACGAGACGATTCGGTTTCTTGATAGCACATCTTAATCCTTGATCCACTTCAAATTTACACCATTCGCTTTTGAGAAACTCCGATGTAATGATAGTTACAATTCGACGACTATCGTAAATTGAGGAAACAATACTGTCAACAATCGCCTTGCCAACGGCGAAATCTCGAAAATGTAGAGTTAGTTTATAACCGCATTCATCTTCTAACAAAGGAATTAAAACCGTACGGACAAATCTCCCTCCATCCGCCTCACTATACGAGATAAATGCGTCGAAGAGAGCGGCTGTTTCATCTACATAGGAATTAAAAATAAAGTAGAATATGATTTCTTTTTGGCATCAATAAATTCCTTTATTAATTGCAATTTCCACGATAAGAGTTCCGTGTATTCAAACTGTTTACTTCATGAAGGAGACAAACACTGATACACATCTTTAAAACAACTCTCGAAATGAAAAACAATTCGAGACCAAATGTGAATAATACATATGCAGGCTTTAAGTTTTATCAAAATTAAACACAATTTATATGAAAGAATGTAATTACGAGTTAAAGGCCAACTTTTAAATGTGGTGAAAACAACCCCGGCAAAAACAATTCATTGATGATGACGGAGAGACCCATTACTGATGAAAATGCTCTTTATCAACCCACAATTGACGAAGGTAGTTTAGAGGAGAGCACTCCAAATAAAATTGGCCATGCATGTTGGAGTTGCTTTTAATATAGAAAAACCAGAAAATGAAGTCAGCTCTAACGAAAGCAACCCTAGTGAATACACAAGTAAAAGTAGTCCTAACAGAGACAACCTTATTTATTTGCAGCCAACATCTGTGGCTTCAATAGCCTCCCTCCCCACACACACAATGAAAAATATGCCTAGCAGTACCTGGAAGATCAGCCTAAGGAAATAATTTAAATACAAAACTAAAACAAGCAGTTGAAGCAGGAAACGTCGCTGTGCTATATGTTGACTGCAGTTTATACTTTACCTTGCTCATTTCTAGGGTAAAAAAATCGAGTGTATTTCTTCAGCTTCTTTCGATGAAATACAACAAGGACAAAAGCAGCAACCATAACAGCGCAAAGCGCGCCAATCATAATCCACATTCCGGTTTTTTGAAAAAACGTTTTGTGGTGAAGTACACGTGTTGGTTGCTCGGAAACTAAATCAGGAATTCAAAATTTTTGAGAAAATTACAACATGTGAACATGACTTTATCCATGAATGACAAACAGGAATGTTGTTACTAATAACCGTTTAGATAAGGACATTAAAATTCTATCGTTTCGAATTGAAGGAGCTCTGAACTCCTCTAATTTCACTAGATAAATATTGCAAAATCCTTTCCTAAAATTGCCGTTTGGTAGTTAGCCAGAAAGTTTAAGACATTGCGGTTGCATTAGTTACTTATTTGCAGTATATTTGCTCACTGTTCGTAATACAACATCCCAGTCTCCAACTAATTCTACCTGAATTACTTTCATCGTGACATGCGCATAATTAAACATGTCAGTCAAAATTGACTTTTCGCCGTTTTTCTTTTGATTTTTTAATTTTATTTGTAAAGCGTACCGAGGGCATTAATAAACTATACAGGGTGGTATTTTTCAACTGTTTTACCTACGACGTTCACGATTTACGGGAAGGCCAATGGCTCTGCGGTTTTTGAAAATAATAACACCGGTGTAAGTTTGCCAAAGACTAAAGGTGAAGACTAAAGGTGAAAGACTGATACTTTCAACTAAATTTTTTGATAGCGTAAATTTAGGTACTACGTATTGCTTTTGTTCAACAAAAATGTATCTTGCATAAACATTTTCAAAAATTGACGGGTGTGACAATCTTTAGCTATATTCCTTCCCAGCTCGATACGCCATGTTTGTCAGAATATGTCGTGCTCTAAGTTAGTAATTAACACCAAGTATAATTACACCAAATTAGTGTAAATTTACAAGTACAACGTTAATATACACCGAAGAAGGTGTAAACTAAGACCTCTTTGGTATTCGTACTGAGGCAAGAATTTCACCGTTTTATGTGCTCATAGTACACTTAGAAATTTAGAGTGTACCAACCACACTTTCGCCACTCATACGCATCCGGCAAAACAAAATATTTGCTGGTGAAATTGAAAAAGAATTGTAAAACAACGCATGACTGGTAAACAACACTTGTGCCGAAGATTGACAATACCTTTCTATATATACGGTTATAATGCTTACCGTCTTCAACAAGCATAAACGTGGCAGACGGGTTGTTTTCAAATAATATTTTGCATGTGATATTCTCACTTCTTTGAAAGTTACTGATCGCCATCGTAACCTGCCGCGTAACTGTGTTCTCTTTGTCGAAGTTTATCCGTGAAAGATTGTAATATTTGTCTTTTCCAGTTAATGTTATACTATCATTCCCACACCAAAGTGTGAGCGAGTCCAGACGACCGTCACATATAAAATTCCATTGGAGATTTACTTTAGCTCCTTTTCTTGCAAAAACGATACGATTGGCGGGTGATGTCTGAACTGTAAAATTCCCCTGGCAAGATCCTAAGTACAAAAATTTTCATACTTGTTATTGTTGACGGCAGAGCAAAAGGATTATGTCTTTAACTTATCCCTGTTTTGAACTTCACCTTCCCGAATGGCAAAGGGATTTATGTTATTTTTTCTTGTCTTTACTAAAAATATAAGTAGTCCAAAATGTATATCGTCTCATTTAATCATATATTTGGTTTTCATTCGTTGTTCAAAGCAATGTTTAAGTTCATTATCACAGTCAAATCTTTGTTTTACAAAGTAATTTTGAGAATGGGGATAAGTCCATTTGGAAATTTCCAAGTTGACTATCTTGGTTTTCAAATCAAAGCAGATGTTAAGCTCTTGTGAACGACACACTATAGCTTCGAATGTTGTATTAATATTTTAATACCATGGTGCCTCTAAAACATTTCGGGAATCATAGTATACTCAACATTCCTCGGCTTTCGAGTACATTTAATCACTACGCAACCTCACTAATATATGGTTATACTTAAACGTATAATTTCTATTATACTTACTGGTAACCTTAATCGCCATGTGGTAACTTATAAATTCATTATACGGTGTAGTTGCCGTACATGTATATTTTCCTTCCGTTCTTGGGCTAGCATATAAACGCAATGTATTGCCACCATTTATGATCTGACTAAAGGAATTATGCTCAACAGGCTTATCATTGTGAAACCATTTTATATTTGGGCAATATGGCTTTGCCAAAAAACAGCACGCAAGGTCAACATAGTGGTGTTCATCGACTTCGTTGTTTTCTGCTGTAGCGTCGTATATGTAAAGCGGTACTGAAAAAAGTGGTCAGTTAATGTTATAAAAAAATACATTTTTTCAGAATTCATTGATGAAGAAAAGAGATGTACATATATGGTCGAACAAACAAAGTTGCATTTTGTTTAATGCTTGTGGATTTAAAAGTGCATGTCCAAATATTTCTTACCAGTACGATTTTTTAGGATGTTGGTGTCTACTTCACAACCGTTATCGTTTCTTTCTTCGCAATACGCTAAATTACCGCAAGGAGATTTCAGTATGGTTATTTTTTAAAAGAAAATAATTAACCTGTATGATACATTCATTTAAAAATAAACGTATATCTTTCAATTTTAAATACACAAACTTACATATCAAAGCGACATTGAAACTGTAACTTTCATTCTTTCCATACGGTGTGCTTGCTATGCATGTATACTTTCCTTGCGAAGTTTCTTTAGGTTGAATTTTGAGTGTTGTATTGCCGTTACTCAACAGGTCATTATTGTTGATTTTTTCCCCATCTTTTAACCATGTGATGCGTGGACAGTACGGATATGAATAAAAGCAGCAATGCAGATTGTAAGCACGGTTGAGGTCGTAATCAAAATTTTGCCTGGATTTATGAACGCATTTCAAGTCTAGAAGTAACAGAAAAAAGTGTCAGAACGGAAAATTTTCATGATTTTATGAAATGTATGTATTACGAAGTATGAAAGTTCCTCATGAGTGTATCAGTGAAGCACACCAAAAATTGACGAGATTATCATGACAGGATACAACGTTGTGCTCTAGCCAACTATAACACACACAACATTGTGTTCTAGGCTTCTAGCTTATAAAAATGGTCAGCAATGTTGTGTTGCAGCCTACAAATATCTTGGTCAAACAGTTTCTTCAATTTTTAAACGTCAAGTTGGCAAGCAAGTCTTTTTGGCCTTTGTTTAATTACAAGTCGCTGATACTATAAATATTATCTCAAACCGTGAAGTCTGATTATTTTGCATGTCAGTACACGTAACTTAAACTGACCAGTTCTGTTCGATGATAAGAGCTCTCTGTTTTTATATCGATGGCATTTTGGTTTGTTTTGAAATTTGCGTGAGCAAAAATTTTCGTCACAATTAGAACAGGAGAACAACAGTAAAACCAGGGACAATATCGAAAATTTCATGGAGTTGGTCATCTTTCCATGTCTGCTAGAATTAAAAGGTATAAAATACGTTAAATTCAAAAACACACAAGGTTTCCCAATGTTTCGCTTTTGGCAAAAGCTTAAAAGATATGTAATTTATATTTATAAGTGCAGGAGTCATTATTGCACTATGGTAGCTAATAGCCGGGAGGGCACTTTGTTATACACGTTATAGCTATATTTATATTCATCCTTCCTTCCTAGCTTCCTTGTTTCTTTCCTTCCTTCCTTCTTCCTTCCTAGCTTCCTTCCTAGCTTCCTTGTTTTTTCCTTGATTCTTTTCCTTCCTTCTTCCTTCCAAGCTTCCTTGTTTCTTTCCTTGTTTCTTTCCTTCCTTTCTTCTTCCTTCCTAGCTTCCTTATTTCTTTCCTTGTTTCTTTCCTTCCTTCCTTCTTCCTTCCTAGCTTCCTTGTTTCTTTCCTTGTTTCTTCCTTCCTTCCCTTCCTTTCCTTCCTTCCTTCCTTCCTTCTTTCCTTCCTTCTTCCCTTTCCTGCCTTCCTTCCTCCCTTCCTTCCCTTCCTTCCTTTTTTTCTTCCTCCTTCCTTCTTCCTTCCTTCCTTCCTTCCCTTTTCCTTCCCTTCTTCCTTCCCTTCCTTTTCTTCTTCCTTCCTTCTTCCTTCCTTTTCTTTCCTGGTTCCTTCCTTCCCCTTCCTTTCCTTTTCTTTCCTTCCTTCCTTCCTCCTTCCTTCCTTCTTGTTTCTTTCCTTGTTTCTTTTTCTTTTCCTTCCTTCTTCCTTTCTTTCTTTCCTTTCCTTCCTTCTTCCTTCCTAGCTTCCTTGTTTCTTTTCTTGTTTCTTTCCTTCCTTTCTTCTTCCTTCCGTGCTTCGATTTTTCGTTACTGTAATTAAAATTATAGTTCCATTTTTTCTAAAAATGAAACTATGACGCACTCTTTTGTATGCATAGCTCACGTAACTTCTTACGCCGTTATATTTAAGTGCTTCACGTAAAAGGCTGTTGAGTTGTGTTGGTCAATTCTTAGTGATTGTAATCCATATCCGTGTTAGATAATCAGGGCCGCCCAAGCTATTTTTTGGCCTGGGGAAAAACGTATTCCAACGGGGGGCACTCTTCCCCTGCAACCTCATAATTATACTTAGCAATTGTAATATATATGTGCTGTTTATGTTTTATGCTTATTAATCAGAATGATGTAAGATAATATTTTAAATTAGCATGCTTAGAAATTTGCTTATCGACAATCATTTTATAGCTCTATTAAATGCCACATTGTATGATAGCGATCCACTGGCACGTCTATTACGATAGATTCGCAATTTCTTATATTAAAACATCGTAAAACAGTATAAAGTAACTTTGATCTATTTCCAATTTTGAACATGTAACTAAAATGTGACTGGTACAGGAGTGGTGGTGGTTGCATGGTTTTCAAGTCCTTGTAACTCTACAATATTATGTTATATAATGGGTGAGTGTGTATCATATCTGATATCTTTGATCTTATCACCCAGGCACCAAAGCACAAGCTGTAAAGACGGACAATGGCTAATATGATATTTTAGAACTATTTAGACAGTAGAGAAGCGATTCTGAAAGTTTAGTCCTGCTACGTCGTTCATTTTCGAAATTCAATATTCATAATTCATTTCTTTAGAAAACTATTATTTTCGCATTTGGGAAACACGGAAGTAATTGGTAGCTGCACTAGAGCTGCACTGTAGTAAAGCACCGTCACTCAATGGTACCGTATTTCGCTAGTTGACCTAAAATTTTTAGTGACGTGTGACGTGATGACGCGCCACTGCTCAAGAGCCTGTGTATTGTCACATCTGTCACACAAATTAAATAACAAGTATTGTCCGAGCGTAGTGCTTGTTGTCGACGTACACATGCTTTTTCCTTGATTGTCATAACAAACCTTCATGACGGCACCAAAGTATTTAAAATTTAATACACAATTTATTTGATTTCTCAACTCAAGCGTATGAATTAAATACCGAAACTTCCGTTAAATACGAGCTTTGTCTTTTTACAATTCAATAATTTCAATGTCGAAAATTCAAAACTACATTTACCACTGATGAATAATGTTGAGAAATTGATAACGTAAAATCGCAATAACGCAAAGTATTCAGTTGAACTGTCAAAGAAGCAGTTGTGGTAGAGTTGCAAAGGATATTAGACTGCAATCAGGCTGTTGATACATTAAATCTCGATAAGAGAGACGTGCTACCCGATGACGATGAAATATCGTGTGCAGGAAATTGTAACAAGAATTGTATATTTTAACAAGTCCACTTACCCCTAAACTTCACCAACAATCCGAGAGCAACGCTACACACTCATTTGTCAACTTGATTTGTAAGCACACGGTTTTCAAAAATTTCTAATGTATCAAATGTGTAATTGAACATAGAAACGTTACTAACCAGATATTATGATGCTGTTGATGTAATAAATCTTTGATGGACAACAACATACATAGTAAAATCACTTCCAGACGTGGATACAACAATAAATGTGAATACTATTGATCATCACCTCGTTTTCCGGGTCATTATAAAATATATTTTAGCGGATGTGAAATGCTGGGGGGCGTATGAAACAGTAAAATGGATTCCTGCTCACCTGCTGGTGTTTCGAAATGTTTCAATAGCTGCTGCTGCTGGTTAGTCGTAATTTTAGGTTACGCCTAAATTCACGCCTTTTATTTTGAAGGATTTCAGTATCTAAAGTTTTTGAATCATCGTTAAAGGGCTAGTTAAAGGGATGATTAAAAGTTCATGCACGAATTGATGCACGCACAAATATGCGTAGTTTCATTGTGCAGTCATTTATACGTGTTAAAATCGGTTTCAGCAATTTTTACTAAGGAATTTTTGGAATTTTTTACAAATATCACGAGTTTATTGATTACGATTTTCAGCAAAGTTCAGAATATTTTATGTAACGTTTTCTGGAGTGACTTTCTGGGTGAAACACTTCATACAACTTGCCAAAAAGAATCTCAATGCTTTCGTGCTCATTAAAATAGGGCTTTCCAACAAACTACGCCAACAACAATTATCTCGCCCACTCCTTTAAAAATATCAATTGCCACGTTGGATAAACTCGGCGTATAACAACGTGTACAGTTTGTTGTGATCTCTATGACATTGTTCATTATTTGCAGATATTTCATTTCTTTGTTTATCGGAGATAATTTTAGATATCAGTTTCATATATGCCCAATACCTGTGGAGTTTTTCAATGACAGCTATGATTCATTTTTTTAAGAAAACGTTGCTTGTTAAATGCTCAATCTTCTTAGCGGAATGGAATGATAACTATTCTATCATAATCTTTGTTGCTTAAATTGTTACATAATAAAAAACTTATTGACTGAAACGAAAGCCAAACGCAAAGAAGAGCAATTACCTATCGTGTACAAGGATGTCATTTTGATAGTTGTGTTTAGAGATGTAGTGACCTGTGACTACTATATGAGGGACTATGAGATGAAACATGTTGAGCTTGAAATCATAGCTACTTATTTTAATGAAATTATTTTAATGAAACACAACTAAAAAAATGCGAATCTTTAGTGTGATGAACGCAGATGAATGAAAAACTGCATTAAAGAAAAAATGATGAATTGTTCACTGAAAGTTACATTTAAAATTAGATTAAGAAAATTTGATCCGATTAACAACAAAAATTTATTGTCGTGTCTATTTCGAACAGTTTTTCGGAGAAGTAAAACGTGAAAATGCAACTGATCAGTTATATTTCCCTAAGAAACATTTTCTCGCCGAAAAATCTTTTTTCAACTCAATACAGAATTCACTTGACGTTTGAAAACATGTTTTAGTTTGGATAAGAAAATATCTCAAACAAACATACGTGACATGTATAAAGTTTTGCAAAGAATTTATGAAACATTTAACATGGACTTTAACACTATTTTTAAATTATCTAATTCTTGAATGGCAGTTATTTTTATTTATGACATCTTTCTATCCGTTGTGTACCATTCCCCTTCACCTCGCATACAGCTTTTTTTTCATCAATGACAATGAGGCAATAACGTGCAGTGACATGATAATTTTGTGTGGCATATCAATTGTAAGACTATATTTGTAAGCTTATATCATGTTACTTTATCGAACAGACATTTTGCAAGACAGTTAATGATGGCGTTGTTGAAGAATCTGTCTTTCGTCGCTCACCTACTTTTTTGCTTTTTGTCTTCGAACAAAGCAGAATTACACAAAGGTGTTTTTCCTGATGATTTCGCATGGGGCTGTGCAAGCTCTGCTTATCAAATTGAAGGGGCTTGGAACTTAGATGGAAAAGGGCCAAGTATTTGGGATACGTACACCCATGAAGGAGGACATGTGTATGCAAATCAAAGTGGAGATGTTGCTTGTGATAGTTATCATAATTACAAGAAAGATGTAAAGATGCTTAAAATGCTTGGTATAAGATTATGTTTTCTTGTGAGTCTTACGAAATGTGATAGTTTATTGAGAACTAAATACTCGGGATCAATAAAATCTTTGTTCACTTTAAACGTGAACAACCGTTCTTTTGAAAATTTCCCACTTGATTTTACCATGAAATTTTTGTTGAGCAAGAAAAGTTCCAGTCGAAAAATGTATGACCTTTTGAATGGCATGACCATCTTATGATCCTGTTGATGAAAAACACGTCCAGACCCGTGGATCGTCTTTTGATAGAAACGTGAAAGGGATGACCTTTACGTCATAGTGCATATATTCTGCTACACACGATATTACAATGATTGCATACTATTAATACAAAAATAACTTTTCACATACGGTTTATTTGCCTCCATCATTTACAAAATTTCAAAAAACTTAAAATTAGCTGTAAGCTCCATATAGCGCATGCAATTTGGTGTTCACCCTAGAATTCTGATCAATCATTAAATGTCTTGTTGCAAATAGGAGTTACCCACTACAGATTTTCAATTTCTTGGTCTCGCATTCTTCCAAGTGGCACAGCTGATATCGTGAATGAGAAAGGAATCGAGTACTACAACAAATTGATAGATGAGTTAGTGAAAAATGGTATACAGCCAATGGTGACTTTGTACCACTGGGATTTACCGCAAGCATTGGAAAACAAAGGCGGATGGTTAAATAAAAAAACCAGCGATATTTTTAGGTGTGCATGTATGATACCAAACGTTTATCATTGATGCTGTTTACTTGTCAGTTTGAAAAACAAATCCATATTTCGTTTCCATTCCCCAGTGACTACGCTAGATTGTGTTTCAAAACTTATGGGGATCGGGTGAAACTCTGGGCGACTCTCAATGAACCGTGGGTAGCTGCAGTTTTCGGTTATGGCACTGGTTTCCACGCTCCGGGTATCCATGGCATAAAGAAACGTGTTTATGACGGTACTATAGAGACTTTCTTTCAATATTGTATATTCACAGACTAAACGTTACCACAATATAGGGACCAAACATGCACATTTGGTCCATTTTACAGTGCAACCTTCTGCTGTATATTTGATTAGTTAACTGACATGCGCAATAAGATATACGTGGCACAAAAAATTTCAATGGAGTGACCCTAATGTATGTCTCCTATACTGCGACATGCATATACATAATCTATCTTTACTATTCATGACCCTGATATTCCTTACTTATCTTGCTTTCATTAGCTGCTCACACAATGTTGCTAGCCCATGGGAAGACGTGGCATGTCTACGACAAGGAATTTAGACAGTCACAAAAGGGGAAAATTTCAATTGTTCTTAATGCAGACTGGTATTTTCCCAAGAAAGAAGAACCGATACATCTCAATGCGTGCGAGCGCGCGAGGCAATTTTTCTTGGGCTGGTTCGCTCACCCCATCTTCGTAAATGGCGACTATCCAGAAATGATGAAAACTCTTATTGCGAAACATTCAAGGCTGGAAGGTTTGCCAATGAGGTTAGGTTCAAATGGGAATCGCGCATATAGGTAGTGTTCGTAGTTGTATCAATTGTAATTAACTACATGTCTTCATCCAAGTCACTATTTATATTACTTGGCAGACTGGAGGGTTGCAAATTAGAGGTACAAATGGGGTGTAGTGGCGCTCTTCACATTATTGCTCCTAGTTTTTGCCAAATACCTTCGAGCTAATACCTGTCATTAGATATCTTTCTACATCTCCAGCATGAGCATAAATACTCCTACGATTCTCTTTGTTAACTCACAAAACATGCATAAATATTTTGCTCGTTAATTATGTTTTGATGTTCTGAATATGACCTCAGTATAATACAATATTCTTGTGTACCATTATTTTAATTTGAACATTGATATTTTCTGTATGTTACGTTAGAATTGTTTTATTCTGCATGTAATGTCACACAAACTCCTCTCGACTTTGCTTTTTGTGTTTTTCAGACTACCACTGTTCACTCAGGAAGAAAAGAAAATGCTGAAAAAAACTGGGGACTTCTTTGGACTCAATCATTATACATCAACCGTCGCGGGCAATCTGCACATCAAGAATGCCTCTGCCGTAGATTGGAACTATTGGAACGACGGAGAATTTTATACGTACAAAAATAAATCTTGGCCTCGAGGTTAATGGGATTTATTATATATCACAGGGTTTGGTTGAGTTAACAATCGTAACAAAGCAACACAATACATCCCATAGAGCATGTATGTTTTTTAAAATTATTAGCCTGATAAAGGCGTAAAACACAATACGAATTGAAATTGTATACTTTTGCATTTTCCAATTAATTGTTCTACGCCTGAGCGTCATTCAGTATTTTTTATATTTTTAATCAAACGTTTATTTTTTTAGGAGCACCAACATGGCTGTATATGGTGCCTCAAGGTTTTCGTAATCTTCTCACTTATATAAAGAATGAGTATGGTAATCCTGAAATATATGTCACGGAGAATGGATGGAGTGAAATAGGAGAAGATGTCCGTTTTGGGAAACCGAAGCTCAAAGACAATCAAAGAGCCACATTTTACATAAAGTATATCAGCGAAGCGTTAAAGTCTTATCAAATTGATGGAGTAAATCTTAAAGGTGATGTTCATAGCTGTATACCTTCAGAAAGTTTGTACTCATGAATTGGCAATGATTTCTTTATTGCTAAGAATTAACACAACGTTCAAGCTTTTTCACCTATCAAAAACTACATTTCAAAGTGTTTTCACCAAGTAGCAGATCTCTGCTGCTATGTTGGTGTACCAAATGAAAAAATCTTAATGAAATTCTTCTGTTTTTAGCACACCAATATAGCCGCTTTCTCCATTTTTTATTTTGATCCCTAGGAATGAGTGGAAACGCTCTATAGGCAATAACATTTGTATACAAGACCTAAAAAATGCTTTCTGTCATTTGTCATTTGCCACTGGAACAACCTAACCCCAGCATAAATGTAAAACTCTGTTTTGTTATAGCACTTTCATGGTATAATTGTTTGTATTCTTAAATGATTAATAATGATTAATTATAAATATCATTACAAAAACCTTAAAAGTTTCAAGTTTAGGCGATTTAAAGATAGCAACTGCCGACTGATTATAATATTTACATCACAGGATATTTTGCTTGGTCTCTCATGGATGACTTTGAATGGAATGTTGGATACCACGAACGTTTTGGGCTACACTGGGTAAATTTTAGTGATCCAGAAAGAAAACGTGTTCCTAAGTTCTCGACAAAAGTGTATGCAAAAATTGTCGCCGACAATGGTTTTCCAGCTGAGGCTTCAACCGACATTCACATACTGGTACGAGCAACGGAGATCAGGAATGAATCCTTCTCTGTTCACGTGACATCTATTGTTTCTATGGCCCTCTTTATGCCAATGCTGTGCACAATTTTCATGAGTTAATAATATGTAGCCATTGCAATTTAGAACAAATGCTATATGACATTCGTGACAAATGATTTCATATTTGAAGAGCTATAGACCGTAATCAAAGCAAGTAATAGAACAATGTTTGTAGAAAGAATGAAACGGTTAAAAACGGTGTTAAAATAAAACTAGAAAAAATGTACGTTGAATAAAAGGTTTTCTGAAATAAAATATAGTTTCGTAAAGGAATTCTGTCATCAGGCAATTGATTTCACTTCTGTCCTTATTTTGTTATTCAAATTTCAAACCCCGAGCATAAAACATAGTGTATTTTAATGCTGCATGTAATAATTTTCTTAAGGTTAACGCTTTACAGTTTATATGTCTAAATTCTTTTGACTTTCCTATGACACAGTTGGGAGAGTCTAGGCCAGTCTGGGCATTCTAACACGCTCTACTTTTGCTAAAATGTATTTTTTTCCACTCCGGGAAATGAATAAAAATAGTGTTAGTAGTTTTTCAAAACTGATTAAAATTTTGGGCATCAAAAATATGCGTTGTCGTTTGTGTTTTGCCTATTTAATAAGTTTTCTGTTATCCAAGGTATGTCTGAATGTCCAAAACACTTTTTTTATCTAATTACTTCATTTTATGAATTTTCATAATTTTCTTTAGAATGCCGAAATATCTGTCAAATACATTTCTATTTTACTCAGTGAACTATTAGCAGGAAGTTTATTTTAAGCTTAATCTTTTAAGTTTATTAAACTGCTCAGTTGGACTCTGGCTCTGCCTATGGGGTCATAATGCCCGGGATATAAATACCCTAGGAAAACACTCCCACAATGCTGAGTGCGCATGCGTGTTTGGCAAATTCGCAACTGCAAGTGTTGCTTTCTTTGTGAGTGTAAAATCAAAGAACAAACGTAAATTATGGTAGTTATGGATAGTTTTGACATGTTGCTGCCTTAATATAATTTGAATTGCTTTTATTCAAAGAATTATATATATTTGCTATTCTTTACGGGTTTTTTTGTCTTAAAGAGCTAATCAAACGTGATAAACTTTCGGCATTTTGTCCTCTATTATATATCTCGAAAGAAAACCGTGGACATGTCGGATGCTGTTACACAGAGAAAAAAAGGTTCTGGTCTGCCATCTGATAAGGTATGTGGCAAAAGCACGCTCATATAACAGTATTTTAGAAGTTATGAATGTTTCGTTGTAAAAATTTACAGTCATATAAACATTTTGATGCGACGTCACAGCACGCACGAAATATGAAAGTTCTTGATTCTTTTCATGGAGATTGAATATTTGCCATTCTACAGTTGTGAATTAAAATTTAGACGTTTGTATTATGTACTAGTGTCTACTTCTGAATAATCTCACTTAATATATCTGACATTTTTGGCATTGTCGAGGCTTATTGTACTAATTAAAACGTAAAGTAGTTTTATGTAGATGTCAATAAAGCTTTCTTTCTTTAAATTTTTGTGGTTAAATCATTAGATGATTAAGCGAAGTCAAACGTGAATTCTGAAATTCAACAATCTACTCAAGAAGTTCTTCATTTTACACCGTTATAAACGTAAACATTATTCTCTATTCAATATGTTGTTGAAAACGTATTTTCCGATGTAATGCATGAGTAACTTTTTGTATGATTCGGGATGACATTAACCAAGCAGTTTTTGCTTTTAACCTAAAAACAGCTGTAGAATAGCCCACTTCATGCATCTTTTTTACCTTCTTTAAAAATATAAGTATTTTTGTGTCAAAGCACCTGTACTGGAGTACCACACCTACAAAAGAATGACTTACACTATTTTGCAATACTGATTAAAACTGTAACACAATGTAATGTGGAGTATTCACTTTTTTCTTTTTCTAGATATGTCTACAATTGATATGGGTCACGTCACCTGCAAAAAGACTCGACTTTTTCTTCACTCCCGATGATACGGCAGCATATATCTGTCAGTATGTCTTTGATCATTGGCCGGACGGTATGATTCAATACATATAATTGATTTCTGAACCAAGTTTGATTTAAAGGACAAGTTGTTTCCATTAACCATGTATTTTAACCCTTTAACTGCCCAATAATATTTCGGTTATCCGCAATATGGCTTAGGCTGCTACAGCTCAAAAATCATTTGAGATTTACCTGGACAGTTAAAGGGAGCATTGGTGGACAAATAATTTTCTTTCATTTTGTTGAATTTATTTTTGCCAAAATTGAAAATTCTTGCAAATTCGGGAAGACATTGACACCTATCATTTATCATTGACACCTCATAGTCTGATAAAAAACGAGGCCTGCTGCCTGAATCAGAGTTATTTTGAGCTTCACCTTGCTTATTGAGCATTTCATTGACTGTAAACAATGACTTATACACGGAAATTTTACTAAAATGAAACACATTTTGTTTGTTGCCACACTTTGATGCCACACAGTGCTGCATATGAATGGCTTGTTTGGTGCACTGGCTAAAAGTTCACCCATTTGATTTTCCCAATAAGATATACACCACCCAAACAGCTTTTCAAAGAAGGGTTTTAACTTGCTAGATAGCGACCGAGGCAGGGTTAAGCTGTTAGGACTACAAAATGATCTTGAAGCTTGATGAATGTCATTATGTTTCCATTTTTAAATTAGTCTGTTACTTTTTGAGTGGTTGAATTTCTATACATAGAATGGAAAGAAGCAACCGTAGCATCAGCACATGTACTAAAGCTAATACACCAGGGGAGATTTCTTCATGGAAGTGTATCTATCGGAGGTATGGAGAAATATTCTTTTGTTATATTTATAATTAAAAACGTGCGATGAACTCTGACAACGCCATACCGAATTTATATACCTACTGTGTGAATTTTTCAACCAAACTCTTATTTATACTTTTTATTTCACTTGATGTATTTCCAGTTTTGCATAACAAGTGTAAAAAAATTAGGTTGATTTTTCCACTGACGTCATGATGAACTGAATGATACATATGTAAACACGATGCATGACAAATAATGAAACTTTTTTCTATTGAACTTTCTACATTTATGTTTGTTGATTCCATGCATGGAGAATTCTTTTTTTGCAGCCTTAAATTTACCTCTTGGGAAACGCAGTGTGATGCACTTAGTAGCTAGGGAAAATTTGCCTGAACCGCCATCGCAAGGTAAGCTTAAATTATTGAATCTTGAAGGTCTAAAAAATTAATGTTGATCATTTTTGTAAAGGAAATAAATAAAGGGCTCTGCCTTGAATTGGCTTTCAAACGAAATCAGTTGGAAGCAACTGAATATATGATTAAACATCCCCTCCCAATTAAAACTTTAGCAACAGTCCCAGGGCGATAGCTAGAATGTTATTGGGGTTGTAAATTCATATATTCAGTTCAGTGTGCGAATTAACGGTGTGCAATGTGCAATTTGTTCGTCGTTTTAGCTAAAATGAAAGCAATTGCACATCACTTTTTCAAACGATGTGCAAAAATCAGCGTTTTTAACGAAAAACACTGTCGTAAATCCTATGAATTTGTCCACGTTTAAAAATATTAATTTAGTAATTAGCGCTATATAATAATTAACGTAATATCGATTTGATTATGCCTCTAAAGAAACACTTTTTTCAAAAAAATTGCACATCGTTTTTTCTGAACTAATGATTCAGTTGTGCCCAAATGATTTCTTTGAAAGCCAAATCGCTTTAAAAAGAAATAAGTCTGGTGCAACTGAATCTATGAATAACCCCCCCCCCCCCCTTTTCAATTAATGCTCTAGCAATGGCCCTGCTTACTTCCACACCCCTGTCCATTACTTTAATTAGTTCATTCATTGGCTACATTTACAATCTGCATATTCATTGGCGTCAATCCTGCGATAATTGGGGGGGGACCATATTCGTAAATTTTGTTATGCCTGGCTGATTTCTTTTGAAAGTGAAATTGTTTTGAAAAGAAATTAGCAGGCATAGCAGAATATATGAATATGGTCCCCTCTCCCCATTAACACAGGATTGACGCCAATGTGCATATTTACCAAAAGACTAGTGTGAAAAAATTTCACTGGAAGTTAAACTGCTTCAATTTTTTATACCAGGACAATCTAAGAGAGAAAAAGCGGAAAGGCAAAGTCGCTGCTGCAATATTTTGTAAATTTACCCATATTTCAGTGTACCACGTTTAATTACCTGTTAAATGTTTAGTTAATTTTTAAAAAATCATATGTAATATAATGTATAAATTATTGCACGGAAATTATGGCCAATGTGAGGCGAGAGAATTTTGCTGCAATTGCTCAAGATATGAAGAAATTTTCATTTGCTTTTGTTGATTACATCCTTCAAAATATTTGGACGCGAGAATGAGGAAACGACCTCTCCCCCCTGTCCGGCATTCAATCATCGATTTAACGAAGTTTGTAGCTAGCTACATTATACGTACAAATGTCTAACAGAAAGACGTTTTATCTAGGTGTAAATGTTTCAACATTTATTGAAACAAATGATTTTATTTTAAATTTATTATTTCTTGTGTAAGCTACAATTGAACCTCCCAGACTTTTAAAGAAAAAACATAAAATTTCAACAGTTCGCCTTATGTGCTCGCTGTTTTGTATGTAGTATAGTTTATATCTTTGTTTGTATATCATGTTGTCATTGAAAAATATCTTAATAGTTTATGGAGATGCCAGCTGCAAAGTACTTCGTTTGCGCAAGATTGTCCACATATTCCGTCATACATAAGTTTTTTCTTATTTCATTTAATTGAGACATTTAATTGAAAATATCTTAATAGCTTATGGAGATGCCAACTGTAAAGTACATCGTTTGCATAAGATCGTTCATATATTCCGTCATACACGAGTTTTTCTTATTTCATTTAATTGAGACATTCAATTGGTTGTCATTTTAATGTTTGTTTTTACTGCAGTACGAACGTGGGTATCTGGATGGTCTAGGTTGGTAGAGACAGAGAACTGTTAGAAGGACTGTTGGTTGGTGTTCGTGCTGAATGACGTTTCAACATTCTTAGCGGCGATTATCTTGTGTCTAGTGAGGCCAGTTTTAACGTCGCATTTTGCATGAGCCGAATGCATTAAAGAAAAAAAAAGAGATAAAATGCTTCATTTTCTTTTGTTTTGATTGCATTCGGCTCATGTAAAATGCGACGTTTGAAACGGGCCTGAGGTGTAAACGTTAGGTTTGCCGTGTATTTGTTGTCTTGTTCATATATCATGGTGTTTTATGTTGAGAGAATGTGTCGGTGTCAATTATTTATTGTTTTCCTAGATTATTCTATTGTGATGTTCTTATTGTTCGTCTGTTTGAGGTTGTGAGTAGTAGATGCTGTGCTGTAAGTAATGCATTTTACCAAATTGCAGTTAATGTTGTGTTTTGTCAGTTTGTGATGTTCGGGCAATGCGCGTTGGTTTTGTCTTGTTTTGTTCAGTGAGTTGTGCGTGTATGTTCCTGCCCGTCTCACCGATACATGAAGCATGGCGGTTGAAGCAGTCTATTTTGTAAACTGCATCTTCTCTTTCTTCTGGTTCTTGTGTTCGAATCGTCAGTCAACACAAACACAACAGTCCTTCTCAAGACACTAAAAACCAGGTCTGCATCTACAAAAATCTAACTATACTTCCGAGTTCAAACCAATCACTTCCATGCATGTGGAAGTGATTGATCTCCTAAACCAACAGTCGTGAAATTTTACCGATTTTGAAATTTTACTTCGCATTCTGTTGCAAAAATCTCTAATTGCAATATGAATGTTGCTCAGTGCTTGAGAAAATTTGATATATTTCAGTTCGCTTTCTTGACAGTCATGTGACTACATAATGAGGGCAGTGGAAATATCGAAAACAAAACAAGGCTACTTAGTACATGAAGAGATTGAATCTTTTTATGGTGCTGTGTCACTGGTAATGTGACTATCATTGCAAAATATACTGTTATTACAATAAATGTGTGTTAAAATTTAGCCCAGACACATCACCAACCTACTGCGACAGATTTTTTTCACAATTTTATCACATGACCACCTACCATATAGAATTTAGATTTTGCTAGTAGGGGACCTGACTATTCGTGCAAAAAATGTGTTGATAAAATTTGAATAAAAGTCTATTTTAACCAGTGTCGGCCTGTAACGCAGAGTTTTTTTGACGCAGACTTACAACAACATTTACAGAATTCCCTCTTATAGAACATACGTGAATTAGAACAGAAAATTAAACAAGTTTATTCATATAAATTGTATGATTATGCGGTATATCATCAGAATTCTTGTTTTAACTTCCTAAATACAAAGCATAGTTATTGCTTCGAACATCGCTATGATTGTATGAGAGTGGTTTTCGATGAAATGAACTCCCTGTTACACGTTAATTAAGATATAAAAAGGATAGTTGTTGGGTTAATGAACGGCCTGCCTATGATGTAAAACCTGTTGAACTAGAACCATTCACAGCGATGAAATCCTACACTCTAAAACATGTTTGCAAATTAGAAAGTCAACAAAACATACAACTACAAAAACCTGGTTCTCGACTGCCTTAACCGACATGTTCGTTATTTGATTGACAGGAAATTTCGTACGAGTATGCTCTGAGATACATAATTAATAACGATGGATTGTATATTCCTGTTCGGTTTGATGCATTGAAAATGTTAGCTCATTTCGAAAAACCTTCCCGGGCCAAAAGCTTCTTCGTGTTGGAGCAAATTTGTTTTAACAACACAAGCGACACTGGGTTGGCTTTCAGCTAGGTTGAAATTAAAAGGGTCAGAAGAAGTTCAGTGTAATCGAGTACCTAACCACCAGCAATAGGGTCGTTTTTAGTTGAAATTCAATTCTCGTTGAAACATGTGCCTTTCATGCATCACGAGTAAACAAGAGAATTAAAAACAAACAACTTTATTTATGTCCATTGAAGTGAATGTCAGTCTTCATTTTAACGCACTTTTAAATGTGATGGATATCCAAAGTGTACAAAAGAGGTCACAGGACTTGAGAACACAGAACACAGATCAATTTTGTGTGAATAACATGGAACCAATTAATAGAGCTGAAAATTTAACGAGCCATGTCGTTGGTGCAACCTGCACAGCTTCCTTAGGCTCTTTTTCTCTTGGTTATGTGTTTGCTTATTCATCGCCTGCTCAGGAGGAGATGCAAAAGAATATGCAATGGAGTGATGAACGATTTGGATGGTTCACTGTATGTGATTGTTTACTTTAATATATGATGAGATGTAATTGTGCTATCTACTACGATATAGCATTGAAAAAAAACCTTTGACTTTTATGCTTTTGCCTTGTTGGAACGCTTGATTTTTTAGTTTGTTTGTTCAGCGCCGAATTTACACTGAGGCTAATGTGAGGGTAGCAATGGCCTCCACGACTTCCAGGGACCCTTTTTACAATAAATAATATCAATTCTATTTTTAACTTAGTGTGCTAATGCCCATTACTCGTATGAGACGTAGAATCTGTTGCTAAATGCAGCTAGGTACGGAACTAGATACTCGCTAGCTTAATATGGGGCATCGCGCTGGGGAAGTACCTCTAACCCAATATGGATTAACGCTGCCCGTGCCTGTTATACAAAAATTGAACAGTTTTACTGCGATTACGAATGGTACTGTAAAACCCCTCATAGTTACCCCCAAAATTTACCTTACTTACAATCATTAGTTTCGACAAAGTTGATAACCACGCTCTGCTTTGCTATTATAGTTGCAATTCCTGTGACTACACTCAGGACAATTTGTAAAGTTGTTCAACACTCTCAGTCTGTGACGCATAGTGTTTGAACAAACTTTTTATGAGGTATTAAATTCTTTGGACCTAAGATGTACAGTATTGTGCTGATGTATTGTCGTTTAAGCTTTTCTAATTTAATTAGTTATCATGTTTTAGTCAGCTGTTGTTTGTGTTAAATTAATGGAAAATATATTTTCGAATTTTTATGCCACTTCTCTGTTTTTTCAAGACTGATCACTCAAATGGAGAAATGCTAAGAAGTTAAACTGCTACAAGCCGTTGCAGGGATTCAAATGTTTATTAAATATAACTATAACTCCTGCAGCATAAGGGTTCTGGACATATCAGCTGGGGCCGGTTGCACGAAGCCTGGATAGCGTTATCCACTGGATAGCAATTTTTTCTGAACGTTCATAAAATCTCTTATAAGAGAAAAATATACGATTTGAGCTGTGCAATCACTGAAATAAAACATTGTTTCGAAAATTACAAAATTTTCTTTCTCGTAAGAAAAATATAAACATCTTTTTACAATTTTGAAATATTTCGCTATCCAATGGATAACGCTATCCAGGCTTCGTGCAATCGGCCCCACGAGTGTCGTTTACTACCAAAAACCAACAAAAGCACCCGCACGAAACGTTTGGTGTTATTGATAGTGGATGTCAACTAGATACGTACAGAAAATGTGCTTAGAATTAGTTGGGAAATGAACAAACAACAAACAAAACAACAGAATATAAGTAAAAGTACTATTCTTTCAACCCATCCACTTTAGTCATTACAAAGAAAGTGACCTTGCCAATAAACCATCTTCGCACAATCACACAATCACTATTCTGCTAACGTCAGCTAAAGTCAGCATATTTTTATTCTGCTCTCACACCCTCACACCCCATTATCACTGCCCATTATCCGTTTCACATTTTAGCTACATGAAGTAATCCCGGTTGACTAACTTATCTTTCTTTCAAATCACCTGACCAAACTAAACTGATTAGTGTTTTTTATAGACGAAGGACGAACATCACACATCACATGATAGCGCGATTGCAATAGAAAGTATCGCGAGTTATCTTTCAATTTAACCCAGTTGTTCTGTAAATTTCTTTTTCCAACTATTACAACGATGAAATGCCATTTTTAAGAAGATTCGTATGTTACTATGGCCAGTAAACCTTCTCTCTTAAAAGTTGTTCTTTTGGGTGATGGCGGAGTTGGAAAGTCGTCGCTCATGAATCGATTTGTGAGTAATAAGTTCGACAGTCAATCTTTTCACACAATTGGTGTAGAATTTCTTAACAAAGATGTTTCAGTTGAAGGAGGTGAAGTCTTTAATGAATTATGTAGTTTATTTTTCCTTAGCTTTAATGAAATGGTCTTGTTTCGTTTATACATTCATCATAATTGATGTTATAAACTGTAGTTCTTGTTCTTTTTAATCAGGTTGGATTCCCCCCCCCCCTTACTACTCAGTGTTAATAAGATAAAAAATGTCAATTGAAATAGATTGTTGATATATTGGTGAACATCTACATTAGCCACACGACTATATTTGCCAGTAATTTTCTTAACTTAGATTAGTAGGAACAGTGCATGATATTTGATATTCTTTTCTATGGATTATGACTCGCATAGTTAGGCTACATGGATATGTTAACCAGTCGAATACACATAGATACCCTGGCCAAACTGAATATATTTTGCCTACATGGATACGCATTGCTAAATGGAGACACATGGATACACAGGCTTTTTAAATGCACATGGATGGATACACTGGCTACATAAAGGCACATGCATACACAGACTTTATAAATCCACATGGATACATTGGCTACATGAATAAACATGAATACACTGGCTACACAAATACACATGGATACACTGGCTACACAAATACACATGGATACACTGGCTACATAAAGGCACATGCATACACAGACTTTATAAATCCACATGGATACATTGTCTACATGAATAAACATGGATACACTGGCTACACAAATACACATGGATACACTGGCTACATAAAGGCACTTGTTTACATTGGCTACATAAATAAACATGGATACACTGGCTACATAAAGGCACATGCATACACTGGCTACATAAAGGCACATGCATACACTGGCTACATAAAGGCACTTGCATACACAGGCTTTATAAATACACATGGATACATTGGCTACACAAATACACATGGATACACAAATACACATGGATACACTGGCTACATAAAGGCACATGCATACACAGACTTTATAAATAAATATGGATACACTGGCTACATGAATTCACATCGTTACACTGGTCATATGAATGCACATGTATGAAGATTCAACTTGATGTTATCTTTAAGTTGAAGATAAAATGTCTGATGTCATTAATTGAAACAAAAACTCTTTGTACTACAACTTTTTGATGTTGTATTAAACAGATTGTTTTGGGCTGTTGAAACAATTCTTCATCTCCAATTTATCCAAAAACCTTGCTTTTCTTTCTTGAATTAACGAATTGATGAATCAATGATATTGTGCTTGCTCAAAAATCACTGGATATTGCCTTCAAACTATGTACAAGGGTGCACTCAAGGGGGGTTGGAGGGGTTAAAAGCAAAAACTGATAGAAGTCTGCCTAAAATTGTTTGCCTTTATGTTAAATAGACCTGCTACAAAAGGTGGTCCAAGAATTTTGCCCACCCCCACCCCTCCCAATATTTTTAGGCCTCGTTTACATTGTACCAGATTACTATCGTAACAGGTTATGTTTTCTTTATATTACACAAAAGGCAGTGAAATTGTTCAATGTGAGAAACACAATCAAATAGACTAAATCTATTGACCTAATAAGCATTTACTCCTAACAGTTACCCCTTTAAAGCAAATGAAGATATTGTGATGAACGAGTCCGGTATAGTGTAAACGCATTCTTATTGTGGGTCCCTGTTTGTATTACGTTTCTATGGTTGTGTGCAGCATCGATTTAGCACTTTTTTTTCTGTAAAGTGGATTGTGCTATTTACTTATGAATCAGTCATTTATGATAGCGTAGAGTTTTTCTCAAGAACATTTGCACGACCCGCACTTATCAATCTACACCTTAAAGTGGAACTATGATCTTCGTGTTTTATTTCATTTACGCAAATTTGACTGCGTGCTGTGACTGTAAAAAGAAAAAAAAATCAATTCGAGGACTATTTATCTTTTTGTGGACGTTTAAACATGTCATTTTTTATTGCCGTTTTGTTCCACAGCGTGTTTGAGAGCGTGACGTAGATAGGGTAATCTGTTCACATCTACAAGCATGTGTTTGAATAACAAATGGTTGGTGAAAACGCGAAGTTGCGTGGTAGCCGGCTGTAGCTGGCTGTAGCAATTTTCTAGACAAAAAAAGGGGGTATGTCAGTTCATCTTATACCATTTTTTTGGCGATGAGCGTATCGAAATTTCACCTGCCAAATCTCCCACAAAAGACGTTGATTTTATTGAAAAGCTGTCAAATATACAAATAAATATCTAAAAACCTTCGCAAAACTGCTTAACTCTATTATTATTTTATAGATGTAAACTCGTTTCTGAGCTTAAGTGTTACCCTATCCTACGTCACACTTGTCGCGGTTTCCGGTTTTTAGAATAACGTTCATGGTACACGAACGAGTCGACTTTAAAAGCTCACAAAACAGTAAAAAATAAACAAATTTCGTTGGAAATTTTGCGGAAAACACTCCGTGTTAAAAAGTTATACTTTATTAAAAAAAATAAAGTTATAGTTCCATTTTAAGAAAGCCGGGTTCATCTGCAAAGCCAGCATTGTAGGAGATAGGCTGGCTTCGCTGTGCGCAAGAGTTGCTACTACTGTATTTGTTGAACCAAGATCACCTACATCGCATCCTAATTTACGTTCTTTCTAGAAACATACACTTTACAAATTTGGGACACTGCTGGCCAAGAAAGGTTTAAAAGCTTGCGTACACCATTTTATCGTGGATCGGACATTTGCTTGCTTGTTTTTGCCGTAAATGATAGACAGAGCCTTGAAAATCTCGCACAATGGAAGAAGGAGTTTTTGTATTATGCCGACGTCAAAGATCCGGAGAACTTCCCTTTCATCGTGCTTGGCAATAAGATTGACATCGAGGAAGAGCGGGTTGTTGATATGGATGAGGCAAAGTCATGGTGTCAAGAGTACGGTCAGTTACCCTACTTTGAAACGAGTGCGAAAGATAATACAAATGTGGACTTGGCATTTAGTTCGTCTGTAAAACGCCGTTCTGAACTCGAACAAAATTTAGACCGTCAAATGAAAACTTTAACTCCAGGTGGGGTGAATCTTAACTATCAAGAGCCAAATAAGAAAGCATCTCTCTGCTGTTAAAGCATGACAAATTATACGTATCACTGAGTTATTTGAAAATTCCTGCTTTTCTATGCGGTGTAAGATTTTATAAATCGACGCTTTATATGAATGAACAAACTGTCGTTGTATTTAATGCAACAAAAATACAAAAATAACCCATATATCAACTCATCTCAAGTGCTTAACAGTCAACGTTTTTATATTTAGTGAAATATTGCTGCTCAAATTCACTTGTAGCTAAATGGTTCGGTTTTGTTGTTGTTTTTGTGGTGTGTGTGTAAGACAGTACATAATTATTTCGCCAGCAGAATTTTTGTCATTCAGCCAAAAGTCAGGAATCAAATTTATGGCGTTTAATGCTCATGGACAATGATACAATGATGACAGATAGGGTATTTCCCAGTCCCTTTCCGTTAATAAATTATCCCTTATTGGTATTTTTGTTTACGAGTCATTCCCATCGTTTACCCCAGGTTGTTTTAGTAGCTAGATTCTCACTTTTGTTGGCTCATATTTTCGGCATTTTTCTGTTTCCACTCAGTGTGTATTCATTTGCGAACAAGCGATTTGAATTAACCGTGTATCAGCGGTCATCCTAAGAAAAATAGAACTCGGTGCTCAGGAACGGGCACCAATGTGAACACAACATTTTCATAGTGCCCGGGTCTGGGCAACCCAAAATTAGGTAGTACCCGAGTACGGTGCTCGGGCACTGGCACCAATGTGAACACAACATTTTCATAGTGCCCGAGTCTGGGCAACCCAAAATTAGGTAGTACCCAAGTACGGTGCTCGGGCACGGGCACCAATGTGAACGACCACACGTGAGTAACGTGTACAGAGAGGCACGTATTCAACACATGGTTTTAAAACTTGTTTACAAAGAAAAACATTAAATTATAAATAGACAAAGCTAGTAGGTACTACGTATTGTGAACGGCCTGCAGATTTGTGCCCGAACCAGGGTATCGTTCTCTAGCACTCAGTCTGAACACGCTGTTAGAGGCTGTTTACCTGATTCCGGCTAACCGAGATTCAGCAAGGCGTGAAAGGATTTCGAGACGTTAAAAAGAGTCAAAACTTGAAGCGGAAAAATTTCAACTGTTTGTTACGTAAGCGCCACAAGTCATTCCTGTTGTAATTCTCAAATCAGACCAAATATGTTTTTTCTTTTAAATTTATAAATTCAGAATATTATGAAAATGCTCGAGAAGATTAAGCTGATTGCAAGTATTTAATCTTTTCCATTTACAAAAATCATTTATAGCTTCGCTGAATCCCGGCTACCCAGGCTCATGTAATCAGCCTCTTACTTGCACTTTCATGTACGAATGTTGACCCGCTCATCTTGACATGGAACATAAATAACTGAGGCCAGATTTTTTTGCAATTTTATAATAAATTGTACGAAATTTTGATTAAGTCGTTACATTATAGATGTAAAGCCTCGCATATTGTTGATTATGTGAGGCTTTATGCCGTTTAGAAGCTGCAACCTTTAAGTAACAATTTGTCTGTGGTTCCGAGAATAAAGAGAACAGATAGTTTTTCATTCTTCCGTAGCAGAAGAGAAATACAAAACACAATTTCATTTGTTTTACAAAATGTATCAATATTAGAATGGACGACAACTATAAAATATCGCAAGACTTTGTCAATCTCAAGACCAAGCCTAAATATACTGCTGTTATATACTGTATGTCTATCACCTCCATAATTTATTTCTGATACATTTTTTTTGTTTGTTGCATCTTTTTCTCTTGAATGCAATCTATCCACTTTCTTTGTTACAATTTATATTGTCAATTGCTCCTTGAATGCAATTCAAACTAATCCCCCTTCGATGTATAAAAACTGCATTCTGATGAAAATATACTATTTTATAACAAACAAATGTTGTAAAATTTAAAAAAAACGTAATCATTGGGGTTTTGGCTTTCAGGTATACCTCGTCCAAAACAAACCAATCAAATACGACATCATATAACACGTGTTCAATTTAAAAGAACGCAATCATTGGGGTTTTGTCTTTCCAGTTTACCTCGTCCAAAACAAACCAATCAAATGCGACATCATATAACACGTGTTCAATTTAAAAGAACGCAATAATTGGGGTTTTGGCTTTCCAGTTTACCTCGTCCAAAACAAACCAATCAAAAACGACATCTTATAACACGTGTTCAATTTAAATAAAATCCAGCAACATATATGCTGTTGTCTTCATTAGATAATTTCTCCCCCAGTGTTTTCTGGACATGCATTATGAATTAAATACCAAGTCTTCTATTTGTTGATGCATAAATATTTTTGCTGGATGCTTCGTATATACCGTTGCATGATCCGTAGTTAGAGTGCTGTGAACTAACTGTGCTTACCATTGACACAGCCTCCTTCACAAACAGTGCTCGTATCTCTTCCAACGTTTTACCCTTCGTCTCAGGTAGAAATGCATAAACAAATATTGCCGCGATGAAACAAACAGATGCATAGACCCAATAACATCCATAGGCATGTATCGCATGTTCCATGTCAATGTACGTCTTTATGACAATAAATGAACAAATCCAATTAATTTGCGATGCTACACCGCTTGCTACGCCACTTATTCTAGTTGGCAATATTTCGGCTATCACTATAAAAGACAATGAACCCAAACCCAGAGCGAAACTGATTAGATATACACTTAAGGATAGCAATGTCAAGCTCGTTGATATGAATTTAAAGTACTGCGTTGTACCGAGAACTGTCATGCTGAGAAACATGGCAAAACATGGATAAATGAGCAGCTTTCGCCGGCCAAGTTTGTCAATGATCACGCAAGAAACCGCTGTCCCAATAAATTGCACGAAACCGACTGCTACTGCGACAAGGTTCGCACTTTTAATGCCAGAATCACTTGCAATTTTTGATGCGTAATTACAAACGGCATTTACCCCAGTAAATTGTTGAAGCACTGTTACCATAAGTGATATTATCAATGGACGAATTACGGTTGGTTGACTGAGCTCTCTAAATGAAACCTTTTCATCGTTATCTGAAGAAAACGTATGTGTCAAAAAAACAACAAAAAATGAAACAAGATTGTGCGTGTTGCATTAAAAATTCTTACCCAAATAATTTTTAATTTGACAGAATTCAGTTTCACATTGTTCGTAAGAGAATTTCCTCAAGTTCATTAAAACTGTACGAGCTTCATCAATTTTACCATGTTTTACCAGCCACCGCGGTGTCTCGGGATAAAACAGCATTAGTATGCACATTGTGGTACCAACGCCAGCACCAGTAATAGCTAACCATCGCCACTTCAATAAAGCTCCAAGGATATATGACATAAGGATCCCAAAAGTAATTCCCACACCGGTTAGACTTACCAGTCTACCTCTGAATTTTGCTGGTGATATCTCAGCTATATAAAGCTGTGAAAAATAGTAAAATGCTTTGAAGAGCTTTGAGTTTCAAAAGAAAGAGGGAATAGTATTGCCTGTATGCCATTTTGCAAGCTCTATTGGAACGCACTCCGCTAATATGTTATTATATCCGCCCTTTCTTTTATACGTTGGGGATTAGCGAAAATGTGTACTTACCGGAACCAAATACGTGCTTATTCCCAAGGCGACTCCCGTAATAGTCCTTCCTATTAAAGCCATCATTGATTTCTCAGCTGTTGCCAATATCACCCAGCCAGCAACAATCAGTAGAGAAAACAGCATCATGTTAAACTTTCGTCCAAATTTTTCGATGGTATAAAGACCTAGTAAAGCTCCTACCAGTCCACCAATACAGCTAAGGGACTATATCAAAATAAACATAATTGTATTTTTCAGTTTCGATGAAAAACTTAAAAAGTTTCAATGAAAAATTTGTTGATGCAGCAAAGAACTGTTGTAGCTGCAAATAAGGAGAGGGGAATGGTGTTGATGAAACATTTTTATGAAGAATAATTCAGATTTTCATGTACTATGTTTAATATATGTTTCTTGTGCTAGCATGTTCTTTGGACTATGTCCTAAACAGCATGTGTATGAAATGAAAGAAATTTAAAAATCGCACGCAATCCAATACCAGCATACATACACTAAACCAGCCAAAAAGCTCATCACTCCATTTCATCTGATGTTGTAATTGAGTTGCAGTCGGAGATGGATATCCAAGAACAAAACCGTATTGAAAAGCTCCTAAAGCTGCTGTAAGAGTCGCACCAACGACATTAAAGGTGAGCGACGAATCTGCGTTAAATTGACTGGTTTCGATATAAGAATTTGTTCTCATCTGAGTCATACTGTTTGTTGAATTTCACTTGGACAAGTCGAGGGAAGATTTTCTGCATTTACCGTCGACTGTGACATGCAAGTGATACAACAAATTTGTGGCAGCAAATCATGTGCTAACTTGCGAGACTTAGATTTCATCACACGTCCTGCACGTGTTTCGCAGTGTCTGTTTACATTTTTATCTCAATTGAAAGAATTGGATAGAAAAGACGCTCGTTTTTTTCAACAATTTTTTTGTCAAATAGTGAAATAACTTTCATCTAGTATAAATAATCTAAATGTTTTAGAACACTTAAAGATCATGAACTTTTAGATTTTTTACAGTCTTAGTAAAAAAGGCAAAACAGATGGCAACTACAATTACTTTGCATGTGCCTATATACCGTCATACGATTCCCTTGTGGGTAAGGGGCTGATTACATGAGCCCGGTAGCCGGGATTCAGCCAAGTGTTAAATGATTTTGGCAAATGGAAACGATTCAATATTTATCATCAGATAAATCTTCTCAAGCAATTTTACAACATTCTGATTTAATAATTCTCGAAACATTTAAATTTGAAACAACCAATTTGCCCTAATTTGAGAATTACAACCGGAGTGACATGTGGTGCTTCGCAGTTGTAATTTTTAACCTTGAAGTTTTGGCTCTTTTCAATCCCTTGAAATCATCGGGCTAGCTCGCTATCCGGGCCAACTCGCCTCCATATAATCACGCCCTAACTCGGGTATTAAAAGGAGTGATGATCCCTAAATGTATGGAAAGATAGGAAAAACCAACTCAAATTTATTTTCGAGATAAGTCGTTTGGAGTTTGGTTTTGGTAGCAGTGGCGAATCGGGATACGTCATAAATTACTGCGGTTCATTTTCGAATATATTGACATTTTGAAACACCTTCATAAGAGGCAATTCCATTGATAAAATTTTATTCTTCGGAATGTCATGACGAATAGTGTTGTTCTAACGGCATTTAGAATTTAAAATTGAGCGCCCATAATTATTTTGGCGAACACAGAACTCGTCACTGAATATGCACGGCACATTTAATGTTCGTCGACGAAAAAATAATTTTCTCAGATGTGTTTAGGTATCTTTACAGTTTCTAGAATAACTATTAAGAAAACTGGAAATTCAAATACTTAAAGAAATAACGAGAACGTGAGCTATCTTTGCCATTCAGAAACAGGATTTTTTGACTACACATATGTCGTAACGTGCTTTATATTGATCAGAAAAAAAAAACAGTGACAACGACCATTTACAAGTCCAACGTTTACAAAAGCACGCTATAACAATGGGCAGCATAAGTACGTAATATTTTGTCTAGTTTAAGTATGTCTGTACAAACTATGTATATTAAGGTAATGCCATCTTTTAGAAGGAAAAGCAGTTCGAAGTAAATCGTGTATGCTCGACTAAGGACATCCTAAATTTGAAAAGAGGAGTAACTAGAGTAAGGTTAAATCAAGAAAGTATGCATTTGTTTCAGATAAAAGAGTTCCAAATACGCGCAATGAAAATATTACCATATGAGTTGAATGATTTGAATTAGTACGTTAATTGTCTCCGAATCTTGAAATGCAAAGACGGGAAAAGCATAAAGATATTTGAACATCTCGACAGCCTCGGGCCATATATTGTTTTTTATCTTGAAAAAAGTATCAAGTTGAGGATATTTATGCTGCAGATGTTGGATTTGAAGCAGATAGTAAAAACAAGTCAAGTGTATGATTCACTATTCAAAAATACACAAGAACGTCATTTTAAAATTAAAAAGAAACCATTTTCTCTGTATGAAGAAGGTAATCATCAAGCAATTTGCTTACAGAGCCTCAACATTATAGGATGAAAACAATTCAAAATATCAGAAAAGTAATGAAGAAGATGTTTGTGGCCAACGGCTATAATGAAAATATGCTATAACGGACAACACCTATTAATTGCAAACGGCCTTAACACCATGAACGAACGCAAATGAACCAAAGAAAAAAGTTAAATAACCTTTTGGAAAGAAACAAAAGCCAATTAGCTGTGTTCCATGCAAACGTGAAAAGTTAGTACCTGTGGTGAAAAAATTGGAGACAGAAAAAAGGAAAGAAAAGAGGAATGAAAATGAAAGAATGTAAAGCCATAGAAATGGTGTTAGCACAAATGGAAGAACAACATGGAGATTTAACATAAGGCAATGTGGATTATTCGAGCAAATAAATGAAAAAAGTACAAGAGTTGTGGGGTATTAATTTTAAAATAAACTTCCGCAAAATGAACGTTTGATTTATTCTATAATATGAAATCTACAATTTGTTGACATGCAACGATAGATTTGATGGAGGTGTGCGGGGGGGTGCACTCCCCATCCTTGGTTAGAGTCAAATAAAAACACCCACAAACGAGTCACTAAAATCAAATCCAAAATATAGACTGGATGACTGACATGTATAAAAACTAGAGCACCCCCATGCCAAATAATTCTGAATCTATCCTTGTCGACATCTAACTGTTTTGACTTAATGTTTCATATCGAGCGTTGCACGATCCGTTGTTAGAGTTCTGTAAAGTATCTGTCATCACCATGGACCCAGGCTTCTTCACAAACAGTGCTCGTATCTCTTCCAACGTTTTACCCTTCGTCTCAGGTAGAAATGCATAAACAAATATTGCCGCGATGAAACAAACAGATGCATAGACCCAATAACATCCATAGGCATGTATTGCATGTTCCATGTCAATGTACGTCTTTATGACAATGAATGAACAAATCCAATTAATTTGCGATGCTACACCACTTGCCACGCCACTTATTCTAGTTGGCAATATTTCGGCTATCACTATAAAAGACAATGGACCCAAACCCAGAGCGAAACTGATAAGATATACACTTAAGGATAGCAATGTCAAGCTCGTTGATATGAATCTAAAGTACTGCGTTGTACCGAGAACTGTCATGCTGAGAAACATGGCAAAACATGGATAAATGAGCAGCTTTCGCCGGCCAAGTTTGTCAATGATCACACAAGAAACTACTGTCCCAATAAATTGCACGAAACCGACTGCTACTGCCACAAGGTTCGCACTTTTAATTCCAAAATCACTTGCAATTTTTGATGCGTAATTGCAAACGGCATTTACCCCACTTAATTGTTTAAGCACTGTTACCATAAGTGATATTATCAATGGACGAATTACGGTTGGTTGACTGAGCTCTCTAAATGAAACCTTTTCATCGTTATCTGAAGAAAAAGTTTGTGTCAAAAAAACAACAATAAAAAATAGAACAAGATTGTGCGTGTTGCATTAAAAATTCTTACCCAAATAATTTTTAATTTGACAGAATTCAGTTTCACATTGTTCGTAAGAGAATTTCCTCAAGTTCATTAAAACTGTACGAGCTTCTTCAATTTTACCATGTTTTACCAACCACCGTGGTGTCTCGGGATAAAACAGCATTAGTATGCACATTGTGGTACCAACGCCAGCACCAGTAATAGCTAACCATCGCCACTTCAATAAAGCTCCAAGGATATATGACATAAGAACACCAAGAGAAATTCCCACACCGGTTAGACTTGCCAGTCTACCTCTGAATTTTGCTGGTGATATCTCAGCTATATAAAGCTAAGAAGAATAGTAAGACGGTGTAAAAAGTTTTGAGTTATAAAAGAATTTTGCAATCTCCATTAGAACCCCCCATTAAAATTTTACTGTATCATACAAGTGTTCTTTATTAGTCCTTTCTCTCATTCGTCAGAGATTTACCGTAAAGCTTAAGGAAAAACATGCCACTTCTTACCGGGCAAGAGAATGTGCTTATTCCCAAGGCGACTCCCGTAATAGATCTTCCTATTAAAGCAAGCATTGATTTCTCAGCTGTTGCCAATATCACCCAGCCAGCAACAATCAGTAGAGAAAACAGCATCATGTTAAACTTTCGTCCAAATTTTTCGATGGTATAAAGACCTAGTAAAGCTCCTACCAGTCCACCAATACAGCTAAGGGACTATATCAAAATAAACATAGTTGTATTTTTTCAGTTTCGATGAAAAACTTAAAAAGTTTCAATGAAAAATTTGTTGATGCAGCAAAGAGCTGTTGTAGCTGCAAATAAGGAGAGGGGAATGGTGTTGATGAAACATTTTTATGAAGAATAATTCAGATTTTCATGTACCATGTTTAATATATGTTTCTTGTGCTAGCATGTTCTTTGGACTATGTCCTAAACAGCATGTGTATGAAATGAAAGAAATTTAAAAATCGCACGCAATTCGATACCAGCATACATACACTAAACCAGCCAAAAAGCTCATCACTCCATTTCATCTGTTGTTGTAATTGAGTTGCAGTCGGAGATGGATATCCAAGAGCAAAACCAAATTCAAAAGCTCCTAAAGCTGCTGTGAGACTCGCACCAACGACATTAAAAGTGAGCGACGAATCTGCGTTAAATTGACTGGTTTCGATATAAGAATTTGTTCTCATCTGAGTCATACTGTTTGTTGAATTTCACTTGGACAAGTCGAGGGAAGATTTTCTGCATTTACCGTCGACTGTGACATTCAAGTGATACAATAAATTTGTGGCAGCAAATCATTTGCTAACTTGTTAGACTTAGATTTCACCACGCGTCCTGCACAAGTTTCGCAGTGTCTGTTTACATTTTTATCTCCAATTGAAAGAATTGGATAAGAAAGACGCTCGTTTTTTTCAACAATATTTTTTGTCAAATTGTGAAATTACTTTCACCTAGTACATATAAACTAAATGTTTTAGAAGATTCAAAGATCATGAATTTTTAGATTTTTTACAGTATTATTAAAAGAGGCAAAACACAGATGGTTACTACAATTAACTTGCACGTGCCTATATACCGTCATACGACTCCCATGTGAGTAAGGGGCTGATTACATGAGCCCGGTAGCCGGGATTCAGCCTAGCGTTAAATGATTTTGGCAAATGGAAACGATTCAATATTTATCATGAGATAAATCTTCTCAAACAATTTTACAACATTCTGATTTAATAACTTCTCAAAACATTTAAAATTGAAACAACCAATTTGCCCTAATTTGAGAATTACAACCGGAGTGACATGTGGTGCTTCGCAGTTGTAATTTTTAACCTTGAAGTTTTGGCTCTTTTCAATCCCTTGAAATCATCGGGCTAGCTCGCTATCAGGGCCAACTCGCCTCCATATAATCAGGCCCTAACTCGGGTATTAAAAGGAGTGATGATCCCTAAATGCATGGAAAGATAGGAAAAACCAACTCAAATTTATTTTCGAGATAAGTCGTTTGGAGTTTGGTTTTGGTAGCAGTGGCGAATCGGGATACGTCATAAATTACTGCGGTTCATTTTCGAATATATTGACATTTTGAAACACCTCCATAAGAGACAATTCCATTGGTAAAATTTTATTCTTCAGAAATTCTTGACGAATAGTGTTGTTCTAACGGCATTTAGAATTTAAAATTGAGCGCCCATAATTATTTTGGCGAACACTGAACCAGTCACTGAATATGCACGGCACATTTAATGTTTTATGAATGTTCCTGAGACGATTGCTTAAATTGTCCAGCAAAGTGCGAAGATCATATCTTCATTTAATTACATTTAATGTTTGTCGACGAAAAAACAATAATTTTCTCAGATGTGTTTAGGTATCTTTACAGTTTGTAGAATAACTATTAAGAAAACTGGAAATTCAAATACTTAAAGAAATAACGTGAACGTGAGCTATCTTTGCCATTCAGAAACAGGATTTTTTGACTACACATATGTCGTAACGTGCTTTATATTGATCAGAAAAAAAAAACAGTGACAACGACCATTTACAAGTCCAACGTTTACAAAAGCACGCTATAACAATGGGCAGCATAAGTACGTAGTATTTTGTTTAGTTTAAGTATGTCTGTACAATTCATGTATAATAAGGTAATGCCATCTTTTAGAAAGAAAAGAAGTTCGAAGTGAATCGTGTATGCTCGACTAAGCATATTCTAAATACATGCTATGAAAAGCGTTGCAATTTGAAAAGAGGAGTAACTAGAGTAAGATTAAATCAAGAAAGTATGCATTTGTTTCAGATAAAAGAGTTCCAAATACATGCAATGAAAATATTACCATATGAGTTGAATGATTTGAATTAGTACGTTAATTGTCTCCGAATCTTGAAATGCAAAGACGGGAAAAGCATAAAGATATTTGAACATCTCGACAGCCTCGGGCCATATATTGTTTTTTATCTTGAAAAAAGTATCAAGTTGAGGATATTTATGCTGCAGATGTTGGATTTGAAGCAGATAGTAAAAACAGGTCAAGCGTATCATTCACTATTCAAAAATACACAAGAACGTCATTTTGAAATTAAAAAGAAACCATTTTCTCTGTATGAAGAAGGTAATCATCAAGCAATTTGCTCACAGAGTCTTAACATTATGTGATGAAAACAATTCAAAATATCAGAAAAGTAATGAAGAAGATGTTTGTGGCCAACGGCTATAATGAAAATATGCTATAACGGACAACACCTATTAATTGCAAACGGCCTTAACACCATGAACGAACGCAAATGAACCAAAGAAAAAAGTTAAATAACCTTTTGGAAAAAAACAAAAGCCAATTAGCTGTGCTCCATGCAAACGTGAAAAGTTAGTACTTGTGGTGAAAAAAATTGGAGACAGAAAAAAGGAAAGAAAAGAGGAATGAAAATGAAAGAATGTAAAGCCATAGAAATGGTGTTAGCACAAATGGAAGAACAACATGGAGATTTAACATAAGGTAATGTGGATTATTCGAGCAAATTTAATGAAAAAAGTACAAGAGTTGTGGGGTATTAATTTTAAAATAAACTTGCGCAGAATGAACGTTTGATTTATTTTATAATATGAAATCTACAATTTGTTGACATGCAATGATGGATTTAGTGGAGGTGTGCGGGGGGGTGCACTCCCCATCCTTGGTTAGAGTCAATAAAAACACCCACAAACGAGTCACTAAAATCAAATCCAAAATATAGACTGGATGACTGACATTTATAAAAACTAGAGCACCCCCATGCCAAATAATTCTGAATCTATCCTTGTCGACATCTAACTGTTTTGACTTAATGTTTCATATCGAGCGTTGCACGATCCGTTGTTAGAGTGCTGTATCTGTCATCACCATGGACCCAGGCTTCTTCACAAACAGTGCTCGTATCTCTTCCAACGTTTTACCCTTCGTCTCAGGTAGAAATACATAAACAAATATTGCCGCGATGAAACAAACAGATGCATAGACCCAATAACATCCATAGGCATGTATCGCATGTTCCATGTCAATGTACGTCTTTATGACAATGAATGAACAAATCCAATTAATTTGCGATGCTACACCACTTGCCACGCCACTTATTCTAGTTGGCAATATTTCGGCCATAATCATAAACGTCAATGGACCCAAACCCAAAGCAAAACTGATAAGATATACAAATAGCGATACGAATGTCAAGCTCCTTGGTATGAATCTAAAGTACTGTGATACACCGAGAAGTGTCATGCTTAGAAACATGGCAAAACATGGATAAATGAGCAGCTTTCGCCGGCCAAGTTTGTCAATGATCACACAAGAAACCGCTGTCCCAAGAAATTGCACGAAACCCACTCCTACTGCCACAAGGTTCGCACTTTTAATTCCAAAATCACTTGCAATTTTTGATGCGTAATTACAAACGGCATTTATCCCACTTAATTGTTGAAACATTACTACCATTAATGTTATTATCAATGGACGAATTACTGTTGGTTGACTGAGCTCTCTAAATGAAACCTTTTCATCGTTATCTGAAGAAAACGTATGTGTCAAAAAAACAACAGAAAATGGAACAAGATTGTGCGTGTTGCATTAAAAATTCTTACCCAAATAATTTTTAATTTGACAGAATTCAGTTTCACATTGTTCGTAAGACAATTTCCTCAAGTTCATTAAAACTGTACGAGCTTCATCAATTTTACCATGTTTTACCAGCCACCGCGGTGTCTCGGGATAAAACAGCATTAGTATGCACATTGTGGTACCAACGCCAGCACCAGTAATAGCTAGCCATCGCCACTTCAATAAAGCTCCAAGGATATATGACATAAGGATCCCAAAAGTAATTCCGAGACCGTTAATACATACCAGTCTTCCTCGAAATTTTGATGGTGATATCTCAGCTATATAAAGCTAAGAAGAATAGTAAAATGGTGTAAAAAGTTTTGAGTTATAAAAGAATTTTGTAATCTCCATTCGAACGCCTTCCTCCCCACCCCATTAAAATTTTACTTTATCATGCAAGTGTTCTCTATTAGTCCTTTCTTTCATTCGTCAGAGATTTACCGTAAAGCTTAAGGAAAAATATGCCACTTCTTACCGGACAGGAGAATGTGCTTATTCCCAAGGCGACTCCCGCAATAGTCCTTCCTATTAAAGCCATCATTGATTTCTCAGCTGTTGCCAATATGACCCATCCAGCAACAATCAGTAGAGAAAACAGCATCATGTTAAACTTTCGTCCAAATTTTTCGATGGTATAAAGACCTAGTAAAGCTCCCACCAGTCCACCAATACAGCTAAGGGACTATATCAAAATAAACATAATTGTATTTTTTCAGTTTCGATAAAAAACTTAAGGTTGTTGATGCAGCAAAGAACTGTTGTACCAGCAAATAAGGGAAGGGGAGTGTTAAATGAAAACATTTAGAAATGTTAAATGAAACATTTTTTTGAAGAATAATTCAGATTTTCATGTACTATGTTTAATATATGTTTCTTGTGCTAGCATGTTCTTTGGACTATGTCCTAAACAGCATGTGTATGAAACGATAGAAATTTAAAAAATCGCACGCAATGCGATACCAGCATACATACACTAAACCAGCCAAAAAGCTCATCACTCCATTTCATCTGTTGTTGTAATTGAGTTGCAGTCGGAGATGGATATCCAAGAACAAAACCGTATTGAAAAGATCCTAAAGCTGCTGTAAGAGTCGCACCAACGACATTAAAGGTGAGCGATGAATCTGCATTAAATTGATTGGTTTCGATATAAGAATTTGTTCTCATCTGAGTCATACTGTTTGTTGAATTTCACTTGGACAAGTCGAGGGAAGATTTTCTGCATTTACCGTCGATTGTGACATGCAAGTGATAAAATAAATTTGTGGCAGCAAATCATGTGCTAACTTGATTAGATTAGATTTAGACTTAGATTTCAACACACGTCCCTGCACGTGTTCATAATTCGTTTTGCAGTGTCTGCATTTTGTGGAAAATTACATTTTTATCACTAATGAACAGAATTGATAAGAAAGAAGCTCGCTTTTTTTTTAAATGAAAATTGGTGTTTAAATTATTAATTTGCTTTCACATAATCTAAGGAATTTATTGATTTTTACAATGTGCATGGGAAAATGGAAAAACAAATGGCCACTACCATTTACTTGGCATGTGTCAATAAGCCGTCACACGATTGTCATGTGGGCAAGTTATTCACGAGAAAGACTGGTGTTGCCAAACTGGAAAGACTAGTCTAGTTATTTTTGTCGACTCAAATATCTGACGAATAACCTATGCATTGACAATGTGCGTGACAGATAGCCACTAAGTCGCTAACTGACATGTCGTGTAAACTGGTCGTTAACCGTCATACAATAGCAGACAAGGGTAATTTGTGTATGGCACGAGTTTGCTGGGTTCACTGAGGGGTTCATTGAATTACGTAAAGATAAAAACCGCTTTATAATATGATAACTACGAAAGTGAGGCAGATATATAGTACCAGAAAAACCATCATTTATCTGATGTAGAAAAAGACTTTTTTCTCTTTCCAAACTCTGGAAAAACCACAATACTGTGCTTGCATTGTAAATGCTTTCTCAAACATTTATAAATGATTTATTATTTTAATTTGAGACACATTTTGCAGGTACTCGTGAATAATTGATAGCGTGTTCTATCGTAAATGCAGCATTTTAGATCGCTACTTTTGTTTGTTTCGTCTTAGCTACTCATAAGTGATTTCTATTGCTACCTCAAGGCACGACGAGTGAAAATGCTTCCTAGTTTTGACTTGAGACCAGATGCCTGTTGTCGTCGACGCTTAATTATTTGCGTTTTAATGTTTTGTTTTAAAAATCGGCATTTCATTGCGAAGGCAGTTTTAAGGGATAGGTTGCCATGTGAATGGTTCGCATGAAGTTACTGACTGAGTTACTGTATTTTTTGCTGAACTACTTTTGACAACTTTAGCACGTTCTTAGTTTCATTTTTCATTTGCAAATTTTCCCACAGTTTTAATTCATCATAGTTTGAAGATTGTGGCATTTTAAGGAAGTTCTTTATTCGGGTTTTTGCAAATATTGCGTACTTATCGTGTGTAGATGGAAGTTGTTGTTTAAATTATGTCCTCTCACACACGGTGTAGTTTAAAATTGCAATAAAGTTTTTGTGCTTCGTGTTCTATAATATCCCAGCTGTTGCCCTGTATTTTCAACACAGATTACTTGAGTCATTCAGTGCTTTGCAAATACTCAAGATTTGAAAGTTTTCTTCGTTAATAAGGTGATCGAGGTTCGGACGTCGATTCATTTTCATTCGGCTACATGTTAGCATTGACTATCTTTATTAATTTGCATGATTGGCAGGCTGCTTCCTTATACTTTATTTGTGTCAATTTTTGGAAAGTTTTATTAATTTTAAATTTGTGACATAAAAGTTATGTCTTTACGTACATTGCTCCCAATACTTATGAGAGGATTTTTTCGTGTTTTGATCGGCTACTGGACAATTGGCATTAATTTTCTGCGGATTGGATTATAGTAACGACTGGATGAGTTACTTTAACTGCTCGCGTTCAATGTTATGAAAAAGTTTTGTCAAAACACGCAAACAGCTGTGCTTGCATCTTTTCTAGCAATTCCTTGCCAACCATGCTCTGTTTAAATTACTTTTAATTATGACATACTTAATTCTTCCTTGGATGATTGATTTGTCTTTCAAGATAAAAACCTTTGCAAATGTGTCCATAAATTAAAGACCTTGCTAAAAACATTTGTGTATTGTTTGGTGAATAAAGAGGAGTTGCAAAAAGTTGAATGGACAGGGAAATTTGTATTCACTTGATCTTCTTGTGTACTTTCAACACACTGTTCACTTTTCTAGGAGTTTTTGTGAACGCTCTGGTTATACTTTGCTATTGGAAATCGTCCCAATTGCAAAAAAAACTTTCTTATTTCATGCTAATGATTCTCTCGTGTTTTGACTTACTTTCTGTAATTACAAATCACCCACTGCTAACAATCTATTCGGCACTTTGGATTGTTGATGATGAAGATACTTTGAAAAAAGTTTACGTATTTGTGGATGGAAGTGATATATTCCAGGGCTTCACATTACTAGCTCTGTTGACGATGAACTTCGACAGATATCTTGCTAATGCTCATCCGCTGTTTCATCGTGTATCAATCACTCGACGCAGACTCCTTGCTGTTCTTGTTCTTTTATTACTTTTTGAAGTCACCCTAACCGGGATTTCATTTAATAACCTCGTCATTACTGATCAAATAGCGACGATTATTTTCGCGCTCTGTGTCGCACCACCACTTTTATTCATAAATATGAAGTTATTTTTCATCGCTCGAAGAATGGGAAAGCGCAAAGCTGCTGTATCAACGACCACAGCAAAACGATCTTTGAAACTAAAAAACATTTCTAGTTGCTTGCTTTCGGTTTCGTGCTTGGTTTTACTACATCTTCCTATCCTTGTTTATGTCGCAGTTAGCGTGAAGGAGGAGGAGAACACACGTAAAGTTCAAATAACCTGGCTGTGGACTAAAAGTATCATTTCAACGAATTCCACGTTCAACTGCCTCATTTTCTTTTGGAAGAATAAAATTTTGCGAAGTGAGGGAAAAAGAACAATAAAAATAATGACGAAACATCCTGGTACTTAATATGACGCAATCTGGTTAAATTTTGAGATGCACCTGAATGTTGTCGATAGGATCTTGGCTTGGCTATAATTGTAGTTGAACTTCATTCTGTCGTAATTCGTAAGAACTTTTTGGTTTGTAGACTAGTGGCTTTTAAACACTTGTGTGAGAGTGATAGTTTTGATGCATGTCTACACATCCGTAACTTATCAAGCTACTGTATGTTTGTTCAGACAAGCATCTATGATCTGAAGCATGTTTTTGTTTAAAGACCTTTAATTTCATGTATATGCCCTAAATGTAGCCCCCTTTGCCACGTCTCTCAAGCTTGGACGCTTTTTGTACTTAATTACACAAACACTACATCGAACTTTTCTTCCCAGTAGAAAATTGTGAAACTATGACAATGTTTGGGCCTTTCCGTGCAAAATACAGAGAGACTTTTTCATCAGACACATAGCTCTTAGAATATTTCCTGAGTAGTTTTCACATTTCTACTTTTCATTCTGACGTTCGTAGAGCCAGTAATTCAAATTCTCCTTTCATACATTTCCCAAATCACACAATGTGAAGTTAGAATTAAAGGCGGATCAAAGAAGTGTATTTTAAAATACTTGGCTTGCGAAAGTTTGAAGTGAACCCTGATGGGCGACATTAATTGAAAAATTAATATAAAATGGCATTAAATCATTGTCATTTTTTATAATTATTAAAATATGAAGGCGTCAATGTAAACATGACAAAAATGTCTGCACACATATAAACAAGGCGTCATCCATTTAGCACGTACTCAAAATTTTATGAATTATTAACTTCCTTCTCCCCCATTGTACAAAAATTTTCGATTTTTAGCGACCAACAATCTTAAGTTGATGCTAAAATGATTTCCTTTTCTTAGCCAGTTTAGGTAAGCTTATGATGCATAATCCTCGAATTATGTACAAATACTATGATTACTCAGGGAACCAAAATTATATTCCAAACTGTCATTTGTGCGAAACAGCAGCTTTGCCGCACCCTTTCTACAGTACGCAAATGTACGCATTTATCACACACCTTCCTCCTTTCCAGGATAGCACGTAAAGGGGGACGTACCACCATCCCATATTTCACATTTCTCTCACATGTCGGCATAATGTTGGTTGGCATGCTTGCTTTCCAGTCGTAGCGCAGGCTCATGTTGCTCAGCAAACATTGATCGGAAGATGTCTGCATTTGTTGTGTTTGTTCGAAATCTATTGAATTTTTAATGTTGCTTGTGTTGGCTAAGTTCTGCATATAAAACCTGCCTGTTGTTGTTGGTTTATCATGGATGATGTCGAGCTGGCAGGAAAATCTGATGTCTATGCGAGCGGTGATGACGGGCCGACGTCTGTGTTATCTGAACGAGTGTCCTCCCTTGCTGCCGCGATCTATGCCGAATTTGAACGTATGATCCAAAAACATGGACAAGAAGTAGTTTCGGGACTTATGCCTTTGATGGTATCTGTGCTGGAACAACTAGACTCTGCGTATAATGACAACAATGAACAATATGTTGATTTGGAACTGCTGAATGACGACAATGAACAGCTACTAACGCAATATGAACGTGAAAAGCAATTGAGAAAGATTGCCGAAAATGTAAGTATCTTTTGAAGTCAATGGAGTATTCTTCTCATCTAAGCTCTCATTTCATAGTAGAAACTGCCCGCCGTAAAAATGCCGTGAAGAAATGAAAGTACAACGGTACAAAATAACGCTAGCTAATGATGATATTCGAATGCTAACGTAATGATTGATAAATTCTTTCAATTCATGTATATTGCTGTTGATTTTATGTTTTTCTTTATCATTCATTCCTTACAACAATCTGTGATTTCTTGCAAAGAAAGAATAAGCCAACATTTTGTGTAATGTGACACAAGGCACATGAAGCTGTCAAGGAGTATAAGGAGTTTGAGATAAAAAGGAATTTTTATTGTGAACCTAAGTTTTGAGTACAGTTTTGAGTACAATGAAGTTCAAAGTAATGCATGTTACATCCTGTAAATCAATGAATTTGTCTCCACCATCGTAATGTAAGTGAAGATGCATATCAGATTGCATTCCATGTAGCCTAGATGCCATAGGGTATCTAGTTATAAACGTGCGAAAAGTTATTGTTTTGAAACTGAAAAATCTCATGTATATGAATCATCTATTCTTCGAAAATATTTTTTAGAAATATCTGCGAGTGGAAGATGAACATGAACAGGAAAAGCAAGAAATTTTGAAAAATCTTGAAGCAGAAAAACTTGAAAAAAGAACTCTTGAAAGTAAAATTAAGAGCTTGACAGATCATGGTATGTTTGAAGGAACAATTTCTTGCCAAAAATAGCTCAGGTTTTTGCTTATTGTAGCAGCTGTTGAAAAAGTCAAAAGTAAGTTGGGCAGAAAATTGCCGACCTTCGCCAGACTATAGTCCGCACTAGGCAATTTCAATGATCGAATGTTTGGTGGCAAACTAACTGCAAATTATTGTCTTTATGTATAACCGGTATCCATATATACAGTTTTTAACCTATGTTATCAAGGTAGAACAATGGAAAAGATACGCTATCTTCAAAATGAATTTTCAAACTTCCAAGATTAGCATTTAACTTTTATGAGTAATAAGAGTTTGATTTGCCTGCATGAATAAAACCTGCAGTGTTGAGTGCAATCTTCACATTGCCAATGCCAACCTTGTTTTCAAGCTTAGGCTCTTGTAGTAATTCTTGCTGCATACAATCTATATAATTTTCAAAAGTTCTCCCATTGTTATTCATGCTTGTTGCTTTGTTTCTTTCTTTACAGTGCAAAGGACAGAGGAGAGATTGAATGAAAAGTCTCGTGATTACAATTCCCTTCATCAAAGGCATTCAGAAGTATGTAAGGGCAATGGCGTAGCCAGCCCACTCGTTTTTGACTTTTTATACAACAGGGTTTATTAAAAAAGTCAGCCAAATTTAAAAATGTCCGGAAAACTATCATTTTAGTAAAAGTTTTTATATTTTGGCATCATCTGGTTTATCCCCAAGTAAAAACAATCAAAAAATTAATTTCGAAACCGGGCAAGTGGTTTGTAAAAGTTGTAATTTCTTTAAAAATCTATTGTTTTGACTGTTAGTGAGTGAAGACGGAAAAATTAACGTAACAGGACAAATAAAAGCTGACCGTTGTACATATGTAGACACATAACAATGCAATTATGTTAACCATAGAACCATTTCTGTGGCCATTTTTTTACAAGCTTGGATTATTGAGAAGGAGGCCTTGTGTAGTATATTGATCACATGTATTTATCTTATGAATAACAGATGCTCCATCGCTTTATGGAGCGAATGGAAAAAAATGAAAAAGTTGGTCGATTGCCTGTTACACCTGGTGGAGCTCCTGAAACACCAAAACTCAAGTAGGTCAAATATGTTTTCTTTTTTTTTAACATTTGTATGGTATGAGATTAGTGATAGGATAATGTTCATGGATGGATTGAGGATGATATTTTCTGTGGGGTGGGTGCTCTTGTTTGGATTAGATTTCAGTGGCTACTTTATGGGTGTCATTGTGCCAAGTTAGACTTCTTTTGTTCAGTTCTGTTATACTTTTATACCATTTTAGTGAGATATTATTTGCAAATGTGCTCATCACAGATATTTTTGCTCAATTGCTTGTATATAGTATTTTGTCAGAAAATTGATGCCCCTTCTGCACACTTTCGATCTATGGAGAGGAGGTGTTTGCACCCATTGAACACCTCCCCACTCCCTGCAAAATCCATCCATGAAGGTGCATTATGAAATAATTTATAAATCATATAACATACATGTGTATGTACTCTATGCCGTATGAAAGGCTGGAAGAATTACCAATGTGTGAGTTTTAACGCTTTTCAACGTTATGTTATAGCTTTGTGCATAATCTTTTCTAGGAGACCTGTGTTATCCTTGGAAAATAACGCTATGCAAGGATTGTTCAACTCGGTGTCTCAGCCAAACCTTTCGGGTTCCGTGAGTCCAACACCACAAACACCAAATCAGAACACTGATTTCAAACCGAAGAAGAGGCTTGGAAAGAAAAATAATCTTTCATTTGAAGACGAATCTATGGTAAAAGTCAATTTGGAAGGTACCGTCTAATTGATAGTGATTTGATTTGTAGGTAAAACTTGTGTCTTTACGAGAGCAAGATCAGCACGTCTTTTTCCGTTCCTACTAGAGCAAAGTTTGCGAATGATTTTTTATTCCTATGAAACAAGAACAAAAAAAATGCAAAATATATGGATAAACGTACTGGATAAAAACAAATATCTAAACGAAAAATATCTAAATATACAAATATCTAAACAAATATAAATATCAACAAAATTATCGAACCGTCTGAACAAGTAACCAAAAGTAGGAACTGAAACAATCGGATCCGACAACTCGGATTGTGTGAACGGGCCTTTTAATACTATTGAGCTTAGTTGTCGATGGATGTAGTCGAATGAAGTATACGGTAGTTATAGCAAAGGAAAGCTTAAGAGCAAAAATTTTGGACACGAGTTCGAAATGCTCAGGAAAAAAGCATAGCTCTGTGAGCATTATCATGCCGAATTTTTGTCTTTTGCACTTGCAGAAAAATTCATTGTGCATTAATTCCGTTTTATTTCGTTTGAGTGAAGATCGTCTGTCGGTAAACATGTCCGAAGAAGAACAAGTGAACAATGGGGCTGCTCAAGCCATGTCTTTTTTGGAAGAAACAAGAACATTCTCGACGCCTATTGAAACGATTGCTGAATTGAAAGAAAACAGTCTTACTCAGGCAAGTAAAGGGGACGCAACGTCTAGCGAACATCTGAATCAAATAAGAGTAGAACAGACCTTAAGTGAAATGAGCTCTCAGCCAAGTGGCGATTCCGATCCAAGTGGTGTGAAAACGTACAATGATTCGGATGTGTCTCACCCTCCTGTTGTTGGTGTTGATGATGTCCGGAATCTCATCTCTAGTCCTGAGAGTAAATCTCAATCTATTAATGATTCGATGGTTGGTGAACTTAGTCCAGATATTCAAGCTATTTTATCGTCGACTCCCGAACTTGAAGGTACCGTAAGCCTATCTGGCAACAACAGAAGCAGTTTGGATAAAAGTTCATCGCACGATCTCAAAGGTCCGTTGGAGTTAGCTCCAGCCGAAGAATCAGTGAATACAAACTCTTTATTTGCTGAGTTAGCAAATCAAGAACCGAGCGCGATTGAGGAGATTGACGAGGGCGCCGAAATATCGCTTATGGGTAAAGAACTTGAATCGGTGTTGAAAGAAAATGAAGAACTCGTTGAAACAAAGTAAGTTAAAACTTTTTATGCATTGATAAGATTGGCGGCGAATGGCCGACCAATGAAATTATCTAAATATTTGGTGGGATGCGCCTAATGAAGAGTGAACGTTACCCCTATTTGCAACCATAGAATTGTAACGTTTTTGAAGTTTTGAGGAAAACCTAGTTTGCTATAGCTTGTAGCTACACTGTGCTCAACTGACTTTATGTGCCACGAGTAGTTATATATTTCTTCTACTTTAGGAGTAAATTGCTCACGCTGAAAAATGATCTATTAAAGCGTATTGAAGAAATAAGAAGGTTTGTTTCTAAGAAACACGCATATAAATTTCACATGCAGAGTAGTCATCAGTTCAGGTTGTAGAAGTACGAAATTATTATTGTAGCGATTAACAATTTTGATCATCCTAACCAGAAATGATTACCACTGATATGTTTATTCGACCGGATGACTGGTTTGAAAATTGAAGCACGGTGTTTGCTCATTTGCATAGCTCACCTTCCCATACTTTGGCGATGTAAATGCTTTACAGGTCTTTTTTATGATACGTGTATAATTCTATTCTTTCTACATCAGAAATTTGTGAAAAAACAAATTAAAGTGTAAAAAGTTTGACCTCTATAACGTATGCAAATGAACTTACATCCGAATCTACTTTTCTTGTTATATTTTGACGTGGATGCGTTAGCCAGTTTGATATACACATCAGTGACTATTACTTGTAAGGTATTGGCAAGTGTGGCTGTACATGCAATCTTTTTTTAATAGATTTCGTATGATAGGCTTAGACTCTCCCACCTGCTTTATATATTTGAAAACTCTGCAACAGGAGGGAGTTGGAGCTCATCACTTAGAGCTCATCTGACCGAATCTGGTAAAAATGATTGCATATATTGTCATAATGTGGATGCCTGTACATTATATTAATGACAGTCCAGTTGCGGTACAATTGACGATCAGGGTACGGCACAATTCAGGTACGACGTGACGTGTAGTGTATGCCATTGACTGTCTTCATTGTTTTCTCTTAGTGAGAATGAAATGCTAAAGGATGAATCAGCTGTTATGAAAGAGAAGATGGAATCCCTGTCCACCAAAGGGGAAAGTTATGAAAAACAGAATCAGGAGATTAAATGGTAACTGGGGATAAATTTTATCATTGGATGTATGAAATTTTATTCCTTGCAGTCGATCATTTCATGGGTAGCAATTTCAGGTTTCACAAGTCGTCTGCTTCAATGTAATGTCGTTATTTACTCTAAATTGAAGGATTAGTTTTCATTTTCTTTTATATGACTGGATGGATTTCATTCGCCACCACGTGGGCAGGTCGTTTGCTTACGTATAGCCTCGGGAACTTGTTTGTGATATCATTTCTCTTGTCCTGAAAATATCGATCCTTGTGTTTTTTTGTTTTTAAAATATCTCTCGTTTTGTTCTTACCAAAGGGTGTCAGTTGATTTTTTCATCGTATTTGTCAACTTCCATCTTCTAATTTTGTTTTAGGCTTAAACAAGAATTGGATAAGTCAACCATGGCTTTGAAAGAGGTAAGATTCTTGTCATCAACAAGAATGTCGATCACCTATAGCGTTTTCTCATCTTTTCTTTGGCCAAGCGTTTTGTCATTTTTTTCTTTGGCCAAGTTGAAACATTTTCGTGAGGGGAATTTGCATTCTGTATCAATTGATCATGATTTTTTTCATATTAGGCCAATGTATCAGCTGCACATCGCAAACGGTTCAGCAGAGTCGAAATGGCTCGAGTTTTAATGGAACGAAATCAATATAAAGAAAGGCTCATGGAATTACAGGAGGCTGTTCGATGGACTGAAATGATAAGGTTATGGTGATCCCTTTCTAAATTTATAGGATTATTGATCTGCTCTTTTACAATGTTACTAACTGCGTGCTGATGCATTATGGGGTTGTTGTACATCGCACATGCATAAACTGTATTGGTGATGCAACAACTTGACTGTGTTACAGGGCTTCTAAAGAGAAAAGTCTTGAACTTCAACAGAAGAAAAAATCGTGGGTTTGGAAATTGTAAGTTATTTCAACTCTGATGAATTGCCTCGTTGACTTCAACTTGACAATTTCACTAAGTTATTTTCCGTGGCTTGTTGATAAATTTTTTTGCATTATTATAATTGATTTGTTTGTTATGCAGCTGTCAGTGCACAAGGGTTATGGTTCCTGACACTTCCTTTGTTTGACATGTGCTTTACAGGTTTAGTGGCTTATTCAGTGCAACTCCAAAAAGACCCACTCCCAGTCCAGTTAGTCTCTCAAAAGGATCTCAAAATGTTTCCACCGGAAGATCTCCGTCCGATGCAAGTGCAGAGACACCTCAAGGTGTGGTTGATAGGTGAGTTGTGTACATTGAAGGATCGATTTAGATTCCATGTAATTATTATTTTCAACACTACTGTAGTGCAACACTACTATAGTACAACACTACTATAGTGCAACACTACTGTAGTGCAACATTACTATATTGCAACTCTACTACAAATACTGCAACACTACTATAGTGCAACTCTACTACAAATACTGCAACATTACTATAGTGCAACTCTACTACAAATAGTGCAACACTACTATAGTGCCACTCTACTACAAATAGTGCAACACTACTATAGTGCAACACTACTATAGTGCAACTCTACTACAAATAGTGCAACACTACTATAGTGCAACACTACTACAAATAGTACAACACTACTATAGTGCCACTCTACTACAAATAGTACAACACTACTATAGTGCCACTCTACTACAAATAGTACAACACTACTATAGTACAACACTACTATAGTGCAACACTACTATAGTGCAACTCTACTACAAATAGTACAACACTACTATAGTGCAACACTACTACAAATAATACAACACTACTATAGTGCAGCACTACTATAGTGCAACTCTACTACAAATAGTACAACACTACTATAGTGCAACTCTATTACAAATAGTACAACTCTTTTATAAATAGTACAACACTACTATAGTACAACACTACTATAGTGCAACACTACTATAGTGCAACACTACTACAAATAGTGCAACACTACCACATAATAGTGCTACACTACTACGTAATAGTGCATAATAGTGCAACACTACTACAAATAGTTTCATTTCAATCGAACAAAATGACTCTTACCTTCAATAGCATAACGCTTGAAAAGTCGTCCGAAATATGAGCATTGTAACCAGCTGGCAATAACTCACCCATCATTTTTATTGCAAATGCTTCAAATTGAAATCCGTCACCTCTTGTCTTTGTGGTGAATAATGTCATTACGTTTCTAGCATGCACACTACTTAAGCGAATGGATAAACCACTAGGTTGCTCCTCCGTGTGAAAAGACTGCTGCTTTCCCTCCTTACGTATCGATAAATGTTTATCTTTCGGCCATTTTAGCCAAGTTGAAAGACAAAGACTTATGGAGAAACGAACAAGAATGAAACAGTTGCGTGCATCGATGACATCCGGTAAGAATAAACATTGAATTAAGAACGGATTGGTCGCACTCGTGCGTCGAAATGAACCCAGAAAGCATAGCGGTCATTGCGACCGGTCAATTAAACCCAGAAAGCATAGCGGTCATTGTGACCAGTCAATTACGTATTTAACTTACTTGACAAAATTGATTTTTCCTTGAACTTGTGCATATTTGATTGTTATGATTAATGATAAATTAAATTGTCTGAATAGGCCGAGTTTTAAATAGAATTAATTCTCTCATATACGAGCCAGGAATATAACGTGAAAAAATTGACGAAAAATGTAATTTGCGTTGCAATACGAGACGTCGTCTGCTTTACAGTTGATCGTTTCTGTTCGTCACCGCAATGCCTTTGGATTCCTAACAAGATGCTTTATCTCAAAGTTATTGCAGAATATAAAATTTTGTTGCAAGAGTTTATGATTGAGAATTAGATAAGTGCTCATACACCGATCTTGGCTGAGACCAAGAAAAAATATTTGCTGCTCAAAATGAAAAAAAAAACTGGATAATGACCGGTGACCGTCACATATTTCGCGACCTTTCGCGCTGCTTTCCATTAATTTTATGAAATCCACGTCTGCACCTTGCCTAAGATCAACTTGATAACACACGCAAAATATTACTTATAATGTATATTTGAAAATAATTGGGCAACTAAACTAGTGACTAGTCATGAGTGACTTTACGCGTAGGTGCATTTTTGTTCATATGAACGTAAACTTCTGTAATGGAGAGAGTAAATTTCCCTTCTTGACTGATTCCATTTTGTTGATGTCCATAGGCATTCCTGTGGGTCGGATGCAAGCGTACGGATGGAGTTTACCTTCACGTTATTCCACTGAAGGGGCCAATGACAGTAAAGGACTTCTGTCGGTTCCAGTTCCCATTTATTGTAGACCGTTGAACGTTAATGAACCTGGAATGAAGGTAAAGTTTCAACCTAAATCATAAATGCTTGTACAATTATGAAAAGCAAACAATTTTTTCAACTGGACTGTGATTTGTGTTTCTTTATAACCTTGGAAGATTCACTGAGTCTGCCCGAACGACTCTTTTGTTTTGGATGAGAGTCATTTTATTGTGTTTTGATTTTTCATTCATACTCGTACAGTAATATAATTTTGCGATCTCGCATTCACAAATACGACCATAGACTAATTGCAAATACAAAAAGTTATTTTAAGATTGACCTACGTACATAAATAACAAGTCATAAAGCTGTTGTTTGAAACTTTGCACTATCCTTAGATCTCTCGTTCTTGTCGCTTGCTTTTACTTACAAAAAAAAATTCTTTTTTTTCATTTAAATTCTTTTTTTAGATATGGTGTGCGACGGTTGTCGAACAACACCTCAAAGATGGCGGTTCTCCCGTAGGAGGTAGTGTATTCTACGCTGATAGTTGCCGCGAATCCGGTTGTGTTAAAGATACATCTAACGCAGGTCCGTCTTTAGAAGAATCGAACTCGGCAACGTTATGGATTGGTAGTAGCACCCACTCTTGTAGCAAAGTGACGGTCATTGATGGTAACTCGCCTCAGAAAGTCTTGGAGTGCTTTGTGTTATGTTCCTCACACCTCTTGTGTATGACCGCTGTACCTGCTGTTAGCGAGGAAGATTTTGATGATCAAAAGAAGGATGATGTTGTCGATCTTTCCACATCGTGTGTCCATAAACAAGACGGTTTGTTTTGTCTACTTTTTACTAATATTTTCTTTCATTTACCAAGGATTCCTATTACAGCAGATTCCGGATCTACCTCTGAGGGACAGCCTAATTATGCCGAAGCTCATGATAGCTTTGGAAGTTTTGATAAGACCAGTGACTCTTTGTCCACGTCGGAACTTTTTGATCCTCTTGGTAAGATTTGTATTCGATGTATATGAGTGGCAGATTTGAAAGCTCTTACATTCGCCTAAAATAGGCACACGTTTTATGATCATCCGTTTGTAAAAATTTTTTTATTGTAAATTTTATTGATGTATGCAGATATCAAACCAAGAGCTGTGCGTGAAGATTCGGGAACTCCAAGTGGAAATGGTGCAAAGTCAAATGAAGAGTCAGTCGACCAAGTCACCACTATGCTTGCTACAGTTTGGTTTGGTGCTCAATCTGGTTGGTGAGTTTTGGGAACATCGAAGCATTTGATATGAGAGCGCTTTTGTATTTGTATCATAATTTAGCTATGAATTAATTAATTCACTGGTTGGACGATTATATAATGATTTTTGATTGATCCATTAACCAAAAAACGAAAAGCTCAGCCAGAATAATTGTTGGTTTCTCAGGTATTACCAAAACGTCCCCAAAACTTTCTAACGTAGTTCTTATATGTTTGTAAATGTAGATCGTCCAGGTTGGTATAGTCCTGAGAAGGACTGTTTTTTGTTGTTGTTGACTGACGTTTCGACAACCTCAGAGTTTTTTTTTGTTTTTTTCTTTTTTTTCCTTTTTTTCCGACAACCTTAGCGGTTGTCGAAACGTCAGTCAACATCAACAACAACAGTCCTTCTCAGGACTATACCAACCTGGACGATCTACATTTACAAACATGTAACGATACTCCGGGTTCAAACAATTTACTTTGTAATTACTTATACAGATTACAGATATATATGTGTAGTATACGTGAATGTATGTATTCTCGTAAAGATTTTTTCGTGAATGTGTGTACAGTTTCGATATCGTTATCTTTTTATATATATGTGGTGTATATGTTATTGTAAGTGCGTTTAGCTATATATATGTTTATAACTCTTTATTTAAAGTGCATATAAACCTTACGTGGTTTTTACACTATCCAATGTACGTGGTGTCAAAAGCCATATTCCAAAATTTTGATGTAATCGGACAAATATTTTGCTCTGTACAGTCTATCAATGTTGCAAAAATATACCATTCAAGCGCTCGGTTTTACTGCTAAAGGACTGAACCTGTGCGGTCGGGTGACGTCATGTCCTGAATAGGCTGAGTCCTCGCTTCCTGAACATTATAGTAATTTAACAAGCTATTTTCTTTACTATTGTCACATCATGCCAAATGCCCGTGTATTCGCAAGGCGATATACCAATTTGCAAGGACAGACACCGGTAAAACACTGTACTTCAACTCTATATCATAATTTGCATTTTCTGATGAATCTGAAGATGATGTTTCCGCCCCAGATGAGGGCATTTTGAAAAAAAAACGACGCAAAACTCGAAACATCGGAAAAAATATTGATTATTTTAAAAAGCAAATAACTTGTTTTGAATAGAGCCTACGCGACTGTATTCCTTACATGACGTCACAACATGTACTGGATACCAGACCCCACTGGGAAATAAATGTATTGAAAATCTGGACTTTTAAACCGTAATTGCGAAGAAAGCTTTGATCTCAATTCATTTGTTTTTTTAAATTTGTAGTTTTCGAGAACTGCTCTTTCAAACTATTCTAAAATCCTGTAAGGTTCATATGCACTTTAAGCGGCAATGTAGTTGCTTGTTTTATGTATATTTATACGACTTTTAATTGTAGCATATACATTCATTCTGGAATTTCCAATTGGAAAAGATGTCTCCATTCCATAAAGTTGAGAGATTCAGTTCTCAGTATTGTGTAAGTTGACATGCGTATGTTGTATATTTAACATCTCCGAAAATTTATGATTCTATTTTTAAAGACCAATTTGAAAGGTTGCAAAAATACCCCCATCTAGCACAATACATGAGTGTACCTACTTGTACATGTATGTCCTAAAATAGTTCCGTATTAACGCTAAACTCGAATTGTTTACTTTGTGTAGTCATATTAGAAGGAAAGTTCTTATCGCGCTGGCTGATGGTACCGTTGCGATATTTGAACGTAAACCAGGTAAAATATTGCTATTAAAATATGCATTGTGCATAAGGGTTGTAATTTTTCACAATGAGGCAAACCCTGGTAGCAACGAGATACTTGCGTGTACACTGAGTTGAGTTTTTGTATGTGGGCCGACCCTTCCACATTTTCCTTTAAAAAATAATAGCAATAAAACGCGTGTCATGATTAGTCTATAGCTGTGTTTGCATTAGCCTGTGCAAAAACCGATTTGAGCTCAACAAGTCAAATCACTCAATCAAAGAGATTCTGCAAATCAATAACGAATGCTTGTTTGAAGAAATATTAAAACGTTTGTTTTAAATTTGTCTGTTTCGCATTATTGTTGTCTTTCATAAAAGAAATAAAAGATGTTTTTTGTGTTTTCATTGGATTATGCAAACCTCGGAGATGCTTGTGAAAAGAGAACTCTCGAGCAGGTGCAACCTGCGTGAATCAATCTCGGGCTTGCACTGATCTGCTTTCGAGTTCTCCCAAAGATTTCCTCGGTTTTGATAAACCTGTGCAAACACAGTTAACATCTTTTATTTCTTAATTGAAAACGAAACTGGCTTCTCTCCTCTTCTCTCGTCATTTCTTTCCTTAGTCGATGAAAAATATTTTGAATGTATGATGTTGTTGAATGTTTAGATGGGCAATGGGACCTGAAAAACTATCACCTACTGGACCTTGGACGCCCTCATCATTCCATTCGTTGTATGACCGTTGTCCATGATCATGTATGGTGTGGCTATAGAAATAAAATTCAAGTTATCAATCCAAAAATTATGAGAATTGTGGTATGTTCAATATCCCAACGAAGTTGTTTATCAGGGGCTTATCAGGGTTTGACGAAGCTTAGAGATAGCACAATCTTCTTCAAAATGATTCTGTCGATTTTTTCCAGGTCAAAAGTTACGATTTAAACTGGGGAATTAACAGAATAAAACATTGTTTCAAAAGTAACCTACATTTATTATTGTCCACCATGAACTGCCCGTCATGTATGAAGAAGTTGCTAAAAAAACTTGCACTTTAAGCTTGCACAAACTTACGTTTTGTCTTGAGCTAATGTTCACAGTAAGGTTCTTAGGTTGCATTGTTGCCGTACATGCCTACCTAAACTTCAACGAAAGTTTATATTGTCCCTACGTTTTATGACTGTACATATTTTTTACACTTGGTCAACAAATTACAAATGACCTATCTCTTAATAGTTTGCTTTTGATTAAAAATTAGAAATCACGTGTTGCAATTTTGATGTTTTGCTCCTGGTTGTCAATTATTAGAAATCCTTCGACGCTCATCCACGTCGTGAAAGTCAAGTACGCCAGTTATCCTGTATTGGCGATGGAGTGTGGGTGTCAATTCGACTTGATAGTACTTTGCGTCTTTATAATGCCCATACATTTCATCATTTGCAAGATGTTGACATTGAACCTTGTGTTAGCAGTCTGATTGGTAAGAATTGCTTGAAATTTACACGTGTGATAGGTTTAAACCATGCACATGCATAAGCGTACACAGAAGCTTCCATTTCATGCGAGGGGGGGGGGGGTTGGTAGTTTACTTGTCTAGATTTCTAAATTGTTCAAGAGTCATTCCATATAGTTATTAATAGTCACATGCAAGTTTAGTGTTTTAAGTCAATTGTGGAATAAAATCACATCATTTCTAGCTTGTAGCTTGCGATTTCTCAAAGGCTCTCTATGGGGGTCCCTTCCAAAGCGCTGTCATTTGCTTGCTCAAAAAGTATTCTCTTTTCAACATTAGGGCCCGTACGCCTTGAACGACTGCGCAACGCCTAACCCATTTTTTTTAGATAACGTACAAACGTGTTTGAATTTATTTCATTTACAATGTAATAATGCCTTTAATGACATGATTATTGAAATACATATGATTCGAAAGTTTGGCAATTTCTCGCGTTGTAAAATTGGTTTCTTCACCAAAGTTTCTTATGTGTCACAGATACGCAATAATTTTCACTTTAGACTGAATCAAGTGGTTAGAGTTTTTAGTAATGAACCTCGCATATGTGCTTTGACCGCTTTAGGTGCTGGGAAACTTGGATTCTCGTTCGTTCGCATTACTGCCTTACTGTTGACCAAGGACCGCATGTGGGTTGGTACAGGCAACGGTGTTATACTGTCTATACCACTGGTGGTTGCTCAACCAGAATCTTCAAAATCTCCAGTTACTTCCCCAGTAGATAGTGGTGGGCCAGGAGGAGTAGTTCGGGTTTACACGGACACTGAAGGGAAGGGAGAACAGACAGGAAGTTCTCGTTTTATGCCTTATTGTTCCATGGTAAGTATATAAAGATATCCATATGCAATACAACGAGAACGGCTAAATGAATTAACTGCAATTATATTTGTTTATGTGCACTTTATTATATTATAAGAAAATACACGGAAGCATTATGTTTTTTACAGAATTGTTTATTGCTTGAAATGTTTTTATTTTCATATTTTATGAAGGTTAACGCGCATATTTCGTTTCACGGACATCGTGACTCCGTCAAGTTTTTTGTCACCATCTCTGGGTGCATGGACAAGGCAACTTCATTAATTTCACCTAAGCTGTCGTCGTCGTCAGTGAAAGCTGAGGCCACATCTGCCGTTCTCGACGAAGAGAAAAGTTGGCTTGTAATCAGTGGGGGAGAGGGTTATATTGACTTTAGAACTGGCGACAATATAGAGAGTGGTGAAAACATTGGTGGTCCCGAAGATATTTCTCCTAATTCAAAAATATCTTCAGCTGAAAATAGTCACCTTGTGGTCTGGCAGGTTACTGGAAATTAGTAAACTAAACTGACCAGCGCTTCTTTTGTTGCTTCGCTCTGTCGGATTCAAGTTCGCCCTAACATTTATGATCGTAAATCGCGCGAAATTTTCGCAGTCGCGTCTCCAACGGAGATTGCTGATTTTTATAATTGCCTTATACAAATCTGATTATAAAATGAAATATTTTATCAATTTAAATATCTCCTTCACTGGTAAATTATTTTTATATCGTATCAGCGATACCAAGGGACTGTGAGCGAAATAGATTCTTCTATCGTGTTCAAAATCTTATGGGTTTTTCCTAGAATATTTTTCGTAGCCACTGATTTTCATAAAACGTTGTATGATTCACAGAATGCAAACATACAGGAGGTCATTTTCAGTGTTTCTGTGTAAGCGCGATTTAAGTCATTGATTCTTCACTCCAGTCTAGAAAACGAAGGAATTTCCCTCCTGGATGCATTCAAAATGTTTGAAAGATGATTCCTACGTAAATCTACCCGGGGGGAGGAGAATTTTTCTTAGTTTCCTATTGAATTTCATATGCAAATACATCTTTCGAGATGGCCATCTATATATTAGCATTTTGTGATAATGCTTTAAACTACACTCAAGCATTACGTCAAAACAACCCGTTCTATACTGACAGTATAATCAGGCTCAGTTCAAATCAGTCAGTGTAAGTTTTGTATAGTTCCTTCCATAACAGGTTGCAATAGAATCTTTCGAAAAGATGTTAGCGATGGGACACCTAGTAAAGCTCAGTGATAAAAATCCGTCGCAGGCTTCCAGCTATTGATAGGGTAGAGAGAGGAATGATAGGGTGTAGCTTGCAGAGTAAAGTAATGGTGAAGTCGTTTTAGATTAATTTGCTTTCAAATAAACATGGTCGATAACTACAAAATTTCAAAACCATTAAAGTAAATATAACACAAAAAGAAAGTAGCGCCTGCCCAGAGAAATGTTCTTTTACATTCTAAATGAATGAATTTCAGATAATTATTATTTAGACTAATAATAACTTGCTAACCTTTACAAACTCGCTAGAATTAAAAAGTTTAAATTTATATTCGATGTGTTAAAAGCACGAGTGACCTCATACTTCCCATAACTCTTAAAACTTACGACAGCCATTGTAATTGCTTTGTTTACAAATCACTTCTCCATTTGACTACTCAATTTCGGAGCAAGTTTTTCAAAATTAAATTGTTTCCTGTTTTTTACACTGTTATTTACGATAAATTGCACTGCTCTAAACCAATCAAAATTGAGAAATTTTTCTTTATGTATACTATTATAATTGATAGACGGAACGCTTTTTTTTCCGATATCATTGATATCATTTTCTAATTATCGACCAACACTGGTCATACATTAGAGCCTGCAATGTCTTTGATCAGCAACAGTAATTGTCTCAATTTTCTAATTTTCATTGTAAGAATTATGTATACCTTATCGTATTGGCGGGAATATTGGTTTGTTTTGTCGTTTGTGTTCACTTTACATTACAAGTGATGGCAGTTAAACATGTCCACGTGATGGCAGTTAAACATGTCCACGAAATAAACTGTGCAAAAGTATGGATGCAGACGCAAGATTGAAGTTAATTGCGTTGTTCAACTCGACACCTCGAGCCAAAGTAAGATTTATACTAGTGATTGGTGATATAATGTCATTAAAGTAAATAATAATGCGCGTCTTTTAATTTCATCCGACATGGATGCACTGGTGTTGGTGGAAATGATCATCAACGAATTGCATCCGTTATGTAGGTAGATATTGCTGCAACTAATAGCTGTTTGCATGCTATTTCTATTCTCCACCACTGACTCCAGCATACATTGATGAATTGACCATCCATTGTTTACATGATTGCATGCATTGGTTGCAAGCACCCATACCAGGAAAAAAAGCACCACTGTCCTTCATAGGATGGTGTGAGTAGAAATTATGGTTTTTAGATAATACTTAATTACTTATTGGTATAAGAGTTAATATTATTGTTTCCATGATTCTATACTGGATCTTTCTAACATTATAATTCTTACTATCAGGAAATCTATTCGTCATTATGTCAGCAGAAACAACATTCAGAGAAAGAAGACTTTCAAAATTCTTTGAATGACTTTCCTGATGAATTACAAAACCAAACATCTAGCCGCAATGGGTCTCGATGCTTTGAAAAGGTATCTTATATATACAGACATAATTAAGTTGCATTTTTCGTATGTACCTATGACAACATTGGTATAAATTTATGAAGCTTTTAAATTATGTACTATAGCCGCCTTATCCAGTAAAATTATATCGCCATGCAATGCTATAATGCACTTAATAATGTAATCATTGAAACTGATGTTTTTCAAGGAAAAAACTGCTGATAATGTGAAGAGAAGTATTGGCAGTGAAGAAAGGAATGACTCTAGCTGTGGTGGTGATCATTGCCTTCCAGAATCATTTGCTTCAGAATGTTCAAGCAATGTTTCAGAAATTCCTCAGCAGTCCTTTCACTCCCATGAACCATTTAAAAGTCCTTTCCAAATTCAACAGGTTTTAAAAACATTGCTATAATAAATGGTGCATGTTAGCAGTGATACTGTTTCCCAATGGGAGGAGTATATTATAGAGAGTGAGGTAGAGAGAGGCATTGATCATTGACTAATCGAAACTTACTGTAATATGTGCATAATAGAAGTGTAAACCATTTTCTTGAATCACATGCCATGTTGTGTTTAAAGAATATAACATTTGTGATGCACCAAAATTATTTTAGAAACACATTGAGTTGATGGATTGGTCTTTACAATTTTTGGGTGAAGGAAAAATCATTGTTGAAGGTCAAAGGAGGTATTTTATTGCATAGAATAAAACATTCTCAGATATTTAGGTAACACTACAAGTACGTTATTTAACCAAGTTGTGCACCATTTTCAACAAAGTCAATAGCATTTATTTTTCCCAAAAGGCTATTATTATTTTATAATGTCTAGGCATTGTCTGTTTACAACTGTGCTATTGCCTATGCTATTTGTTGCGTTTCATAGATGTGATCCACCAGACATCCTATGGAGAACATCACTCATTTGTGAAAGAATTTCCACCAATGCTGTGCGAAGTAGACGTGGCACCATTTACTTCTTGCTTGGTGAAATAGACATGAATGAGATGTTTATCAAAAGTAAGTCCCTCAAATATGTATGTGTATTGTTTTACATTTGGCGTTATACAGATGTATTTTGTCAGTGAATTGAATTTTGATGACATTACTTTTAATTAGTCTATACAGAACGCATGAATACCACAAAAAAAATTTCAATGTAATCTTGTCTTAATCAATTTATCCTTCATTTATTGCATGTTTGCTCTTATATGTAATTACAATGTATGATAGACTGGATAAAATATCAAATGGCTATTAGGACCAGCACTGGACTGTTAATTGGGTGGAGGGCTGTGTAAACATTCATTGGTGTATATTCAGTTGAGCCCAACTAATTTTGTCTTGAAATTGATAATTTGACTTTAAAAAGTGAATAAGCTTTTAAAAGAAATCCAATCAACTGGTGATAAGGACAAATGAATATATGAATGTGCACCAAGGAACGATTAATGAAAGAAGAGCGGATGGATGTGTACCCAACTTGGCCATGGCTAGATGGGGGTGCAGGAAATGTGCAAATTTCTCTACGAAATACGAATATTCCAAGCTATTAAGTCAAAGCAAAAGCAATTAACGTTTAATGGAGCACATTTTCAAAAATCTCCCAATATTAAATGGAAATGTTACAGAATTTAACAATAAAAGTCTGATGTTGTGCAGCAACAATTAGTCACCGTTTGAGTGTGGTCTTCCGTAAATATTTAAATCAGTAAATATGTGATTTTAGATTTTTCAGAAGACGTTATTCGTATGTTCAGATTTGGATTTCCAGTCAACTGGCGTGATGTTTTTTCCATGATTTGTACAAGGCCTGTAAGGTAATACCAAAGTGAGATTTTTCTTACGGTACTGCAAATGCAAACAAGCAATAAAAGCAAATGATTTTCTTGCTTAACATATGTAGCTTCTGAACACGAATAAACCTGTGAAATTGTGAGCGACATTAAACAAACTAAAAGTTTATCTTAAAGCCTGGGTCTCATACAATATACTTATTTACGTGTACTTCGATTCGTTTGAGTCGTCTCAATTGAGTTTCAGTTTTCTGGTTGAAGCTCTCTGCTATCAGCTTTCAATGATACAGCTTGCGTTCTGGAGACGACTGAAATGAGTTTGATAACTTTTTGAGATTATGTAAGGTGGATGATCATATGAATCTGATTGCATCATTTTTCAGCAAGTGCACAATTTTACTATTTCTTATCATACGTTGATGAGTTTTGTGTGTTTTTTTTTAGAAAGGACAATGTCTCCGAGGTAGGAAAAGCTACTGGATCGAGGAAAACAAAATATGACGGCGAGGAATCAGGATTGTTGCGAACAAGTATCATAAAACGATACGAAACACTAAATCTTGAAAGAACAGAAGTTGACCGCGAAAATCGTGTAATAAATTCAGAAATTAACTGTGGAAGTTCGCTCAAAAATCCACAGAAACAGCTTCAGGCTCAAACAAAAAGACAAACTTACGACCAGGAAAAACGGAAAACAATGCAAAGGAAAAGGAAGTGGGATTTTCGACCGACAACATTGTGTGCAACTGCAGAGAAAAATGGTGCGACTGAAGAAGATCGACTCCATGAAATTGTGGAACTACAGTCAGCGGAAAGTGCTCAAGAACAACTGGGGATAACTGAAGATGAAGTACCATGGATAACTGAAGGGGATCAACCAGGGACAACTGAAGAAGATACACCAGGGATAACTAAAAAGGATACACTAGGGACAACTAAAGAGGATCCACCTGGGATAGCTAAAGCGGATCCACCAGAAATAACTGAAGTCGAATCACCAAGGATAACTGAGGAGGAACCATTGGAGATTATTAAAACAAAGCGAAGAGGAATAACTGCCGAAATCTCAGAAGTAACCGAAGAAGAAAGAAATACGTCAACGGACAAAGTGACTCGAAAAAAAAATGAAGAGGAAACCCGTGTGTTGTCTCAAACAACTGTTGACTATATGGATAATGATGTTTCTTATAAATTAAAGACAAAGTCAACAAAGACAGTTGAGAAAGAAACGTCTTTATGTGGCAACAAATCACCGTCCATAACCGTCGCATCAAGACAAAAGAGCCCGTCAAGGCCTTCAAGTAAGTAACAAAAACAGTCAGTATTTCATTAGATGCTCTGCCAACTCTCCGTGACTAACTGTATTTTATATGTATTTTTATACTAGCATATTTTTTCTACTTCATTAGGAAGATTAATTTCATATTTGTGTCAATTGGATCACCAGTTCATCGTCTTCAAAGTTTTTTTTTTACATACGTACACATACGTAGTTGATAGAGTTCGGGCCGGAGCTTCCTGTCAAGTCAGGCAGTGCGAAAGTTAACTGTTTTGTGATATGAAAGAATTTCAAAACCAACTAACCAAATAAAACAGAAATTTATTTACAACACCGTCCGTAGTATGTGAGTGATAGTTGGCCTAGATGTCGGCAGTTCTATCTGGAGCTAGCGTGCATATCACGTAAAGATCACGTGCAAAAGCAACTTTTGTCTCGTGCATTTCAGTATGGTGATGATTTTTAAAAATTCGCATTTCAGGAGTGACGAGAGGAACAACTGAAGAGGGAACAGAAAGAATAGCGAAAGAAAAAACACGTGGGCTCTCTCGAGTTGAAACAACTAATAACTCTATCGATGAAGATGTTTCTTATCAATTAAAGAAAAAGCCAGCAAGGGCAGTTGGAAGGAATACGTCTTTAAATAGCAAGAAATCGCCATCCAAACCCTTCCAATCAAAGCAAAGAAATCAGTCAAAGCCTTTAAGTAAGTGTCAAAAACATGCAATCTGCATTTGTGGTTTCCTATACAGTTGCCATGACAGTATTCAATGTGACAGTAACTTAATGGCGTTGCATAGTTAACAAATTTCACATGTCGTTGTTATGATCGCGCTATATCACAGTGAAAGAGCTTCGAAGTGGGAGAGGGGTGTGTGCTTAAACATGCATGCAGTTGATACTAGCATGGAGATCACATGTAAATCCACCTTTATCTGTGATGATGACGGGATTGACTGCAGTAATTTTTTTAACGTAGATTTATTGTTTGTAGTTGTTCAACTGTTTATAATATATAATTAATTTTAAACATCAGATTGAATGTTGATTGAGGAATTGCGTTTTGAAGAATAGCGACTTGTCTTAAAGGTCTAAGACATTTCAAAAAGCAGTTTGTTGGATTGACACTTTTAGGACAAATCATCGACAGCTCAGTTTGCTTGAAATTTTTTTACTAAGCTGTGATCCTTCTACATGCGTAATTGATGTGAAGATGCCGAATGTTTCAGGGGTGACGAGAAAAACAGCTGAGGACGACGTGGAAAGTGTAACAGATGCGGAGGCCTGTGGATTCTCTCAAAATGAGACACCTACAAACTCTGTGGACGATGGTGTTTCTCATAAATTAAAGAAAAATCAAATGAAAACAGTTGGACAGAAAGCGTCCTTAAATATCAACAAATCGTCGTCTATACCCGTCAAATCAAAACGAGGAAGTCGGCAAAAGCCTAAAAGTAAGTAAGGAAAACGTTTCCGTTGATCACATCACCTTGAAAACAATTAGTACTTTTGCGACTGTATTTCATATGATTTATACTGCCCTTGCAAAATGTTTCAGTCGATGTAAATCAATTATAGCTGGGGGGCGTAGCAAACCTACAAGTTTTAGTGGTCCTTTCATTAGAGATCTATTGCTTATGCAATGACCTCACTGTATATAGGGCTATCCGTTCGGTAAATCAACGAATCGCTTACACATTATGTGAACAGGAATCCCCACGTTATAGCGTTTTTGCTTACAGAGTTGATGGATCTACTTGCAGATTTGTGAGAGGTGTTTAGAATTAATAGAACGTCTGTCCTTCCCATCTGACAACATGCATTCCTCTCTACCGATTAATAACACAGGAGATTCTTCGCTGTATTAATCATGGTTGCCTAATTCTCTTATCTTTTCTTAAAATTTTCAGATAATCATACCAACGACGATGATACGATTTGCGTTCAGGTATGAAATTGAATGGTCTCTTTCCTTTTTACGTATATTTTGAATTATGTTTCATTCATGTTAACATGCAGCGATCAAGGAGTGGTAGACTCGTATGTCCAGTCCTTGATTTTTGGAAAGGACAACGAATATCGACATCCCTTGACAAAGAAGAGATCTCTATTATTAAATCAAACTTGGAAGATTCAAAACTGTCATTGTCAATGGTGAGTCATGTACTGTTTTAGATATTGGCTAATACTGTAGCATTTTCATTATTTATGGTGAGTCATCTATGTATTAGTCATTAGCTGACACTATCTTTGTCATTGTCATTGTCATTGGCGAATGTTGAAACATTTATGTGCGAGTCAAGGTCTTATGCCACCATTGTCATAATCATAGGCGAGTCATTGATTCAGGGGTATCCATCCTTTGATATAGTCATTTTATTCATCCTTTAGACTATCATAAATGGAGTAAATTGCCTTCATATTGTAGATGGATAGACGTGAGTACAACAGTGATAATTTCAAACAAAGTGAAACACAATCCGAAACAGAATGGTTTCCAACAGACACTGGTATCTGTTTACGTTTAAAATATTATGTTAGTGATTTTTTTGCATATTTCGTCTCAATTTTCTTCTCTTGCTTAGATTCGATCCACACCGTATCTTCAATTGTAACTAGCGATGCAACATTATCTTCGAAGACAAATGGAATGAAAAACAGTGATGATAACAGAAAGTCTAATGATGTAAAGCTATTGAGAATCCAAGCAAAATCAGGGGAGATTAGAGGTGCAACTTTCAAACGCAAATCATTGCAAGGAAATGATTACGGAGTTGGAGCTTTACCTAGATCTCAGAACACAGTACAAATGTCAAGGGGTGCATCTGTAACTAAACGAAAGAAAAGATCTACCGGAAATGACGTAGTAAACAGTCGAACTGCAAGAACTCTGGCTATGAAAGATAATAAGACTCGAACGAGAACATATAATCCAGTTGACGAAGAAAAGGTTCAACGTAATATTTGGTCAAAGCATTTGAATTACAGTGATGAATTAAAGTCCAGCTCACAGACTGTTCGACGTAAACAGTAAGTGCATTCTGACTTGTAACGTTCATCATTTAGTTCAAAGTCCATATGACCTCATTTTTGGTTTTTATTGATACTGATGGATCTCACAAAGTTCTTTAACAACTTGTAAATTTGTTGTTGGGTAAAATTTCCCGAGTTACAACGGATCCAATACAGATTGTGAAAAAAAGAAACGAACATTGGAGGACTGGAACCCAGGCATACATTAGTGGGCATGATTAAGTTTATGATACAACATACTTGTACTTGCGCAGTGTTTGAACAGTTATAAACATGGCGTATTTTGCAAATAACTCGATGACTAGGCATAATTTACAATATAATATTTTTGTTGAAAGTGTATTCCTGAGATACAGGACTTTGGGTGTGCTTGATCTGTGTTTGAGCTGTATTTTTTCCGGAAACATTTTTTATACGTAAGAACTAATTCAGAAGTCGTTTACTAACTTTTTGAGATTAGTCAGATTCAATAAAAATCCAAAAATGCGGTCACAAGCACTTCAAGAGCACTAAATCATGGAGTAATGTTTTTACAGAACGGTCACTTAGGTATAAACTGCGTTCTCACGTCCGCCCCACTCCAGCATGTTGATGTCACTTGTTTCCAACCACTAAAATAAAATGACGTCATTTCTGAGTAATAAATTCGAAAATTTTTCGACTCAAGAAATGATTTTGGATAATTTTAGTTGCGACCGATATGCGCGGACAAAAACATCGAAGGTTCCGACACGAGTGACCCCATGTGCATTCCATATCATGTGACTAGTTTGTATTTACTACTTGGTTGTGATAAGTCCTAATTCAAAGAGCACTTGTGAAAATTATTGCTCCAAGACATGATTAAATTGTTATTTACCCACCGATGGGAGAAAAATGTAAAGCGAACATGTGGTGCTGACATAGCATAACGTTGATTCATCTGATCAAATAGTACCTTAATTCAAGGAATTTATCACAATTTGTTGATAAAATATGAAATCCTTCATATTTTAGAGCAACTAGTGGAAAGAAAATCCAATCTTCTATGAAAGGTAGAGGAATGGCATAATCGCATTCACGCATTCTTTTATTAATATAAAGTCATTTTCAGCAAATGGTTTAAGACACTAGTTATTTATGAAGACTACTTATCTCTGTATTTAAGGCGAATCAAGAAATTTATCATCAAAGCCAGGAACATTAGCCCGAAAGCGAGAGTTGCGTATCATGCTGGAACAGCAAGATGAAGGATACGAAGATGATGCATTCGACGGGACTCCTCTCAGAGAGAAAAAAATCAGAAAAATGGTACCCTTTCTAACTCAAATTTTGTTCACATTGTGTTTTTCACATTTGCTACGTATGTACCTCCGTTATTCACTTAATTTAAAATGTACGAAAGCTGTTCTCTCCGGATGGGTTCAAATGTAGCTACTCTTTGGCCTCGTCGAATTTTCTTGTGTGACTAGTTGAACACGTGTTACCTATTCGAATATGTTAGCTATATGGTGGCATTTTCGGGTTGTATCATTACTCTTTTAAAAATTTATGTTCTTTTACACTCTGAAGTATTTTCGGAACGAAAAAGCTTTTGGATAAAAATTCGCAGATTTTCAGTGTTATTGTATGTAGAGCTATTACCATGAAAACTCACGAGTGTAATAGGGTTTTTTGGAGAGATTGTGCGATGTAGCTTGTGATAGGTTTATCAAAAAAACATTTTTATTTGGCATGAAGATGAAGTCAATGTTTCATGCTCGCTTAGTGCAATACATGAATTAAAAATAATTAGGGGTCAATGAAATAAATGTAGCTGTGTGGAACATTTTATATGGTTAATTCGAATTACGAATCAAAAGGCAGTTTTTTTAAACTTTGCACTTTGCTGGACCCTAGTCAACCAAATTCATTATTATTTGTCGAAGAAATTCTTCCATTGTGGTTGTCGTTGAAATGAAATAAACTTCTCCTGTTCTAGGGTAGCATATCCCCGATTGTATTGGAGGAAACAGATTCGCATGAGAATAACAATGACAGAATAAGTGGCATGAAAACGCCCTCAAATCGGCTCCGCCCAGCTGGCCCACTTACACCTTTAACAAGTTCGTCTGAAATGGATGTTACGACACCTGGTTTGCTCAACACGGTTAAAAGGTGAGTAGAGGTCATTCGCATTTGTCAGGTGATTTATTTACAAGGACTCGTATCGATAGTAGCCACTCATGATGTCACTTGCTGAATGGCGCTGGCATTAAGTGTTTGTGCTTTTATTCATTCTGATATGGTGATGCTCTTAAAGCAACTAAGGCGTGTTCCAAACGTCGAACTTCACATGCAACGAACGCATTAAAGAAAAAAGAAAATGACATGAACTTCCTCCTTATCTTTTGTTTTAAATGTTTATGTAAAGTTCGATGTTTGAACTTGTCGTAAGAACTGGGAAGGCGTGTTCAAAATGCTTTTAATACTTAGGGATCGTGTTGACCGTTATGTCAATCAAATAAAAAGGCAAAAATATCGGAGTTTAAGATCGAGGAAGGTATGAACTATTGGGAAATGTTAAGATTTACATATAGTAATTTATTTACTATGTGCACTTTTCACAAACTGTCTTGCTCTGTAAACACGTTTTCAAAATAGCAAATAGCAAATAAAAGAAGAATTTTAAGAACTATTATATTGTTATTATCACCATTCACCATGGTATTTGCTATTTTGAAGTCCATCTTTAAGTTTGTCACCACGACAATATCTCTGTTTCATTATTTAAGTAAACACGTTTTATTTTAATAATACTTTGCATTTAACTATTCTAGTAAAATTAGCACTTTTTGTTCGCTGGCGTTTGCAAACAGACCCCTCAGCTCTCTTAAATATTTTATAAATTATTCTTTGCCAGGATGTTATTCAAGCCGATCAACCCTTGACGAAAAAACCGTTATCCAGCACTTTGCTACAAGATATTGACTATAATTATAATGTACAGCAATCCGAGATTGAGGAGGAAGAGAACGATGATTACTATTGGTCAGATGATGACTGATGTTTATATGACTGTATTTATTGACCTCTCACCAATATCTCGGTTTGTTCTTGTTTAACGAAATTTTGTCGTTTACAGATGATTGCGTCTGATTCATGAGATATTTTAAAGCTTACATAAGTCTATATCCGCGATTCTATTTTGTTGAGAACCTAGCTATCCAAAACCGTTATTGTATTAGCAAGGCGATTAAACACGAAGACCTTGTTCTAATATTTTTTAACTTTGTTCTGAACGATTTAACGTCTTGCAAATCAAAACTTTTACTGCAATTTCAAAAAAGTTGTCAAAGATTTATTCTTTTTAGCAGTAATATTCTCATTATGATCACAACTTGCGCGCTATTCATATCGCCGAAATCAGTTATATCAAAGGTATGACGTCATCTTTTTACTGCTATCGTGTCTACGTGATTTTAATATTGAAAGAATTGTGTGTCAAGTCATGTGTAAATAATATATTCAAAAGCACAACAACAAAGCGTCGTCGTATCTATAATATAAACGATATGCATATCTCAAGCTTTATACGATTATACCTTTGACGAAGGTTACTTCGTTATTTTATATCAAGAAGATGAGTGAAAAATACTTTTCTCGTTCATTGTTTTTGTGGATATTTCTCATTGTATTTTTCATACCAATTTGCAATGGTTTATGTAAAACTGGACTGAAATACTTTAAATTATCAACAACTTGGAACTTTTGTGGTGTGAGGACAAAGAAGGCTACTCTTCGATTTTTAACAAACTTTTTTTCGGTGAAGTCTAATTCATGCCTGACAATTGGATTCCCATATCGTGACAAAACCTTCACCGATGCTACGCCACTCTTTCGCTTGGAATTGAACAAGACAATTATCGAAGTGAAGGTGATGAAATTACGTCGTGTTTTAACTAGATGTACTTAGAACCGATCACGATTGTTAAAGTTTTATGTACTTAAACATGAAACACACGGCACAAGCGCTGAATGTAAGTCGGTTTCCTGGTGCTTTTGTCGAACAAGACTGTATTTCAATCACAATTTAACAAGACTGTTTCTTTAGCATTGAAACTATACAACTGGTTGCCCTCGGCTTCATAGCACTCGTGCCTCACGGCGTCGTCTCCATGTCTAGCCACAACCAGCAAAATTATTGACAACTTCCAGAAAAAAAAACGGAAGGATTATTTTCAAATGTGCGATGCTTGCTAATGGAAACTGGAAAAGCGTCTGCTGTAAAATGCATGCTTAGCTTGTTTTTCTGTTTATCTTTAGCAAACGCCAAAAGTCAGGAGGAATTTCATTTGTAAAAAAAATGATAAGTCAAACCGCAATGTTCTTGTTGTCGATTGTCACGTGAGAAGAAAGATAGCAAAGTATCTGGTGGGTTAGAGATATTGCTATATGTTGATTTCTTTTTCCCTTCCTTGCGAATTGCGAAGTCTTGCTTCAAATTATAATATGTTGTCCCAATCTTCAGCTCTCTAAGAAAATAAAGATTTTTTGGAGTGCGGGCAAGAATATCCGTAATATCACGGATGAATGGATGCGTTTGATGAAGATTCATTCAGAATTTAAATTGAACACGAAGAAAAATAAGAAGATTCATCGCCAACGTAAGTATTTTTACACATTTTTTTACAATTCAGCAGCGACTGGATGCTAGCATTTCCTGCAATCTGATTGGCTGTAGCATTGTTATAATCTCTATTTTAAGAGAATTTTGAGTTTTTCAAAGTAAAACAAACACGACGAACAGCAAAGTTTTGATTGTTTTCGTGGCCGCCTTCGTTCAATCGAACTTCGCAATCTATAAGACTGCTGCCTTTAGCAAAAAAAATAAATACGTTATTTACCGTTGAGCTCGGTCCGAATAGAAAGACATTTTCCCTCAGTCTCAAAAACGTGCCTCGGCTTGCGACCTCGGGCTCTTTTTGAGACCCAGAAAAAATAATTTTCTATCCCGACCTCCCAGCAGGTAAACTAGCCGGTAGCGACATACCGCCCGAAAGAAATCAAAATCAAGTTATAGCTATAAAATGGCTTCTTCTGTCTTAAAATACAAAGTTTTTAGTTAAAAGATTTTCGTTCATTTTTAACTGCATCACTCATGGTGAACGACTCGATGTAAAGTTTGCCTTCATTGAGTATATTATCAAAATATTCATTATATTGAACTATTCTAGAATTTGTCTTAGCTAAAGAAAAGCCGTTTTTCAAGCGTTTCCAAAAAAGCTTTGGAGTCATAATTGGTGTCGCATTTGTACTTACTGCTTTGATAACAATTACGATCTGTTACTGTTGCAAGAAGAAACCACCCAATAGCAATTTCAAAAGGCAGAAATTTACAAAGGATTCGTCGGTGTCTTTTTACAGAGAGTAAGTTTTTGCATGCAACGGAGCATTTTATGTTTTCTTTCTATACATTTTGTAATTTGTTGTATCCGCAGTAATTATATTTATTGTCAAATTCCAGGATTATTGGTGACAAATATATTGTCACTGCCTCACCATTTATCATTTCTGATTGGTACTTTTTATTAAAAGTTGACTTCTAATCGTTTACTTATATTTATTAGTGGTTATTTTATGTCCTCATCTAATTTAATCGCTTCTATTGGAACTAAAAAGTTCTCAGAGCTGTCTGTTTTTCCGCCAAAGTGAAAATTAGGGTCTTTGCCAAGGGGGAGCAAAATGAGCAGGCACGTCTTCTACATGACAATTTCAAATTGACAGGTACGCGTTTCTTTTCGGCACGCTCTGAGTGGCTACATCTCCTCCCCTATTCACATAAATCCTGCCGATGCCCCTGAAAATATGCAGTATTTGTGTCGACTATTGATCACTGATTGAATGAGACTAGGAAAGAAACAATTTTTCGCATTTTTGAGGTAATACATCATGATTTGGAAACAAAATCATCAAACACATGTCTGAATATTTAACTAGAATCAAAGCCCAAACATGTTATATTCCACGAAACAATGGTATAATCAGACCGCCAATTCGGCTCTGCCGTGTAATTTCTATGTGTGAAAAAATAGATTTCTTAAGGCATGAATAGCATTAATGCTCTGAAATTTATACAGCTGTAGCAAAACTTTCGCTATAGAGCATCGAAAATACGCGAGCCGGAGACAATTATTTTCACAAAAATGTTTGCGATTTGCTATCTACACATAAAAATAAATAGGATTGATTAGAGTAATTTGTTTTAGCAAAGTATTGCGTTTACAATATCGTAATTGAACCATTATTCTACATTAAATGATTCTTCATTCAATTCAACCGTTTCAGATACAGCGATGCAGATGGAAAGAGTGACGATTCTGATAGCGATGAGAAAGTTGCATTTATTCGTAGTAATAATAACGATAGAAGTAAACAAGCTTAATTAGAAATTTTCATCATATTGACTCTATACTTGATCATTCCTGTAAAGTATCAGTTTCATGGAGCCTTGCTTTTGTAAATAGAATTTTTCTAATTTCGCAATTTGCAGCTTACATATACATGGTTTTTTCATATATTTTCGCAAACCCTTTTGGGCTTGCAGCTCTAGAGAACTGTCATAAGTGTCCTCAGCTCGCATAAGCCTGTACAAACACAATAGTAAACATCTTTTGTTACATCATTAAAAGTTGGAACACAACCATTCTTTACACTACCTCCTTACACAAAGTGTTGTCGGTTTTTGTAAACTGTCCGCTGCCGTAATAAATAAAGCAACCTTCGGCTCAAATGTTTTGACGTGTACACTTCAGTGAAAGAACTTCTGTGCTGGTAAAGAAGTTGTAATTTTTTCTTATTTTTTCTAATAAAAATTATTATAAAATTCAAAATTTGTGGAAGTGGTGAAGTCTAGTTTTGTTTAGCAATTATGGAAGGTAGAGATAAATATTAGATTCGTTAATACGATGTAAAGTTTGTTAATTTTTGAAAACATCTTTACTTTTGAGTCCCATAGATAGGAAAGCTGTTGCATTGAAATGTTGCGTTCAAACCTATGCCTGGGGAAAGCCGGGATCGCAAAGCACCGTAGCTAAACTAGCACAGAATGATTCGAGTTTCAATGTTGAAGAAACAACAACTTATGCGGAGGTAAGGAACATGTACAATTACAATAATATTAAAATCAAAACATCAAACTCAAATATATTTGTAATCTCCTAATGAATGCGAATGAACGGTACGAGCGATATTTTTTACAATAAAAGCTAGTAACTAGCCTTGCGAGAGCAGCGAGGTCATAATGTGAAATGTATGACAATGACAATAATGCGACAAATGTCGAATACAATTAACAATAAATTTCTAATTAAACTCAGTAGATATTCTTATTTTTCAAAAAATAATTATGAAATAACTATCAATGTTTCACTGGTGTGCAAACTTTGAGATTTTAGCCTCATTATATAATCCTTCCTTCATTAAGCTATTGGAGCCCAGCCCCCATCAGTTCTACTATGTTAAAATAAGTAGGAATGACTGATGAACACCATTTGTGCAAAATTCACACTTTTTACTTTACTTGAAAGACCACTTGAGTACAACAATTTGGAACAATGAGAACCAACACCAAGATTTAAATCTTGCTATCACGTTGTTTTTGGCCTAGTGCCATAACTTTTGACATGTAAAAAAACTGTAAAATATTTTTGGTTAAAGACGGCAGTCAACTAAAGTTGCCTATGGCAGAGAAAGTTAACATTTATTGCTTATGTTTCGAATAATAGGCAGCAAAAAGTGTTTCTGAAATGATTCTTTTTAAAAAACACTCTCATTCACCATTTTTTGCTGTTTGTGTAAAGTATTGGATGGGGATGCACCCAAAAGGACCTTCGATGATCAATGGTATAAATTGTACAAAGCAAATATCATTAGAGGAATGGTTAAAGAAGCATCCACAATATTTGGGATCAGAGGTTTTGGATCAATTTGGACCTGTCTTACCATTTTTGTTCAAAGTTCTTTCCGTCAATAAAGGTCTTTCAATACAGGTCTGCTAATCATCATCTCATTGGCTAATCTAAGCCAATATATATTCTCAAATTGTGTGATGAGTTTTTAGGCTCATCCTACTAAAAAATTAGCTGCTGAGCTTCATCGAAAAAATCCTCAGAACTATCCTGATGACAATCATAAACCTGAGATGGCTATAGGTAAATCTGTTATTTACAGTGGTACAAGGCAATGTATATTTGTAGTCATTGCATATTGTAAAATAACAGCAACAGTAAAAGGCATATTTTCATTAGTCTTGAGCTGAGATTACATTATCCCGTGCAAACCGATCAAATTTTAGTGAGAACTTTTGCGCATCTCAAAAAGATCTCCATGATTTGCATTTAATCTGTGCAAACATTGTAAAGATTTTTTCTTTCATAATAAATAAGTGCATAGAAATCAAACCATAATATGTTTCCATTTTCACGAAATGCCATTATCGACTTGATCTTTCTTTATTGTGCACATGAGAATGTCAGAACCAGGATTCAGGGAGAGGGAAATTCTCACTCAATTAGCATACTATCACTATGTATCTGATAAATATGAGTTTCCATGACTTGAAACACCCATCCCCCTCCACACCCTCCCATTCTATTGTTCTTTCAATACCCCTGTTCCTGCATCATTTCTGTGTGATTTTTTCGTCACCATATTGTTCGAAAGTACGTACTCGTCTAACAATATTATCATGTTAATAGCGCTGACGGAATTTCACGGACTCTGTGGATTTCGACCCTACCGAGAAGTGGCCGATTTTCTTATTAAGATACCAGAACTCAAAAGTGTTGTTGGTGTTGATGAAAGTTCGTCATTTATCACAGCATGCAATGGTAAAGTTGTCAATAATCACATTGAACTATCTCAATATAGTTTGAAAAGTAAAAACGGGGGAAATTAACGACTAAAAACGGCAAACAAACAAAAAAAAACATCAAAAATTGAACAAACTATTCATTTTACCTTTCTCAGCCTCCTAGCGAGAAGTATGTACTCTAATCTTTAATACATGATCAAACACTGTTGTCTAAGTGAAAATATAAATGAACTAATTCAAATAAGTCAAGCTTATGTCCTTTAAAGTTTGGAGTATACTATGTGAGTGCTCAAAAATCAAAATAACGGCCGGACAACGGACACTGATCGACAAAAAAAGCTTTTTTACCTGCCAATTTTTTACCTTGCCGGTCATTTTGACCGACCACAATTTTACGTCTTCCAAAAGTATTATGGTCATGCGATGCATGGTAGCAGCTAGACCGTTCAAATATCAAGCACGAGAATTTGTTATTTAATTATGTTTTTACTTTTTTGGTGCATTGTTTGAACCCGTGATTATCGTTACGTACATGCATGCATGTTTAAAGATGTAGATAGTCCAGGTTAGTAGAGTCCTGACAAAGACTTTTGGTGTTGGTGTTGACTGACGTTGGACAACCTTAACAATACTCATCTTCAGACTCAAGCAAGGACTATTAGCACAAGTTACTCCTCAACAAAACATCAGTCAGCACCTACACCAACAGTCCTTCTCAGGAATCCACCAACTTGGACGATCTACATCTACAAACTTGTAATTTATGTGTATTAGTGACCTGTCAAAAACCGACTTTGACCCAGCTAAAACCAGGTTGGCTGGTGTCATTGTGGCCATTATTTTTTGCCCCGCTGTATATTATCTCGTGGACTTGCCTATCGTAGATACGTATTGCTATAGTCTCGATACAACAAGTGCATGTGTTCAGTGCATGTGTTCAGTAAACTGTATTTAGAATTTTGTTTTGATCTTATATAATAATATATCAATTGCTATTTTTTAACCTAGACAGCAATGACGAAGAGTTAAAGAAGTCGTTGTTTAAGAAGTGCTTCACATCATTAATGAAAAAGGATCCAAATATTGTTAAAGACTCGTTATCGTCTCTTATCACGCGAATAAACGACACAATAAACTCCTCCGTAGATTTAAAAGATTTGTTTTAAAATTGAATAAACAGTTCCCAGGCGATGTTGGCTGTTTCTGTATTTATTTTCTCAACCACATGGTGTTAAAACCTGGTGAATCAATGTTCCTTTCGCCTAATTTACCACATGCATACCTGGATGGAGGTATTGAAAAAACATATGATCATTATACTCATTGATCATTATAAATGAATTTCTTTTCACGTTTTTTCTCAAATGCAGAACCCTCGATTTATTATTAGAAAATCCTATTTATTTTCCAGATATTTATAATTGAGCTTTATTTCTGTAATTTTCTGTGTGTTTATTAATCTTAGTCGTGTTTATGTAAACAAAGTCTTATTTCATTATAAATTAGTATTTACTTTTCGATAAATGTACGTAGCATTTGATAAGTTACTTTTGTTTTATAGATTGCATTGAGTGTATGGCTTGCAGTGATAATACAGTAAGAGCTGGTTTAACTCCAAAGTTCCGTGATGTTGATACACTCTGTGATATGCTTGATTATTCCTCTGGTTCAGCACAAGACAACTTGTTCGATGGCATACAAGATCCTGTGTGTCCCTACACGGTGTTATACGATCCTCCGGTTTCAGATTTCGCCGTTAGAAAAATACAAGTTAGTAGAAAATTGCAATTTTATTGCAATTTTCATTGCATTTTATCATTTTATGCGTCTCTAGTCAACGTTTGAAAATCAACATTTATGCCTTCGCGAATCGAAGGCATACGTTGGTTAGGAGTGTGGTACTCTTCCCCTGATAACTGTTCTTTGCAAAGTAAAATATGTATTAGTTGGCCAATCTGTTTTCAGTTTATAAATTACCCAGTTTTGTGTAATACCCAAAAACTTATGTTCATATAAATTGGGACGTCCAAATTTTCGATAACCATACCCAATTTGGAGAAAAAAATTTCACCCTGGTAACTTCGTTTACGCCCCATCCGAGAAAGAATGAATGAAAACGATTAGCATGCGTGAAAAAGAGTTAAGATACCTGTGCATAACTCCTATCTTATGTTTCTGACTACTAATAATGTTATACGATCTCGGATTGAATACAAATTGTGCATTATACAAATGGAATGGACGGGGTGATGAAGAATAGATGGTGGGGGCCGTTGTTTTATGCATATTTTTTCACACGTATAGGTTCCACGTGACGAAGAATGTTATAACCTGACGGCATTAAAAGGACCAAGTATCATTGTCGTAATTGAAGGAAGTGGATGGTTTGAGAAAAGTGATTTTAATGATAAGATAATTATTTCTAACGGTACGACGATATTTTGTGCGACCGGTCATTCGTTGACTTTAAAGAAGGAGCATTGTAAACTGTTGATGTTCCAAGCTTATTGTGACGGAATTTGAAGAAAAACTTTGAACAATTTTATGCATTCTCTATATCATTCTGACATAGAATGGTTTTGATTCTCGCTTGCCAATTTTTTCGGCTGTAAACTTACGTTATTTTAATCTTAGAATGTTAGATGATATTAATTTTGAATTATGCTCTTTAAAATCCCTGTTGCAATGAAATTTTTTGATGAAAATGAGTTCTTGTACAGAAATGCAAAACGGCCTGTTTACGTTGAGTAACTGTACAATTAATCTTCGGATTGTTTGTGTAGTCAAGGCGTACTTCCACCCAAAATTTGGGAATGTTGTGCGCTCTTGTGGTATTTTGACACAAAATTATCACTGTTATTATTATTACGGACTTATATTCTTTATGAGGAAAGGAAGTGATCTAGGGAATTTACTTGTTTTTCATAAGTGTGTCGTAATATCATTTGAACTGCATTTATGCTTCATGATAACATCACTGTTTTAATGTTAATCAACACAATCTTGATGACATTTCTACTCCGCTTTAACAAAAAGATCAAGTTCATAAATAGCTAATATATTAATAAACAATTTAGCTACTATATTATAGCATGATGGCAGCTAAAGGTTGTTGAAAGTAGACACTGGACTGTCTGGACAGCAGAAAACGTTTGTCTAACTTTGCACCTTATTTATTGTAGTCTATTATATAAGACCGCAGCTAAATAAAACACTGAAAAACCCTTATTTGCCTTTGAACGCCGCGCGTACATAGCTAATGTAAAAATTTTTGGATTGATCAAAAGTATAAATGAGAGAAGTGCATTTGGACGATACCGACTGATTAATGTATTATGAAAATTGCAAGGTTAAATTGTTAAACATCCGCCAAAAATGCATGAAACCTTTATAGAGGACACAATTCATGAAATGACTGACTTTCTTGTTGAATAAATTAAGTGTAGATTGCATTGAGCTTAAGAAAGATTGAAACAATCATTATTCCCACAGAAATTAAATTTCACTCCATTTTATCGTGATATGAACTCGAGCGCGTATTGTCTCCTTTGAAACTGTCTTCTTCAATTGTAAAGCGAAATTGAAACTTTCTATGTTAACGCAGCATTCAAACAAACCTTCCGTGCAAAATTACTGCAATTTAAAGAATGTTTTAGCCAGTGCTGTAGAAGTGGGGGGCGCTTGGGGGAGGAGCCATCTTCTACCTTTGAAATGGGTAATTTTTCATAATTTCATGGCTTCAGCTTCGTCAAGAGAGCTCCTCATATGATGAATTTAGTTCTACAGCACTGGTTTTAACTGATTTCCATTGATGACCAATTTCATTTTCAATACAACATACGCACAATCAATTGCTAATCAAGTAATAATTTCTGGTCACGCAAATTTTTATTTGACTTTAACAGATGTTCATGTCGTTGTATGCTATGAATGTAAGATGTGTTTTTTTAGGTTATCGGTTGTGGATACTGTCTTTTTTTAATTTCTTCCGGGGAGATTTACTTCAAAGAGTGGGTGTAAAACTGATCGTCACAAACGATCACGCCATTTATCAATAGCTCGACATATCGTTGGTTATTCTACTAAGAATTTTTGATGTTATTCGTCAATTCTATTTGTTTTGTCTCCGTAATACAAGGGTTGCCGCGGCTACTGCTTTTTCAGTAATAAAAACAAAATTCACTTTCCATTAAAAGATTGTTTTATCGAAAGCCAGCATTTTTCGACACCGCAGGAAATCATTTAATTATCAGTTGGGCATAAAATTTTTTGTGTGAACTATTTCTCTGCAGGATTATGATTTCAAAAGACGCGTAATCAGTTAAGCTAACAATAGATTATTATTAATTATTTCGTCGTGCTAATTGCTCCTAAGTGATTAGCATAATAACAATTCGGCAACGAATGTGCTAGAATTGCCCTGGCCGACATGCAAAACACTGCTAGCAAACGAACGCTCACTGCCACTGATCAGCGCTATGGCTTGTGAACGAAGTTTTTTGTGGTACGCTAAATTTTAAAGTTCGACTCTTTGATAAACGATAAAATCAAGCACACCTTACTCATGAGAGATGATCATGTTCCGACACAGGTAATTCATGTCAATTTATTAATTGCAACACTTTGTGTTAGGTTTTTTCGTTAATTTTTCTGTTTCATTTTTTTCATTGGATACGTTCTCGTCGTATTATCCGTAAAAGATTCTTTTGATTCTTTCAGCCATTTTAGTATTTAAAATATGAGGAACTAAGTATAAGAGCATAATTTTGATTTGAACATCCTTTAAATATAGTTAACGATGTTACTATAAATGAAAAGCTTAAAGTATTGATTCTTAATTGTGATGTCGGAGATAGTTCGGTATGAACCAAACATTACATGAATGTAGTCGTAATTGTGACAACTCAATATTGGACTCGACAAACGCGCTTAACTATTGCTCGTTTCACCGTCCACGGTTCATAGACTTTTAATTGAACGATATTACAGCCATCGGCTAAATTATCTGCACTTTATAAAATGCCACGTAATTAACTGACCATCATTAAGTCCGTGGAACTTTTAACGCAAGTCAAGTTATGGTTTATAAATCCAGTGATGGCGTGCATGATAATCGTATCAACTGAGTGACGTGCAGTCAGATCTTTTAAAAATATTCCTCATTAAAAGCCTGAAGTGGTTTGAATATTGAAATTACAGTTATTGCGATAGAAGAGAAGCAGGACGTCGCACGTGAATATCATATTCATAAATGGGGTAAGACAAATTTAGCCGAATGTATTAATTCGAATTTGCCTTTATAGTGCTTGGTTTACTCGAAAGAAGCTATGAGTTCATGTTTGTGTTCGTAAGCAATGGTTGCACGTTTTCTAAATATCTTATTTGTTGTTACAATTTAAGCATTTCAACTTTAGGAGTCAACAACCAAACACTTTAGTTATACTTCTATGCTCAGTTAGAACTTTGCATAAGAATTGCTCTCGTTTTTACTCTTTCAAAAGGTAAAAAATTAGCATAAATCTGAATGTTTTCTTGATTTGGAAACCAAAATGTCGTTTGACTTATGCCATACTCTTACAAATTTTTCACGAGAATGAGAACAAATACTTTTTATAAATGCCTCTTAATTGTTTATTAACTGTGCCTATGTAGCTACTAAAATAAACTATAAAAGCTTTACCGAAATAAACCACAAGCTAATATGTACGGCTATAAATATACATATGAGTTAAAGCCGGCACGAGCTTATAAACATGCCAGGATAAAAACTATAGCTACATATGTATGTACCTCATAAGTATCTCTCAGTATTTGTTTTATTTTAGCGTTTAAGACAAATTGATCTATGTTTTTGTTTTGAGATTAGGACTTGACTTTTTAAATCTATCTTTTATATTAAATTACTTGCACAAGCTAAGTAGGCGTGTTTACGTCAACAGGATGTTAAACTATAAGTATATCACGACACAACAATGAGTTCTTTCATTTTGTCGCGAAGGAACATCTGAAAGGGACAAGTAAAACAGTTACCAACGTGATAACTCGAAGCTAAAAGACACCTTGAACATTTTAATACAATCGTACAATTAAAGTCATCATACTTTGTTTTGAGTTGCACAAAAAAAATGTATGTAATTTTGTGGTTTTATTTACCTTATTAATACATTCATATTAGAACAAAAGTTATTAAAAGAGAAATTATGAACCTCAGGGTATTATGTTTGTGTATTACTTCTTTATAGACATACTGTCTTCTCTATTGTCACTAATCAATATAATTGTACATTGCTCTTGTTCAAACACAAAAAATGAAATAACTTAGCCCAGCCGAAATGTAGTTATGTAAGCTGGATTCCAAGCTCCGCTATCCAGGTTTATACAAGCCATTAGAGATTAAGTAAGTTAACGTTGATGGCTAAATTCTGTCCATCCATATAGCATAAGAGTTTTTAAACCAATACATGGGGTGGGCACACAACTGTTGGCTAAGTAGTTGGCTATAACAATCCTTAAAGTATGTTAAAGTTTATATTTTTTATATTATATAAAAAATATTCCTAATATATACTATATATAAATGCAATTCGTTTATATTGTACCAGTGAATAATAGCCGTGATCATACTAATAATAAATTCAAAGTCCAGAAATTATTTTAACTATATCAATCGCTCATTATATATTGGTTGTCTCAAAGTAAAATACCAATGTCATAAATGCCTAGATACAATCTAGTGCATGAATATTGGGCCATGTCTGTTGGTGTTGTTTACATGTTTTTATTTGAAAGGCTTTAAAGGCAGCCCCCTCAACAGTGCGAAGTTGTTCAGTGGAAACTTCAAGAACACTAGTCATACTAGTAGCTATAGAAAATAAACTAACTACACACACTCACACCACTCAGAGAGCATTCTTGAATATGTCAATTGCAATTGCAAACAAGACGATGTTGCTCTCACAGCATGCCCTAAAATGCGATGGAAGTGCTCTGGTATTTTTTAATTGTGCACTGGCATTTTTTAATTGTAACAATTGGCTTTTTTCGTTTCTCGTTATTGATGCCTGTTGCCCGTTTCTATTGTCCTCTGCGAGACGCTCAGCGCTAATATTTGTCTGTCTTTTTCAGGTCATTTATTGCCAAATTAATCAGTGTTCGATCCTTAAAGATCGCACTTGTTGTACAATCCTTTATCACGACAATTGCCATTTTATACATAATGTATACGACACATGTATACTTAAATCAAAATTCAAAACTGGAAATTTCATTCACGGATAAACAATGTCAGGGTTGTTGCTCCATGCCTAATTCAAGCATCCACAGCATCGTGAACGAAAAACGTATTTCGGAAAAACTTCATAAATTCTCGCGTGCCATACGAAAGTATGAAATTCCTGTGCAAGTGATGAATATCCTACACGATGCGGAACATCTAATTGAAAAGCTTGAAGCTGATGTAAAACAATACAAGGATTCAAAAGAAAATCGATTGACAGCACTAAAAAATAGTTTGTTGGAAGAAGATGTGCTGCAAGACAAAGACCTCATTCCGAAGGCAAAGCCAAAGTCGAAGCACTAGAAATAATAAATACGTCGTGTGGAAAACATGTTTATAGCTATCTTAAAGACTAAGCCCCCAAGACATATAAAAGTGGTTACTAGTTTTCAAAACTAATCGAGACGTGGGATGGTGAAATTATATTTAGCAAAATTCACAAGCCAAATTTTCAAAGCAATTCACGTGTGTCGTGACTCGTGACTGCGAGTTTCCTGTTTATAAACCATTAAGGTACTTTAATTTTTATTGAACTGCGTGCATGATGACAACACAAGTCACAGAGAAAACACTTCAACTATTCCCTTTTAAAAATAATTTAACTGCTTTTTCCCGTATGCCTGCTGATTTTTCCTTCGTCATGTAGTACCATATGCTGCAATAGATCAACGCTAACAAGCTTTTACTTTTAAGAAGTATCTGACAGTTAAAATATTATGATTATGATTTAAAAAATTAAACCTGACCTTTTGTAGAGCGTGTATTATATTGATAGTACAGGAGTACCACTTATATTATAAAACAAAATCAACAAGAAATCGACACAAGGACCGTACATCCAAATAATATAATTAGGCAAAAAACAATCATTAGACAATTCATGTACTTGTATGTAAATATGTCAACTTCTTGTCGAAGCAATTTCGAATGTATAAAATACGATACAAAATATATGTTTACATGCAAACACAAAAAGTGTATTAACTATAAACACTCTTTTGCAAGTATGACCATAAACAAGATCAATGGCAATTTAGACTGCTAGAATAAAACTAATTGAATTTTGAAATGTATTTTGAGCACTCTCTCTAATTAGAAACGTCTGGTTAATCACTTGCGCTAGATAAATTAATTTTTGATTGATGCAACTACTCCAAAAGATTGAGATCTTTAGGTGTCTCATAACTAGGCGTTACTATTGCGAGTGAAATGCTGCCTTTTAGTCTGTCGACTAATTCTCGCATAGGCAAAAAAATATTTCTGAAGAATCGAAGATGGTCATACAAACAGGCTTGTACTTTTGGTTTTGAAATCAAGATCGTCTGCAAGTTATACGCTCAACATGTACGTCTATCAAAATTCACCGATTCGCACGATTCTAATAAAACAATTACCTATTGTTTGATGTTTTGTGGTTTGTGTGAACTAATAAGAGGCAGGCCCTTGCAGAAAACAGTAAATGGTGAATAATGACTTATGTTGTCCAGCAAACTGTGGTAATTTTATAAAACACTAACTACTCAGTAAACTGCTCATAGCCTCACACTATCTATAATGAAAATAGTACTGGAAAGACGAGAAAAACGTGAACTGTCTTGCACGAGCAAAAAATATTTTGGAAAAGATCGTAGCAACGACGTTTATTGCCGAGAGCAGAATCTTATCTGACTAACGTACGAGCGTTCAGAAGGTAACGGTTAGCATCTACTGTCTTAGTATTCGCATTTTGCAAGCAAATTTTTCTTCTTATTCCATTCACTTTTTCTCTTTCTAAACAACAAAAAGCATAGATTTAGGTAAAGCTTATGAAAGATTTCATGTTTGCTCGTTCCAGTAATTTATTCACCTTCTTTTCCTGCGTTTTTGAGCCAGCGATACATGGAAGGAACAAATAAACGCTCATCGGTATTTTCTTTCGGCTATAATGTATGGTCAAACTAATAAGATTTAAACACACTCAATTTTGGTAGACAGCTACTTGAGCAAAAAAAATTAGCAACGTTACCAATTGTGTGGAAACTCTGTTTTCAGTTGAATTATGAGGTGCAAAAACTCGACCTGAGAAAAGAAAGGAGCTTCTTTGTGAGAAAAAGTCGACAAGAATTCTGTCAAGCAAATACTATTGATGAAATGTGAGAAAAAATCTGAAAGGATTGAACATGATCTATGAAAAATTCGTTTACGTTCTTTATCTGCGAGACAGTATTGAAAATTACGTCCAGAACGATGTTTGCTACAAATATTATCGCACACACATACCCGTTATTCCCTTTCGACAACTGTGGTGTTTATCATATTCTGTTGCATTCTCAAGCTTCCTTAAAAGCTAAACAATTGACGAATACAGTCAGTATAATAGTGCTTACTATAGTTTTTATGACTATCAGTTTTGTCAGTTATCATTTCTGCTTGAAGGCAGTCTTATTTAATAGTTCTTGTCGTTTGAATCTACTACATATGGAAGTTGGAACTCAAGTACCTTTACAATCAGGATCAATCATAGTTTCGAAAGGGTCGTTTTTTAGTATTTATGTAATCACCTCTGTTTGCCCTTTTCGGTTTAATCTTTTCATCTCCTTCAGTGTAAAATACATGGTACTAGCAGCTCGTCGGCGTGGTTCTATCTTGTGAATGTCGTCATCCATCTGTTCATCTTTGGAATCACTTTTGTTTGCCACATGCAAATGTAGGAACACCCTGTTCGACGAGAGATCCTTCATTGAAATTAATGTATGCAAAAATTTTCACAAGAAAATTTTAATATGACAGAACTAGGAGGCCAACAGTTGCACGTTTCATTATGACGGATTGGGAGGCCAACAGGTAAAACATTTACATAATGAGCGTCAACATGCAATCATGATGACGTAATTGTGAGAGAAACACCAGGAAATACTTGCGCGAATGATGGTTTCAAAAGAAGCAATAAATTGTATGAAAAGCACATGAAAATAAAACAGTTAAAATATATCAATGAGAAAATTCGTAATTTATGTCTTGCCAGTTGCCGAAACGCATCGATAACTGGGATGGGTACCTACCGAGACGGATGCGGATTATTTCGTCTTGTTGGTGAAGTTGGTCTGGACGATGCTACACAGTCAGGTTGCTTTAATTCGTGATGTCTGGCATATGTTGATTCCCAATCATACACACTTTTAACGTCTGGTTTACCCGGATCTTCCCATGCAACCCGCCATCGAGAACGTGATTTGCTCCGAATGAGATCCAATTCATTTTTTCTTTCAAAATTGCCTTTATTTACTATCTTACTACACTCGCGACGTGTTTCTTCAACTAAATTCCATCCATTTAATTTTTTCGAGCGATTAAGTTTCGTAGAATAGCCAGGGTTCAGCAAAATGTGAGTCATCATATGTCAAATAGTAAGAGAAGCAGTAATCCATTAAAGGTACGGCTCTGAATGTCGATACGAACTACAAACATGTAGACTCATTTTAGCGTCCATGACCTGGCCATGACAAACATACGGTTGCTAACTAGATATTCATAACTATTATTGTCTTGGTTACAAAACAAAACCTCACGTGTTTTTCCCGCCATTACTATCTTCTCGAAATTTTACGGATTAAAAATACAAACAACTTTTTAATTAATGGACATCGCAAGTCGCAACATGCAAAGACAGCATTTTCATACGCAAAGAGTAGAAATAAGGATTACAGTCTCACGTTAATGATCACGATTCATGATCAAACTGAAACTGTCAAATGTCATACGTAGAACTACAAATAACTAGTAGGTAGATGTAAGAGATTACAGTTACATTTCAGAATAAAATGAAATATCGCATTTTTCAGATCTTTTCACGTATCAAGATCACGATAAATTATTCTTATTTGCATTAACTCTTTTCGGAAAGTATCGCATTTTGTCGTGCCCAACTTCGGAACGGAATTCGGAAGTGCTCCATGATCCATCCATTACTCCCATTCTATATAAACTTTGCACTTTCTCTTTACATCAACTTGTCAAGAGAAAAGATTTTGGACTGCACCATTGCTCTGCGGGATAGATTTGATCGTTTTTTCCCATTCTTATTTATTTGAAAAATCAAAATATGGGCTTAAAACCACTGGAATATACCGAAGCGTTATTGGATAGTCCGTATTTTCGAGAAAATATTCACGAACATGAACGTGAACTGGACAGAACAAACGATGCCATAAAGTCACTTATAAGAGAATGCAAGTCACTGATAAAGGCCACTGAACGTAAGTGAAAAAGTTGAGCGTATTTCCGTTAAGTATTATCGATTTTGCAATGTACGATTTTGATTGCCGTTCTCATGAACAGCTGCAAAATATTCAACTTGACTAATAATCATAACAAATCACTAAAGTCGACGTTACTTTCCTCAATTTTATATGCCATATAAGAAGATGTGAGATGAAGAAAGTTTAATACTAAACTCATTTCGTAGTTCATTTAACGGAAATGGTCCATAGTTGATTTGCATAGTTGTTTAAAAGTTGATTTGTACACAACGTTTTCATTATTGACTTCATTTCCATTTATTTTTACGTAGAACTTTCAAAAGCCCAGAGAAGTTTTGCAAACACCTTGAAAGATTTCCGACTTGAATGTATTGGTGAAATTGATACCGATGATGAAATGCACATAGGTAGGAAAAAATTCAATACAATGATTTACATTTACATTTTATGTACAGTTGGCTTCCTTAAATTTCTGATCAATATATTCAATAATAATCAATTATTTTTATCTACTGTCAGTTGCCTATGAGTTATCTGGCTTGAGTGGTTGATAAATTCAGAACTATTTATTCAGAATTTATTCAGAACTAAAGAAATAAAGAAACTTGACTCACATTGAAACTTGTGTCATTTTAATTGCCAACTCGTTTGATGCTCCTTGGAAAGTTAAGTATTACATGTTTTTCTTTATTGTAGCAAGTGCTTTTGAAACCTTCAGCGAGCTGTTTAAGCTTCTTGATGAGGAAATGACAAGATTGGTATGCATTTTGTTAAGGCATTTTTTTTCATTGAGGTGCTTTCACATAAATTATAGCATTGCAAAAGAAGTATATTTGCATATTATTATAGCTGGAAAATGCCAGCAATCAACTGATTGAACCATTGGAAAAATTTCGAAAAGATCAAATAGGTGAAGCTAAGGTAATCCTGGGCTCTAACTTACGTAAATCCAACGTTTTGATATAATGTTTGTACTTGACAACTAAGACAAGTAGGTAGTGCAAAAAAGGGATGTCAGTTAAACAAAAGCATATGGGGAGCCCTTCTTTTATAATAATTTTCTTGCACTGACATAATTTGAATTCATTTCTTAGAATGTACTTACCTGTAATTCTGGCTTAGTTATGTATGTAACATAGTTTTTGAAGATGAATTTCCATCCTTGAAGAAATCAAGTCTCATTACTTTGATTGTCTCGCACATGTATTGATATTTTTCAATGAACAAGGATTGACGAAAATAAGCAAGAAATAAACATTTCTTGTTCTTTTTTTAATTAAGGAAGAAAAAAAGAAGTTTGATCGACAAACAGAGAAATACTGTAACAGTTTGCAAAATTTTCTTGCTATGTCTACCAAGAAGAGCAGCAACAATTCAGGGGTAAGGTTTGCACATCACATTATTTTCTTGTCAAAAAAGTAAAAGTTGGAGAAAAGTCATTTTGTATATGCTACTAACTAGAAAGTTAAAACTCCTCCAGCTAACCAATGTGTGAATAAATCTGTAAGGAAAGTTTCTTCGCATGTTGCTGAAGATTTACATGAAAGCTTTTGTGTAAAATATTTTCATTTGATCGAAGAAATATGCCATTATACTTTAAAAATGTGGCATCAGTAAATCTAACCCAAGGTATATGCACAAATTTAGATTTTGAATGGAACTGATTTTAACATGTGGTAGAATCAAAAGGTTCATTCATTTTAAACAGTTGTATATGTGTCAGGGTATTTAATATGAGTTGGGCTATTTATTGTGCCTTAGTTAGTTTCCAAAATGTTGTTGATGATATTCAAAGGCATTGCAAAGTCTATGTTTTTGGGGAATGTTTGCATCAAATTTGCCAACAAAATGGGTGTGCAATTGTCATGGTTTAGACATAGTATTGAAAATGCTTTGAAATTTCTTAAAAAGTTACCAATAGAGGAACAATTTTTGCCGGCAAAAGGATGCTTGAGGGTATTGCACCTCCTAAGTAGTTTCCCTTTATTGCAATGCCCATGATTATATCATCTTGAGCAGCTGTCTAATAATTTGTGAATCAAACATGATGTAATATTTTGCAGGAATCCGTAGTTTGTGAAAGAGATAATTTTTTTGAAAGTGCATTGAGCTATGTTTTCAAACTCCAAGAAGTCAATGAAAAGAAGAAATTTGAATTTGTCGAAACGGTATTTTCATTTTGTTTACTAAAATAGATTCCTCTGAAAGACATACAATAATCAACACAGCAGGAAAATATAGGCTTGTATTGTTATTAACAAGGAGACTCCTACATTTAGTGAATTTTCTTTGTTTTATTTTTGTGCAGCTTCTTGGATTTGTCTACAGTCAGATGACATTTTTTCATTCTGGTACGTGAGCATATGTTGATGTGTAAACATGTGTTGGTGTAATGTACGTAGGTAGTTATGGATTGTTGGTATTATTTTAAAACAGGTTTTCAAATACATAATATTAATTTCACTTGCATGTTTCAAAAATTATCACAATTGTTAAACAACTGGATGAGAAATTTGTGTTCAGAAGATATCCAGCAAACATCTAGCAGTTGTGAAAAACTCTATAATTGGACATTCTTTAGGTCATGAAGTATTTGTAGACAATAAAAGCACTTTAGTTGATCTTCAAGTTCGACTTCAGAATGTAAGTGCTTCTACCTTGTTTGTGTGTTATGTATATAATTGACTGTTTTAGCCAGCGCAATGCATTCCTTGTAACACTTTAATGTATCATGTAAATACTACCCTGCTAGAACTTGACGTGGATCCTTTGAAAAGGAAGGTAAACTTCATGTGAAAGTTATGGAAAACCAGCAATATCTGGGTGCATTAAACCTGGAAACTTTTTTTGTCAAACATTTGTTACCTGATTCCAAATATGTGGTCTGGCTAACATTTTTGCCTAGCAGGTCCACCTAAGTAGCATGTCTACCTGATATGCCCGCCTAACACGTCCGTATAAGATGCTTGCTTAAGAATTTCTTTAACATAACTGCCTATCATGTCTGTGTAAGATTTCTGTCTTTATGTCTGCCAGACATGTCTGTATAAGATGTCATGCCTAACATGTCTGCCCAACATGTGTGCAAAACATTTCCAATTTATGAAGTTATATTTGATTTGTTAATGCGTTTAGACCAGAGATCGATTTGAAATCACAAAAGGTGAGGCTGTAACACTTAAAGAAAGAACTCTTAAGGTGAGAAAAATTTTTCAGTTGCATTGGCATTGAGTATGCGATGTTTTACTGTGATGAAATTTCTTTTGTTTTTATTGAATACAGAAAGCTCAGGCCGGCGAACTACAGAGCAGCACAAATTATGCAAGGCAAGGATATCTGATGGTACAGAAGAAGGGAAAAGGTTTGTTTTGTTGTGCTTAACTACAAGCTTTATGCCATCTTCTTGATGCAAAGAGCCTTATCAGCATGATGTAATTTTTGATTTCTAATTTTTCAATTCGCGAAAATTTCTAAAGCACTTTTAACACTTTTATTTTTTCATATTTTTTTTTGTAAACAGGTGGTTTGGGTTACACGTGGAGTAAAAACTTCTGCATGTATACAAAAGAAAACAAGATATTCACTATGGTTCCTTATGTACAGACCCAATCAAAATTCGTAAGTAACATTTTTTCAATTGCTTTCGTCGTGACGGATTGTGCGTGCTGTGTACAATGATTAGTCTTGTCAGTTATGAATTGAGACAGGTAGTCCGACGTAGGACGCTTTTTTAAACGAACTGAAAAAATATTTGTTTCTTAAAATTTTTATGAAATGAGTGTGTATTGATAAGTACATTGCGTGTCCTAATCATAATCGGAGGGTGTTCGGCTCTGGCCATTTACTGATCGAATATAGAGTAAGATGTATTGTATTATCCAATAAAGTAGTTGGATCAGAGGATCAGCTCCAACAGAAGATCAGTTCCAACAAAGCTGGAGGATTTGATGCAATGTTGTTTTCTATACATCTAACATATATCGTTTGATAACACTACGTATAGGGTGCAAATTTGTGTCAAAATTAACGCCCCTTCTTCACTCCCTCTACCCAAAGCTGGCAGGTGTGCGGACTCTCCCTCCCCTCCCCACGAAATACGCTAAATTTGATCTTCACACGATGAGTTTTTGCTTTGTTAAAATTTTTGCTTTGTAACTAAATTGTAAAAGTTTTTGTGCTTGAGGCCACAAGATTGCAAAAATTGTACTTTGTTAATGTCATTTTCAATGTTTGCAATAATAATACGATGGGTTTTAATGAAGCGAAGCGATTGGTTCTTTTATTTTGGTAGCACCAAATATCTTTTTGTTATTATTTGAATGCATTGAACAAAATAAAAAGGCGAGGCTTCTGCGTTTGGAAGTGGAGTGGCAATGAACTTTGGTCTCCAAGGTTTTTTATAATTAAACATATTTTATCGCAAAACACCTGACCTCCGTAAATTAATAATTTATGTTATTCGACAATTTGATGTACGTAAGCGCAAGTGCATAAATTAAGACGAATCGTATTTTTTATTGCTCTGCAAATATTATATTATATCCTGGGGAAACTTTTCCCCGCATTATGGATGGTGGAGAAAGTCATGGGTTTGTGGGTTTGAGTTAGTTCATATGGTAGATTAACGTTTTCTTTTTTGTGTAGACGGGATCAACGGACACAATTGTATTGACAAGTTGTGTGAGGTAAATATATATGTGTATCTATGAATATGTTTAGTTTGCACGCAACATGAAACGTTTTTAAATATTTTTCATTTTTATTGCCAACAATGCGTTTTATTTGCGATGTGTTGGTTTGAAGAACGTGTTAAGGTATATCGTTCTCTAAATAAGTGATTACTTGTCTTTTGGAAACGCAGATTTTTGGCCTTTCGACTTCGCTGGCGATGCCCCTTTATTTGTACTTCATTAAGTTTGGAAGATTGTGAATCTGTCATAGGGATTTGCTTGCAAATGATATTTTAAAATGAGCAAACGTCGTGCAACTACTGCAAGTTTTTTTCCTATATAAAGCGATTGTGTAGACTTTCAATTCATTTTTAATGAAGGTAACACTATATACGCATAAAATGCTTCTAATTTTGCTGAGGTTATATCATTTGATTCCGCAGAAGCATAACCACATTAAAACTCTCTCTAATGTTCGTGGAATCGTCTTTGTCTTAATGTGTCATAGTTGATCAGCTGAAGTTTTTAAATTGTGCTTAGTAACTATGAAAAATCAAGAGAAAATATCTTATTAGCTCGGACAATTAAAAAACTCTTTGTCTTTATTTCGAGCATGAAAATCAAATGTCTAACCACTTCTTCAAGATCAAAGCAACTCGAAACCGGGTATTGAGTGCTGTAGAGTCTTGTATGTTTGCATAAAAATTCTCTGTTCGTTTGTGTTCATTTTAATTCTAACAAATTTAAGGACACCTTTACTTATGTTCTCGAAGTAAGCAGAACTCAATTCATTATTCTTGTCAAAAAAACGCCCTTTTTTATCGTCAAATATCCATCCATAATGTGAATAGGTAAGGTTATAGTGATAAACTGCGATGTTTTCCTTGCATGTGAGTGATTTCTGATGTTTGCATGTCGGATGTTTGCCATTTGTACAGTAAAACACGTCGTTGATTAATTTTTGCACGACGTCGCATGTATGAAATAACTATTTGCAAATTTTGACGTCTGTTGTAAGCGTTGTGCAATGAGGAAGACCCATCAATTACTAAATAACGAGTCGCAAGACAATCGTGCTCCAAGCACACGTTTTCTTACGAAATTACTTTCATCGTGCATTTTATATGATTTTTATCATACTTGATATCTGATTTAACGCGAATAATTAGATTTCATGCTCTCGATTGCACAAGAAAGTAGTTGGTATTTCACAAAAATCTTGAGCTTGTAATCTAAATGTTAAATATTTATAATGTAGCAATGTACAGCTGACAATATAACTCGAGAATGGATAATCTTTGCACGAATAGCTATCAATAAAGCGGGAGTACAATCTACGTCACATCGCCATTTTTGTAGTCTTCAATATGAGTTAATGTGTCAATTATTCTGATTGTATTTGACAGTCCAGGTGTTTAGCGATCCTCTCATTTATTCGTTTCTGCTGTAGCGATTTTTGAGGTCTCTGATTTCACATTGTAAAACTTTTCTTTTTTGTGCTTTCAATACGCAATGAATTCCCTATCATTCGAAGTTTCTGTTTGCAATTTCAGCTTGTCCCCTATTCCCCGTATATTCTTTTGTTCTGATATCAAAAATTGTTGGTTTTTAGAAGAATGACCGACTCTATCGATAAACGTTTTTGCTTCGACATCACTGCTCAAGACAGGTATAGTCTGTGACCTTAGTCTCCCACATCTCGTTCAAATTCTTCACTTCACATTTAGTAGATTTTCTCTCCTATGATTTTTTTTACAAGTGTAGAAGTTTTAATATGAGCAGTTAGTTTACATGTAGATCATTAGAGCAGATATTTAAGATGTGCTCGACATTATAAGTGTACACTTCTTTCCTCAGACCACAACCAATTACTCTTCAAGCATTGAACGACCACGATAGGAAACATTGGCTTAGTGCCATGGATGGCAAAGAACCCGTAAGGGCAAATTTTCAGAAAAAATCAACTGGCTGAAACAGCCATAAATATTTAATTACAGATCAATGTATGTTTCAGATTTATCAGGATATTAACGATTCCTCTGGTAATGCGAGAAATGAGGATGCAGGTTGGTTTTTGTGTTACGTATCTTCGTTTCCATATCTGTAACTATCGCAGTGTTTTCTTCAAGACGTTTTGAAATTGTAAGCTTGTATAAGATTGCGTTTGTACTAATGAACATGTTGCAAAACTGAAGCATGAAATTAGTCCTTGACTGCTGTACTGCAATTGCTCGTTGCTCAGCTACGTCACAGCAAAACGAACTGCGAAGCAACTTGTAACAAGATAATCGGATCCATGAAAGTGGATCGTGTCAACGGTCCCGTAGGTGTCAAAATTCACTAGTACTTTTAGAGTCATAAACGTACGAGGGAGGGGGGGTAAAAATTAAAAAAAATTTGAGAACTTTACGAAATTTAGGCAAATAGTCGAATAGCCAAATTTTTGTTTAAAGAAATGCAATTTATCATAGAACTTAATAAGACTTATTGACGTATGAAACTACAAATTTATTTCATCGTGATGAGCGATGCTGATATGCCAATGTGCTCTTTAGTTTCACTTTGTGGCAATCATTGCCACAATTTCAACAATGTTATTTCACCGAAGTTTTGCAAAGAAAGGAAGCCATACGTCGCTTTTTCTATAGTGACGATAAAAGTAACCAAACACATAGGCGTTGGATATGTTATAAATTCGGGCAAGTAAACTACTGCCCCCAAAAAAAAGAAAATTGAAGCGCCCGTACGCCTTTGATTGAGTGTAGTATCATGAGGTTCTTCCTCAGCCTCTTTTACGATTATAAATTGGTCCCAGAATGCACATTTGACGTTTCTATAATATAATATACGTATAAAATACATCATTGGTTTTCAGCAAATTTCGATGATTTTATACTTGGACAAAAATTTCTGAAGAAGTGCGTCGCTGCGATTGAAACTCGAGGTGAATTTTTTAATGTGCAGTAAGAAAATGATGGTAACGTATGTATGGATTTATATGTATGCATACCATTGGCGAAACCTCGACTGGTCTAAATTTACTCTTGCTATATGCAATTCATACAAGTATTTAGATAATGAATTTCATTCGTTGGGATTCAAAAAATACGCAAAGAAGAGTTTGTCACTTACTGTATGAATGTCAGTCTCATAATCTACTTAAATGTGTTGCTATGGTAGGTATTACCGAACAAGGCTTGTACAGAGTTGTTGGCGTTGGTTCGAAAGTGAAGAAATTGTTGGATGTTTGTTTCGGTAATTTAAGGATGGATTTGTCTCGAGAAATCATCTATTTGTTCAAAGATATTAAATCAACCATTTGAAAAAATACTTATTGTTTATTTTTGTAATTATTAGTCGACAAGAAACTTGAAGAGCTTAGTCTTGAGAGTGACGAATGCGACTTCGAAGTGAAGACTATTACCAGTGCGGTTAAACACTATCTAAGGTGAGATGGTTGGCGAATGAAGATGTGCATGATATACATTCCATGAAGATCTGCTCAATGTTAGAAAATATTTTTTTCTTAAGGAATATGCCTGCGCCGCTGTTGACTTTTGAAAGACACGATTCAATTTTGGAAGCTGCAAGTATGTTTTATAAAACATTTGCGCTTTTTTTACTTGTATACGACCAGAGAGGGAACGCTTGACATGACTCAAACATATTTTACATATGCATGCAGCAGACGTTAAATGTAGAACTACAGTAAATTCTGTTAGCATGTTTTCCTTGTTGTAAGTACATGGAGATTGAACGTACAGTCTTTTATCATTCATCTTCCATTTCATCATGTATCAACTCTTCCCATCACTTATTGGACAAATATGAATTATACATGTGAAATTTTACATCTTTTCTATCGTTTGGTAGAAACAGAAAGTCAGGAAAAGCGAGTTCAGGCCTTAAAAGATGAACTTGATAAACTGCCCTACGAGAACTATGAAATGCTCGATATCATTATGCATCATCTTAAAAAGTAAGAAAATTAGTGATTGATATCATATCACGTATGAACTACGTATTCATCAACTTTCAAGATTTATAATTGATATCAGATCAAGTATAAACTGCGGTATCATCAACTATCAACATCAACGAACTATATTCAAAAAGCTATTTACATTATTTCTCTATTCTCTGTCGTACATCATACTACATGATGAATGTGAGGAACATGTGGGGTCCCTTATGAATGTATTATGAATACGTAGGTGGAATCAAGTGTTTGTCTGTTTAAGTATTTATGTCACAGCGAGTTCTGCATCTCGTAGTCGAGTGGTATGATTTTTTTTTTGTTTCAACTAGTATGGTTAATAAGTACTTTGCAACAAACTTAAATATTGTTTTACGTGCATTCATTGCAAAGAACTACGCTTTGATAAGACAAATAAGTTAAACGAAACATAATGTGAGTATGTTACTACACTTCAACACGGTTTTTTAGTGTTGCTGCTAACTCTAAGCAAAATTTGATGCAAGCGAGTAACCTTGGTGTCGTATTTGGTCCCACGTTGATGAGATCAAAAGAACAGACCATGGTGGCCATCATGAATTTGAAATACCAAACAATTGTTGTCGAGCTTATGATCAATGAGTACGAAACGGTTAGCTAGCACATTGATGTTCTAACCTTCTGTTGTTTTTTTCCTGAATTATTGTCTTGGTTTCCATTAATTTAGGTATTCGATGCATCGAATCCCTTTATGGATGGCTATGATGGTAAACCCCAGTCTCCCTCATTAAAACCTAAATCGAATGTCTCAGAGAAGAAACCGTCCGTTCACGATAACAAACCCGAAGTTCCCAGTAGAAAACCATCGGACGATCGTAATACGTATTCCGTACCTTCATATCCTCCTAGATATACCCCCAAACCACAGCTCAGTTCTCAAAAATCCTATCCCGCACCTACACCTCCGCTAAGCGCAGCGAAGAAATTATCGCTTACCAGAAGACAGAGGCCATCTTCGGGTATGTTTGAATAAATTTTCCCTTGCCTGCCTTGAGTATGCCTACCAGAAAATTTTTTATTATCGTTATTAAAACTAGGTGCGGTTTTTAGCGTATATGTGAAAAATCATTTTAATTTTGTCAAATCGTTCCATGTTTACGGCGGTTTATGGAGTGAAAAAATGTCCTTTTTAAAGTGCATATAAACCTTACGTGGTTTTTACACTATCCAATGTACGTGGTATCAAAAGCCGTATTCCAAAATTTTGATGTAATCGGACAAATAGTTTGCGTTGTACAGTCTATCTAAGTTGCAAAAATATACCATTTAAGCGCTCGGTTTTACTGCTAAATGACTGAACCTGCGCGGTTGGGTGACATCATGTCCTGAATAGGCCGAGTCATCGCTTCCTGAACATTATAGTAATTTAACAAGCTATTTTCTTTACTATTGTCACATCATGCTAAATGCCCGTGTATTCGCAAGGTGATATATTTGCAAGGACAGACACCGGTAAAACACTGTCCTCCATCTCTATATCATAATTTGCATTTTCTGATGGATCTGAAGATGATGTTTTCGACCCAGATGAGGACATTTTGAAAAAAACGACGCAATAATCGGATTATCGGCAAAAATATTGATTATTTTAAAAAGCAAATAACTTATTTTGAATATACTAAAATCCTGTAAGGTTTATATGCACTTTAATTGACCATGCCCGTCGTTTGAAAAGACTGGAACGAATTTTTTGTGACGTCATTCAAGGGACTCGGCAATACAAATATTTTTGCAACCTATCTTGGATGACGTCAGAATTTGGCTTGACTCAGACGTCATGCCACAACGGACAAGATCCATCGAAAGCCGACTTCTCAGATACAATAAACCATGTGTTAGAAATCACCCCTATTTTGATTGAAGCCAATAAAAAATTTCCTGGTGGTTGTACTTTATTGCACTTAATTTATCTATGTGTTTTATCATACAAGTCTTTTTCTGTTTGTCGATCATTTTTAAAGTACCGAATCTAATTTCAAATAATTGTCGGGTCGTGATTAAAAGAGAAAAGAAAACCTGAATGAGAATATGGAATCGTTAAATGAAGCAATTTTTGTTATTGTAAATTTTATATCATGGTTTTTAAATTATGTTTAAGCAAAATGCGCAACAAGCATGAAACTTTGTCTTTTCGTAGTTTCACGGCTCTATTTATTATTCATTGTACGTATCACGTGACCTTTCTATTTCTTATTGTACACGTCATCTTTCCAGCCTCCGATGAACGCGCATCAACAGCTGCAGGTAAACTTTGCTCTATTTCTTTACCTTTTTATTGTCAATATGAGAAAACTGCATACTTTGACATGTTTCTCGATAAATGTGGGAGATTAAAACGTGAAACGTAAATCTTTTATCCACTAAAAATGTATTCTGGTTGATTCGTAATGTTTCATTGTTACAGGGAGCATTTTTTCAGGATTTGGGAGTACGTTAATCTAAGCATCTTTTCTTTTTTTTATAGATTCAAATGTCAAATCAAAATTGAAAGCATTGTAAGTCTGTTTCAGCTTGTGTAACAAGTATTATTAACTAGTAAATTGAGATCAACGTATCCTTCGCTGATATTTTGTTGATATTTCAGCGAGTCTCCGGAGAGCAATAAAAAGAACGTTTCCGATGATGGTTCAGTTAGTTCGCAATATGCAACGACCGGTCCGACTGCACTCTCGCCTCTTAATCGAAACCGAAGCAAAAGTCCTCCCCCCCTGCCCAGCAATCCTCCTCCACGAGATCATTACTCTGTACCGCGAGTCTCAAGGTAAGGTATTTGGAATCATTTTTGTCCTTGTGTAGCAGTCGCCCTCTCCCCGCCCTCAAGATCATTACTGTGCACTGCGCGTTAAAGGCAAGTACCGCAAACCAATAATCCTCTTCTACTTCGAAATAATCATCCTTCCCACCCACACCAAAATAACGACTGTACTCGCGCCACTTGGAAAATATCTCGACCAACTAGTCATCCGCCATGTAAATTGTGGTTTTGTTGCAGGAATGACGAAAATCTTCATTTTATCTCTCATATCTCTTATGATATGGTTGAGTTTTTTGTTTTTGCTGTTATAATATATTTTTTCCTTATTTTTTGCAGACGTGTGAAAACTAAGTTTCCTTGCGTGGGTGGAAACGACGGCGAACTGAGTTTCGACGCGAATGTTATTATCACAAATGGTATGTGATAGGTTTTGTGTCAGAAAAAGTTTGTAAATTCAGCTTAAAAGGTTTTTTAGCTTTAACTGAGGTGTAGTTTAGCAGTTAATAATTTTTCTAGTAGCTTGAACCGGCGAGCAATTCCATTTGCGAATCTAGGGTGGGTAAAAATAAATTTTAGTGGACTGTTTTAAATTCAAAATACTTTAATAACTATTCAATTGGTTAGAAATTTCTAAGAATATTTAAAGCGAAACTACTCCCAATAGAATTAGCCCTATAGTATTTAAAAGTGTATTTCATTTGTCAACTGTATGTGTACAGTACATTTTCCCTCGCCACTTCACTTGTAGTATAGCCAAGAATGCAAACTAGCAGAATGCAAACTAGCTTCATAGCAGACGACTGAAGGGATTGAGTATGCTCTGTATTATCCTCTTTCTCCTTGCCTGTCCTGCAACTAAATCGTGTTATTGCCTTTAGAAATTGATTATTACAAACTTTTTGATTTTTCATCCATAGTTCGCAAGTCAAATGAGCCTGGTTGGCTTGAAGGAACCTTAAAAGGAAAAACTGGACTTATCCCTTCGAATTACGTCGAAGATATTTAGAAATGTTGTAGTTTTAACTTTTTATTATTGATGTTTTCTAAACCATAGATAGCACGTATACTGTAGAACGAAGTTACTTAGAATATAATGTGGCTACAGAATACGTGAAACATCATAGTCAACAATGATAAAGTAGATTTTAGAATATGTGATTATGCCTGTAATTATTCAAGATATTGTTCTGCGGGAAGTTCAGGGAATTTCAACGGAACCTTAGGAAACTGCGTAATTTACATACATCATACGTGAGCCGATTAGCTACATCATTTTTAGTTTTCTCTGTACGAAAAATGTAAGCTTTCGAAATAAATTGTTCACGAGAAGTAACAATCTTGGAATTGTTATCTGATAATCATGAAAATTTCACATGCAATATATTATTTAATTAAATTACCGAAGAAATAACATATTTCACTCTCAAAAAACTGCTCATCTTTGAAATCAGCCGACATTTAAGCTATGCATCATTCAGTAATCCCCAAGGAGACGCAAACGCAATTGAATGAATTTTATGCTTGCTCAGATTCGCAATGAATAGTAGCTGCCAATCGTTTGTATTTTCGTTTTCAATCCATTTGCACAATCTAGGTCTTTGGAGGAGCTTACTGCCGAATCTTGAAAATTCTAAACGTCGGCTGATTTCAAAGTCTTTTTGAGACATCTCTATAGATGGTGTCCAATCACTTCCCTAAGAGTAGAAGAACGATGGATGCTTTGCCTGTGCAATTTCGTGTTGAATATTGCGTTACATTACTGGCTGCAGTTTGCCATTTCATAATTCCTGTTGATAAGAAAATGAAATCTACTGTGCCACGCATATCTTTGCTCACAGCTTGCTGCTGTGGTAATCGCATGCGTAGTAAGATATGCGTGGCACAAAAAATGTCAATAAAGCGCGACCACTATTTCTTCTCTGTGCCATAACGTACTTTTTGTTTCTTTTTTCATTTCTCTAGGCTTGTGGGACTCTTGTCCTTGTGCTCTTTTTGTTTCCTCTTTTGATTTCTCTCATGCTTTGTCGCTTGCCGTAATGCCTTTTTCTCTTTTTGTTTTCTGTTTTGTTTTTCGTCCCAAGAATCCTTATGGTATTTCATTGTTCTTTGGAATCAAATCAATATTTCCCGTGCAATCAAATCACAGCTTTTTAATGTAGTCAATTTTTATGGTAATTTGAACGAATATAAGCCTTTGGATTTTGTCATTGAACTTGTGAGTTTATGTTTACTGAAATGCGCCGAAGAAATGATCTAACCAACCGTAGGGGAAGTCGAATCAAGGGAAATCATCCTGTCGATGTGTTCTTACAGTTTCCTACTGGGGCGCTGTTCATATAAAACTCTAAGTAGGTATAAAATACATTTGTTTTGAGTTTTATCTTATATATGTACGTTAAAGTCAGGGCGTTGCCTGTTCTATAAATTGATTAACTTACAGCTATCGCCGACGATTTATTTAATAAGCATTTACTTGTAGCCTCAAAAGCAACCAAATTGCGATCAATTTACGGTCACCCTGATTTCAGTAGCAAACCAGTTTTTAATTTCCTTCGCCTGTTCGACCTGCGACTTTGCCATTAGCAATCTTCATTAATTAAGTTTTCGTTTATTTGCTTCATTTGTGTGATTTAAAGCAAGAGTCTGTATGTATAAGGTATATTCTTCATGTGAAGCATTGAAGTTAAGTTTCAAATGAATTTAAAGCTGTAAATTTTAGACACATCTACTGCTGCCATGCACCAGATAATGGATCTGAACATCAGTTATTCATGATCGTGAAAGCTAACAACGGTTTATGAAATAAAACAACTTATATGATTACACAAGAATTTTATTTGAATTTTTTTGTTTGACGAACTTTCTTCGTGCGCTCATAATGTTACGTTTACTTTGCATTACATTCAACAGAAACATTAGGATTGAATCCATCTACAGTGAAATATCATTTTACATTCTGCGACGTTTGTCTGTAGTTTTGATTCTTTGCGAATTTAGTTGTTTGGAGGTGTATCAGCGAAGGGCCCCGCTGTTACATGTTCTGTTCAACTGACATTTACTTTGAATCGATTCTACAGTAAACATTTTACGGTTGTGAAATGACCCTTGGATGACGAGGCTTAAAGTTTGTTTCTCGAAGGAAAGGTGTATGGATACACAATTTTGACGTGGTGAATAGCGACATGTGATTATGGTAACTTTACTCGACGATGGGCGGTTGTTCCTTGTTACACCGTATGGAAATAGCGAAACTTTACTCGGAGATGGCAAAGATGGGTATAGCGGTAAAGTACCCCAAATGCGTAATTATACGGCTTTGAAAAGGACGGTTTGATTATAGGACGATTGTACGTTGTGATCTTGTATTAACACACGAAAGCAAACGAGTATGGGACACGAAATAAAAGAGCAACTGGAAATCGGTGGTAGTTTATGGCTAAGAACGAACTGTAATGGTTAAGGATTCCAGACACACGAAGAGGATGACTTGGAAATTGATCAGGTTATTAGTTGTACGTAGTTAAAATAAGCATGCGATTGGTTTGAACTTAAGTATTGGATCCCAATGGTCTTAATAAGTTATGGTCCATTTAGTATATCTTAAATAAGAATCCATTTCTTTCTGTGACGAATACAAAGTGAATTTTAATTAGTTTTATAATGCATGTGTTTGAAACCTATTCATCGAAAACTAGAGACTGACTAAGTTATTTGAGCTCGAGTCAGGAAACCAATTTATACGGAAAAGTCTAAAGTTTTGACTTCATCTGATCATCTTAGTGGCTAAAATGTGAAGCAACCATTTTGTTGCTCAAGGTCAACTCAAATTATTAAACGAGTTTTTGCTTGATGATAATGAACGGCTATCTTTAAAATGACGAAACGGGAATCTCACCATTAGGAAGCCCAACTCAGTTATGCATAACAATTTAGTTTGATGCATCACACTATTATAATGCATTACATGTTTGGCATGTTTGATGCATTACACTGATAGTCAATAAGAACAGTTTAACTTGCAAATTTCTGGAAGAACATCAAGTCGAATTCATAAGACATTTGCAACATTCAACAAAGCCAGGTGCGATGGATAGTTATCAAGTTGCTGCTATGAAACATGGCAATGAACATCAATGCTAAACTTCGACTATGTTTATGGCAATGAACATCAGTGCTAAATTTCGACTATGTTTGTGGCAATGAACATTAATGCTAAACTTCGACTAGGACCGATGGTAAACAAAGTCCATGAACTGATTTGAGTACAACGAGCTGTGATGATTGTGATCTCATGTTTAACTGAAATTATTCTCTACCTCCTTAAAGGCAGCAACGAATTCTACAAGGAAATCCAGAAGGTAAATAGGAGCAGGAAGAAAGTCGAGTGCAAACATCATGCAGATTTTTCTTTTCAGAGAATTTCATCTATACTGTTGCTTTGAAGAGTACCGATGAACGAAGTGTTTCAAGAATCGAACGCTTAGAACTTTCAAACTCGCTTACAATTTAATCAAAACAGTACATTGCAATTAATATTTCAACGTCCATTTCCCATTTTAAAGATAGCCATAAAGAAACAGTAAATTTCGCATGATTTTATTTGACATTTAAATTGTTTGTTACAGGAACGATCATTGAGAATCGTTTGAATTTCCATTGAAAACCAAAATCGATCTTGAAAAACTCTAAATTTTTCTTTTAATGTGAACTAATTTTAAACTTTTAATGCACTGGATTTTGTATATTAAGAGCATTGGGATTCATACTGAAATTTGACATAATGTTCAAAAACAACAAAATATTTTGATTTTTAAAGTTTAAATCATGTTTCATTGGAAGGTTTTTTACCGGATTCGCTGGTTTTCCTTCCCTTTCATTTCGCCCAAAAACAGTGTCCATGTGTTGGGGGCCAATGAATTCAAAGTAAGATTATTCAAATCATGTAGCTTCCTATCATAAATTTGGCCTTTGGGTTAGAATCCCAGAGCACTTATACCCCATAGCCATAACTGGAAGATAATACGAGTTTTAATATAGCCTCGTCAGCTTCGAGCGAAATGATAGTCGTGTGCACATAGCATGCATTTTTCCAGCTGTTTGTGCTTTCTATGTAACGTGACAAAAAAATACGATTTTGCTAATTTTTTACGCTTCCATATATCGTACGTGGAACGTACGACTGTAATCGCTAAATTAGTACTCAATTCCTGTTCATATTTTGCTGTCAGGAAATATGTAAAACTCCCATGAGAAGAAAAACTTCGTGCTTGGAACAAAGTAATGTGTGCACGTTCCTGTCAATACTTTATGTACCTGTAGGCTTTGGAAAGTGAGAAGCATTGAATTAATCACAATACGCCGTATTCTAAAAATTTCCCCCCCAATGTTTATACTAATATATTTATGAAATCGTATAAAACAAACATATTTTTCCTTACTTTTCAATAAAAATTTTCCAAGAATACGCACTAGCTACACAAGTGACCCATACGCACCTAGAGATAATGTTGCTTAGCAACCAAGCTGTTGGTGGAACTTGGGACTTGTGTTGGAATGTCCAGAAAACAAACTCAACATGGATGATTTAAATTGAATCTTGTAAAATGAAGACAGGCTTCAATGAGTTAAGCACCCAACAATTTCATTTGAAAATTGCTCAGAGACGTCCAAAGTCTTGTTTTGTAAAGAACACGGGAAGCAAAGAAAATTTTCCTAGCAATCACGGTCAGTTGCATTGCAACTCTCAGTCTCACTACTTTAAGGTTGTTCGTCGATATTTTTCACTTCCATGGTGCCAGTAAACTGAAATGAAATATTGAATTCTGCTCCATGTTGTTAAATATTCTGTCTAAACTCATTTCATACTCGCTTGCCTTCACCGTACCTGTTGAACACATGTGTAAATTATCATTTCATTTGTAAATTTTAGTATAATGGTTTGGCACAGCGAATTGCTTGTTTAAATCCTGATGCGTACGTTCTTGATTACATCTGTTTCGTTTTTGTTAGCTGTGTATAAACAACTAAATAACAAAGTACTTTCTCAGTCTGGAATATGTGCACAAATTCCCTAACCACAACTATTTGGATGTGGTATGTGGTATATATATAATTCCCCCCTCTTATCTGCTGGTATGATGTTTCCTAAATACTATACATCGAAATGTTGTGTCTACAGTACAAAAGTGTAGAAGTGAACAAAATGCTGTATTGTCTCCATCATTTTCATCATCAAAGGGCTATGTCTTATTTAATCTCTCGGCTGACATAGAAAAAATGGACAATACAATAAAATCACAAGTAAGTTTAACATGTTATATCTTGAACAAAGCTTTTTCTCTACATGTCTACTCATGCAATGAATTGAATGTTCTCATTTTGATTTAGCAAATTCAGATATCATCATATTTACGTCGACCACATGCATCTTGTTATACTTTGCTTGACTCACAATGTATACCAGAAACAGCAAAACCATGTCGCCCACCGTATCACCCCAAATCAGCTAGTACTGTGTTTGGATATGCCAAAAGACCAGTGTCAGCTAGTGAAGTCTCACACCATCTTGGAAGACAAACTAAGACCAGGCTAGTATTGTATTTCTGAATATTAGAAACTATCATTAGTTATTACCAAACTAACACTCTCAACATATAACATTCCTTTGCTGTATATATTATAATCATTGATGTGGGTTGTGTTTTTTATTCGCAATAGTAATGGTGACTTGTGACTAATGGCATCCTATCAATGACTTGTAATGAGGTGTTGGTAGACTATTGCCTTTAAACAAGCAAGTCTCTTGTACATTGTGGTTTTGTTCAAAAACTTTTGTTTGGCCTAAAAGTATTGTTTCTAGGTAAAAATAGATACATGTAAAGGCATTTCCAAGATTATACAGACAGGGGGGGCACATCCCAAAATACAAATAAACCAAATTTTCTAATGCATTGGATACAAAATTAAAGGTAATGTGTATCACTCATTCACCGAATTCAAAACTTTTCCACAGTTCATCTGCTTTCAGTATTTCGAAACCAGTGTGCTTTTGTTGTTGATTGTTTAAAAATCATTAAAGCGTAGTTGCCATTTTCATATACTTCGTACAAGCGCCTTTGACATTCAGTTTATTTACCTTAATCAGTTTGTTGAGGAGTAAATCTAAACGTGACATGCATACAGAGTCGTGCAATTCACAAAGCTTCAGGAATATAAGAAATCAAAAGCCGCGCGTTATCCGTAAGTGTTTAAACTTTTAATGTATCGAAAAAGGATATATTCCTTTCGCGATAGCGTAACGTTGTTTAGTAAGAGACAATAAAGTTTTAAGATTTAAGTTGGGTGAATTTTCAAAGTTTGTCTTTCAAAAATATGGCAGGACATTCAATGTGAGTTAAGTTCAAAACAGGACTTGCGCACAAAAAATACTCCCTGAGTCAAAATATGGTCTGCGTTGTACAACTATCAAAATTTCAAGCAATTTGTGGCAAGCGCTGTATAACCAACGCAGAGTGACTTTTTTTTTTCATTCTGTATTTACAAACATTAAAAAATTAGAAATATTCCGTATTGACAGCATGTAAGATCTATAACAATGTCCTTACTCTTTAATAATACTCTTCTTATCGTTTTAGGTGGAGACAGCAGAATAACAAAAAGTAGTCTGACGCCCAAAGAGTAAGTTGAAAGTGTTCATGTTGATATGTCTAAAAACAGTTACAATACTTCATCGATCATTGATTCGTAATTTTTTGGGAGGAACACAGATTTACTTTCCAAAACATTCCTCATTATCCCAAAACTACCTTGCTTATTTGTAGGGTGCTCGATTACATGAAATCTGCTCATGCGTACTTAACTGGAGCGCGATACAACAGGTATAAAATCTGTATACAACGTAATTTTGGGCCATGTTAGCACTATGCTGAATTCAAATTCATTTTAGTCTAACTTCCCTGTGTTTGAACAACCTTCTTGTTGATTTCATTAAAAAATTTCCCAGAGATGTAAAAGCTGTGGAGGTTGACCCAAACAGATAGCAATCCGGTGAGCAGGGCCTTAGTATCACCTTTAAAACCAGGACTTAGGGAGGCAGGAATATGTAGTTCTGCAAATGCAAGTTGAGGTTTTTCGCAAGATTGGAACATACAGTACCGACCTCGAGTAACATAACTTGACTCGCGAGTATCGAATGGCGAGTGGGCGAGTGACTCGCGATGCAGTTGCGGAGAAAGAAATTTTTCCGAGTTATTTCGATTTACTCGCAAACAGCGAAATATTTTATCCACTCGCAAACCTCTCACACGCAACTGCATCGCGAGTCACTCGCCCACTCGCCATTCGATACTCGCGAGTCAAGTTATGTTACTCGAGGTCGGTACTGTACGACCGTCTGATGCCGGCGCACTGCGCCACGATTTTCCATTTTTCCAACCATTCAATTTTACAAGTAGACTGTTTTTAACTGCCTTATAAATCAGATATGACTTGGATTAGATTATGATGAGATATGGTGAGGATTAGATTATGATCGCATATGGATGGATTAGAAATCAACAGATAAAGCCCATAAAACACATTTATGTTTGTGCATATTTTCCATAGTTCACATGTTCTGGACAGCAAGTCCCAGTCGAGATATGGCGTTTACGTTAGTAAGGAAAAATTGCGAAGTTGTAAAACAAATAAAATAACTGTCTCATCTGAAAAAGGTATATTGAATTTCGTACATTTGTGCATGAGCTTAGATTCAAGTGGTAATATTTTAAGGCAGACTGTTAATGTTTATAGAAATAGACGAACAACTATTGCTGGCGTTGAAAATTGTTGATAGTAAAACATCTAAAGCAGATGTTGTGAATGTTGCAACGAATACTGAACCTCATTATCTCAGCTTTGATGATTGCAATAACAGCAAATGGAATAAATTAAAAAAACCGTTACCCCGCAAGGATACCGACAGTAAATTCCCTGTGGCAAAAGCTAGCGTCGTGAAATGTATCCAGACCATGTACATTGATTATGATTCTGTTTTGAAATAGCTATGTATACTTATCATAGGTAGTGTTTCATTGTGCTATTTCAAGTTTTCAACCGATTCAAACCGGCTGAACGTGTCATTGCAACCTGTTTAAACCGGCTGAATGATCGCGTATTATGTCGAAGACCTGTTTGAATTGACATCTGAAAATCTACCACTGAAATGATCAGTTCGAATAAGTTAGGGAAAATGGGATTTTAGTGTTACAGGAACGATCTAAGGGAACCATCCTGAACTACCCTATCATTGTGGGATGAAGAAATAATTCAAACATTCAATTTTCGCAAAGAATTTTTTTCTTTTAACTTTTGAATATCGGAAACGTGCCATTAAAGTCAATTATTGACGATTATAGATGTCATCCTTTTCTGTCTGTAATAAATTTGGTTTGTGCTTCTAATGACTATATGTGGTTTTCTGCAGAACATAATGTTTATATACTGACATATTTCCTTCTATATTGCTCAGTGATAAATGAAAAAGACAAAAAAAATCAAGACAAAGCAGATCAAGTATTCGCTTTAACTGTGACGTTCCATTATGCCCAATTGTTTTACTGCTTACATGAAGAAACGATTACAAAGTACATGCTTTTAAAAGTCGTGCGTGACTTGAACGGGTAAATTATACATTCTTACGAATCGCTGCTGCCTTCTTTCTCTTGAGATTTCTGTCCTCGGTATTTGTTGGTCTTGATGATGAAGCCATTGTCTATCAAACTGTACGCCATATCAATGATTGTCTTTTCTATTTCAATGGGGGTGATACCAAGTTCCTTAATCATCTGCAATGAAATTAAGATGGATATATAGTGAGGTCTATTGCCAAAATTTTAACAAAGGAGGCTCTCTGACATATGTTACCACTGCTCTGATATATATTGTTAAATTTCGGAGGAGGGCTGTCTGATATATGTTACCAGTGCTAAGAACTTTCGTGTACATTAGCTACTAACACTAATACCAAACAGTAAATATAACTTTTCAAATTGAAGGTCTAGCCTACCCCTCCAATACACTCCTGTATATATATTGAAATATTGAAGTATGTTGACTGTCACGCCCAGTGAGCCTACCCCTCCAATACACTCCTGTATATATATTGAAATATTGAAGTATGTTGACTGTCACGCCCAGAGTTAGACAATGCATTTCTGACACACACACTCCTCTATTGTCTGAGACATTAACAAACCGCATTTATGGTATAGAAGGTATAACCTGGAACTTGAGGAACAATACCAGTACCTTTTCATTTGATAGCTTGATGGGCTTACCAAGCAATGGTGCAATCATTTTAAGAGTCTTGTCGAACAATCCCGCAAAACGAATAGCAAAATTCGGAGCGTACCGTGTTGGAACATTATAACCTATGTAAATAACACGTAACTTAATTTTATTCTTGTTGTACAACAATCTTATCAAGTGTTAGATTTGAAAAAATATCTCTGATGTATATAAACGTCGAAACTCATAAAAAAATTAACAGTCGCAAAATTATAAGTGATTATGACAGAAGGATTGAATTTTATAAATTTATTCTCAAAATCCAGATATAACGTTGTTACAGAGCATTAAAGGATTCATCATGTGAGGTGAGTTGTGTCGGGTTAAAGTGTTGAAAAAACGCATGTGATCAAATACTTGTACTCACAAATTTTCTTATACAACTATAGATGATGCGGTAAAGTTTTTACACTACTGTAGTTGGTACAGTAGTGTAACAAGTTGGTAAAGTTGGTAAAGTTGTTACACTACTGTAGTTGGTATAGTAGTGTAACAAGTTGGTAAAGTTGTTACACTACTGTAGTTGGTACAGAGTCGTTGCACAACAATAGGTGGTACACAATTAGCAATTAGAGCTGTTGCGCAACTATAGCTGTTACACAACAGGACTATAGCTGTTACAATATAAGAACTGTTGCACAACTGCATTTGTTACACAGCTGGACTTAAACCTATTAACTAAGACTTACTATCTGTATATACTTACTGAAGATCGCAACTGTAATTAAATCAAATTTTAATAGTACATACAATTCTTGAATAGCTACAAAATTCCTAAGCTTTCGAGAATTTTTTACTTTACCTTGGGAAAAAAACTCTTTTTTCAATATTTCTGCAACTTCCCCAACCCATAAACTTTTCGTATTGATGATGAATCTGTTCCCTAAAAAGAACAAAAAACTAAGTTAGTCATTCCTCGCGTAAATATTAATTTAGTGTTTTGTAAAATGTATGGTTTAGTTTGTCACTAATAATACTTAAACAAATTTTAGTTGCATCTATCGGAACTTATGTTAAAAATAATAAATAATTGTAAGTCGATACTATGAACTTATGGAAGAACGGAAATAGGAACTTATGAAAAACCTTTATTAGTTGTCACACGTAAAAAGTCAGTTTTCGTCCGTCGCTGGCTGTGAATGTAAAAGCTTGAAATGTTTATTTGTGATGTAGAATAGTCATATTGGAATAGTTATAAGTAAAATTGAAAATTGTGTGTCGACTGTGCATACAAATTGGATAGCATATAGTCCCAAAAACGAATCGGCAGACGCCTAACTGCTTTGTGCTAAAGGAGAAAATTGCCACAGCATTTAACATGCTTTCTAAGCCAGTTTTGAAACAATGCAAGTCTCGGAAGCGACAGAACCTCAATTCTTTATGAGCATTTTATGGCTGTTTGTCGTACTAATATGTATTTTAGGGGCCAATACTTTTTTAGGGGCCAATACATTGGGTCGAAAAAGAATTCGTCACTTCAGCGGTTTTCTATTGGTGCAAAACGTCGTACCTTGGGGACAAAAGATTTACGAGGTTGATTCTTAGCATATGATATATACACAGTATCGTCCATCGGGCTATCTAATGTCACAGCATTATAAACACCCCTTTTGCATCATAATCTAGTGTCCACATTCTATGCCGAAGTTTCTTATAACATTAATCTGCCCACCGTTTATTTCTACCAATGCATATTACCCATGCTTTTTCTGTGCACTATGCAGTTAGAACACCACATACAATAGATTCAGTTGGTAATTGAAAAAAAAGGTGACAAGGAAAAAGCAAACCATTCGACAAATAATGTCATGCAATTGTGGCTTCAATTTAAACTATGATAATCGCTTAGCCTAAAACCCAATAAATTAATCTCTGTGAAAACTTTTAAGTTACATTTATCGAGAAAATGAAAACGTATAAGATAATTTGTTATGAACACCATGCATGTCGTAGTTATGATACAAGATACAGTAAATGAAAGAGTTACATGGTCAAAGACAGTAGCCTTGGGTGTCTTACCCGAAGAAACCTTGTGAACAAAAAGAAAAATGTCGAAACCAAAAAATCCTGTTTTGACCCATGCTTCCCGATACCCTGAGACTGTTAAGCACTATAGGGCGTCCCATGTTAAATTAAGATTTCGGTTCCTGCGACGCCATCCTACTAGAGGATGCCATAAGCTTCAACCGAACACAACACGGAGGTGGTACGCAAGCGCGACCTACTAGCTTGCTGGCTTCTCTTCTGAAAGGCTGAAAACTTTGCCTACCTGCAGCATTTGGTAAAGTCAGAGATGTTATATGTGCAGCTGCAACATCACGAACGTCACACATGGGCATTTGAAGTCTTGCAAGCATTGGAAATTCTCTCTGTAGCAGCATTTTGTGAACCTGTTATACATAATCATTCTCAGTGTTTTGTTGCACGAGTGAAAATTCACATTCAAGACTAATATTCAGCTCACCTCCATGCTGGTACATTTTGAGCCGTGAAACACTGGTCCCAATACGTAACCTGGATTTATAGCGACCAACTCAAATTTCTGCTCATCTAATAAACAATTATGTAGACGTTTATACCTCTCTATTATTTCAATATCAAAATTTACAGCAATTTATAGTTTATTTAAAACATTCTATGTGGAGGTCAATTTTAACCTGATAGATTCTTCACGAAATCCCACGCAGATTTTTCTGCTAAAGCTTTGCTCTTTTCATACGCTGAACATTCATCTACAATAGCCCAATCTTCTTCTGTTAGGATGCGGTCGTCGCTATCTTTATGTCCAGCTAAGTTTTGGTCAAAAAAATATAAGATTGAGAATCGCCTACGTATAGGTTTTGTTCATTTCTTTATTCACTTAACACGTTCTGTGTCGAAAGGGAATTATTAAACAAAATTGATTAAAGAATCTCGTTCAAAAATTAGAAGGAAAAGAAGGGAATAAGGCTGTTGAAAAACTCAAGAGAAAAGAACAGACCACCAGAATTAATGGGATGGATGGAACACAGCGTTGAGGGAAGCAGGTTGTCAAACAATCAACCACCCAGAATTTTATAAGAATGAATGAATGAAGAATGTTTGCTGTAAAAGAAAGTTGCGAGTGATGTGGAAGAGGTCTGGACTTAGAAAAGCAGGGTACGAAATACGTACGATAGATCGCTACACACGAACTCGTTAGTACAACTCTCTTCACAGTCGAGGATTTAACACAAGCTTCTAAAACATTTGTGGTGCCCTCCACTGCTGGTTTGATGATCTCGTCTTCAGTTTTCGGGGTAGCGTTGGGAAAAGGTGACGCCACATGGATGACGTAATCACAATCCTTGACAGCGCTGCAAAGAGTAAAATATGTGTAAATACCTGAACGCAATATACGGAACCATCGAACATTATTCTATGTGCATTTTTATTAAGTAGAAGTGGAATTTGTTGTAGCAATGTAGCTTGTGTGGCTGACAAGTTTAATTATCACCCCAAACTTTTTGATGAATCCCTTTCCCACGCTGAAATTTTCATACACTAAAAGCTTGTACAAAAATACCAATGTACAAGAAAGTTGCATGCTGCAGACGAGTGGGCGATTATAAATACCACATCACAAACAAGTTATTCGAAGCAGCTGCAACGGTTCTTCCTTTATCCTGAATCTCTTGAATCATATGTACTTAAAGCATTTGATAAACAATTGAACAGCATACATAAAACGACAATCTAATGGCAGGTGTTTTCTAAATAACAATGTGTTGTAAAATGATTCTCTTCGTTGTAGCTAACTCTGGGTGTGCAAGTAAACTTTTGTAACATACTGTAGTCTTAGAAGTTGCTGTACATCACAAAATTCATTTAGAAATAGAAATTTTTTCAACACACATCGATAATGACCATGTCATAATGCCATTATCGATACATCGACACATCAATAGTGCCCTTAATTCTTGTCCGTCTCATGTGTGAAAATAACATAATCAATTTAAAGCTTAAAAGTTTTGTTGTCCTTTTGCAGCATGACGCTGCAATACGCACTTCAACGTCTAGTATTAATAGTATTTTGGCGTTCGGCAGCCGACATTCTAAATCCTACCTTAACCATGAATCAGCATTGAGTAGATCAGCCTGAACAAGTTCCAAAGGATATTTCGTTTCTGGACACAACGTTTTTAACGGCTTAGTCTTCTCTTCGTTATTAACATCGCGTACTGTACCACGAACACGATACTCATTACTTTGAAGCAATTGATAAATTATGTGACTTGCGACAAATCCTGACGCTCCAGAGACTAAAACAAGCTTTGCCTCTTCAGCCATCTTATCTTTGTTTATCATAGATGTTGTCATTCGAATTTAAATCATTTAAATAACATGTATTGTCATGCATTTCCTAAGTGCAGGAAGATTGCATAATGCATACCTTTTGAATAATATGCTGGAAACGTGTAATTAGCATGAGCTTGTTAAACTTGCTTATATTTGATAAAACACTGGAGCGTTTCTTTGTGTGCTTGTATGAAAAAATATTGCCTTGTCATTAGTAATGTAATATTCAAAAACCAATTGGCGTAAATATGCAACAAAAAATGCGAGGCAGCGCAGCCGAGCGGAATACATGTAATATGAATAATCAACTTTATACACGACGTATAACATTAAAAAGTACCTGCTTACTGCCAAAAGTGCTCCAATATGGTTGCATTATTCATTAAAGAGATAAATAAGATCGTTTCTTGATCTCTCACCTGAGAAAGCTGATAAATTCAATTCGTCTTTTGTTTCTTTCATCATGCAATCCATTGACGTGATCGTTTATGGAAGATGTTGTATCTGTTGATCGGTTATAATTGTCAAACATGGTCGTCAGTTATTCTCTGTGTTTTTAAAGTCTTGTGTTATGACAATGCTGTAAATCTGTTTACAGTGGAAACTGTGCATCAGTCTCGGTGCTTCAAGATAAGATAAGCAGTTTTTATTTTTAAGTGCATAGATTACATAGATAGAGTCCTTGAATTAATTTTATTTTATTTTTAGCTAGCCGCATGTGAGTGGATAACAGAAATGAAGGATCTGCTTGGTGTTCCTAAAGAGCATAACCATATACCCGACAGCCAGAGACTCAGTCAGGAGGATTTTTAATGCAATATGTGTAAAATAGCTGGGCGGAGGTCTAATTTTAAAGCCCACTCACTGCTCCTGTTACTTAAGAAACAATATCTGATAATTATTATAACAGTTAAATTTTGAGTTTCTACAGTTGATGGCATCTTGAATTGGCACGTGCAGATAGTGTAAGCCCAAACCAGATTCTAACCTTCATAGTTTTCCAAGCGTTGCTAACGTGTAAAATAATTCACACAAGAAAAGTGTCAGTAGCTCTGAGGCTCTAAAATCTACCTTCTCATAACTTCTAAAAACTTCTTAAAAAACTCTTTCCTCGCAGGATGTTCGTAGAAACATTTTTGTATTAAATACGATATTCAATGGTTTCATTGACGATGAATGGCTATTTGCTTAATTGCTCAAAGATTTTGATCTTTGCAATTATGCTGCTGTGGATTTAGAGAAAATTATGACATTTTCTATTTAAGTTTTGATTCCATTTATGCCTTTCTTTGTTATATAAATAATATTTCTTTTTTGTTGGGAACATTGCTTATTTAATGGTGTATCTTTTAGGATCGCACAAGTTTTACAATGGTTTCACAAAGCATTTTGCGAATACGACAAAAGTAAACGACGTGATAGTCGAAATTTAAAGATAAATCACAGCCATTTGAAATTTATCCAAACTACTTTCGTTTTTGCTTTGGGCATCTCCACTATAAGAATCTCTGATGAGGACGCGAAATGAAAGTATTAACACTCAGCGCTTATATCTCTACAGATTACCTTCAGTCCAAAGAGACTTTCTAGGCATTCTTGTAGCCATAAATTGGCTCTAGATTTATAGAAATCCATCCAGTCTAAAAATCTGTAATTGGTGTCAAAGTTTAGTAATCAATTCAGTAACCCTAAAAGCGCGTACGGAGACCTTTCCGTCTCAAGTGCTGGAACAATTAACGTTCATACTGACATATTTCTTTCTACTTAGCTCACTGACGAGCCACACAGTCAAAGTGGCTAAAAATTCAAAGACAAAGCGGATCAAGTGATGATTTAACTGTCACATTTCATTTTGCTCAATTGTTTTACTGCTTTAATAAGGAAACGATTACATATAGTTTTTTTAAAAGTCGTGTGTGACTAAAACAGTTAAATTATATACTGCGTTCTTTCTCTTAGGATTTCTTTCCACGGTATTCGTTAGTCTTTGTGATGAAGCCATTGTCTATCAAACTGTACGCCATATCAATGATTGTCTTTTCTATTTCAATGGGAGTGATACCAAGTTCCTTAATCATCTGCAATGAAATTAAGATGGATACATAGTGAGGTTTATTGCCAAAATTTTAACAAAGGAGGCTCTCTGACATATGTTACCACTACTCTGATATATATCAACTACTCATATACATCAACTACTTACACCAATACTACACATAAAGTTTAAAAGAAGAAAAGCTGAGCCCTCCTTCCCTCCAATACATGCACCCTTGTTCTTGTATATATATGTTGAAATGTTGAAGCATGTCAGTGTCACCCAAAGTTGGATCGATTAAAGTGCACTTCTCACGCACAACTTCACTATCGTCTGAGACAATAAAAAATGCTGTGAAAATATACATGGTATAGAAAAAACAACGGGGAACACGAGAGAAAATACCAGTACCTTTTCATTTGACAAACTGACGGTCTTACCAAGCGATGGTACCATCATCTTAAGAGTTTTGTCGAAAAAAGACTTAAAGCGAATGGCGAAATTTGGAGCGTACTGTGTTGGAACATTATATCCTATATAAATAAACACGTAATTTTATAGTACACATTATGGCTGGAAAGCCTGGAATCACCTTACAGAGATATGTTCCAATGACGGGGTTTTAAAATCATACATACACTATAGTTGCACAGCTAAAGTTGTTGCACAATTAGAGTTTTTGCACAACTATAGCTGTTACACAACACAATTACATAGCTGTTACACAATTTGAGTTGCTGCACAGCTACAATTGTCTCACAGCTAAACCTATACCTATTCACTAAAGTTTAACATCCACAGTTGTGTTTTGTTTAAACATATTAAAGATCACAACTGTTGTTAAAACTATTTTCATAATACATACAACGAAGTCTTTTTGAATAGATAGTTAAATTTAATGTTTACTCAATTGTATTGGAATATATTTTTAACTTTACCTTGGGAATAAAACTCTTTTTTTAATATTTCTGCCACTTCCCCAATCCATAAACTTTTCGTATTGATGATGAATCTGTTTCCTAAACACGTTAGCACAAAGAAATGATCACTTGTTTGACATCGTTTACCGTAATCATGACCCAAGGACGAAGTTAGAACGTGAAATATATTGATTGCGTTTTGTGTGATTAGCATAAATTAGTTTCATCGTAATAGAGGCAAGATTACTTGTGGCATAGCCTGACTGTTGTATGTATTCTCTAACTGCATAAACAATAGAGTTTGAAAGAAATGAGCAATGAAAATGATCTGAAATTTACAATGCCGAACTAAAACTTGCCGGCTGGTTACGCCGTTAATAAATGAGTTCCAATTAAGTGGGAAATCGCAATAGACTTGAAACAATTAAAGCTACAGGAAAAGTTAAGTTGATCATGTATATGTGGTATTTTGTGAAATGTACGAATTTAGTTTGGCAAAATAGTCAATGCTTTCTAACCAGTTTTCCCTTTTTTCCTAAAGATTAAACCTGGGTATCAAACCATGGAACCACGTTATAACAACTCTAGCCGTGAAAAGTTGAAACAGAGTCAGTGATATTCACTCTATGAAAAGTTTATACCGTGTACATATATGAATATAGCCACTTAACATATGTGACTTTGGTTATTATATTAATTTTAATGACTTCATTAAGGCTTATTTTTGCTTGTCAATGATGTGACCAGCTTTATTGTTATTCTCTTGATGCAAGCGAATTACCTACCAGCGGCATTTGGCAAAGTCAGAGATTTTATGTGTGCAGCTGCAACATCACGAACGTCACACAAGGGAAATTGTAGTCTTGCAAGCATTGGTATTTCTCTCTGTAGCAGCGTTTTGTGAATCTGTTTTACATAATCATTCTCAGTGTTTTGTTGCACGAGTGAAAATTCACATTCAAGTGAATAATTTTTTGCTCACCTCCATACTGGTACAATTTGAGCCGTGTAACACTGGTCCGAATACGTAACCTGGATTTATAGTGGCTAACTCAAATTTCTGCTCATCTAGAAAAAAATTATTTGGATGTTTATACGTCCTTAATCTCTTTTTCCTCAATTTGATTTCAAAGCAGAAAATGTACGCTAATTCAATATATTATTAATGCATTCTATGCCGAGGTCAATTACAACCTGGTAGATTCTTCACGAAATCCCACGCAGCTTTTTCTGCTAAAGCTTTGCTCTTTTGATACGCCGAGCATTCCCCTACGATAGCCCAATCTTCCTCTGTGAAGATACGGTCCGTGCGATCTTTGTGTCCAGCTAAATTTTGTCATATAAGTACCAGAATAAGTTTTAAGAATCGTTTATAGGCTGTGTACATTGTCTTCATCCACTTAAAACGTGCTATATAGAAAGGGAGCTACTACAACAAAAGTGATGAAAATATCAGAATCATTCAAATAGTTTAAAAGAATGTTTACCGTGAAAGAAAGTTCAAAGTGATATGGAAGTGGTCTGGATTTGAATAAATTAAAAAGAGCGTAGTTTTAAAAGAAGGAAATACGTACAGGAAATGGCAACGTACGAACTCGTTAGTACAACTTTCTTGACGGTTGAGGATTTTGCGCATGCTTCTAAAACATTTGTGGTGCCCTCCACGGCTGGTTTGATTATCTCATCTTCATTCTTCGGTGTAGCGTTGGGAAAGGGTGAAGCCACATGTAGGACGTAATCGCAATCCTTGACGGCACTGCGCAGAATGAAAAATGTGTAAAGTGTAAATACGATCACAAAGTCAAAGAGGCAGAACATTATTATAATGTGCATTTAATTAAATTGCAATGGAATTGTTGCAGCTATGCAGATTTTGTGGTTGACGACTTTAATTGTCATTCCAAGCTTTCTGGTGAGTTCTTTTTCCATGTAAAACATAGCCAAATTTTCTTACATCGCACACTGAGAGCTAACTCAAAAATGATCAATGTACAATAGAGTGCCTGCTGCAGTCACAGACTAGTGGGCAATTATAAATGCCACACCACAAAGAAGTTCTTATTCGAAGAAGCTGCCACAGTTCGCTCATCCCTCATCCCGAGTCTCCTGAATCATATACAAACCATTATTAGATAAACAAATGAACGGCATGCAGAAAACGACATTCATTTGTGTAATAAATCTTAACAGAAAGAATGATAGCACAACGCTATAACCAACAACTACAAACAATAACGACCTTATCTAACAACATTTTTGAAATTAACCTTCTATCATTCTTTTTGTTTAACAACATTCCAACTATTTAAATCTTAACAGGATTCAAAGGTGAATTCTATTCAAGGTTGCTAGCTTGGGGTGTCCAAACAAACTTATATGTATTAAACATACGGTAATAAAAGAAGTTGCCGCACGTCACAAAATTCATCTAGTAAAGTGTTTGCAAAACAAAATTTGTTGAATCCAAAATTCATTGTCGAAAAATCAATAATGACCTTCTTGTCTTTCTCATGTATGCAACTGATGTTATCAATTAAAGCCATTTGCTTTTTAGAAGCATGACGCTGCATACACACTTAAACGTCTAGTATTAATAGTATTTTGGCGTTCGGCAGCCGATATTCTAAATCTCACCTTAACCACGAATCAGCATTGAGTAGATCGGCCTGCACCAGTTCCAAAGGATATTTCGCCTCTGGACACAACGTTTTTAACGGCTTAGTTTTCTTTTCGTTATTAACATCGCGTACTGTACCACGTACACGATACTCATTACTTTGAAGCAATTGATAAATTATTTGACTTGCGACAAATCCTGACGCTCCTGAAACTAAAACAAGCTTTGCCTCTTCAGCCATCTTATGTTCGTTTATCATAGATGTTGCTCATTCGAATCATTTAAATAGCCAATGGCCAATGCACTTGATGTAAATAACCAAGCACTTTTAAAATTTTTTTCCAGAATATTAACACCGAGGAATTTCCTTTTGAGCCAATCAGCATTCTGTTAACGTTATTAAAATAATAGCCATTAAGCACTAAAATCAAGCCCAAAGGTTCGTATATGATAGTTAAAGCGATTTTAGAAACATTTGTAAAATATTTACTAATTAAATGTAGATATGATCTTCGCACTTTGCTGGACAATTTAAGCAATTGTCTCATGACACCTGAAACATTCAGGTGACTCAACGGGATTTTTCAGGTGTCATGAGACAATTTCAGGTGTCATGAGACAATCTACATTTAATTTCAAACACTGCACTGCATAAAAACATTCTTTCATAAAATATTTACTGCTATCAAAATTTATCTTTAAGAGACGTTCGGGCATAGAAGTAAGTGACTCAACGTCGGAGTTGTGACGTACAAAGGAGGACACTTGCAATTGCAAAGCCTCATTAGACCAGTTTATAGTAATCACTAAAACTGTTTTAGCAAATCTTCCGTAAAAACTGCAAAATAGATTTAGCATGCTGAATAGGTGTATAGCTTGACAACATCTTTTGAGCGAATTATCAAAGAAAACTTGTAAAAATAAAACTGCTCGGACGCTATTTCCCATTGAAATTCTGCATTATTATACGGGTGTTTATACCTCAAAAAACGAGCATTTTCTCCTTTACGTCACTTCCGGCGATAAGTCTGTTGAGTCATATTAATAGACAACCGAAGATACGATAAAGGAAATAGTATGTGCATACTTTAGTTTATCAATGTATCCGTTCTTACTCGGTTAACACCCTAAGAACACTTATTGACGTTAGCTGTATTTCCTTATGTACTATAAATAAATGAAATAGAGAAACCATTATGACCATTGGACCAATGATATTATTTGTTTATTTGTGATGAATACGATAAATTCTGCTCTGTCATATGATAAAAGCAATTCTTTGTTCGTTCTTGGTTACTACTAGAAGCGTAAAGTGTATTGTTATGACAAAAACAGTTAAAATTTTCCACCTATAACATATTTTGCAAATGTGATTAAGATTTTCCTATCTATCTTAAGAGCTATCTAAAAGAAGTTGTATTCCTTACACTGAGATAGGCACCTTTTAAAGCAACAGTTTTTCTTTCAATCACTCGTGTGCTTTTTTGAATTTTGATCAAAACCGAAATTACTGCATGGCTGTTGAACATCAACCATTTTGTTCAAGCCATGCAAGCCATGTAAGGCATCATATATTAAAGCTCTTACAACTAGTTAGTTTTATAGATGTTCTGTTTCTTTTTGTGATTTAAAGGAATATATTTTCAGATCTAGAAAGTTGTTATTATGGTTCTATAAATATGTCTATAGGGTCCTTTTTTGTTGATTTTCCTTGCCTTCTTTCAAGGCTTTCAAGTCTTGTAACGCTTATTGCGTTGAAAAGCTAAATTACCTGATTGACAAATAATGGGCTTTGAAGTTTAAAGTTTGTGATGAATGGAAATTTATAGAAAAAGAAATGCCAGTAAACTTTCCTACAAAATTGGTACAGTTTGCTTTTCCAACCTCTGTTTTCTTTCATTCATCGAGCATCACCATCCATTTCATCCAATGACTAGATAATTTATGGAAGATGAGATGAGGTAAAACTGTGTTGAGACCATTGAACAATAATAGATTTAGTTATATAGATTTATCTGTTTAGTTCAATGGTTGGACTGTTGATTGGTCAGTTGTCAGCATGGTAGTCAGTGACGTCACTTCACTGCAAACGTTTGGTCAAATTAAAGATGGCGGACGTGAGCGTGTTGTTAAAGTCTTGTGGTTTGTCGCGAAAAGCTAGCATCCGTTTACTTTTAGAAACTGCGGAGCACTCTCAGATGCTTCAAGACAAGGTAAAAGTGTTTCTACAGCTTTGAATTTATTATAAGACCGTAGTACTATGGGCTACCATCGGCTATTAATCATTATAAAGGCTCTCCGCGCTTTCAAGTTGAATTGGAGTGAAAGACGTGAATTCTTCCTGAACTTCTTATGATTATATTTTTAGTCAGCTGCGTGTGAATGGATAGCAGAAATGAATGATATGCTTGGTATTCGTAAAGACAGGTGAACTTACCTGGTAACCTAAAACTCAGCCTTGAAGATTTATGAATTGTGATTTAAGATGTGTTAAATAGCTGCTGGGCTAGTTTCAACCCCACCGCTCCTGTTACTAAAGAATCGGCTTCCACTTTATTATTTTGTTTTAATTTTCTGTACTTGACAATTTTAATCCAACAGTCAAATTGTGAACCTTTACAGTTGATGCCATCTTGAATTTGAACATGTGAATGGTAAAACTAACCCAGATTCAAACCATAATTCTACATAATTCTATAATTCTAAGTGTTGGCCGTTTTTCAAGTGATATGAATGTTAGACTTCCCTGTCATATCAATAATCTCTTCTGGCTGCCTGGTATATAGACACTTGATATTGACATATTTATTCCATGATGAGATCCTTTGCAAAAGGATTCTTTATCGATATCATCATGTGCATCCCTTTTCCTGTTACTATTTGATCAGTTTTTTTGTTCATTTATTTCAATAGATGCCTCATGCAAAAGTTAATTTCCCTTTTTGTGTTTCAATAAATCAATGCATTTTTTCAGCTGTTCAAAATAATTGGAAACTTTTGACTTATATTTCCATATATATGCAAAAAATTATATACTTTTTTGTGTTGTTGTGATAGCTCTAAAGCAAAGTAACATATTGATATGCATACCTTCTAAAAACTTCTGAAACAAACCAGCAGCAAAATTAACAAGCATGATACTTCATGATATACTATCTCATCAGGGATCAGTTGAGGAACTATTTGTTATAGTTGCATATGTGGAGTGGCATGTAGTAAAATCATACATATTTAACACTGTATTCAAATTTTCCATTGCAGATGGATGGGTATTTGCTTGCTCGCCTCAATTGTAAAGCAATGTCAAACTGATGTTTTTCTTGAAAACTGTTTGTCATGGCTCAAATCACTCGGACAAATTCTCCAGGTTTTTAGTTAGAGGATAAGTTTGTTCCCTCTTTAAGCTGCTTTACACATTTCCCTGGCTTCTTTAAAGTTTTTGTTGCTTAATGATTTCAATTCAAATCTTTTAGCAAGAGAAAGAAAATGTTGATCTTTGCAATTATGCTGCTGTGGTTTTAGAGAAGATTATGACATTTTCAGTTCAGGTTTTGTTTCCATTTATACTGTTCGTTTATAATTCGTCTTTGTTTTGCAAATATTACTTATTCGATGGATGCAGTAGTTATTTTTACCCCCTCCCCGAAAGTTTCATCTCACTAACGTCCGCTAACAAATAAAACGGTTTGCGTATTTGACTCACTGCAAGTCCAAAAGCTGATTATCTAAAAATGATCTTCCCTAAAACACTTCTATGCCCCCCCCCCCAACCCCTTGATTGACCCTCTATTCATTTTGACCTCGTGTTGCCACCGAATGAGTGTCTCTTTAAGAACCATACAAATTTAAAAATTACGATGGTCTTACAATGGTTTGACAAAGTACTTAGCGAATACGGCAAATGGTTAATCTATTTTTAACGGCAAATCATATTCATAATTCGATTTGAAATTCATCTCATGTACGTACGTTCGTTTTTGCTTTGAAATCTCTGCTGTGAAATCCATAGTAATGTCGTCAAGTGAAACTCACAGGACTTAAAATATCTACATTTTTACCTTCACTATCTTATAAGCTGCAATAGCGATGCTTTTTGTTAAACTAAACGCAGCTATAATACGTGCGTCGTACGCCCGAAGATACGGTGACTCTGATTAAAACGTTGTTATCGTTTTTTTTAATAAGATTGATCGGTTTTAGTTTTCAGAAATCTCGAAGGAAACATCTTTGACATTCATTCCTTCCTTCCTAAACAGTGCAGTTGGCATTAGAGCGATGGTAAGAAAAAAACGATTTCAGATCTTTAACGCTTGATGTTTTTTTACTTTTATGTTATGTTTATGTTTGTTGTGGTACTCGTTCAATCTCTCAATTGTCTTCTGTCAGCACTTTGTGATTTGTCTCTTTTTGTCGTGTGTCCTTACTTTATATAAACCGTTGATCTTTGTAGCTTGCATGTCGTGTGTCGTGTCTCCAACGATGTAAGTCATTCCTTTATGATATTTTTGTCCTGTGTAACGTGTACAGTGTGCCGCTAGTATTTCCTGTATAGCCAGTCAACAACCTGTTTGTTCTTCATGATCTTTTCCTCCTGCATTTGTAACCTGTCTTTTCTGTGTGACCGATCTCCAATCTCTGCATGCATGATCTTCTCCTCCTGCATTTGTAACCTGTCTTTTCTGTGTGACCGATCTCCAATCTCTGCATGCATGATCTTTTCCTCCTGCAACCTGCTGTGTGTGTCCTCTGCATGCATGATCTTTTCCTCCTGCATGTGTAACCTGTGTAACCGATCTCCAATCTCTGCATGCATGATCTTTTCCTCCTGCATGTATTTCTGCATGCATGATCTTTTCCTCCTGCATGTGTAACCTGTGTAACCGATTTCCAATCTCTGCATGCATGATCTTTTCCTCTTGCATAACCTGTATCTCTGCATGCATGATCTTTTCCTCCTGCATGTGTAACCTGTGTAACCGATCTCCAATCTCTGCATGCATGATCTTTTCCTCCTGCATGTGTAACCTGTGTGACCGATCTCCAATCTCTGCATGCATGATCTTTTCCTCCTGCATTTGTAACCTGTCTTTTCTGTGTGACCGATCTCCAATCTCTGCATGCATGATCTTTTCCTCCTGCATGTGTAACCTGTGTGACCGATCTCCAATCTCTGCATGCATGATCTTTTCCTCCTGCATGTGTAACCTGTGTAACCGATCTCAATCTCTGCATGCATGATCTTTTCCTCCTGCATGTGTAACCTGTGTAACCGATCTCCAATCTCTGCATGCATGATCTTTTCCTCCTGCATGTGTAACCTGTGTAACCGATCTCCAATCTCTGCATGCATGATCTCTCTAACCTGTTTAACTCCACTCTTCTTTGTAATTTGCCTTCTCTGTGAATAGCCTTCCCTGTGGAACTGGGTTTCATTTTTTCTATCGGACAGAAACCGTTTTCTAAAACATTTTTCGAATGTATATTTGCTTGCTTTATTTTAGGATCCTGCAGTACAACTAATTGTTTTAAAAGCGTGCGTTCAGTTTTATCCTGGAGCTTCTGCTTCGTTTGCTGTAGGTTTATTAATTTCGCAACTTTTAATATTACTTACAATATGAACATAACAGCCCAACATAAGACTTTTAAAAAAGCCATCACAATAATAAAATAGAGAAAGATTTATTAATAACGTTTCGTCTTTAACTTAAGACATCTTCAGATTATTTGAGATAAATTATATACACGAAGTTTTAAATACAAGCATATATTACAGGGTGTTAAATTACATGTGAGGGGAGTAGGAAGTTTAGATGACGGAATTAAGTGAAAATGGGTATATTTTAAAGAAGGTGAAGGGGGATTGAGTTGCCTTGGGTGTTAAGAGAGGGCTTAAGTTTGGATATAAGAAGGCTTTCATGAATCATAAGGTCATAATTGTCGGAGGAGAAATCTTTCTCTATTTTATTATTGTGATGGCTTTTTTAAAAGTCTTATGTTGGGCTGTTATGTTCATATTGAGAATTCGCTTTCCGCCTGGCAAATCTCTGGCCACGATTTTAATATTACTTACATTGTAATTTAACAAAATTCTTTCGTCCTTTATACTCATGTTTAATTTAATCTCGTTTTCTTGTAGAAGCGTGTGGAATCTCTTATTTTCGATATATTTGACTCTGGGGACTGGACTCTAATACAGGTCAGTCGCTCTTACACAGGCGTAGAGTAATAAAAAAGTACAAATTGCATGTATTGCACAAAATAGTGTTTTCAACAATTAATTAAACTTTTGTTGCGACTCCTTGCATTTAGGAAGCATGTCGCTGTTTTGCCATTTTACCAAGATGTGGTGTTGTGCAAGTCTCCGGTGGTGGAGATAAACAGACTTTAGCTTGGGAGATGCAATGGAAGAAAATATTAAGCACCTTGTTAGATATTATAGGGGAACTATACAGCACGTATGAAACAGGTATTTATGTGCTCAAGAGGTTTTGCGAGCTCAAATATATTAATAAGTAATACAAATTTCAATACAAATTTCAGTAGAAAGTACGTACTCAAGATAAAAGAGTACTTGTAATCTAATTGGATAGGGCAATATATCATGCTACTAACGAAATCCTAAAATCAGTGTTATTGTGAAATTATTTACAACATTGTGTTTCTTTATGATTTTATAATTCGAAATAACTAAGATACATAAAGGTATTACATAGTATTAGGCTGGAGTCAAAGATTTAAAGGAAGATTGACGATTTTAATTAATTTTAACTTTTTCGTGAAGTATAAAGATTTGTGAGGGGCTATATTATATTATTTCAAGAGTTTCAAGGCTTTGAGAGAGTTAAGATCTATAAAACAAGAAGACAGTGCTTTATAAAATCATTCGTAATAATTTTTAAGGTCCCTTACTCAAGATAGATTCTGACGTGCTGCAGTTGAAAAAAATCTCTTTGGTTGAACCTCAAAGAACCGAAACATGCATTTTGCGAATTCAAATTTTACTAAATTGTTTGGATTTAATGCTCAGGTATTGTCGAATACAGGCATCAAAATGGATGGTACAACTTTAATAAACCTATTTCCCTGTTTCCATTGATTTCCGGTCTTTAACTTACATTGCTCTCGTACGCCTAATCATTTTTAAGTGTTTTCATTTTTGTTAATTTTATTGTTCATAGAAATAGTTTTTCTCAAGCAAAATCAGTCAACATCCCATTGGATTTAACTTCAAAAATCATCGAAAAAATCCTTGCTGTCAACGCCAAGACAGTCGTAAGTGAGCCCCACTAAGCTTCTTTTTGCACATCGTGTGATAACTCTGTTGTAGTTATTCCATTGCTAGATTTGAAAATTGACTACAAAAGAAAACAACACTTTGTTTTGAATAATATCAGGGGAAAACAGAACATATATTGCTACTTATCACAACAACTTATAAAAAAATATGAAAACGTGTTTTTCTTTTTTTGTAGAAAAATAACATGGCTTTGGAATCTGTTTTATTAAAGTTTTATATCGCTGCAATACATGAGTCGACGGTTAAATTCCTATCCTCGCTTATCTTATGGTAGGCATGGTGAAATCATTTTTCTTGTGTTGTGTAATGTGAGTTTAGCTCATATTTTCATCATAGCTTAAAACGTAGGTGTCTTTTTGTGCTATTCATGAACACTTGATGCAGGCTACTAGCCGTCTTGTTGCATTGTGAGCAGATTATGTTTTTATGTGTTAACACTTTGCAGTAAACGCTAATCATTATTAGTCAACTTAATTTGATGAAGAATGTGTTACTGGATTTCTTACGTGATCATCTATATCTGCATGACTACATCAGAAATCATATTTCGTTTGACTACCAATTCATTAACTTGCGTTCCACTTGACCACCATTTGTGTCCACCAGTACACACGTCTATGCAACCTTACGCTGACCACCATTTGTGTCCACCAGTACACACGTCTATGCAACCTTACGCTGACCACTATTCGTGTCCACCAGTACACACGTCTATGCAACCTTACGCTGACCACCATTTTTGTCCACCAGTACACGTCTATGCAACCTTACGCTGACCACCATTTGTGTCCACCAGTACACACGTCTATGCAACCTTACGCTGACCACCATTTGTGTCCACCAGTACACACGTCTATGCAACCTTACGCTGAATATTTTCCATAGTACGTGTGATCATGCGAAAATGTTGGTTGTTAGAAAAGCAGAATGGTTCCTTCAAAGACTTTTGAATTGATTAGAGATCTTTGAGAAAACTTGCCTCTATTAAAAAAATATGCACTCGACAATTGTTGTTTTGATTGAAGCTCTTTATAACTTACGTTTATAACTAATCGCGGAGATTATATAATTTATTATAGCTGTGGAATGAATTTACTACCGTATCATCAGCAAATCGCGAGGATCCTTTTTTCTGAGTTGTCGTGGACTGAGTCCGAAGAAAAAAAATATGGTTCTCAACAAGAGTATGGGTGAGGGAACACTAAGACATTTCTTCTGTTGTTTCTTGCAAATTTGAGATTCATGAACACACATACATTGTGTATTTTATACCATTTGTAGCAAACTCCGCTCTGTCATCTATGAGTGTCTGGAATATCTAGTGCATGTGACGTCATCTGTGGGTGAAAATACTGGACTGGTGAAGAAAATCATTTCGCATGTTCTAGACGACGTTAAACCAGTTGTAAATACCACCAAGGTAGGAAAAATATGGTAATTCCAGTCATTAATACATCGTTTCTGAGCAGCTTTCAGTAGAAACCGAACCCTTTACCTCATGTTTCTGTTCCATCGAGAATGGTACTTTAGTTGGTGAAACATTTCCACCTCTTGCATAGCGGAATATTCGATGCTAGAATCTTAGAAGGAAGATGTTTTAACTATCTTTTCAGTTATTTTATTGTATTTACCAACCACGGCAAAGTTTTTTGTAAACTTATTTTCTGATTCTTGCGTGCTGTACGCAAGAATAAGAAAACATTATGTTGTATGTCATCCTTTATGCAGCTTCTTGCGGCCCCAACATCATCGAAGACGTCATTACATGGAAAAAAGGTTTGCAGGATTTTTCTATCACCAATTACTTTCAATGTTTGATCACATTTAGTAAAAAAGTAGTATGACGATTTTCGAAAATAACCGACTACTTGCAGGCGAAACGGAAACGCATTCAAGATGATGTGACGCAACTTAGACAAAGTAGGTTTTCAGTCAATTCTGTATCTTGCTTAGAGAGTTCATGAAATCCATCTGTGACCATCGACCTCTCGTACTTCTTAGCAATGATCATTTCATGATTTAGCAAGACCATACCTACGTTCTTCATGATGAAATATTTAATGGGTATCATTCACTACATTAACAATTTCGGTTTTGATTCGTCAACTATCTGCGAATAATTCCTTGTATTTGTAGTTATGACGTCATATCTACAAAGAATAGTTTCTACAATAATTGTTGACGCTATTAAAAGCCTGTTGGAAAAAAGTCAAATGAAAGCGAGGTTTGCCCATGGATTTGCTGCAGTTTCTAAAAACGATTTGCGAAAGCTTTTGAACAAAAAGTATGCGGAAAAACACTAAAAAAGCGAGGAAGTTGGCCTCACTTCCGCTTCCATAACATTGACCTTGGACTAAATGATTTTTGATAACATGTTCAGTCAAATTCAATTATTGTTAAATATACAGAATTGTGTCTGATGTAGAAATCGAGTAATTTTCATGTAAATTGGCCTTTGGGCGGCCACTGTTGTAATAATGAATTATACAATAAATAACCCCAATACTCCCTTCTATTTACTGTCAAATGCCTATATTACTTCATCTTGCGTGTTTATAGAATGATAATGCTCGAAGGACATAGAAAATATGCTTTCTAGCTATTAAAATCATAGTTGCAGTTGGCATTGCAATTTTTGGTGTTTTAAAATAATTGTATTTTTTGTTTCTCTGTAGCAGAGCAAAAAACCAACTACCATGCAAACGAACATTTATGCTATTCTGGTTTACGAGGTCTGTATGAATGCTTTTTTAAAGGCGCAAACTTTTGTTTACCATAAGTTTTATTATGCATAATAATTTATTGTGATGTTTTTCCCAGCGTTAAATACGATAATTTTGAAAGGAAGCTTGGACATTCCTGTTAATATCATGAAGGTAAAGTCCCGTGCAAATGTAATATCCTCTCGTGAATTTTGACCTGCTTGCACTAATATGTCCTGCAACAAGCTTTTCACGAGTTTTTGCATAATGACGCAGGGAACTAAATCTTTTGGTTACTGCGTTTAGGCCTGTTTCATACGTTGTATTTTACATTAGCCGAATGCATTTAAAACAAAAGATAATGAGGAATTTTATCTAATTTTCTTTTGTTTTTAATGCATTCGGCTCATGTAAATGCGACGTTCGAAACGGGCATTAGTATGAAACGAGTTTTCGTTTTTTTTGTCTAAAGGAAATACAGATTTTCGTTGTCGGGCTTCTCCTGGAGTGCCAGCAAGTTTCAAATTCTCAATCTTACTATCCAGTGCCATATTCCTCACCAGAATGTCGGAAGATGTTGTATAGCGTACTTAAGAGTTTACTGTATCATCATGATCCACGAAATCCACCGCCTTTACAGCACGCAATTCTTATCTTCAGTCATGGAACACAGGATGAAGACATTGAGGTGGCCTGCTTAATACTTTCACTACATTTCATTTTGCTCAACCGATAGAAATACGCTGCCGTAAACATTGGAGCAGATTAGATGAAAGTTCTTGTCATCCTCAATTCCTTCAGAAATGACTGCTACACATGTTGACAACATTGAATGTAGTTTTCAATGTCTTAATCACAATGTTCATTCACATTTGGTACTTTCATTTTTTGTTTTAAGGTTTCAAGATTTTGTTTCGAAGCGCAAATGTTCTGTCAAACTCTTATTCATCCCCGTGTTCCTGTCTTATCAAGACATTTTCATAATGTAGACGATCAAAACACTCGAGCAGAAGCGATGACGGATGCCACTGTTACAGCCATTAGTCGTAATGGTAGTGTGAGCGAAGAAACAAGTGTGATCGATCAGGAAAAACAAACTTATTTTCAGGCAAATGATTCATTCAATTTGGCAGAGAGAAGTTCAACTGTGTCATGTAATGCTGCAAGCGATAGCTCACAAAATAACATTGGTGATAACAGCACAATTACTGGAGTTACTAATGAAGTAATCGATGATCAGGCAACGAAAATAGCAAATGATGAGATACACGATAGAGGTAATCGAGAGAACTTTGGCCGGACAGATGACGTTAATTTTGATGTATCAACAGAACATGCAACTGAAAAGGACATCGACATCGTGTTTAATTCAAACAAAGAATCTTCGAATGAATGCAGCGTTAATGTACAAACAGCAAGTGCAGATATTGCCAGTAATGAGTTGGATCCTCCATTAAAAAGGCGCAAGACTTTAAATGAAGCTAACCAAGGCGTCAAAGATGGCTCCCGAAGCTATGATGCTTTTATAAAATCAACAAAACATAACGAAGAAGAAATGTTAAAATTGACAGAGGTAATGTGTGACATCGTCGCGGATCCTATTTATCATTTCTCTATGTTCATAATGTGATTAACATAAGTTGATTATCCTACGTATGGTGATTATCTTAGGGTGGTTATCCCTTATGTAGAAATTCTTAATTTCTGTTTGCAGGATGAAACCATGGCTGCTGAGATGATTTGTTCATTTATTGATTCAGTTCCAGATTAGGTGATTTTCATAAAAGTGGATTTTGGTCAATTTCACTTTTCTTGCGTTTACTGTTGTTTTATATAAATACAATGGACAGAGTGGGTAAGGTCACAGGTGAAAAGCTGGTTTAAATTAATGGACAAGAAAACAATGTTCCCTTGATCAAAATTGTAGGTAAGTTTTAGCAAAATGAAGGTTTGATTTGAGCATGGCTAAGAAATGGCAGGAAATTTCTCAACCCATACGACCTTTTCATTGAACAGAACAATTTCATTCAATGATCGCATTATGGAAACATAACTACAACATACATCACCAACAAATCTTAACGTTCATGTTATCATTACTAGGTCCATGTTATCCATAGGTAATAAGTCTTTAATTTATCCTTCCTTAAAGTTACCGCTAGCAGCTTCCATTACTTTAAGCTCATAATTATGAGACATAAAGTGTTTTAAAAGAACAAGAAAAAAAACAACATCAATGTAAATAGTAAAACCGTAAAGTTGAACTCATTGTCAATCCTGTCACCATCGACATCATTGTCACTTAATCTTTTATAGCATTATTTTGCAGGTACAATACTGCTATTTTAATCCATTGCTTTTATTTTTTTGATATTACGTCCTGATGATCTCAAGAGATATTCATCCCGTTTTAGAGGAGGATTTGCCTCATTGTCCAACTTTTTTTGCAGATTTAGTGCAAATTTATAATCACTGTCTTGCTGGTGGCCTTCTGTTGAAGGACTACCTGAAATAGTTCCACAGATAGTGTCAGACAAATAACTATATAATACTAAACTAATCACTGATCTGATAATAGACTGGATATAGCTTCTATAGGTAGCAAAAGTGAAGCCTAATTATATGTGCAAAATGCACTTCCGGGTACCACAAAAATACAAATTACTATAGAAATGTATGGCGGATAATTACAAGGATTTTCAATAAAGGCATTTTGTGACCTTTTATTAATCTTCATGGATAAAACAAGTTATGTTAATCAATTTGACATCAAAATGATACCAATATCTGCAAAATATCATCAATTGAAAATTGCGAATCAATTTGCATCGTTGCAAGCAGCTCATTTTCAAGTTCAGAGGCAGTTATGATCTAGAATGAGTTTCGATGCTTAAAAAGTTTAGTTTATTATCTAGACATTGTTTTATGTAACTTTTGCCATGACTTCATTAGCTGGGTACTGTTGTTGTAGGAACAAGACAAATTTACTAAGCTTTCTTTCTCTTTATTCTTATTTTCATTTCTGTTTATATTTTATAAAATAATACAATCACCACACCTTGCTGTAGCATTTGTATATAGCCATATGGTTGTTATTGACAAAAGTATCCAACATTTTTATCAATTGCAGTCTATAAGCATCAGGAATTGTATTCCCATGTGGTAAACTGCCATCTAAAGTTAAAAGCACCTTTCTATTTTACTGCATACTTGAATAACAATAGCTGTTGGTTTGAATCAAAGTACTCATGTCTTTTAAAGACAGGAAAGCAGATTCACTGTAGTAATTTTTTCAACCAACAGCTTCTTAATAAGTAGGGCAGGTGGTTTTCTTTGGCAGCATCTGCCTATAAAATTAGCCATGTATGGTTTTGCAATCACTTTAAATTCAGAAACAATGGAAAAGCAGTGTGCACTACTATAATTTTGATAATCATCACAGCATATATTTTGTCTACAAACAGAAGTAATTTGTTTCAAACCAACAGCTATTGTTTTTATCAACATGAAACAAGGCAGTAGGGTGTTTTCAGCTTCTGATGGTAGTTTATTTCACGGAAATACAATTTCTGTTGCTGAATCCTTGTATACAATGCAATTGATGCACATGTTATGTCAATAACAACTATACTCACTCATTGATGAAGGCCATGTCCAAATGTATTAGTGGTGATTAAATTATATCTGTAAAATAATAAAGAATAGAGCTTAGTAAATTTGTCTTTTCCTACAACAAGACCAGCTAATGAAGTCATGGCAAAAGTTACATAAAACAATGTCTAGATAATAAAAATGATAAAAAGGTACAAAACGAATTTTAAGCATCGAAACTCATTCTAGATCATAACTGCCTCTGAACAAATGAGCTGTGAATTATCTTGCCTTTGCAACGATCAAAATTCTTACGCGCAATTTTCAATTGAACACGCCGATATTTTGCCGATATTGGTATCATTTTGATGTCAAATTGATTAACATAACTTGTTTTATCCATGACAGATGTTTGAGATTAGTAAAGGTCACGAAATGCCTTAAATATTCGAAAATCCTTGTATGTAAACGTTATCCGCCATACATTTCTATAGTAATTTGTAAAGTTTTGATATAATTAGGCTTCACTATAGAAGCTATATCCAGTCTATTATCAGATCAGTGTAAACTAATAAGTGGGCAATTAATATAGGACACTTACTATTTTCAATAGTTTGTGTTGAAGAAAAATATTGGTGTAAAGTGTTTATTCCCTGCTTCTTACCTTTGGATTTTTTCCCTATTCTTGCCTATATGAAGAAATCAACTTCAGCTTATACTTAATAATAATTATATGCAGTATATTTAATTGACTGCTCACTTTTTTAAGTGCTGAATCCATGGACAGTTGACTTGGCAATCTTTCATTCACAATCTGTTGTTGCCATTGTTGATTCTGTTCTTTGAGTATTTTATTATAAGATTTTTACTTGCTTCCTCCTCTTTTTCCTTTCTTTCTCTGATCTTCAAAAATTTAAATAGTTTAACAAAAGTAGTTTATACATATGTATAATACGAAAAGAAAACTGATAACTATAACATAAACAAAGAAAACTACAGAGTGTTATATAAAATCCATAAAGGGTTTTTGAATGTCCTTCATGGATGTTCAAAAATGAGCTTTCTTTATTCATCAATGGATATAGTTCCACATTACCACTGTTATTCACTATAGAAATATCAACAATATAATAGAGTCCTTCTCAGAACTCTACTAACCTGGATGATCTACATCCACAAACATGTTACCATACTCCCGGGTTCAAACCATTTACTTTAATTACTTTATAAATAACATTGAAGGATTTACATGTTTGTAAATGTAGATCATCCAGATTGGTATAGTCCTGAGAAGGACTGTTTTTGTTATTGTTGACTATACCAACCTGGACGATCTACATTTACAAACATGTAATGATACTCCCAGGTTCAAACCATTTACTTTATTGAAGGATTTTTAAAAATTTTCCTAAAAAATGACCAACTAAGCCATTATTCATTTTACGTGGTATCGTTACAAAAAATTATTTACTTTTTTGATTTCCTCTTCATATTCTTGTCGCAATTCACCACACTTTGCTAAAACTCGCTTAACTGGTGGACCTGAGTGAAATCAATAGTCGATCAAAATCATTAGCAAGAAACGATATAAATACAAACATGAAGTATCATTACAAAACCAAGTAAAGTAAAAGTAAACTGTAACATATACATTCATCGTCACTCTCATCATCGCCATTAGAACGTAATCTCTTGTGGCATTTTTCGGGAAACAATTTTTGAATCTGATCCCATCTATTTTGATCCACCAATGTTCTTCTCTCATGGACCTTCGTGCCCAACTGGATATGCGTTTTCTGCACATTGGACATAAGAAATTAGCTTCTGCGACATTCTTTTGAAAGCACGTTCTACACATTTCATGTTTACAAGGTAAAACCACAGGTTCTATCAGTAGCATCAAGCAAATACCACATTTATAATCCGATGCCGAATGTGGAAAGGTGCTTTCTTGTCAGCCATGTTGTAAATGTTATATTATTTTGTTTTTTGTTTCCGGCGCCCGCCAAAAATTACTCTTAAAATTTCTCTTAGATTTTTGACCTGCAATGCATTATGCATTCATTTCATATATACCACATACAGACGACTTACGCTATGACGAGGCTTTCACAGACACTGACAGATAAATTTTGCATTATTTTCGTTATATTTGAGTGATTTTTCTCCGACTTTTCATTATTTTTCGTTCCACTTCATTGATTTTATGATTTTTTCATAATTTTCGTTCCATTTGGGTGATTTTTCATAATTTTTCGTACCATTTCATTGATTTGATGATTTTTTTATATTTTTTGTTACATTTGAGTGATTTTTCATTATTTTTCGTTCGATGTAATAGATATTTGATTTTTGTCATTATTTTGTTTCAGTTCATTGATATTTCATCATTTTTCGCTCCATTTAATTCATTTTATATTTTTCATTATTTTTGCTCTTCATAACATTAGTGACAAAGCCATGATGAGTGATGGCGACAAAAATTTTTTTTTTCTTTAACCTTTTTCCTTTTTCTTTGATTTAGTAGTGTCATTGTAGAAGTCTATACACGTAAAATAACCATTTTTGTTCAGCATCATTTTTATGTCAGAAATTCTAAACAAATATATAATATGTGTTACGTATGGATGCAGTTGAAAAACTTGCTTTTTATTCTCGATAATTCCGCAGACTTGTCAAGTGCCATGCATTTGGTGTAAATAACACTCTCTTTCGCAATCTGTTTAGGGCACGCAAAGCAAGTATTCAATTATTTTTACACATTTTACTAAAATTAGATCTGACCAGCATACATTCATGCTTTTGAGATACCTTACAAAGAAGGTTTCGATGGTAATACCTGTGTTGAAAAAAAAGTTTGACGACCTTGTCTGAATTTTCTGCACATGGACTGTTTCAAGAATAAAATGATGAGAAAAGATAAAGAGCCTGGATACAAATGTATTAAAATATGGAAATGAAACAAGTAACTTGTAATTTGATTAGTATTTTTATGTGGCAAAAACAAAACAATATTCGCAAGTTTGGGGGATGTAGGAGCTAAGTTTTCATTTCATATCATTCATTTTGATTCAACCACGTACACAAGTTTTTTGTCTTTACTACTTCTCAGTAGCAAGCACGGCCTTTGAAATAGCAGGCACTCAAACAGGCGCTAATTATTGCACCGTTTTTGAGTCCTTTTCTGCGTGAAATCTAATGAAATTCCACGTAAAACATCTGTTTTGGTACGTCACAAAAGATCGATACGATCACAACCGGTGCCTTGCGTGTAGAATGCAAGCACTGGCACCGGTGGCAACGGTTGCAAGAGAGTTTTATATGAGATATTTATATAAGAAAGTATCGATTGTAAACGCTCAAAATTTCTTGGTATTCTAGGAATTCTCAAGTGATTATGAGTGCATAATTGTGTGTTATTTGCGGCATTCCATTCTTAATCCTAGCAGGAAAAGATGCAAAGTGAACGCATCCTTTCAGGAAAAGATCCAATCGCAAAACGCAGCTCGCTGCGAGTGCCTAAGTTACTCGCAGCGAGATTACCATGACTTGCAGCATAGTTAAATTAATTGAACAAATTTTTGATCGCGAACAGACTGCAAGCTGCCAAAAGCATTTGAAAAGAGCCTTTAGTGTTTAAATGTCCCGCAAACCGAGCGAAAGTAGTATATCGTTTCCATTTGCCAAAACTATTTAACGCTTGGCTGAATATCAAACCATTTGATTGTGAATTTTTTTGTTGAATTGGTTCAGTAAACTTGATTAATTTTGTTTGCAAATACATAGGGTAGTTTAGTTATCGTTGAAGCTGTTGTCATTGGTTTTCATAAGTTAGTGGCAATTTATTTTGTTGCTGACGCAATGGAAGGACGATTCCTTTACCACTCGACGACATAAACTGTTGAGCAAAAACGAACTAAGGCTTGTACTAACGAGTGGCTCGATTTTGATTAAAATTGAGAAAGATTTACTTGCGACTCAAGTATGGACGATTTAACAGTCCAAACAAGAGGACTTTTGACTTCGTAAACTTGCCCTCCATGCAGTGTGCATGAGTTCAATCGATATGCCAGAGACATACTGCTATTAACTTTTTCCATTCACCAAAATTGAAAATGATTCAGCCATGGAAAATAAGAAGCAAGCTGAAGCAATTTCTACAGGCAACGAGAATAAAATTTGGAAGCAAGGCGTATTTTAATATTGATGAGGGATGTTTAGTCTAAAAGTCCCTAATGAATGCATGTATTAATGAGGAATAAATATCCCTCTTCCCTATGATGAGGGAAATACGTCAGTAAACGTCCCTATGATGACAAATCCTGAGGCAACCATATTATTACTACAATAAATTTATTAGTAGAACTAGTTTCCAACTTAAGAATTTAACTGAGTATTCTGCATGAACTATATAGCGCAAGAAATGATGGCCAAAGATGTGTGTAGAAATTTTTTATCTTTTGATGAAACTTCGAGATACCCCCAACCTGAGGCGCTCAATATGCATCAGTCAACATAACAGGTGAATCCGCTTCCTGAGTGAGTCTACCAAATAAAATTTAATCTAAAGTTGTGTTTATTTAGGGGCTGTTTACGTCAAGAATTGGGCTTTGCGTGTAAGCAGTCTTTTGTTGTACCATAGCTAAAAAATGATGCTTAATCGCTTGCGTAGTTGTTGAATTTTCAGGCCTGCACAGGGAGCGCTAGCCCTTACCTAGTTCTCATTCATCGCAAAGCGTCGCTAGAATCAGCAACGTTTATCGCCGATGGTCGGTGATAGCCAATGCGCGAAAGATTCTCATAAATATCGGCGATGATATACAAAGCAACGCGCTTTAATATTCATACTAAAATTGCATCTTTTAATCTAAAGTTGAAAATATCAGTGCAGCCTCAATTGTTTTTAATGTAAGTTGTCGCCGAATTTGCCAGACTCACCTGCTGCTTGTTTGAAGCAAGTGGCACTCGGCAATGATCGGCGGTGATCGCAAGACACAACTTGCGATGGCAGTTCCGATGTTCGACGACCGTCATAAAAAATCTGCAAAACAATTTTCAATGCGTCCTCGATGATCGTAAGCGCTCGCCGACGTCGTAACAGCTCTATCGCCGACGATTTGCGATGAATGAGAACTAGGCTTTAACATGAACTGGAAACTTTCATCCCTACGTCTCTCTTGGGTAGTCAAAACCGTGATTTCGTCTGATAGAGCTAGCCGACCTCTCATGTAAACCAATTTTAGTATGGATTTATAGTGGCTTGCAGTATCTCGCCTGGAAAGGCTCACGTAGGACTCATGTAAACAGTCACTTAAAAATATTTCACAAATATCGCTATTAAGAACTTTTACAGTCACATATGCGGGCATGATAATTTTTACACATACAGTATTGTGTAATTGCAATTATTGCTGACTGCAGGCTCATTAATGTTGGTTGACTTTCTATTCCTTGATGTAAGCATGCTTGCATTTGGTTGCGTGCTCTCATTGTTTGAGATATTTCGACGCCTTTGTGAGTAAATGTAATTATAGCTATCATTCCTATCAAAGTCAAAGCTAGCCCATTGAAAAGAAAAAATGCGGTATGCATTAAATTGAGCGAACGGATTTCCTTGTCATCGAATTTGAAAACTATGGAGGCGTTCGATTCTCCAGAGATAACATCAAAGTTGCTTTGCATAATATAATACAGACGATACGATTTGATAGGGCAAACTTTAAAGAGCTGCATCCCGAAGCGTGACAATCCGATAATTGGAGGTTTTTATTTAAACTGTTTCGAGATAAGGTCTAAAATGATTGAAGCTTTTGAAGTAAATGTTATGATTTGATAAGACAAGCTGCGGGGAGTGATATGCAAAATAACCACTGATAATTTCATGATGTAAAGCGATGCTTAATATCTAGGGCGTTCAATCAAATTGCACAAAGATAAAGACAAGGAATAAACCAATCAGAAAAAGAAAACAGGCATTTATACGAACTGCCTTGCGCTTCGGCTCCAGATGTACGAATATTGAAAGACGACAGAGAAATGGCCAAAACAAGACATGCGTAGTTACATAAAAGTAGGGAAAAATCTTGTAAAATTGCAGAATTATCAACCGCGTCGCGATAAAGAAATAAACGATCTTTCGAGAAGAAAGAAAGAAGAAAATATTTGGCCTTTGAAAACAATTTTCGAACGATAAACGACAATGATTGATTTTTATTGCATATTTAATTTGAAGTCTTTCACTGGAGGGCCCTTTCGTTGAGTGTATGGGACATGCCAAAGAGAATAAATTCATTAATGGTGTTAAATATTTTCGCGGCTTCTTTTAGATTTCTTAAATTTTAGCGTCACCAAGACTCCCACTTATTGATCAAGCGTCTATCACATTATACAAATAATTGATCCAAGTTTCGATAATTAAATAATACGTATAATAGTATTTTTTCATTCGGCGTCCGCGTCGTTTCATTTTAGTCCAAAATAAACGATGCGATGTTGAGATAATGGTCAATTAATGGCAGTCTAAAAGGCAAGTTTCATTCATATAAGCATGTCTTTTTTTCCTTCAATTATTCTCCGTTTCAAAGGAAAACGTGTTTGGTGGCAACAACCATCTGTTAAAAAGACGCATTGAAATAGAAACTCGTAAATTAACAAAATATCTGCGGCAAAGTAGCCAATTTGTTCGGACAAATGAGAGTTGCATATTCGCTTACGCAAAACTTCAAAGAAGAGCGTTGTATTTTTACAAATTACCAGTGTTTTATACTAACAAAACAGAGGATCTGTATATCTGAGCTCGTATACGGAACTTTTTTCACTATCCTTCATGTTGGGTAAGTCTGATATTTTTCGTGTGATAATCCATTTTATATCCTGTTGACTGTTCGTAATTTTTTAGACATTTTCAAGCATCAGTTTTTATTTGATAGTGAACAAAACAGCGGGGCTCAAGATTAATTACGTCCATTTGAGAGTAAACAGAATATTCGGCCAATGAAAAGAATGGCTTTTAATTAGTTGTCATCGAAAATCGATGAATCTAAAACAAGAATTGACCGGAAAGAGACGTAGCGTGGTGTTTCGATCTCAACATTGGGGAACCGACGTTTGGCGCGTTGTGGTTGTACTTTGGCATGCTTACACTGAACCAAAGCGGGGCTTCTATTTAATATCTTAAACAATGCTGCATTCGGCTGTGTACATTGCTATCTTAATTCTAGCAAGCTTAAATTTCTATACTGAGTGCGGGAGATCAAATCGGACTTTATGTCCGAAAGAAATGAATGTGTTCCTCGCCAACCAAAGCAAAGCCAACGGTGCAGTAGATATTATTTATTTGATTTTTCATAATTTTCCATATCGCGTGTTTGGTTACAGCGATGATGCACTTATTGATGTTTGTGTAGATCAAGTGTTATTATTATTGTTTTTGACAGCATCTGCCGATATGTGGCCCAATATATGCTCCAATGATACTGGCTGTTGCAATAAAACGACTAGGAATAAACTACGAACACAAATTACCACGAGCGTACTTAATCTTATACAAGAACGAAATGAGAACCTAAGAAGGCGACTTAAATATGTTTATGACGATTTAGAAGGTAAGAATGATTCGTAAAAATCATTTTTGATTTGTTTGCGTCCTTTGGGTTATCGCAGACTTGTTTCCAAACAAACCATGCAGTCACTACAAATTCGAAGTGCATTCAAATCAGCAGGTGTCGGTAATAATCATACAAATACAAAGCTCCCTGGATGTTTTAAATCGGACAGACTTTTGCATGGCATGAATAGATTGTTGTTAAAGGCATGAATAGATTGTTGTTAAAATTCGTTAATTCCTTAGAACAGGTGAATATTATGTACATTTTTCAAAGTAGGTCAAAGCATACACATGTGGACATAATTTTGTTGGAATGCAAGAAATGAAGATGTCCATTGATAAAATATGTGCTTTGATAGTCCGTTGAAAACTCTATATCGATATAAAGGGGAACAAACTCATTAGCAGATTGAAAAAATTGTTTCAACCTTATCACCCAACGAAGTATTATCTGTCGTGCGTATCTTTGTCAGTACACTCTTGTATTCAATGAATTAAAACACAGCATGCTAAACTAATCGTCCGGTGTTTCCTATGGCTTACGGTATCAATGTGAAAATACATGTATATCCGGTTGTTGATTGTTGAATAATATTCATAATAAAAATAGCCATTACTTGTTGAATTGGCAAGGCTTAGATGATGAATTTCTACGCATTATATTGGGGTTACTCGTTGAGTTTTTGGCAAACGGCAAATTAAATTTAAATTGGCGATGCTATATATCTCAAAGGCTTTTGCTGGTGTTTTAACACCTTTCCATTAGTTGGAAACAATGTATATAATGAATACATTTTCTAGAAAGACAAGTTTTAAATTTCCAATGCGTACGTGTATTTATCATTTGCACTGCAGTCTACTTCTGTGTTATTAGTTTTTGGTCATGTTTATGTTAAGTTAATGAAGAAGTCCATAAGCTGCCAATAATTTATAAATTGGCTAATCAAACTTCATTTTTTGTGCAAACCAGTAGGCATGGGAAAAGACGGCCAGTTCAAGTTAACCGGTGCTCATACAAAGCTTGATTGACTACAATTCAGAAATTTTTATTGAGATCGAAACTCTTTTCGTTTTTCATTTATGACAATATTGATCGTAGAAAACATGGTCTTTCTTGATTTTTGTCCTTTGCAAAATCTTTGCAATGTCTGATCTAACTATAGTCTCTGTGAGACATTAAATCTTTCACAGTGAAAGCTTATTCTCAGAATGTATTTCAATCACTCTCAGCAGACACAGTTTTCTCGTTTTTTTCTATACTGATTTTTAGAAAAATTTTGTGTATGTAATGTTGCTTTAAGCCTTATAGTACAAATCCCTATGACGACAAATTTATTTATTCTTTTAAAAAAAAAGCGAGCGCTAAATCCTGTGTATGGTAAACATGTCAACCTAAATTTGACCATCCGTTTCATATAAATTGTTGCTTAAATATTTCAAACTTTGTTCTGAACTTGGTGAGCTAATCGCCGTGTACAAAGCTGAGCAAAATGAGATCACTTTTTACAGTTATTGAATTTCATAAATGAAACCAATATTTAATAAAACATGTTTTGCTTAAAGCGGTTAGTCGATAAACATAATTGTCAAAGGTAGCTTCGTTGTCAGCGTATCTAATGACAATAAGTCACATTGCACTATATTTTTTCCTTCTTGCCAAAATATTATTTGATACTCTTGGAATAATTAGAAAAATATGGATAGTGTGAAGAGAAATCAATCAGATGGTATCAGATTTAATTAGGTGATTAATTAGACAGGATGGATAAATCATCAATTTACAAAAAAAAAACGAACATGCAATATGCTGCAGCCAAGGAATATTTTTTCCTTTTTTAGTTGTTATTCATGGTGTCTTGAATGAATCATCCGCAAACATTGCCGACTCTCTGCAGTTTCAAGTCAATAGAAATCTTGCTCATTTCATCAAGCCACATCTCCTTGGTCTGTTTGACAAACTGAGAACCTCTTTGAGCAGTAGGGAGATAAAAGCTCAAAACATAACTGAAGAGCTTTTCCGAAATATCTATCCCATTGTTTACCAACACACAGTTGCTCGGAAAGAACTTCCAGAAGACTTCGCTGTTTGTCTCAAAGATTATTACGACGTTATCGACCCATTTAAAAACGTACCGTTCAAACTTAGATTACTTATTATGAATAAGTTTGGATTGGTGCAACAATTTTTACATAATTACAAAATCATCGGCCACGTTATGGACGTCTTAGATCGTATTCAGCTATCTGAGAATTGTATCACGGGACTGATCTTAATGAGACATTGTCCTCTGTGCTCTAGTCTTCATGATGTGGAAACTTGTGGAAAATACTGTCGAGAAGTTATGGTATCGTGTCTGAAGCCTTACAACGAATTGGAAAATGTGTGGAGCGATTTCATTAACAAGTTTAAAATTCGCCAAAGATACCTGGCAAAATCTTTGGATGCATCAGCATTGTTTTCAAAGTTACAGGAAATATTGTCAGAAGCAGTATCACATGCAAGCCATGTGAATGTTAAACATAGGGTAAGATCTTTCAACTTCATCAAAAAATAGTGAAAAAGAGTAACATATCAGGGTTGTTGCGAAGAGATTGGAGGCCGTGGGGGTTAAGTTAAAATCTTGTAAAAAATGGTGCTGTTATCGAGTATTTTCTTTCCGAAGTAAGAGCCTCCAAATGCTGATTGGATACACAAAGTTTTACCTTTCTGAAAATTGGCTTTATATCTCAATAAAGAAACAGAGCGATTCTTCTCGTTTTCTGAGAATAAATATGTTGAAGTTTTGTTGACAACTTTTCTGATAACTTGCCATAAACATATAGTGCTTGCGACAGAAAAATATGATTCCAACATTTGTTATGAATTTATTATTTTTTTCAAAACGCTGTAAAGCTGATTGCTTTTCAAATTCCTCCTTGTAGGTTACAAAACACTGCCATAACATAACAGAATACAGGGCCAATGCAATTGTAAGTCTTAAATCGCCTAAAAAGAAAACAGAATGGTCAAATGATGACCTTTATTTGACGAACGATGATCAAAAACCGTATCAAGATCTTCTTACGTCCAAAGATATTGGAAAACGGTTGATATTTCTCCGAAATAATTTGACCGAGTTCGAAAAATTTCTCAGGTTTTTCCACTTCGCTATTTGTACAAAAATGGAGGTCTGTTTGCATCATCGTCCGAAAAGAAGTGCTGGATTACCGCAATTGATAGGTCCGTTAGAAATTAATAAAATTATTGCATGATTACTCTTTATCAAACTCGTTTGCATCGTCTTGTTTTGTTTTTTAGTGATCACCATTTGAAACCAGTAAATAATTACCCAATGGAAAATGATGTTTTGCAACTTTTGGGGAAAGTACTTGACCGTCAGAAGAGCACGTTTCGTCCCCCAGCTACTAAAGCAAGTGGTTATGGTAGTGGGGTTGATACTGGTTAGTTTTTCCAAAATGCTTACAAACATGTATAAACGATTACCAACATAATGAGGCGATTGATCATATTGCCTCAAAAACAAAGTTCTTTAAAAAGCGACAGGTTAGCTCAACCCAAGGTTACTATAAAACTTAGTCGACGGTTGGTGATTGAAATTTTCTTTATTTCGGTAAAAAAATTTTAAAAGAATTTAAATTTCCTGGGAAAAAGTAGTAGGTAGTATTTCACTCTACCTTTGTTCGACTAGGTTCTGGTTCTGGAGACCACAATATTTATGCCGAACCAAGCGGTGAGTCGGGATGTGGTGATGACGAAGAATGCGGATCAAGTGACGATGACAATGGTATGTGCTGGGCTTTTGGTACTAGTTTAAAAACGTAACAATACCATACCTCAAAAAAGTATGTTTGAAAATCTAGTTTGTGCAAAGATCTAAAATGATATAACTGATAAAGTTCTTCTCCTTAGTACATATTAATATTCATACTGATCGACATTATTGTAGTGATAGATCCCTTCCAATTACTCATTTGTTTCTTCTTTTCATGTTTAGTGTCGTCCTTTAGTACGCCGGACGATGAAGAATTTACAACAGAAGCTGTAATTGCTCCAACGAGTTTTTCAAAACCAAGTGAATCGTGCTCACTTGTCATTCTTGCAATCCACATTACACTTTGCTATATCTTTGCCACGCATTGATTGTGTTGTCGTTGTCAGATAGAATTTTTGTGACAATATCATGCTTTAGTTGTCATTCATGTCGCGTTCGTACAGTATTCCATTTCCATTAGATTAAGTTATAGCGTTACCTTGGAAAATCGTGAAAGTTTTCCACATAACTGAAAGCGAATTATTACTATTTCAACTTAGAATGACAGATACCGGTGTTTTTTAGGTGAGCTGGTTATTTTATGGCTTTCAAAGGCAAGCGACAATGTTTCATGTTACCAGTAAGAGTGTCGTAAAGTTTTATTTTTTACAAAAGACAACTGATGTGTGTTAAGGTCATGCAACTGGTTGATTTAAAATCAATAACATTTTAATGATTTACTTTGCATTAACATTATAAAGGAATTTCCTAAAATAGAAGTTCCTTCAGAGATATCAGTCGTTATTCCTAATTTAAACAACTTCTGGCGGCCAAGTTTAACCTTTTCCTATAGCTCTCTAACTTTTTATTGGGCAAATGATTTCTTTGTTACCGGTAAATCGTGCTTGTGCAGACCATCCTCTATATTGTGACTAAAATAGAGCGCATGTATTTATGAACATATTTACATGAAATGTGGAACACTTTCATTTATATATTATATTTTTATATCATCTGTACATAGCTAGTTACATGAAATAGCAAACTTCACTTATGTATCAATAAAAAACTAGAGAATGAAAGCACGTTGTTAGAAGGAAAGTAGGGGAATTTGAAAGGCCCATTTATATTATCTCAAACCAGAAATCGTTGGTTGAGCGATGTGTGAGCTTGGAAAATTATGACGAAAAATAATGCCACGCAACCCAAAGTAAAATATTTTTGACTTCAATCTTTGTAAATCAAATAGTTCAATTTCCAGAATTAAAAGATAACACAAACACGCATAGATAGAAATGATTGCATTAATTAATGTTCCAACCATGTGATAATGTAAATTTTTTCCTCAATTTGCTTCAAAATGGCTGAAATATTTTAAGTCCAGCTTCGTACGAATTTTTCGTGTGCCAAATGAAAGTATCACGAGCTCAAACTCCTAATTATCTTTTGTTTCTAATGTGTTTGGCATGCGAAAAATTTTAGGTTGATTTATATAACCAAAAGATCTCTCACTCTCTATTTTCTCAAGGAACGTTTCGTCATATATTACCTAAACAATATTTCTTCAGTTATATTTCTTTCCCACGAACCAAATCGTGGAACACAAAACTTAATCATTCACTTCTCAATTCATGCATTGATAACAATCTTTATGTCTCCAACATATTCTCGTACTCCAAGTAAACTTCAGTCATCGCTTAGAAAAATAGCATGATTACTGGTATTAAAAGTTGAAACCACGAAGTTACGTCATTAAAACTTGCTCCATAGCCATTTCCTGAATTATCAGGAGGATCCGTCCTAAGAAACACACTTTCAACTCTATCATCTTCATTTGATTGTGTTGTAGTTTTAAAAGATTCGTCCGTTGATGAATTTCCCCCATCACCCTCGTCATCTTCTTCGCCGCTACTTTCTCCAGAAGCATTTCCACTTCCGCTTCCGCTGCCCCCATTTAATTCCTCGTCGTTCTCATTGTTGACGTCTCTGCCATTAATGGCTGTTTTCATCTGTAGAATTATTGACTCAAGTTCTCTTATCATTTTTCTAATTTCTGCATTGTTTTCTCCGCCGTTTTCTTCGTTTGCGTATGAATCGTTGTGTCCCAAAATGGCCGTGTTACTGTAGGATAAGAAAGTAAAATTGAGTTCTTTATCGTGTTTTTTAAATGTTTGGATTTTCCCTCGTTTGAATCTAGCTCACATCAGTAGTTTAAGCAATGCATTGATTAAACTATACATATATTGGTGGCGCCAGCAATGGAGGCAAGGGGGGTAATTCCCCTCCCCCAATCTTTCCCATACTAAGGTAAGATTGGGGGGGGGAGGGAATTCCCCCCTTGCCCCCATTGCTGGCGCCACTAATATATGTATAGAATAATCAACATGATTTGTATGATTTCCTGAGTCGTTATGACTTTCATTGAGTCTGTCGTCAACTTTTGTTTTTTAATCATATTCTTATGTACTTACTCAACAACCAGCTGGGTGTCATTCCAACATTGCTTGCTGCCAATACTTGCCACAATAGTTTTGTCGCACATCGATGAAGGAAGCGTACTCCAGAAGGACACGAACTTTGAAAAATGACTGTCATATTTCTTCAATAAACTAAGAAAAAGTCTTGTTGAGAAACAAAAAGGATCTCTAGAATAACAGACCTGCTATGCAGATGTGCATGCATGATATGATCATCTTACCTACTAATGGTTAATTTGTTTCCTTTTCCCTTCAATGCACGTCTTACAACTCTTCTCCCTTCAACATTGTTGACAAAGATGAAATCGTCGTTATCAGACGTTACTGTCGACCGTCTTTGCTTCTTGGTGGTTTGGCAGTATTTGGTACTGATCTAAAATGCATTTAGTATTACAATCGCTTTACATGAACCCTTTTGTCGTGATGGGAAATGCTTTGGCAAGTTTTCAAAACTTCCAGCGTTGAAATAAAACAAATTAGGATCCAGATAAAAATGCATCGTAAGATCGATGATTTGTTTTGGTGATAGACTGTGGCATCATCAACTTGCAAGTCTTATAGTAATGCTAAATAAATTTCAGAACTTTGTCGTGACTCCCTCTTTACAAATAATTTGTTTATACAGGAGGGGAACAAAGAAAAAATAATATATACCAGGAGTAAATTGTGCAGCTATATAACTAGTGATACATTAAAGTATTCTTGGTTTGCCTTGATTGACCTTGGACATTTTGAGGGTCGCATGTATGCAGATGAATTGATTTGTTGATTAAAGAATTACTTAATTTAGTTTCGGGTTGTAAGGACTGATACGGACGCGCATTAAAAGTGCCGCAAATGTCCAAGCGATAATAAAGCTTCTGTCAGTCAAGTCAGCCCCACCTACTCGTGGTGCAGCCTGTGTTCGGCTAACGGGGCTCTGGCGAGGGTCGAGTTTCCAGCGCCCTTAAATTAACTGGAACCCGCTGCCTTGCGGTTAGGGTTTGACTGCCCAAAGGCTAAGGGTGAGGTAACCCTGACAGAAACCTCCGGAGGACAAACCCCCCTCAGTCACGACAGGCCAGGCCCACCGACGTGTGGACACGCCCTGCTGACAAGGTTTGCCCAGCTATGGATTAAATAGTCCCCAGCCATGGGTAAATGGTGTTCGGCGTAACGGGAAAAACGCCAGCAAAGGACGCTCACGGATTAACTGTGTCGACGGCCTCTCCCTGCAACCGCGTAGTTTCACAGTCGTCACGATCATTTGTGCCACTGAAGATGGAACCGCGTGGCCAAGCCAATAGAACATGGCTACTGTTTGATAATTATTTTTGCCTATAGAGCGTTTTCCCTCATTCTTTTGGGATTAACATGAGGGCGCAGCCATATTTATGTACAAACAAAAGACTTTCATTAAAAGCTTCTCAATTGGTGCATCCACATGAGGGCTTTGACGTCATGTAAAAACGCTCTTTATGTAAAACAAGTTCTGAGTTTTTAGTCTATACAAAACATCTATTCCAGGATTAGGCATTTGGTGTTAACTTATCATAGGCTTTGTGTAAGGTAGATTGTTACTTAAATGCAAGCAAGGACGAGGACCGCAGATAATTGATAATTGGGGGGGAGAGGGGTATTCGTATTTGCATGATGTAGTCCGTAGAAAATAAAGAATTTTAAACGAGCTTAATACTGCATTCATGCATAATATATCTATACTACCCCCTCCCCCCCCAAAAAAATAATCAATCTTCCGCGGTCCCTGAAGGTATGCAAAAAAATTAAAAGTCTCAATGACGGAAAGAACATAAATAATTAACGAACCTCCGCGGCTTTTCCTAACAGTGCACTATACCCATGGGATATGGCCTCGTCAATATCGCCTGGTAGCTCTGAGAAGACGTCATCTAAACTGTATCTATTTGTAAGCACAAAGCCAAGATTTTTCAAGGAGGCAAGATACTTGTTCCATTCATGTTTTAATTGGTTGAAAGGTGATAAGCATCGAAGGAACACTTTCCTGCAACTCCACGGACATGGTTTTATACTACTGTAGCCAGGACACATGGAGCATTGAATCATATTTGTCGTGGATCGAATACATTTCCCATTCAACCATTTGTCGTCGCCCAAGTTTTCAACGATCGTTTTACCAACACGTATAGCGTTCAAGTATGTTCTAGCTGCAATTATAGACCTTTTTAGCCGAGGAATTATCTGCCTGGGTGCGTCTCCGAAAGGTTTTTCTTTATCGTAGTAAGTTGATGCACATTTCCTTTCGGAATTTGTTGGCTGTGGTGACTTGAGTAAGCCGTACATTGTTAGAAAAACCTTTTTGAAAAGATCATGTACAATGTCATGAATTTCGTACATTCCAAAACGATAATGCGCCATAAGTTTCTCGTAGAAATCTTTAGTGATGTACGAATTGTTTACGTACACACTTCGATATTTGTTCATCAGCTGTTTCACAAGTACGGTTTCAGACCTTTTAATACAGTCTTGAAAGTGAGCTGGAATGAAAAGCATAAAATATTTTATAACAACAAGGCTCCAAGTTCTATTAACTTTAGTGTTATTTTAAAGGCTTCCTCACACTCACAAAGTAGGGCTTCAAAATCACCTCATAAAAGCTGGAAGACGGTATTTTCCCTCTATTGATCGCTTCATTTGAAATACTTAGCAAAAATCCTGCCATCGATGCAGCATTAAATTTGCCGTTGATTAGTAAGAGAAGCGTCAAAATAAATGGATCATAAATTATAAATGAAATATACTAGATCAGATCCGTTAATCAAGATTTATAATACATGATGTACAAAGGTTTTAGAATATATTATATCATATCAAAGGCATTGACAAGTGTTAATAGTTATTATGATTTGAACGAAAGCTGCAACGATCACAAGTTACGAGATCAAAAATTCAAAAAGCATTTTCCACTGATAAAACTTCTTTAGCAAATTAAAAAATCACGCTTGCTAATTTATCAAAACATTTAAATTAAGCCGGATGTTCGTCAAAGAAAGAGATTGTGGAATAAGAAAAATATCAAATTTTAAGCAAATTTTACTGAGTACTCTTCATAAATCTACGATATTTTTTCAAAGCAAACGAGAAAACAGGGCTGTCCCTGTAGAACGTTAATTCGGGGATGTTTATTCACGTATTCAGTGATATACCCAAGACCCTTCTAAGGATGTCTGTGTAAGAGGATATGACATTTTTCATATTTAAATCAAAGATCTCTTAACACTGTAAAAGATGTAGTGATTGCATGCTTTTAACTTCTATAAAAATAGACATTTTTGTAATGCGGAAGAATTAGAACCTCGACAGTCAGTCGTTTCCTGATTAAACAAAGGATTGGCATAGCTTTATTTTCGTTTGCATTATGGTATGAAATCAATTTTCGTTACAATCTAAAATTATAGAACAGGTGTGTGGCGTTAAGATAAGCAAATCGGAAAAACAACTGACAATAAATCATCTAGATCCCGTATCTAACAAATGTTTCCATGGTTAAAGAAGTAAACACATGCAAACATTAATTTTCAAGAGAAAGTCCATCACAGTTTTAGAGATTTTAGCTCATGACAAGTATAAAATTTGCAGACCATGTCTAGAGATTGGACGTCACGAACATTGTTTCGTGTATTATGCATTTTTTTGTTTTAGCAGAGGAGTTCTTGTCCAAATTTTCTCTGCATTTACTGAACGACATCCAAGTTTACGTACATTTCGTAAAATGAAACCTTTAACTTTAAGTAACAAACTACTATACTAAATAATTTCAATTCAGCTTTGAATGAAAGCCAGCATGTAATTGGAATTTAACATTTCTATTATTATCCAGCGAATATTTAATTTATAAATAAGCGTCATCGCAAATTGAATCCGTTCACAAAGCCAAAAAATGTTTTCCCATTTTCCCGTCAATGAATTAGCTAATGATGGAAAATAATTCCACAGCTCATTTTGAATGTCGTGTTAATATTTTCAAACATCATTGGTTTGGTTTGGTTTGGGAACAAATTTCAATTTCATTTACACGTTCGTAAATATCAGCCAAAGAGGTCATGTATGTATGTGGAATGAACAAGTAAAAAACAACAAACACTTTGTGTATCCTGCAAAAAACTCTTTCGAAAGCTTTGAAATTAAAAAAAGTTGCTTTTTTCATAGTCCTAAACAGTCGTTGACTGCTTATAGCGGGGAAACTGCACCTAGGACATTGATGGTAACGTATTAAAAAACTAGAGATAGGTGAAAAATCCCTCTTGTATATATATATATATATATATATATATATATATATATATATATATATATATATATATATATATATATATATATTGATAAGAAGAAAAAATACACAAAACTACAATTTCATCCCGACAAGCCTGTTTCGTGATTTCTTACTCTTCTATATATATATATATATACATTCCAAACGTGATCATTTAATAAATCTCCTAATTAGACATAGCCAAACTATATAATCTGCTTAATTTATTAGGAAATAAATGAAATATCAATGAAGACAAAAAAATCTTATATGTCGTACTGCCGACCTCTAGTCTTCTAGTTCAGTGGTCATGCACTACCAGGATCAAGCTTTTCCCGTTTTTACAAAAAAAAATGCATGAGTTGAGTAAAGTGAATTTGAAAATCTGGCATTCAAAGTCTCGAAACATCAAATATTTCTTCAAAATATTCTTCTGGAATGCATGTGCTAGCTACTAAACATTTAATGAGGTTAAAATGTGCTAAGATCAAACCAGAAAACCCATGTTTAATGCCATAAAGAACTAATTGTTGTGGAAAAGAGAAAAGTTTGAGTACGTATTTAAGAATAAATCATGGCAATACAGAAAACTAAATTCCCATTTTTATATCTTCACTCTCTTCCAGGCCAGAAGATATAGAAATATGTAAAACTATGAATAATAAATGACATTAATAAATGACATTAATAAATGACATGTTTGTAAATGTAGATCGTCCAGGTTGGCATAGTCCTGAGAAGGACTGCTTTTTGTTGTTGTTGACTGACTTTTCGACAACCTTAGCGGTAGTCATCTTCCGAGTCAAAAGATGACTACTCTGAAGATGACTACCGCTAAGGTAGTCGAAACGTCAGTCAACAACAACGAAAACAGTCCTTCTCAGGACTATGCCAGCCTGGACGATCTGCATTTACAAACACGTAACGATACTCCCGGGTTCAAACCATTCACTTTATTAATAAATGACATTAATAAATAGGAAAGACTCTACATTGTGCTGCGTTAGATTATTTTAAAATATAATTCAATGGAATGCGTTGATTATAAGAAGCATTTTCATACAGACATTTTTTTAGATTACAAATGATAACGATAAATTACACCGAGCGCTTGCACAATAACCAACGAATCATTTGATAGGTCTATAAGCGATTGATTTGATCTCATTTGGAACGCCTAAAGGTACTGGCAGATCACTTCGATCAGTTGTACACAGGTATTTCATACAATGATAAATCACTTTATAATAAAAAAAATTGATGATTGCAAATACTTTTAAATCGTGGAATACTTGGAGAAGAAATCAAACACTTTGTAAACTGAGATAAAACGCAACAAAACATACGCATACCTTTTGAATTAACTATGGATAAGTCATTTTATTAATTAACTCGTCATAATTGTGAAATTTTCCTCCATATATCCCAAACTAGGCATATAATTATCTTAAAATCAAACATTCCTTTCGAGAAGGCGGTATGCGCTCTTTATGCAGGAAAAAGTCACTTTGAATCAAATATTTTCTAAATAAAGCTTCAATCCTACGATCAGGTCGTCTCCTGAAGGGTTTAAGTAAACCCACCATGCAATACAACCAACAACAGTTTTCTATCAATGCATATCCTGCAGAGAAATCGATTGAAATTTTTAAAATATTTTAGCTGACATATAATCAAATGCGCTCATCACTGTTTCAATAACACCCTATATAGACGGTTATTTTGAAAAATCTATTTAGGCAAATATTTCAGTACTCTCTCATTCCGAAAGAAATTACTAAAGAAACAGGAGCTTTGAAAGTTTTAAAAAGTTGTGGGTGTTTCGTGTCCATAATGAGATAGATCAGGAAAGTCAACTAGAAATGAGCCTGTTTGCTTTTTAGTTGTTTTTAAAAGGGTTTCCTTTTACTTCATATAGTGTACAAGTTAAGATCCCGTTCATTTCATTTATTAAAAGCTTATTACATATAACTCTGGCATTCAGTATATCATAAAAGTTCAAGCAAGAAGTCAAATTTGTGGGTGTCCAAACACCGCGCTGCTTCCCAGGGTTTTGTAAAGGAATAAAGGATAGTTTCGTTGCATGGCTGCATATGAGAACTGGCTCCGAACAATTTGTGGCTCAATTTCATGAGTTCAAATGGAGAAGATAATGAATGGATTGTTGGCAACATTATTTGAAATTCTTGATTCTTTTTTTACTTAGTATATAAAGCAAAACATTTGCCTTTCCCATGTCTCGAAAAAAACATTCCCTGATTACATCTATTGTGACAAAAGTAGCTACATTTTGCCCCAAAAGATTGCTGTGGGCAAAGTTGTTCTTGCATGATTGTCCATACATTTTGTACATGTCAGATGCATGTATTCTGTTATAGATATAAGTAAATGTTTTGATTGATTTTAAATCGAATATAGACATTCATTATTCTTTGTTTCTTGAATGAAGATAAATCAACTGTACACTTCATTAAAAATTTATTTAAATTTATAATTTTGAGAAAAATGAAAAGCGCCCACTGCCCAGAAATCATATCTGTCTATGTGAAAATTAGAAGAAGTAAATGCTGCCAAAAAATTTTGCAACCCATAGCGTACGAACACACACGTTGTGATGATGAACAAACTCAAATGAAACAGATATGTACATGGGGCGAACGGACGTGCTTCGTGAGAGGCATAAAATTTTACGAGTTTCTTTCTCTACCTGCACAGATTTTGATAGTTAGATGAAAATGCAAAATAATTTCCAGAAGGATCAAAATAATCTATGGGAGACTTGAAGTAAATAGAAACGCTATAAGAATCAACGAATCTTTAGAGGTCAGACTAGACGGGAATTAAAAGGTTAAACACTCGTCTATTTCTATAAACACTATGCTTGTTACAAAACACCTCATATTATCAAGCAGATGTGTAAGATCTGTGATGTTTTTTATTTTAATGACTGTGACGAACATACACATAGACAAAACACTGGTTAACAGTAGGGAGATAAAAATGCCCCGAAATACGTTATTTTTGTCCCAGTTAGACTTAAGCATGCCAGTGAGCGACGCTTAAAATCCATTATTCGACCCAAATGAGATTATGGTTAAAAGAATGGGAACTGATACTATGACGCTGCCGAAATACGATTTGACTGTGAAAATGTAAATAATTCACACGGTGAAGAAGCACATATGTTCAAACACTTAACACCAGGGTATTCGACATATATGTCATTGTCATTAATTGCGCAAAAACTCATTTACGATTTCAAGAAAATTTATAGCCATTCAAAACAGCTCAATTCATTTGCGCGTGAAACATTATGACTGGTTTAGGAAATTCTTGAAACATCTCGATCGTGACCACAATTCACACAACATTATAATATGACACGCACCTTTCAATTCTTTTTCAGCATTTCTGAAGATTTTTTTGATGAAGTCTGTTTTTGCTCGATATAAGTTTCGGACATCTTTTTGAGCAGTCTTGTGAAGCCTATCTTCTCTAAGAGGTCGTGTACAACATGTCGTGGCATTGAGAACGCAAATGGAAAGATTATCATCTGCAAAAATGTCGGTATGTTTTTATTCTAATAGTTCAAATAATGGGACTGTCATGGAGCAATATTCAAGAAACAGATCATATAAGAATTTTGTTTTGAAGAACGGACGTTCTTATAATTATTTCTTTGCATATTCTACATGATCTATGTTCATTTGATATGCGTGTATCGCTAGATTATTAGGTTTTATTTTGAAATCGAAGTGTGAAAAAAATCAACTTGAACTTACTCGATCTTAATGATTTGTGAGCAGCTGTGTAGTTCCGCGACCCATTCAAGATTTGTGTATCTTGGCAGGATATAAGTACACCAGAGTTATGTTGTGATAAGCTCCACTCAACCATCGTGAATAACACCAACAGCAATATAATCACGAATGTTCGTGCCATTTTGAAACGTACAACTGCGATATCTACAACTACCGACAACTTACATAAACCAAGGCAGCGCTGTTGTCAACGGGTTACGGTCTCAAATATCTGGTGGATTCCTTAATGTACACCACTGTATTACTATGTTATTTCTCTCTTTAGCAAGCGTTTACTGTATGTACCCCAAATACTTCCTTACGTTTCTACACTCTTTCTCTGTGACTATATATACTTCCGATGAACTTCAGCACTAAACACTTACTATTAGATGAATCTCTCGATGACAATTCCAATACAAGTTTATCATCATATTACCTACAACGTCACCGACTCAGAATGCAGCCAAGATATACGCAGCCAATCAGGTGATTGTGCGAGACAGCTCGACAAGAAAAAAGGCCAAAATTTCGAGTGCGCACACGGTACACGGATGGAGAAATTCTTCTATATTCCACCTAACATTAGTGATGGCTATATTTTTAATATAACCTTTGACAAGTTCGACTTTCATTTCGCTTCATATATTCATAGTCGACATTTGAGCAAGCTAACGCAGCTTGATAGTTTTGTTTACTTGAATATCATATAAATTATTAGACACAAGCATCCGATCACAAACAATAACCTCTATGAAAATATTCTATACCTTTTATTACTTTGAACTAAAAGGGCTTTCATTTGCAATGAATTTTCGCACGCGACAATAATAGACACACAAATGTGTCTTATGAGCGCAAACGGTGTATTCAAAATTAAAGATTTAATTATAATAGTTATATAGAGCATCCATTTTTGCAGTCAAAGATTGAAGCATACTCTATGTGCCTCATCATTTACCCTTCATAAAAGCGTATGTGGTGTAATATTTTCGACTTTTTTGTAACTTCGTGAGATATTTACGTAAATGCTAATCACTCACAATTGAAGCTTGCACAGGCGGAAAGATATATTGACACATGTATCGTTTGTATTGTTGTCGGGTTGATGTGAGGAATTAAAGAAAGTAAACGGATTGAACAAAATAATTGATGGCTTTCCTCTAACTAACCATCTATGATTACGTTAATTTGCTTGTGCTGCGTAAAGGCATGTGCACTTGTGCGTCAAATGCTATTATAAAAGGAAGTGGTAAACAGGTTTAAGGCTATTTAGCAATGTTTTGGCAAGGCAATTGTTTTTAAAAATTCTTTCATCAATGTGCTCATTCAAAAGGCATCCTATTTTTCCAATGGTAAAAATAAACGCTCAGAAAACGGGATCAATGGTCATAAGCAATACTGGTATTTAGTGGCCAGTCTGACAATTTGGTCATGCTATGTAATTTTTTCGGTTTTCATCAGCTGTAAAAGAAATCATTTCTAAAGAAATGAACAATGATAATGCTATGAAATTTACATACCATTACCAAAATTTGCAAGTATTTGTACGGTATCGTGGGGAGTTCTCTGAGTCATATATTTAGATATTCATATGTTATAATCCCCTATCACAATTGATTTCAATAAAAACTAATTGTGTAGAAAATGCATATAATATGCATATTGCCCGCGCCCCCAATTGTTAGCTTCTCGAGGTAAACAATATGAACAATCCATAGGAGCGCAATATGGGTATCAATTACTGATCTGGTCAGTAAGACTAATCTCTCTTTTTATGCGAAAATTTGTGATTCAGTTGTAAATTTTAAATAATCATGCCAATAGTTCTTGAAAGTTCTTCTTTGTTTGAGTTTTGTACATAAAGGTAAGAAATAAAATTATATAATATAAACATTTAAATGAACATTCCGTTTACGTTTTATTCCTTTCCATTGGTGGTCACTACATGTAAAGTCCCAAAGTGACAGAATTAAAAGGCTTTATCTATTTATTGCGACAATGACTGCGACATAATAAGCCCACCTACTGGCTATTCATTTCTTTTAGCATGTGAGATTTTCCGTTTCTAGATCATGTTAGGCGTATTGTTTATCAAACGTCTTTGGACTACCTAGTCATTCTTATTTTAGTAAAGACGGGGCAACTGGCGACATCGAGGATTAAAAGTAATACGAGCTAAAAGAGCACAACAATGCATTGTAGATAGACCAATCACTCCAAAATAAAAATATATGATTCATTCGGAGGTATGAGCAAAAATCTTATGTGAAAAGTCTTTTTGCGCCTTTTCCGTAAATATGACAGGTTTGTAAAATCTCATTATGTGTGCAATACGGTTAAATTAGCTAACACAAATACAATCTCATCTTAAGATTATTTCACGGATTATACTAATTTAATGCATTTGTGATGTAAGATGCAGTCACCTTTGATGTAATTGAGCTGCAAGTTTTCTTTCGAGAGGGATGAAAAAAAGATGATATGGACAGATGTTTGTAACTCAACGGCATACTTCTAAAGACTTTTCTATTAATCATGTCTTCATTTTCGAACAAAATATTTAAAGTTTTCAACTTTTTTTCTAGGCTTTTGAACAATTCAACTTTTCTCCGCAATGAAATTTTATCCCGTGCAAACAGTGCTGTAGAACTAAATTTATCAGAAGGAAGGCTCTCATGACGTTTTTGTCAATAGTGCCCTTTTGAAATTACCCATTTCAAAGGTTGAAGGGGGGCTCCTCCCCCAAGCGCCCCCCCACTTCTACAGCACTGCATACAAAGTCTATTTACCGAGGATTTTCTCAAAATCTGCACAAGAATTATTGTAACTGTTTGGATGAATGTTACTGCAATCTAAGTTGTGACATGTGAAGCTCGCTCAAAAAAAGATGTTTCGTGCAAAGTAACTAAGCAAGTTAACGAAAAACCTAGCGTTTACTTCTCATTTGAATCTAAATATCACCACCGCTAGGTTTATCAAAACATCATACTAAACTGGAAAATCTACGTCTACAAAATGTAACCAAACTCAAACATTCGTTAAAACCAGTTTAAGAGGGGAGTAATCAGTAAATGTTAATTGATCTGAAAATATATATTTTTGCATACTTCAGGTCGTTATTTAAACCAAGAGTTCAAAGCATTTTTCAAAACACCTATTTTTTACTTCTAACCATGAAAAAGCCATTGTTTGTGAATAATTGTTTAAACAGTCAAAACCAAAGAACGTTTATTTTATTTATATTATGAATATAGTGTTATTGGAAATCCGCCAATCGGTCCAAAGCCACCTTAATATAGCGTTTTCAATGTGGTGTATTCGTATTTTTAAATCCATCGTTTAATATGGCAATATATAGTTGGGGGGGGGTTACTAAAAGAACCTGAAAAAACTTTTTGTCGACACCATTAGCAAAAGCAAGATAGTAAGACACTTTGTTACATGAAGTAAAGATAAAAAACGAAGATGGCCGTCGTTTTGGAAAGACTTTTGTCGCAAAATTGTCTATCAGTTTTGCGAAACAACATCAAGTTTCGTAAAAAAATCTTAGCAGGGCAGAATTATCATAGGAAATTACGTGTTAGGTAAGTTAATATTTCTTGTAAAGTGTAAGCTGATTTACTGCTTTACTGCTGTCATCAATGTAAAAACTCCATGAATGAATGGAGAATGGAGGGATCAAGGATGCATCTGCGGGATTTTGCCATAACTTATGATGTTTTTTTATAAAGCACTGCTTTATTGAAACATGTTAATTATAATTTCTCAAAATGACAGGAATGTACATCGAGGCAGTAATTTGAAAGGAAAACTGAATAATTTTGAAAATGATCCTGAAATTATTCCATTTAGCAGATCAAGACTAGTACTTAAACCTCTGGCTTTCTCTCTAATTGTAAGTTCATTTTTGGTAAGGAAAGTATTCTATTGATTGCAATGTTTATTGATGAATATATTGAATAAATGATGACCATTGCCACAAAATATTTCGTGTGTTTTTTCATTTCCATCTATGTTTATTGGAGTGAAGTATTGTTTTGCTATTTTTTCATATTGTGGCATTTTTAAGGATATTCAAATGCATACAAGATGGAAAATAAATTTTTTTGAGATTTTTTAGGTGTCATCCGGATCATTTGCTGTCGCTGCCATATTCCAATATGAATCTTTTAGGTCAAGCCTGCCTCAACAATTCAGACATAGACTTGAGTCAAGTTTTCAAATGAAGTTGTTCAAATTTAGACAGAAGGTATTGATAAGTTCTGGTTGGCTTTTGTTAAACAATTTTGCATAACATATATTGGACAACTTTAACATTGTTACACAACAGAACAATGCATTTGCTGTTTACATCTTTTTTTTGTTATCAAAGTAATTTTAACATATATGTATTATGACATTTACCAACTTCGATCATACTTTAGTAAATGTTGAAGATGCAAACGTACTCACAAGTGTTTTTTTAATTAAATGGATAGTTAAACAAATGGTGGAATGCATTACATGCTGGTGAAAAAACAGCAACAGGTGTGTTGAGAATTTATTGTATTTTTTTCATTATCAGATTGTTGGTTAGTCCAATGGAAGTAGGATTTCAGCTTACCATAAACCCAACCATCTCCACCCTGCTTGTAATTTTCATGTATTTTATGCTTATGTTCATTATTTATATTTTTATTATTTTAGTTTTCATGCTGTTTTATTGTTAATGTTTAGTTGTAGGTGACAGAATATTGAATGTTTGCATTAACAAATGCATGTTTTGTACACCACTGACAATATGACTATATGTATGTTCTAGTATAAACTAAAAATTATCGTATTTTGATGTTTTGCGGTTTGAATCCATAGTCTGAATTCACTGTAAATGATTTTAACATGGAAACGAGTTTGACGGTAAGCTGAAACCTGAATTCCATCGTCCTTAACAAGCTTGCATAATTTCGTTTTAGTAAAGAAAAATATCCGCAGAGAAATGCGCAAAGTTCCTCGATTTGCCTTAGTGTCATTTAAGTTTGTCCTTCTGTTCATACTTCTGCGCTCACTCACTGAGAAAAAACAGATTTCTAAAAACATTAAACGCAAAACTTACACATCATGATCAAAACTTTGAGGTGCGCCAGGAACAGAAAAACACACTGTATGTGTATCTATACAGCGGTCAGTGAGTGTGTTTATCCAAAAAATTTTAACCCTGAAATTTGCATCAAAGCTATCGCACTTTGCATGCAATTCTGCATTGCCTGTGCAATTTTTTATACGCCTTGGATTTTAACATACATTCTCATTCTATCACGTTGTAATAGCTATCTTGTTCAGTTACGAATAACTTAACAGGAAAAAGGTGCATTTATTGTGCTAAATTTGGCTCGGATGCGAACAGTGTGGGTCAAAAAAAACAGCGTCTATCGACGTGAGAAATCGTTACAGAACGTAACGAATTGCGGTCAATGACGTATCAGATTGCACATTTAGTTTTATAATCCTTCTGTCTGAGGATGACTTTGAAATAAAGTCGAAAATTTACAGTTCACTTCTCGTCTTGTTTTGATGCATATTTTGCAATCTCAAGATGTCTTGCTTCTTCGGAATTTGTTTTATGTTATATTTTTTTAAATTGTCGGCTGGTCATGGTTTTTACATTTAGTTTTGCTGTGTGAATTTTTATGTGTTCGCTTACTGTTAAAGCATCAGATTTGTACAGAAATGACTAATGATAATGTTTTGAAATTTTTGTCTCCTTGGGTTCAATTGGTCTTGCACGGTAAGAATTTTTTATGTCATGTGATTTGAATGGTTTGAAGTTTTTTTCATACACCCTGTTGTTCACCCCACTTCGAGGATCAATTATTCCCCTAGTCATGCAAATTCAAAACGTCTGTGATTTTAAAGAATAACAGTTTTTCTTGATACACCCAATGTATGTATTGTCCGTAAAAGAAGCGAAGTTTCGAGATGCAATTACACTGAAAGTTGTTTAGTTTCTGAAGTGAACATCACCGCGTGAATGATGATTTCTGCTTTAATACTTTTTTATGTTACGTATTTCAGCTTTAATTGCCCTAAATACTGGAGTTTTTCTGCTCTGGAGAGTACGTAGCCTTAAACAGATCATGACGAAGTGGTTCACATCGACTCCTATTTCAGGTTTTTTTCCTTCATCTAAAATTCATACTCAGTCGTAAATTGTGAAAAACTAGCTGTTTTGGTTCAGATTATTTAATTGTTTGACAGCTGTCTATAGGCCCGTTTAAAAACGTCGCCTATTACATGCGCCAAAACCATTAAAGACAAAATAAAATGAGTTAAAATTCATCACTATCTTTAGTTTTGAATGCATTCGGCTCATGTAAAATCCGACGTCTGAAGCGGGCTTAAGATGAGTTGTGTAGCACGACTAGCTTACCCCCAGATTTACTCCCGTTATTTAAATTCTTTACTTTACAAATCAATTGTTTTTATAGTCGGTGAACATAAAAAATCTTTGCAAAGCGAAAGTGAAAAGTCGGGCTACGTAGGTTGTTACTGAATGTATAGCGGAAGTCAAAAGTCGGGCTACGTAGGTTGTTACTGAATGAGATTTCCGGGGGCTCTGGTGTATGAACAAAGAGATATTTTGAAAGATATGATTCGAGTGGTTATTTAAAGTATTCACGTGACTCAAGTTGTTTTTTTGTCCTCCCAGGTTTATCATTTCCAATGCTGTTTAGTTCATTCAGTCACAGGGAGACTTGGCATTTAGCTTGCAATATGGTTGTTCTGTGGAGTTTCTCTCCAGTCATTCATGGTGAATGTTTATGATTCTCTTTTGTTGTAAATTATATACAGAATTTATCAATAAAGAAATTGACGTATTGCGAGAATTACAATGCCGTATCACAATGCTAAGAACACGACTTCATAAAGTATTGTCAGCTACGTGCATAAATTACATAGCTTTGTTACTTGTACAGAACATTTTCTGCTCTTGGGAAATTAAGATAACTTTGAACAGCAGAATAATCACAGTAATGCATGAGTGCGTGGCATCAGCATAGTGATCAAGTATTGAAATGATCACTGTACATCAATTTCTTGAGGTTTTCTTTGTGTTTGTTCTTATATTTTGAAAACATTCCCATCGCGAAAAGTGGGTGCCCATAATAATCCACCACCACCCCACCACCCCCACCTCTCCCGTGTCAGTTGTCTTTTTGATCGTCTTTTTTAAAGGATTTTCTGAACTGTTGAATAACCCTTATTTTGGTCAATTTTTTGATATTTTTTTTATCTTTTTCTACTAGACATGTTGGGAAGAGAACAATTTTTAGCATTTTACGTTTCTGGAGGTAAGATCTCTGAGTTGTTGATAAGTTTCAATTTGCGAATTAGAAGTTTGAACGATGTCATAATGAAGTCTAGTTTTTGTGAAGAACTATTATTGATAAATTAGTAATCCGTCAATTAGGGAAGCGGGCTGGAGTAGGTAAGTTGAGTTATTTAAATGGTATTTTTCATCAATTCCTAACAACACAACACAATACAACATAACACAAAACAACACAATACAACACAATACAGCACAATACAACACAATACAACACAATACAACACAACACAATACAACATAACACAACACAATACAACACAACACAATACAACACAACACAATACAAAAACACAATACGACACAATACGACACAACACAACACAACACAATACAATACAACATAATACAACACAATACAACATACAACACAACACAATACAACACAATACAGCACAATACAACACAACACAATACGACACAATACAACACAACACAACACAACACAATACAACATAATACAACACAATACAACATAATACAACACAATACAACATAACACAACACAATACAACATAACACAACACAACATAACACAACATAACACAATACAACACAATACAACACAACATAATACAACACAATACAACACAACATAACACAACATAACACAATACAACACAATACAACACAACATAACACAACACAACACAACACAATACAACACAACATAACACAACACAACACAATACAACACAACACTTTCTTATGAGCGTATTGCAGTATCTAGAAATAGCTAGACTGAAAATTTCTTTCGTCGGTTTTTATCAACCAACCATTTTTGTTTTTTTTTCAATGAAGAGCAAGTAAAACAAAGGTTAAAGCTAGAAGATAACCTTGTCATATTTGATTTTTTGCCATTAGGACTCTTCTCAGCATACGTGAGCCATTTATTCAAGGTTTTATCAAGAAACCCGACGCCATCTCTTGGAGCAGTGAGTAATAATAAAAGGCATACATTTTTTGTGACAGTCAGTTTTTTTAAGTGAGGAATGGCGTTTGTAATCTTGTTTTCATCTTGTTTTATTATACATGACCTTGCACGCAAGATAGGCAAGTTTTCTGTTTGCATTGAACTATAGTTATACGTTGAATTTAGTAAGTCTATAATCTAGTAACCAATCAAACTTGTGCAAGTAGTCTGGATTTCTGTAGATTGCATAGCGCTGACAGACAAACTTATCGAAATTTAATATTTTCCAATAACACTTTTTGAAAGTGTTTTATGCAGTGCGGTGTTTGAAATTGAATGAAGATATGATCTTCGCACTTTGCTGGACAATGTAAGCAATTGTCTCATGAACCTGGAAAATTTAGGTGACTCAACGGGAAAATTCAGGTGACTCAATCCCGTTGAGTCACCTGAATTTTTCAGGTTCATGAGACAATTGCTTAAATTGTCTAGCAAAGTGCAAAGATCATATCTTCATTTAATAACACTTTTTGTTTTCAAATTTTTGTTAATATTACTTAATTGGCTTTAGGGAAATGTTATTTTTGATTTTTCAGAAAATATAGTGAATCACGACAGTGGGTTTTTTGAGTGTTAGTTTTATTTTTATTTTTATAGTCTGGTTGTATTCTTGCCGTTCTTGGCGCCGTATGTGTGGCTAATCCTGATGCAAGGTTGTCCGTTTTGTTTCTGCCGTTTTTCTCTTTTTCAGCATCAAAAGTAAGTTGGCAAATTTTGCTGTTGATTTGGATGAAACTTTATCGTCACTTGTATCAATCACTTTCGTGCAGGACTCCGATATGTTCTTGTATGACACATTTTCAGTAGACAACGCGCATTTGTTCATTCACAAAAGTCTATTCTCAAAGTCATGCTCGATCTCATAGCTACTATTGTTAATTATTGAAGCCTACGGCGTGCAGTTATTCACACGATTGGGGCACCATAAGAATTTTGTATCTCTTAATTCTGGAAACTTTTTCACTGATGCATGTTTTTTAGTAAGGGAAATACTTAAAATTTTATCGTCTCTTATCGTAGCAATAAGTTATTTATTCTTTTTGATAACAGGCTTTAGTTGGTCTTTTATGTTTCGACTTGGCTGGTTTGGTCTTTCGTTTGAAGTTATTTGACCATGCTGCGCATCTTGGGGGCTTAGCGTTTGGATGGTAAGCTTTATTGCGTAGATATTTAAGATATTTCGTTGGCTCATCCTTCAATTGATGAAAAATATTCTTCTCGCTTTTATAATGTTTCTTTACTTGAATTCGTTGCCTGTTTTACGCATTCGCCTTGAGACAAATGTATTTATTTTCAATCTACAGTTGGTACATCTCATTTGGTCATAACTATATATGGGATCAGAGGCATTACATTGTTCGTAAATGGCACGAATGGCGACGAAGATTTTCTAAGTAAATTATAATCTAGTTTATATTTTGAAATGTTGAAAAATCACAACTGGCCACGGAATTCACGGAAACGTTTCGGGCACACAATAACTTTCATTCGATTGTACCGCTTTGCATCGGCTAGCCATGCGCCTCCTGTTTGTCATTTTGTTCCATCTCTAAATACCTCTCTACATACATGTAATGGTTTTCGAATAGTTGTGTTCACACAATGTTGAGTAGTGGGGATTGAAGACTAGGTTTTTTTGGTGTATATGCTTAGTTTTTTTATAATTTATGTTCTCCTTCGTGCCTATCATAAACTCTGTTAATATCTGATTCATTGAATGCGTCACGTGTATTGAAATATCTGATTCAATGAATGCGTCACGTGTATTGAAATATCTGATTCATTGAATGCGTCATGTGTATTGAAATATCTGATTCATTGAATGCTTCACGTGTATTGAAATATCTGATTCATTGAATGCGTCACGTGTATTGAAATATCTGATTCATTGAATGCGTCATGTGTATTGAAATATCTGATTCATTGAATGCGTCACGTGTATTGAAATATCTGATTCAATGAATGCGTCACGTGTATTGAACATGCTTGTATTATTCTAAAATTCGAAGTATTTGTGAAACAAACACTTGAAAAGTACTTTCTTTTGTAATCAGTTTCATTAAATGTATTTGTACACATTATTATTGCTGGGTGAAAATCACTGCCTCCTTTTTAGCGTTTTGAAGTAAGGCTTACGTCAACTCGAAGCTGTTATACTTTAGAATTTGGTTGTTTCATACACCACCATTTGTACGACTGCGCAGAAAAACAGTCCCACCTGCGCATGCACTCAGGTAAAATTATTTGATAAGAAAAATATCTGTTTGCATCTTCTTACAGTTTTGAAACATATATCTGCTTTATATATTTTTGCCAGTGACGTAGCCTGCCCGACTTTTTACTCTCGCTATGCAAACATTTTTGTGTTCACTGTCTGCAGGCGGGCTACTCTACTCATTTTTGCTAAATTTTCGATGTTCGATTTACACTTGAGCCCGCGCAAAGCTCCCTCATATTATTTAATATTGTTGAAATAGAGATGATTTTGTTTGTATTGAGATCGTTTTGCTTCCACATCTTTTTGCAAAGTGATTGAAGAAAAAATAATTAAATGACTATACGTGGAAATCGTCGATCTCTTCGTTTTTCTCGAATCCTAAAATTTTCAACGTTTGTTTATAGTCATCAGTTACTTTTGTTTGAATCATAATTGAACGTTTGATAACGATGTTTATTGTATAATGCTCATATAGTCTGATCGTCGTGTTAATGAATGAAATTAGGTTTAAAGTAAACGGTCCTATCCTTTGGATTAACTTGTCACTTGTGAAAAATATCTTCGTAGATAAAAGCGGGTTACATATAAGAATGCAGCAACACACAATTGTTTAACTTCACGGCAAAATTCTATTTGATAAATTGTGCTCGATGTTTGCGATTGAGAGTACAGATTGAAAGTGTTTTGTATTTCAATTACACTGTGCTTAACGCATATTTGTGTGCATTACTGTAATATATTTGAAGATTTGAAGTGAGTAACTTTGGAATTTGGTGTTTACTCTGGAGATGATGCACAATAATTATATATGGTTGTGTGTGGTTTATACATAAAGTCAGACTAACTGAAGATTTGTTCGTCTGAAAAGAAACCTGAACCATTTTTTTGTCAACCTAACGTTTGAAACTTGGCGTCTCCATACGGCGGCACAGTGGAAGAGCAGTTATCTCAAGAATGGAAGGACTTATCTCAACAGATTGTGTCGTAAGGTGGACAACGACGGAGATTGAAAATTGGCTTAAAACGCTGGGAATGAAGAAATATTTTACCAAGTTTAAGAGTGAGTTGAGTGGTGATGAATGGAAATTGTGTTACTTCAGCATTTTGTTTAATTAGTTTGTATATAATATGATGGTTGATTGACTGCATAATAATAAATTTTTTTCAATGAATTTAAGTCAGCACATAAGTTATTTTATTTGTTTTCGGTTGAATCTAGGAAATATGATTAGTGGAGAAGTTCTTGTTCAACTCGATGATATACTGTTAGGTACGACTTTCGAGTTTTTATTAAATTCAGTAATCTTGTTCATTTATTGAGCGATTATAAACAAATGTTGATTGTTCTCATATTAGCATGTGTTTCTAGACACTGAAATCGTTTCCAATAAATAACTGGTTTTATTATTTTCGGAATGTAGATGATCTTAAGGTCACTGACACTAAAGATCGAGAGATTTTGCTGAATGCGGTGGAAAAGTTTACGTCTGTCAACCAACCTTCGTCATTTCTAATGACGTCATTTTCTGAAGAGAAGGAGTGCATCAATCCGAAATCTGAGCCAGAAATGGAGGTCGTTACAAATGGTGTAGTTAAACTGAAGGAAGATTTCGTTTCATCGCCATCACTTGCCAAATTGCTGCCAACCATTGGTGAAGAAGAAGAATCTCCCAAAGGCACCGAAAGACTTCTTATAAATGAAAGTAAAGCAGTGATTATGAAATATGAAGGTGAAAATGATGAACATGATCATCATACAACACACGAAGCACTTCCTCTAGGTGAGAAACCCACTCTATAAGGTCGTAATTAATGTTCTCAAGAAAATACATCGTTGATGCGGCTTAACTTGGTTTTTGCTGAGAGTTTTTAAATGTAAGGCATGGAATTGCTTATGTAAATAACATACGGGTTTTTATTGACTAACTCGAGCAACATTCGTAAGTGTCTACTTAAAATTGAGTGGACATACTGTAATCGCATTGAAAAGCAAAAAAACCGTCCCGTACTAAAACAACCCCTTGTGAATCACAGTGTGATTTCAATTCAACTATTTAGATTGTCTGCTCGCAAGATACCCCCTGTACATGATGGTAAGGGTATCAAAGAATTATCCGAATTGTTGTTTCGCCTCTTATGAAAACAATTAATCATGTCATCACAGTAAGATTTCACTTTGCATGTTTACGAAGCAAATCTTCGTATCAACCATAAATCTCTTTGCAATTCACTGCATAAAACACTTCATTCGATCCGGTTGCAAATATCTTTGTAATAAACAAAAAAAAGGGATGTTCGGTAGACGTTACTGTCATCGAATCTTTTCATCGAATTGGAGGGGAAAGTACAAAGGTTAGTTTGGAATTATTGTGGAGACATAATCGTTTCAATATATGATAGTCTATAATGTAACTGCACCAGCGTAAAACACTTGATGACATGTATACTTTTATTGGAATATTGGGTAAAACTTGATCATTCTTGCAATTTTTACTGTTTATTAACATGCAATTGTGATGACAACAACAAATCATGTCAGGCGTTACTCTAAAGTATAGTAGCTTTCTAATTCTATAATACCTATGTATGCTTGATGTGCCTAATCAGGGAGTCTGCCATACCACTGGTCTTCTTGAATCTCACGATGCAAATGATCTTGTGTGAATGAATTAAGCAGCTGTTTATGTAAACAAGCAAATGTTACATGAAGTTAGAAGTATGTCTAGAGTTTAGAGCAAAATAATTAATAGACGAAAGTGTGTGGATAGGAACAGCTGAATGTTGTTATGATCAGCGAATTTTTTATGATGAGCCAATAAACTCGTGGCTTTAATGATCTGAATATTTCAGAAATGAATGTTCTCTTGTTGATTTATTGGTTGTCCTGAGATTGATTGCCTCGACCCTGACCTCATAACGACTTTGACTTGCGCAATTTGTTAATGAAAAAACTGTGTCTGCAATGATTTGCATGATGCATCCTTATGTTATAAATTTATGCTTTTAAATTCACGAAAAGATCCCTTAGGCTTGTGTGTTTTTCATGTGATCTTTTACAGACATTCGTTTTGTTTCAAGTTCTTGATTATTTTGTAAATTATTTAAATGACTTTTCTAATGAATACGTCAGTTTTTGGTAAAACATGCACACTTTAGTTATATAATATTGAGTTTTAGAAGCCAGTAACACCGAGAAAAAAAAAGAGTTAACACTTGGAATGGTCGATGATACAGACAAAGAGACTTACCAATCAAATGCCATCAGTGACTGTCATGAAGTGGCATCAAGGGCAACGGAGATAGTTCAAGTCTTTTCCGAGGAAAATATGTGTTTGAGAAAGAAACTTGAAAAATGCTATCAAGAAATCAAACATTTAAAGAGTGTAAGTGTTCACTTTTATGGTCTTGAAGTAAGGATTTGAACGCAAAAATATTGGTTTGAATTTGTCTTCTTTAGTGGTCGTTGCTACATACATGAGTATCTTAACTTTTTTCTTTGAGCTTGGGATAAGGCTATTTATTTGAAACATGTTAAAGTTTACCTCTTCATTTGAGCTGCAAGTGATTTAGCAGCACACAGCAGGACATAATATGTTTTGTCTCAAATAATTTGCCTCTAAATCTCGGAATGCTTGCCATGTGTGTGTACATGAAACATTGAATGAAATCTGAAGCACCTGTTCATCACTTCATCTTTAGGTAGAGAAGGAACTGCGTGAAAGTCAAATCATGTACAGCGATTTAAAAAGTGCGTTCATCATTCGCGAACACAAAGAGAAAGCCATGAGATCACGCATGGAGGCAGAAATCGTCCAGCTGAGAATTACAAACACTGAACTCAACGGTTTGTTTTCCTGCGTAATGCAATCATAGGCTTTTTCTAGGAAACATGTGATATTTTTTTGTGTTTCTTGCATCCATGCATGCGCGCGTGTATATCATAAAATTAGAAATTTTTTTAAAACATGGAAAGTTTTTCCATCAAGCAAATTAAATGTGATAAGTTTTCAAGAGAAAACATTTGAAAACTGAACTTTCTGTTTCATTCGTTAGTAAAACTCGTATAGCATGAAAGTCATGAATGTGTGAGATGTCTGTGTTTTCCACTAAACGGGCAATTTTACTTGCTTCAAATCATCGTGATGTAAGGAACAGAGAAATATAGCTACGTGTGTCGTTTTATTTTTACAGATGAATTAAAGAAACTAAAAGCTCTCGTAAGTTTTTAATTTGTATTCAAATGTAGATTTGACCCAAGGATGTTTACTATTAAATGAATAAAAACTTTTGTAATAAAAAACCCTTATCAAGAAATTCAGCGACATGATTACCCACATTCTGAGAATTATGAGCAATCCAATTTTGCATTTGTAGAAATCCGAGATTGAAGTGCATGATCTTAGAAATCAAATAAACCAAAAGGATGATCAATTAAAGCAATTACAGAAAGAAAGTAAGTAGAGGTGATTTTATGCTGTGAATAAATAAATGGTGACAGCAGGTGTGGATGATCTTAAGTCCACTGCAGCCATTATAGAGGAAGTCAAATTTTTGCATCTTTGTGTATTTTCTATGCTCTTCTTTCAAGAAAAATTTTATAAGTCCTCGTTGACGAACTTAGAGAAAATGTTAAAACAGAAATCATCCGAGATACTAATGTTGCAGAAGCAGCTCAAAGCACCGTGCATGAAAAATATTTCGACTTCTTTGACAAAGGTTCGTTATGAGTTATGTATGTAGCTTTATATAAAAAAACAACAACAATAAAACACGTGCGGTGATTGGTCTATGCTGTGTTTGCATTAGCCTGGGCAAACCAATATGAGCTCAACCAATTAAATCAATCAATAAATTAAAGAGAATTTGCAAATCAATCATGAACTCGAGCAGGTGCAGCCCTCGACCTTCGGTCTCTGACTTGCACTTATCTGATTTCGAGTTCTCCCAAAGGTCTCCTCGGTTCGCATAAGCCTGTGCAAACACAGTAAAAATCTTTTATTTCTTAAATAACGTGAAAACCATTGAATTGACTAGAGTATCTGCATCATTTTTATTAGGAAAACAATAATGGAGAAAATGGAGAAAACAAAATATCAAATGACTTTTCTGAGCAATTTCATGATTCAATGTTAAGATCTTCCCTTGGAAGAACGGCTACAAAATTTGAAGATAGGTTCCATCAAAGGAAAAATGACAGAAATGCACCCATGAATTCAAATGTGTCTGTCCTCATCGAGCTGCTCAAAGAAAAAGATGCTCAAATTATGAAATTTCGAGAGGAAATCAACGACTGGGAAATATTGCAAAAACGACGACACTCAAAACGAAGATATTCCGATCTAGAAACAGAGTGAGTGTTTGTGTTTTTTTTTTGGCCTTAGGTTTCATCTAAAATAGGTCTCTTCACGTTTCTGGATTTTCAATGAATTTAGATGCATATGTAGCTATGTGTGTATTGTTTTGGTAGAATACGGACCTTGCATGTTAAACTTGCAGAAAAAGATGCTCAGATTAAAATACTTGAATGCAAATATGGAGAAAACTACGCTGACTGCAAACAACTGTCTACGCCATTCAGAATTCCTTCTTTTGAAATTCATTCATCTACGTCCTCGTACCAGGACTCTGGAATCATTACCGTGTCTGATAGCCATGGTTATGAAGAAATTCAAGAAACACATAATTCTAAAGGTGAACGTGTTTAAAGACTTAAAGGTTTAAGGATCTACCTGATTGCTTGCAGATATAAGGTTATGTGAACACACAGTGCAATCGCAGCACAGTTGTATGAGAAATGTGTGTTCGTACATTATTCGGGTATTTCTTCTTGCAGACGAAAGAAGTAGTGAAGAGCCGCTGCGTCATCGAAACTCTGATTATGACTTGGCTCAAAGAAATGTACGGCTTGATTCTGAACTTTAACATAACAAAACTATTTTCATTAAATTTCATGCAGTTTAATCAAAGTATTTCGTATTTTTTATTAGGAACATGAGAAAACAATTTTGAGCGAGTATTGTTGGTTTGTGTGAGAATAAATTCTTACAACGTGTAAGTCATCTCCTTACACTGTAGATGTACAATTAACTGTCAAAGTGCACCCTTCAATCTTCGCAATAGTACCTTTGCTTTCATCGGATACGTCGATTGGTATTTGCTAGTGCCGCGTTCAAATACATACAACAATTAACATATAAGTTTTGGATTGTCAGTAAATGAAATCGATCCAGACATGCAGGGTAAGTCTAAAAAAAACGGAAAAATCTTACGACATGTCAAAAAACGTTGCAGCAGAGAAAAATCTAGTCAATCTAACATTTCTTCCTAACGTGTCACACGTCAAGGTATACCACGTTTATTGAAGGTTTTGTTTTTATCTGCTAGCAGTAAAGTGAGTAGTCAGTTTCGCGATTTTCCAACTATTCAACGGTAGCAGAATGATTTCATGAAATTTGATACAGTGATCTCTGAGACAGTTTAAAAGTGTGTATGTGGTGGTGGTGGTGGGGGGGAGGGAAGGATAGCATAAGAATTCCCACTCTATAAGGACACTTGAATGTCATCCAACAAATTTCTGCTCCACGCCACGAAAAGTCTCTCTCTATTCTGTGTTTGATGTAGAAAACGATGTAGCTTCTTATATAGTTTCTCTTCGAATAACCCTGTATAAATAACAGTAGACGTTGAGCAAGCTTAAGTATCACATTTAATGAATTTCTGTAATGGCCACAGTGCAGTAAAGATATTCATGTATTTAAAATACAAGTGTACATTATATGCAGTTTTTGATTTGTTCAGCAACACCATGAGTTATATAAGAAAAGTTAAGGCAAGGTGTAATTTGGTTAAATTTCTTAATTTAATTTGTAAATCGATGTAATAAATGGTCACAATGTTGTATACCATGGTAAACTTTGCAGATATTTTGGACTTCATTGATGTTTTTCATATCATTTAGTGAGATTATTTTCCCTTTCCTTTTTCTTTTTCAATCAACAAAGCAAATCCAGAACATCTTGGGAGATGTCTAGCATTGTCTTGAGCACAGCATTTAATCATGGCATCAATAACATGTTCACACAAATCTTGTTGATAATTGTTTTCTAAATAAAGCAAAATTTGAGAAAATGGTTGTACGTCAGCCATTTTCAAGTGTTCTAACATTAGGTAAGTCATTTTGCAGTAAAAACAGAGGCCACAAGTGTGCCATGACTCTTGAATGTTCCATCAAATATGACACATATGACATAATAAGGTAAAAAAGTAGCAGTAGAAATTTAAAGATACGGTAGTCAGTAGTGATGGGAATCATTCATATTCCATTAACCACCATTAATATACCTTTCAAACACAATTGAATGGCACACGCTTCTATTTTACAGGGTTCTTTACTTTTATGAGGCATTGACGACCAAATCATTCAATCCTTTGAATTTAATTTCGAAATTCTATTTAATCATGAATTTTTGAAACGGGGGTTGACAAAGTCGACTTGTCATATCATAATTACTCTCACTCACCCCGGTTTTCAGACAATACAACATAAGCCTGATGGCGAGAGTAATATGTATACATTCAAAGAAATAACTTCGAAAATAAGCTTATTCATCTGAGCATTTCATCATGAGCTCTCATGAAAGCGGCACAGAGTCCGAGGTAGACAATGATTTGACTGTGGAAAGTATTAAAACAATTTCTAGCTCATATGGCATAACAAAACTCACAGATGATGCACTCCAGTATCTTCTGGACGATGTCAACTTTCGTCTGAAAGAAGTTTCCCAGGTATGATGTTAAATAATCATTCTTTCTAGGTGAAAAATTAGCAACCTTAGTAAATTTTGTCTGCCCAAAAACCTGCTAATCCAGCGAAACGTTGCAGGGGGAAACCTTATAGTACAGCATTCAAAAACATTTAAAATGTCTTTCGAAATCACAGACTCACACGTGACAAGGTGACGAGGGATAACAGTTTACTGCGCAATTTCTTTTTTGGCTGTTTTCATTCTTGTTGGTTAGACATGACAAATCTATCTTTTATTTTAATTGCATCAACAGTCATACAAAATGCATATATAATTGTAACAGTGAACATATTATGGAAGCATATTAAAGACGCTATTTAATCTTGCAATGAAATAAAAAAACCTAATGAAAAGTATTAATTTATCATTCGGGTATGATGTACTTGACAATTTACATTTGAAACTATCGTCGAAGCAATGACTTGTAGAAGTTATCATGACTTTATTGACGACATTGACATGAATGTGTGTAAATGTTGTACTGGCAGTTTATAACCTATATTTGTAAGCCTTCTATAATCATATGCAATGTGCGAATTAACGGTGTGCAATGTGCAATTTGCACATCGTTTTAGCTAAAATGAAAACAATTGCACATCACTTTTTCAAACGATGTGCAAAAATCAGCGGTTTTAACGAAAAACACTGTCTTAAATCATATGAATTTGTTCACGTTTAAAAATATTAATTTAGCAATTAGCGCTATATAATAAATAACGTAATATCGACTTGCTTATGCCTCTAAAGAAACACTTTTGTCAAAAAAAATTGCACATCGTTTTTTCTGAACTAATTCGCACACTGATCATATGTAATTGATTCGACTGTCAATTTATTATTTTAGGATGCACTGAAATTTATGCACAAAGCCAAAAGAAGAAAACTATGTACAAGTGACATTGATAATTCTTTAAGAGTGCGAAATGTTGAGGTTAGATGATGTATTGTCATATTAACAAGTGTGTTATAGAATGTTCACCTGAATTATGTTAGATTTAATATTGCATCAATCAAAGACAAGAAAATGTTCTTTGCTCATATGTAGATGTTCATAAAACTTGTTTGTACCTAATACAAATCTTAAATTCTTAATCCATGATGAATATGCCAGCTCTTCTAAAGATCTTTCCAATGACTTTAACTCAGATGTGCCTACTCATGGCAATAAAAGATCATAGAATTTGAAAAGCATGTCAGACTTATGAGACAATCTTGTGTCATCCACTATCAAGAAAAGATAATGATCATAAAGGATTTTGATAGTTTTTTAGTATCAGTGATTGGAAAGTAAATAATCCTTGCCCCTAAATGACCTGTTTTTGAGCTATCAAGAGATCTGTCAAAAATTTTGTGTTTGATGAAATTAGGTGTGTTAATAAGTCTGTTAAAAGATTTTGTTAAGCAACTGCCCTTAGTAGCAGTTAAGACCAAAATGTTTAAAAGTTTTGCCATTTCAATTTTTACAGCCTTTGTGTGGATTTTTATCTTCTGATTTCATACCATTTCGTTTTACAAGTGGAGGTGGCCGAGATCTATATTTTTATGATGATCCCGAAATGGAGTTAAGTAAGATCATTTCAACACCATTGCCTAGACTGCCACTGGATATCTCCCTTAAAGGTAAAGATTCAAATACAAATTTTACATTACAAAATTGCAATCTGCTCCATCCATTCTTCCGTCATGTTTTGTTTCGACTAGAAAAGTTTCATAAAGAAAGGAAAAATTTTGAATTTGGTGAAATTCAAACACCACTACACATTAACTGAGTGTTGTTCTAAAACTTATCACTTCTTTTAAAGTTGAGAATTGATATTTCTTCTGTAGAACAAATGAGAAAAGTTTAATGCAAGCATTTGATATTCTTCAGCTAGTCTCTTTTGTATTTCTAAAAATGTAGGAAGATTTATGTTATTGTGTGTTTTGTTTCCAAAGTGAAATATATGCGAAATGCTGTTGACTTTGATGGTTCTCTTCTGTTAAAATATGTACTACATTAATCTCTTACATGCCCTACAAATTATGTTTATAATACCCTAGAAAAACCTATCCCCCTCATTAAGGACTTTTTCTTTCTTTCTTTTTTGCGTTAGCTCACTGGTTGAGTGTTGAAGGTGTTCAACCAGCCATCCCAGAGAATCCTCCTCCAGGTTTGTTGAGTTATTGTTTTGTACATTTAGCACAATTCTATAGAATTCAGTTCTCAAAATAACCAGCCAATTGTTTACCCATTCGGTCATTTTGATCGGCCACATTTACTTGTCTTCCCTCAACACTTACCAATCGGTTTTCCTTTTATTAAAGATGATTTGGCTCATCCATCCAATGCCCGAATACCTCAAATTTTTATTCATGTGTGTTGGCCAGTTTTGCCGTATGTTGTTTTCCCAAAGGCACTATAGGCAATGTGGTGTCATAAGCGCTTAGAATGTCATGAAAATGAGTAGTCACAAAAATTTTTTTTTTCACGTTAATTGTGCAAATTATGTGTATTACTGAGCCGCCAATACTTTACTTTGATCGAGCTGAGGTAAAGTTGACCGGTCTAGGCCGTTATTTTGAGCCTTGAAAGTTTAATTTTTCTATCTCCAAAGGAATTATGAATTGTGTGATCGATTCAGAGCATGACAAACACATTTGTCATGTCACCCGGTGTAAGCATGTATTTGTCTGTAACTTTGATCTATTTTTCTAAAATTTAAAACAATTTATCTCCAGTAACTCTTGAAGTACAGTCAAAAGATGTTATGGAAAAAGCACCAAAGATGAAACTAAAAGAGAGTAGATTATCTTCGAGCACGACAGCTAAATCCACGACCATTGAGACGACAACTACAATGACATCCAAAATGCAGTCGAAATGGTTAGCAAAAAGCAATAGCTCTTCCGCTACACCTTCTGATAAACTCAAACCGTTAATTACGCACGAACTCTCTGTTGTAAGTAATATATTTTCTTTTCTTTATTGTTATGTTCATAAAATCTGAGCTACAAAGCGACATCTCAAGCAACGTGCTCCATGATTGCATGGTTTTTAAACGCTCATTATTATAAGACTTTTTTCTTATCATTTCGTTCGCTACAAATACCGTTCGCTTAGTATTTGTTCGACAATCTCCAGAAAACCAGATCCTGACACTATGTGAGCTGTTTTACCAAAAATATATTTTCCTGAAAAAGTTTCTTTGTGAACTCAAATATTGAAGGATGGATCGACTTTTGAATATGAAAAACTAAATATTGCTGTTTGACATATGATCTGATCCTGTGACAATGTAGAAGATAGCATTTGTTAGACATTTTTACTGCGGAGTTTTTTTGTTTTTTAATTACAATTTTAAAAGCTGAAAGCACCGTTGTTGCCATTTTCAACAGGCAACTGCATCTGCTGGGGTTTTCATTTTCGTAGGGAGGAGCTTTGTTGCAAAGTTTCATCAGAGAGTTTTAGTTTGGCATTTACGGCAAAAGGCAAACCTCGACTATCCGAATGCCGTCGAGGTTTGCTGTTTCGAAAAAAATTGAATTTAGAATGGCTTTTTGCATTTGTATTTTACAATTCGCATCTTCCCGAGCTAAATTTCATGTTTTGTTTAAAGTTTGTCGCTAAAAAAGGATATTCATGTTGTATACTCGTACTATTGAGCCATAAATTTCAATTGTTCGTATTAGAACTACTAAAAAGCTTGCCGCACTTGCCGTTAAACCAGAAACGCAAACCGCAAAGCTATGACCATGTAACATTATGTGGTTTGCCGTTAATACTAGAGAAAAACTCTCTATTGTATATATGTTGTCGTTTTGATTCCCTTGATCCTCACATGTACATTCGTAAGGGTCGGGACATTAAGGATCATATTTAATGAAACGTCAAAATATCCTATTTTACTTTGTTAGCTACGTGCGCATTGGAATTCAGACTTGAATTTCGAGATTCAATTTCGTAACAATATAGCAACAGCAACTCTTATTGAATTTCGAGATTCAGTCCAAGTAAGAACAAAAACTCTATCATTGAATTTCAAGATTGAATTCATACTTATAGGAACAGCAACTGTATTATAAAGAGGTAACGGAGGCATGTGTGGGATCTTCTGAAGCTAAACGTGCCGTAAGTAAAGAATACGATGTCAACAATACATATGCATCTCTTAAAACGTTTTACAATGAAGGAGTTAGGGAAATATTTTTTGTTCCCGAAGTCTACAAATTACTGCTGGTTGCAAGTGGTTTAATTCAACATCATCAGTGACAGTCTATCGTTGTTTTTGTATAAATGAAACCATGCTTTGGCATTATATATAATCTTGTGCCATTCCGTTTCTCCTTTTTGCAAAATGTCCGCTAATTTGCTGGGAACTAACACAAAAGAAAGGTTATTATCGTTTTCTATAGGAAGCCTTACAAAGCCTATCGACCGATCCTGGCTTATATCAGATGCTACCTCGATTTTGTACGTTTATCTCTGAGGGTGTAAGTATTAAAACGAAATTTCGACTGTCTGTTGAATAAATTCATTGCTGTCAGTATGTTTTACTTGTAAAACGTTTTTATGCATGTAATACTCTCCGTATGGTTTTTTAGAGGAATAAAACATCTAGGTAAAGTATACCCTAAAAAACAAAGTCATTGTTCACTTTTCTTTTAAAGAACTATACCAGTATGAGGTAAATCAGATTGTCTGTCGTCGCTTTGCTGTATGACACACCAAACTCCATGGTCATCTAATGACCTGGTGGTCTCAGGACACTGATCTTGCCATGTTCGCCAGACTAACTGTTCATGTTTTTTTTTAGGTTAAAGTAAATGTTGCTCAACGCAACATGGCTGTTCTAATATACCTTATGCGTATGGTGAAATCTTTGCTAGATAACACTTCTCTTTTCCTCGAAAAATACGTAAGTACAGTAGTTACTGTTTTGAGAAGAATACACTTGAACAACTTTCACATGTCATGCATTCACATCAATGGTGAAAAATACTACGTTCCGTGTAAATTTACTGAAAGACCTGGATAAAGTATTTCCTTTCGTGGCATTCAATTTCAAAATTAATACAGCCCTGATAAGGAACGCTTACTGTTGGTGTTGGTATTGACTAATTTTTCGACATCCTTTGCGGTAGTGACTCTGAAGATGATTACCGCTAGCTAGGATGTCGAAACGTCAGTCAACACCTAACAGTCCTTCTCTGGACAAAACTAACCTGGAAGATCTACATTGTAGTTACATCTACAAACATGCTACGATACTCTCGAATTCAAACGATTCACTGTTAATTCATTCATGTAGCTTCACGAACTTATACCTGCTGTGGCGACCTGTGTAATAAGCCGTCAACTTTGTACAAAACCCGAAACTGACAATCATTGGGCGCTGCGAGAGTTTGGATCCAAATTATTGGCCCAAATATGCAGGTTAGTAATCGCAACACGCTGTTACCACAGGAAACAAGAATCTTGATACAGTCATAGTGGTCTGTGTACGGAGGTTCTTGTACTTTTAATGATTGAAAATTTATCAAAAGTTTACCAATGTTTCTCGACATTGATTAAAAATTACCAGCCATAAAAGTTTAATGGCTTTTTTTTTATTTCAAATTTTGTGCCTGAGGTCTTTCTTTGTTTTTAATTATGGTTGGGCATGATGAACGATAAGGAAAAAGTGACAAATCGTCCACAACAAAGCTAGGCTGCCTTCTTCATTGAAAGGTATCGAGGGAATGATACAGTATTACATAAAAGATTTTAGTTAAATGCCGCTTGTCTCTACTGGCTTACTTCTACCCATCGTGGACACCATCTTCCTTAAAAACATTAAACAACCTACATGGATTCTTGCATAAAAAGTAATTTACCATTGAATATCTTTGCCAGAACCTTTAGTACTTCGACGAATAATATTCAGCAACGTATTACGAAAACGTTGTGTAAGGTAAGATTGCCGGCATTCTACTATTGCTGAAGATTTCTTGCGTAGCCTCAAATCAATAAATTTTTCATTCAGGTTCTTCAAAGTGTTAAAGCACCGTTAGCTAGCCACTACGGTGCAATAGCTGGGCTGGCTGAAATGGGAACAGAGGTATTGATTGGACCGTTATTTATCATCGATTTAATTGATTATCTTTATTGAATGCGTTCGCATAATGAGGTTGTGGGCAGATTTTCGTTGATATGCGGCCACAGTTGTACGAAATAAGCAACCGAATTGGCCGGAGTTTAGGAACTTGAACAGATCACACTGTAGTGTAGATCGTCCATTTTAGTGCTGTTCTTAGAAGGTGCTGTGTTGGTATATACTAATGTTCATCATCCATTGCGGTAGTGACTCTGAAGATGAATACCGCTAAGGATGTCGAAACGTCAGTCAACATCAACAACAACAGTCCTTCTCTGGACTCTACTAACCTGGAAGATCTACATCCACAAACATGTTAAGATACTCTTGAGTTCAAACGATGCACTGTTTTCATCACAGTATGCTTTTTGAAACATATAGTAAAAATTGTTAAACGTTTCAAAGGTAACCAAGTTATGATGCTGTTTGCTTTGCAGTTGGTAATTACGTGATCAAAAAAATACAGAAAAAACTGATCTTTTGCTAGCTATGTATTATAGCACATAATTATCTACAAAGAAAACTGTGTGTATTTTGACTTCAAGGTGTTAAAGGTCCTAGTTGTTCCATTTCTAAAGACGGAAGCTCAGCTGATAAAAAATGCCCTTAGCGGACATGATCTCAGAGAGAAAGCAGCCGCCGAGCACCTTCAAGCTGTCATTTTGGTATGAAAATCTCTTATTTTGTACTCAGTTTACTTTGGGAAAAAGTTTTCGGTTTTCTATGTTAGGCAATTTAATGAAATATTTTCAGAAACATATTCCGACGACAATACTTCAAATGCGACCAAATCAAGATAAACAAGAGCAATTCGAAAAAGAATACGGATATCTTGGTCCCTCATTATTCACGAAAGTTTCTCAATTGCGTCAAACTATCATGACTGCTGCTGCAAAATCAGGTCAAAGACCTTTATTGACTGCACCGTCGACGTCAAAGCAAGTCGTCTTGAAGCTCATGATGCCAAATACAACATCGTCTGGATCAGCACCAACAACCCCCACAACCCCGTTAACACCATTAACTCCACTCTCGGCCACCTCAGGCAGTAATGTGTTATCATTAGGTAGGTCAATGACGTCACCAGTTGTGGTGACTGTACGGCCTCCGCTAAAAAGTCCTTCCGTGGTCTCCATTTCCGGTAAGCCGCCCACACCGACTACAAATGTACCTCCATAATCATAAACAATTATCACAATTACTATAGACATGAAAATGTGCAAGACATGAAAATGTGTGTTACTAGTGCATTATTGTTTTGGATATTATCTTTGGGTTTTTGTGATTAAGTATACAAACAAACTGTGCATACTATAAATTGAGCGCAAAAACCAGAAATGTATATAACAGCATGCCTTTGTACTAACAACTCTCGAAATCACGACAATTGATACCAAAGTCAAGGTTTGTATCCTGTAAAACGTTTTACCCCTACACCATTCAATGGTTGATTTATACAATTAAACAAGGACATTGGGAAAAATACGATAGAGGCTTTACGTAGCTTCATTAAATTTTCGGTCAAGAGTAAAACAGTCAGTATAAAGTATTTACTCGTGGCATTGAAGTGCCAAAATCGTTTCTTTCCATCATGCGTCTGAAAACTTTGCGTGGTACATAATAGTTTGGAATGGATGGCGAGCTTTGAAACAACATTTTACCAGAGAGATGATGACGTCTTTCTTTGCAATTTTCTTTCGTTTTTGCAGATAAGAGACTGTGGCCAACTGCGTGCACTTTATGAAAGTTCATGTTCTTCTGAACATGTGACTTCAGTGTTGTGTGAACTAAATTGCAAAGAAATATATCGTAAGAAACTTGTGTACAAGTCTTTCTCGATATAGATACTGCATCAACCGCGCCTTCAAGAGAGTAAACTTCTTTGCAGTACGATAGTTACACAATGTTCAAGTACCTGATAAGGCGTATCTATAATACTCAGGAGTAACTATAGCACTGGCGTTTCTATGGCAGAATTGCTCTTTTATAGGTTCCGTTTGTGTGTATAGTTGAAACCGAATAAAAAGCATATGAATGGCGGATCCGTTGATCCCTGTCATAAGATAGCTGATGTTAAATATTTAACCAGAATATTGAATATTACACTGACATCTCAACGCGGTAGAGTGGAGATTGCTGTAGTACAAATAGCGCTGTTTTTTAGTATTTCAATTTCAAATTTATCCACACCAATGTTTTCTGACCCTATGTCCTCTAATAATGGAATCTGTCCGACTATGTACCTGAGATGTGCCTTGATGTTTCTTTTTTGGCAAAGAGTGTTTCATCAACATACGACTCTTTGTTGACAGACCGGTACATATTCTGGCTTCTGAATTAATTGGAAGTAGAGTTTTTCAAAATTCAAATAACGTCTTTTATGAAGTGTACTATTTCACAAAAGTACACGTTACCTAACTCTCCAGTTAGCCATCAAGAACAGCTTTCGCGGTCTGATGAAAATGCCATACATATCTTTACATTGAAAATGTCTGTGGCCTTTATGCAATCCGCTGGTATAACCAACTATGAAGAACATAGGAGAAATAAGTGTTGCATGAAAACAGTTGCTAAAAATCATGAAAACTGTTTATTTATAAGTATAACCTGGAGTATCCAATTCCACGCCAACCCAATCACCTTCTTTTGTATTCAATCCACCTTTGTATCTCACAATCCCTGTCAATATTTCTCCGTTTTTTACAGTTTGAACACGGGATCCTATCTTAAGATTTTCGAAGCCGACCATATTACCTAACACGTACCTTCTGGCTAACATTTGAAGAAATTTAAACGAACACAAACAAACATAAACTAAACACAGTTGTCACTCCTAGAAACAATCCACGCACTTAACACACCAGTCTTGATTGGTCACGCGGGATGCACGCGCTAAAGCCATCAATAAACAAGTACGTTGCCTTAGAAACGTTAGAAACTGAACTTGGTTGCCATGGAGTTATAACGCTTTGTTAATCAAAGCAGTTCATAAGAAGTAATCCTAACTTTTTACAAAAATTGGCGAAGATGTCTTTGCCCTTTCTTCCTGGACAGGTTTTTGACAGAAAGGTAGATATTCTTGCAGTAAACTTGTTTTTTATAATTAATAAGCGATAAATAATTTTCAGTTTGAATTGTGAATTTTTATACCAAAACAGTTCATCGTTGTTCTTGCTAACTCTTTGCTGATGAAATATGTTTATTTTTATTTTAATACCAAGCTGGGAAAAACGAAATTTCACAAATCTCAATTGTTTGATTACAAAAATGATGTTCGTTGCTTCGTTGGTGGAGCCAAAAGTGGAATAGGTATGTTTTGGTTGCCTAATTTAAGCTACAAGCCTACAACGCTAGTCTCGATTGTACATAAAAGTTTCCATCCTCGTTATGTTAATGCATATTATGGATTTTGTCATCTTAAACAATAGGTGGAGAAATCCTACCAGGTCGGACATTACCACCTGGACATAGTACTTACCCAAAAGGTGTAGGCCCAGAAGCACCTTCTTGGGTCGCCTTTGATAGACAAGTGCTTTGTTTTGATGCTTATTTTCAAGAGGCAGTTCATGAAAAACGAGAAGAACAATATCGAATTCGCAAGTATGTGTTGTGTGCAACAACTATGTTAATGGCAAAACTTTAACAAAAACTCTTGTTTTAAACAATCAATTTTTAACAAAAACATAATGACAGCATCATTCTTGAAATGTGGTTCTTTGTATATTTATTCTTTTAAAAAGCAGTTGCATGCTCTAAAAATCATTGCACACTTTAATAGCATAGATACCTGTCATCCTGTTGTGAAACCATCCTTATTTTAAGTTTAACTTCAGTTAAAAGGACCACAAATGTATTTCATTTTGTAATGGGCAGTCATGTATTTTCTATTTTAGCACATTTTTACTGTAGGATGATAAAAATCTTGTGAACATTTCAGATGCAAAATATACTTCTATCTGGAAGATGATGGAATACAAGTAAATGAACAAAAAGTGGATAATAGTGGCATACCCCAAGGTAACTTTGATGCATAGATTTTAATTTAGCTTGATGCATGTATTTTTGTATACTTTAAACTAACTTCTAGAACCATCATATTACAGGCACACTCATTCGACGACATCGCGTACCTCTTCCCGTACCAAATGATGACTATTTCTACACTGTTGATCATTTTAATATCGGTCGAGAAGTCAACATTTACTCAAAAGTGTTTAAAATCATTGTAAGTAATGAAAAATCCTTTGTGTTGACTTTACTGAGTATACTTGATAAAACACAGTGGTGGTTGAAATGGAACACCATTGCATTGTAATGTAATACAGAGTTACAGTAAAACAGATTATTATAAAGATGCAAGTGTACCTTGATCAAGGCAAGTACAAAAGGACTTGCCACAGACATGTGAAGTTCAAGTTTTGCAAAAAAGTTATTGGCCTGGGCACGGTCTTTTAAAACTGATAACCTTGTTTATGGTCATTGGACATCGCCTCGTTTTAAGTTAAAGTCTTCGTATGTTTGTATGTCTGTGCGTATTGTCTATATAAGAGAATTAGTATTTTTTTTACGTTTCATGAAAACAGGTTTGCAGACAAAAGTACTTTTTTGACAATGTTGTGACGGTGAAACATGTCTCTAACTTGTGAAACACGTCTTTAACTTGTGTGTGTTGTAACAAGAATATTTAACAATAAATGAACATGTTTTTACAATTTTTTTAAAAGAGAAAACATTCTCTGGTTGATTTGAGATTTGTGATTGTTTTGTATCACCGTCTTCAACAATTTTGATGGGGTGTGTTGATTCATCATGCATTCGAAAATAATTAGGGCGGCGCTTTTTAGAGAATATCGCTTGCAAATCAAATGTGGCGCTCTTTCGAGGGCAGCGTTCTTTCGGAGGCAGCACTCCGTAATCCCCATATCTTTCGTTCTCGTCAGTCTCATCTTTATGATAAGTAGCATTTGAATATTTGATTCATTTTTAAAATAGGATTGTGATGAGTTCACCCGAAATTTTCTAACAAAGTTGGGTGTACGAGTTGGAAAGCCAGAAAAGTTTCCTGATGATCCATATTCACTTCATCGCTGTGAGGTTTGTGTTTGTCATTTTTCAATACATTTTTCAAAATTTTAAATTCGACAATTGATGGATGGGAAAACATGTTGAACATTGTGTTTCCACTCTTCGCCTTCACGTCGAATGGACACGAGCATAAGAGTATTTCCACTTAAACTTTCAAAGTTTTAAAATAAATCGCATTTTCGTAGTTTTAAATAGAAAAGAGCATCATGGATGAATGAGAACAGAACATGCAACAAAGAATGACGTAATAACGTTCTTAATTCAATTTTTGTACGTATCTCACCTCATAACAGATGTCCATAAATGATTGAAAATGTAAAACATGGGAGAGTGTATACATTTGCTTAAATATATCGAAAGCGAACTAAACGAGAATTTTTATGAAAGTTTCTTCAAGAAGTGATTGTTTTTCTTGTGAATAGACACAAAAATATTGACATAGCATGACCAGTAGAATCTTCATCCACAAAATAAATCGACTTTAGAAAATATATGTGGCGTTCTTTTTCTAACTTTTTTTTTCTTCCTTTTCTAAATATTTTATTTTAGATGAAAGAGAGCATGCAGCCACTAAGACCGTACGAGAAACAAGATACACTCAAGCAATTTTTGCAATATGATCGCAGAGTGTTGAGATTTTATTGTTTGTGGGATGACACAGATAGGTACAGTTAACTTCAATGCCGTCACAATATCTAACATTAATTAAGGCATAATCCCATGGCGAGTTTTTTTCAAGTACGCTGTTTTTTTGATAATGGGGAAATTTTCTAAAAACCTGCCTTATGCATAGTATCAGGCGATTAATAATGAACTTGTTGTACTCGGGCATTGGACATACATGGAGAATTCATCCTCTAATGTTTTGAATTATTGCACAATTTTGAACATTTTTTGTATGTTTTCTTTTAGTATGTTTGGTGATCCCAGAGAAATGGTATTACATTACTTTTTGGCAGATGACACCATTGAAATTCGTGAGATAATTCGTGCGAATTCCGGTAGAGATGCAGTGCCAATGTTTTTAAGAAGGCAAAGGTTACCGAAGGTAATTATGCATTAATTGCAACATGGGATGGTTGGCATTTGCATTTTGCACATGTGCAATATGAACTTAACCTTGTGTAGTGTTATTATAGCGGTGCTAGCTTGACTTTCACTTATTTTCCATACGGTTTTCTCTGCAAAATCATAACCTATCCAATACAATCAATGCTCGTAAAAACGATTCTTTGACGAATAGGAGGTGGACTTGAAAGCTTATGTAAATACAGGAAAAAAGTTCCTTTTTTTTTTGTCAGTTTTTCATGTTAAGTACGCTCGTCTAACCAAAATCACAACAAACCAAGAGGTGCACTAAAGTGATGAATAAATTGTCATTGCCTTTTATTCACAGGAGCCAATATCGACCTTGCAGCCTGGACGCATGACCGGGCGTACCGTTCTTAATGTATTTGGACCAACGGGCCATGGTGGCCGTTGGATTTTAGACAGTTTAAAAACTGGTGCTGTCCATATCAACTATTATACTGATGCTGATCTTACTATCGGCAGCGTTATTAACGTTTGGGGAAGAAGGTTTTTTATATTCGACTGCGATGAAAACACGAAAGAACACTATCAAACAAAGTTTGGCATTGATAATTTCCAACCAATCAAACACAAGTCTGATCCGGAGCAACCAATTCCACGCGAGATCCCGCCCTACAATGGATTCGGAAGCGAGGAAGATTCCTTGTGTTCCTGTCTTTCACTCATTCCCAAACCCCCAAAACGTGATTTTATGAAGTTCATGGAGAAAGACAGGTTTCGCATTTTGAACCTTGATTATTATTTAGTATATGTCAAATGCACATTTCTTTTTACAATGTAGTTGTACCAAAACAAAAACGCGTCATTTTTCCGTTGTAGGCATGGTTTGAACAGCAATGTACTTCGTTTTATGGCTAAGATGGACTCTGGCCGTCCTAATGACGAAAGCCGTTACTTCATTATTTCATATTTTCTATGTGATGACACGATTGTCGTTTTTGAGCCTACCCAGCAAAACTCCGGAATTATCGGGGGCAAATTCATGGAAAGAAATCGCATCAAATTACCAGATGGCTCCGGCTATTATAGTTCACAGGTTAGTTCGTCGCAGCTATATTTCTTAATCAAATGTTTATGTGATCTTGCCAATGTATCAAGGCGGGATGACTGCGAGAGCGACCCTAATTCGCTCAACCCATTGATGACAAGTCTCCAGCTTTCTGGTTGGGAACGGGGCTCAAAATAGAAAATTTTAGTTTAGGGGGTGAACGGCAAACCGCAAAAAGTCGCGTGATCATGGCTTTGCGGTTTGCAGTTTAGGTTTAAGCAGCAAGAGACCTTGTGGTAGGTGAGTTACGACAGGCTTTTTAGTACTTTTCACACAACCTAGTGACGTTTATGGCTCAACTGTATATTTTTAGCGATCATAGTCATAAATCCTTATCAATCTCTATGAGGACCCCATCTATCCTGTTCACCCGATACAGCATTGTTGACATTGTGGTTCAATATCACAGTTACTAAAGATTATTCGAAAACTCTCTCGGTCTCACTAAGAACGGGGCCATGTTTGCCCTGTATGGTGCTGCCTACCATTGCTTTTTCTCAATAGGATCTTTACATTGGTGCTCATGTGGAATTCTTGAAGCATAAATTCATACTCACAGATGCAGATGAATATGCCGTTTATTACATAGAGAAAAATAACAAAGAATATCTACAGGCCAATGTTCCCATCATTTTGTCAAAACTCAGGGAAATCACTGACAAACATCAAGACAAATTGCGCTCATACTTTGCTGAAGTGGATACTCAAGATTCGGGATATGTATCATTTGATGATTTCCGGTGAGTAGGTGTTTATTGTTTATTGTATCATATTGTACCATATTGTTCCATATTGTACCATATTGTACCATATACATCATAAATAGATAGCTGTGGACTTTCTTCGAAATTCAGTTCGGTTGAGTCTCATTCAAGAAATCGCGAGTTTTTGATTAAGTCTTTATAGACATTTGTGTCTGATGTATTTTTTTCTATATGAATGAATGCCACATCATACCATCGAGTTTCACACTGTCCAGATTACAAGAGTTTCACAATGTTACTAATGAATCACTAACTTTGTGAAACTTTTCTTTATTCTAAAGGAACATTGTTATGAAATACAGCTCGAACATCTCAGTTCACGAAATATTGTCTGTTTGTCGTCATTATGGAAGTAAAAAGGTGAGAGATTTGGATATTTGCTCGCGATCTTAGAAACAAAGCATTGACGATTGAACCATTTTCTTCAACTGTATTTAACGTTTGATGAACTAATTGAACAGGTTTTGGCACATGTTGTAAAAATGCTTACTCTCTTGCTCTTTACAACTAAAATGATCCTGATGGTATGTTAGCAGGATCTTCTTGATACAATTCTTTAATGAATAAGAACTACATTTGTTTAAGGCCATCATCGATCATATATGTACATGAGAAGAAAGCGCTGTGTACATTGTGGGACATTAGTGTATGTTGTATGTTGAGTACTTAGCAGGATATTCTTGATACAATTCTTTAACGAATAAGAACTACATTTGTTTAAGGCCATCATCGATCATATATGTACAATGGAAGAAAGCGCTGTGTACATTGTGGGACATTAGTGTATGTTGTATGTTGAGTACTTAGCAGGATATTCTTGATACAATTCTTTAACAAATAAGAACTACATTTGTTTAAGGCCATCATCGATCATATATGTACATGTGAAGAAAGCGCTGTGTACATTGTGGGACATTAGTGTATGTTGTATGTTGAGTACTTAGCAGGATATTCTTGATACAATTCTTTAACAAATAAGAACTACATTTGTTTAAGGCCATCATCGATCATATATGTACATGAAGAAAGCGCTGTGTACATTGTGGGACATTAGTGTATGCTGTATGTTGAGTACTTAGCAGGATATTATTCTTGATACAATTCTTTAACAAATAAGAACTACATTTGTTTAAAGCCATCAGCAATCATATATGTACATGAGAAGAAAGCGCTGTGTACATTGTGGGACATTAGTGTATGCTGTATGTTGAGTACTTAGCAGGATATTCTTGATACAATTCTTCAACAAATAAGAACTACATTTGTTTAAGGCCATCATCGATCATATATGTACATGAGAAGAAAGCGCTGTGTACATTGTGGGACATTAGTGTATGTTGTATGTTGAGTACTTAGCAGGATATTCTTGATACAATTCTTTAACAAATAAGAACTACGTTTGTTTAAAGCCATCATCGATCATATATGTACATGAGAAGAAAGTGCTGTGTACGTTGTGGGAAATTAGTGTATGTTGTATGTTGAGTACATAGCAGGATATTGAGCTATATGTCGAGTACATTGTAATGCTTTGAGTTATGTCGAATACACTGCAGAACACTGTGCTATGTCGACTAGCATTTGGTGACTAATGATGATATGTCTTTTGCCTCTATAGGCCGAAGAGGATAATTATGACGCCTTGATTTCTGCTATTCAAGAAAAATTACGGAAGACTAATTACGAAAATTTCGAAAATTTATACGATGCTTGTCGACATCGTGATATTGATCAGTAAGTTGTATTTTCTAAGTTCAATTGCAGTAATTTGTTCTGTGTTATTGTCATGTTGCTGTTAATAAACGTCATCAATGACGTCATATATAACAATTTTTGCATAAGTACGTGCTTTTGCGTTGTCTGAAACGTGGACGTTTGTATTTTTAGGACAGGTTACATTGACATGATGGACCTACACAACGTTGCTCGTTCTTTCAAGATCCCAGCTAAGCAAGAGTTACTTGACGCTGTTCTTATGCGTATGAAGAGAAATACCAATGGACAAGTTAGTTACAAGGAGTATATTGACGCTATCAATTGGCGAGACCACCCGGGTAAGTGTTAAGGATGTTATCAATCGTAAATTGAAAAAGGCCTTGAATGTGAAATGAATTTCAGCGTCTCGTGAAGATTTGCGTATCGTCTTTGATCGAAGTTGACAATGCATATTTCATTAATTTTAGTTCAACTGCAGAGATACATTCCTGTTTCAGTTGCAGAAACGAAAGCAAAGGTGAGAATTTGTTTTTGTGTGTGGCAAAAACGAATGAACTGCATAGTGAGGATAATGGCAGGAACACTATAGCGGACTACTTTATGTAAAGACAAGCATAATCAATTGGCTTTTGTTTTCAAAAAGTTTCTTTCAAATTTACATTGCGTCTGTTGCAGCGTTGTAAAAAGTTGTTTGTTAATACCCGAACGACGTTGATATTCATTTTTTTATCTTTAAGGAGCGCGTTAGACCAATGGAAGGTGTCATTGCAGTCAATTACAAAGCTCTAATGAAAGATCTTCTTTTACAAGATTAAAGCACCTCTGAAATGCATGATCATTTCACGAAGCATCTCAATATTTGAAAAAGACTGATATTTTGTATAGCTCTGTGCTTTTTAAATGAAGTGAAATAAACTAAATATATAGTTTTATTCAGTTTATATGCTAAACAAGTATATTTGAAATCTACGCCATGATACCACAACGGCAAAAAGTAGATAAAAAATTCATTTCTGTTCGAACGCGACAGTTGTCATTCCAAGATTAACTCCTTTATTGCAAAAAACTTCCCTTAATATCGTTTCATGGAGATGATTATTTTTATAAATTACACTAAGCTGAGCACATGAACATACTTCAGAATTACACCTTAATTTAAAAGCAGTGAAAAGTCGTTTAGTGCAGTTTTATCATTTATTCTTTGCATGACCGAGCAGAATAAAAACAGTGCAATTTTCCCTTTTCGGTTTTAGGACACCATCAATCAAGCGAAATATACATACTAAAACATATTCCTATGTAAATGAAAGTTGTACTAAGTGAAACATAGTAAGTGAAATCTTAGCGTAGGCTTTTATCAATTGTTTCATAGGAATGAGTATAGTGTACGTAGTAGTACAGTATGTGATGTTATAACAACGAAAAGACTACTAATTTGTTACAAAGTACAAACTTTGTGTCCTGACACGAAATATCGTTTGGAACTCTGATTCAGGCTCACCACTCATCACGTTTATATGCGTTACCAACATTCTTCACTTATGTAAATATAACATGTTTATAGCTAGAATGCCTATTTGATCTTGTGCAGTTCTAAGCACGTTGTGGTGACCATATAAGTCTGACCTCAAAAACTCGTCAACGGTGTTGTGGTACTCCCCTAGGACTTGCTGGGCGTAGAGTAGCATTTACAACTTACTAGTGATATTACAATCATCAAATAACCCATTGAAGACAATGCAACAGCAATTCCTAACACCGAAATATCGACCACCCATTAAAGAGAAACCAGAAGCCCTTTACAAAGTACCCTACATAGAGTGTGATAGGAGTGACATTGGCAAAACAGAAAGCAATGTTTCCAGAAGAGAAAGAAAGAACATGAACTATGAAGAATGCCATAGTGATATTGTTTACTTATGAGAACATAATTGATTTTGAAAATGCTCTAGCAAGTGATACTTAAGAAATAGAAAACATTTCCTGAGTTTCTGTTAAGTTATATAAATACGTGGGAAAGTTTGGAAGAAACGAGAAATTGCATGGCAAGCAGGAGCAAGTGCGAGTGTTTCCAAATAATTTCGAGTTTTTCCCAAACTTTCACAAGTGTTTATATAACTGAATAGAACATGTAATCTATTTTGCTTATAAAATAGCCTTTTGAAAACAATATTTAAAAGATAAATTTATTGATTTTATTTATGTTTATATTTTTATATTATTGATAAGTGCATTGGATGACACAATTGGCTGTTCACACGACTATAAATATCCAAACAAATATAAATATCTATAAACTTATCGGACCGTCCTGAAAAAACAACCAAAAATAAGAACCGAAGCAATTGCTTCTATTAAAATTTAAAACTATACCAGTAAACATTCAACTACATTATGCTTAGTCATTTTTCTAAAAAACAAATCGTCATTTCTACCTGTAAAAAAACGTAATACTTTAAGGCTGATTTCCATTCAGTGCAAATTGTCGCGCGATCAACTTTTTCCGATCACTTTCTTTTGAATTGTAAGCTCTCGACCGGAACAGTTTCACACTGCTGCACACAATTGAAAAGAAAGTGATCTCAAAAAGTCGATCGCGCGACAATTTGCACTGAATGGAAATCAGTCTTTACTTACAACTGGCATTATGGTTATCTCAAGCGTAACCAGATATGCGTCAAATAATAAAATGTGACCTTGTTTAATCACGAGGAGTCTCGTGATCTAAATTAATTGTGTTTATTCTTCGTACCTTACGGTAGAGGACAACAGCAAAGAGAAGTTTGCAACTATTCGGTGAAATTTTCTAGTTTGCATTTATCATGAAGAACTTTGTGGCACTGGTTCTATTCGTATCCCTCTTATATGTTTGTGATTCCTCAAACTATGAACAGGTTGAACACAATTACGAGCATGATTTGGATTTAGGTCCCGATGGTTATGTTATGGGTTCTATTTGGCCTAAACCGCAACAACATACAAAAGGAAACGGCTTGTTTTCCCTTAGCCCCTTGACGTTTCAGTTTCAGTCAACCGGTGAAGAAAGTGATGTTCTTTCAGCTGCTTTGAAGAGGTACAAGACTTTGACGTTTCCTGATAAAATTCCGCCGTGCAATGTGCGTTATCGACGAGACTTGTTAGCCCTCACGAGCTTAGTTGTAAACGTGAAAGAGAAGTACGCACCAATGTCATTCAAAATGGACGAATCATACACGTTGAACGTAAGCTCACCTACTTCTAGCCTTATTGCGAATACAACTTGGGGCGCATTGCGTGGTTTGGAAACGTTCAGTCAACTTGTCTATCAAAATGAGTTCGGTGACTTCCGTGCTCGTGAAGCGAAAATTTTCGATTATCCTAGATTTCATTTTCGCGGTTTTCTCATCGATACGTCAAGACATTACGTTGCAGTACCCGTAATCCTTAGTCATATTGATGCTATGGCATATGGAAAATACAATGTGCTGCATTGGCACATCGTTGATGATCCCTCATTTCCTTTTGTAAGCGAAACATTCCCAAGTCTTAGCGATACAGGCGCTTACAATAATGTCACGCATATTTATGACCCTGATGATGTTGCTACTGTTATCGAGTACGGTCGAATGCGTGGCATTCGGGTTGTACCCGAGTTCGATACACCTGGACATACCCAATCGTGGGTAAGTATCAAAAATCTGCTAACTCCATGTTACTCTGGAGGCGTCCCAACCGGCACATATGGACCCATTAATCCAACACTCAAGTCAACATACACTTTCCTCAAGTCGTTTTTCAGCGAAATAGCCAAGCGTTTTCCCGATGATTATATTCATTTGGGAGGAGACGAAGTATCATTCAGCTGTTGGCAAAGTAATCCGGAAATTGCTGCGTGGATGGAGAAGGCTGGATTTGGCAAAAATTTTTCCCTGCTTGAGCAGTACTACGAACAGAATTTAATCAAAATCGTCGGTGACTTGAACAAGAAGTATATAATTTGGCAAGAGGTAATCGATAATCAAGTCACAGTAAACCCAGACACGGTCGTAAACATTTGGAAAGGTGGCTGGCAAGCAGAAACGGCTAAGGTCACTGCAAAGAATTTGAATGTGGTCCTCTCCTCTCCGTGGTATCTGAACTATATTTCTTATGGCGATGATTGGCCAAATTATTACAAGGTTGAACCAACTGCGTTCACCGGATCGAGCTCCCAGAAGGAGCTAATACTTGGTGGAACGACATGTATGTGGGGTGAATGGGTGGACGGCACAAACCTCCTATCAAGAAGTTGGCCCAGATCTTTGGCTATTTCCGAGAGATTATGGAGTTCTATAAGCACGACGGATATCAGTGATGCTCAAGACCGTCTTAGAGAACATCGATGTCGTTATTTGATGCGTGGCATACCAGCTCAAAACGGAGTTCAGACAAAATACTGTCGTTATGAATGGCCCGGACCTGTATAACATATTATACATAATTACTATTTAAATTTATGTTGATTTAATTCTGGGTGATAAACTGAGTAGCGAATTAATTGGTGATAAACATGAAACTAAGTATAAAGAATTACTTACTGCAGTAGATTTCATTGAAAACTCATTAAAACATGTAACAATATGTAATCGACAATGCAAAAATCAAGATTTATAGTAATGTAGTGTTTCAAGTCCTTTCATTGCTTGGATATTTAGAACAGGCAACATTAACACGATGGATCTGCACAACAGTTCTGTTGTGCGTTTGCAGAGAAACGCCAGTAGAGAATTTTGAAGACTGTTTTAACTGGAAGATTACAAAGATTATTACATTGATTCTGTCAAAACGCAGATATAAATCCCTCTTTCTGCGATCGAAACGAAACGAAAGCAAATGTGAGAATATGTCTTCTTTTTGACATAAACTTCTATAAAGAAAGTTGGCAATACGTCTTAAGAGTAATTATAGACGAGAGGGCCACTTCATGGCACGACATAATTATTAAACTGCTTTTGCTTTCAAAAATTCTTTTTGACTTAACGCATGTCTTTAACGAGCTTTTTATAGCAATGGAAGAAGCGTCATTCTGTCAATCACAAAGATATTCTTTTAAACGACTAAAAACATGTTCAAAACAATTGCACAACAGTTCATATTGTCTGAACAAATGATCGACCTCGACACCATTTGAAACTCGTGTAATTCGTATAATAAGTCTAATATTTGAATTGCAAGTATTTTGTGTGCTCTATGCTTTCCAAATAAGTGAAATAAACTAAAATTGTAGTTTCACTTTTATTTTCTAGACATGTACTTCCTGTCCGTGGAGACAAGCAAAAAAACATACACAATAGTTGTCACTCCAGAATTAAAACCTGTATGATAATCAGATGGCTTGATTCCAGTTTGGTTAAGAAAGTATTTCACAGAGATGATTTTAACAATACCACAGTTTTACTTTAGCAATAGTCATGTTCAGTTTTTGTCTAATATTCTTTGCGAGGCATAGCAGAACAAAAACTGTGCATTTTTGCGTTTTCGGGTGTTTTAGGACAACATCAATCAAGCACGAAATATATGTTAAAAACATGCAAGACTGTAAGTCCCATATCAATTAAAGTTGTAACTAGTAAACAGAGCAAGCGAAATGCTTGAGTAGGCGTTTTGTGCTATAGCGATGAAACTCTAAAATATAAAGACCAGTTGGCGAGTGCAAATAACACGGAACACATACATAGTGATGGCGGAGCCGAAGCTTGTTCTAGTTACTGGAGCATCAGGATTTATAGCGAGTCGCATTATTTATCAATTGCTTCAGAGTAATGAGTATCGTGTGCGTGGTACATTGCGCGATGTTAATGACGAAAAGAAAACCAATCTGTTACAAACTTTGTGTCCTGAGGCGAAATATCCTTTGGAACTGGTTCAGGCTGATCTACTCAATGCTGATTCGTGGTCAAGGTGAGAACGCCTGTTAAAATTTGTCTTTAAATGTGTATATAGCTGCCAAGAACTTTCAAAAAATTATTACTAAGTGCGTTTCACATTTATGTACGTTTCCAACAACTTCTACAAGTATATATAACGTATTTATAGCTAAAATGTTTATTTGATCTCGTGCAGTATGACGCAAGTAGCTGTAGAGCTTAAGCGTGGGTGGCTATGTAAGAAGACGTGAAAAAAATGACGTTTGACATCTGTGCGATGCCGTAGCCGGCCCGTCATGTTTTAGTTTCTCCTCTATGAACTGATTCCACATTTATAACAGTTTTAGATTATATATAGCTTCAACGATTCATTGCAAATGCGCGGAGGAAGATATATGATGAAGAGTTCAGCTTCTGGTATAATGTTTACTAATTTGATGTGTGAACAGAATTTTTGAGTTCTTGCCGCAGAAATCTGCCCAATTTTTTTTACAATAGCTGTCTTTGTTGAAGATTGCAATTTTACTTTTTTTCTAGGTTTTGAGAGCATTCATAACTAAACACTTTCATGTTGATTTCGACAAACAAGCGGAAATAACTCGTTTCAAATTTTTGACGATTCATCTGCAATACCATTTTCATTGCAGCGCTGTCAAGGATTGTGATTACGTCATCCATGTGGCGTCACCGTTTCCCAATACAACACCGAAGACTGAAGACGAAATCCTCAAACCAGCCGTGGAGGGCACCACAAATGTTTTAGAAGCATGTGCCAAATCTTCGACTATCAAGAGAGTTGTACTGACAAGTTCATTAGTAGCAATTTTTAGTAAGTTGTTGGGTGTTCTAAATAAATGCCATTAGGTTACAGTATGAACGAGAGTAGGCCAGGTGAGGACAGATAAGTCACCAATTGAATCGCTTCAGATGCTTTCAAGTGCAAATGTACACAAGAGCCGTTGAGAATCACTTTGACTTACCATAGATCTGTCATTGAGTCTTACATATGTTACGTCATATGTTATAAAATAAAAACAATATAAAGCGTGCGCTGATTCGTCTATAGCCGAGTTTGCATTAGCCTGTGCAAACCGATCTGAGTTGAGCCAATTAAATCAAAGATAATTTGCGAGTCAATCATGAATACATTTTAGAGGAAAAATTAACACATTTTTATAAAATTTGTATGTTTTCACCGTCTCCTCAGGTTGCAGCATCAGCAACTGAAGAAAATTTTTTTATTATTTCTCACAATTTTTTATATCACTTTTCTTTATAAAAAAGAAGGAAACCAAGATAAAGGTCACATGTTGACTGAAAAAAATTGGGCAGTTTTAGAAAGTTGCCAACCTTACGAGAAAAGTAAACTTTTGGCCGAACAAGCAGCTTGGGACATTGTTAAACACCTACCAGGTACTAGTAGATTATAATTTCTACAAAATTTCAGAGAGTCTCCCATTAATTCTCATTCAACATTTGAGATTATGTTCATATGTCAGTCTCTCACGATGAAGTCCCTCTTTGACGTATTTTACTTCTCTAGATAAAGAACAGTTCGAGTTGGTGACAATAAATCCAGGACTTGTTATAGGACCCGTGTTTCCCGGAGCAGGTTTTTCTACTAGCATGGAGGCATGTTTTTCCATTATAACGGAAAATGCAATAGAATTCAATACTATAATCTAAATCATCTTTGATGATTATTTTTTCGTACTTCAGATTCCCAAACACTTGTTGCAAAAAGAAATGCTAATGTTGCCGAAAATACAACTTCCATTATGCGATGTCCGTGATGTTGCTACCGCCCATATTAAGTGTCTCGCACTTCCGGGTGCCGATGGTAAGAGTCATTTTAAGGTTTTGTTCACACTATAACCGATTGCTCTTGGAAAGTGTCAAAATTTCATAGTTTTTAAATCTCCGTGAACATTTTTGATGGCTATGACGTACAAAAAATATTCAAAACTCTGTCAGATTTGTTGGCGATTTTCTCCAATGAGGGCCATGGTGTGCAAATACACCCGTTGGAGTGAAAGGACGATGAAATTTTCACAATGTTGTATGACAACTGCTTTGAAAATATGTGGCTTGGGTTGCATTGTCATGACCTAACTCAAAGAATACGCTAAAACTGGTTAACCCGTAGTTGTACTAGAAGCCACTGAGAACTATTGTCTTTTTTCTTGACGCATTAATAGTTATTTTTAACTCTTATACGATGTAGTAAGTACAATGAATTAGAATGTTGTGCTGTTTATAAGATAAATGTGATATATTTTTATCGCTATTTTTTGATTCACCAAACTCTGGAAAAATAGGAAAACCAAAATCATAGCATGTGCTAATTATGAAATTATATGTCTCGTGTATGACATGCAGGAAACAGATTCATTGTGACTGCTGGTAGTATGTGGATAAGAGAATTTGCCCAAACACTTAAAAGAGAATTTAAGCCGCAAGGTATGTCATAACCACCACCTACTTGTTTCAACTACGCAATAATTAAGCAGGGTCCTCAAAAAATTGTATTCAAGTGCCAATTCAAAAATTGTGCTAAAGGCATGACAAACTTCTTGAAAGGTACAAAACATGTACTTCAAGGCAATACGGAATCTTTAAAAAGTCGATTTGTGAATTTGTGTGTTTAAAAATTTATCTGTTTACAGTTAACTGAATAATTTAACTGCAGTGCTGCCAATAATATGCTGCTTTATTGCAGACAGCCTTGTATTAAGTGATATATCATAGCAATTGCACACAACAAAAAGATGCATGCTTGCTGTCCGGACACTGTAAATTTAACAATTTAAACCTGTCTTTTAAGGCTACAGTATTCCTACCAAATATTGTCCAAAGCTCTGCCTGGTTATGATATCAATTTTTGACAGATCCATAAAACCAGTAATTCCACTTGTTGGAAAAGTGGTGAATATCTCCAACGAAAAGGTATCTTAATTTTGAAACCTCGATCGTATCGTAGCAGATGTTCAATCTACACATAGCTATATGGATGTAAAGGTTGGAAAATTTTGTACACAGAAATGCCTTTTACAATATTTACCCGGAGATAACTTGTCTAAAAAAGATGCTATACATCAAGTATAATGCAAAGCATGCAACATACTTTTGAGTTGGTTTTGGTGAATGTACCTTTTAACAAAAACGAAGTCTTTTTATCGCACTTTTCCTTATCCTCGCCACTCTTCTAAATAGTCATCCATCGTTCTCCTTCTTTGTAGCTACTGATTTTATCAATTAGTCATGTCTTAAAGTATCTTTTTTTCATAGATGAAAAAAGAGCTCGGGATTGTACCAATCGAAATGGAAAAGTCCATTATAGATATGGCGTACAGTCTGATTGATGAAGGTTTCATCAAACGGACTAGTGGTTACAAACAGTCAAACCCAGAAGCATGAAAGAAAAGAATGAAGAAGATTTGTATATGTACAATAAAATTATATTTATAGCATGTATATGTTGATAGAAAATAATATTTGAGGAAAATGTACCTATATGCTTGGAGTGTTATTTGATTGTGCACATGTCTTTTCTACACGAAATGTTTTTAGAAAGAAATAATTTTAAAATAATTGCTAGAAAAATTTTCAAAAGAAACAGTTTTGAAAAGAATTGTTGTTTCTTTCTATAAAAACCTTTAATCGTGAAACTACTTTTTGAAACTACTTCTTTTAATGAATCCTTTTCTTCGTGTGGTTAAGGTAGCCAAAAATTATGTCACTGTTGTGGCGTGGTGATGCCCTATTACAGGCTAAATTAACACCAACATTCTTTACCCGTGGTCGACGTTTTCGTGACCTTTGGACTTTTTTTCATATAGACCTCTCAGCGGTAGATAACCTTTACACTTCTTCCTAGGTTTGTGCCTGTGTCTCAGAATGAAAATAGTCAGTCACCTATAAATGTATGACATGAAGTCATTGACTAAATTTAAGATGGCGACTTCTTCGAATAACTTGATGGAAAGACTCGATCTTTGGGATTCAAAAGAAGGATGTTTATCCCCTCTTACAGATGATGAAAAAGATAGTGTTTTGCTGTTGGCAACTTATTCAATGAATCGTGCAATGCCATCAGAGGTAAAGTGTCGCATTTAATGAATAATCTCAACAGTGACAGTGAGTACTGTCTGAGAATTTCAACGACAATTTTATGAATTTATGCGCCCTAAAAAAGATGATTTTTTTGTGCAATGGACATAATAAAAATTAGTACTGTTAGCTTATGCTTTATCTCGAAAGTGCTTATGAAAACCGTAATCAAGTATATCTATAACTTTCATTAGTTTATTTAATTACCGTCTGTACGTGGCAGTTTCTTGTTACCACTCAAGAAACAATGCCTTGTAGTACGCAAGGGATATTTTCTTTTGATTTCACAGCAGAATTTTTTGTTGAGCTAGATATTTCACTGTTTTATGATGCACACAATACTTGGTATTACTTAGGCCCCAGTCTGGAAAGTATGTTTTTTGCCCACCATAGATATTTTTCATATTATCTTTGCACACCAAGCATATTTAGCAAAGGAGAGACCAAATCCGAGTTCTTCATTAAAACTAAAGTTAAATACTATCCTTCACTGCAAAGCGATGTTTTCTGTTTGAATAACAACCAATTTCTGAGAACACAATTGATTCTGCAACAACAAAATTTCATGAATTTCAAGAATATATGCAAAATACTAATTATAATATTTTGGATTTCTTTTGTGTGCGTACCATTAAATTTGATTTTCAAACCAGCACACCAGCTATATTTCATTGCTCATTGAAAATAAAAACAATTAATTTTCCCAAGAAATTAATGTTATTGATACAAAATTTACATTTTCAGAGAACATCTGTAGGATTTTTATGACCAAGTTGTTTGAAATTTTTAATCATGTAGCTCCCTGAAAAAGATATTACAAGTTTGCCCTCAAAAAGAACTCATGGTGAGACATCTGAAAGCAAAACCAACATGGATATATCAGATATAGATCTTGGATCTGCCAAAGTTGAAAATGCCCAACAGGTTTGGAATTGTGTAATTTTGTTTTGAATTTTCATTGCTATTCCTTTTTTGTTTACAACAAAGACTGGTGTAATGGAAAGGTGCTTTGTTTTTTGAGTTAAGTGACAGTCATTGTGTGGGAAGTGTTCTTTTGAACATAAAAAACTGTAATGCATCATGCTTTTATCAACATGCATGATTGTCAAAATTTTGTAATAGATTATTTTAAAAAAGAAATTGAATTTCAGAAATTTTACTTCAATTTTTTCTTCTTTTTTTTGTCATTACTGATTACTTTGGAAGATTTGCCTAAATTTTTATTTAATCATTGTCATCAAAAGAAATTTTGCCTTAGTAAAAGCTAATGTTGCTTGGCAATAAGCTAGACACCACTGAAGACCTTTCATTATAAATTAAACTGATGACAAGACGTGCTGAGTGAGGAATTATTCATAATTTAGTTGTGCATTGTGGTGACATTTCTCACAAAAAGGAAACTAATTGTGCACGTATATCGGCAAAGAAACAAAATTCTCAGCAAGAATATTATATACATATTTCAAAAAGTGAAGCTGTTGGACAGGTTGTTTTATTATATTATCTTCGCCCAGTTGTCATGATAATTTTCATTTTCATGTTTTGTAGTTTTTCACATGGTTTGCCCAAGTTGAAAACCAAATGGAGAGAGAACAGGAATCTGCTTATCAGTATGTAGTCATCTTTAGCATGTCTTATAATGTCTACATAAGTGACCACATTCACCACATTCACCACATTCACCACATTCACCACATTCACACAATCACCACATTCACCACATTCACCACAATCACCACATTCACCACATTCAACACATTCACCGCAATCACCACATTCAACACATTCACCATTCATTCCACATTCCACACATTCACAACCACATTCATTCCACATTCACATTCCATTCACCACATTCATTCATTCACCACATTCCACACCATTCATTCACCACATTCACCATTCATTCCATTCCATTCCATTCCATTCATTCCACCATTCATTCATTCCATTCATTCACATTTTCATTCCACACACATTCATTCACACATTCACACATTCAACCTCCACTGGACTCTACAATGGCATTCATCTTAACTCTGGAGGACTGGGTCGCCAAGAGAAATTATTGCGCAATATGACGTGACCATTTGACGTCATGATTATAAATATCTACTCCGCCTTCAAATTGCAAATGGTCTTCTACATTGACCCATACTTTTTTCAAGGAGCATTGCTTAATATTGGACCCTATCCCGCAAATTAGCTACTCCTTCCGCGAAAATGTCCTCTGTGTCTCCCTCTCGATTGTCAGGCTGGAGGGCAATTTAATTTAATCTCATCACCGTCGTTATTTTGTAAAGCCTGCTTATCATGTTTTGGTGACGACAACCCGTAACATACCATTGAACCAAAATACATGGAACGCCACCTGAAGCAAATAGTTGAAGCCAATTCTTACGTCCAGACACGCGTGTGTATTGTTTCGAGACTCTCCTGCGAGGTGAAATTTGATTGAACTACACACGCCTGGCTGGGTGTGATCTCGCGTAGTTGGGTGTAAGATTTGGCTTCAAAAAATTATTAGGCTTGTCTATTACAGGTAGCGTTCCATGTATTTTAGTTCAATGTAACATACCGGTCATACCCTTCCCTTCTAAAAGATATTTTTAGAATGTATTTTCTACAATGATAATTTCTTGTCCTCTTTTTATTTACATTTTAGCGCGTATTGCAAACAGCTGCAAGAATATAGAGATCATTGTGAAGTGATATTAAATGAAATTAACGAAGCTCTGAAATATCTTAAACTTTTACATGAGCAGCATTTGTTTGTTTCAACGAAAACTGGTGCTCTTCACTATGCTTGCGAACAACTTCTTCAAGATCAGGTTTTTGATACGAGTACATACCATAATGTAGCTAGCTATACTGCATTCTACATATAGTCTCATACCATAATGTAGCTAGCTATACTGCATTCTACATATAGTCTCATACCATAATGTAGCTAGCTATACTGCGTTCTACATATAGTCTCATACCACAATGTAGCTAGCTATACTGCATTCTACGTATAGTCTCATACCATAATGTAGCTAGCTATACTGCATTCTACATATAGTCTCATACCATAATGTAGCTAGCTATACTGCATTCTACATATAGTCTCATACCATAATGTAGCTAGCTATACTGCATTCTACATATAGTCTCATACCATAATGTAGCTAGCTATACTGCATTCTACATATAGTCTCATACCATAATGTAGCTAGCCATATTGCGTTCTACATATAGTCTCATACCATAATGTAGCTAGCTATACTGCATTCTACGTATAGTCTCATACCATAATGTAGCTAGCTATACTGCATTCTACATGTAGTCTCATACCATAATGTAGCTAGCTATACTGCATTCTACGTATAGTCTCATACCATAATGTAGCTAGCTATACTGCATTCTACATATAGTCTCATATCATAATGTAGCTAGCTATACTGCATTCTACATATAGTCTCGTACCATAATGTAGCTAGCTATACTGCATTCTACGTATAGTCTCATACCATAATGTAGCTAGCTATACTGCATTCTACATATAGTCTCATATCATAATGTAGCTAATACTGCATTCTACATATAGTCTCATCATAATGTAGCTAGCTATACTGTATTCTACATATAGTCTCATATCATAATGTAGCTAGCTATACTGCGTTCTACATATAGTCTCATACCATAGTGTAGCTATACCATTACATATAGTCTCATATCATAATGTAGCTAGCTATACTGCGTTCTACATATAGTCTCGTACCATAATGTAGCTAGCTATACTGCATTCTACGTATAGTCTCATACCATAATGTAGCTAGCTATACTGCATTCTACATATAGTCTCATATCATAATGTAGCTAGCTATACTGCATTCTACATATAGTCTCGTATCATAATGTAGCTAGCTATACTGTATTCTACATATAGTCTCATATCATAATGTAGCTAGCTATACTGCGTTCTACATATAGTCTCATACCATAGTGTAGCTAGCTATACTGCATTCTACATATAGTCTCATATCATAATGTAGCTAGCTATACTGCATTCTACATATAGTCTCATATCATAATGGCTATAGTTCTACATGTAGTCTCATACCATGTAGCTAGCTATACTGCGTTCTACATATAGTCTCATACCATAATGTAGCTAGCTATACTGCATTCTACATATAGTCTCGTACCATAATGTAGCTAGCTACTGCGTTCTACATATAGTCTCATATCATAATGTAGCTAGCTACTGCATTCTACATATAGTCTCGTACCATAATGTAGCTAGCTATACTGCGTTCTACATATAGTCTCATATCATAATGTAGCTAGCTATACTGCATTCTACATATAGTCTGTACCATAATGTAGCTAGCTATACTGCATTCTACATATAGTCTCATACCATAATGTAGCTAGCTATACTGCATTCTACATATAGTCTCGTACCATAATGTAGCTAGCTATACTGCGTTCTACATATAGTCTCATATCATAATGTAGCTAGCTATACTGCGTTCTACATATAGTCTCATATCATAATGTAGCTAGCTATACTGCATTCTACATATAGTCTCTACCATAATGTAGCTAGCTATACTGCGTTCATATAGTCTCGTATATAATGTAGCTAGCTATACTGCATTCTACATATAGTCTCGTACCATAATGTAGCTAGCTATACTGCGTTCTACATATAGTCTCATACCATAATGTAGCTAGCTATACTGCATTCTACGTATAGTCTCATACCATAATGTAGCTAGCTATACTGCATTCTACATATAGTCTCATACCATAATGTAGCTAGCTATATTGCGTTCTACATATAGTCTCATACCATAATGTAGCTAGCTATACTGCATTCTACGTATAGTCTCATACCATAATGTAGCTAGCTATACTGCATTCTACATATAGTCTCATATCATAATGTAGCTAGCTATACTGCGTTCTACATATAGTCTCATACCATAATGTAGCTAGCTATACTGCATTCTACATATAGTCTCATACCATAATGTAGCTAGCTATACTGCATTCTACATATAGTCTCATATCATAATGTAGCTAGCTATACTGCATTCTACATATAGTCTCATACCATAATGTAGCTAGCTATACTGCATTCTACATATAGTCTACATAATGTAGCTAGCTATACTGCGTTCTACATATAGTCTCATATCATAATGTAGCTAGCTATACTGCATTCTACATATAGTCTCGTACCATAATGTAGCTAGCTATACTGCGTTCTACATATAGTCTCGTATCATAATGTAGCTAGCTATACTGCATTCTACATATAGTCTCATACCATAATGTAGCTAGCTATACTGCATTCTACATATAGTCTCATACCATAATGTAGCTAGCTATACTGCATTCTACATATAGTCTCATACCATAATGTAGCTAGCTATATGCATTCTACATATAGTCTCATACCATAATGTAGCTAGCTATATTGCGTTCTACATATAGTCTCATACCATAATGTAGCTAGCTATACTGCATTCTACGTATAGTCTCATACCATAATGTAGCTAGCTATACTGCATTCTACATAGTCTCATATAATGTAGCTAGCTATACTGCGTTCTACATATAGTCTCATACCATAATGTAGCTAGCTATACTGCATTCTACATATAGTCTCGTACCATAATGTAGCTAGCTATACTGCATTCTACATATAGTCTCATATCATAATGTAGCTAGCTATACTGCATTCTACATATAGTCTCGTACCATAATGTAGCTAGCTATACTGCGTTCTACATATAGTCTCATACCATAATGTAGCTAGCTATACTGCATTCTACATATAGTCTCATACCATAATGTAGCTAGCTATACTGTATTCTACATATAGTCTCATATCATAATGTAGCTAGCTATACTGCATTCTACATATAGTCTCGTACCATAATGTAGCTAGCTATACTGCATTCTACATGTAGTCTCATACCATAATGTAGCTAGCTATACTGCATTCTACATATAGTCTCATATCATGATGTAGCTAGCTATACTGCATTCTACATATAGTCTCGTATCATAATGTAGCTAGCTATACTGCGTTCTACGTATAGTCTCGTATCATAATGTAGCTAGCTATACTGCATTCTACATATAGTCTCGTATCATTTTGTTTTTGTTGTTCAGACTCGTTTGGTACAAATGGCCGAAAGTATTAGTGACAAGCTATCGTACTTTAACGCACTCGAGCAAATTAAACAGGTAAGTATGTATAGCTTTTAGTTTGTCTACTAAATATTTGAATTTTTCGTTCATGTTCACAAACTCAAAATAATGTTTTAACGATAATCATGTGCGCAAATCCTTGGGGAGAGGAAAGGAGGGACATGTCCCTCCCCCACACACACACTCAAAATACATGATTTCACATTAGGAAAACTATTACAAGCTGAGACATGCGCAGATAAAACAGATTTGCTTCTTAACGATGTTATGTTTTCTTCAGAAAGTAAACACTCCTACATTATCTGTAACAAATGAATCTTTTGTGCCAATGCTCTCCAGGCTTGATGAATGCATTGAATATATAAAAACAAACGTAAGTGATAATTGTGGATGAAATAATTTTAACGTGAATTTTTGCGAATTGTCACGTGCTCAATGCCATCTTTTTTTAAATGGCACGAGTTTTGCATCGTTGTACTGCCCTGGCTGCTGATGATTTTACGGAACTTAACATGTACACCATTGTACTCCACTGAATATTGACGGTCTTACGGAACTGTTCATATAAACCATTGTAATATACTGAATATTGATGATCCTACGGAACTGTTCATGTATACCATTGCACTTTACTGGCTAATGATGATCCTGCCGAACTGTGCCTATACACCATTGTACTCTACTGAATATTGATGATCCTACGGAATTGTTCATGTTCATCAAATGTTGCACTTTACTGGCTAATGATGATCCTACGAAACTGTTCATGTACACCATTGTACTCTACTGAATATTGATGATCCTACGGAATTGTTCATGTTCATCAAATGTTGCACTTTACTGACTAATGATGATCCTACGAAACTGTTCATGTACACCATTGTGCTCTACTGAGTAATGATGATCCTACGAACCTGTTCGTGTACACCATTGTATTCTACTGACTAGTCATGATCCTACGAAACTGTTCGTAAACACCATTGTACTTTACTGACTAATAATGATCCTACAAACCTGTTCGTGTACACCATTGTATTCTACTGACTAATCAGGATCCTACGAAACTGTTCGTAGACACTATTGTACTTTACTGACTAATGATGATCCTACGAAACTGTTCATGTACACCATTGGGCTCTACTGACTAATGATGATCCTACGAAACTGTTCGTGTACACCTTTGTACTTTACTGACTAATGATGATCCTACGAAACAGTTCATGTTCATGTTCATTGTATTCTACTCAACTGTTCAAAAGCTAATGTGTTGTAACTAATATATAGTGTTATGTGTTTCAGCAACATTTCAAGGAATCGCAGACGTATTTAATTCGATACAGTCAATGTTTGAACGAAGCTCTAAATCTTGTTAAAACTCATGTTATTGATCTTTTCAAATACGCCACAGTCCAAGTAACTACAAGTAAAAATGTAAGAACACACGTGACACTGTACTTTCATATGTGTGTTATATTTATTTTAAATATTTCATATGATTTTATCTTGTTTATCTCGTTAATCAAATGCTACGTTCAAACAGTTAAATTATTTAATATCGGAAACAGTTTTTACAAACACTCACTGAGCTTTTTTATCGTACCGAAAATTACGTATGACGCTACGTTTGACGCCAGGAAATTAATTTAGACTTGATTTTTACCGATCGATGCTCTCAGGTAGAGTTTAATTAAACTTTAATAAACAAATGTTAGTGTTCAATCATTAATGCCTATTATTAAAGTTAACATGACAGTTGACTTAGGTGATGTAGTTAGGGATAATTTCAGTTCTCTATGTACATATGGGATTAACTGGGTGCACATTCAAGTAAAGTCTGAGGGAGTTTCGTGAGTGAAGAAACTGCCGTTTAGCGAAGTTGACAATCGATATGGCATGTCACAGTCAGTGAGAAACGAATATGGTGCGAATGGACATTCTTACAACTTTTTTGTACAGTCCACACTAAAATCTCAACATGACTTTGGAAGCAACATTTTGACGATCTAAACAAGATAAGAAGCATTTCTTAATTTCCTGCCCATTGTGTGACCCCGCTTGCTTGTTGCTCTTGAGTTCTATGTAATCCAGGGTGAAATGACTTTTCAACAAGAATGTTTTTGTATTATAGGAAACGAACTCCACAGATGGTTCGTTCGCTTTATTTTATGGAAAATTTCGTACAAATGCTCCAAGAATAAAGGTGAAATTGTTGTGAAACGATGCGATTGATCTCGTTGTCATGTCGGCAGAATTTATTCTTTTTTCCGTTTGCAGTCTTTAATGGAACAAATAGAGCAACGATTGACCATCAGCTCGGAGTACGTTTAAAACGAATGTTGATGATGTGTGAAAAATACATCGCACCTTCTTCAGATATGATATTCTCTTTAACTTTTTTTTATAGATATTTATCATTATTGAAAGATTGTCACGATTTCTACTTTACCCAGAGATACCAGTTGTTAGCGCCTTGTATACATGATAATGTCGAGAAAATAATTCAACAACATCAGCGAAATACTTGTGCTTTGGTAAGTGTTCACGCCGCAGGTTGAATATGAAGAAGTTGAGCGAGTTTCTAACGTAACCGTAGGTGCATGAAAATAAATGCTTTTTAAACGTAATTAGAGAAGACAGTTGAGGCAAATTCGACCAATATTTGCTTCCTTTTCTTATTTACTCATTCATCTGTCTAAATTTGACTTCAATTCGTTAAAATTTTCACCGTTGCATTCGATCAGTCCAAAAACATGACATGGCCTTAGTTCGACTGTGTCATCTGCTTAAACTAGACTGCTATCTGATCCAGAAGAAAGCTTGCTTAATGAAAATGACTTTCAAATGTGTTAACTTTATCTAGGCATACATAAACAAATTGAAACATACATATGCAGAGTGATATTCCACCGTGTGATATTGACATAAATTTACCAACTTGTATTATTATAAAGTAGGACCCTTCATACATTCACATTTGTTAGTTTTTGATCTTTTAGGTACGAAGTGGTTGTTCTTTATTGATGCGTGTTAGTCAAGACGAATATCAATTATATTTTCATTTTTTCAACCAACCAAGTTCAGAGCTACAGTAAGTAGCCATCCAGACCCCACATGTGCTTTTTTGCTTCTGACGTGTAGTAAGTTTTAAGTCTGCCGTTATTCCCTATTATCGAGTGAGGAACGTGTAGTTTTTTAGAGCTTGCTCGTTAAAGAATCATATATTTTCATGGTTTGTTTGGATATAGTTCCACTTTACCATTGTTCTTGAACATGGCAATTATGTGCTTTCCATGATGAATAACAGTGTTGGGTTTTTTTTAATGACGTATGCAGTTACAGGCTGCTGGTACTGTGGTATTTTTTTAACAATTCATTGTTCCAGGAAGGTCAGAGACCATAATATTTACAGCTAATGGGGTACACCGCTGAAAATTTCATTTGCACATTCGTAGACTAACCGTGTCCCAGAAAATTTACCACCACCAACTCTTTTCTTACACCCCTCTCCCCCCGAGCTGTATTGGCGGTACTTGTAGCAAATTGGATTGGATTGCAAATATTGTATTTCGTTTATGAGAATGATTGTTAGTCGATCAATCATCTCATATATCATCTGTGCTAGAAAAACATTGATATTATTTTTTGTATATTTTATGTATATTCATGTTGTTATATGGAGTGTTTGAATGTTAAATTTATGTATTTTTACAGCACTCTGTTGGAAAACTTTTGTACGATTTTGTACGACGCATTTCGGCCTCTTATTATTCACATGAACCACATGGAAACATTGACTGAACTTTGTAGCATACTAAAGGTGAATAATCGTTGGAACAAACATCATCATAACAACATTCATCTTTTTAATATACAGCGTTGTTCATTCTATCCCTTTAGGTTGAAATGCTGGAGGATCATGTCAGTCAGAAAGGTGGGATTCTCAATCATTGCTATATGTGATGTCATCTTAGCCATTATCCTCCTGTCCAAGCCCTTCATTCCTGCAATTCGATCTCTGTCATATTTTTTCAATCTTTATTTTATCTTTAAAGTCCGAATTTTTAAATAGACTGATATTGGTCTTTCTGTAGTCCTTTTACTACTTTCTCTATTTGCCAATATCTGTTTACTTTCGAGACTAAACACCATATTTACAAGTAAATTGTCCACTATTTTTCTATCACTTTATAAATTGAAAATTACTATGTATATATTTCACTTCTCCACCTGTGAATTAATGTTGTTCAATTTGAAGTAAAGCAAACTTCTATTACAATACAAAATCAAAAATGGCCATTATACAAATGTGTGGAAACACATTCTTGAAATCTGTATATTTTGCAAAAAAATATCTGTTTGACAGTAAGCACAAATTAAAAATTGGCGGTATACCGATCGTTGAAATAGCCAACTTTCTGTTTTTGAGTTATTGGAGTAAATCCTTATAACAGTTTATTAAAATCATCACATATTTCCATAAAAGATTTAAACGGTATACTGCGGTATTTTTAAGATACCGTTACTGTGATATTGAAATTTCAATATTGCCCAACTTCAGCAAAGATAAAAGAAGTTTGTCGAACATTTCCGTTTGGTTGGTTTCTTTTAGGAGATGAATTGCTCGCTTTTGGCAGTGTAATTGCACAAATGCTTGAAGATGTTCAGGAAAGATTGGTTTATCGAGCTCAAGTATGTGTACTTGTTTGTGTTTGATTGGATATACAACTGTTACGTTTTAGCGCCACGTTGATGAAGGTATTATGACGAACCCCCTCGCGATTTCCCAAATTTTTCGCATTAAGTCTGTATGAGCTATCAGGAAGATTGGTCTTTGATTTTATGAAATATTCCTTTTTTGCAGACATACATCCAAACTGATATTCAGAATTACTCTCCATCACCTGGAGATCTTGCCTATCCTGATAAATTAATGATTAGGGTATTTAGTTTCATAACTTTTTCAATAATATTCATCGTATGGTACTTCTATTGGCAATGGTTATGTTGACCACTTGTGTGCGGGAGTAAATGATGGGTTTTGTTTTTGTATTATAGACAGCAGAAGATGACGATGAAAAGCAAAGCGAGAATGACGAAACGGAAGCAAAGAAAACAAAAACTTCTGGTACAAGTTAAATTTGTTTTGATTGCATTGCATACAGAAATTTATTGCTGCTTTGTGTTTGTTAGAAGTTTATCAATTAAAGCCCAGCAATTTTCCTTCCGAGATTAATATTTATTTTTATCATTCCTCCTGTGAAGACTAACTGTATTTATATATGTAGAGGCCACCTTTGTGTTACTCTTTGACTGAAGTTCTTCATCACTAAGATATTGCTCTATGTCGTATAATTTGTCGATCGTTTGTTTCCAGATTTTCCTGCCGCGCTGGTAGATTTACAAGGAATGTGGTATCCAACAGTGCGAAGAACGTTGGTCTGTCTATCAAAGCTCTACAGATGTATTTCAGTAGGTTATATGTTATCGTTATATTGCACGTAACCTTGGCAACTTTGCTTGCGCATACAAACACGGCTAAAATGGTTTTTTTTTCGTTTTTGCTGTGAATGCATTTGATGATTGAATGAGTTAGAATTGTGATAATACGTTCAGCTTCTAATTTGGGCACTTGTTTTTCGTTTTCCCTTCTTTCATTATCGCTGCTCCTTGTAATCATCTGCGGTCATCTGTGATCGACAGTGGTCTTCTAAGTTCAACTGTGGTCTTCTGTGATCGACAGTGGTCTTCTATGTTCAACTGCGGTCATATGTGATCAACAGTGGTCTTCTATGTTCAACTGTGGTCTTCTGTGATCGACAGTGGTCTTCTATGTTCAACTGCGGTCTTCTGTGATCGTCAGTGGTCTTCTATGTTCAACTGCGGTCATCTGTGATCGACAGTGGTCTTCTATGTTCAACTGTGGTCTTCTGTGATCAACGCTTTATCGCGCGTTTATGTTTTTTATAATGCTAAAGACCTGCATTATTATTTAGAAAGAGACATTCGAGGGATTATCTCAAGAAGCTCTATCGGTTTGCATTTCTACGTTGAAAGTTGCCAGTTCGCGTATTATTTCAAAAACGGTAAATGATCGCATACTCCATTTTTAATTTATGTTATATCACGCATAATAAATATGTGTTAATTTGTTAATATAATGATACAGAAAATCTCAACATCCTCACCTGCATTTAACATAAAAAATGTTAGTTTCTGAAATCAATGTCTTTCATACTCTGCTGCATAAAAAAGATGTTTTTTTGTTGATTATACGTAATAATAATACACGATGCAACTTTTAGGCTTTTTACAAGAAAATACGAGATATTCCCTTCATTTTGTTATGTGCATCGGCGTTTACTTAGTGATCTCACTTTCTACAGAGAACTTAAAACATGCAAAATGCAACTCGTAGAATAGTGAAGACACTCGTGTGAGAGACCTATCGTGTTTTTTTCTATTTTAGGGTGCTATCAATGGTCATTTGTTCTTGATCAAACATCTTCTGATCTTACGAGAACAGATCGCTCCCTTCAACGTCGACTTTACTGTGCGTGAATTGTCGTTGGATTTCAGCAATATGAGGACGGCAGCATATGGCTTATGGAGTAAAAGTTCATCATTGTTTTCATTGAATAGTAACAATGCTTTGCTCGAGTTTTTGTTAGAAGTAAGCTTTTGTTGACGAAGCTTTTACTGGTATACATAGCTACAATTAAAAATAATGTGTACCGCCTGTTATAGGGAGCTCCAAAACTTATTGAGAATTATGTCGATTCGAAAAAGGTATGGAAGCGTGTTGCAAGGAGTTAAGTTTATGCGCTGATTGGTTCATCAAGTTTGGTTGGTGTTTTTTTTTCAGGAAGTTGACAACGAATTGAAAACGGTTTGCGAACAGTTCATTGACAGCATTTCATCTTCACTTGTTTCGCCACTAAAAGATTTCTTATCAAAAGTATGTGCAGTTGTAGATGCCATGTTTAGTTTATATTGAGCTTACTTGTGCTAGGATTTTTCCACTGTCATTTATCGTTTGAAAAAAGTAGCCACGTACATTTAGTACCCCTATTGCATGAGTTTCGACATGATTTTGACACAGACCACTGTTGGAGAACCTTCATTATCAGCATGCTGTCGGATAAATTGTCTCTTGGATTTCTATAAGAACTTTTCAAAAACTTTCTCATGCCAAAGAGTATGATAGCACTGCTGCCGTAGCCGAACGTTTTCTTTGTCGTGGCTTTGAAAATTGGATCTGGTGTGCGTGTTGTAGCTTTCAAAGCGTATCTGGATTTCCTCTTGAGTTTGAAACATGGTTTTTATAAGTTTCTTCGATTTATTTCCAAGAGGTTGTTGAAATAAAGACTTGGGTAAACCTAATCTAGATTACTGCTATACATCTGCTAATCTAGATTAAGTTTACCCAACTCTTTGACACCCTCCCCTCCCCCGCAAAACAAAATAGTAAACAACTTTGACAAACTTTGCTGAAGTGTGCTTACGATAAATGAAGCAACATTATTTTTGTGTGCGTCTCTTTCTTCGATGGAATAAATCAATGTGAAACCAAAAATCAACTTATGTTTTGCCATTGTCAAACCACCTGTTAATTAGATTTATCATTCTTGTAGACAGATGCCATTCAGAAACTCGCCGAGGAGGACGGCAAAGATGTTAAAAACTTGTTGAAGCATCAACATTTTGCGAAGCCGGGTGAGTTTAATTTTTGAGAGCTTGCTCGTTAGATAATCATATATTTTCATTGTTTATGTATATTAGCTGTTTATAATCACGTCGGAATTTGAATTTCCATTTTAATGATCGTGAAATAGACAAAACGTTTTATGTAATCGATATCTTCAGCACCCCCACACACACACACACTAATCATGGTGGATCTATCCCTGAGTTTTCTTGTAATAATTCTTTCTGGAATACATGAGTTACCATTGTTAAATTCTACCATTAACTACAACTCAATGATACTGATCACGAGTTACTAATGTTAATTTATTCCATCAACTCTAACAGAAATTGTCCTTCAAACTATAACTCTTTGATTCTAGCCAGGATTTACCTTAATGAATTTCTTCCTTAAGTACTCCTACCAACTGTAACCATACAAGATATTCCACGAGTTTTCATTGTGAAGTTGTCTATGATCCGTGAATATTAGCTACGAGTTACCATTGCGAAATATTCCTACCAGCTATATGAATCTGGATACAAGTTAACTTTGTGCAAAATCCCTGAAATACTAGCCAATTGTTAACTTTGCGGAACAAATTCCTGAAATATTAGCCACGAGTTAAATTTGTTGAAAATATCCATGAAATCCATGCGACGAGTTGCAAATGTGAAATTCTCCCAAATGTTAATGATAACTCTAAGATACTGACTTTAAGTTACTAATATGAAATTGTCCTATCAACTATAATCATTCAATTCTGGCTATGGGTTAACTCAGGTTGAATTTACTGGGGGGTGGAGGTCCAGAGTGGTGTCAGTTCCAAACAAATACTAATGTACCAAACAACAAGCAAAAGCAATTGTGATTTGTGTTGGATGGAGTACATTTCCAAATATCTCTCAATCATGGTGTAAGAGTATCAGAATTTAGCAAAACAATGCAAGGTGACGACCGTATATTAACCACATTATCTTTTTTTTTAACTAAAGCATACACACACATTAAATTATTCTGGTTTCCTACCTGTTTTTGTCACTATCCTAACTTGATGGTCCAGTAAAACGTGGAGTACGTTTCGTTATATAAAATCAAATCTCATTTTCTTAAAGAGTTGGTTTGAACTTTTTATTGTTCTTTATATAGAAAATGTTCGCCGTCTTGTGAGTGAAAGCTACATGTTGCTAAAGTCGAAAATTCCCAGCACTTTGCAAATCATGTCTCTTTATCTTGCAAATAAAGACACAGAATATATATTATTCAAACCAGTCAAGGTAATATTTTGACATACGCTCTCACGAGAGTTAAATATTGTCATAGCGTCGTCTACATATTTCTTCAGACACATGTTACACCACGACAATGGGATTGTTAGGGCTGTGTTGGCACTAGGCATTATTACCTAACATTCTCTTGGTGGAGCTAGGATCTTCAAAACTGTACACTAAAGCTTTAATTATCTTTTTACACAAAGTGTTAATTAACTTTCACTTGTAAAGAAACGATTATACTTTTAATAGCAGCAAGTGGACATGCAGAAACTACGCGAATAGGCTTTTTAAAATTCAAATTTCAATTTTACTGGCCAGAAAAATTAAGGAAGAAGTTAATGGAAACAGGCAATTCGTGCGAAATATCATCACGCAGGCAAACCAGCCTTAGCCAGCCTTTTTCACTCTAAAACTATAGCTCACTACTTTTTTACAGTAGTAGTTATAGACTTAACTGCCAAGACAAAGTGTTTGGGGGAGGGAGGGGGGCAAGATTTTGTCTCACTTCTCTGTGACGTCATGATTTTAAACATTTGCATCGGCGTGGCATGTGTACAACTGTGTCTTAGTTTTTGATTTTTATTTGAAATGAGTGGAGGCTTTATAGTTTAGATGCCCGTAGCATAACGCCCCACCTAACTCCCCTCCCATACACATCTCTCGGTGTGTCTGGTTATTAATGTTTCTTACAAGCTTCGTGATTGGCTAGCTGTGTTATTATACATTTGTTTAAAATCATAGGGAAATGTTCTAGAAAATTACAAACGATTAAACGAGTTGATTGTTAACACGTACAACGAAGAGAATCAACAGATAATAGGAAGTCCTACAACGCAGCAGGTATCGTCCCGTGATTTATTTATTTGGTTTTCGTCATTGTACGGTTCTCTCAAAAGGTGAATTTTGAACTTTAGATATCATTGTTGCTATCAATTTCATGAATTTCTACACAACAAAGGTACGAAAAATTTTTCGGTGTAAACAAGATTTACAAAGAATCCTCAAATTGTAACTATGTTTGTTTGACCAGCTGTAGTACTTTTCAATGATCAAGCTATGTATATTTAAGTGATAAACCACAAATGTAAAAATGTTCATCACCCATGCAACTACATGCAACTACATGCAACTACATGCAACTACATGCAACTACATGCAACATGCTTTAGTTCACGATGACAGTTGTCTTTTCATCTGTTATTATTGCACTGCTGTCAAAATGAGGCAACGGTTTAGGCTTCGGTCGTTCTGGTATTGAAAGCTTGGTGATTCGATGTGAGTGAGGGAAGCGTATTGTCGTTTGCACTTGCTCAAGTAACAGACTACACAAAAACATGAAAAATATATCATCGACACGATCTTGCGTTATTTTAAACCTTATATAAGTATTTCTTACTTGATAAACTTCCTTATTTCCTTCAGTTGAGTTTCATGGTGTTCTTCATCGTTTGGTAATTTCACTTTCTTTGCAATTGGCTGTAAAATATTTGAATTGGTCACCTCAACATGTTCCATACATATGAATCAGTTGGTTGTAAATCAGCCTTTCAGTTACCTTTAATTTCGCGCCAACGTTGAACCTTATTGTATGTCGACCGGAACTATAAGTTATGATGATGTAATCCTTGAATCAAAGAATGATAATATTTAGTAAGTTGACAGCAAAGGACTAAGCAACACGGATCAATGTCAGTTAGGAAGATGTTTGGGTGAGAAAGAAAGGACAGTTAATTTTGACGAGAACCTCACCTGACCCATACAACGTAGAGATAACTCCTTCGTCCAGGCGAACGTTATTGGCTGAAACGGCGGAGCTTGCACGTAGCTTCTGGTTATATTGTACCAAAACCATTTCTTTTTCTTTTGTTCTTTTATGTCAAAGAAAGTCCCTCCAAAGGGGGTCAGCACCATCCTAGCATATTTAATATACTTTTATGATAAAATCACTGAATGTAACAGGCAAAAGGAAATTTTCGGAAAACGTAAATTAACCTTCAGAGTACCTTAACTTTGCAGTTTGTTGATAGTAGCAACATCCATGACCAGTTGGATCAAACACACCTAGCACACCAGTGTTGTCGCGACTGTGTTCGTGAGTGTTCTTGAGAGATAAATATTTACAGCTACTTTAGGGGATGATTTTGAGACGTTGTATGTCCGTGGGTATATTAATCGAATGTATGTATATATTTAAGAAATAAAAGATGCTAACTGTGTTTGCACAGGCTTATGCAAACCGAGGAGACCTTCGGGAGAACTCGAGAGCTGATTTGTGCAGCCCCGAGACCGAAGGTCGAGCGTAGCACATGCTCGAGGGTTCTCACAAACGTCTCCGAGGTTTGCATAAGCCAGTGCAAACACGAAAAACATCTTTTATTTGTTTTATAAAATAACAATAATGCGAAACAGGCAAATTTAAAACAAAAATTTCAATTTTTCCTCTAAAATGTATTCATAATAGATTTGCAAATTCCTTTTGATTCATTAATTGATTTAATTGATTGAGCTCAGACCTGTTCTGCACAGGCTAATGAAACACAGCTATAGTATTTTTTTATTATATAAGTCTTACCCCTTTACTAAAAGTCTTACCTCTAAAAGAACGTACGAATATTTTCCTTTCTCTGTGGACGATATAACGATAGCAGGATTGCCGCTTGGATAACAGCAAAGGAATTAAGGCAAAACAAAGGTTTATATAAGTACATATCCTGAGTGTTTAGAGGTGTAATAAACTCCACCTAACCCTCGCCCATTTCTCTTTACGCAACTTTTTTGGATGAATATTATTGACACCCAGAAAAAGCTTTTACAAGAGTTTTGAAACAAGGGTGGTGTTTTGTGTAATGGTTTATTGAGTATAATTATCCAGTATGAAAAGATACTAGCAGCAGCCAGTTCCATCTGGAAAAAGAACCAACAATCTATTACCATTTTGATAGAATTTTTCCATGAATATTTCTCTTTTCTAAAAAGTAGAGGCGATACAAACCGTAAGATATTTGTACATATGCGAGAGTATTGAAATATAACGAGTTGAAAATGTGCGAGAACATTTCATGACCACTTCGACAATAACATTATCCCCCCCCACACGAAGTTACACAACTTGCTTATTCACGTCAGTCCAGTGCCTTTAGTTGATGATAACGAGGCCGGTATTGTGTGTGGAGACTGGTGATGACTTCGGAAATGGTTTATTGAGGAAATTAATATGTTGCTTGCCTGTGCTCTTGAAGAGTTGATCTCGATCTCGAAAGGTTCCAAATGATCTTCAAATGGAGAACCAACTGGTGTGGAAGGTTTCAGTGTCCAACCGTCTTCCATGCATTTTGATGATGCCAGTGAGTACGTCAGCGTCTTCATTTGACGAGTCACTACAAAATATTGCACAAATGCAAAATTTACTTTTATGCCTCGGGGATCTCTGGTCTTATGCACAATATACAACTTTTGTATTGTATTGGTCAACTCTGGTGCAGTTTTAATCAAGCTGCAAGGAAAAACTAGGAATGAATTGTTATTTAATTTGTATACGTTTGTATAGAATAATTGCTACTTTCCTTGCTCACCATGCATGATTATAGGGTTAAGTCAAATCTGTAATAATTTTTATGAAAGTTGGGAGTAGCTATTGGAAGTAGAGCTCCTTAAAGCGATAGTGCTACGCAAGTTATACGTTCAATAACGTCCTGAACCTTTAGACAAGTCAAAATATTTTGGGAAAGTGCAAGACAAAGCAAATTCATTGTTCTCACTCATGCAAAGCGCTAGTTTACTGTGGGTTTTTTTATAACTATATAAAGTGTTTATGTTTCTTGTTATGAAGTAACTAGTCAATGCTAAGGATGAGCGATATGAGCTTGGAATGGATGAAATCGGGAAGATATTGAACGTGATGGCTAAGTAGCGAAAAATGACTCATTACAAGTGCTAGTATTTCTCTTCTTTACCATCCTCTATGCTTCAAACCAGCACCACTTGACGAATTGGTAGACAAACTAATATACAGTTCTGTTATCGGCTAAATGGGTATCACCATGTTCTAAGCATGAGCTGGTTTTTTTTTCTTTTACGATCTATAGCTCTCTCGAATTGTTCGTTCTTGTGCCATTTTTATACACAGGAAATGTTTTGCACTTCCTTATTAATCACATCATTTGAATTGTAATTTGTATTGCTTAACTACATTGCAAATCATCTGGATTATAAGACAATGTTTTTAGATCCCTTGTTATGTTTGGTTTCCAATGCAGTAATTCGCTCGGTACATAAAAAGTTCGACGTTCAAAATAGGTCTAAACAACCCAACTTTTATGACAGATAAAGTTTGTCAAATTCACAAGAGAAGTCGCCACTCATAAAATTCAACAAAAACATGTCTACAAGTTCAACCAGCGTAGGATTCACAGACCTATGTTTTGTAATTTATAAGTTCATATAAATTAATATAGGTAGTAGCTGAGAATTAGATTAATATGAGGTTTATCGTGAAGTAGTAACTATAAAACACTAGTATTAGTAGTACCTACGTTATGCATTTAACCATGCATATCATATAGAATCTTATCTTTTTTGAAATTTCGTCATTTGCGCGCTCCCTTGTCGTAGCTTTCAGACGCGTGAACCGTTATCAAACAAAGTTTTCAGGAAATAGCTTCCATCGCTTATCACAGTTAAGAATTTCTAATTACGTTGCTTTTCTTATATTTTCTGTGCTTGTTTATTTCATTCGGCATTTTTTAGAACTATCGACATTTAACGACATTATTCTTCACTTGAACATATATATAATAAATAAGATGTATATTGATATATTTTCGTACAACAGACTATATCGCGAACAAATGATTATCAAAGCAATTGCGGGCGGCAGCCAACGTGGGCGAATGACATTGTAACTTGTTAGGGAAATTCCGACATATTGATTACAGTCATGATTAAAAATTATAATTGTTTCCACTAAGAAGTACTCCAATATTCGTGAAAAATTTCTAATTAAAAGAAACATCAAAAATATATGTATGGGGAACTGATTAATTATGACATAGTCGTAATTGTACATTGCCTTAAATAGTAACGTTGTCTTTACACGAAAACATGGTGGAAATTGGAATGCGACTTAAAACAAAAGAAAATCTTCACCGAGAGACGAAAATGGTGAAGATACGGACATTTTTTATTTATTATATTCCCACTTTATCATGCCAATTGTATCTAGTGCAAGCAAAATAAATCTACTGATATCTGATCATATTTTACAAATAAAAAAGTCTCGTGTTTCACATACTAGATCTTTCTTTGGAGTTACATGTCGTTCAGCGTAAATTTTATTGCGACGTATACTGTAATACAAGTCAGGCCGTATGGTATGTTTTGAAGGCGAAATAAATTTTAAACATGTTGAAATAATCAAGGTGGCAAAAACAACACTCCAAGCACCTCAGAGTGCATATGAAAATGTTACAAAATTAAGTGGCACATTCATGATTATATTATCTACTTAACGTCCTCAGCACAACATCTCTTAAAATATTTTCAACAAGAATTTTTCGCACTTTGTTCAAAGTCAAGTACCTTAAACCTATAACTACAACAGTACATTATTCCAAAGCCATCATCAGAGAATATATATAATATATTAATCCTAACACGGTTTTTTATATGCACATGAAAAACATATGACTTGGACGAGATTTGAACTCGCACCTTTGTGTACTAGTCCGCCGCTCTACCTGTTGAGCTACCAAGCTCACAGGGATTCGTAGCTCAACAGGTAGAGCGACGGACTAGTACACGAAGGTGCGAGTTCAAATCTCGTCCAAGTCATATGTTTTTCATGTGCATATAAAAAACCGTGTTAGGATAATATAGCACAACATACATTATATAAAGCAAATTAAAGAATTATATTTTCGTCGTGATCGAGTTGCAATTTTGGTCAGTTTGAAGTTTAACTAAACAAGTTGTGCTTACGATTTTTCATTTGCATAAAAACATAAAAGTCTGAGAAATGTTTGATTAAGAACAGGAATTTATCGCAGTTTAGGTCACGCGCAGATTATAATTCAATGATGTGTCGACAAAAAACAATATTTTAACAAAAAAGCTGTGAAACATGTGTTTTATTGATTACAAAATTTTCATATTCTTCAGAGATAATAGTTGACTTATTGACGAGAGATGACTGTCTAATATATTATCGCAGCAATGAAATGAAGATGATAATACTCTGTCTTTTCACGAAAATATAATTGATAGAAATCACACTTCGTTTTTATCAATATTCATAAACATTCGCTGCATGGGCCAACCTTGATATGTGACATTTCTATTCACTCTATAAAAATGCTCGTTCAACACATTGTACTTAAGATCTTTAGCACAACGGTATTGAAATGGTTTATTTGCACAGACTTCTACTGTATTTCGAAATATCTACTTTAAGCTCGCGATGAATTTGTAATCAATTCGACCGAACAGACTAAAATTTTAATGCAATTACAAGCGTATGAAAACTACGCCTTACACAGCACGTTTATTATGATTGAAAACTGACGTTAAAAATGTTTAAACAGCATTAGGTTGATGGTGACAAAACATGCATCATAAAAAAATGAGTTATCTATTATCGAAGAGGGCGTGACGTTCACAATCGTTTTATTTTTGGTGAATTGAAAATTCATTGAGCAAAACCAAAACAGAGAGTAAAAGGCTATCGTCACGATTCCTAATGGAGACCAAATCTTACACAGCACAGTTCATAATCAACTCAACTGATTTTAATAAATGTTTTCAGGAAAGATAAAGATGGTCAAAGGGACAATTGGCAACAGAGGATTTTGACATACCATGTGAGTAAATTCCAAGAATGCAATTTTCGAGTGCAACATGATATGTCACACAAAATAAAATGAGACAAATTTGTTTGCTAGCTTACACGTGTTTTTTGAATCATGCTCTGATGCGCAATAATACTGTAAAAGCATGTCAGTCAGTACTCGCGTTCAAGATTTTTAGTTTTCGTTCTTTCTCTTCTTGATAAACCAATATTTCTAGCTGCTCAAAAATACGTGCAATAATATCAAGTCATGGCTCGCATGCTGTAATATAAATTATCGTATTTTTCGTGATTAAACAGGTCATGCGATCGTCGAACATATGCGTCATCTGTCTTTGTCTGTTGACATTCTGCAATTTAGCTTAATTTTATGCAATTTATATTTCATTTTGCTTTGGCATGTTACGTTATTGTCGCAATTATTAACCTTTCAACACTTGCGGCAGACGCAATTCTTTGCTCTAAACCAGTGTTTGGGGTCGAGATTCTTCAACACATGCAATTTCAAGACAACCCATTATGACTCTAATGATGTGTACTCGACGAAAGAATTCGCACCGCGTTATCTTAAAATTCTAAAGCAAACAATGAGAATCAAAGTACTCCGCATGTATTTTCAATAACTTTTTTCCGTCGGGGGGGAATAATCTGGCGGCGGTTTAAAAGCCGAATGTTTTCGAGAAATTGTGACACTCATATGTTGGCCTCAAGGGTCGACATAAATTAGAAACGGCAAGCTAAGTATATCTCGCTTTGATGGTTTTGCTCGTATGGAGAAGTTAAGCGAAAGTGAGTTGCATCATGAGATGGATGGTCATGGATGTTTTAATGCTACATATGTTGATACTCCCATCTGTAAGAAACTATATTCTCAGTTAAACACAAGTGTCTTTCATCGAAGAAACGACGATTATAGTCATGTGGGAAATTTTGTTTTCGCCAGTTATGCTTTAGCAATATTTCTTAACCTTGCGCTGTTGTGGCTAATGTACAAGGATCCATTGAAGAAGTTTCGCACTCCAACCGCAGTATTGATGGCAAACCTCGCTGTTTCAGATTTACACGGCGCGGTATTTGGCCTGGTCATCCACACGGAAGTGACACAAAATCAGCTTACCTCTGATGTAACAACGCTGTATCTACCGTGGCTAGTGGTAACAATGGCGCAGTGTAGCTACTATACGGTCATAATGATCTCTTTTGAGCGCTATATTGCCGTAGCCTTTCCAATTCGCTACCGTTCTGTAGTACTGATGAAATACGTTATTGCTGCAATCGTCATTTTCTGGCTACTCTCGTTTGTAGTATCCACTCCATTATACTTCGGCCAGCATCGCCATAAAGTATTTGGGGGAGAAAATTATTTCTTTGCCATCAACACTTTCATACTCGTTACAGTCATTCTCGTTCTCTATCCCCTAACATACTCCAGTTTACGAAATCAGCGCAAACGGTTACTCACAATGAACGCAAATAACAGCCATTTACGAAACAGTAAATTGAAGGTAGAACAGAGTTTCGCAAACACCATGCTCCTTGTATACGCATCTCTTATTCTATTTCATTTCCCATACGTTGTTGTTTTCGTCTACTATGTTAGAAAGTGCAATTCCTGTCTGTTGGACAATATATTCTTGCACATTTGGACGTACTTTAGAATTGCGTACACAATTCATTATGGTGTGAATCCTATCATCTATGCGCTGAGACTGCCCAGCTACAAACATTCTCTAATGCACTTCTCTCCACGAAAAAAAAGACGTGATTTGGGAGCGAATGGTCCCTCACTAGTGCCATCAAATGGCACGCAAAAGGCATACTCAATTAACGCAACAATGGCTGAAACGCAAGCCTAAAGTTTAACTGCTTCTATGAGTTGAACATTTTAATCAAAGGGATGAACTTAAACTCGTATAATTTTCACGTATAAATTACATTGTATATAAATTAGTATTCAAAGAAAGAGATCCTGTCTTTATTAAGAAATAATTTTTTTTTCCTCTATTGAAATTACGTGCAAAAATTACGACAAATATTACGTACTCTGTTTAAAAAAAAATTAGTGGACACAGCTTGCCCAGTGAATAAGACCCGGCATTTTTTGGGGGGAACGCAATTTGAGATGACTTCATAAACTACACGTTGCATCTTTGAGAGAACAATTTGATTATAACAATGTTTAAAGCAGTTTATTGTTATATATGTGACAACAAGTACATAATCAAGATTTTTGTTCAGCTGTTAAAATGTATTAAAGAGGCTGTTGAAAGTTAGCGACTGAAAGAAAGACAAATGTACAAAAACAAAAAAATTTTCATTAGACTCTACTTGCAATGTTTGCTAATTAATAATTTCTAATAAGTCTTCATAAAATTTTTTGAAACGAACTTACAATTTAGGGAAAATGCATTTTAGGACCATTCGGCAGATGTTTATTTGCATTAACAAAAACATCATTAATCAAATGTGGCTTTGTTGTCACTTTAAACGTAATTAAAATAGCCTTGGGATGTTAACGTAATGTTTTTGTGTCTTTCCTCCCAAAAAATTACCGAAAAAGACAACGAATTCAAATGCAACGGAAAATCGTTGAAGCAACTTATTTTCAACCCGTTGAAACTGCTCAAAAACCTTAATCGGGGATTTAATGGTCATGAGACTTTCTTGTGATCCCGCTCAATTTCTTTTAATTATTAACCAAAAACATAATTTATTTATATGCGAATAAACGTCGCGTTAACCTGCCAAAAGAAAGGGGCCTGGGAACAAAAAAACCGGGTTGAGAAGAGAGATCTAGACAGCCATAAACACAATCAGTAAGGCTTCACTATAACAAAAAATCCTCACTTACTTGAATAATAATTCACAGCTGCTCCAGATACTTTCTGTCTGTCAGCTTCTCTTTCCCTTGCTCTAAGTAGAATAACATAAATTAATATATGACAAGTGCAAGCAGGGACGAAACTAGAACGCTAATTGGCTGGTGGTGTGTGAATATTCATATATTCAGGTTTGTCCGACACATTTCGCATGAAAATACAAAAGCAAAATTTGTGATGTTCAGACGATGAAAAGCAATTAGGTTTTATTTGAGAAAAAATTCGTCTGCGGTGTCTTCTAGCTGTTGAACTAGAGGAAATGTGAAATGAGGAAATTTTTGCGAAAGAAACTGAAGAAACCCGTAAACCATATTTCCCGGTTCAAAATCAAAGAGACGAAAAACATGTAGCTAATATTAGTGTTATAAAAAACAAAGCAGAAAATATACACGAGATTACCTGGCGGCAGCGCGTTCTTTAGCTGCTTTTCTTGCTGCTTTTGTACCAAAAGGTGGATGAGGTCGAATATCGATAAATTCATCTGTAATATGGTCCTCGTCCTCTTGATACTTATCTTGCAGTTTCATGTGCTCTTCGTAAACAACACAATCTTCTATAGCCTGTAGCAATATAAAACACAGATATACTTCTTCAAATGACTCTGTTACAGCTTTTCTCTTTCTTGTTTTTTTTATTTTTGATTATAGTACATGAAAAACGAAACTGTTTATCGTTGATTACAAGTAAATGAAAAACGAAACTGTTTATCTTTGATTACAGTACATGAAAAACGAAACTGTTTATCGTTGATTACAGTACATGAAAAACGAAACTGTTTATCGTTGATTACAGTACATGAAAAACGAAACTGTTTATCGTTGATTACAGCACATGAAAAACGAAACTACAGGGGGGGTTGACGACAGTGACATTTCCCGCTTTTGTGAAACATATATAGAAAGTTGACAACAAAACTTTATCACAAACATAATTTTACGTTAAATTACTTTTTAGTTTAGTATAGAATTTTGTGCGAACTTTTAAATCTCAGAGAAAATTGTTGTATTCAAACTTCCGCAGTGTTTATATTTACATAAATAATTGTCGTGATTTAGTAAATTCAATAGTAATTCAGTTCACAAGATTGAGTAATTATTGATGTGTTGAACGTTGTATCCATCTACCAATCGTGTCTTACTCGGTGATTTTGGTAATTTAAAAAAAATCAATGTTGAAATGGTTGAAGAATGTGGTATTATTTAAGCGATAAACATATACAATCCAATAGATTGAAATGAAAATAATGAAAGCGATTAAATCTTTGACTGGCACTAAGCTATCCTAATTATATTTATGAGCATCTTAGGGCTGATTACATGAGCCCGGTAGCTGGGATGCAGCCAAGCGTTAAATGATTTTAGCCAATGGAAACGATTCAATACTCATCATCAGATAAATCTTCTCAAGCAATTTCACAATATTCTGATGTAATAACTACGCAAAACATTTAAAATTAAAACAACTAATTTGCTCTAATTTGAGAATTAGAGCGAGGCGTAAAATGATTGAAAAGTGTCAAAACTTTAAGCGCAAAACTTACAAACCTTCCTTAAGCGTCATAAGTCATTTTAGTCGAAATTTTCAAATCAGGCTAAATTATTTGTTTTCGTTTTAAAGGTTTTGTGAATTTCAAAAGTCAGAGCATAGAGAAATTGCTCAAACATGTTTTTTGTTGTGAAGTATTTAATCTTTTCCATTTTCCAAAATGATTGAACGCTTCGCTGAATCTCGGCTACCGGGCTCATGTAAACAGCATCTTACAAACGCTTACAAAATGACGATATTCAAGTAAACTACTTTGATATCTCGAAGGCAGCGGCAATATTCAACGAAAGGCGATGATTCGGTCAAGAACGACGAAAATAAGCATTTTAATTGGCTCTAAGGAAGGTGACGTAAAAACAGACAAAGTGCTCTACTATTTCAACGTGTCGCATACACGAAAACTAGAATCGTACTTCTAATGTAGCTCCAAAATTTTTATTTTGAAGTATTTAAAATCAAATTAAACTTTCTATATTGTCTGGAGGAAATTAAGTACGTATCGTAATATACTTTCATGATTTCTACACTCACAGTTTGGTTTTTTGTTGATCGATTTCGTAGTTTTTCAATTTTCTTAAAGAGCGAATGGTCGCCATGGAAAATGTGCTGATGAAAATTCTCTTCTGACATATCAGAAAATTCGTTCGTGAATGGTGGATTTTTTGATTCCTTAATATACTGTAAGATTTTTGGTGGACCAATACTTGGTAAGAACAACTCTTTGTCACTGTTTGCCATATAATCATTCTCCTCGTCTGAACTACTACTTGAACTCGTCTCCAACAAAGGAGGCTTGTGCAACATATCATTTGTTCCTTTAAAATTCACATTGTTAGACATGACCAACACACATGTATGTAGAAAATACATATGTATGTAACCAATACACATCTATGTAAAAAATGCAAATGTGTGTAAAAAATATACATGTGTGTAAAAATCACATATATGAAATATACACATGTGTGTGAAAAATACACATGTATATGTAAAAATACACATGTGTCAAAGAATTTACACAATTATGATATTTTTCAAACAATAAAATGTTGGGACCAGACATACCCTCATCTTCAACATTTTTTGTTTCTATCTTCATATTAGGATTTGACATCTTGGATGGATCAAAATCATGCTCATTTTCTGCCAAAAATACAATTCAATGTTTGGTGATTTTGGAGGTATGTTTAAAAAGTAAATTTCCATAACAATCAAAAAGTATAATAGTTATAAACAGATATCCTAATTTCCAAAAATTACCAACCGATGCTTTCATCAAACTCTGTTTGAGAAGATTCCTCTTTTGATTTCATATCTGCATATTTCTTCATATCTTCAATCCAACTCCACTCTGTTTGAGTGCAAGTTGATGAAAAACTAACAGGAGCAGAATTTGATCTTTGAACATCATCAATTACTTTCGTCATCATGGACTTCTCGTGAAGCAAATCTGTCTCGGATAAAGAAGTTTTATCTTTCACAGAAAACAACAGAGTGCTGTTTATTGTTGAAGGTCCACTGTTCATTTCAGGTGACATTTTTTCATCAAGGTCCTGAAGCTTTTCTAAATTTTCATTATCTGCATCAGTATTACCTGAACTCAAAGTTGAATTTGACACAACAGTCATCATGCTCTCTGGAGTTTGACTATGAAGCATTCGCCTTTCCTCTTCAGCATGTGATAATGCTGCTCCAAGAAACTTATTTCTAAACATTCCAGAAACACGTTCAGTCAATGCAGTGGATTCCTCAACAACATTTACTTCTCCAGGAGGGAGAGTTTGCTTGGTTCTTTTTACTACTGCTTTGGTATTTCTATTATTTGTGTAAGCCAGAGATTTTTCAATATCAGGTTCTCCCGTATTATCATAAAAAGAAAGAGAACAAGAAGAGGACCCAGGACCAATGCTACCGCTACATGAGGACCCCACAGAAGGGTGATGATACGTGGTACTTGCACCGGAAGATGGTACAGGAGACGATGGCCTTTCATCTGATTTGCGTAAAATCTCTCTTTTTTCCGAACTCACGCTATCATTTTGCTCATCATTTGCGTCACCTCGCTCGTCAATGTGATCACTTCTAAAATTCCCGTTTTCGCGATCCTGGGACATAGCGTAAAGTTCGATAAAATCAAAAAAAAATCCTCTACACTCTTTTCAGTCTAGTTTAAGAAAAGTCTTGCTGGAGGAAATTCAAAATCAAAAGATCCATTGGAGAAAAACCTTCAAATTCAAAATTAAAATTATAAATTTTCAGAGATATTTTAGACATTTCATGATTTTGATGTGTCTTTTTGTAACCAATAGCAACAAGAACTTTCACCACTGACCTTCCATAAAAACTGGAGTACTCAAAAAATGCATTACAAATAAGCCACACCTACCGTAAGTAATTTGATTTCCGCGTGAAAGTGGGTTGTTGGAACTTGAAAATAGCTGAAAAAGCAAAATAGTTTTGGTAATTTCGAACTTCGTCATGGCGTCCTGCCATGTTTATTTGTTACATTTCTTTGTTTCATTCTGCGTTGCATCAAGCTAAGACCCTTGGTGTGACTTTTGCTTTTCCTTACCACTTAAAACAGCAATTTCCTGTACTTCTATTCTGAAAAATGGCAGGTAGGTTGTTTAATATCTTGGAGAAACGAACGCTGTCTACAGTTTGTAAGAATTTGGAATTCTCTACGTTAGAAAATCATGTTTGACCTTACTTAAGCTATACATGCATTTGTATTCATTTCCCCGGTTTGTTTTCGTTTAGGAAGAGTGAACAACCAAGCTTTCGTTAGTCTGGCCACAAATAATGGATACGCTTTGGGAGCGCTTGTTCTGGGTCATTCTCTTAGATCAGTCAATACTAATCGACAACTTGCCTTGATGATCACACCAGAGGTCAACATTCAAGTCAGGTATGTGATTCTTGTGCCTAGAAACGTTGCAATGTGTAATATCGTAAAATTATGTGTGAGGCTGTCAGGCTGAGAGCTCAGTACAAAGTGTGGCTTGAGCTGGTACACCTGAGAAATCTGTGGTATTTTGACACACCTGGATCTCAGGTGTGTCATTTTATTCACTTAATATCTTATTGAAATCTTCCTAAGTCTGAAGTTTTGCTTTGTACTCAGCCAGCAGAAACAATTCTTTGTTGAAGTTGTGTGTTTGCATTTCATAAACCATGATTGTTAACAAGAGATAGGCTGTATCGTTATGTAGTTATGCTGTATCGTTACTGTGCATTGGATGCCAGTCAGTTTCTTCTTTACATCAGGCTGTAGATTTGAAGAGCTTTCTTTCAATTTTGAATGAAATGTCAAAATGAAAACTGAATAGAATATATATTTACCAGCTGAGAAGTCCATACAGAATAAATATTTTCACGAGGTCTCAAAAGCAGCCCGAGGCCAAGGGACGCATTTGAGGCCAAGTGAAAATATTTTTTAGGTATGGACCAACCTAAATTGTAAATAGCATATTTATTTTTTCATTGTTATTGTGAAGGAATTTGCATTATAAAATGGCTGATGGCCCAATGCAACTTTATGTTGGGACTAAATTAGTAAATTTGGATTGTTTTCTACAAACTTTGCTTTATCTGGATAGTAAAACTCATTCTTGCCATGATAACTTTCATCTGAATGCACTTTGCTTTCTCATTGAACAATTTACATCACTTTTAAATCATATTTAAAAATTTACACTTCACTTCATTTGCATTGCAAAAAAAATATGTTGATCCTGAAATTGGATTGTTTTCTACAAACTTTGCTTCATCTGGATAGTAAAATTCACTCTTGCTATGATAACTTTCATCTGAATACACTTTGCCTACTCGTTCACCAATTTACATCGCTTTTAAATCAATTTTGAAAATTTACATTTCACTTTGTAAACAAATACATTCCAAAAAAAGTACAGCTCCTTCCCATGGGCAGATATCGTGTAAAAAGCTGCCTGCTCAGGCAACCAATCAAATTGCTGGAAATCAAAAATATCACTTTGGACCTCAAAATAAAAAAATAATTGTAAATATTACTTCAGTAAGTTCAGAATATTTTTGAACATTGATAGTGTTGTAAATGTCGAGAAAACTGTCAGTCAGGTTTGCATGTTGCCTGATAGTATATGATGCATCTTTATTTAATACATAGAAATTTATAGTATGTCCCAAGCTGGAACCAGATGTTTTTGCAGTAACCTGGCTGAACCAGGGTAGAAATTGTGAAAACTGGAATTTACACATCTAATATATGATTTTGACAAATTTTTAAGTTATGTATTTTATCAATATAGTGTACTGAATTTGTTAATAATAAGAAATCTATTTTGCAGACAAGAATTGCTCGCCATTTGGGATCGTTTAGTAATGGTGGACATTCTAGACAGTGAGGACACTGCAAACTTGGCATTACTCCAGAGGCCCGATCTTGGCATCACATTTACAAAATTACAAGGATGGAAATTGACTGAATATGTAAAATGTGTCTTCCTTGATGCAGACACTCTTGTTTTACAAAATATTGATGACTTGTTCAATCGACCAGAGATTTCAGCTGCTCCTGATATTGGATGGCCTGACTGCTTTAACACTGGAGTGTTTGTTTTTGTCCCATCAAAACAGACATATGATGCTCTTGTTGCTCATGCATTGGCGGTGGGAAGTTTTGATGGTAAGATTTTTTGTTTCAAAATGTAGTTTACTTGAAACATTAGTAATTACATATTGGTGATGTTATGTTGGGATTCTTCATGAATAAAATGAAATTGTTGGCATTTTGTTTCGCTGATATGAAGTTTTATAATTTCAAATTTACATTTTTTGTCATAGAAAGATTTGTTAAAATTATACTTCATGGTGTATTTACCTAGCTGATGTATATAGCTTTGACTTACATATATTTTGTGTTGGGCCAATAATATTAATATATGAGTACTAGTTTTGTAATTTTTATTTCAGGTGGAGATCAAGGTCTTCTGAATTCATTTTTCAATGATTGGTTGTTTCTTGGACCTGAGCATCGCTTGCCATTTGTTTACAATCTTCATTCAAATGCCAGTTACTCATATTCTCCAGCTTTTAGAAGGTAATTATTACAGATACACCAATAGTTGATGAATGCAATTTTTTTAGTACTTGTGTAAATCAAATCACCCATATCAGTAACTTTTCTGCACTGTGCACAATTTCTCAGCTCAAATTGTAGAGTATGATCAAATGTAGTCCATTTTTTAGCAGTACAAGGAAAATGTACTTGCACAACAAGAAGTAGGGAAGCAAATAAAGATCATAACTTTGAAAGTAGAATTATCCTACTAGTAGGATGATCGTACGTAGATGTAGAATGAATGAAGTTGTAGGTAGGATCATCCTAGATGTAGGATAATCCAAATTGTAGGATGATTCTAGAAATAAGGTGACCGAAGAAGTAGGATGATCCTAGATGTAAGATAATCCAAGTTGTAGAATAATTCTAAAAAAAAGGTGACCATAGAAGAAGGATGATCCTAGATGTAAGATTATCCAAGTTGTAGGACGATTCTAGAATTATAAGGTGACTGAAGAAGTAGGATGATCCTAGATGTAGGATAAATCAAGTCGTAGGTAGAATGATCCTAGATGTAGGATGGTCTTTTGGGATGACTGTAGATAAAGAATGATACCAAAAGTACTGGAAGGAGTCACACATTTGCAAGCAAGTTTTCTAATAATAGCATTATGAGTATAGGCATAGGAAGATTGATAATTTTGGGTAGCTCATATTTTCATCATCATATTACAATCCTTTGATAACAATAGATTTCAAAGGAACTTCACACTGCATATCAGGAACATATGAATATGACCCCCTCTTAATAGCGGATATGGCATTTGTCAAAATAATTATAGCTCCTTAATTTCAAATTCAAAGTATTTTCAGAAAAACATTATTGGTTTTGAATTTCTAAAGAATATAACTTCACCAATGGATATGCCTCTAAGATGCTTAGAAATGTAAATACTTGCCAAAATGTGCTGCAATAATTCATTTTCACTTTTCCCAGATCCGCTGTCACAGTGATATGAGTATCCCCGTGTTTTGGGTATCCCGTACTTAAATCACTAGGGTTTTGGGCACCCCTATTGGGGATACCTAAAATGCCGAAAATATTAGAGCTTGCGCAGCAGCTTTAACTGAAAATCTATATTTCTTAAGCGGAGAGATATGAAGGTGATAGTCTTATAGAATTATCAAAATGTAATTTGACAAGCAACTGTTGCTTGCTAAATTTTTTGGCATAACTAGTATTTCGTATGCCATCTTTTTTGAAATTACATATGAATTGCTTCAAAGAAACTTTCATTGAAAGGATTTTGTTAATGTAATTTTCACATTTCGATTGTCTACGGGCAATATAGCGAAGTAATTTAAACGCGTATATTATTCAATAGAATTATAATTTAACTGTGTTAAGTTTTAACTCTCTTGTGTTAATTCATCCAAACATAGCTTATATTAAAAGTTTGGAAGCCGATCACAGAGTAAACATTGCAACTTGATTATTTATAATGGTTAACTGAAAATAGCATATAGAAGGATATCTATAATTAATTTTACTTATAATATTAGTCAGTATTACTCAGACTTTTTTACGCCTCTGAAAATACAACATTATTGTTGTTCCTGCTAAGTCAGTGGAAGTCCATTGTCGAGAAACCCCTGAAATCAGCGTAGTAATGGAACAAGAATATGGAAACCTATATCACTAGTGATTTATGAACGTTGGGTGGTCGGGTAGAGATACTTAAAACACAGCCGCCATATTTGGTGGGGGTGCCCAAAACCCTAGTGATTTAAGTACGGGGATACCCAAAACACGGGGATATTCATATCACTGTGACACCGCCACTGAGTGTAGAAACGGAGTTAAGTTTATCTGCAATCACATAAAAGCATCATATTACATAGAGTTGTTTTATGCCTCAAATTTTTGCCCGTATTTTAGCGTTTAGGGTTAGTTAGAAGGTTTGATGCCAAACAGTTTACGTACTAAAACATTAGCTAACTAGGACAAGTTCGTACTTCGAACAGTTTTGATGTAATGATGTTGCTCAAATTGGAATCAAAAGTTTGTCCCGTTTCATGCATAATACTTTTCATGCGCCAAGCCTCACCCCAAAAGTTCAACTAAAATGTTTTCTTGTCCTATTATCTGTCTTTCATTCTATTTGTAGAGACGATCACTACTTTCAATAAACAACTGTATTTTCTTGTTTTACTACCTCCAGGTTTGGTAGTAATGTCAAAATAGTTCATTTCATCGGTCGTAAAAAGCCTTGGCAATATTCAATCAACCTGGAGACGGGAAAAGTTGTTCATGATTATGGTATTATATCAGTTACATCTTCCGAACAATTTATACAACAATGGTGGGACGTTTACAACGAAATAGCTGCTCATAAAGTTACAGTAAGTTCTTTATTACTTATTCCTTTTCATAAAACTCCGAAGCTCGTACACTTTTACATTGACATCGAGAGGAGACTTGCAACGTTAAAGTATATTTGAATGTTTTTTGTTTGCGCTATTTGTATGTGTTGGTAGAAGTGCTATGGACTCTCATAGAATTTCTTGCTACCTGAGATCTTTGAGATCTTTGTGATCTAATTATGACAAATTCGAGGAAAAATTTATTTTGTTTACTGCCAGTTGCATCGCGCCATTAGCGCAAAGTTGATTTATGAATTTTTTTGACCTGATCTTGCAATGAGCTACAAGTGTACTGGGCGAACTAACGCTATACACAATAGCGAATTGACCATGAACGTTCACAAACTGACAGTTAACAATACTGACTCTTTGTGATGTGAAGCAATCCCACAATGCACATATGTAGGAGGACGTTGAGCATCAAACGCCAACAGACCACCACCATACAGATGCACGACAAGACCGTATAGACCCCTCACCACTGCACTTTGAATATGATACTGATGACTCGGAATGCTCGGGGAGCTCTCAGGATGACCATTATTATCCCGATACACCCAGTGAACAAACGGTTTCGGGTGAACCGACGGTTCCGAATGAACCAATGGTTCAAATCCCTTTCCCGAACGTAATTCCTGCATTCCCATCTTCTCCTACGGGTTGGTTGTCACCTCAGGTATTTTTATAATTACTTTCGCTCTTGCTGTAATTAAGATTTTGTATCAGTTATAGTAAGTGTCGGTGTGCATTAGGTCTTGGGATTTTCTGAAGATACTGCACAGGCAAAGATTTTCTACCTTTCTTACAGGTAAATTGATTCAACGTCTTTTAATTTGTTTTTTAGTCTCACGAAATAAATCGAATTTCAAACAACATGGGAAATCTTCAAATTCGTCTTTTAAACGAGGATGCTGATGAATCGACATCGTCTCCATCACAGCCCATGTCTGGTCGATGGCGATGGGAGTATGGTCATATAGACTACGTTGGAGTTGACAGATTTGAAAACATTGAAAGAAGGTTAAACGAAACTCTTTCGAGTTAAATTTTCCTTTTCACGGATCGTGAACCATTGTCGCGTGCACTTAATACAAGAAAAGAAAACTTATTTGTTGACGTGTAAATCAAACTTATTACCTTGTATATGATCACCTTGAAATAACGTTATATTAATTTGGAAAATAGAGTGTTTAGTTTTCAATTTGGGTTTTTGTGGTTTGTCCAAAACTTGGTCGGTTTTGTTTTCGGGTTTATACGCCGAAGCTCGATATAAATATAGAAAGAGCTTGGTTCCAACGCTTTGTTTTGTGATGTTTGATATAATTAAATTATTTTAAAAAGTGAAGATATTGAACTGTCAAACAATTTTGTAACAAGTACATTTTGAAGGCTTACATATACATGTACTTAAGCATTCAATCATGCAGAGCAAAATGGTAGAATGTTTTAATGCTTAAAATAAAGTGCACACGATGTATATTGTGAATGGAAAGTGAACAATACACCAAAGGTTTTTTAACTCGAAAAAGATTGCTAACGGAACTGATTTTCAAATTGTTTAACCACTGCACATATTGGAATAATTGGGTTATATAAATAGAGTCAATATACAAGCAACCATGTATTATCTGAACTAATTAGTATTAGTTTTCATTATTAGAAATGCACAACACATATGAAATAAATATTATTGTATTTTTCGATTGTATTGGAGTTTATCCTTGCACGGTTTTAGTTCATTTTAGGAAGAACATTAGCAGAAAATGCCCTAAATCTCCTATTGATTATCATCTTATAGTCGTATTTTCTTTACCTGTGAACTCCTACCCCCTCAAAGTTTTTACTCGCTATTGCTTCTAACCGTTATTGTTTACCCGGGGTCTTTCTCGGAGATCTTTACCTAGATGGGTCTTTATACATTTCATATTCATTTTATCTATTTCGTAATATAAACTTATGGAGGATGTTTTAACACGATGCACAAAACAGTTAAAATTACGAGTTCTCATAAGTGATTTCCACTGAAATTTTAACAGAACATAAAACGTCATAACTCTTTTTACGATTTTATGCAATTTAAATCAGCAGTTCTCAGCCTTGCTTCAAAACACGCATATTTCATTTTTCATACTAAAAGAAAAATATTAAATAATGGGTTACTTCAACAAGTTGTCTACATCGTCGCCTTCAAGGTCTAACAAGATTACGAAATTGTTAAAATGCTAATTTGCATTTTGAGTCAATTCGCCATTGTAAAAAATTATGCACATGTAAGTTTTATGTAAAAATTGATGTGCTGAATTTTTACAATATGGAAATGTAAAAATTGTGTATCACTATATAATAGCTTTTTCGTAGGCTAGACATTACCCTGTTCACTTAACGTACAGAAACTTTCGCAAGACTAATGTACGACATCGGAACATAACGAAATATAAATTGATGTTCGGTGACCACTTCAATGTGTTAAAAAACTAAACAATTTCCTACGTTTTCGTAGATCAATTCACTAGATGTACGCTATGCGTACCTATTTTTCTATTTTGTCATGCGTGCCCACAGTCCTCATGGTCACGGCATTGTTTATGGTAATTTGCATTTGAGGATTCTTGCCTGTAAATTTGCTAGTTAAATGGACCATTTAAATGACTGATAATAAAGGCAATTTTAGTACGTTTGTATTCTGTGTGGTCCTTTTCATTGTAGTGGTTTTGGCATTACAATATTATCTCAAACTTTTGGATGAAGAATGTCTTTTCAAGATCAGTGACTTCACTGACGTCACTGACTATGAAACTTGCAAGTTTTGATTGGTGGTTGAATGAAATGAGAAATATTTATTGGAATCTCTATAAAGGTTTGTCATGAATTGACTTGGTTGGGTATTTTGATAAGTGCCACTACAGTTAAAACACGTAGCCATTATTCGCTGTTGCTAATTAAAGTTCATATTTTCAAATTAGACAGTGATAACTACTGAAGAATAAAAGCATTTAAATATGAACATTACTTGGGAAGAAATTTTTGTTAAAGTTAGTTACTTATTATTCCCACCAGTTAACATTGGCCATGTTTCGACAACCAGCGCAATTACATTGACTGATTTGGTTATGAGAAAAATGGATGAATTGTTTCTAAAGTAATATTGAAAAGCCACAAGATGTAGAATTGCTTGAATGTCTTAAATTAATGCATTGAACAATTCAATGAGCCAAACCTAGGTATAAATGTAATGTCACAATAATTTTTGTCTTCATTGTTTCTAAAGTAATATTGAAATGCCGCAAGATGGAGAATTGCTTGGACGTCTTAACTTAATGCATTGAACAATTTAATTGAATGAAACCTAGGTATAAACATAATATCACGATAATTTTTGTTTTCTAACTCTCCTCATATAAGATGCAAGTTTTTTTTTCACATGCAAACTAATAAAACTAAAAAATAATCATCAGCTGTTATTCCATTTTTGTTTTTTGTCTATCACTACAATTACTCATCAATCATTAAGTCAACATCACTTTGTGTTGTTTTTGATCCAATAAGTTTATGGCATGTGTATACTTTATGTTGGCTTGGCTCCATAAATTGCCCTCTTTTGAAGAATACATTTCCATCTTGAGTCAAGATATTGTGACATGTACAAAATTCAGCAGTAGCTTCAATAGAATCAAAACAGAAAATCTCCATCAACAACTGTAATGGGAATCGCAAGTTTTTGCTACTAAAAGCAGTGTTCATCACCCGTAATCCTTGAGACCGTAGTCTTTCAATACTGTTAAAAAATGCACAACTTTCCAAGAAAGGTAATGTGTTGGCTATCCGAAATATTCCAACAAAATTACCAATGGCATGCATCTTAATCATATCAAATGCCAGGTTCATACCATTGTGCTTCGTTGCATGAACTTCTGTTTTATGATACTCATGAAATAAATAATATGATCCGGTACATAAGTTGAGAATCATGTCACATGCCAAAAAAGTAGTCCAATTTTTACAAGGTGTATTCTGAATATAATATAAACGTAACAGCTTCTTTAAGCATTCTCTAAGCTGAGTGTTATGTAAAACAGGATCATATCTTTCGAGAGGCTCCTGACTCAGGCGAACCGCCATAATCAAGTAATATCTTGTAGCTTTCTCTAGGATTTTAATGGCTTCCGAATTCTGTAAGTTTTGAGCGGTCAAATCTTGCCTAACCGACCGTATTCTGTCCGAGATGAATTCACATTTATAATACAATGCGGACGGTTTCTTCATAATAACAGTCAAAAGGTAATTGATCGTTTTTAACAAGACAGGTGCCGGACGAATATCTTTTGGATTGAGTTCCTTACCAGCTGCAGGCCTTGTGAACTCTTTTACAGCAATATTCATCGCTTCATTTAATTTGTTCTTAGGACTACTGTTTTCGACTGTCTTTTCAAAAGGATGTAGCCTGTTCTGCTTTTTTCGCAAATTCAGCTCACGCATTGGGCACATTTCCATGCATAAACCTTGCAGGAATGTACCTTCGTGAAATATATCTGATTTGGCAGCCATTGTTGATTTTTATGTAGCCACTGATCTGTATAGGTTTTGCAAACCCTATTCAGTGATAAATATTCTACACAGTTTTTGTCCCGACTGGCCTTGTTTGCCCTACAGTTTTGTGGTTGTGGGGCGAAACTGCCCTCTCTTCCCCTCGCCTAATGCGCCTATTCATGGTCATATCCATGCAATTGCAAATTATTGACGGTAAATAATGACGACTTAACTCATTTTAACTACTTAATTCATTCTTAACTGTGCAGTTGAGATCAGTTTTTACTGTCCCATTGCATTTAAGTGGGTTCTTTTACAATGTAAAATCATACTCAAATTTGTCATACATTTTTTTCTCTGTCTACATAACATTTATATTATACATACATTGTGCAGATGCTTATATATTAATACGTCATATCCATAGAAGAACAAGACATATGACTGAAACTTCATTTCTGCTATTTGGGAATTTCTAGTTCAATTCTTGAGGCAAAAGAGGCCTCTTAGCTTTGCATGTGTATGTTTAAACAAGTGCATTGTACGAGGCAAGGTACGATTCTTTTAACAGAGCAATGGATTGTCCCTTTTCCTATCTTGGACTTCCGATACTGCTGCCTGGATGTGAACAATCAACGGTTTCTCTTTATGATCTTAATAAAAGCACTACGAAATTTTTGAGACTGCAGAGCATAAATCCAGAAATTAACAGAGGAGTTCATCAGAATGAAAATGGAATGAAAGTCGCGAAGCCAGTGTAGAGTCGTGCAGCTGCAGGATTTGCAGACATTCAACAAGTACGTGCATATAGTTGACGGACCATAGCAGCATAACATGGCAAGAAGAATTATAGAAAACATCTTGGTCACTTTGATTTCTCTTGCACGGGCACTCGAGCTAATTGTTGACGTGGGACGCACAGTAACCGTTTGAAAATTTGTAGAACGAACCAGCTCTATGTCTGTAATCGTGTTCTGGGTTCTTTCTTTCAACAGGTTCAACATAGAGATGTACGTTACAGACGTTAATATCACGGTAACAACTACACACGTGTTGGCAAATATAAACGAATATGAGGTAAAGCCAACTTTAAAGTAGATATTTGGTAAGCTCAGTGAAAAAAGCCATATTCCAACAACCGTAATCACTATTCGTCTGTTCGTGACATTGCTACGATATACATGTGGTCTTTTCATCGCAAGGTACCTCTCTACCGCCAAAGTGGAAATGCTCAGCACGGAAGCAGTACATGAGATGAAATAACTCATATGAATAGCATATAGGTCGCGTTGCTCTAGCCTTCTTTCTACACCTTCTTTTATGTGTAAGTACACCATAAAAGGATCGGTGACCATACCGACAATCAGGTCTGCTGTCGCTAAATTTAGGACCAACCAATTGAACGGGCTACGAAGATTTCTGTTTGGATCGAAAAAAACAGCTAAGATGATGAGAATATTTCCTGGGATACTTGTCATTGTGAACAACAAGCTAAAACTAGCTGTAAGGAATGATAACTCTTTTGGAGCACCAACAATTAAAATGCTTGTACATTGTTTCTTGAAAATATCTTCGATAACTGCCATGTGTATTACGACTTATGCATGAAAAAGGCATCAAAGCATGAGCAATCATAGAAAAAGAAAACAAATTCCCTCAAGACAGAATGTATAAGTACACTTTATATACGTTACATGTCCAAATTGTGGCAACTGTTTTGTAGCAGGTGCATTGCAGTATATTGGGCATTTATTTTTCATAACACGCTGTTCTTGTTTGTTTGCCGAATGGAAAAATGTGTAAAATTTGCTGGCTGAAAATTACTTGATTATGGGTGAAAATTTGTCACTACAGGGGACAAAAAATTTTTACACGTGATCGTGTAAAGTATCAACTTCCTATTTTTTCATTGATAAGTCAAAACTAGTTGATGATTTTGGAACATGTGTAAATGACATAGTTTTTAAGCAGTTAAAATGCCTTTTGAAAGTGACACTTTTTAAGCCATCATGTAATCCATGGGAAAGATTGTGAAAATGCCAATGGAAATAAATATCGAATTGTTGAATTGTGTTGAATAATGTTACACCACTCAAAGTAAATAAGATGATTTAATGATAATTATAATGAATGATCATTATCACCATGGTAATTTCATAATAATACGTACAGTGAATAATAGCTTATAAGCCCCTATTAACCAAGCTCAAGGTCTTCACGTGGAAATATCGGACGAAAATTGTTTTGTACATACCGAGCCCGTAGGGCAAGCCGTATGTGTCGTGCATTTCTAATAATGACTCGCCTCGGCGGCTGGTGGCCACTTTTTGCGTTTTTATCAAAAATGACGTCATACCCGTGTATCTATAACTGTATAGACAACGGTTAAATGTTATCTATTTGTTAAATAAACAACTTGCATTATTACGTTACTTAGTAGTCACGAACATGAAAACATTGCAATAAAGCCACTAGGAAAAGTGAGTTTACTGCTGTTCTAAGTCACGTTTCTGAATTAAGAAGTACGATTGAAGGCCCTAGTTCTTTTGAGAACTCTTGCCCGGGGAATTTACGCTAGATGATTCGATATTCGATATTTAAATCGATTGCCAACTATTGTTCCGAAAGCCACAAAACCTTTTAAACTAAACCTCACCCAACTGAAGTAGGTAGGATGATCCTAGATGTAAGATAATCCAAGTTTTGGGATGATTCTAGAATTAAAAGGTGACTGAAGAAGTAGGATGATCCTAGATGTAGGATAATCCAAGTTGTAGGATGATTCTAGAAATAAAGCGAACAAAGAAGTATGATGATCCTAGATGTAGGATGATCATATGGGATGACTGTAGATGAAGAATGATACCAAAAGTACTAGAAGGAGTCAGACATTTGCAAGCAAGTTTTCTACTAATAGCATTTTACTGCATATTTGGGCATGGGCGTAAGAAGATTGATAATTTTGCTCATATTCTCATCATCATATTACAATCCTTTGATAACAATAGATTTCAAAGAAACTTCACACTGCATATCATGAACGTATGAAGATGACCCACCCACTCTTAATAGCGGATAGACGTTCGTCAAAATAATTATAGCTCCTTAATTTCAAATTCAAAGTATTTTCAGAAAAACATTATTGGTTTTGAATATAACTTCACCAATGGATATGCCTCTAAGGTGCTTAGAAATGTAAATACATACCAAAATGTGCTGCAGTAATTCATTTTCACTTTTCCCATATCCTCTGTCACAGTGATATGAGTATCCCCGTGTTTTGGGTATCCCCGTGTTTTGGGTATCTCGTACTTAAATCACTAGGGTTTTTTGCCCCGTGGGGATGCCAAAACGCCGAGAATATTAGAGCTTACGCAGCAGCTTTAACCGAAAATCGATATTTCTTAAGCGGAGATATATAGAGGTGATAGTCTGATAGAATTATCAAAATGTAATTTGACAGACAACTGTTACTTGCTAAATTTTTTGGCATAACTAGTATTTCGTATGCCATCTTTTTTGAAATTACATATGAATTGCTTCAAAGAAACTTTCATTGAAATGATTTTGTTAATGTAATTTTCACATTTCGATTGTCTACGGGCAATATAGCGAAGTAATTTAAACGCGTATATTATTCAATAGAATTGTAATTTAACTGTGTTAACTCTCTTGTGTTAATTCATCCAAGCATAGCTTATATTAAAAGTTTAGAAGCCGATCCACAGGGTAAACATTACAACTTGATTATTTATTATGGTTAACTGAAAATAGCATATAGAAGCATATCTATAATTAATTTTACTTATAATATTAGTCAGTATTAATTAAATGAGATATGATCTTCGCACTTTGCTGGACAATTTAAGCAATCGTCTCAGGACCTGAAAAAATCAGGTGACTCAACGGGATTATTCTCGGCGTTTTGGTAACTCACATCCCGTTGAGTCACCTGATTTTTTCAGGTCCTGAGACGATTGCTTAAATTGTCCAGCAAAGTGCGAAGATCATATCTCATTTAATTTCAAACACCGCACTGCATAAAACATTCATTAGTCAGTATTGTTCAGACTTTTTTACGCCTCTGAAAATACAACATTGTTGTTCCTGCTAAGTCAGTGAAAATCCATTGTCGAGAAACCCCTGAAATCAGCGTAGTAATGGAACAAGAATATGGAAACCTATATCACTAGTGATTTGTAAACGTTGGGTGGTCGGGTAGAGATACTTAAAACACGGCCGCCATATTTGGTGGGGGTGCCCAAAACCCTAGTGATTTAAGTACGGGGATACCCAAAACACGGGGATATTCATATCACTGTGACACCGCCACTGAGTGTAGAAACGGGGTTAAGTTTATCTGCAATCACATAAAAGCATCATATTACATGGAGTTGTTTTATGCCTCAAATTTTTGCCCGTATTTTAGCGTTTAGGGTTAGTTAGAAGGTTTGATGCCAAACAGTTTACGAACTAAAACATTAGCTAATTAGGACAAGCTCGTACTTCGAACAGTTTTGATTTAATGATGTTGCTCGATAAAGTAAATGGTTTGAACCCGGGAGTATCGTTACATGTTTGTAAATGTAGATCGTCCAGGTAGGTATAGTCCCGAGAAGGACTGTTTTTGTTGTTGTTAACTGACGTTTCGACAACCTTAGCGGTAGTCATCTTCAGAGTAATCTTTGGACTCAAATTGGAATCAAAAGTTTGGCCCGTTTCATGCATAATACTTTTCATGCGCCAAACTTCACCCCAAAAGTTCAACTAAAATGTTTTCTTGTCCTATTATCTGTCTTTCATTCTATTTGTAGAGACGATCACTACTTTCAATAAACAACTGTATTTTCTTTTTTACTACCTAAAGGTTTGGTAGTAATGTGAAAATAGTTCATTTCATCGGTCGTAAAAAGCCTTGGCAATATTCAATCAACCTGGAGACGGGAAAAGTTGTTCATGATTATGGTATTATATCAGTTACATCTTCCGAGCAATTTATACAACAATGGTGGGACGTTTACAACGAAATAGCTGCTCATAAAGTTACAGTAAGTTCTTTATTACTTATTCTTTTTCATAAAACTCCGAAGTTCGTATACTTTCACATTGACATCGAGAGGAGACTTGCAACTTTAAAGTATATTTGAATGTTTTTGTTTGCGCTATTTGTATGTGTTGGTGCAAATGTTATGGACTGTCTAGAATTTCTTGCTGCCTGAGTTCTTTGAGATCTTTGTGATCTAATTATGACAAATTCGAGGAAAAATTTATTTTGTTTACTGCCAGTTGCACCGCGCCATTAGCGCAAAGTTGATTTATGAATTTTTTGACCTGATCTTGCAATGAGGTACAAGTGTACTGGGCGAACGAGCGCTATACACAATAGCGAATTGACCATGAGCGTTCACAAACTGACAGTTAACAATACTGACTTTTTGTGATGTGAAGCAATCCCACAATGCACATATGTAGGAGGACGTTGAGCATCAAACGCCAACAGACCACCACCATACAGATGCACGACAAGACCGTATAGACCCCTCACCACTGCACTTTGAATATGATACTGATGACTCGGAATGCTCTGGGAGCTCTCAGGATGACCATTATTATCCCGCGACACACCCAGTGAACAAACGGTTTCGGGTGAACCGACGGTTCCGAATGAACCAATGGTTCAAATCCCTTTCCCGAACGTAATTCCTGCATTCCCATCTTCTCCTACGGGTCGGTTGTCACCTCAGGTATTTTTATAATTACTTTCGCTCTTGCTGTAATTAAGATTTTGTATCAGTTATAGTAAGTGTCGGTGTGCATCTAACAAGATTACGAAATACATCTAACAAGATTACGAAATTGTTAAAATGCTAATTTGCATTTTGAGTCAATTCGCCATTGTAAAAATTATGTACATGTAAGTTAGCTCTTGTAAAAAATGTGATTTGTGTGCTGAATTTTTTACGGGATATGGGAAATGTTAAAAAGTTGTCATATCACTATATAATAGCTTTTTCGCAAGCTAGGCATTACCCTGTTCACTTAACGTACAGAAACTTTCGCAAGACTAATGTACGACATCGTAACATAACGAAAAATAAATTGATGTTCGGTGACCACTTCAATGTGTTAAAAAACTAAACAATTTCCTACGTTTTCGTAGACCAATTCACTACATGTACGCTATCCTACCTATTTTTCTATTTTGTCATGCGTGCCCACAGTCCTCATGGTCACGGCATTGTTTATGGTAATTTGCATTTGAGGTTCTTGCCTGTAAATTTGCTAGTTAAATGGACCATTTAAATGACTGATAATAAAGGCAATTTTAGTACGTTTGTATTCTGTGTGGTCCTTTTCATTGTAGTGGTTTTGGCATTACAATATTATCTCGAACTTTTGGATGAAGAATGTCTTTTCAAGATCAGTGACTTCATTGACGTCACTGACTATGAAACTTGCAAGTTGTGATTGGTGGTTGAATGAAATGAGAAATATTTATTGGAATCTCTAATAAAGGTTTGTCATGAATTGACTTTGTTGGGTATTTTGATAAGTGCCACTACAGTTAAAACACGTAGCCATTATTGGCTGTTGCTATTAAAGTTCATATTTTCAAATTAGACAGTGATAACTACTGAAGAATAAAAGCATTTAAATATAAACATTACTTGGGAAGAAATTTTTGTTAAAGTTAGTTACTTATTATTCCCACCAGTTTACATTGGCCATGTTTCGACAACCAGCACAATTACATTGACTGATTTGGTTATGAGAAAAATGGATGAATTGTTTCTAAAGTAATATTGAAAAGCCACAAGATGTAGAATTGCTTGAATGTCTTAAATTAATGCATTGAACAATTCAATGAGCCAAACCTAGGTATAAATGTAATGTCACGAAAATTTTTGTCTTCATTGTTTCTAAAGTAATATTGAAATGCCGCAAGATGGAGAATTGCTTGGACGTCTTAACTTAATGCATTGAACAATTTAATTGAATGAAACCTAGGTATAAACATAATGTCACGATAATTTTTGTTTTCTAACTCTCCTCATATAAGATGCAAGTTTTTTTTCACATGCAAACTAATATAACTAAGAAATAATCATCAGCTGTTATTCCATTTTTGTTTTTTGTCTATCACTACAATTACTCATCAATCATTAAGTCAACATCACTTTGTGTTGTTTTTGATCCAATAAGTTTACGGCATGTGTATACTTTATGTTGGCTTGGCTCCATAAATTGCCCTCTTGAAGAATACATTTCCATCTTGAGTCAAGATATTGTGACATGTACAAAATTCAGCAGTAGCTTCAATAGAATCAAAACAGAAAATCTCCATCAACAACTGTAATGGAAATCGCAGGTTTTTGCTACTAAAAGCAGTGTTCATCACCCGTAGTCCTTGAGACCGTAGTCTTTCAATACTGTTAAAAAATGCACAACTTTCCAAGAAAGGTAATGTGTTGGCTATCCGAAATATTCCAACAAAATTACCAATGGCATGCATCTTAATCATATCAAATGCCAGGTTCATACCATTGTGCTTCGTTGCATGAACTTCTGTTTTATGATACTCATGAAATAAATAATATGATCCGGTACATAAGTTGAGAATCATGTCACATGCCAAAAAAGTAGTCCAATTTTTACAAGGTGTATTCTGAATATAATATAAACGTAACAGCTTCTTTAAGCATTCTCTAAGCTGAGTGTTATGTAAAACAGGATCATATCTTTCGAGAGGCTCCTGACTCAGGCGAACTGCCATAATCAAGTAATATCTTGTAGCTTTCTCTAGGATTTTAATGGCTTCCGAATTCTGTAAGTTTTGAGCGGTCAAATCTTGCCTAATCGACCGTATTCTGTCCGAGATGAATTCACATTTATAATACAGTGCGGAAGGTTTCTTCATAATAACAGTCAAAAGGTAATTGATCGTTTTTAACAAGACAGGTGCCGGACGAATATCTTTTGGATTGAGTTCCTTACCAGCTGCAGGCCTTGTGAACTCTTTTACAGCAATATTCATCGCTTCATTTAATTTGTTCTTAGGACTACTGTTTTCGACTGTCTTTTCAAAAGGATGTAGCCTGTTCTGCTTTTTTCGCAAATTCAGCTCACGCATTGGGCACATTTCCATGCATAAACCTTGCAGGAATGTACCTTCGTGAAATATATCTGATTTGGCAGCCATTGTTGATTTTTATGTAGCCACTGATCTGTATAGGTTTTGCAAACCCTATTCAGTGATAAATATTCTACACAGTTTTTGTCCCGACTGGCCTTGTTTGCCCTACAGTTTTTGGTTGTGTGGGGGCGAAACTGCCTCTCTTCCCCTCGCCTAATGCGCCTATTCATGGTCATATCCATGCAATTGCAAATTATTGACGGTAAATAATGACGACTTAACTCATTTTAACTACTTAATTCATTCTTAACTGTGCAGTTGAGATCAGTTTTTACTGTCCCATTGCATTTAGGTGGGTTCTTTTACAATGTAAAATCATACTCAAATTTGTCATACATTTTTTTCTCTGTCTACATAACATTTATATTATACATACATTGTGCAGATGCTTATATATTAATACATCATATCCATAGAAGAACAAGACATATGACTGAAACTTCATTTCTGCTATTTGGGAATTTCTAGTTCAATTCTTGAGGCAAAAGAGGCCTCTTAGCTTTGCATGTGTATGTTTAAACAAGTGCATTGTACGAGGCAAGGTACGATTCTTTTAACAGAGCAATGGATTGTCCCTTTTCCTATCTTGGACTTCCGATACTGCTGCCTGCATGTGAACAATCAACGGTTTCTCTTTATGATTTTAATAAAAGCACTACGAAATTTTTGAGACTGCAGAGCATAAATCCAGAAATTAACAGAGGAGTTCATCAGAATGAAAATGAAATGAAAGTCGCGAAGCCAGTGTAGAGTCGTGCAGCTGCAGGATTTGCAGACATTCAACAAGTACGTGCATATAGTTGACGGACCATAGCAGCATAACATGGCAAGAAGAATTATAGAAAACATCTTGGTCACTTTGATTTCTCTTTCACGGGCACTCGAGCTAATTGTTGACGTGGGACGCACAGTAACCGTTTGAAAGTTTGTAGAACGAACGAGTTCTATGTCTGTAATCGTGTTCTGGGTTCTTTCTTTGAACAGGTTCAACATAGAGATGTACGTTACAGACGTTAATATCACGGTAACAACTACACACGTGTTGGCAAATATAAACGAATATGAGGTAAAGCCAACTTTAAAGTAGATATTTGGTAAGCTCAGTGAAAAAAGCCATATTCCAACAACCGTAATCACTATTCGTCTGTTCGTGACATTGCTACGATATACATGTGGTCTTTTCATCGCAAGGTACCTCTCTACCGCCAAAGTGGAAATGCTCAGCACGGAAGCAGTACATGAGATGAAATAACTCATATGAATAGCATATAGGTCGCGTTGCTCTAGCCTTCTTTCTACACCTTCTTTTATGTGTAAGTACACCATAATAGGATCGGTGACCATACCGACAATCAGGTCTGCTGTCGCTAAATTTAGGACCAACCAATTGAACGGGCTACGAAGATTTCTGTTTGGATCGAAAAAAACAGCTAAGATGATGAGAATATTTCCTGGGATACTTGTCATTGTGAACAACAAGCTGAAACTAGCTGTAAGGAATGATAACTCTTTTGGAGCACCAACACTTAAAATGCTTATACATTGTTTCTTGAAAATATCTTCGATAACTGCCATGTGTATTACGACTTATGCATGAAAAATGCATCAAAGCATGAGCAATCATAGAAGAAGAAAACAAATTCCCTCAAGACAGAATGTATAAATACACTTTATATACGTTACATATCCACATCATGACGCTGTTTTGTAGCAGGTGCCTTGCAGTATATTGGGCATTTATTTTTCATAACACGCTGTTCTTGTTTGTTTGCCGAATGAAAAAATGTGTAAAATTTGCTGGCTGAAAATTACTTGATTATGGGTGAAAATTTGTCACTACAGTGGACAAAAAAATTCTTACACGTAATCGTGTAAAGTGTCAACTTCCTATTTTTTCGTTGATAAGTCAAAACTATTGTGGAACATGTGTAAATGACATAGTTTTTAAGTAGTTAAAATGCCTTTTGAAAGTGACACTTTTTAAGCCATCATGTAATCCATGGGAAAGATTGTGAAAATGCCAATGGAAATAAATATCGAATTGTTGAATTGTGTTGAATAATGTTACACCACTCAAAGTAGATTAGATGATTTAATGATAATTATACTTAATGATCATCACCATAGTAATTACATAATAATACGTAAGTGAATAATAGCTTATAAGCCCCTATTAACCAAGCTCAAGGTCTTCACGTGGAAATTTCGGACGAAATTGTTTTGTACATACCGAGCCCGTAGGGCAAGCCGTATGTGTCGTGCATTTCTAATAATGACTCGCCCGGGCGGCTGGTGGCCACTTTTTGCGTTTTTATCAAAAATGAAGTCGTACCCGTGTATCTATAAATGTATAGACAACGGTTAAATGTTATCTATTTGTTAAATACTTGCATTATTACGTTACTTAGTAGTCACGAACATGAAACCATTGCAATAAAGCCACTAGGAAAAGTGAGTTTACTGCTGTTCTAAGTCAAGTTTCTGAATCAAGAAGTACGACTAAAGGCCCTAGTTCTTTTGAGAACTCTTGCCTGGGGAATCTACGCCAGATGATTCGATATTCGATATTTAAATCCATTGCCAACTATTGTTCCGAAAACAACAAAAAATTCTCAAACTAAACCTCGTCCAACTGAAAAAGCAAGAATTAGGACGCCTTTTGCTGGAATTACGAAAGGCTTGAAACCAAGCAGAGAGCCAAGCGAGAAAGTTTTCTCAAATAAACGTTCAATGCAATTGCAATGTTTTCATGTGCGTGACTACCTCTGATATGGATAATACACTGGATAAAAGGATAACGCGTCCGTGTTTAAAATACGTGACTACTAAGTAATGATACAAGTTGTTTATTGTGTCGTATAAATAATCAATAAGGCGTACGAAACAGGCAAAAGTGGACTGGGGCGATGCACAGGAACTGAAGAAGAACTACAAAGAAAATGGACCAACGTGAATATGTATTATTTTCTTCGTTTTTGGCGACCTTTCTGGTACACATTTCTTGTTTATAATATAGCTCATATTTGTTTTGTTGTAAATTTTGCATATTATAATGTCATTTATCATTTTTTGTACCTAATGTATTGAGTATTCTGTATTCATTGCTTTTCCATTCCTTGTTCAATTTAGCTTATGGAATGTTCAAGTTTTCTAGAAGCAAAGCAAAGTCATCACACAGGTATGGCATATCAGTATATTAAAATAGGTGTTATTAAGGGGAGCAGCCTTCATTGAGTACATTGCAAACAATCTCTACTGCATGCCATAAATTTTCTCTTCAAAATACAATAATACTTAGTACATCAGCAAATATGTTGTTTGAAATATCTGGTTTTACTTGTTTTATTGCTATTGCTAACCTACATCAGAACTTAATTTTCTTATTACTGATGGATTGTTGTATATGGTGCATATACATGTTATATATGGCAGATATACATGTTATATTGGGTGGATATGCTTGTTACACATGATGGATATGCTTGTTATACATGGTGGATATACATATTATGTATAATTTATGATGGACTATTATCCATAGATGCAAGCTTCACTTGAAAGTATGTCTTCTACATATAAGAGATTTTCCTGTGAAATGCAGTTGGATACAAGAGAATTTGTTTTGTAAATTTGGCTTTACTTGTTTTTGTTACTTTCAATTACATTGATTTCTAACCTATGCAACTACGATAGTTCCCCACCCCACCCCCATATCACTTTCACATATCATTTAATAAAACAACAAGTAAAAAGGTCTTCACCATTAGTAATAAGGAGAAATTTTCTACCATTTTATATTACTAATTGTTCTTGCATATAATTGTTTAATATATCAACGCATAGGCACTAATTTTCATCAGAAAACTTTCATCATTTGAATATCTCTTTAACTATTATAAAGTAAACCAACAGTTTAAAGAAATGCTTTTTAATCAACCTTTTTAAGATCTATCTACCTACAAAACCCTCCAATGAAACTACAATGTAACATGGTGTAAAAAACCTGTGTATTCCGATGGCTCGCCCTCTGTAGTCAAAAATGTGTGAGGCTCATATGTCCCTTTATGCAACTTAACTGTTTAGTTGGTCATGTATGGTATAAGAAATGCTCTTAGTAGTACATTTTCACATACCTTGGCATTAAGATGATGTTACTTTTATTATCAGGGAAGAATTTGTGGGTGGGGTAGAAGATGTGTGCACTCCTGATTGTAGTGTCTCATGACATGGTCAGGCAATAAGTAGCCACCAAACTAGAGCACCCCCACCCCTAGCCACACACACACACACAAAAAACATGGATCCAGATTTGCTTGTTATTTCAATTGTAGGAATTATTGCTACTTGTAATGTTTCATTACAAAATGTTTTTTATATAGAACGAGAATGTGAAAAAAAATTGTCGGCATTAAAGAAAGATCCCATTTTGATTGGTGCATATACACCACAATGTGATCACGAGGGTAATTACAAAAAAAGACAATGCTGGGCCTCAGTTGGTAGCTGTTGGTGCGTTGATAAAACAAGTGGAAAGAAAATTGCTCACGTTCAAATCGATAAAGATGGTTTACCTCTCTGTGGTAAGTCGTTATTAACCTGGGAAGTCGTATACACGATGTTGATACGAAAAAATATGAAACCGTTACTCTAACCGTAGGAGGTCGTAACACATACTAAACTATACCATTTCATTCACGTGTGGACATCTTCCCGCCATAAGAATTTGGTTTTTCCCGTTTTTGTTACGGTTAGGTGAAACACTTCTTTCTCCTAAAAATGATGGGGAATGGAAATTGAAGGGGAGTGGGTTCGAGGGAGAGCCATGAAAGCAATGAAAATGCTCAGGAAAATTGCTAGTCCTCGAATAAACAAAACATGGCATATTTGAAACTGCTATCGATCCAGCGTAAAGTGAATGACCAAACGCTGACCAAAACGTTGCAAACTCTGACGAGATCGCACGAATACTGTCTATGGAGAAATATTTTTTGACAGTTTGTCTAATGCTATTTCTTCCTATTATGATTAAATTTCATGTACATTTTCTTATGATCCCTGTTTGTGATTGTTCTTCTCATAAAACCGAAACGTCAACAAAATTTCCAGTTTAATGTTCAAAGCGTTTACATTGTAGTTCTGTTGTTATGTTATCAAAGTAACAAAGTAATATATCTTGAATGGATCTTCGTGTACCGTTCCTTACAATTAAATAAAGTGTCTACGCGATATTTGTGTATTTTGTACATTTCATATGTGTATACAATGTATTTGTGCATTTCTTTTATTGACCATTATTTAAATGATGTTTATTGTCATAAACCCACAGTCTGAACTATGGTTAGGATGTGGACTATTGCTAATGCTAGAATTTATTCTTTGATGTGTTAATGTTTCCCTCTTTTTCACAGAGCCAAATTGTTTTTCCATGTTGAAAAGTATACCGACATTGTTAATACATGGTGAACCTTTCTTCTTTTCGTTTGTTCCACGATGTGACACAAAGTCGGGTTATTTTTTACCTGAACAGTGTTCTAAAGACGAAAGTGAATGTTGGTGTGTTTCAAAATTGGGAAAAGCAATAAAAAATACAAGATCTAAAGGGCATGTTTCTTGCTCTGTTTGAAGATCCCTATAGCTATACGTAGAATCTAAATATTAACTAAATGAAATTTTTCTTTCCTTTTTTACTTTCTAAACGCTGGTTCTTTTAAGCTGCATGATTGAAATATGTTAATGCTTCCAAATGTATTTTGACCGCTCACATGGTTACATCAATCTGTAAATAGTAAACATTTCTCACGCTAAAATATCGTCTTATGTTAGTTAAAGTGCTCAATGCTAAAGAAAAATTTTAGTAAAAAATATAAAAAGTATATGTAAGTAAGGTGTATGAAAAAACCAAGGGCGGCGGAACATTGTTAATTGGGGGGGGGCTATTATTCATACATGCATGTTTTGCTTTAGTGGTTTCTATTGAAATCAATTGTGTTTTACTTTACGGATTATAACGTACGAATATATGAATATAGCCCCCCCCCCAATTATCAATGTTCTGCCGCTACTGATTTAGAAATGAGAAAAATGCGTGGTCAAACTAAAGATATACATATATCATATATTCACGTGGCTGACAATATTTTACGCATCATGGGCTTTTAGTGTAATGATGAGAGGCATTAAAATTATAGCAATACTTCAATTTGTAAAGGTCAACTTTTTTTCCACCCCGTGTACAGTACATCGTTATGCATCAAATGATTTATATTCTTGCTACAAAAGAGAGCTGAGGGCGTTTTTTTTTTTAATTAATTGATCTTTCATGCTTGCCTTATGCATATATTTGAACGCTTCAATGGTTGTATACGCTTTGAATTGGTAATGTTTTTCACCGCCTGCCAAAGCATAGGTGGCCATAGATGATCCTCTGATGCAAACGTTCTTTGCTGACTGAAAGAATGGCGGACGGAGTTGAACCAACTGAAAAGTCTCCTTTACTGTCGAGTAGCGATGATTCGCGCTCTAACAAGATTCCAGATGTCTCCGTTAAATCTGGGTAAGCGCTTTAAAACATTACTTGTTCAAACACACGCGTTTTTCATGCACATGTCTTAGCGGCGACTCGACTTCCCACACATTTTCTTCATAATTGATTGATTGGATTTCATTGTCTTGTACTCGGTACTTTACTGTTCCTTACCATTGCGAGTAATCACTTCATTGTGGTATATTTATTGTAGGTGTTATTTTATACCAGTTAATGTGTTAGATAAAGTAAGCTTTGACTTTGACCACTCCTCTAATGTAACGACAACATACAATGAAAGAATGCTGTTGCTCCTCTTTCTTTGTCATTCGTTATTACTATCTTTATATATTAGCTCAATGCCAAACAGCGGTTGGTCATGTCCGCTTCATTGAAATTATTTCAACCAAAGGTTAATTGTATTGTTGTGATCCCATACTTGTTTTGGCAAAGTCGTATTATGCGTCTTTGCATGAGTTTATCGTTCATGGAGTGATATCATATCATCACCGCGGCACACTTTTTCTATAAATAAACTACATGATCTGAAAATAATTATACTTGTTTGTATATTTACGTCTTATTGTATTAGTGCATGCTAACCCTTGCCGGTTGTCTTCGATTTGTTTATTTGTGTCTTCGATATTGCGTTGTAAAGTTTAGTCATTTTAGGCCAATGATTTTCTAAATAGCACGGAACCCAGTACCCTTGGCTTACACACCTTTCTGAAATAATAAACACTCGTCAGCTTGAAAATCTTGAAGATTCGGGTTGCTTGTCTTGTGTAAATGCCACAGGATGTGAAGTGTACAATTATGTACACAATGCGTTTTTAAAATAACGTTCAAAGTGAATTTAACAAATATTTTTACTAAAAGCCGTTATGTATTAGAGTAACTTGAGTCAGTATACTTGGTAAAAGTACAGAAGAGTAGAATATTACATTCGCTCTTCCATTCAGAATTTATTTGTGTCGAAAGAACTTTGAATCCCTTAATTAAGAAGCTTTATTAATGAGAAATTTACACTTTATAGTCAGTTTCACTGTTTAATATAATTTAGTGAAATAAGCTGCAAAAGCATTTACCATGTTTTTAAGTGGTTATACCAAACCATGTGCAGTTGCTATCAATTTTTGCTCCATAACACTAGGGAACGCTTGATAATAAATTATTGGATGTGGTTGAGCATGATATCAAGAATTATTTAGACCGAGGTCAATGTGATCTGACCAGTCAAAACCGAAATTGTTTTTATAGTGAATTATAATAAGCCCTAGCTTAATAACCTCGCTTTCTTGGTCTTTACGAAGAAATATCGGACCGAGGTCTTTTTATTCAGACCGAGCCCGTAGGGTTTGTACAAAAAGATGGAGGTCCGATATTTCTCAATAAAGACCGAGAAAGCGAGATTATTAAAAGGTTTATTATATGGCATTGTTTGACCTGAAACGAAGCTTGCTTTCTTTCTCGTCCTCGCTGTTTTTTACCGGTTGGCTTTCACTTTTCTAGTTTTCGTCCATGAAAAATAAATCGTTTCAAATTGTATCATCTGGATAGTTAAACTGTTTACCTGGTATTTTTTCCTTCGAATTACATTCTTAAATGGGTTTTTGTTTCGTTTATTTTGCGTTTTGCTGTATGCTTTACGACGTTTGTTAGTTAATTAACGGACGAAAATTTAAATTAATATTTTGCCCAACAAAAGATGAAATTATTTTTGTATGCCGATAGGAGACAAAGGTCACGTGTTGTACAACTTTCACTATTTTATAGCAAACCGTCAATAACCGTGATTGAAGTTTGCCCACAGTTCGCAGTGAAAATAGCGTGAATAAACGTTAATTAAAAAGCTTAATAATAAAACTTGTTAACTTGAGCTGTTTCACAGACGGGGCAAAAATACACACATGCAGTGGTCTGTAGATGGTGTTACTGCTACTACCCCCATCACACCCCTTATCAGCAGAGAAAATTTGTCTTGCTAGACCCACTGTGCAAGAAACAAGTAAATGCGAAGTTTCTAACAAACATTTTGCATGACATGAGAAATACTCTGGCTTCGTAATATAACTAAATTGAGGGGAAGGAAAAGATCACACAGGCAACTTCACAACATGTAGAGGTATTTTGAGACACTTCTGCAGATTTGTTCAGAAAGAAGAAACCATGAACAGGTATATAGACTAACATAGATGAAGCTTTTGTAAAGCTTGCTTAGAGGAAATGTGAATACTGTAAGATTAGTAAGTTTATACACCGAAAATAATCGTTGACGCAATCATAAATTTTATTGCATTGAACATGATCGCTGTGATTTTGTTATACTTCAACATCAGGTTCAATATGATTTGTGTGAAGATTATGCTCACGATTAAGATTTAGTTGCCAGTCAAATCACGAGAGAGATCTGTACGTATATATTCTTCATTATACCGACGCAATAAAACTAGAATTTATGAAAAAAACGCTATATATATATTGAAATAATAAAGATGTACGTACAAAATGAACAATTTGCTAAGAAGTTATCCTTACTTCGGTCAATTGCTAAATCTCTGTTTCCTTGCTCGTATTTTTGGTTGTCAATTTTAATTGTGAGCGGCGCATCGGAAGCTGGGGGCAGGGGGGCCAAGCCCCCCCACTTTTCGCAGTGCCCCCACTTTACATAAAAATAGCAAATTTTCTATGAAAGAGAATGCTCACTTTTAATCTATTTTGATAAAATTATTTAATTTCAGAATTTCATGTTTCTTTTCAGTTTTTTATCGATGTAAAAAACGTGTGTAAAAAACCGTCTGTATGGCATTTTACAATGTTTATACTTTGCAAAAAATAACACTACTGCCATATTGGTGCTCATCTTTTCTGAAATGTGCCCCCCCCTCCCCACCTTTTATGTTTCTTCCGACGCCCCTGATTGTAAGGATGTGCATTACTAATTATCGGTATCTGATTGGTTAGCCGACGATTTCTGTGAGAAATGCACTTTTCACTTATTTTCATTGTTTTTTATTATTGAAATTTTTCAACAATAATATATCCAGCGTTTTGACAGTCACGTGACACACATTTTATTATAAGACAAGTTTTTCTTCTAGAAAAAGTGAAATTGGAAAATCTACGAACATGGTACCTTTTACCAAATTGGTAAGACTGATAGGTTGTATCGCGGACTGATTAATTGTTTACATTTTGCTTTGATCTGCGCTATATTTGTACTATTCAGAACAGTAGCGAATGTAGCGTTCGTCAAAATAAGTTATAGCTCTTCAATTTTAAATTCAAAATACTTTCAGAACGACTCTATTAGTTATGAATTTCTACGAAGGAAAATAATTTTACCAATATACTTGCCTAGAAATGTATTTGGAAATGTACATTTATACAAAGATGTTGTGCATTAATTTATTTTGACTTACCCTAGATCCACCACTGTTTCAATACATAGAACATATCGAAAGCCAGCGTTCAGTATTTTAATGTTCTATATTTCATACTGCCTAAAATTTGATGTGGGCTTTACAGCTCAAGGAAAATGCGAGGATGGAATGAAAACAATGGAATAATATAGTTTATTGGTATTCTCCAAATCTCATTACTATTCTTTATAAAGGGAATACTAAGTTAGATATTGTGTTATTATTGTTCATTTTCTTGTTATACTAATTAATATATTATATTCGGTTAAATTGATACTCTCGTGGCTTTGGCCATGTTCTAAGACGGTTAGAACATGATCACTCTGGCGAATATTTTTTAGTGGTATTTTATTTTAGTGAAGTTCAAACCAAATTTCTGCTCTTTTAATCATTTGGAAACTAATAAACAACTTGTTTGATTTGCTAAGAAGACAAAATGTTTGCATGTGCCTCGTTATTCTGTCGTTGCAATGGTTGAATAAAATCTGTTCGCTTTGCCCAAATGCGTTTTGAATTATTGAAACAGTAAAATCCAAGCTTTTCTGCCGTTTTAGTTTGATTTGGCTGACAAACTTGATGTATTCCTTATGATTATTGGAACAATTGGTGCAATAGTATTTGGTGGAATGCAACCGGGGCAGTTCATCATTTTCGGAAGTCTAACTGATGATTTTGTCGAGTTTGGTCGATGTAAATTATCGAATTGTTCCAGTCTGCCGGATATCGAAGAATCAACCAGGAAAATTGCCTATTGGTACGTAGGTATTGCACACGTGTTCCTTTTCAGTGGCTACATGATGATGGCAGGTTGGGGCATTTCATCCGAAAGACAGAATCATAAAATACGATTAGCGGTGTTTCGATCGATATTAAGACAGGACATTGCTTGGTTTGATTATCACGATGCTGGAGAACTGAATTCACGATTAGTCGAGTAAGTATCAAGTCATTTTGCTCTCGTAATGTATTGTTATTCATCTCATTTCCTTGGGCATCTGTGAGGTCTATAAAATTGCCAATTGTTCTTTAACTGCAGCACCAAAAACCAAATAGCTACATTGCTTTGGAATTTTCAAATATGATTACAACTGAATGCTATTCAGATAAATAATTTTCACGTTTAGCGTTATAGAGTTTTATGTATTATATTAACGAAGTCTTTTTTATTCAGAGTTACGTTGAAGTAGTGTGTGTATACGCATTTTTTTGCCAACAATCGCTAAATTTGTAGAAAAGACTCGATGAAAACTGCATCGAGAATACTCAACGATAACTTTTCTCTTTGCAGACGCTAACTATCGTTTACATACTGCCACCTTGCTTATTTTCAAGCTTTGAAGCCTTAATAAAAATGTCATTGTTTCCAATTAATATTATTGAGCATATGTAGAGTAGCGTATGTTTTTTGTTCGTACGTGAACTTCTACAAAGTTTTCAACGCTTTTAATAGTGACTTAAACAAGATAGTCGATGGTATGGGGGAAAAGTTTGCTCGCTTTATACAATGCTTAACAACTTTCATTGGAGCCTACATCATTGGATTCATCTACGGCTGGCAATTGACCTTGGTTTTGCTCTCAATGTTACCTTTAATGGCTTTTGGAGGAGGAATTATGGGATTGGTGAGTAACATGGATGTTGTAGCTGATAGTAGTTGTGGGTAATATGGGACTAGTGTTGTTTGGGTAATATGGGACAAGTGTTGTGGGTATTATGGGATCAGTGTTGTGGGTAATATGGGATTAGGTGTATATATTCTTCACTGACGTCGTTCTTTAACTGGTGCATTAATTTGTGGAAACACTTGCCTTAAGAAAAATGAGCTTTACTATAAAAACGTTTGATGTGTTTTCTTTTCATTAGAGGGGTGGGGCAAGGAGTTAGCAAACAAAAATTGACTCTGTCGTGGAGCTTATGAGCTATTTCTGCATTGTGTAATGAACGAACGTCTTCTTTAGTTCGTCTTGACTAAAGTGATATCGCCAATTTCTTTACAGTTATCAGCAGGATTTACAGCACAAGAGGTAAACGCTTATGCCAAAGCGGGTAGTATTGCTGAAGAGGTTCTCTCGTCCATGAGGACTGTGGCTGCCTTCGGGGGCGAAGAAAAAGAAACAAAAAGGTAGAAAAAGTAGATCCAAGCGATTGAAAAAATTTATGATCATAACAACTTTTTCTCTCGCTATTTTGTAAAGAATTGAGCAACCATTCTTTGCTTTTTGTCAGATATGAAGAGCGTCTTGCTAATGCAAGCGAATTTGGTGTTAAAAAAGGCCTCGCAATGGGATGTGGAATGGGTTTTCTTCAATTTGTTGTCTTTGCATCATATACTCTGGCATTTTGGTAAGCTGTGATAAGATTAAAACTTTTCAAAACACGTACCCATTTGTTTTCAAATACTTTTGGATCATGTTGCAGTTGTTGCATGGTGTTTGTGATAACGTCTTGCGAGAACTTGTCGTGTATCTTTATCTTCTGAGAAGTGAGAATACTTTATTTATATTCTTATAGGTACGGCTCAAAACTTGTAATCCAGAAGGATATGTCAAGCGGTGACATGATGACAGTAAGACCACGTTGTTTGTTTCGGAAGAACAATAGATTGGTGGATTAAAATTAAGATCAAGGTTTTCATTATCTTGCTACACATAATTTCGGATTTTCTTTTGTAAAGGTTTTTTTCCGTTGTAACCGGATCAATTGTTCTCGGTCAGATTGGCCCAAATCTTCAGGCCATGGCGACTTCTCGTGCTGCCTCATATAATATCTTTGCGATCATTGATCGGGTGAGTGTATACACGTACTTTTAAGACGTAACAACTATTAGAAGAGAAGGGACTTCAAGACTTCATTCATTAAAACTGGACAGCGAACCTTCTTCGGTCAAGTGATTGATACCATAACATTTATTCTTACTAACTAAACAGAATCGAGTTATACTCCGGAACGCTGAAGTCTGGGAGGGCTAAAGCCCCCAACTTTTGCCATAGCAAAACTTAAAAAGACATTTAGACTGAGCTGAAGTTGTTGTTTAGAAGTGTTTTTTAAGATACTATAGTAGAGTGAATGGTTTGAACCCGGGAGTATCGTAACATGTTTGTGGATGAAGATCGTCCAGGTTAGTAGAGTCCTGAGAAGGACTGTTGGTATTGATGTAGACTGACGTTTCGAAAACCTTCAGTTTAGTGACTCTGAAGATGATTGCCGCTAAGGTTGTCGAAAAGTCAGTCTACATCAATACCAACAGTCCTTCTCAGGACTCTACTAACCTGGACGATCTTCATCCACGAACATGATACTATAGTAGAATTGAAGACTTTGCCCTCGCACTTCATATTTTGCTCCGCCGTCCCTGTCACTGTTGCATAATAGAAATACATTCAAGAATATAAAAGCCAGTTGGTCGTTAGTCTTACAGCAGAGTCTTCTATTTATTGATCTATTATTGCAAGCGACAAGAGACGCTTTTGAAAATTGGCGTGTTTTAGGAACCTGTTGTGGACGCTCTTACTGACGAAGGTCTGAAACCTGAAAAGATGGATGCCAATGTTGAATTTAGAAATGTGAAATTTCGATATCCAACTAGACCTGACCTCAAGGTATTTATTTATATATTTTCTTATAAACTGTGTTGTAGGTCTATGAACTAGGTTCATACCATAAAAGGATATTCCACTAACATCTTACTAATCTAAACCAACACGCTTTTCCCAAAAACTAGCCGGCCATTTTTTCATCGTGTAGGTGTTACGAGGCTTCAATCTTACTATCCCTCAAGGAAAGACAGCAGCACTGGTTGGCGGAAGTGGTTGTGGAAAAAGTACTGTCGTAAAAATACTTCAAAGATTTTATTCGATGACCAGCGGGACGGTGCGTGTTCACGGTTTTGTTGTAAAAAAACGTTAGCTTTAGCATTTTCAAGCAAATGAGTAACGAGTCTTGCTTTAAACGTATAACTGCTTTAAAAAGTCACATCACACTTCGAAGCTGCTTTGCTTTCGTAATATATTGAAGAGAACTGTGATTGGTTTGAAAACTGGTGCATTTATGGCTTTCTGTTTATGTTTTGTCTTTGTTTCTACCGCGTTAGCTCGTCTTACTTGTAAGCTTTTCTTATTATATAAACATATAACATTGAGAATATTGCTTGCCAATTGTAACGATTTATGCTTTGATTAGGTTACAATTGGTGGTGATGATATCAAAGCTTTGAACTTGAAGTGGTTGCGCAGTCACATAGGTGTGGTTAGTCAAGAACCCATTCTATTTGCAACAACCATAGCTGATAACATTTCATATGGACGAGAGGGGGCTACGATGGACGAAATTATAGAAGTTGCAAAAAAGGCCAATGCTCATTCTTTTATTACACAGTTTCCTCAGGCAAGTATAGGCTATCTCATGTTATACATGAGCAAGACGAGAGAGATTCTGCGAGATGATTTTGGCAATTTGAATTGATCAAATGTCTTCGGGAAACTCACCTGATCGTTTACACCACATTTTCTCTAAGTATTTACATATCGCCAAATAACTTGTCAGATTATAAACATTAACTTATATCACAGTATAGACACAAACAGTAGTCCCACTCTATAGAAATTTTTTGTCTAGCGCATATCTTTTTACGCATGTGATTAGCATAGTGGCAGCCAGTAGTTTTTTCGGCCAATAGGAGGGCTGAGGTGACCGGCAACAGCCAGTAATCTAATTAAATATACAGCACCAATTTGCACAATGGAGTGGGACTACTGTATGTTTCTATACTGTGCTTATATTAAAGCCTAGTCCTCGTTTGCGACATGAGCATAAGCACAAGAGAGTTTTATAATTTCAGCTGAATTAGACACATATTTGGCTCAAAATGATGTAGTCTGCCACTTGTTTATTGAGCTCATTTAAACAGCCTTTGGCAGTTTTACGAACATTTCTATATATGCCTTTGTGCCGATGTGGAAAATGGGGTTGTTTACTCTGCACCTTTGCACCTCTCTATAAAAATGGGGAGGGGCAGCGGCTGGCTCTAGCGTTCTCGAGCCCAGCACACATGGCGCTACATTTAAACTTTACGGCATTTTGATTTGCATGTATTAGCAGTATGGTTATATGAATTCCAACCATAACATATACGATGTGTTTATTTGAGCTTCTGTCAATTTTGCTATCTTTGTGTTTGTTATCGTTCTCAGGGCTACCAAACATTGTGTGGTGAACGAGGAGCACAAATGAGCGGCGGTCAAAAGCAACGTATTGCTATTGCAAGAGCATTGATTAGAAATCCAAAGATATTGTTGCTTGATGAAGCTACCTCCGCTCTTGATACTGAAAGCGAATCAATCGTTCAGGATGCTTTAGATAAGGTTTGCATTGTAAAACCATTATATTAAAATATATAGTCTTTACTGGCTGGTAACCTCTTTCGACTACACTGATTGTGACTACATTAATATATTGTATCACTCTCAATTTTATCATACCAGGCGAGCGAAGGTCGAACAACGATTGTGATCGCACATCGACTGTCTACAATCAAGAACGCCGACATGATCGTTTCTGTCGATAAAGGGAGAGTGTCTGAGATTGGCACACATGACGAACTCATGGCTGCCGGTGGAATTTATAAAGACCTCGTTACTCTTCAGGTACGTAGATTTACTTTGTATTGAAATTTATGTACGTTGTTGTCATATGAGATGCTAAAATATTTAGATGTTGGCTGCAGAACAAGATAAACAAGTAGAACCAGAAGATGTCGATGATGACGGCGAAGAAAGTATGATAGTCGAAAAAATTACTGCTTGCAGTTCAGCAGCATCGTTTATCTTTTTATTTTTATCTATTATCAATTGCTGTATATATTATCTATAGACGCCGTTGATTTGAAGTTGTCCTTATCGTCAAGTGGAAGTGTTCAGGCCGATGTCCGTTATGGTAGACAACTTTCTCGACAACTTTCCCGGAGATCTATGGTATGTGCACTCAGTAAACTGTAAACACCCGAAGCAACAAAAAGAGAATTTATGACTGAGTACATTTTGGGAACATTTATTATAATGAATAAGATAAGTAAGATCGTAGCTAGGTTTTATCTCGCTCCCTGGAAACCAAAAGTAGTCACATACTTATGTTTTAGGGACAAGCTGACATTGTTCTCGAAGAAGATGTTAAACCTGCACCGATTTTTTCTGTAATTAAACTGAACTTTCCTGAGTGGAAGTGGATGGCCATTGGTTGTATTGGGTCCGCATTGACTGGTGCTTTTCCATTCGTTTTGCTCTCATTTTGGGGGAACTAACAGGGGTATGTATCAGAGGTAGCCAGCCCCCCGCTTATTTGATCCTGGAATGCAAATTGCGTTCAAAAAGTGCAAAACGATAGAATTCTAAAGAAATGAGTGATGAAAATGTGTTGAAATTTACGTAGCATGCAAGTCCAAAACGTGCGACTAGCAATGGCATTCGTAATATTTGGCTAAGGCCTCAGATATTTTGTCTTTCCTAGTGTCTCAGCAATTTACAATAATATCGTTTTAGTTGGTTGTGAAATGAAGGGAATCGCAGAATTTTACAAATAGCTTTGACGACGAAGTGTTGCGAACAGCATGAATTACAAAAGCAACACATTGCTTAATTAAAAGTCAGTTATGGTATTTTTTGCAAACACTTTATATCTGAACAATTTTCAGGTTCTTCAACACAATCGAGACGATCCCCATGAAAGGGAAATTATGAAAGATGACTCACTCAAATGGGCGCTATTTTTCCTCGTCATTGGAGTCGCGACTGGTATAGGAATGATTCTTCAGGTAAAATTCTAGTGAAGAAGATCGTGTATATGCTTTTCATTTATGCGTTAATTTTATGCTTAGGAGTTTGCTGTGATTATCTTCTTTATTGTATGTAAAAATATTGTTTATTTACTTTTCATTCTAACGAGTAAAAGTAATCTTTATTTTATAGAATTGGATGTTTGCAAAAGCCGGAGAGAAACTTACTACAAGACTGCGCAAAAAGGCATTTGCAGCAATGCTTCGGCAGGTCAGAATCCTTTTGTTGCTATCATCAACATCCTAAACTTTTTCAGAGTATATTGGTCTCACTCATGGGAGATGATAGGGATTTTAAGCACTTTCCATGAACGATCAGTTCAACTCAGTGTTCACTCATTTCTTTCCTACCTAACTCAGTCAAACAATTATACATGCTTTATATAAATAGTGTTTTGATGTTAACAAATTACGTTTAATTCATGCTTTATACGAACCTTCAAAAACTATGCTTGCCCTATACCCTGCTTCCTTCAGCACGTTCATTTAAGAAGGCAGGGACAGATACACGGATATTCAAAAGGACAAAGGGGGTTAAGTTGTATTCTGTCTTATGCATAAAACGTGATTCCGTTTTAGGCTTCGTTTTATATGACTGTCTGTATTTGCGATATGCTTTCAACTCTTCCGATTTTTTATCTATCGTGTTTTTTGTTCATTTTCAGGAAATCGGATTTTTCGATGATATCAATCACAGCACTGGAGCTTTATGTACTCAATTGTCAAGTCACGCGTCTAAAGTGCAAGGAGTATGTTGTTGAACTTTTTACTTGACACCGTTTGCAGTAATCATTTGAACAACAAAATATGTAAACACATTGTATAATACATGCACTTGCATTGCTGCTTGGAAGAAATAGTTACGGATAGAAATTTCTGACATCAACTATTGACCAAATCATAATGTGGCTGCAATAACTATTACAACTCATGTCATTGCAAAGCAATGAAAAACTTCAGAATTTTGCCTATTGTTATCGCTTCATTTAGGAAATAAAACAAATTATTGATTTCACTGTTAAGGAATGACCATCGAGAAGAAGTAATAAGATATGAAGTTTTCATCAATGTGGATATGTTTTTAGGCAACAGGTCCAACCGTTGGGCTGGCAGTTTCCTCCCTTGTGACGGCTGTCGGTAGTTTGATCGTAGCTTATATTTCTGGCTGGAAGCTTGCTCTTGTTATCACGGGTTTTGTTCCCTTCATCATCGTTGCTGGAAGTCTTTCTATGTTATTGATGGGTAGTAAAGATAGATATGGTGGCGACGAGGAAAGTGGCCAGGTGTGTCCTTTGAAACCTTGAAGCTCTTCGTAATTTTTATAAGTTCAGTGAATCATCATCATCATTATATAGGAGGGCACGTTGTTATACACTTCGTCTTATAGGAAGTTTTTGAGTTATGATTCTCCGTGAAAAGATAGTGGTCGATGCGCGAGAGCAGAGCGTAAATATATATTGTGATATTGGAAAAAATCACAAAAACTGCAGTTCCATCCCGACAAGTCTTTAGATTTAATGAAATCCCCTAAAGAGTGAGCAATCACAAAACAGGCTTGTCGGGATGAAACTGTAGTATATATATAGAAAGGTACAATATATGCCTACATTGTACCTTTCTTCTCATGTTGGAGAAACAACGAAAATCATACGGAAAACGGCTTTTACGTAACTATTCAGTAGCGTTTCAAGTAACATATGCATGTACCTAACCATATGTTTTACTTAGATTGCGATCGAGACGATCTCCAACATGCAAACTGTTGCGTCACTTGGAAGAGAAGAGTTGTTTTATGAAAGATATGTAAAAGTCGCCGAACGACACTATTAGTAAGTGGTTATCATTCTTCAGAAAAGTTTTGTGCGACTATTTTACTTCTTATATAACTACAGCAAAGTTAGTCCTCGCCTGACCTCAAACAGCTTTAAAAAATAAACACAATGAAATGCGTGCGCTTATTGGTCAAGAGCAGTGTTTGCATTAGCCTGTGCAAAACACATCCGAGCTCAACCAATCAAATCAATCATAAGAATCAATCAGTCAAAGAGAATTTGCAAATCGATCACGAAACCATTTTAGAGGAAAAATTAAAACATTTACTTTAAATTTGTCTGCATCGCATTATTGTTATTTTATAAAAGAAATAAAAGATGTTAACTGTGTTTGCACTGGCTTATGCAGGCCTCGGAGACGTTTGTAAGAACTCTCGAGCAGGTGCAACCCTCGACCTTCTGTCTTGGGAAGCACACTTTGATACAGTTGCTCTTGAGTTTGACCTAAAATGGTCCATCTCTACGGTGTTCATAATGCTGCTATTATAATAACATAGTCTTTTCGAGTTGTTTAAGTAGAGCGAAGTTAATGTCAATCACATTTTTAATTTTTGAAGAAGAATTATCTGTCATATCTATATACGTATGGTTAAGATCGTTTACTGGATATACTCTTTCCGGGTCAGTCAAGGTCATCAACCAGAGCACTTTTATCTCAGGCCAACCACGGAGAATGGCCTACTACGCCTGCAATTCAATGACGATCAAATTAAAATTTTTTAGAGCAGCTGTGTCTATTTGTTTTTCTACGATCCGTAATTGAAAACACCAGTTCTTGGGTCAAATTACAATGACCTTTGATCTACAAAAGTACATTTGAAGATGGTCGATTTAAAAATTAATTCTAGTTATTTGAGTGTTCCGTGAATGCACCGACGTATTAGACAATGTGAACGCTGTGATGGCAAAATTTCTATTGTTTGTCGTCTTAGCAGCATTTAGAGACACATAACAATAATAAGACATTAATTAGCAAGATTTACGATCACTATTAATTATCTGAGGAGTTGAATGTGAGTATTGTGTTAGTATACGGGTGTAGATAAAAAGCGGACGCGGACGGCGGACGCAAAACGCGCAAATAAAATGCTTTTAGTCCGTTCGTAAAATACTTTTATGAAACCTCATTGTACTTTTTTCGTGTTTTATCAATGGCATTTCACTCATGATGGCCTTACGTGGGTGAGCCTTTTCATATTTACTGCACTGATAATGATTTCCGTCAACTTGTCATTTGGCAAAGCAGTACGTCTGTTTGTACGAGCTTTATCTTTCAGGATATATTTTGTGACCTCATTTTTTAAAGCAACTAAACATGCATATTTCAATTTTCAGTCAGTCATATAGAGTGTAACGCAATGAAACCTCATTGTATTTTTTTCGTGTTTTTTCGGCATAATTTCTAGACAAGAGAATCGATTTTGGTGTTGTCGTATAGTTTAGTTATTAACAAAAATTATTTATTATTCTGCTGATCTCTTTTTTTTAAGTTTGACTTAAATGCAGTGCGAACGAAAAGTTGATAGAAAAGTTTTGGGTTCATTGCCTATTCATTTCTGCATAATTAAGTCTTTCAAAATTTAGCTGTAAATATCATCGTACAATCATTAAAAACAGAGCTGCACGAAACTGTTTCCACTGTTTGCCTATACCTATGTCTCTTAAAAGCATCATTTAGTTTCGTTTTTATTTTAGCTTTTTCAATGTTTATTTTTCGACGTAGAATAAGAGTATTTTACGAACGGACTAAAAGCATTTTATTTGCGCGTTTTGCGTCCGCCGTCCGCGTCCGCTTTTTATCTACACCCGTTAGTATACAGTCAGTAACCAAAACCCTAAAAACTAATCATCCTTTAATGATAATGTAGAGTTCTAATGTCAATCATAATGGGATCCTTGATGATTGGTCAACTTGCTGCATTGAGTCCAGATTTCAATAAAGGAAGGATTGGTGCTGCCCATCTCTTCAAATTGTTCGCTAGAGTGCCAAAAATTGACAGTGCATCTGATAAGGGTATCAAACCGGTAAGCTGGCAACATATTCTCCTTTTTTTTGTTATTTTATAATCGAATTTTACTTGAGGAAGTGCGGGATTGGTTGGACATTTTGGGTTTCTTATCGCTGCATATAATTATCTTTGTTCTCAGTTTTTGATTCTTAGTTTATATGGAGTCATCAATGTTTATATATGTAGTACAATAATTTCAATGATTCACACAGATAACAACATGATCATAGGAATTCAATGGAACTGCGCTAGGGCCCCAGAACAAACAGATCGAACTAATTTTTGAAAGCTAAAAAAGTTAAACTCGACTACTTTCCTAAATTTTAGAATGGTGTTGAAGGAAACATACAATTCCGAAAAGTAAAGTTTCGGTATCCAGCACGAAGAAATGTAAAAGTTCTACGTGGTTTGAACTTTAGTGTAAAATCCGGAGAAACTTTGGCTTTAGTTGGAAGTAGTGGATGTGGAAAGAGTACTTCTGTTTCGCTCATTGAAAGATTCTACAATCCTGAATCCGGTTTGGTTGTGAGTATTCAAATTGTTTCCCTAATGATAATTTATCTTTGGAGTTTCTTTTTGTGTGAGCATTCTAGTTTTGTGGTTACAAACTTAAATATTGCTCTGAATAACGTATTCGTCATGGTGAACGACGATTGAAAGGTTCTTGGTTTTCAACAGTTCTTATAATACAGCCAAAGTAAATATGTTATAAATGAGAAATATTCTAGGCATGAATTTTGACTTCAAGCCTCAAGGGGTATTGAAACAATGATCTCCTTATACGTAGCAACACACGTGACCGTTATAAACACAATTGCACATGTGATCTTAACCAATGAAATGATTGTAGACTTTGGACGACAATGACATTAATGCCCTGAATATAAAATGGCTTCGCAACCAGATTGGAATTGTTTCCCAAGAACCAATTTTATTTGATTTGACAATCCGTGAAAATATCGCGTATGGTGACAACACAAGAGAAGTTAGTATTGAAGAGATTCAAACAGCTGCCAAGAATGCAAACATCCATGATTTCATAACATCTTTAACAAACGTAAGTGATAGAAAACTGAGCGGTCTTCCATGCAATTAGAACGTGACCTTTCAGTTCTCGTGTCCCCTTGGTGTATAAAGTTGAACTAAGAACATTTTCACTTCATCAAGGGCGAGGGAAAATTCCAAATGAATTTAAAACCGTATACCACGAGGTTGTCATTTGTCAAATCCTGTTAAAATAAATGCTACATCCTCACATACCGCTCCCACCTCCCCCACCCAAACTCAGTCAACTCCACCTCATCTCACAACACCCCACCTCATCTCACAACACCCCACCCCACCCTCTCTTTGCAAATTAGAATGATAAAACAAGCATTTCAAAAATATTTTACGAAGGGTTATGAAACAAAAGTTGGTGACAAAGGAACGTTGATTTCTGGAGGTCAGAAACAGAGAATTGCGATTGCTCGAGCTCTGGTTCGTAATCCAAAGATACTTCTCCTTGACGAAGCAACATCTGCACTGGATACGGAAAGTGAAAAGGTACCATGACGAAGCCATGTCAGCTTTTGAGTACGGAACGGAAATATCATCGATACGTTTTCATTTTAAGCGTTTAAGGATGTGTCGATTAAGTAAAATGTTTTAGTCATGAATTAATAAAGAGTTGCATGACTAGCTTAGCTATGCACCAGAACCTTATTTGCTTTATTTTTGAATCTAGATTGTTCAGGATGCGCTTGACAAAGCTCGCGAAGGTCGAACAACATTAGTGATTGCTCATCGTCTCTCCACCATTCAAAATGCCGACTGTATTGTTGTTTTGAGAAAGGGAAGAGTCATTGAACAAGGCACTCATCAACAGCTTATCAACAAGAAAGGAGCGTATTACGTTCTTCAAAAAGCTCAAGCTCTTGGTTCTGAGTTTTGATTTATTACTTGGTTACTCTGGATTAGTAAACTAACTCTTTACTGTTGCAGGTCTCCCTATTTACTATTGTTAGGTCTCCCCCAACAGAAGCATGATGAATAATTACTAAAACAACATTTAACACAAAATGTACGACAAACAGACCTATTCCTCATCAGATTTTCTTATATCATATTAACAACCAAACTTTAAACATTCGAAGTAAAGTTAATCATGCAATTTACGTACACCTGCCATTGAAAGGTATATAAAAGATAAAAAGTAAATACTTCATAAACATTGTTGATGAAAATCATAGTACTATTCTTCCCCTGAAAACATGATATCGTTGGCGTTGGTGTTATCATCTATACAACGACAGAAATACACGTGATCATGCTCATCCAACTTTCTCGACGGAGGCATTTTTTGATTGTCAAATTTAATATAAACAAAAGGTTGAAACGGATTTTTTTCGTTTTTGATGCATTCGGCTCATGAAGAGTTCGACTTTTGAAAAACGAGCATGTGAGATACTGAATTAATCTAGCAATCTTGAAAACATTTTTAGTTTGTCGATTGATGTTGTACCCTATGATTTCTATTCAAACCAGCGGCGTAAAGGTTTTGCTATTAGATGATCGTAAACTGGGGCGCACTCACTGTTAGGAGTAATCTGAAAAAATACTGTATACTTACGACAGTTCACCAGCCAGGCTTTCTTCTTTGATCCTTCTATCATCTGATTGAAACGATCCACGCACCAGCAATAATTCTCGTGGCATTGTCGCGGTCTATAGTAGCCATCTTCATCGCATTTTGGGGTGTACTTCCCAAACATTTGTCCGGTTTTAGCGAGGGTCTTCTTTTCCTCGATGCATGGTGGTTCTTTAAAACATACGTACGTCGAAATTAAATGTATTTGATGATTGAAAGAGCACTCATTCCGAACTGCTAAGTCGTGTATATTTAACTGTATCTATGATGCAATCCCTTCCAAATTATATGATCTGATGTCTCTCTTTACACTATTCTAAAATATATTCACTCATGCGACCCTACTGAACTGTATTCTCGGATTTGACTTTCTTAACAGTATATACTGATGCAAATCTTCTTAACACTGTCGTCTGGTATGACCCTTTTAAACAGTATCCTCTGGTAGCACCCTTCTGAAATGCATCCCTTTGTGGATCAATCTTAAATTGCATTTCGTGTTACAAGACCTCTCTTGTTATGAAAACAAGCATAGGATATAGGAAAGAAAGATCTCAGTACTTTATATAACCATCCCTTAATATACGCTGATCACGTTTTTGACACAAATTATAAAATACTAACCAACATGCATAAAGCAAGCGCAAACTTCATTTAAACTCAAGTTGTTGTCATCATTGAGATCACATTTATCAAAGAACTTCCGCATACAATGCTCATTAGGATTAGAAATGATTTCAGCTTGTTCATCTTCATCGAGAAGACCGTTCTGGTTTATGTCGAAGTCTCGGAAAAACCATGTCAGCGCCGGCGAACTGCATCCTGAAATACCAAAGAGCAAATTCTAATACCTTAATTGAATAGTGTATGTGGTATGCTGCTTCAAAGACTAGATAGGGCCATGCTACAACGCATATCTCTCATTGAAGTAATCATTGTTTGTTTCAATATAGGAAGTTGACATGATAATATTTTATAGTGAGAAAGCGAAGTATCGAATAGTTATGAATAATTATTTACAGTTGAATAAGGTGTTAAAAAAACACAATAGTTGACCTGTAAATAGCAATTATTGCTTTATGAGATATTGTTCATTTTATTAGTAGTTTTTTTCTTTGATAACACGTAACACAAACATTTTATAACACCTTATTCAACTTTATTTAATTTTTCGTAACTGTTCGATACTCCGCTTTATCACTATAACATTGTTTGTTTGTAGCCATGAAGGCTGTACTGTAACTCAACCTCAATAAATTACTCTCACCGTGAGCCCTAAAGTCTTCTGTTTGTATTTTTCCATTTTTTCTAAAATCTTCAGATTTCAAAATGTGAAACCAGTCCATGAGTCTTTGTGGTAGCATGCCAATGTCATCTTTATAACAACCCTCTGAAAATTGAAAAATGGAATATGTCACAAAAACCTTTTTCACAATAACATGACAACTGAATCTTTTTGCCCCGATTTTTGGCGCTATAACTGTAACGAAAAAATGACGATGATGTTTTTTTATAAGTTTCTTTTTTTCCTGGGCGTTCAACTGGCAAATACGTTTTAGTTTTTACCAGAGTATATTTCTCTTTATTTAGTTTTTACCAGAGTATATTTCTCTTTATTAAAACTGGATTCTTGTTATTTATTAATGCCATACTATTGTCTGTCTGAAATAGCTACTTTGTACATTGTCGTGAAGTGCACGTCCTCCATTTTGGCTTTGCATGTGCAACCCATAAAGACAATGCCTAGTGATCATAATTCATAATTATGCTTCCCAATCTACATCTTCCTCTCTACTAGCCATGCCTGACAACTTTAATACATACTTCTATTTTTCCACGATTGCCGGCTAGTCGTTTTCGTCTCAGCGAGCATTGCTTTTTGAACCCATTTTCTCAGATGTGAATAGCGGCTCCTCAAAGGCGAAACCTACATTAACACAATGATCATTAAGAAAAATTTGATTTTGCAGCTCGACTCTTCATAGTGCTCTTTGATAAATTGGATGGTTTTTAGCACGGGAGTAGCGTTAAAATGTTTGTATGGATGTTGATCGTTCAGATGAGAGCATTCTTGCTAAATTGGGTTAAAACGATGGGGCCAATGCCTGAAATCTATGGAATTTTTTTCGACATGTCGCTCAGGTAATCAAGCTAATGACGTAGACAATTAATATTAGATATAAAAGAATTCGTCTCATTTTTTTTTATCTACAATGCATTTGGCGCACGTACAGTGTGATGGCCCCGATCTTTCATTAATTACATGATTTGGCTTGAAGACTATAACGCCTCGTCGTCAAACAGGAAATCATCAAATTATTCAATAGCAGGTCATGCACTCAAAATAACTGGCAAATTATAGACGCAATCAGCACCGATATTAAATTCCTTTATCCCGTTAGTAAAATTAACGTCGCCACCCTCTGGAATTGGGAAGCGATGTCCAACTATTGTTGTCGACAAACTCTTGCATCGTCGTGGAAAATATGACTATATGTTTTTGCCATTATAAAAAGAAATGTATCATCAACACAAATGGATCGAAACGAGCCCGTCGAAATTCGTTTCATTCGTCATTTCGTGTCATCAAGTTAGACAGAACAACGAACAAACAGTGACTAACAGCACAAGCTCGTTAGTGCGATACTACACAATACATGTACATCTTTATATAGTACACGGAAAAGTAACTGCCCTTACAAATAGGAAATTTTCTAGAACCTACGTAACGACAACACTGGACTTATCTACATTAACAGATTTTGTTAAACTGGCACCCCAGAGCGAAGGTGTCAAACTGATGTATTACCAAAATGACTCTGAGCAATGCGTGTGACTCGAAATGAATTCAAGCCTTCTGAAGACGGTGCGTCGAGTTTTACCTTGTGATGTCAAAATATTTGATGAAAAAGATACACCCCATTTATCTTTGAAAGAAATATCATGATTTTCGTGCACATTATACAATACGCAATAACGTGAAGGAAAACACATCAGACAAAAATTCAAAGAGCGCATTCACATTTGTAGTTTTATCTCCCTAGATAAGCTCTTGGCTGTGACTTGGCAAAGTATCAAAAAGATTTCTTAGCCTTGCGTGTCTAGAATCATATGCAACTTCAAAGAGTTTGATTCCTACGAATCTAGCCAGTACTTTTAGCCAAACGTTAAAACCTTTCTCAAATTTTTTGTTCATCGAAAGATGCATGAATCTTTATGTTCTAGTTGGAGCCTGTTGCTTTTATCTTTATCAGACCATTTGGAAGCTGCCCCCTTCTTAAAACCTTAAGCTCTATTACATTATGTGTCACTAGAGTAATTCTCAAATGGTCTGAACAACGAAGAGCGCACAACAGGAATAAATAACGCTTAACGACACAAAACTAAGCGCATATTATGTTAAATGACAACGAACCTTAACTTGCGCGCGTCACTATAAAACCTGCTAAGTTGGTTACATCTGGTTACAAAATCAAATTGAAACGTGGCAAATTTACTACATTCAACATACCTTGTCTTGCGCACTTGCTATTGTGAATAAAGACAACGCAAGGACCGCGAACGACAATCTCATCTAAAAATTTCACGAATAACAGTTGAATGTTGTGTATAATCACTTTGTAATACATAGTTCGACATCATTTTGCACTCAACCTTTATGGTATGGCTGCGCAGTCCAGAACAAACAAGTTGAAAGACAAAAAGTGAGACGGACAATTGATATTTATCCGGTCTTGTTTTGGTGCCGAATCAATTTGCTGATTGCTGAAGGTTAATGGGTTATACACTCAGTTCCAGGGAATCCTGATTTTTACATACTCTCGAGACTTGTTCTTAGTTCTCTATTAGCGCAATTTTTCCATGACGTCACAACATGGTAACCATTGGCACAAATGTGGCGCAAACTAGGAACTTGGTCGACCATTGAGACTGGGCCCGACTAGATTAGACATACCGGAAACATGACCGGAAATGATTGTCTTAATCAAAAATTTGCAGAAATGAAAATGGCTGCCGCTAGAGAGAAGAACTCCGAGGCTTAATATCCCAGATCCTGTACCCGGCTGACACAACAAAAACCGATGCGAAATTTTACTACAAGTTGATTCATGTTGGTCGAGGAAGAAACACGATCGTCTTCTTAGATTTACTGCTAAAAAATAATGCATGTGCTTCTCTTATTGGATTGTAAATTCTCAATTCTCCCAACCTAACCTTGCGTGTAAAGCTTCCCAAGATAAGACTAAACAAATCGAAATATTTATACTTCAACATTGAGTCAGAGCTGAACCTCACGGCTTACTCGGAGTGTATACGTCTTTCATTGCAAACGCTTGATCAAAAAACCTGTTTACCTGTTTATCATCAGGAAGTCGAGGTTTGGCCCGTGCATTTCATCATGTGTCGAAATTGCCTTTTGCCACAGTGGAGTGAACCCATCGAAGTTGATGTAGCATCTTTGCCAACGTATTTTTCAAAAGAGCAGAGCTGGAATTTCGAGCGTTTAAACTTTGGAAATGGCACTATAATCGACACGGTCGATGGTAAGGGCGCACGACCGTCGATAACTGGTCGTGTCGGTTGTCGACTTCGTGATGGCTTTCTGTTAAAACCAAACCCGCATTTTCCTGGAGGAAGGTATCTCCTCGTTAGCGAGGTGCTTTATTGTCCTGGCCGACGTTATGGTTGTACACCTCGCAGTAATTGTACTGGAAAACGACGTTTTTGTCATGCTTTATGCAAACTTTCGATTTTCGCTGATAAACCAAGTACTGCGTTTATCTACTATTCTGGTTCACATGGCACCGGTGATGTTTCCTCTTCAGAAAAACATAGACCAAACAAGCAAATGTTGGATGAGCTACGAAGGCTTAGAGTGGAACAGTCGATAACTCCTTCACAAGGTTATGAGTGGTGCAAGGCCTATTTTGCTCAACATAACTTAGATGAAAAGACCATGCCAACAAAGCAACAAATCAAAAGTGTTTTTAAGGTATTAATCTTTCTGTCGTTTGAGGATATATTTCCCCTCAACTAATGTCAGCATGATAGCAATCATCAGGGTGGGTGTCCCAGGAAATCCTTACCCCGGGCCATATTAGCTACCTCTCCTCTTCATAAATTTGGCCATCTTATAAACTTTAACTCGTATCTTTATAATGGTGAAACTCTTTTTCAAAACCTAGATTTCTGGTGATCGAGGGTATTACAAGTTGTTTAGCTGTATAAATTTTGTCAAATGTTATTCAAACCAGTCAGAATTGCTATGACTCTTTAGCAATGACATCATGCATTGGTAAACCTGTTAATATTCACACATTTAATAAACAATAGGTAGTAATAAAACTAATGACTCAGGAAGCATTTGGCTAATTCAAAAGTGCAAAGGTCACCAGATTAGCTTATTGCAGAGCCCATGCCATTTTTCCAGCGCAAGGCCTCCCTAAAAGAAATCTCAAAATTAAGTGGCATTTTTTGTAATTTTCATTTGGAGATGTTAAAAAATGTCTCCATAATTTCATTTAAATATTACAATGCTGACATGGCATCAACTTCTGTAGAGAGCTGGTGCCGGATAGAATATAAGTCCACAATTAAATTTGCCAATTTCATGTTAAGATAATATGCAGGGTGGGGTCAGTATATACCATAGTAACTAGTGTTTATGATTGGTTCAAATAAAACACATTGAAAAGTGCTTTTGAAATGACAAATTTTAAAGGTGAATACCTACACTTAATGTTCATTGCTATTTTATGATTCATCTAATTGTGAAGGTCATTTATTTTATGTACATACTTATACTGTCTATGTGTGATATTCAACAAAGAGAGATTTGACACAATTTTTTATGTTATATGTTACCTGTATTTACATACCCTCAGTATGTTTATATTTATATATTAATATGTTATTCATGTTTTAAAGCGTGCATCACTAAAACAGTCCAAATTACGAGAGTCTCTAAAAGTAAAGGAAGAAACAAGCTCTTCTGGCATTCAATCTGCCTCACAGGAATCTGGCAATAGTTTGGCAACCTCCCTTTTTAAATTTTCCCAAATGCCTTTGACAGAAAATGGTGAAAATGAGATGACATCAGAGAGTGCTAGCAACACATCCTACATCAGTGTCTCCCAAGATGGAACTACAATCAATGTCTCATCTTCTTTTACCCCAGGTATCGTAGGAAACTGATTACTTACAATGCTTCAACCATATTCACGTTTCACAATTAGTTGATCATTTTCCTCTACATATGTACATAGGTGGTACTCCTGTATCAATCGGTGCACTTTCAAAAATTTTTGGTTCATCTCTGTTCACTACTGCAGTTTCTCTACCAAATCAAGCGGCTGCAGTTTCTACTGATCAAACTGCATTGCAAAGTTTGGCTGAGAATAATCATAATAAAGTTGTTGGATTGGTGACAAGTCCAAGGACACTGGTAATTTCACTTACATTTTACATATTTGACGTCATTCAAACTATTTCCATGAAACAAAGTGCAAATTCAACATCTTTTAGGATGGCGAAAAGGACACGGATAAGCTTAAAGAACACATTCGCATTTTGCAAGATGAGAATTTCACGAGAATTGCGCAAATTGCCGAACTGCAAGTTGAGTTAAATAATTTAAAGGCAAGTTCTTAGTCACATGTTCAATTTTCGTGCGACAAAACTTCAATGGTTATTTTTTCTTACATGTGGCTGTTCATATCTGATAACGTAGGTGCAGATTATGGAACTAAAAGAGGACAATTTGAAGAAAGCCATTCATATCGCTCAGTTAGAGCGTGACAGGAGATCGGGACAGGTTTGATAGTACAACTCCCTTCTTAATATTTTAATATTGGATTGGCAAAACGAAGTTATCGTGCCTTTGTTCATTAGGTCTTAGATGTGGAAGGGCAAGGTTTGGAGAGTTCCCAAAATATGGAGCAAGAAAACTTAGTAACCAATGGTGAGGAGACTGTGGTTATTGAGGAATCACAAGGATCAACTGTGGATGTTGCGGATAATGATAATGAAAATGTAGAAACGTCCGTTTATCAACAAGAGGTATGCAATACTCGAATGACGGTTGCTGAACCTGATCTTACAGGAAGTCACGATTCAAGCGAAGCAATACCACAGCCAATACAGAATGCGGTTGTTGATGTCAACCCTCCAGCTATTGTGGCTTCACAAGAGGTTCAATTATAGTAGTGTTTGTTTTATACATTTGATGAAAGTTTTCCAAAAGCACTCAGAAGTCACATGACGATGGTCGTACTGGAATGGTCGTGTCACAATCATGTCCATTGGATGGAATGATATTAATTCAAACCACAAAACTACGTAAAAAGTACAAACTAGTTGAAAAAAGTTTCTGGAAGAAGGAAAACTGTGTTGAAAGCAAATATTCGTTGGAAGAAAGAAGACTTACCCATTACAAGAAAAGAAGTCGTTTTTTATTGGGAAATCTCTGAAAAATACAGCGTTGTTTTTTAAATAGAAAAAATAAATAAAATAATTAAGGTTTGTATGTACAAACAATTTATATTCATTATCTCTTGGGAGGTATTAACTATAAATTTCTTCAGACAATATTTTCTGAAATGATTACATTGTACATGCAATGATTAATACCTAGGTGACCTTTCTTCTTTTCGTAATATTTACTGTCAAACTTAAGGATTAACCAAAAGATTAATTTTGCAGCATATTCGATTCGTAATTCAAAATGTTCAATTCCGAAATAATTTTTACAATTTTTACAATTTTTGAAGAGGTTTAAGCGAAGGTTCTTGTACGCACGATGGTGATATGGCGAATCTTGTATCATAACGTACAATTGCTCGTTAGGTTTGGGAAATCGTCCGGCTTTAAATTTGAAAATCTTCCAGTATTACTTCATCAACTTGATGACAAGAAGAAATGACCGATTGAGCCAAGTTCCTCCAATCTACTGGATCTTGAAAAATGCCAATAATTAACATAAAATATTATTTTCGGGACCTTTCATCACAGCGTTTTCATTAATTACTTTTATCGAAGAAATTTACGTTGGAAAGTCAATAAGTGTGTATGTGCGTGTGTGTGGGGGGAGGGAGTGCGCATATTATAAATTATGAGTGATAATAATTAGGCAGTAGTTTTATTTTTTCTGCATATTCCATGCATTGAATACATTCGAAAAATCAACGAATAAACATGGCAATTTCTCAGTTTTACGTAACACGAGAATCTGAAACAAAGTAAATGATGCTGCTTTAGAATTGCTTACTGTAATGGTAAATCAGGTAATGTTTTAATAATAAATTAGGCTGATGAACAAAAATTGCAAAAGTTTCCTACGCGATTCTATGGTCCATGTCTACTGGGCTGCATTGTCGATATGTATCTTTTAAAGTCAAAAATAGACCTGTAGTAAACATTCTCATTCATACTAATTTCTCTATTTCAATGTAAAATTAGAGAGCATTGTCCTAAAAACAATTGAGGGGGTCTACCATCATAGACCTCTGTCCCTACCCAGCTCCCAACACCCCGACATGTTCATATATGTACTACTTAATACGCATATATTATCATTGTTCAAATACCTTTAAATCTTGCCCAATCACTGAGAATTTTGCCTTTCAACTTACTATAAAACTGAATTAAGAATAACTTTTTTAGAAGGGAAAGACTTCATGATATTAGATATTTGAATTTCAGCATACTATACAGTTGTGGCTACCTTCCAATTTTGCGACAAAACAAGGGAAATTCTGTTTTTGTTCAATACGACGAAATTATCGGCACATTTTGATATTTCTTCCACGTTTTTCAAGAAGAACTGAACTAACTAGAAAAGAAAACATGAAGACTTACACAAATGGTGGCTTATCATCCGTGTTCAGCTTCATGAGCTCGTTACATAAATGATATTATCACGGCTCAGGAGCGCAGCACATCCTTCAGAAAATCCCGGGGGGGGGGGTTCTACGTTCTAAGACATACTTTTGTAGCGTCTGTATTTGAGAGAAAAGCCCACAACTTTAACTGGACCTCACATTCGTCCTCTATTTGTTACTAGACCGATATTTCATACACATATCACAAAAGCTGGCCTATCACCCCCTACACCAACCCGCCTCCTATTGTCCATCCCAGTCCCTGCTAGCCGTACCAAAAAGCACGCATGATTAAATTATCGAACCATGAATAGTTCAGTTTATCCAGTTTTCTCTGGCAAAAGTGACGTGTTCACGGGTAGCTTAAGTAAAATCAATTATATTATATTAACATGTAATGTATATTGTGTTTTATATTGTAACAATATATGATACAATTTATCATAAGAACTTGGTTTTCAACTCATCTAGCCTTGGTAGCGAAATGTAATGAGATCACATCAGGATTACATTCACATGATCGCTAAATCTTTTTACCTTTTCTTGCAGCTCTCGGCCATCTTTGAAAAATAAGTATTCTTCTACAATGTTCAACATTTGACATACCTAAATGTGCATCAAGAATAATCAGTAAGAAATTTATAGAATATTTTCCATTTTGTCAATATTTACATGTTTAAATTCAAAAAGGAGTTTTGTCGTTCTCAATCCATCAAGCATTACTAATGAATTATTAATAGCTCGCGCTTGGGGGTGAAAAAATGAAAATTTCCACCAATGAAATGATGGTTTTTGACAAATGGGCGGGTTCTTTCTAAAGTAGTCTCACTAAAGTTTTTTGAAATTTTAAACTTTTGTCTCATCAGAATTTCGCTATGAAAATTAAATTTGCCGACAGGTTTAATTTTTTTTTGGGGGGGGGAGAGGGGATATGCCTTTGCGACAATACTAGCTTCATGTTTAATGTTAAATATATAAATAAACAACGCACCGTTGTGGCAGATACAACGTCATAAATCCTGTTGAGGCAACTTAATCTAAGTTCAGGTAGTTCATAATACGTTGCAGCACAAAGAAGCCCAGGTAATGTACTGTAGGTTATAGTACAATTATCGTTGTGAATATATTCCATCACTCCGCTGAATATGTCCGCTTCGAACTCGTTCATTACAAACTAAAAAAGAAGCTTTATTCGTTACGTGTGCACAAGAATGACATTCGTCATTTTTATTAAGACCTACCTCTCTGGTTCTTCCAATACTATCGTTAGAAATTTCGTATGTTTTCCCGCCCTTCTTGAAGGAAGTTGTCGTCACAAACTCTTCATTTTTCGGTGATGTTTGTAATGAAGATTCTATAGAAAATTTTCCCTTCTTATGACTACTCTGCTTTACGACGCGCATTTTTGCTTTCTTCATTGCAAGTCTCGTGAGGCTTTTCCCTTTAGAGTTTGCATTCACTTCTAGGTTGGTAACAACATCTCCAGGATGAGTAAAGTTTATCAACATGTCACGGAACACTCTATAGATTTATGGAGAATAGACAATATCAGAGTCACAATGCAATCAGTTTCAAGATATTCTTGGAAATATTCGTGATATTGTTTTGATATTCTAAATAGCTCGAGGACAAGCAAAGCGTACCTGCTTTTACGACACAAGACAGACCTATTTCCATACACCCGTTTCTTGTAAGTTTTACCTAAAAATTTTTTGCAAAAATTGATTAAAAAACTGGAATGGAATGGAATTCCTATTTCACGAAAACATAGCTAAAACCAAGCAAACTAAAGCGGTAATTTTATCCAGGTAGAATTAATCTTTGATGATTTATCAACGAACCTGCAAGAAAAGCTACATCACCAGCATTAATCCCATCTGCTTGTGAGCCAACGAAATACTTTAACTTTTGACTTGTTTCATCCATATTGTACAGAGAATCATCAGACACTGATCGTCCTAAACTACAACACAGCCATAAAATGTTCATCTAATCCTTCTCTAGGAGAACAAAAGTTACAATCCTACCTCATTCCTTCGCTGATTTTCTTACCTTTCTAAACTATTACTTGCAGAAGACGGCAAAGAAGACGAATGCACAATCCTAAAATTTCATCTGAAAAATGAACCTCACTTGTCTTCAGGAGTTTTTCTTTTCAATCATGGAGTAGTCCCTACCTTTCATCGTTCATCATCTCATTGTCCAAAATTGATTGCATAATCTGAGATCGCGTTCTTTCCTTCGCACAAAATATCAAAATAACTGTTATTTAACATAAGTTAGCGAATACATTAAATTTCCTACACAGTTACAAACTAAGAGAGGATACATACATACACATGTATACCTTGGGATATTAGTAGATGCAATTACCTGTACGGTGGCGAACTTTGGTGCATTATAGCAGGCTCTGTCACCGTTGATGATTTTTTGCAAAAGCCAATCACGAAATTCTTTACCCTAAAATAAGTGATAAACAAAATAAGTTTACCGTCAATGCTGTGCATACAAATTTAAGTGAAAATAACAGTAGCAAAGTAGTATTCACATGTTCGAATTCTCCCCCATCGATTAACTCTGGTCCAAACCATGGAACCTCTTGTCGACAAATAACCGAAACCTAAATATTTAAATACATCAAATACACGTAGATGTCAAATGCATCACCTCCTTACTAGTTTCGTTTCAATCTTCTTTACTTTAATCTCCTTCACTTCAATCTCCTTCACTTCAATCTCCTTCACTTCAATCTCTTTCACTTCAATCTTCTTCACTTCAATGTCCTTCACCTCATTCGCTTTCACTTCAATGTCCTTCACTTCAATGTCCTTCACTTCAATCGCTTTCACTTCAATCTCCTTCACTTCAATCTTCTTCACTTCAATCTCCTTCACTTCAATCTTCTTCACTTCAATCTCCTTCACTTCAATCTCTTTCACTTCAATCTCCTTCACTTCAATCTCCTTCACTTCATTCTCCTTCACTTCAATCTCATTCACTTCAATCTCCTTCACTTCACTCACTTTCACTTCAATCTCATTCACGTCAGTCTAGCTCCTTCACTCATAATTGAAGAAGTTAATGATAAACAATACAATAGTGACCTATTTACTTGGTGGAGTTAAATGATCAGTCACAAAACGTTTCCTTGTCGTTATTTTTACCACTAAAACACTGAAACAATTAAATTGTGTACATGCTCATTTACTTACGACGGTTATGGTAAGCAAAACTCGCTTTTAGAGTGTTTAAGCATGAAAGTGAAGATATTTACCTTGAATTTCAATCGAAATTCTTTGTTTCGTTCTTTGCCTGGACTTGCAGGCTGAACTTGGACGATTATGTAGGAATAAATGAATTGGGACTTTATCCACAATGGTGAAAACGATGTTTCTGGTGTATCAGAGAAAACCACACAAAGAACGTCGTTTCCAATATGCCTTTTCTTTCCAAGCTAAATTTCAAAACAAAAACAGAGATTGAGTGTCGAGAATTTTGCCTCCAAACTAGTAGTCCTTGATCAACCGACAATAATGTTTACAAAGATATGGTAAGAATAATTATACAGTAATGCATAATTAGACTCCCTCTCGCTTACATATGTCCTACAACTGACGCTTTCTTCACTCTCTCTCAACTATCACTCACTTTTCTTGACGTCATTTACTGATACTTCGTGCATGCTACTAATTAACGATGAACGATGCCCCTATCAGCTTCCGACACGAGAGTCTATAGTTAAAATACTATATTTTCCTAGATAAAACATATACCTCGATATATAAAATAGAATTGGTACAAATCACATTAGAAAAAACACATTTTGACAGTTTTAAAAATCGCATCTTACTAAAAAATTGATTAGGTCTGCAACAACTGGTATTTCCTCTATCACCCCCCCCCCCGCCTTATTTTAGATCTCTCCCTCCTTCTAATAGTCGCTCATTTGAAAGGTGAAGCAAAAAATAATTTTAGATCCCCCCTTAGAAGAAATACGGTGTCTGCATACAGATATGTCATTTCTACGATGTGTTGATCTTCTAAGAAAGAAATTGAAAATGAGACAAAACATACAAACTTATTATCTTCTCCCGTATTTGGCATTAATGTTGACACATGGAACATAATATCGTTCATTCGATATTGTGTATATATCGATTCTTCTCCATTGAGACATGTTGGAGACGTGTCGAGGCCTCCTGAATATCCTTGAAACTCGTGCAATTTCACGTGTTCGCCGAGAATGTTCAAGAAACTTTCAAAGTTCGAAGAATGGGACGTGTTCGAAAAAATCTCCTCTTCGCTTTGTTGTCCTTCCTTCACGTACAAAACGCCAATTTTAAAGTCAGATTTCACAAACACCTAAATCGGATGAGACTTTTCAATTAATTTCATTGCCAATCATGAGTACTTCTTAATAAATTCAATAGTGAAATCATGAAACAAATGATAGACATTTAAGAAGCTATCTGTTATAAAAATGTATTCTCCAAAAAGTTGAAATTTTTCTTTTATGAGACGTTTTTCTCTAACCAGAACGTTATTCTGGTTAAGAAATGAAATTTGTAGGAAAAAAGCAACAAAAAGGCACATATAAATGGCGACGCAAATAAACACCTATAACGTGATTCGGAAAAAAATTCGACGAACGAAAAGTTTTATAGCCAAATGACAGTCTCATAGTATGACAGGCAGACGATTTGGTCTCGTCATAAATCGGTGAAATGAAAGTTTACTTTGAAAATAAAATTCATAGCCGTATAATGTCGTGCCATATTTCCTATCCAAAAATAAATTAAACAATCACCGATTGAGATTATGGATGTTCGAAATATACGCATTATTTTCATTTTACCCGTTCTAGTTTCACCAGCGCTTGGCCATTTGTATGATGGCTGATCACCTGAAGTGGAGTACTTAGTTTCATAAGATGTGTCAGACTTTCGATCCAACTGAACGGATCAGAGTAATGTTCATAAACACCGAGCAGAGATGGCAAGGTTACTACATGAAGACTGACCAATGAACTTCTTGCTAAGATTCTAATTGGAAAAATGACAGTCAAACCATAAATGAATGAAAACAACAGCCTGGCTCGTCAAAATTCATTCTCATTTGCATGAACTAGTTTTAAGGTGGGTTATTTCGAAAGCCATCACATGCTGAGTAAATTTGATGGTCATTTTCGAAATGTGTTTGCGTGCTTTTGCCCGTTCTCGAACGTATGTTGTTTTTCTTGAAAAATCAGGAAGTTACGTGTTATTAAAACAAATATTAAATTTCTCAGAGTTAAGTCATGAAATTGAAGTATGTATTAGAGCTTTGTACATGTTGGTATCCAAATAAAACGCACTCGTTTAACACAAGTGTTTTTTGCGAGTGGAGTTTTGCCAAAATGTCAAATTTCTATCAGTGGCGTCCTACAAAAAGGACCTGCCTTCAATTGCGAAGATTGGGTCTCGCTGACTTGTATCAATAAAGTTTTAAATGATGTAACATTTGGAATAGCTGCAAAATAATGGAGAATCGTCAATGAAAGTCAAATATTGTATTGATCACATGCATAATTGGTGCACCAGCTGAGCTAGTCAAACACATTCATAAATAAACAGGTTTTGCCATTTCAATGTCGAAAATTGTGGAGTGAATTTCGATACAAACCCCGTCTTGGACCGTTTATTGTACGTAAAAAGACGTTCTTTTTCTTCGGGGAAGATTGATTCTTATCTCAATTACTTTTAAAATGGCTTATTATCGCTAATTTTGTTAGGGAGTTGGCAAAGCCCATATTAGGTAATGATACACAATTATCAGTATGCATGACAAAGCACATATGGAAATCCATACTATTCAATTTTCTTCATCTGCCCAATCACAAAAACATACGTTAGAGCACTTAACATCAAAATATCTTGATGACAGACTTTGGCAACAATGTATCACTTGCCCCATAAGCCAGCAATATTTATGTACCCACTGCTTATGTACGCCGGTCACCTCCGTCAATGAAAGATATTAATAACCAATCTGGTGGCCAGTTCAAAATATTACAACTTGGTAAATTTAATAGTAATTATAGTTACGACAATGCAATAATAAATTAAGGCCATACCTGATGTACTCTTCTCCATGAAATATTTCCACCTTAAGACTCAAAATTATTAATCCAATAACATCATCGATGCTGTAATAGTTGGTGTGCTTGCTTCCATAGAAAAATCCCTCGTAAACTGGAATGTCCTCGTTAGTCGCATCAAAAAAGTTTTCATATGGAGATCCGTTTTTCCATTGTTTCTTATTCGCCGCGCACAAATGACACCAAGAAACTTCCGATGCAAGCGAGTTTGTTTTGTTTTTCGCTAAAATGCAATTGCTTTCTTTAAAATTTTTCAGTTCGTGTATACCTAGTTTAAATTTAGCTTCGTTCAGCGCATCAGATTGATCTGGCTTCTCATTCAATCTATTCATCTCGGGCGATGAATCTGACCTATAAAAAGTTTGAATCGTATTCGGATTCCGTATACGATTATCACGATAAACTCTTAGACTCGAGTCAAGAGTAACATGATATCCAGTATCTGTCAGCGACTGACTACTTTTTGACATCCAACCCTTAACTGTCTTAATTTGCTTGGAGATACTCATACCCACACAAATTCCCCAAAAATTCCAGGACTCTACAAGTCTTGACGTCTTCTCTGCGATTTCGTACTTATTGTTTCACATAAACAATCATACTTAATGCCATGTAATGTTGACAGCAGCGGTTTGCGAGAGCGGCGAGCCTGAATGAATGGAAAATGAATTCAAAGGTGTCTGTTAGTCATACCGTAAAAGATTGTTTTCATTGAAGTAACGCCTGCTCAGAAATATGTTTCTCTTAACATAAAATTTTCATCATAAGAGTATTATGATTTTCATCAATACATCGCAGCTGGCTTCAAGTAAGTAACAGACGTCGATATTAACAGATCATATTGACCTATTCTTTGTGACCTCGAAGTGACGGTCTTCAAAGTAATTCGCCAACCTTTCATTAAACTCGAGCCTCTTTTCCTGTTTTGATACAAATTCACCTGAAAAGAGGGTGAGTGTTTCATTAACTCATCTGCATTTTTATTGTTTGGCTACGCTTTGGAAAACTTTAAATAATACCGAGAAAACTTGCCTTTGTAAGAGCTGCGTTACTAGGTACCAGTTTCAATTTCGAGCTCACGGTTGTCAAAATGGCGTCGGAAGGGAATCATTTTCAGTTTTGTACTGTTTGTCGTAGAAATCATAACCAAGGAAGAAAACACGTGTATGGAAAGAAGCATTGCCATAACACAAATGCGATATTAATCAAGTATGGAAAAAAGGTAGCTGTATAATTTTTTTAAATATCTGAAATATTATCAAATTATATGTATATTTTATAAAAGTGAAATTGAAAACTCGTAACTCGTTTACTTACTAGTTATTACTATTATTTAATAGTTTATATTGCTAAATAGTAAACTTTAATCGAATAGCCACAATTTCTACTAGACCAGATGATCATTGAGAACATTTTCAGTTGTCTTGTTGGCAAATTTATGAACCTGGCTTTATATACTTTCATATTCTCCCTGAGCACATTCCCACCTCTACCTTTCTTTGCTTTCCATATTTTCTTAATTAATAATAAATACTAACTGATGCAGTCCTTTATTTGATTGAAATAATAATAAAGAATTGCAATACTAATTATTATTAGTAAATCAAAAATGTTTTTAAAGTGCCTAATGAAAACTCAAACACATCTAGGTTTTTGATCAAATTTAAGAAAAAATTAATTCTTATCAGGAAAATTGTACATGATTTTAGACACACAGCATAATTGTTTTTTAATTAGAACCTTTCTCTTTTACACTGTTTAAGAGCCTTGCCAAATATATTTACTAATGATAAATTCTTAAATGAAATAGATAATAATATGTATGTAATAAAAATAAACACATAAATTGAGCTTTTGAGGTATGTTTGCCTAACGCTAGCACCACAACTGCTCTATTGGTTATGATTCTTATAGTATGCAATCTTCAAACTGTACATTTAATGTTAGCTACAATGAGACCTTTAATGAAACCTTTAATGAGACCTTTAATGAGACCTTTGCTAACTTGACAATGAGCTTTAAATGCAGCTTGTGTGCAAATTGCACAAAACCCTAGGATTGTGCTATCCATTGGTTAGTGAATTTTTCATGCCCACTCTCAAATTTTCAAATTCTCTTCTCAATAGTAAAACTTTGTTTACTTCTAAAGGAAAATTTATATTGTTGGTTTTTAGATTCTGTTATTTAAATGATTTTTGAAATGGAGAAACATTTGCACTATATATATGTGAATAGCACTATATACGTAGGCTTTGAATTTAGAATAACTCTGTGAATTCATTTAATGCAGGAATAGCGGAGCATATGTTTTGTTGGTAGGCTATATAGACCACCAAATTTGGGGACAAGTAAGTGATCTGGGAAATTCAGACTCACTGCTCTGCCATCCATGTTTATACATATGATTTAAAACCACTAGACACCTCAGAAATGAAAGATTTTTACTGTGTTGGCACAGGTTTATGCAAACAAGAAGAGTTTTGGGAGAACTCAAGAGAAGATCAGTGCAAGCCCAAGACTGAAGGTCAAGGTTTGCACCTGCTCAAGAGCTCTCACAAATGCCTCTGAGGTTTGCATAAGCCGGTACCAACATGAAAAACATCTTTTATTTTTTTTATAAATTAACAATAATGCAAAACACATGAATCTAGAACAAATGTTTCAATTTTTTCTCTAACATGTATTCTTGATTTATTTGCAATTTGCAGATTCTCTTTGATTGGTTTAATTGATCTAGTTCAGATCATTTTTCACAGGTTAATGCAAACTCAGCTCTAGAACAATCAGCACACACGTTTTACTATTAAATTTTCTTCAATGAACGATATATGAAGATTTTTTATTTCTGACTATTCCCTTCATATTTCTTCCACAGTAATATCATTTCAAACAAAGAATTGGTTAAAGTTGGTTTTCAGATCTGTGTTGTTATGAAACTTTTACCTTTACTAGTTTTTTACTAATATATATTTATAAATATTTGTAATTGTTTTAGATTGATGAAGCAAGAAAGACAATAAATACTCCTTCCGTTATGAATGGTGAACTTGAACCGGGATCAAAATTTTGGTGCCATTTCTGTCATATGGACGTGAAGAAGCATGTCACAGATGGTGAAGTAACCATTCAGTATGGTGGTGTTTTTGAACACTTGGCTAGGTAAGAATATGTAACAGATGGTGAAGTAACCATTCAGTATGGTGGTGTTTTCAAACACTTGGTTAGGTAAGAATATGTAACAGATGGTGAAGTAACCATTCAGTATGGTGGTGTTTTCGAACACTTGGTTAGGTAAGAATATGTCACAGATGGTGAAGTAACCATTCAGTATGGTGGTGTTTTCGAACACTTGGTTAGGTAAGATCATGTAACAGATGGTGAAGTAACCATTCAGTATGGTGGTGTTTTTGAACACTTGGCTAGGTAGGAATATGTTACAAATGGTAAAGTGACCTTTTAGTATGGTGGTGTTTTCGAACACTTGGTTAGGTAAGAATATGTCACAGATGGTGAAGTAACCATTCAGTATGGTGTTGTTTTTGAACACTTGGTTAGGTAAGAATATGTAACAGATGGTGAAGTAACCATTCAGTATGGTGGTGTTTTTGAACACTTGGTTAGGTAGGAATGTTGAGCTAAAGGGTTTAAGCATGAATGACTTTGTTGTTCTCAGGGCTCAAAACATCAGAGTATCTGGTTAAGATAACTTATCAACTAGTGACATTTCACGTCAATCAAACAATTGCAGTATTTGACTTTAGTGTAGAGCGACAACCCACAAGCTTGCAACTACCTCCATTTGATACATTTCTGTCTGACCAGGGTGCTAAAAAATGAGCCCACTGTAAGCATTTAGGGTCAGTTTTTGTTGATTGAATCTAATTACTTCAGTCATCTAACGTTACATTTTTGGCAAAAGTAGCTAAAAAGAATGCTATGTGTAAGGTTTCTGTGGGAAATACATGCCTAAGTTGGCATTCAACGCTACGTAGCATTGCATACGACACCATATGTTGTTGATAAATGTTAAGTAACAGTCTTAGTAAAGTTTACTTGCCTTCATGTACAACGCCCTATGACATGCTCGGATGAAACAGTACTTTCCAAAATAACGTATTTAGCTCTGTACGTATGACATGCTTTAAATTATTTGATAGAACTACAATAAAGCGATGCACTAGACGTGAATTTTAAAATAGAGTTTATTCCCTTGCTTCATTCCTATAAATACTCTTTGCAAACTACTGTTTTGAAGTTGTATAAATGATAACTTCATACTCATCAAGCATCACACTTTTCAAGCTATTTCATCCAGGCAATAGCCGTAACATATTTTTGACTATTCAAAAACGACGTTGGACTACTACAATAAACTACTTTTTATTCTTGGTTTTTCATGTGTACGCTTGTCGTGCCTATTTTTTGACTTTGAATTTTGGTGTTATAGTAAAATAAACAAAAACATTGAACAATCTCACGTGGCTCCTTAAAAGAGAAATTTTTAAAAAAATGTAAAAAACATTGTGCCAAACCTTTTCGAGCAAGATTGAAATGTATTTCTACAAGGTATATCAAAAAGAGGCAACTACATATTCTAGAATGTGTATTGTTACGAGGCCCTATCGATTTTTTGGCCTCTGGGCCTAATAGTTACCACTATAATTTTCTCAAATACCGGAGCCCAAACATATTTTGTATTGCAAAAAATCTTATATTCATGGTATTTGCTAAGTGTTGCCGTTTTTAAAACACCCGGCTGTATGGTGAAAAAAATTTTTTGTAGTTTTTACGTCCTATCTACCAAGGCCTATCAACACTTCAATATAAGTCCGAGTATAGGGATTGTTAACGAAATAGTTTCATAAATTCATTTTAGCTCCGATCACGTGAGGAAAATGAATTCGTGGTGGGTGGAAAATGGCGCCAAGAAAGAAGAAAAAGTCAAATTTTTACTTTCTCACGATGAGCTCCGCAGGTAACTAATATTTAATTACAATGAAACTCTGATGACTTCGCTCTTTTTGACGAAATCGAGTTTTCATTATTTCATACATGTAGCATTGTCTTGTCATGGTCGACTTTATTTTAGATTTAAAGAATTCGTAAAAGAAAAACTAGAAAATCTTCAGACTGAAATTGGAAAGAATTATGACAAAGTAACATTGAAAAGATCATTGTTAAATCGTTGGAAAAATTATCTTTTACAGTCGTTGCGAAATGAGGAATTCTTGTATAGCTTGAATGAAAACTGTCACCATAAATGAGGCTCCCAACCACTATTTGATATCGAATCTTACTTTATTAGAGTGTTTTAGCGATACAAGAGCAGGAAAAACGACAAAAATTTGCCGCATCGCAGGTCTGTAGTTCGTAACAGTTTCCTGATTGTGTTGTCGATGGTGGTCATTGTATCCGTTGAAGTAAAAGTACAAAAATTTCATGATAAGTATTGTTTTAATGGACTTAGGTTTTAATGGACTTAGCATGAAGTTGTTGTGGAATGAAGGAGTTGTTCGATTGAAAATTTTGTTTAAATTTTTGGATAGAAAGAACTTACCGTGCATTGATAAGATTGACGTATTGATTTTTGTGTGTTCCATGTGGCTTAAAGCCTGTTTTCCACTAGCCACGTATCGTAACGTATCGTAGCAAAACGTAACAGGGCGCATGCGTGCTTATGAATTTGATGGTCAATAGGTGCAAGCACGCATGCGCCATATTACATTTTGCTACGATACGTTACGATACGTGGCTAGTGGAGAACAGGCTTAATCCTTCATTATCAACTAGCCGTTACCTCCTTTGCACATATTTGTATGTTTCAACTATTACTTTTTCCTGAATGCAATGTATATACAGCCACCAGAACCATGTAAGCCAGTGCCAATAATCTATGCAACTGTAAAGAATCGCTATGGTGTGATGCAGAATCCAACTGGATTGTATGTATAACTTAACGTGTTACATTTGTTTCTCAATCAATTTTTTATACTACAGGTTTGTAAGCTGCTTCGTTATTTGAACTCTTTTTTCAAATCCCTTATTTAAAGTAAATGGTTTGAACCCGGGAGTATCGTTACATGTTTGTAGATGTAGATTGTCCAGGTTGGCATAGTCCTGAGAAGGACTGTTTTTGTTGTTGTTGACTGACGTTTTGACAACTTAGCGGTAGTCATCTTCAGAGTAGTCATCTTTTGACTCTGAAGATGACTACCGCTAAGGTTGTCAAACGTCAGTCAACAACAACAAAAACAGTCCTTCTCAGGACTATACCAACCTGGACGATCGACATTTACAAACATGTAAATCCCTTATTTCTTGATGACGCTTTGGATAGAACCGAAGTCATCATGAAACTATTCGAAGGGAAATCGTTCGATAGTTGGGCTTGCGAAAACTCCTTTACAAATGCGGTTTTCACTTGTTTTAATAATGGTATCTACTAGCGTTATTTCGTCATCTCTCAGTAAAAGGGATGAGATCTATATAATCAAGCAATTTATCTATGTACTATATAATCTTGGTAAACAAGCTCAGTATTTTTATTTCGCAAATATGATGACCAAACAACACGCACACGCTTGCAGCGAGAACTTCTTCAAAGCTAAATGCTCTTCAGTTGTCGTCTTTTTGAATCTTTCCAAGATATATAATGATTTTCATGTTAACAATGTGAACATCTTATGTTGCTATTTTGGCTTGCAAAACTTCTACTCCATAATTCATTTTTGCTTGAAAATTTATTACAGCCACGACGGTCAAAGAGTCTGGGGTGGAGGTGTTGTAAAATACAGGTATACCATACATTATTTTGCTATGCTATTAAATTTTCTTTCAAACATTCCCTATACTCTTTTAACATATAAAGAAGTATCCATGGCTTATTATATGCTTAACAATCTGAGTATCCTTGAAAACCAACCACAAGGTGACGTGTTACATTCTTGGCAACGTCTCTTTTCATCATTATTTGTTTGTGTTTTTAGTGTTCGCTCTGATCAATGGTACCCGTGGGACTTTGATCTTGAAGATGGGAGAAAGGCTCCCAGTGTGTAGAAATTTATGTCAATTAGTTCGAAATTTCAGCTATTTTAAACTTCTGGAGCCGGTTGTTCAAAAGCCGGTTAACTTAGCCTAGAATTAATAACCAACCTATGATTAGATTTAACCTTGCGTTATGCAAATTTAAGCCAGGGTTAGCGTTAACCCCCTATTGAACAACCGGCCCCTGAACGTTTCCGTTTCTCTTGAGATTTTTCAGTTTACTCATTTGGCGTGTGCTGTTAGATGAGTTTAATTGTGTGAAAAAAAAATTCATTTTTACTCAGAGGGAGCCAAGAAGCTTCGTGTCACAGTTGAAACAACCAAGGTAGCTATTTTGATTTTGCTTCCTGGCAGTAATGTGGATTGCGAATTTATGCGTTCTTTCTTCGTATCTTTAAGAACGGAGAAATCTCACAAAATATCCATACAGGTATGTTTTCTTATTCCAGATATTAATTTGGTAAATTTGAATTTCTGCTGTTATTTTTGACGATTGTTGGGTTTTTTCAACACTCTTATCGAACTCTGTGTTTAGTTATTGTGCCTTGGTTAATGTGCTTTGGCTGGTGTGTTTTGGACAATTTGCTTTGGTTAATGTGTTTTTGTCAATGCGCTTTGGTCAGTTTGCTTTAGACAATGTTCTTTAATCAGTGTGCTTTTGTCAGTTTGCTTTTGGTCAATGTGCTTTGGACAATGTGCTTTGGTCAGTGTGCTTTGGTCAGTTTGCTTTGGTCAGTGTGCTTTGGTGAGTGTGCTTTGGACCATTGTGCTTTTGTCAATATACTTTGGTCAATGTGCTTTGGTCAGTGTGCTTTGGTCAGTGTGCTTTGGTCAGTTTGCTTTGGTCAGTGTGCTTTGGTCTGTGTGCTTTGGACCATTGTGCCTTTGTCAATATGCTTTGGTCAATGTGCTTTGGTCAGTGTGCTTTGGTCAGTGTACTTTGGACCATTGTGCTTTTGTCAATGTGCTTTGGTCAGTATGCTATGGACCATGTGCTTTGGCCAGTGTGCTTTGGTCAGTGTGCTTTGGTCAGTGTGCTTTGGTCAGTTTGCTTTGGTCAGTGTGCTTTGGTCAGTATGCTTTGGACCATGTGCTTTGGTCTGTGTGCTTTGGAAAATATGCTTTGGACAGTGTGCGTAAGCCTATGTGCTTTGAACAGTGTGCTTTGGACAGTGTGCATTAGCCAGTATGCTTTGGTCAATGTGCAACCTTAAGATGGGGTATTTTTTTTAATTTCAGGTGCTACTCCTCCATGGCTTCTTCCAGTAAGTGTATTTTGATCACGTTTTGCATTTTGTCCTTTCAGTATAATAATTCATGACTCAAAATTTAGAAATCATTACACTTTATAATTTTGTCTTAGGACGACGATGAAACTACCCATTCTTCTGCTATTGGTCCATCATTTAGTGAATTTCAAAACACGGTATGCAGGACAAATTGTATTCGAAATAGTGAAGTGATTAATTGTAAATTTAATCTTGTAATTCGACAGTTTCTATTACAATAATCTCCGACATTGTTGACTGTTAAAAAATTTTTGCAGCTGAGCGTTTAAAGAAACGTGGGAAGAATCCATATCGAGTTGGAGCAAATTTCGATCGAACTTGTAAAGTTGACAACGAATGGTGAGTGAAGACTGTATATTTTTCCTAGAGTACGTTTGTAATCAATCTTCTTGGCAGTTAACTACCGCACTAATGAACTTTTTGTTTTTGAAATAGTTTTATTGGTGGCTAGTGTTTTGCCGGTTTTGCCACATATTGTAAATTTTCCATTGAGAAATTCTCCATCTATCGGTTTGTGTTCGCAATACGCAATTTTTAACTCCAACCTCAATCTTTAGTCTTTTAGTTATAGGCAATTTATCACATATTGTTTAGTGATTGGATTAAGGTTTAATTTCGCATATTGTAAAACATGGAATTATTACCCACCCCTTTTCCCGTCAAACGGATTGATTTCTCCATGCGACAGGACGTAGCATTTCGCGTTTTTCCCCGCTCAAACCACGAATACGATCTTTTGCTTGTATTTATTAAATTGGCATAAGTTGAAGCCAAATAGCTCGAGGTGTTTTTTAAAAATGCATGCTTTACGGTCGATTATAAGTAACGATGTTCGAACAAAGATTACTCATCAAATTTACCATGCCATATTTGGTTGTTCTAATATTTATGATTACATATGTGTTAATTAGTCCGGGCATTTCCCGTTGATTTGTTTGTTCATCAATAAAATGCGGGATAAGTGGGGGTATTTAAAATACTTGTTGTCTTTTGAATACTTGTAAAATCTTTGTGTGGATGTCAAATTCTTCGTATGCACCGCCATCTTATTCGGCGGTGATCATCATGATAACTGTTATCACAGAATGCGGTTGTCCAATTTAACTAACGAGAAGGCTTCTTTGCAACATGGAGCTTTTTTCAATCATCAGTGACGATTGGAAAACATCATTTGTATTGTGATCTGTTCCTTGTTCCTTCGTAGCAATATGTAAACGAATAAGACAGCGCGCGACTATCCCATTGTTCTAGTATGTATTTACACGTCATTTGCTGTCAACTGTGTCGTTTTATAGAACGTTTACGACAGGCTTTGTTGTGTCGTTTTATAAAACGTTTACGACAGGCTTTGTTGTGTCGTTTTATAAAACGTTTATGACAGGCTTTGTTGTTTCGTTTTATAAAACGTTTATGACTGGCTTTGTTGTGTTGTTTTATAAAACGTTTACAACAGGCTTTGTTGTGTCATTTTATAAAACGTTTACGACAGGCTTTGTTGTGTCGTTTTATAAAACGTTTATGACAGGCTTTGTTGTGTTGTTTTATAAAACGTTTACGACAGGCTTTGTTGTGTTGTCTTATAAAACGTTTACGACAGGCTTTGTTGTTTCGTTTTATAAAACGACAGGCTTTGTTGTGTTGTTTTATAAAACGTTTACGACAGGCTTTGTTGTGTTGTTTTATAAAACGTTTATGACAGGCTTTGTTGTGTTGTTTTATAAAACGTTTACGACAGGCTTTGTTGTGTTGTTTTATAAAACGTTTACGACAGGCTTTGTTGTGTTGTTTTATAAAACGTTTACGACAGGCATTGTTGTTTCGTTTTAATTGATTTCTGTGCTCGTATCATTGTATTGAGTTATTCCCTAGTCACGACGTCCATCCACTGCAGATAGTTAGTAGACCAACGTACATTTATGTACGCAAAGCGTACCATTTTTATTTGGCTGCTCGTTCCTGTCTCGTGTCGTTGTCATAATAGCGCATGTGCAACGCGCATGTGTCAGTTGACCTTGACCTGCAAAGATTTAATTCATCATTTTCTCACCGGGAATTTAAAAGCTATTCAGAATGTGTGAGTTCCTTGAGTTTAGAATTTAGAATATTTATAGGTCAATTGATTTTTCTGAGTTAGAGCTTATTACAAATGTTTTCAGGCCTAATAAGTTCTTTGTTTTATGATAATAGGAATTCATTGAATTAAGCATTAAGAATTGATTTTGGCATCCCACAAAGACCGCACGGTAATTCGATCTGGATTTGCTAATTGAATGATCCTTATGTCTACAGGCGGTCTCAAAGGAATGAAAGAAACGGAAATTTGATAATGTAGAGCTCATCTAGTCTGTTTTGTCAAATAATACGACTTAGAATTTAGAAAGCATCGATATCTTTTTCAAATCACATACCTACTTACTAATTGGAATTCCTAAGTGAATAGATTCACTCAAAATATGTCTTCATGAAGCGATTCATAATTGACATGTGATTATTACCATATGTGATAGCGTCAATACTCCTTATCCTGTTTATTGAAACTTTATTGATATATGCGGGTTTCAGCATTTGCCTGATGACGATGGTGGGGAATTCATTCAGCTTAGAAAAAAACTATTCAGATTAGTCGCAGCTGATTCGAAAGATAGAACACGAATTGTTTACATTTCTTGCGGTGCGCCATGTCAGTGTGGCGCCGACGGTATCAAGCCTTTTTATGAGTTGCCCGTCGTTCTTGTTTACTTTCCACTGTGTTTTCAGCAGTAGCCAGTCGGCAAGTTTCAGTACTGCTATGTCAATTGAAGAAAATTCTCTTTTTTATTTGAAATGTTTTGTTTTCGTAGCGAGTGAACGAATTTCTAAATAAACGGACTGGCTACGCTAAAACGTTCATAATATTTTTGACAAATGGGAATTATCTTTCATTTCATGATGATGATATGATCTCACACTAACATGTGTCATGTGAATACGAGAGATAAATAGTTGGAACGTCAAACGTTTCCTAGATTGAATAATAATCATTCCCAAATGAGCTAGAGCAACCGAATATTACCTGCTGTCATGTCGATGTTTGCAAAAAAAAATTTTATTGACAATCGTTACATGGTTGCTGTTACGTCATCGAAAACGACCTGATTCTCCCCTGGTCGCAATATAAGATATTATCCTGGTAATCCTTAAAGCTTCTTCAAAGTGCCAAAGCTTATCCATCACATCCTGAACCGATTCTTAAAAACGTAACTCCCACAGTTGTTTTTTGTTTCGCTCAATGGTTTCATTCCACTAAAAATCACATCAAATTAATCTAGGGGGATGTTCGTTAGCTTTGATTCTCACAACTTACACTCTTCAACCCATTGTTACTACATGTAAATCAAACGAGTACTCTACAAACCACTTCAACCTTTCAATCTTGCACTTAAGTACTGGAAGTATTACAATGAATGCTACAGTTTCATCGCCTCAACAAGTTTTGGCCGATCAACATTGAAACGGAAAAAACGAGGATTGTCAACTATCTGCAAACACAAAGCCTATATGCAAACACTCCAGATTAATCATGGCTGTTTTGATAAAATTAGCAAATGAGTGATGTTTATGTTTTAATTAAGTCTCTTTCTCGGCTTTTTTGAGTCTCTTTCTGCTCGTGCGTTTCTTAAATATTTTCTTACTGCTCGATTCGTAAATTCTATGGTTCGACAGTTTCCATGTACGGTGTTATTAATAATCTAGGATTCATTCTCGAGGAAGAAAAATATTAATATATTTGCCTTAATTTATTGTTGTTTTCCGTGTTCAGGTTGCCTTCATTTGGAGGAGTGTGGAATTCAGGTCCAAGATGGCAGACGAGGTACTTTGACCATGTATTGCATTGTATTTTCTTTCTATTAAATAGAATGTAGGATTGATGAAGTAAGGGATGAAAAGTGCATCAATCTTTCATCCCCAAAGGTTTCTGTTCAATGTATCCTTTTATCCAGCATTTCCTTCACAACTGTTCCCTTATTTAATTTCTGGATTACATGAAATAGTGTTATCGTCACATTCCCCCTCCACCCTCCATACACAAAACCGCATGCCCCTTTCTGAAACAGAAAGTAGGATTAATTTTGAATGTACCTTACGCAGGCGAAGCTTCAAGTCACGACGTGGAAAACAGACCTAAAATGTTCTATGATCATATTTGAAATTACTGCGATCATCAAGCACCATATTGTGTAACCAAATGTAATGTAACGAAACATAAAAAGGTTGGCTTACTTGAATGGCATTCTACATAGTGAACGTGGGAAGATCTGATAAATGTATTTTATTGGACAAAATTGTTCATTGGATCTAAAACTGCTACTCACTAGTTACGATAAACGAAGTAAAACCTACTAGTGAGTTGCCTTGTTTGTGCTATTTGAGCTGAAATCTTGTTTTGTATAATCTTGTGTAATGTCAATGATTGCTTCTACATGGATGACCAAAAACCTTTTAAATCAAATTGTCGTGTCTCTAGAAATTCAAGAAGGCTAGTACAGTAACACGTAACAAGAAAAATACAAGAAGTTTAAAATTGACGTTAATTTGTCATTCGACTTTAGTACTATTTATCTTTCAAATTGTTGTGCATGATGTAAATGTACCGTATGATAAATATAGCCCAAGATATTGCTTTATGTATGGGGACATTTCGCCATGTTAGGGGTTGTCTGTTGTACAACTGATAAGATTTTGCAGGGACTACATGAACATAATTTATATGCTGTAAAATTTGGAGCTACAACAAGGTTAAAAAGCTTTTCCACCTAAAATATGAGTCTACATCACTATTTGCCTTAAAATTCTAACTGAGTTTCGCAAATTAGATTAAAACGTAACAATCTATTGTAAAAATAATGATCTTCATGACTAAATTTAGGTATTCGTACATGTCAACAGGTATTTGACTGTGAGAGATTACCAACAAAAATCTTTCATTTCCATAGCTTCGTCAGTCATGCATGTCCGTCGCCATTTCCCCCCCTAGCAAAGATTTTCACATTACCGTAACTAAAGTCTGGGTCTTATTTCGTTCAATTCATAGTCATTTTTCGTTTATCAGTTGTGAAAGTACACAATGTTCTTTATGTAATTTCTAATTAGCAGCAATTTTAAAAAACACTTGAGAAAAACGACGATTTTTTTGAGAGCAAACATGTTTCGACATGTTCAATTCATAGTCATTTTTCGTTTATCAGTTGTGAAAGTACACAATGTTCTTTATGTAATTTCTAATTAGCAGCAATTTTAAAAAACACTTGAGAAAAACGACGATTTTTTTGAGAGCAAACATGTTTGCTCTCAAAAAAATCGTCGTTTTTCTCAAGTGTTCTTTATGTACATATTTTTCTTCGTATTTTTTTTATAAAGACCGTCATAATTGTGTCGACAGTGTTGTAGTCTTTTTTCTATTCATTGATGTTTCGGAAAGGTACGTTTCCACCTCCGTTCAAGTGCTCCGATGATGTTACAAAAAATATCAATTCAATACATCAATCGTAATATCAATTGCTGACTGCCCCATTGAGCAAAGATAATCAAACATGTGGGAAGAAGGTGCAGCAAATTCCTGCCATGAAAGTATGGTGTATCTTGTTCGATCGTTTTATTCCTTATTATTTAAGCCCCAAAGTGTCGATATTTCTAGAATAAACATAAAATATCGATTGAATCATCTTTAAAATGTCTTTGTTCTCCACCCCATGGCTTGTTCCGGTTGTACTCCATCATGGTAACACGATAGCAGCGGGATGTCGCGTCTCTCGTCAACATTGTTTATGAATACAATTATTTATATTCAGTCACTCGTTTCTCTGTCGAAGAACTGTTCTCGATCCGATAATCGTAGTCTCTTGCTTCTGTTTGTTGTCCAATGATAGTTTTTGCCTTAGTTCTTGCTGTGGCGTCTTTGTGTTGAAGCCTAAAGAATATTATCGTTCAAATTCTCAAGATGAAGGACTTCGTCGTTCTAGTGTTTTTGTTGGTTTTACTTTTGTCAGCGAATTGTAAAATAACGAGTGATGTGAAAAACTGCTCACTTCAATCAAATCTTTTTCAAAACGTATCACAAGATCTTTTGTTGAAGAAACCTACAAAAGGTTAGTGAACGGTGTATTTTAAGTCGAAGAGTGCGGTCTCACTTTCGACTTTAGACCAAGGCCGTTAGTATGTATATGGCTTTCAACGTCATTTTATATCTTTCTATCTGTGTAAATCGATTTTTATCAACGCATCTTTGTCGCAGTTTTACAATATCGTATGTTTTTGTTTTGTAGGTCTTAATTTGAGGATATGTCGGAGCAATTTAACATGTTGTTCGCAACAAATGGAGTATGAATTGTACGCTACAAGCAGCAGGATACTCGAAGTTGCCCTTCAACGCCAAACTAATGCCACACTTCAGTTTCTTAAAACACGAGCTTCGCAATTCGACGGTAAGTGCCAAAATCAAGCGCTTGCTCGAAATCAAACCGTGCTAATAATGCTCAACTAAACACTCTCAATTCTGACAATGTCTCAATTCTGACAAATTTTCATCATGAAGTAGATTTTCATCACATTTGTGTACAATGTGAGCTGTGTATCTAACAATGTAAATGGGATTTTAATCATGTACTGCGTTGTTTATAGAGCGTTTGATCATGTTTTGAACTATAGGTGAAAGGTTTTGGTCTTCATTTTATGACCTTAAAGGGCTGCGGTGGCTTGCTGTTGTCGGCCACTGTGAAAGATTTTTGATGAACAGCCAGAATGACTGTTACTTTACAATGTTTTCATGAATGTATATCTTCATGTACATACTCGCTGTATGAATACCATGTAACCTGTGGTTCGTTAAACAACAAACACATAATACTTTGAACTGAAATTACATTCAACGGTAAATAAGCCATCAATCATCAAAACAACCCTTATAATTAATATTGAATAAAGATTCAACACGCGTTCATTCTTTTATTGTCGGGCATGACCGCTTTACCGTAAAATACCCTGATGCATTAATACTATTTCTTGCCTTTCATCTTTTTTAATCGGTGTTGTACATAAGCCTCGATTTAAACTCCCTCCCCTTGAGAAGATTATTGGCACATTTCATCGAAAAATGCAATCGGTATTAATGGCTGTCAGTTTAATGAAACAAAAGCCTTATAGCAAAAGATTAAAGTTTAGTTGTTCGCGTTGACGCATTTGCATGTTTTTTGACAAATCGAATCACTTCAAACTATTTCAATATATCACTGACTTATGCTCCTAAATGAACGTTTATGTCATATCTATTTAATGTTTAGAATAAATATGTTTGCTATTTGCGGATTGTCAATTGTGTTTTATATTTATCAAAGTATGGCATTTGGTACTTATAGACTTGTACTAATAATCTTGCAGACGAATGTGCTAGAATTTGCTATTGTTCGTTGCCATGTGTCATTTGCTAACTATATTTCATTTTCATCAAATATATATGACATGCATCAATAGATGTGTTTAAAACAAACGGGAAAGGTAATTGGTTTGCAAATATAAGCTAATCATTCGCACTTAAAATATCGCACCTGATAATTAGAGCCATTTTCATTCCATTCCGATATCGTGCCAACACAGGCGCTATGGAAATATTGGTTTTGACACATTACGTTTCAATAATTTAAATGGACAAAAAAATGCTAGAATTCCTTGCATTGCTTATGTTTTTTTTTGTTCAATCAATGTTAATATTCATGCTTGTTGATACGAATTGTCTGAAACAGGAAAAAACTCTTTACAAAAGTTCGTTCGTTCTTGGTTGATTTAAAATTGTGAAGTTTAATGAATACATTAATAAAACAGTGGAAATATAGATATGGCCGCGTCTTTTATATTACACAATTAACTCGTAAACGTCTCATTCTTCCCTTGAATTATGAAGCAGGAATTGAATGAGGTTAAGAAGTGGTTTTGAAGATTGTGAGGTAATGATTTGGGTTTGAGGTTTGCGTGTTCATTTCCATAACTGAAAATCTGTGATAAGTCCTCTTATCCTTCGAGTACCTACTTGAATCACTGTATTTTTTACAGTTATTCTGGATTTTGGTTTAACTTTTTTCTTCTGAGAAATTCCTTTTAATTTTCCTTCTTATGACACAGAAGCCATTAGTGTGGCTCTAGTGTGATATTTCACGCGTTTTAATCACCGATGCTCTTAACCAATCATACTTTCATACTGTAATGTTAGCCCACATCTTGCCTTATCGATGACAACAAAATGATAACTACAAACGAGACACTTTGCTTTTTAATGTACTAGTAAATTAATTTAACTTTGGTAACTTGATATTGCGTATTCCACGGTGATTCGATTTTTCTGATTAACTGTTATTTTATGCTGTATCTTTTGACTGTTATTAATTTCGTCCGGGCTTCTTGCATTTGACTTATTTTTGTGATATTTTTTTAAATTCCACATGTAGTAACAAGATTACCAAAATTCTTTTTTTACATAGACAAGTTTCGTTTCGGAGAATGTATCTTATTATATCAAATATCAATAACAGCCTGAAACATTTGTCATTTAATTTATTAATCTTTCTTTTCATTGTTGTAATTAATGTGGTTGGCTTGTTTTCCAGGTTTTATGATGAATTTGCTTCGCACATCGAGGAAAAAATGGAGCGAAATGCTTGCTCGCGTGTACATGAATAATTTCTATAAAAATCGTGAAATTTTTGATGACTTGTTTATTACCTTGGAAGACTTCTATACTGGCAATAGGAAGATTGATTTGAGACAATCCTTTCGAGTTTTTTTACAACGAACCCAATCTACAATGTTTGGTTTGGGGAAAGAAGAATTATTGAATGATACGGATTTCATAAATTGCTCCGCTAGACGAATCGATGATATACAACCTTTTGGTATCTACCCACGGAAAATCACGATGAACATGCTTACAACGCTTGTGTACGCCAAAGTGTTCTCGACGGGTCTTTGGAAAGGGTACATTATTGCCTCCTCTCTGATTGGTAATTTTTTACGCAAAAAATGCATAGAAGAGTTCACCAAAGCTCAGTTTTGTGATGTTTGTAACGGAATTCCTGATGCCAGAATGTGTAATGGGACTTGTCATAACGTTTTGGGTCGATGTTTCCACTTTGATGGCAAATTAAATGGCTACTGGCGTGATTACATGCGTGGCATGTACGCATTAGTTGGTAAACTTGATGGCCAGTACGACATCACTGCGATATTTGGAATGTTCAGTTTCGATATTTCGAGTGCTATCATGGAAATGAGCAAAAATTTCGGCAAAGTGTTGGCAAAGGTTCTATATTTATAAATTCATGCTCTGGCATTATTATATTCATATGCTCCGACAACTTCACAATTTTTCTTTTCCAAGAAGACTGCCCCCTCGAATTTGTAATTTGTAATTAGCTTCTTTTTGGCCTGCCTCAAACTATTTTTCAAACGTCGAATTTTACTTGCGCCAGATGCATTAAAGATAAAGGAAAATGAGGCAAAAATCCTCTTTATCTTTTAAATGCATTGTTAATGTTCGACGTTTGAAATGCGCCTTTTTTACTTTTGTTATGAATTCAACTTGCGGATCTACCATTTTGCATATCGTTCATTTTGGAGCTTTGGCTCAATTGTGATAGCAAACAATGATTGCTAACAAAAAAAGTTATTTCATAGTAGAGAAAAGGCTCGTAGCTGCATAAAAAAGCTAGTTTAACTCTGCTTTAAGTAGCATGCTTTTTTGTGCATGCACAATTGTAATCAAGTGTTCAGAAGTATTTCGTTTTGTATTCTAGTAAAAACTAGAATAACGGTGACTTCATCAACGTTTTTGAACCATTAATTTAGGCTAAGTCCTTGTGTTCTTCGAAAAATCGAAGAAAACGAGAAATAGATCGCAGTGGAAGTGATCTCTACCTGGAGGGACAACGAAAAAGAAGAAGTTCACTAATGAAAACCACGGAAAATCCACTATCCTTTGACACGTACGTAAGAAATTACAATATCGTAAATGTTCGAAGAAACTCCCCTTATCAAATTAGCCCTCCCCTTCTCGAAGCGTGAGTTTGTATTAGTCCCCTTTATCTAATAAACTTTCCGTCTCTAATTGACATCTTACACCATATTAACATGACGATGATGTTATAATAGTATGTTGTCCATTGGGCTTAAAAAAACATATATTTAATTTTAGTTTTATTTTTATTTGTGCACTCTAAGGTGATAGAAATGATATGAACGCTTCTTCTGAAACGTCTCGTGTCTATTAAACGCCCTCCCTAGAACCGCTGGAATTCATTAAACACTGCGGGCGTTTATTATATGATTTAAAGTGTTTTTCACTGAGTAGATATTTTTCATCCATTTTTGTAATCATATGATGAAATTATGCGTTTTCTTCAACCATGACAAATCGTTCGAATTTCTTTAGCTTTACCAAGGAGTTTCGTGATGAATTGATTAAGTTCGGAGACGTGTGGACTAACCTACCAAAGACGGTTTGTGATTTGAATGTGTTTGCGGCTCGTGCACAAAATGAAAGTTGTTGGAACGGCTTTACGATACAGAGGTTGGTCTTTGCTTCGTTGTCACGAAAATTTGACGTCATTTTGAAGTAAATATTTTCCAGATTATTTCTTTTCTCTTTGTCGATGACCGAAAATGACCGAAAAGGGGTTTCCAAGTCCCAGTTCCCTTGATACGACAGTAATATTTAGCTTCATTCCTCAAAAACTATTCTACGAAATCGAAAAATATTTTAGAAGTTAATTAGTATTGTTTACGCTGTATTATATAAACCCGTGCATCTCACCCTTGGAATTTAATGACACTTTTAATTTTTGTATGAGTTGCATGTTGTTCGGCTTTCTGCCAGAAATATGTTTGGATATAAAAGCCGACTGGAATTGTTTTTGACTTAGGCGTGTGCCTTAACGTACTGCAATCTTTCTTTTCAGAAATTCGGAAGACGTTCCAAGGTTAGGGTTATCGTTAGTCAATGCAGATTTAGATTATCAAAGGAAAATATCAGATCAACTTTCGAAATTGAAAATAATGATCACGAATCCAGTAAAGGATGATGATGCTAGTGGTGATGGTTTACATAGGTCTGATGACGAAGAGTCATCTAGCGCATCTGGATCTGGTAGCAACGAACCTCTTGGTGACAATGAATCTTCTGGTTCCGGTGAAACCATTAGGGGAAAAAACGTTGTAAAAAGTACACCACCTGTCATACCAGATTATGTCTCGAACGACGGCACAAGCAAAACTTCCACTCCCGAGAAAACAGACAATTACGCACCTACATCTATACTCATTACGGATGACGAAGATATCCCCTTTTCCGGCTCTGGTGATCGTATAAACAATAATACTTTGAGCGACGATGTTCCCACTCATTATACAAACGATAATGACAACGACTCTCCTACCACACGTGGTAGCGTGAAAATCTTTGTGGACACCACGTGGCCCTCACGAGCATGCCATGGAAGTGTCATCTCACACGTTGCTATATTTCTCGTAACAACGTCAGGGCTCATGTTTGTCTGATGTGGCAGTACGTTTGAGAAGCTGTATTTTCTGAAGAACGGATAGTTATTTTACCCTTGCATTTCAAATTTCTAATGTGTCATTAAAAAGTTGCCATCGACAGACCTTATACATTTAATAATTTATGCATAAGTTGCTTAACGTTTTTATAACCCTTCGCTGTTCTCTCATCTATTGAAAGTTAACAATTATGTACGATTCCTTTGTTAACTTGGCGGTTCTCAACTTAATTTTTGCCATAAATATTTTTTCGGCTTGTGTACTTAACGTCATTCTCATTTGCAACTGATGGATGTTGGATAACACTTTTTTTAAAGGAGTCGCTAATATAGATCAATTAGAATATAGAAAAATTTAAGTAGAGATATTTGATCGTTTGAGCCAGTACAGCAAATTACGTTGTGGACTGAATAAAAGTTTGCTGTTGGTTCTGTTCGGTGTGTTTGTAAAAAGCTAAAATATCAATTATTTGCGGTAATAATGGTTATAATAGTTATGTCAGTTGTCATTATAAAACGTCTTTAATCGATTTGTGTTGTTGAATTAAAGAATCGTTCTTGTTTTGTAGTGATGTTGCTATTTATCGTGTTGGAAATCGATGTGTAATATTTGGTTCTTGTTCTGCACAACTTGCCATCTTTCTATCTTCTCTTACTAAACTTACTAAATTGTTCTACATGTCTCTAGATACTGCTTGTAGGAAACAGTGACAAAGGCTGTGGAATAGCGTTCATTCTGTAGACAGGTTACCTCTAAACATCCTTCAATCCCTCTAAACATGCTCCTGGAATCCCTATAAATATCCTCCTGCAATCCCTATAAACATCCTCCTGCCTCCCTATAAATATGCTCCTGCAATCTCTCTAAACATGCTCCTGAAATGCCTATAAACATGCTGCTGAAATACCTCTAAATATCCTCCTGCAATCTCTCTAAACATGCTCCTGAAATGCCTATAAACATGCTGCTGAAATACCTCTAAATATCCTCCTGCAATCTCTCTAAACATGCTCCTGAAATGCCTATAAACATGCTACTGAAATACCTCTAAATATCCTCCTGCAATCCCTCTAAACATCCTCCTGCCTCCTTATAAATATGCTCCTGAAATCTCTCTAAACATGCTCCTATGCATATTGAATTCATTGAGTACATGTGTTCAAACTTAATTTCAATTAAATTTCGTCTTATGTTTTATATAAACAAATCGCTCAGGGTATTCGACAAAGCAAGAGACGGTGAGGAAAAAAATAAAACGCTTGAGAATCTTAAAGATTTCTTTTTTGAAAGTAGAAATGTTTGTGCAAAAGGGCAACGCGACTTGATGCATTATCTCGTTTGTTTGGAAAACACTTGCAGAGTTAGCCACAAGGAGACTCTTGCCAATATTTGGTTCACCTGCGTCTTTGTTGTTATTACGATAACGAATGTAAATATAATTTTAGAGGCAAAGTTGCATATTTTGGCAAAAATAACCGATTCAGACAAAAGTGTGGGTAGTTTGAAGACTTAGTGACATTTAATGCCTCTTCCTACCGTCCCTATTGACCCGTACACCCTGGGTCGTTATTGCAAGGATGACGTTTCTCTTCCATGCAAAATATCGCGCGATCAAATTGTTGCGGCAGGTGTCTTTTAAACTGCGCATGTGTGTGTTCACGCAATCTTGTTCCACTTGATTGTATCCATTTTAATTTTTAAAAGAAAGAAATCGTCAAACGCCAATCGTGAGATATAAAAGTGATTTGGTCATAAAAGACACAATTTCCAGTTTTCCACGCATTGAGCAATGCTTAGAAATGCAATGGATGAATAGAACTGTCATATTGAGAACGAGAAAAGAACAATTATTGATACCCTAGTAATTAATGCATGATTTTTACATACACCCATAATACATATACGTATGTGTAAAAAATGCGATTGTAGAAATTGACCAAATTTCAACACCATTTGCATGTAAATTGTTCATATGATGGCTCTGGCTGAAGCATATTTTTTTATAGCATATCTACCAAGCATTACCTAAAAAAAATCAACTTAATCAACAATCGCTTCAGAAAGATGCATATCATACATTCGATGTCGCGAGCAAAAATTGCTTCAGCCATGTTGGAGCTTATGCTTGGATACATATGGTTGGATGCTTCAGCCATATAGAATAAAAAGAAATTGCAATAAAAGAAGAATTTTCCCATTCTATTTTGCAAATTTGCACTATATATAATCGATTACATTGTCCGATAAAAACGGACACGTTAAATTGTTTTGTTTCTTTATTTAACCTGTTGTGATGGATGTTTTCACATATGCAAAAATAGCATTTTGATGGCTTCGCCTCTTCGAATGCAGTCGCCACAGTTGATTTCTATTTTAGCGCAATGACTCAAAATGGTAAAGTTGTATCTTGTAGCCCCAGACGACGAGCAATATTATCAGCAAATTTACGCAAAAGTTCTCGAAAGTTCTAATGAAGAATGTAGAAATGTATCCTGAGTGACATGTCGTGCAAAATGATGGACTTTAATTGCACATTTTGCAAAGTTCCCATTTAAATTATTTGAACTCGTAAATAGTTTTGGACACCTGTAGCTACAGATGCATAAAGTGAGACGCACATAAATAATTTAATCTCTATGGCTGGCCGAGGTATTTAAAACAAACCTGACACAACACTTGTCAACATACGAAATTTACATTTGCCTACCGACACTCAAGCAGTTTTCCGTCAGACAAGGTATGTGTGAAATTTTGTATTTCTCTATGAACATCGACCCCTAGTTCTGGTCAATTTACCAATAACTTGTAGGATGAGTACTTTACGATGAGTGGCATGAGTTGATTATTATTGTCCTCGCAAAAACTAAAATTCGCGTACCTACGGCTTTATTTATAAACAGAAGAAGGCAACGACCATTTTTGCACGAAGAATTATGTGCGTACTGTTTAAAGCATTTATATATGAATTTTTACGAAAGCTTGTCCATTTTGTTTTGGTATTCATTGGGAATCATTACCAGAAGATTACATGCAAATTTTAGGTTTAATAATTCGTCAAACGTAACTTTTTACGTTTGTTAATTCAGAGCAAGTAAGCATCGCATCATGTTGTTGATAATCGTTGTCAAAAACAGGACTTCGTTAAAAAACTATAGTATAGTCATTGGCTTATCACACAAAAAAAGTTATAAGCGACCAGTAGCTACTTTGACATTCCCCATTTTCTGTGAGTAAAAGTTGATTCTCTGTCCTTTATTGGTGCAGTGCATTTTTTGGCATAGTCTTATCAACTGATTACATGAATTACAATATTTGGCTTTCAACTATTTAGAGTATTCATTTGACCGGGCTGCAACCCGTTACCGCTACTTTTATTCTTTATCTGTACAAACTCGTTGCTATGAGTAGCTCAAACAGTCTGATATTTGTTAAGCCAAAGAAAAACGTTCTTTTCATAAATGACAAAATAGTGATACATCTAAAAAGTATATGACGAGGTTTTGCATGATTGATTCCATTGAGCTGCCGAAACCATGATCAGCTTGTATCGAAAATCGTTTTCCATGTTTCCATGATTAAACTTGGAAACTCTAATTGGACATTCTTTGATTAGATATGGATATTGATTGGACTGCGATAAATGCTAAGCTACCTACTGCAAGGGCAGACAAGGCTGCAAGGAAGAAAATGTTCAATCAGTTTGACCCCAACGGTAACGGAATCCTCTCACTGGCCGAAGTCGAAAAAGGCATCAGAGATGTGTTGCATATTGATGAAATATTCAACGCAAAACTAGCTATCATGATGGCCTTCCAGTTGGCAAAAGACAGCCAAAAGTCAAAAAGAGGAGACTTGGGCGATGACTACATTGAGTTGAACGAGTTCCGATGCTTTCTGCTTGCGCTTCGACAGTACTTTGAGTACTGGGTGGCCTTCTGTCGCGCTGACGCAAACAATGATAAGCGAATAAGTTTGATAGAGTTCGTGGAGGCGAAAAGCAAGATTGAAACATGGGTGGGACCCATAAACGATATGGAGGCTGAATTCAAAGAGATTGACACCAATGGTGGTGGGTTCATTATGTTTGATGAATTCTGTAAATGGGCCATTGGCAAGAATCTGGACTTAGAAGATGATGATGACAACATTGCTGAATAACGTTCATGAATGTTATAAAAACACGTTAAAACTTACAATTTTGATCATATTTCATAATTAGTCATATTTATTGAGGAAACCTTTTCATATAGAACATATGATTTTCAAAACATATGTAGTTAACGGAGTTAAAATAATGTAGTTAGATGGGGTTGAAAATGTTATAAAACTGCAATAAATTATCGATGGCTTTACCTAAGCACACCAGTCAATAATCAAGCATATATAAATAACATTTTCCCAGAAAGGAAGGTTGGTGACCAATTTGATATTATGTCTAGGTTGTTTCTACTGAGGCAACGTTGTAACTGTTCATTGTGATCATTGTATTAAATGTAATTCTGTTTTCACAATTACAAGCATCAACTTTGACCATCGTAAAGTGAAAATAATAGACGCTTCAATTAAATGTTTTGGTAAACGTATCATCCGTTTCTTAACAACATATTTTAAGGCAAAATTGTCCCTGTCACTTTGCATCAATGGCATTTTCCGGCACTCAACTTTACTATGTGACTGTTTCTCATTTTATGGAACGAGAAGTTATTTTACGGCACTATGGACAAATTTGGTTCAAATATTTCAAAAACGTCATCGCCATTTTCTCTGATACGACTGTTGCTTTTTCTTAATCCGTACATTCATTAAAAAATTGAGCAAAAACATTCTGTTACATATAAGATTGAACAGAAAAGGACTAAATAGGTATAAGACCAAGTTAATTGCACGACTGAAGATCTTAATATTTACTTCAATAGAGAAATTTGCAAAAGTTGTTGTCACCAGCTCTGACTCAACAAGTCTTATTTATTTTTGAAAATTAAAATGTGAAGTATGATCTATAATGATTGCTTTATTTGTGCCTATATTTGGAAAAAGAATCAATGGCCCTTCTACATACAAATGCATTGAGCATGACCAAAATTGGTAAATTAATACATTTTAGGTGAATTGGTCTAATTTAAGTATCTAAAAAAGTATGGTATGATTGATCCAAATAAGTATTTACTAAAATAAACAGCAGTTGTTGATAAAGCCATCTTATTGAAAACATATACTATTCACGCTTAAATTGCTTGATTTTTTTATGATTATTGTCGACTTCGTCATTCTGTTGATACAAAACATCAAACATGTTAAAAGTTGTGCGACACGTGACTTCACCGTTTCACCGGTGAATTAAATTTTGTTTCACCAGGGGATTAAATTTTGCATCAGAAGTGCGATATATTTTTAAACAATATATACCTATTTAACTTGACCATTTTAACATGGACATGGTTTGTGTACTATGAAGAGAAGAAACAAGAAAAGATTTCAGCAATTCTAACTAAAAAGCACTTGATAGAGTGACTTACTTACCCTTTGTTGGCAGAATTTCAAATTGTTTTGTTTGGACTTGTAAAATGTTTTTGTGCAATAATTTAATGATAAACCCCAGGAGTGATTTCACGCCAAGTTGCACTCATACGACATTAACATTTGACAAACATCACCAGCAGCTTCTAGACGCTAAAGGTAAGAGTAAAATTTCATACTTTTCTAACTAAATGGCTCTTTAGATCGTGTCAATTTGTAGTTATTACATACAATCAGCAAAAATACGTACAAATATTGCGCATGTGTAATTTTGTACTTCATTTTACGAAAGCTAAGTCATTTTATTAATTGAAATTCGCTTTAACAAGACTGCAAATAATACTTTCAAAAGCTATATCTTCTTTATATACTTTGTTGTAATGTAGTAAGTAGCATTTTACATTGACTAGAAGTAGCAAAAATTGTTTGGCGATCGTTGCCTCAAACAGGACTTCGTCAATAGAAACAATTGCATTGACTCATTAGCAAAACAATAAATCATGAAGTTGTAAGGTGCACATCTTTTGTCAAGTAAACGATAGATATATGAATGCTTTCAGTTTTGCGAGAGTCGGTCGCATTCCCGAAGCCTGTGCGTGTCGAGATGGACCAGTTTAGTTGCTTCACTTGTCTGTTTGTACGAACTGGATGCTTCTTGACATTTTCATTAACTGCTTATGTAAATATTATAATTTCGGCTCTTAGGAATGCAAAACAAATATGCCATTCACTGGTGAGATTACATTATTTGACTGGGCTGCAACCCACTATATATACATATTTTATCAATGAAAAGTCTCCTTAGGTAAACTATAATTCTTTTTTTAAAACTAGCGAAAGTCATACGATACCATCCTTGGACAAGTAAATAATGAGGACAAGTTTTGCATGATTGATTTCATTACGTTGCAAAATCTTTTATAGCGAATACTCATCATTGCTAATCGTTATTCATTATATATTCCATGGTAAATGCTAGTTAGAGAAATCAGTCAATTTTATATTTGAAATAAACCTTTGCTATCTTTAATAAAACCATAGATAAGATATGGATATTGATTGGACTGCGATAAATGCTAAGCTACCTACTGCAAGGGCAGACAAGGCTGCAAGGAAGAAAATGTTCAATCAGTTTGACCCCAACGGTAACGGAATCCTCTCACTGGCCGAAGTCGAAAAAGGCATCAGAGATGTGTTGCATATTGATGAAATATTCAACGCAAAACTAGCTATCATGATGGCCTTCAAACTAGCTAAGAATAGCAAAAGTCAAGGAGAGGCGACCTGGGCGATGACTACATTGAGTTGAGGGAGTTCCGAGGGTTTCTGCTTGCGCTTCGACAGTATTTTGAGTACTGGGTGGCCTTCTGTCGCACTGATGCAAACAGTGATAAGCGAATCAGTTTGATAGAGTTCGTGAATGGAAAAGCAAGATTGAAACATGGGTGGGACCCATAAACGATATGGAGGCTGAGTTCAAAAAGATTGACACCAATGGTGGTGGGTTCATTATGTTTGATGAGTTCTGTAAATGGGCCATTGGCAAGAATCTGGACTTAGAAGATGATGATGACAACATTGCTGAATAACGTTCATGAATGTTCTAAAAACATCGTTAAACTCAGTGTTTTGATCAAAATTTTATGCGTATGTTTAATAATGTAGTTAATGGCTTGAAAATATGTCATTGAAAAATAATAAATAACCAATCGCATAAAACAACGTGTAGCACGTGACTGAATTCATCCCATAACACTTGTATAGTATTCTATTTGATAAAATTATTGGTAAAGTTTCAGAAATATGCGCAGAGAAAGTGTCTCGCTGATTCTCCGTTCTAACTATAAATCAAAACTATAAAATTAATAAAACAAATTATATCGGGCATGCGTATTACAAGCAAACGTATATCCAGTTACTTCTTTCAGTCAGTTAACATGTACATGTCGAAGAATGCATGGTCGAATGTCGTCATATCGTGCAAAGATTTTTTTCAACACTCTTGATTTTCTCAGGCTTCACTTTGCTTGAGTTCAATATCTCGAAAAGTAAAACGTATTAAAGCATGTGAAAGCTATGTGAAATATTCAACTTGTGTGTACATAGAATGTACGACGTACGTGGACTGGTACAACGCTACAGGCCGCCTGGGGCACGTGTTGTGTGTATGACAATATGAGATAATGAGAAGAAGTATTACTCTGTGCGAGGGAAGAAATTTTGAAGGTTGTTCTGGATGTAAGTGCTGGTAATCTACAACTTATTACAACAATCTCTTTTTTTTAATCATGAATAATTAACCATAACCAATAAATCTGACGGTGGTGTTTGTTTTTACTAGACAACTTTCTTGCCAAGTCAACATGTATATTTATTTATAATCAATACCCTAATGACGTTTTATAATATAGCATAACATTATTGCAGTGGATATCATAACATTACATTGATGGCTTCTTTGCACTCACAAACTACATCATAAATGATAACACATGACAATTAACATTAATGTAGCATTGGCAATGAATTGAACACGGCACAAGTTTTGCAATTAATGAACCGATGCTATCTCAAATATCTTCTAATAACTTTTCCCTTAATAGAAATAACGGTTTATTCAATGTCTATTCAACTTGGTAAATATACAACACTTTCTAATTCAACAAACCCCATGTAGTCTGGAGCAGTTTTGCTCTGTTACTTTCATTTTAAAACTTTTGTTTGTGATTAGCATTAAAGTTTGTTTTTGATTTGAGTGGGATTAAAAAAATATTCTACCATGAATATCAAGGAATATGTATGTGTGACCGAAGCAAATTGCTTTTCGGTTGACACAGTGAAACAAATCACAAATTGGCTGAAGAATTAAAGTCTTTCCACTGTTTGAAAAGTTATCAAAAATTGTATTATTTCTTGTATTATTATTAGATATGTATTGTATTCTTAGATAGTATAGTGGGAACAGGCCAACCATTAATGATTTTTTGTGGTATGTGCGCACCTTGCCCCCACCAGCTCTGCCACCACTGTTACAAAATTGGCCATAAACAACCTCATTGAATTATATGCAGCCTTGATATAATTGAAGTAATGTTACATCAAAAGTGCAATAGAATTGGCTTTACAACAGAATTGTTATACAAAATTTACAAATGCTAAGTATACCTTCAATATTAAAATAAGATTATCCCACATTTAACAGGACTGTTCATCATGTATTATGAAAGCAGTTTTGTTCAAAGTGTGTGCTAAACATACTTGGCCTGTTGAAATAACCATGTAACCAAATATGTGTCTGTTCTTTTAAAACCACAAATTGTTGAAAACATAACCCAAATGTTCACATGAAAATAATATCAAGACAGTAAAATAAAACTTTTAAATACATAAAGGAAGTCTACACTTGCTGAATTTACATCAATATTTTGGTAGGCTATAGCTCAATTTATCTTTTTTTTTTGGAAGCCCAAAGTTTTTTTTTCAATCAATGCTGCAGTAGCATTGCGGCAGTAGTAGACCTATAGATTTTACATAGGTCTCTAGCTTTATAAATTTTCTGAAATTGATTGTGTCCATCTCAGAAATTGATTGAATCTTGAACTATTAGCATCTGACTGGTCATAGTACTGGTATGTATGGTGAAATTATTAACATTTATTGGTCAGTTTTCTTTTAGAAATAAATATACTTTCTGATGAGCCAGCAAATTTATGTGAATATTGTCAGTTAATAACAGTTTTAATATCAGTAGCAGATGTAAAACTATAGACAAAAATCGCTAATTACATTACAATAAATATGCATTTTAAACAAAATATGTACATCTGTTTGAACAGTTTTATTGGCAATATTTTTGCTTGATAAATCAATATTGTTTGGTAATTTCAAACCAACAATCTTGTTACTTTGAAATTATAATTAGCTGTTGCAATGTTTCAGGCATACTGTAGATCAGTGACTGTGTTACCGTTGACCTGTTGTGTGGCTATCATATCTTCTAGTCTTTCACTTGTATGACGTGTTTAATCGTGTCTGAACCTGCCTAATCTTAATTACATAAAAATAACAAACAAAATTGCAGTCTACTTAGTGTAATTACACCATATATTTCTTTTTGTTGGACGTATTGACAGAAAATCCACCACTTTTTGTTTTCATTTTGTATTTAGTTGACATGGCTAGTTATTTGACGCTTGTGGGTGACTGTGCTGTTGGCATCGTCGAAAATGCGCGATGTTGTACACAGAAGTAAGTACTTATTACAATTTACAACTGGCCAAGCTGGTTGTTTAATTGCAGTAATCTGCTAATAGTCTATTATGACATTATTTGCCGTACATGTTATAACAGGGAATACGCAAAGAATATATAAGAAAAAAATGCTCGCGCCCAGCATGCTACATCGGCAGAACTTAAGCTAACATCAAATGTCATTGTGGAATACTTGAATTACCTTGTGCGACTTGCGTGCAGTACAAATTTATTGACAACATTAATTTTCATAGGCGCTTGTTTTCGCATTATTAATACTATAAATGATATAATCATGTGCAAATGTACATCATGATCTCAATACTTTGATCGGTCGTGTTGTCATCGTGCGAAATGCGCATAAATTATTGGTATTAATATAAGCATTGTATGTCAACAATGACGTCCGTTGACCTAGCTCTTGCTCAAACTTGTCTGAAACACGAAACAATACGGAACTAAAATATGAGCTCTGATACGAGTCCTACAAGTACAAGAAAACGTAAAAACGACATTAGACCCTCTGCTAAAGTTGTAAAATGTCTATTCGGTAAATGTGAAGACATTGAAAATGATGAAACGAAGCGTAAAGCTGAGGAAGAGAACATCTCTCATCTCAAAGAAATGGAAAAAAAGTATGGTTACGATTTCATTGAAGATCGATTTTCAGACATTGGGGATTCGCCATGTAAAATAATGAAGATAATTGAAGCGCGTTATGGAGACAATTTAAAACCGGCGACTTCGTCAAACTTTATCACAAATAGCGAGACATTGTCGGTTCCTTCAGAAAATGTATTTGACAAAAAGGACTGTAGCTCATCTCGCGAGTACAGCGTAAATGAAATGACAGAAAAGACAGAAGAAACTGTACAACACTGTTCAAGTCGTTCTAATGAAATTGATCAGAAGAAGTAAAGGGGTTTACTTCAACCTGTTTCAGGCACTGGTTTCAGGTTGAATTTTTGTACTTCAGAGATATTCAATGCCAGTCAAATCAACTTTGAAAGCGATCAAATCGTTCTGTTTGTAAGAAAAAGCTATGTCAGTATATGTTGCTTGCTTCCGGAGCTTTTAGCCACATAACTAGGTATATTGTTGAAGCAGATGTATTTTGCATCTGCTGGTATTGTTCCGTCTGATATATTATGATCATCGGTAAGCCATGTTCCTAGTGAAAAGTTCCGATGTATTTGTCAACTGTGTATTTGCAAATGGTTGTAAACCAGTAGAACATAGTAATGGTTTACATAATAATTTCTATGTATGGATGATTATAACTTGTTGCTATAATATAGTAAGTCATATTTCAGGATCTTTGTAATCTCGTCAGTTTGCACACAATATAAGTGAAAATTTCAGCAATTCGTAACAAGAAAATTTTTTACAATTTTTGTGCTCTGAAGGAAACATGCCGCATGTTTAAAGACCAAGGTCATGATTACGTTCAAGTTCATTTCACTTTCACTCTGCTGTACACGTATTAATTGTCTTTATGTTTGAAAACCTGAACAAAAAGGTATGCTAATGTTGGAATATCTTTACCGATTTTTTGAAAGGAAAGAAAGTGCACCCTGCCGCGAATGCCTTTGAACTGTGCCACAAAAACAGCTAAATTGCCAATTGACTGCACTCTGATTTAAATGTTCAAACAATAAATCACTTTAAAATGTTGTATAATAGCTTAAAATAGCACTGAGTGTATTTGATAAATGCTTTCGAGTCACCTAATATGTTATTTTCCAGAAACACCAGTACCTTCATTTCGTCAGATTACATGATTACATATTCAATATGTGTGTTCAACATTGGTAGTTGTTTTGTCTCCAGATTAACGCTTCGTATGTTTTCGCAAAGGTTTTGCGAAAACAAATGAAAGAGATCGTATATTTATTTTGATTTGTTGACTTTAAAAAGTGACCCACACTTTACGTTTTCCTGTCCGTGTTTTCGTTTAAGATGACATTTCACCAAAGTGTGTTTTTTGTTTTGTGAAATAACGATCAGATAATGTTGATCCAGTTTCATTGTCAATATTTCAAGCATTTCCTTTGACCATTTAAGCATATGCAAATCTTTTTTTATGAATTGCAATCGGAACAAGCCTGTTTACATGTCAGAATGTATATTCCAGTTTAACTTGGAATAATGAAGTAAATGTTATTTGTACCGTCTATGTGAGCAATGTATGTACTTCAGAGATCGCCCAGATTTCCTTGTAGTACACCACTTTTCCGATGTGAGCTCTAACTTCTGCTATATTTGTGAAGCATCTCACAAATATAATCATCAGAATTAATTATGAACCCACGATCAATGACGGAAATTCTAATATCTGCAAATATCTTCACCTTCAGGCCTCCCTTTCTTACCAATATCAATTTTCAAATACTTTAAAACCATCAACTCCGCTATGACTCACTTTACGCTCAAGATCAAAGATTCTCTTCACATCAACAAAATGCACCCGATCCCAGCTTTCAAATTCAGTATGTCAATCCTATTTTCACTTTGTTAACAGAGAAATCATCAACTCATGTGTTCTACATGTAATCAGATCACTTTCCCATTGTGTAAAATCATTTATTCACGTTATTGTTCATATATTATCGTGTCATATTACTTGACACACTTTGCAAAGCCCATTCGGACTGCAAATGGCTCAATGTAGAGGTCAAAACATGCTTGCTTCAGATTTCTATTGTTTTCTTTTAAATGCGTCAAATATCTTTGTTGCCACTGAGAAAATAAGTTTATTTATTTTAAATTATTTATTTTTACGAGGTACAAAGTATTGCATTTTTACGATTCATACTCTGTATTTATGTCAGAATAAAGAGCAAACAAACATTGGATGCAACCAAGGAGGAAAGAGGGATGATGTAGCTCAATCATAGGTGGAGTCATGTAGATATAGCGGCGGACTAGTATCCCGAAGGTGCGAGTTTAAATCTCGTCCAAGTCACATGTTTTTCATGTGCATATTTAAATACCGTGTTAGGATTAATATATTATGCAGATACAGTCGTCATGTAATACAGTGACAGGTACAGTTATGGGCGTCCAAAAAGGACAAAATTACCAATGTTATACATTTAAATCGAATGTCGTAAATAATATCAAACGCTTCTAAGAAGCAATTGAAATAAGCCCGTACTTAAATCCAACTTACTCAAAAGCAAATCGAAGTTGCTACACAAAACAAATCGATCTGTCACTTTTTGGTAACTTATTGGATGCAAGAAAAATCACTATCAAAATGGCCGGCGTTAGATGGCTTCCAAGACTGGAAAATTTGGACGATATTTTGAGTTTGTTTTACTCACGGGTTTATGAGGCAGATGAAAGTAGACAAAGACTTTTTGGTTTGATAAGTAGTTCGTTAGAAGCTGTTCGAACTCTTAAGATACAATTTGGTCTTTTAACTCTACGCACGTTGCAGGTGGAAGAGCAAGTAAATCGTGATATATTGTATCCAAGTAGATTTCCATGACTGTAGACTTTCATGATGTAGAACAATGGTAAATACAGTCATGATGCAGTATAATGATGGATTTAGTCTACAATGATGGATACAGTCATTGTGAAAATACAATATGGCCGGCGCGTGTAGTCATTTGACTGTTGTCTGTTAATCTGGCTTGAAGAGTAGTGAACCACCCCGGCGACAACAAGAAAAAGTCCATTTCCTGTATTTGCATGTTCCTTGTAATCATTTCCAGAGGGAATCCCCAACCAGGGATCTATTTTTTTACAGATAGTGTCTGTTCGTATAAGGAAACTATTGCTTTTCTTTCGCGATTACGTTTGATGTGCGAAAATTGTACATTACTTTGAAAGGAGATGTGTTGAACGCAGCAATAAGTACGAATAGGAGAAACTCATTATATTTAACAGGATGCTTTATTTACGTCGGCAGACAGACGAGGTGGGCCTTATCTACCTGATCTGAAGTCGTATACGGTTGCAAAACGTGGGTTTAATAGAAAATATCGCATGGCAAGAGTGTGCGTTTAATTGAAATTTGAAATTTTCTCTTTCCGTCGAGTGGTGAACATCAGTGCTCGCGAAACAACAATAAACAGCGCATTCCTAATGATGATTATTATCGAGAGGAATAAACAGCGTTGTGATTTAGACCGGACGCCATTAACGGATAAATATTGATGGCAACAATAGTATCGAATTTTATTGGAGATTATGAATTCTAGCTCTTACTTATATATTCATCAGACAAATTTATAGAAACAATCATTTTTTCCCCTATAAACATAGTCACGTTTAATTACCGCTGTCATTTATCAACGCCCATTCACAAATAACCAATAACGACAAATACGAAATCGCACATTGTTCTACTATGATTCCATTGACTGGCGATTTTTATAATGAATCGAAATACAAGCACATTATAATTCCGGATGTCTGTTGCGTACGTTTTGAATTGAGCAGCAAGCAATACCTGTAGAAAATCGATCATGAAAGAATTTAGGATGCGCAACAAAACGCTACTGTAAATTGTACTGATTTATGAGAGTATAACATTGAGAGGTATTAGGGTCACGAATTTCTAAAAGCGGGTAAATTTTCGGCAACAAGTTCACGTATGCATGTCGAGTGACTCATGAACAGCAGGATGTCCTCATAACCTTGGAAACAAGTCATTTAACGAGATCAAATAACCGCGTCGGTAGTAAATTCCTTTGTGAGGTAAGTGGCGTTGACTCGTAGAGTGCCCATCGTAGTACAATGAACGAACCTTGAAGCTACTCAGCAGATTATCACAAGGCGAAACCAGTTCTTTATCTTCGATGTATTAAAGTGAAAATGAGCAGAGGACGTGGAACAGTGAGGAGACGGTTGTTCGACGAACCACCGACAAACGAGTGCGAGCAGTTGAACAATATTAATGTTAGCGAAGATAACGAACAGCTACTTGATCGTAAGCAAGAGGAATGGAACTTTGATTTTCGGAATGGTCGACCATTGCCTGGTCGGTATGCTTGGCAACCTATGGTTAGCAACACTGTTCATCGAGCACGGCCATGTGCTTTTACACCTGTTGCAACAAGGACTACAAGTAATGAATCAATTACTAGTCAAGTAAATACAACAAGTACCAGACATGGATCAAGCAGAAGCTCAAATGTTGTAAGACATTCACCGTATAATCTCCGAAGCCGTACAAGAAACACACGTACTGTTGAAAGAGGATTTTATCCAGTTAGTAATTATTCAAATAGAGACAGAAGTAGCTCGAGGTCTTCGAACGCGTCAAGTGAACGACCCGAAGGCGACGTTAGGACGTAACCTCGTCAGAAAAGATATGACCTTTCATTGTTTCTTTTGCCACATTTTCCTTGACTGTTCACTCATGAAAATTTGTTTGTCAATGTTGTACACGGGTCCCTTATTGTGTAAATAAGTTATAGAATCTATATACAGGGGACGTTAATAAATTAATATAACACTATTGTTATATGAAGTTAGTTGATCATCATCTGCTATGAAATGACTCGACATACAATGTCGTGGGTTTTCTAAATGCCACCCTTGCATTGTTCTTTTGTTTTGCTTTTTTCATATTATTTTATAAAGTCAACCATCCCTCTTAATGTATTTTGATTTTCAAAAGCACCCATAGCAACTGTATGGAAAAGTGTTATCGCATACATTTGAAGGATTCGAGGATTTTCCTTTTAATTATGTATTTTCGTGGCGACTTCGTTTTTGTTTCTTTATGCATGTTGATCTCATTTGCAAACATTCTCGTACGCCATGCTGTTCGCTGAAATTCTGGGATTCAGTTCGGAAAACCTAAATAAATAGCCCATCCCAGTCATGCCAGACTAGCTCAGACACGTCCAAGGAACCATAACAGCTGACTATACAAGAAAAATTTGCATCACAGACTAGCGTAAAAAAATTGCAACAACTGATAACTATCCTAAATTACAATAATTGATGATTTTCTTTCCACATTTCGAAGATCAATATGTTGTACGAGCTCGTGGGGTATGAACAAAATATTCTTGTAGATGAATGATTTGTGCACGCATGTGCAACACCGAATAAAATACATGAAACAATGGGAGCCGTGTATAAAATTATTTGACTTATAGAAAGCGACGTTTTTAAATCTTAACATTAACACTATGATGCAATTCATGACTTCTTAAGCAAAGGATCCCGCATGTATCTAAATAGTACATTTCTGAAGTTTTCGTTATATGTGAAAGCGGACAGACCCGGAGTTCGAAGATAGAGTGATCTCCCGCTTAGATGGATTATTTTGAGCGAGAGATTTTTTAAACATGCATTTACGTGTAAAAACACCGACTTTCACTGAAGATTGTGTGAAATTTTCGTGTTAAAAATTGTTTATTATAAACCATTGTCGAAATTCGAAAATTTCAATAGTCTCAAGCTGTTTTTGTTTCTTTGAATTTGAAAACGACAATCGTCCCGGCAAGCTGATGCGTGCGACAGCGAAAACTTTTCCGGTTCTGTTTATTGAAACCGAGATCCCGCTAAAAAAGGACTTAACGGAAGTCATGCTGTTCTAATTAAAAACTGAAAAAACGAACATGAAACCAATAAACTTATTTCTTGTGCAACGTCGTTTGCAATTGATTGTCATCTACCATTCCATAGGATCATTTGAACGTTTCCAAATATGAGGCGATTGTTTTTAAAATTTGTGTCCATTTCCGAAATTTAGATTTTGACATCAAGCCCAAATCTTGTGCATATAAATTTCACACGCAACTCCCTCGCTTTTCAACATCCTGTGCAGTGAATGCACAAATCAATTAGCACTTTCGATTTAACAACCTTGCAAGTTTGAATTAAAATCGTGATCAGCGACGCCCTTGTAAACCCTAGTTCAAATATTTGTGCTGTCACTCTGTGTTTTGATAAAGTTCAGAGAACTATGTTACGGCACCTCTCGGAAGCGGACTCCTCCTGTAAGCGTATGCGGACACTGAAACAACCTTCCCAAAAAACATAAAGCGGACACATTTGATATATTTTCGATTAATGACACTATATAAGAATGGAAACACATGTTATTATCAGCGTGACAGAGCTGATACGGAAACAATTATTTTGCGCATTTTATTGCTCTATTTTCTTCAATTTTGGTCTCCTGAGGTGGTATAAACGTATTCTACATATTTAGTGTTTACATCGACAACATTGGTTGGGTTGCAATATAATCTACAAGTACAAATATTTGCTGGGCGTTTTTTGAACGGATACCAAGCCGTGGTTTCTAAGGTGTCGGCTTTAAGGGAGATTTATTTGACTTAAGCTGTTTACTTGTTTGGAGTTTGCCGGATTTACTCTTATAAAAGTAAACATTTCTTTGTAGATAAAACCTTGAAAACAATTGTAGTATGTTGGAAACGGTTGTTTTGAGAATATTCGCCCTTTGCTAGCTTACACTCATGCCCTCATTGACGAAAGAGGTAATTGGATGAAGTGGGCTCTTTGGGCTGTTCAACTTTCTTGTCATTTCATTGTATATCAAATTGTCGTTAAAGCTTTTGCAAAGCTCTAATAGTAAAGTCTTCGAACACACAATGGCGTGGCTCTGTACAAAGGACATAATGTCGAGTGCCTTTCTAAAGGGGCCAGGGCCAAGCTCCCCCCGGAAAATCTGTAGTTTATCAATAGCGATTTCCCGTCTTCGTAGGTGAGATTTTTTTGATTAGTTGGATGATAATATTTGAAGTCAATTAGTTATCCACCACCCTACCCTAATTTTACAAGTATTTCATCTATTGGCGTGTAAAAACCAATGTTTTTACGTTCCTTTAATTGACTCGTGGTCATTCTTTTATGTTGTATTTCTGCTAGTGTACGTAAATTTCGCAGAAGAAAGATTCAATATATCATTAACAGTAACGAATACTCCAATGGAATACTCCCTCCATAACCCATTCTTTGACGCTCACAGCAACCACTCATCATCCCCAGTGATCATCCCCTCTTAGTTTCTATGGAAACAAATGTTGAAAATTCAAATTATATAAAATTGAAAAAAATTATATCAATGATTTATATCAACAGCTATGGCAAGTTTTTTTTTATTTGTTCTCGTTTTTTTTTCTTCCTTGGCAAGGACCTAGGTATGTGAAAACAGCGTGTCTCCTGAAACTTTGACAATAGAATTAGTGCTGCAGAGGGCAACCGACTTTTAGTTTCCTAAATTTTTTTGTTTTAAAATAAATGAAGACCGTATAAAACATAACGATAAATGAAAATAAGGGCCGTCTGTATGAAACTTAGTTCATTTCCTTGTTACTGGAAGTAGTAAATCTTTCACAACGTACACTTTTACTTGAAAATCTGTACAAATACTTCACATATCATTCCTCAAGATCACCTGCAACAGAGTTCTCTCCATAAACAAAATATTTTTTTATCTTCAAGGCAACGAGCATAGTTCAAGTCCCAAGATATTGGACAGCAGTTCTCCTTCGACTGTTCACACTGAGCGGGGTGAACAAATTCGTTTAAAATGTTTATACCATGCCGACACGAATGTAAAGATTAACTGGATGAAAAATGGATTGGAAGTTCATCACAATTGTGATACTTGCATCTTTAAAGTGGAGACGTTACATGAGAGTAACGTCAGTTTCTTGCAATTTAGACCTTACGTTAAGGATGACTTTGGAGTCTATGAATGCCGCGTCCGAAACACTTATGGAACAGCTAAATATAAAATATCTGTAAAACGAATCGGTAAGATTTTTATTTTTACTGTCTTTCTGTTCAAGTTTGTGTGGAATCCTGTGTTCAAAAATATGGATTAAGTTAGCATAAAATGTGAGCTTTACTTCTGACCCAAAAACCTGGTAGTCAATCTTGTTTTCGTGGGAAAGTTAGGGATTGTAGACACGAATCTTAGCTGGATTTTTAAGATACAACGAGACAAAATGCCAAAAGAAAGAACATTATCAGAAGACCCAAGAAAAAACACCAATTTCGTCCGGTTTGTAATGAAGATGGGTCGTATCACAAAGTACAATGTTCTCTTCATCACGATATGTGTTGGTGTGTCAACGAGTTTGGCAAAAACTCTCGATGTATTTGATGGTGTTAACGGTTTAACGTGTTTTCTCCCAAAGGTAAAATTTATCGACAAGTTTCAGTTAGTGTTTTGCAACATTTTACAGAGGTTTAGAGCAGCATAAAGTGTTGAAATTGCTTTCACTATCCTTCATGCAGGGCGTATAAAATTTAAATCCGTAGAAATTGACGTGATGTGATAATTTTAATGCCTATCTCAGTGTTAAGCCAACTTGCATTATTTTTCTGATTGGCACTAAAGTTTTTCTGCTTCTTGAAATGTCACATGCCCAAATTCTTGAAAATGCACAGTTGTGCATGAACTGCAACTATGCACAGCTCTCTAAATGCAATGCAATTCATGCACAGTTGTGCACCTGTAGGGTTAATATACAGAGACTAAGCATTGAAATTTCAAAATAGCTTGATTTCTAAAGGCCTTTTTGATACACCCTGTATATCGTTTTTAAATAGATTTATCGTTCGTGGCAGTCTTTGTCTTGATTCAAGGGATTTTAGTGATGTTGTTGTTAATCGATCAGATCGTGGAATTTTATACCCACCGAAGTGTAAACGGAGCTTTAAGAAAATATTTCCATGAGCGTTTTGACAGTTTCAAGAAAGAATGTAAGTCAAAACTAAAACATTTATTTTTATCTAATATTTTCAGGCATTCATCTCAAATTCACCCATGTCTTGGATTAGCTATCACGACATGACAAAATAACAAAGAAACATCTCAATTGTAGATAGCAGAATTATGAAGGAAGTGGAAGACAGTAAGAGACGAACTAAAGACCTCTTCCTACTCAACCTACAGAGAGTAACATGAAAAGAAAGAAGAGGAAAATAAAATTAAACGTTGACAAAATTTTCTGTAAAACGTGCCTTTGTTTATTTGGTTATTTCAAATATTTTATGATCTTGGGAAAGACCATCGGTCTTAAATATCACAACCAACTTAGTATTACTCATTCATATTTAAAAAAAACTAAAATTTTGTTATTTTTAGTGAATGAAATAAGTTCTATGACATTAACGTTCAACTGTGTAATCTATCCAATGTTTTCTTTTTTTTCCCGCGCTTGTCGTCATGTCATCCTCATCCCCAGGACTTCCAACAAGAGATATACCAGTGGTGAAACCATCTGAGGTCAGTAGAAGCGAGCTACAGGCTGCTGATAGGTTGTCTTAATGAAAAAAAAATCATTGCCTTATTAAAGTATTGGCAACAATTTGCCCATTGGCACATCACAGTAAGTGATTGTATGTCGATTCTAAATGGTACTGTTTACTTTAAATAATACAGATTACAGTGTAATCTAATGTATGTTTTCATATACATTAAATTTCATCAAAGTGGCAGCAATGGGTGGAAAGGGGGCCCCAGTTCATTTTGACATGGTGGTGCCACTATGTAATGTGCTTTTGAAAAATTTCCTACATGTTATTTTGTGGAAAAATTTCCTGTCAGTCATTTTCCAGCTCCTGAAAATATCTTTCAAAATTTTCACTTGATACTTAATAACAAAGAATGTCACTTACATGATGATATGGCAAGATGATTTACTTTATTTTTTCAACATCTCCTGGATACCATTTCTTAACATGAAACGAAAGTTTTTATGAAAAGTATGATAGCAGCTTTCTATATGAAAACATCTGATAAGAATGTTTATACCTTTGCCTGTCTGGCAGCCCCAATGTCGATATAACTCTGGCATTTCTCACTATAACATTCAAAAAAAAATTATTTAATCACATAATATTGAAGCCCATTGCCTGCCAGTGGCTGATACCACATAAACGTTTTATTATGAAAATTTAAGCATGGGTGAACACAGGTCAACATTTTTAGGGGGTCAATACATTTTCATTCTTAAATGATCTATTTTACATAACTTTCCAGCAAATAATGCCCAACTACCTTTGTCAGCTTAACATTTGTGGAGAAGGGATGCAGCTGCCTGCCCTGCCCCACCTAATACACCTATGAATGTATATGCCTGTATACTTGTTTATATTTACATCAATATAAATTTGAAATGCATTTGATTATGTAAAGTATTACATCACTGATGTGCTTGCCTTGTTTACGTTTTTCTGGCAGGCAGATTAATCGCAAGAGAGGTTAGCCATTGTTGCTAGTGATGTCCAAAAGCACTAGATCAAAACTGCCTGCCAGCAAAAACGTGAACAAGGCAAGCATCGATATGATAGATTGATGGTTACCTATTTGAGCATTTCTTGCTACTGTCTGTAAAAAAAAGAATTATTTTAGCTTTAAAACCACTTTAAAATTGACACTCTACCGTACTACATGACTTACATTCAGATGGCCAGAAATCTTTAGAGCTGATCTGACAAACCGAACATTTTTCATCCCACAATGAAATGGCAGCATGTTTAAAAAGTGTGACTGATACTATTACTGTTTCCCATCTGTCAAAAGTTTATATAATATTCGCCTTTTCTGTAGAAAATACGGCATTCCAAATCTCCAAGAACTTTTGGAAACATTATTGATTTATGTGACTTATTTTATAATAACACTTTGCAACAACGTGCAAAATTAGATCGTCTCACTCACTCACATCACTTTTGGTGGAATAATCGACGCTAAGATAATTAATCGAAGTAAATGAAACCACTGACCTGTATAATAATTACCTGGACGGCAACCTCGTCAAAATTATTATATTTTGGTAAATTATGGGTGAAAATGTCAGCGGAGTTGCACAGGCTCATGTATTTACATTAAATATTTACAGTGTTGCCAGATTTGTGAACTTTTTGCTCACTTCATGAACATTTCATGAACATTGAAAGTTTGTAAAGTTTTTGTGAACTTTTCAAAATTTTATAAATTTTTCTATTTTCATCATATTCATAAAGGAAGTATTGATAAATCATGGCTCAATGAAAAGGAAATCTTCAGAGCTCGACAACTCTTTCAAAACAACGACGATTTTCAAGATAATCCGATGTTTTCCGGTATGTTCCGAGTAATTCCGAGAGATTTCGACAGTTTCCGAGATCTTCCAGAAATTTCCGAGTTAGTCCGAGGCTTTCCGTTAACTTCCGATCTTTAAAATTAGATGTAATATGAACTTTTTGCCATTTTTGTGTACTTTTGACGCAAGCGAGCATGAATATTTAAAAAATTCATCTGGCAGCACTGACTATTTACATTACATGGTTTTTATAAATTTCAATGGTGTTTAAATGGTAAAGCATTAAATAAACTTTGAATAACTATTCCTTATGTTTATCAAACCATCCTACCTCACCTTATGCAATAGAGACGGTCGTCAACATCTTTGCTGAGTTTGTGAACGTTTTGCTTTTGGCTTTAAGAAGTTTGTTTGTATTTGACTATTAATAAATTACAATGGCTCAATGATAGAATCAAACCCGCAAAGCAGGCTAGGAACGACCTCTTTTGCCTCTGCAATCATGGCGACTCAAATCAGTAAAAAACGAAAGGTATCTTTCGCTCCCGTTTTAATTCACCTGTGCCATATAAACTTCTCATTAGTTGTTGAAATCAAAATAAAATGCATCTAAGATTTTACAGCCTTCAACATTCTATGCAATACATGTGTTATGCTGACTGATTGATTTGGATTATAATCATAACATTCGCGGAATATTATAGTATTCATTTATACAAAAACATCTTAAGCAGGCCCACTGGTGCTGTAATTGTTATTAAACTAGTACAAGTATCAAAATAATCATAATGAAATGTTCATCACCCTAAGAAAATTCAAAATATGTTTGTAGTTTGTAGCTGATGGGATATTCAAGGCTGAATTAAATGAGTTTTTAACTCGTGAGCTTGCAGAAGATGGTTACAGTGGAGTTGAAGTACGTGTTACACCTATAAGAACTGAGATAATTATTCTTGCCACACGAACTCAAAATATCTTGGGTGAGAAAGGACGTAGAATTCGCGAACTTACGTCTGTGGTACAAAAACGGTTCAACTTTCCTGAAGGCACAGTTGAGGTAAGATGTTTTGACACATGACAATTATAGAATACCCTGGCGCGAGGCTAGGTTATGATTAGGAAAAATGTTAGGGTTTGCCAATTCGGGTTTGGATTGCTACTTGTTAGTAGTTAAGCTGTATAATGTGACAGGGTTTCTATAATTTGTCCATTAAAGTTTCTGTAATTTTTATGATTGACTTTTACTTTTTATGAAAAAGTTGCATTCTGTTCATGCAAGCATTTTGACAATAGGCAAGTTGAATTTGATGTTTTTATTTCAATTAAGCTCATGATAATTTGAAAATTGACAATTTCATGGATAATTCTTGCAACCTCATGAATTAAATTGAAACTTGCGCTTTTTGTCTATTATTTCACAGTTTTTATTATCTTTAAGTTGTTATAGCATAAATTAGTATAGCATTAAGTTCTCTTCCCCTCTTCTCACTTTCAATGAGTGTGTATTGCAAGTATGTGTGCAAATTTTGAAAGTATGTTATTTTAATGAAAATACAAGTCAAAATTTGCACAGAAACCATCAAAAACAAAATTCAGGTGCCCAAAATAACATATGATCTCGGGTTTGCAATGTACAAACTTTTTAGTCTGGTCAATAATAAAGTTTTTGTTGAAAGCTGCTATAAGAATCAGGGTTCGAATTAACACATCGCAATTCACAAATTAAGAGCCAATTTTGTGCTTTAGCAAACAAAGACAAATAAATTGCAAATCGAAATCTGAAAAAATACAGCTAAAGCTTACTTTAGACATTCTTTGAATGGAAATTTATTAAAAACACAATTTAGTACGGCTGCCATTTATGCTTTGTTCAGTAACAAATGCTCCATTAAAATATTGATAACCAGACACGTTCTAACTATAGCACAGTACACTTTGGCTGTAGTTGACACTGACACTTTGAATATTTTGATGTGAAGAAGTTAGCATTAACTGCTTTTTCATGCGGATATAGACCGTGGTAACAATATTATAAGGCGAAAGCTAATAAATTTTTGTCAGATATAGTTTTTCTTATTAATCTATATGAAAATTGTTGCGGCCAGTTTATACAGACAATTTATTGCCTTAACTTTCCACTGCTGTTTGGCAAATTTCAAACATAGGCATGTGTATAAGCAATGTTATAGGCAGAATGCAAATTTAGAAATTTCAGTAGATGCACATTTTAAAAAGTTGCGAATCGATTTTTTCCTCCTAATTTGAACCATGAGAATTATCTGAACTTCGAATTTATTAAGAGAAATGCCTTTCATACTCGGAAGAAATTATACATGATTGATGATTTTTGTGGCAGAATTTTTACAAGCTGCTATGTTAGTTGTGTAAGTTTAATAATTGATTCTGGTTCTACCCAATTTGAAAAGAAGTTTGAATACCAACACATAAATTTGCTAGTAAATCTTGTTGAACCCCATGCATCATGAAAATCATGGCAGTTCAATGTTTATATAAAAAATTGCAATCAGTTTAAATTATATATTCATTAAAAAGATAGTACACAGTTCTGTCATTCTCAAGTTATTGAAATTTTTGTAGCATCTAATTTACACAACCACTGAGGTTACATTGCAAAATGATAGGTCTCTTAATGCTATGTACACTAATTACAAAATTTTTGATCTTGAGATATACATAGACTGTTTTATAAAGTCTTTTGCTCTTTTAAAAGTTTAACCCACCTAAACTGTTGTCTACTACACAGGGTAAATATGTACTTGTATTAAGACATCATCACAGAAAAATGCATAACACAAGGGACAAATAAACCACTTTTAAGTCAGTTATAATCTTGCCATGACCAACACAGTTAACGCCAAAGTATAAGTAAAGCAAACGATACATTTTCTTAAAGTGTTTTATTGAATTTCTGTTATTGCCATACTCTGACATTAATTTGCAAAATGCAATTTCTTTTTAAGTTATACGCCGAAAAGGTGGCCACTCGTGGACTAAGTGCTATCACACAAGCAGAGTCTTTGAGATATAAATTGCTTGGTGGCTTAGCCGTAAGAAGGTACTTAAGATAATTAAGAATGATCATTGACTGAACACAGCTATAACTTAACGGCTTGTGTAAATGGCCGCAACGTGACTCAGCAATAGTTGGTATGTTTTAAAACACGAATTATCATCATTTAAGAGCTTGCTACGGCGTTCTTCGTTACATCATGGAGAGTGGGGCTAAAGGATGCGAAGTCGTCGTGTCTGGAAAGCTACGTGGACAACGAGCGAAATCTATGAAATTTGTTGATGGATTAATGATCCACAGTGGTGAACCAACGAAAACTTACGTTGACTTCGCTGTACGACATGTGTACCTGCGACAAGGTTCGATATCAATATGTGATCCACGTGCTGAAGTTGTTGACGCGTTGTTACAATTGATTGCAATTTTCACATTTCTCCTCGAATTGTAAAAAAATTGCAATAAAATTGAGCTCAATCACTCTCGATTTCATTAGGTGTCCTTGGTATCAAAGTGAAAATAATGTTGCCATGGGATCCAACTGGAAAGAACGGACCGAAGAAACCACTTCCTGATCAAGTCAGCATTGTTGAACCGAAGGAAGAAGTTACACCAACTGGCCCTTCTTCCGAACACAAAGGTGGCAAGCCCGAACAGCCTGCACCTATAGCCACATAGGTAAGGTTGTGCTTTCCATAACCTTCAAAAGTGACACACATGTTGAGAAAGCTAAAAATCCGTTTTATTTTCTAGATACGATCTCAAGTTTACATGCATCTTTGAATGGCAGCTTTGTAAAATTTATTGAGGAATAAAACGAAGAAATCTTGAATCTTTGTTGCGACTCGTTACTTTTCTTTCATCATCGCTCTTTCCATGAGAATTTGTGTTGACGAATGTCACTTATTCATTTTTCTTTCCCCAATTAAACCTGATGAGCTGATTACCGCAAATGCTCAAATGATTTCTATAATAACTTGCGAACTAATTACCTCAAAATTTGTGCAAGCACATTCGTTTGGTTGTTGTCTTGTTTGTGAACTACAAAAAATGCAGTTGACGTTGTTCAATTCATAGTTGAATAGATTTTGAATTGATGTTGACGTGTTGCACGAATTCTTTAGCATTGGCTACTTTACTTAAATTGCCGGTGCAACGAGCGGGTTAAATGAACCCTCGACCTTCGGTCTCGGGCTTGTCTGATGACGATCTGCCCTCGAGTTCTCCCGAAGGTCTCCTCGTATGCATAAGTGTGAAGACGCAGTAAACCTCTTTAATTTCTTAAATGTTTAATTTAACTACTATCACTGCCGTAGTATCCATTGGTGGGACAAAACCTTTATTGGCGTCTTGTTTCAAGTTGTCCATGTTGAACACGAGCTTGTTACCACCTGAACCTGAACCCATTTATCCCTCTTTATCAACAATCTAATTAGCGAAATTCAACATGGAGGAAATAGGAATTATTTCACAGGTAAAAGTAAACTATGAATTATCGGTTATCTCTTGTTGAATTCGACTGAATATGTTTACAGAAATTTATTTAATTCGGGTAGGAAAAAAGCTTTGATTAAAGTAACTCAGAAATGCTCGAGAATTAATGAATCAAATCTAAAAGATTAACCCTATGTTGGCTGGACTCTTATCTCATTTATATGTTTTGTGATTGACTGATTGTTGCTCATGTGCTAGGGTTGAATCCCAGCTACTTGTTTTGACGCTAGTATGTGCATAAGTGGTTAAGGAATCATTTATGTTTTTTCATATGTATTAAAGTACACAAAATTTTAGGAAGTGTTATAGTTTTATTGTGCTTTACGTATTTGCGTTTTTCGTTATGTAGGAAGAAGTATTTCATAGTAAAAGTAACCTTCCTGCCAGTTCATATATAACTGATGTGGATGTTGATGATCTCTATGCTAAGTACAAGAAACTTCAGAAACAACTGGAATTCCTCGAGGTTCAAGAGGAGTATATTAAAGATGAACAAAGAAATTTGAAACGAGAATTACTTCATGCTCAAGAAGAAGTGAAGAGAATTCAGTCAGTGCCATTGGTTATTGGGCAATTTCTTGAAGCTGTTGACCAAAATACAGGGATTGTAGGATCTACTACTGGTAACAAAAACTGGGCTATTTATACATTGTGTGTTGTGAAGTAAATAAATTTATGAAAATATACATTTGACATTGTGTTTTGTGTTTATATTTTTATATAGCAAAAGGATGAGCTTTCCAATGATATTTTTTTAATCACAACACAATCTGAAATGATTAAGTACTCCTCGCTTAAACATTTCAAGTCGAAATTGTGGGGAATTGAATTCCTTGAGTACAATTATTGATGATTGTTTAGCATATTAAACAAAAACAAGCCTGCTGTTTTTTTTCTTTTCTTTGAAATGAAAAAATTTTTTTGCTATAGAAATATAACTGTGAAACACAATGTAAAATGCACAGCAACATGTTCAGTTTGATTCACTTCTTTTATACACACTGACTGTTGTGTAAGCAAGACTTAAAGCCTTTGAACTGAAAACTTAATTAATCTTTCCCTGTAGGTTCAAATTATTATGTTCAGATTTTGAGCACAATTGACAGAGAACTGCTCAAACCAAGCTTCAGTGGCTTTACATAAGCACTCAAATGCTTTAGTTGATGTTCTTCCACCTGAATCTGACAGCAGCATTGCAATGCTGGGCGGATGAGAAGCCTGAAGTGTCTTACTCAGATATTGGTGGGATGGATGTTCAAAAACAAGAGATTCGTGAAGCTGTCGAATTGCCTCTTACACATTTTGAGCTCTATAAACAGATTGGAATAGATCCACCGAGAGGTGTTCTCATGTATGGGCCACCTGGTTGTGGAAAAACAATGTTAGCTAAAGCAGTGGCTCGTAACACAACAGCTGCATTCATTCGTGTTGTTGGCTCAGAGTTTGTTCAGAAATATCTTGGAGAAGGTCCTAGAATGGTTCGAGATGTGTTTAGGTTGGCTAAAGAGAATGCTCCTGCGATCATTTTTATTGACGAGATTGATGCAATTGCCACAAAACGTTTTGATGCACAGACAGGAGGTATGTTTTATGTGATTTTAAAAACTTCTAAGTTGTGAAATGAATTGAAAAGTTATGATTTAAAGGTATTGCCTGTTTTTTTCATTTTACCATCTGTTGCTTGAATTCTGTATCACTTATGGATTTAGCGGACAGAGAAGTTCAAAGAATTTTACTTGAGCTTCTTAATCAGATGGATGGTTTTGATCAGAATGTCAATGTAAAGGTAAGAACTTCTTCGTGCGACTTGTAATTGGACAATCAAACTATTTTAATTATTTTAAAAGTAGATGCCTGTTCTAAAATAGCTAGTAATTAGTGCATTTGCAAAGTTTGATTGAAACATATTTGAACATTAAAAAACAGATTGCTTTCTCTCTGACGTGACTTAACGTGAATTTCGTTTAATGGGGAAGGGAAGATTTTTGTGTGAATAGCAACAGTATGTATGGTCTAAATATAAAACTCTTTCGCCATTAACACTTACTTTAATTACTTAACGAGCTGATTGCACTATGCCTGTTCAGAAATTGCTGTTTATCCTTAGGATATTTGGAGATATATTTTTCAAACCTGTGAAAAAGGTGGTTGTGTTTTCTTAACGATAATGAACTTAGTAATTCCAGAGCGAAAATTTTTTATTCATGGTTCATTTCAAACGTAGATATTTCCCTTTTAAAATATTTTTGAATCGTTAAGGGTAAAGTGTTTGAAGTCTATAAAAATGGATAGTGTTCTTCGGCCTTCGCGCACCCGGGCGTCACAAGGTGGGACAGTGCTACAGTCAAAAAGTGTGAGACTTCATTAGGGGTTTAGAGGCATACCCGTTTAGAGAAAATATTTGATTGTATGTACTCAAAACGCTATTTCTTTCATGCAGGTTATTATAATCTTAAAAACACACGATATTACAAGGGCAGCTTTCTGTTAGATGTGTGAACAAGCGCATTCAACTCAATCTTACCTGCTTGCGATGCTTGAAGATTGCTGCTTACCATACTAACTTTCCTGTGTGGCCGTTCATAGGCCACTGTTTTATAGCTTTTGAGTTTGGATTCATTGTACAACCTACGTTTTTTCAATCTCAAATTGGTCTTTGGAATAACCAGGAGGGGACACGTATATCGCTGTTTCCTCCTGGCGACGCCCGACTCCTGTTTTTAACAAAACCTAGGTACAAATCTATCGGAATTTTTAGGTGATAATGGCCACCAATCGACAGGATACGCTTGATCCAGCTTTACTTCGACCTGGACGTTTGGATCGTAAGATAGAATTTCCATTACCAGATAGGAGACAAAAACGACTGATCTTCTCTACTATTACCGCAAAAATGAATCTCTCTGAGGAAGTTGATTTGGAAGATTGTATCCTTTCATTTGATTATCTTAGTTATTTATTAATTACAGGCACATTTGTTTGTTGTGAAGTTGGGATAACGAAATGGAACAGTGCATATTGTTCCTTGGTTGGACGGTTAGACAATAATGCAGGCTATTGCTTTTTTGTTGTTACAAATTGAATGGGAGAAAAAGATTTTTAAGTTCGGAAATGTTCAAATTCTAACTGTCAAATTTTGAAAACACATACCATATATATGTCGTCGCGTTACTAACTTATATGCCTAAGTCACTTCGGAAGTTTTTGAGAAGACGAGAAAAGAATTAATACAAATTTAGTATCAGTCAAACTTTTCAAAGTAATTGGTATGAACCCGGGAGTATCGTTACATGCTTATAGATGTAGATCGTCCAGGTTAGTGGAGTCCTTAGAAGGGCTGTTGTTGTTGATGTTGACTGACGTTTGGACATCCTTAGCGGTAGTCATCTTCCGAGTCAACCTTAGAAGGGCTGTTGTTGTTGATGTTGACTGACGTTTCGACATCCTTAGCGGTAGTCGTCTTCAGAGTCAACCTTAGAAGGGCTGTTGTTGTTGATGTTGACTGACGTTTTGACATCCTTAGCGATAGTCGTCTTCAGAGTCAACCTTAGAAGAGCTGTTGTTGTTGATGTTGACTGACGTTTCGACATCCTTAGCGGTAGTCGTCTTCAGAGTCAACCTCAGAAGGGCTGTTGTTGTTGATGTTGACTGACGTTTTAACATCCTTAGCGGTAGTCGTCTTCAGAGTCAACCTTAGAAGGGCTGTTGTTGTTGATGTTGACTGACGTTTCGACATCCTTAGCGGTAGTCATCTTCCGAGTCAACCTTAGAAGGGCTGTTGTTGTTGATGTTGACTTACGTTTTGACATCCTTAGCGACAGTCGTCTTCAGAGTCAACCTTAGAAGAGCTGTTGTTGTTGATGTTGACTGACGTTTTGACATCCTTAGCGATAGTCGTCTTCAGAGTCAACCTTAGAAGGGCTGTTGTTGTTGATGTTGACTGACGTTTCGACATCCTTAGCGGTAGTCGTCTTCAGAGTCAACCTTAGAAGGGCTGTTGTTATTGATGTTGACTGACGTTTCGACATCCTTAGCGGTAGTCGTCTTCAGAGTCAACCTTAGAAGGGCTGTTGTTATTGATGTTGACTAACGTTTCGACATCCTTAGCGGTAGTCGTCTTCAGAGTCAACCTTAGAAGGGCTGTTGTTGTTGATGTTGACTGACGTTTTGACATCCTTAGCGATAGTCGTCTTCAGAGTCAACCTTAGAAGCTGTTGTTGTTGATGTTGACTGACGTTTCGACATCCTTAGCGGTAGTCGTCTTCAGAGTCAACCTTAGAAGGGCTGTTGTTATTGATGTTGACTGACGTTTCGACATCCTTAGCGGTAGTCGTCTTCAGAGTCAACCTTAGAAGGGCTGTTGTTATTGATGTTGACTAACGTTTCGACATCCTTAGCGGTAGTCGTCTTCAGAGTCAACCTTAGAAGGGCTGTTGTTATTGATGTTGACTGACGTTTCGACATCCTTAGCGGTAGTCGTCTTCAGAGTCAACCTTAGAAGGGCTGTTGTTATTGATGTTGACTAACGTTTCGACATCCTTAGCGGTAGTCGTCTTCAGAGTCAACCTGCATGAGAAGGACCGCTTGTGTTGATGTTGACTGACGTTTCGACAACCTTCGTGGTAGTCATCTTCAGAGTCAAGTAAAGATTACCACCGCTGAGTTTGTCGAAACGTCATTCAAAATCAACATCAACAGTCCTTCTCAGGATTTTACTAACCAGGACGATCTACAAATACAGACATGTAAGTCAAACTTTTTATTGAACATCATATATTGAACATTTATTGAGTCTTTTCGATTGGTCAATTGACTTACGCAATAAATACAGAATGCACCAGTGGACAAAATAGTAGTTTTAACAAAAATCCCTAAATTGAAAAAATATGACTGTAGTAAAAAATTAGCAACGGGAAGGTATGTCAAACTTTTTTCATAGCATTGATTATTTTAACATTTAAAGATAACATGTTTTGAGGTGAGGGATAATATTTTTGGGAAAAATTCATGGATATACGACGAATGCATAAACGGTGATTTGACAACAAGTTTGGAAGAATGGTTTTTTCTTGACTTAACTTTACAGATGTGGCTAGACCTGATAAAATAAGTGGAGCAGACATCAATGCCATTTGCCAAGAGGTAAGAATGATGTGAAATAATGTCCTAATTGCCAGAGTAGAATGCATTCGGACATTTTGGACAGCAGACTTAATTTGACTTACTAAAAATCAGACTTCGTTTGTCTGTTTATACTTTTGTTTAAGAAATGAAAGATGTTTACTTTGCTTGCACAGGCTTATGCAAACCGAGGAGACCTTTGGGAGAACTCGAGAGCACAGCAAGCCTGAGACCGAAGGTCGAGGATTGCCCCTGTTCAAAAATTCTCACAAACCTCTCCGAGATTTGCGTAAGCCAGTGCAAACACGAAACGCATCCTTTTATTTCTTTTATAAAATATTAATATTGCGAAACATATAAATTTAAAACAAACGTTTTAATTTTACCTTTTGTTTACTTATGATTGATTTACAAATTCTCTATATTGATTGATTGAGCTCAGATATTTATCGTTTTTATTTTTAATTGTTTTTATTGTAAACTTAGGCTGGTATGCAAGCAGTTAGAGAAACCGCTATGTTATCTTATCTAAAGATTTTGAAAAGGGTTACAAGACTAGTGTGAAGAAAGATGAAACAGAACATGAATTTTACAGATAAGTTGTAATCAATGTACATGTCATAATTAATCGTTAATTTGTCTTAATTTGTTTTTATAACATTAAGCGTTCATTTTACTGCCATTTCTTAATTGGGTCTGTTTTCAGTTTTTCATAATAGTTTTCATTCTCCCCTGTGTTAGCGCGGCATCCAATGAAATCTCGAGCTGCACATGCGCGAACAAATTATATTTACGTGACCAATACTTGCAATATTTTTCCAATGCGTTCTAGTTGCGTTCTTTTTTTGTCATTTTTGGAGCAATTGATTAAAAATTTGCTTGTCGGCATGGTTCGCACTAGAGCTTTGCGGGTTTAACCGATGGAATAGGTTCTTTCGGTCCTTTTTTATGCATCGAAGACTTTAAAGGACAAAGGAACCGATAGTTTTGCACGACGACAAGAAACAGGTTTGCAATGTACAGTCTCTGCCAGAAAGCAATCATCGGCGCATTACATGGTAATACCACAGATCAGATCTGCTTATTAGCATATACCAAACAAGCACACGCTGGCTTAGACTGTGGATTACCGATTTCTGGAACAGAACAGCTCAAATTTTCACTGAATTTTTATTTGCGAAAAATTTACTGTCACATGAACATTGGAAATCCAACTATACTTATTTTTACACTATAAAGGTTTTCGCAAATATTTTGCGCTAATGAATTTGCGACACTTTCCCTATTGTAAACTTTTTCAATACACCATGTAGAATTCAAAACTTGAAAGTAAGAAAGCATATACGTCTAGTATTATTATTTTCTCTATTATTTTTATTATTGGGAAAATTCATGGAAGAAAAATTGGTGCATCACTTTCTGTTCTTGTTGTTTTTCTTGTAAACTTGATTGTGCATATTGGAAGAGTTACAATTTCCAGTCGTTCTTGCTAAGAATAATGCCATCATTGAGGCTTTGTGCTTTGCATTTTACTGATTCATTGGAGGAACGAGCGATACTGTTGATTTGAGTTGAAAGTCTTGCGGTCTTTTTCCACTTGACGCGGCGATTTTGGAACCAAATTTTCACTTGTTTTTCAGTGAGTTCGAGCATGGCGGCGATTTGAATCCTTCTCAGTCTAGATAAATAGCGATTGTTACTGAATTCTTTTTCCAACTCCAGCAATTGTAGACTTGTGTAAGCCGTTCGTATTCTCTTTTTCACGGCCATGTCATTTTCACGACCACCTTGAGAAATACATTTCAAAATATACGCTTTCGTTAAAGGTTCAGTTGAACATTTTCTTGCTTCATTGCATTTGTGTAACAACGAAAGCTTTCTATACTTAGTGCGTATTTAAAGCTAAAGTTGTGTTTCATGTCTTTGTAATGTAATGGCTCAAGTTGCTACGTTCTTGCAATGTTTCTACAATGTGACAATTTCGTTTAGTCAAAAAATTCAAACCCTACTATGGACTTATATGTAACTATAATATTATTTGAAAAATTAGTGCGTGTTTGAGTAATAGCTATGTAATTTTACAAAGTAAACTTCTATAGGAAACATTATAAACATATTTATTTAATGAGTATTTCATTTCTCTTGGTTCGAATCAGCGCAGTTCCATTTGCTGTCTATATTCAAAATCACTTTTGACTTCTCTCCAAAACCTCTTTCAATGTACCTACCAAAGTATGATTTGAAGTGTCTCGTGGCGTCACTCGAACTGTGAAAATCACCTTCCATTAGCTGGTCATTCTTGGCGATGTAATTTTGATGTACGAATGGGTGGTCTTGACTTCTCGTAGATATTCTATAGGAGCCAAAGGTAGATTTTCCTGGACTGCACAAGTGGCAAAAATTGATCTTATCTTGTTGGAGTAGCCAGTAATCTCTCCAGGCCATCATATCACATGGAATCGGTGCCCTGGTTCTCGGGAGTGCTACTGGCGACGGGCTTCTGCGATGACTGCTTGGCGTGATCGAGTCTATCAGAAAGGAGCTCATCTTTGCAATGATGTATGTTCGACATGTAAAAGCCTAACTGAATGTTTTTAACTTAAACAATCGTTTTCGTTGCGTATAAATGATCACCCTGCCGATCTGCACACATGGAAAACGTTATTACTTGATTGTCGATTATTGTTGAAGCCGAAAATTATGTCATAAATAATAGACAATTTCGAAAATTTATTGGCGTCCAATTAGTGATGTATTATCATCAAACAGACTTTGTATCATTTTTATGTTCTATATTAAATTCGCGTGACAGATGTATTGCTCTCTCTTGTTTATTCCTATACGAAACGAAAAAGATGAAAGAGAATGGCAATTTAAGTAATTATCAACATAGTTTACTTTTGCGGCTTAATTTGTAAGCACAATTTTTGTCCTTTTAAGCTGCTTTTGCAACGTTGATAAAAAGAGTTTAGAATTTTATCATCTGCCATAACTTGTTTTTACATTTGTTGAAAATTAGCTACGCCAAACTTTAATTATAGACTTGCTACTGTGAAATAACCAATCTTATTTGAATTTAAGCTCGTACGGAGTTTAATTAAACGCATTTTCGGTATGGTATGATACATTGTGTCGGTTTAGTGTGCTAATGTATGTATTTCAATGTCTTTTAAGAAATAACTACGATTTATATGTAGTACACTAGCTAATTATAAATGATACATTCTCAAAATATAATGTGATTTTTAGCGAACGACTTTAATAAAGCTTGTCAGTTAGTGTGCAAATTGTGGCGTAGTCAAATCGCAGTGCAAGAAGTCTTTTTTTCTCATTAAATTTTTGATAAAATCTCATCGATAAATCGTCTCTTAATACTTTTTCACTCGAGGACAAATCTTCCACCGCCGTCGGACGGTTTCATTTTCAAAGGGAAAAGACAGCTTAAAGGTGTAATGAATTATTTAGTCAAAGACGATTTTTTGATGTTTTTCACTAATTGATATTTTATGCTACTTAAAACGTAAAAAGGAAAATATTTGCTGAGCTTTTAAAAACATCCCTAGGCCAGAGAAAGAGGATATCTTCCTGATCGACTCAAACGGTAAATAACGTATTTATTTTTTGCTCAAGACAACTATCTTAATGAGTCGTGTTGTCAGAGTCAACAATGGCGACAAAGAAATTTATCAAAACTTTGCTTATTCATTTTACTTTGGAAAACTGCAAGTTTGGTTAAAATAGATTATTAGAATTAAAGTTGGCTAAGGCACTTCGCTGTAAAACCAATCAACCAACTCAACTCTAGCTATTAGATCTCGGGACCGCGATCAGATTTCGCTTGCTGTTACAGCCAATCAGATTTCAGGAAATTCTAGAACCCCACCCGCTGCTGATTTGAGAAAATAAAGCATAGTAATAGTAATAATTTCATATTATTAATTGTTGTCTTTAGAAAAAATTCAAATATTTTTAAACGCCGTTTATGAACATTTCTTTTCTAAGGTTAAAGTGAACATAATTTGTGTTATCCAAATGTATATAAAAAATCAGGTGCTTTGATTACAGTTTTATAACGTACAAACATTTTTGAGCTGGTGTTTAATCAAAAACAAAATAAAATGATTTCCTAAGTATGTCAGATGGAGATTGATCATCGCGTGATATTTTATATTCCAATGTGATCAAAACAACTCAACCGATCTTAATTTGTTTCCATAACCTTTTATTATTCATAAAGATCGATGAAAATGCTGCTCATGGCTTTAATTTGCAATATTTGCAAATGAAAAGCAACCGAAATCAAATCTCGCCGCCTTGATATTGCGATAAACTTAGCTGTACGCTTAAAGTTTTAATTAACATTGAGGCAGAATTGATTAATTAAAGGAGAGCACCTGCAATAGTTTGCACAGTTATCATTTTTGCAGTTTTGCTTTTTTTGACAATTTTCTCTGTTTGCTCAATGTCAACATATAAATCAAGTCTTTTGGCAGTTTGTATAATGTCAATTTGCGTGGCTGTATAGTCGAAGTACATAAAGGTGATGGTAATGTTTAAATCCATTATGTTGTAGATCATGTTTAAATCCCTTATTTTTGTTAATTATCTTGAAGATCATCCCTTATGTTGTAGATCATGTTTAAATCCCTTATTTTGTAGATTATGTTGAAGATCATCCCTTATGTTGTAGATCATGTTTAATCCCTTATTTTTGTAGATTATGTTGTAGATCATCCCTTATGTTGTAGACCATAGATTCTTTGTCTTGTGGTAAAAAGAAAAATAAACGAGAGAAGACTACTTAAAAAGATTTGCTTTTTACACTTAAGAAGTAGATAAATTATCATTCTTTTCTCACCTACAGTAACTTTATAAAACGCTAGTAGTGATATTGTCCAATTTGTCGTAGTGCCATGATATTCATATGGTATAGTGCTCTATGCTTTTTTCAAGCTAAAAGCTAGCTTTGTCTTTTATCGTTGTGCGATGTTTGAAGGTCTGTTTTATTGTAAAAGAGCAAATTTCAGATTTTTGATGATTTTAATGTTAGTTGTCAACACACAATTAAAACTTGTCTTTGCTTATGGACGAATTGTCAAAAATTGCTTCGCCTTTTCGTTGCATTTTTTCTAACATTTTATATTTTAGCCCAACTTGAGGCAAAGTAAGGTGCAGTAAACTTAGTAATTATAAGTCATTGCCCTCCCAGGTTCAATTTTGGCGCTGTCCTTGTAGCAGGATCAATTTTATGGCTGGGAGACATGTTGAAAGAAAATTCACAGTCTTTCAATTTTCATAGGTTCTACTTTCATAATTTTGTGGGTTAACCATGGGGCGGAGATGAAAATTTTCTTATGTGTCATCCAAACTTACCTTTAGGTGAAGCAACAGCCATCGGGCACGGCCTCCTACGTTTGCGGGTAATCTGAGGTCGCAATTTTCAAGTGTCCTGCCTTTTCAATGTGCTGCCTCGCTTTATCTCCTTGTGAATTATACTTTCCCGGCTTCCCGCCGAAAAAATGAAACTCAAACATGGCCGATAGTTCAAAAAATTCATCTCTGGTTCTCCGACACTGTAAATACGGCAAACAATGCTACAGAAAGAACAAAAGTCATTTTAAAGAATTTTTCCATGTAGAAAAAACTGGAGAGGTAAGAGAAAGAGTCATCCACAGACCACCTTCGGTCCTTTACCATTGCAATCGTCATCTTTAGAACAATTTTCAATTTTTTTAACTCTCACAGCAGAACGATGCCAGCTGCGATGCGCCCTCGGAACCATTGAGCAAGAAAAGGAAAGTCACAACATCACCCGAAAATGATGGTAAAGGTTGGTAGTTTTTCACATCCGTAAAGCTGGATCTTGATTAAATAAACTTTTCTATTTAGGAAAAATTAATTTAATGGGATCTTGGAATACTTAGAAATACCAAAGAAGGATGCACTCCTTTCCTCGTGAAGCCTCCAGCATAGTATTTAGTATTTGTTGATTTGATGTGTGATCTAATTTTGCAGAATCTTACACCCAAGAAAACTCTAAACATGATTTTATCAAAGAAAAATTTGGTATAAATATGCCTCAGGATTTCTATGATCTTTGGGAACTCTGTAAAGAATGGAATCCACACAAACCTCAAGGTTTGATAAGGCCAAATACAATTTTATTTGTATACACATTTTTTAAGTTGTACACTTCAGGTAGCTTGATCCAGATGTAGTCAAAATAAATTATAGCAGCTAAATTTCTAATTCAAAATACATACTTTGACTGGTTGATTCGCTCTGATTACATATAAGGAAGGCATTACTTTACATTGTCTTCTGTGTTTTGTGTGATTAAAGACTTTGACATATTTTGCACAAAACTTTTAGATGCACTCAGGGCGTAAATCTTGAACTGGTTGGTCCCTATGATGTATTGATGGACAGGAAATTCAAAACAAGGGATGAAAACGAAGGACTTTGTCTCCACTACAGATATTTCTATGACCCTCCTGAATTTGTTACAGTTTTGAAAGGTGATGACTCTCTTGGGTTTCATATTGGCTACTATTGGTGAGTGAGAATTCATTCTTAAATTTAACTTTCAACTGCATTCTACTTGAAATGCTTCTTATGTGTTTATTGATATCAACTGTCTAAAAAAATCACTATCAATACTAGTGATCATCCAGGTGATAAACCAGTCTTGTTAGCTTCCAATGAGGCAAAAAAGAGTTACGAGTTCAAAGTTCTTGGTGATAACATATTTGCTGCTATAAGGTTTGGTCATTTTATTTCAATAATTGAAATATATACCATATACCATGCCAGTACCACTAAATACAAGATAGCTTTCAATGTATTGTAACACCAACTCTTTAATCACAAAGTTTTAATCTTAGCAATAGTATTAAAACTGCAAGCAAAGCAAGAGGCAAAAAGAAAGCAGCGGATATACAAGCAAAAATTAAATTCAAAGCTCAAGAAAGAAATTTGAATTTGGACAAAAATACTTTGCCCATGAAGGCTAGGAATAGTAAAGTTGTTGCAAAAACATTTCATAAGATGGGAATTGTGGTCCCGGTTGATGACATGGGAGTTGGCTATCGAGATCTCCAAATTTCAAATGGTAAGAAGTATAATGATTTACTGGATAACATTGTATCATAATGTGGAATAATTATAAGGTTCTCCTCACATACATGGACTTATGTATAGCAAAGTTTGTTTCACATTTTCTCAAGCATATTAATTTGGAACAGGATTTCGTCCAATTTCAACTATTATTGCATGTTTCAGTTTCAATGATTTGTTCACATTTGTCTGTTGACCTTAAAATCACACCTACATAGTTTTGTTATACGTTGATGATTTTTTATTAGCTGAATTGAAATCAATGTTGACCAACATTGTTGATGGAAACAGACGTGAGTCACTTTTAGATGAATTGCAAGATATTATCACACGTATTCAATTTGCCAATGATGAGTGTGATTATGGAATGGGTCTAGAACTGGGCTTGGATCTCTTTTTGTTTGGTCATGAATTATTTGAGAGAAAAGCCTCGATGTTATTGACATTGGCCTATGAATTACTTGGCAAGTCATTCTTTGGAAATTGTGCGAAGAGCACATCAAAAAACGCAACAAAAGTACATTGTATATAAATTTAGCACAGTCTTGTTGACTTACCAGTCAGAAATTTGAGTTTGGGCCAAATAATACTCGTGACATGTTTATGGCTATTCATTCAAAATTGGTAGTTGTTGTCTCAAGGCATTCTACAACATACACTTAGTGGTACATTCAATTCATATTTTCTTCAGATACACAATGATGTGCACAAAGGCAGATTGTATTTAAAAATGCTGATAATGACCAGTAAAACTAACCTAATTTGCTTTACACATCTACATCATGATGTGTTTACATAGAATGGATTTATCAAATCATTCACGCAATTTACATTAGGTAACATCAACTTTTGATTTTGTTCAAATTAATCTTCAAAGAAAATGTAATACTGCTCGTTTCATTCGACCTTCTTAAGCAATGTACACCAATAACAAATATATTAATTTTACAAGAATCTAAGAACTACAGATAGGTATGAAATTTAATAAAAAAGATATTTAAATGTGGGTCTCATTAAAATTTTCAAATCTTATATAAATTTTAAAATAGCTTTGCTACATACACATATATATATTGTAAACAGAATGCCTTCAAACTGTTAAGTTCAGCAGAAAAACTTTGGAAAATAATATTTATGCATTTGCTTTCTTTATAAGAAACTGTGAATTTTTTCATGTACACTATTTCAGAAAAACAAATGCAAATACAGCTAAATTTCATACATCCCCATTATTTCATATTGTTCTTCTAGCCAACAACTGAGCTACGTTTAGTCTTTTCTTGGTGAATAATAGTCAATGCAATAGCAACTTCCATATTTTCTCAATGCTTCATGACATGAACTCCATGGACCAACAATCTGATTGTGTTTATGATTGCAGTGAATTTCAATCTGCTAGTCTGGTTTCAGTATTTGTGCTTTTGGTAAAAACTCAACCAGAAGCACCTAAAAGGAAATATATAGTAAAATTCATAACAGGTGAAATTTTCGATATCATAATCTTGCAAACAAATTTTCCATACATATTCCATCATGTTGCTGGACACACACTTCTGTTTTCGTAAACTCCAATGAAGACCAAGCTAAAACAATGCAAAAGTAGGATTGGTAGCTTGGCAATAGGTTCTTACGACTGGTTTGTACATTACTTATTTGTAGATAGACCTTTCAATTATTTTCTAAGAGATCGACCTTCTCTTCTAACTTTCCACTCAGAATTAACATTCTCCGCAAAATTTATAAATCTTTACTCACTTTATGATAGAAATTAACATTCTCTGAATCTAAAACTTTATTAATAGTGTGACGAGTCTGAAAGATAAAAATAAAGCATCTCAAAATGTCTATTATACTGTTTGTGATCAAAACACCATGGTGTAAATGTACCCTTTTGTTAAGACACACAACTGGCCATAATGACATTCCTAAAGTACAACAACAACATATACATCCACATAACCACCATCTGACATTAACAGTCATCGTCTTCCTCAAAACTTTGTTTACTTGATTTATAGTCATCGAAAACTCTTCATTGGCAACCTAAAATTTCAAATTATACCCTAACATGCTGTTACTCTGCATAGACTTATTGGAGACTGCATGGTACAGAAGGATTTTTCAAATACAACATTTACTAACCTTTGCGTGAAGTGCTGACGGAAAATCCGTGTCATATTTACAATTTAAACCAAAGCTATAAAGCATAAAATAACTTCGGTTTCTAGCTCACACAATAATTGTTGTGCCATTAGTTATCGTCACGCACAATGTGTAAAGTTTAGCATACGCGTTTACAACACTTACACAGTCATATTACCAACACCACGAATAACAATTGGCTCGGGTAGATTAAGTGCGTACTCCAACGATGTTTGAGTATTATCTGTATCATCTTCAGAGCTATTTTCATGAAAAATTGTGTCGAAGTTCGCCATCTTAACTCTCCATCAAGTATCAATGACAGTTTCCGGAAAGTATTGTTTCGTATTTTACACGCGCACATTCATGTGTCGTGGTTTCTGCGGGACAAGAGACAAAAATACCACGAGTACAGTAAAAGAAACATTCTAGAAAAAACAGCATATGTTATGTTGGGAATGCAAGATAATTTACAAAACAAGAAGCAGATAGAAACTGTTCATTTTGGGAGATAGAAACTGTCAGGGATTTAAATCAATGATGTCCGTTTTACAAAAAAAATCTACAGAAAAAATAGTAAATAATATTGTTTGCTTAAATTCGAGAGAAAAAAAAGAGACTTTTTAAATGAATTAAGTCGTGTGATAATTTTAACAAAGAATTTAAAGTAATGTGTTATTTAGAACAAAGGTGCGAATCCCGACTGCTGGAGTGTGAAAGGAGAAAAGCTGCAGTTCTTTTTTAGCTTTAAGTCCAGATTTCAGAAAAGGTTCGTTCACTTTGTAATGTGTTGTGTTGGATCAGAAGTACTTCTAGAAAGGCAAGATTGTGGTGGTTGTGAGATTCAGTTGCGCGAAATATGAAACAGCGGTTGATCACGAAGTTTTCAACAGGAGGAGTCTTTGAAGCTAGGAAAAGTTCGTTGAGTAGTGATAACTGAGTGGTTCTCTTGTGTGGCTAAGAAATGAGTGTTTTCACCCTCGGAAAAATGTTTGGTCAACTAAACTAGAAGAGAGTCTTGTAGCATGTTCTTTCAGACTTACAGACCGTCATGATATCTTGTGTCCGAGATCCTGGGTATCTTTGTGTCATGGCAATGTAAAGTTTGTTTCCTGAAGTTATATTTTTGAATCATCGGCTGGACATGGTTCATTTTCTATTTGCTAACTTATTTTTATTTTGGTCTTTGTCAGTGAGATAAAGTGCTTCAATTTCCAAACATGACTAGCATTTGTGGCTACCTTTCTTTCATGCCAATCTTGGCTCATATTGTTTAAATTGAATAAGCAATGCAACGTATTGTTCGAGCCCTCTCTCCTTATTTCTAGTATGTAATAAAAACCAAATGTGGAGACGGTCCGCACGTTTTTTTCTTCTATGAAAATTTATAAAAACTTTATCAACAGTCATGTCGTCTTTAGAAATGTTTTGTTTTGTTTTTAGTGGAAGAACTCAGAAATTTTGCATGCAGCCTTGCAGAATTTTGCATTGCAGCCTTGCAGGACTTAATCAATGAGCGGGCGGACTTTGCACCACTCACAAAACTAAAAGAAGATTTAGATTGCAAGTCGATGGTGATCGGTAAAAGATTGCATCAACGACTCTTTCTGATATTTTTCATGTGATTATTATTTTTTATTGTTATTATGCATGAACAAAACAGCAAATTTTAAAACCACAATATCAAGTCTAGATAGTTGCCTACATTCATCGAAATATCCTTATCAAATGTCCTTGATAAATAGAAAATGTCTTTGAAAATTGCAACAATGTCACGATTATGAATCTGATGATTCATGTTAATGGAGCAATTTGTGTAAAGTCAAAGCTTAAACTTTGCTGGAAGAAGAGCTGTAACAAACTGAAATCACTCTTTTGTGTGTAAGCACATAGAACAAAGGAACTAGGGAGGTTATCATGATGGGAATGAATGCAGAAATCACCCCCGGAATACTAGGACTGTGTGGCGATGGATAAAAGCCGTCCACAATATAGAAACACCAGGACAGGAGGAACATACCGATAGCCGCCTGTAGATAACGATGGATTTCATTGTCTTCTTCACTCAATCGATCATTGTCACTTTCCGACGAGAATTCACTTTTTATAGTTTCCCTTGTGTTGTTTGATCTTTTTTTGACTTTTCTTAGACTGCCCAACATGGAGAAAGTCAGGGTAGCAATTGGTATGAGAAAAAGAATTGATACGACTAGGGATGCAGGAAATGCCGTTGAAGAAAACTTCACTTGACAGAATGCCTTACGAGCAAGAAATGCATATTTACTCCAAAGAAGACTGAGAGAAATAAGAAAGAGTGGTTTGAGCAATTACACCAAGTAATGCGACCTTATAATGGCCAGGTGGTGTAAGATCCCTTGTTGAAGTGCATTCCTCAGCTTTTTCTTTCGTGAAAAGATAAAGATCAGTTGTGATAGAAACCAACGTCGACACTGATACAATGATGTATATAACGTTTGTTAGACCATAAGAGCCACACCAATGTATTTCAAAGTACCATGTTGAAGATAGAAAGACGGATAAAAGGTATGGAAAATCTTTAGTGGTGACTATGATATCCACAATAGCGACGTTTGCCACAATGAGGGCTGTGCACGATGATCTGAGATGTCGTCTGCTGTAGATTATGTAACAGATCCATGTATTCACAATCATTGTAAAGATGCAAGCTAAGGCGATCAACGACATCGTCTTGGAGTGAAATACAATTTCGATTCTTTTTGGTTCCACGTTTTCATCATTATGTAACATTTCGCCGACTGTTTCAGGACGATGGAAGAAATGCCAAATCATTTTGTGTCGAAAATGATTGAAATTTTACTTCAAGACCTGCAGGAAAAGGTGCAGTTTTAGTTTGAACAAAGTAAGGAAGACTCAATGAAACGGAAAATATCAACAAACAACCTGGATCAATACCTTTGCGTTTATGTGATTTCTCTTATATCGAGTGAATAGCTTCATTGTTTACCACTGAACAATGGAGCACGTAACAACAAGTTTAACAATGCTTGATCATAAATGATACAGGTGATCTTTGTTAAATCGCGCATTTTAATTACAACATTTGTAACTGCAACATGTTAAAATAAATTATTGAAAAACATTTTTAAAATCTTATGAAGCTCGTCGCCGTGGTTTATTACAAACATGTCTTTCTTCTTGACTTTATAATCTTTCTTCGTGACTTTATAATCTTTCTTCGTGACTTTATAGTGACTTTATATATCTCTTTCATTTGCGCTTTTTTTACTATGAAACAAATCAAATATTAATAACTATAAAATCATAATGGAATTCAAGCATCGCAGTCATAATGCATATGTTTTTACCATTAACGTTCAACTAATCAGTTGCCAACCTTTCTCATTAGTTCGTGTTTCAAAACGTCACGTTTGTAAAGCATAACGTGCGGGTTTCAACAGGACGAACTGGTAAACGTAACGTTTGTTTAAATAATAATTTTCATCTTGTAACAACTCACGAATCACATGAACAAAACCTGTTCGAATTGTTAATCAAAGTTGACATTTATCTAGCAAGCCTTTGTGGCAATATTCGACAAGTGCATTCCAAAAAAAAGAGATATACTTTCAACAAGGCAAAGATTCGAGCTCGGAATTGTCTTCGGATTAAGATTTTTCATTTTAGTCTTAAGCTTTTGACTATGGGTATGTTTAGAAATTAATACCATTTTTTGTCATCTGTGAGATCAGGGGTGGATTTAGGGTGGGGTAGACTGGGTGTAATCGCACCTTTCTTTAGTCAAAATTCTCAAAAAGCATTAAATATTGTTTGTGGTTTATTAGTACAACCACCGAATTCACATTTCCAGTAAAATAATTTAGATAAGATATAAAATATCGAAGATACGCATTATTAAAGAGCACATCTGCAAGTATGTTACATCGGACGTCGAGAATTCGCTTGCACCAAAAGCATAGTGGCATGAAAATGTAAACAAGGCGATTTCTATTTGGTGATAAGCATAGATCGATGAATAGATAAATTTTAGACAGTTGCGTAGCTAGTCCGAAACTTTCCGCAGGCTTTTGTCCTGCGTAAATTTCAAATGAATCAAAACATCATAATTCATCTCTTTAGAAATCTTTCATTTTCGACCATTATTTGAGCAGTTTAGGTAGTCCCTCGCCCAGAAGAATATTTTGTGGCAAGTTTAAGCCTCAGAAAAGAGTTTTGGATTTATAACCTGTTTGTCTATTTGATTCTGTTCTTCTTGAACATCTTTCAAAGCTTTCTAAACAAAACTGTCCATTGTGTTCAGTCTACACTAGCGTAGCCAGCCCATTTACTGAAGAGAGGTAAATATTGTCTCAGACCCCTCCAAATGGAATCGTCCAGTATCCACTTCTGACATCCTGTAGCAGAAATCCTTCATTCACCCTTGGGGATTACTCGTTGAGTTGACAAGCATAGAAATCTTCGTTTACTCACAATTTACATTTACTGTTCAGTTGATGTCCTTTTCTTGAATTTAATTCTGTCAGAAATCTACATCTAGTTACTACAATATCAATCTAGTATGAGAACTGTGAAACATTCCTTGGATCTCAAAACGGAATCGATTTTAATTGTAAGTATATATATATATATATATATATATATATATATATATATAAGTTGAGTTGAGTTCAATGAATTACTGTGACCATCGTAGTTATCGTCGTGCAATGATCGTACCTACGTACCTATTTTTAGTCACTCGTCCCAGGTTTCAGATTTATGGCAGTGGCAAAAGCGAATTCAATATGGCATCCAGTATGCAATTTCTGTCTTCAGGCCTTGGTAAATACAATGTAAGTACATTGTTAAACATTATTTTTATGATAAAGTCTACCTTCATTATTATTTGAGATTATTCATCATTCTATTAGAATTTCAGTTCTCATCAAATCAATATTTGCAGTAGATATAGCTGTAAACATTGAAAATATCATCTGTATCAAAGAGATTGAAAAGTAAAGGACAATTTTTTGATTGTAATCATGCATGGCCACGATTTCATCTTGATCTAATAATCGTCACTTTGTGTCTTCGCTACATTGACAACCGGACTCCCCAGCAATTCTATGAAATAGAGCATGCATACAAGCGCTTCTCTCGTATGATGTGTTATACTATGATAATTTGTCCATTTCAATATAAATTAGGATTATTCGATGTTGTATAACTTGTATTTATGTACGTATCATTACTTTGTTGTATCAAAGTAAGGCATTTGTGGGTCACACACTGGTGGCATGGCAAATTTGCCTTTGTAACTCTCACAATGATAGTGAAAAACTGGAACAGCAAAATGTTTTGGGATAAAGATACCCTATGACACGGTAATTTTCTTATACCTA